TACGAGAAAGTAGAAAGAAATTAAAACCGGATCCTTAGCTAAAGAAGGGAAATAAAGTATACTTACTTATAAAAAATTTAAGATCTTAATAGATAATAAGAAAACTAGATTATATTAAAGTTAGATCATTTTTAATTTTAGAAGTTAGAGGACTAGTTAATTATAAACTCTAGCTTCCCGACAATGTAAAAATATACCCTATATTCTATATATCGTTACTAGAACTAGTAGACCTAGAAACTCCGTTATAGATAACATTCTATTTCTAGACTAAAGAAGACGACATCTTTAAAGTAGAGAAGATCCTAGAAAAATAAGGTTAGCGATACCTTATAAAATAGAAGGGGTACTTATATTTGAAAAACACTTAGAAACTAAAGAAACACCTTATAAACTACTAGACCCTTCTACGATAGTTCTACTAGATAAGAGAGTCTAATCGAAATTGTTAATAGTAGACTACTAGTCTATACCTATCTATAACCGATTATCGAAAAGGTATAGATTAGAGTTAGAGGACATTTTAACCTCTAATACTAGGGTAGTAGCGGCTATATCGCGCTCGATCTACTCTACCTCCTCTATTAAAGCTAGTTCCTACTTAATAGCTTTACTTTTGCGATTCTTAGCATAGCGTAGCTACTTATACATTCGACGAATCCTTACTTATTACACCTATAGCTTCTCTACTATACGCTCCTTCTTATCCTCTACCTTTTTAAGCTCCTTCTTAGCCCTTTAACGTAACCTAGTAAGACGGTCGAACTTACTATAAGTAATAACGAGATTATAGCGATAGGTACGATAGACGCATTTACTATAGCGACTAGAATAGACGTCGACTTTATAAACGGTATTATAGCGATAATACGATCTATAAGGAGTAGGTATAATTTTTCCGTTATAATTAATTTTAATAGCGAGGTTACGACGACGTTTAGTTTAGTTAGAAGAAGAAAAAGGCATAATAGATACCTATAACAAAACTATAAACTACGACCGTTATACTTATAAATAAGCTTCGAGGTAAAGCTAAACTAGAAGGAGGATAGTATTATAATCCTATATATAGGTAGCTAGGGTTACTAGCGTAACTAGGAAGCGCCTACTAATAAGCTAGTAAGCACTCTATAGGGAAGCTCTACTAGTAGTTATGCGCGTACTAGTGCTTATAGAATCTTAAGCACTAGAGTGCTTACTAACTAACTAACCTATACCTAAGCACTAGAGTACTTAGGAAAGGCGAGCACTAGTAGTGCTTATAAACGACTTACCTATTCCTTATAAGTCGCTCGAATATATAAGTAGGTAGGTCTTTACTAGGAAGTCCTACGTTTAACTTAAATAGTTATTCTAATAGTCCCTTTAGTTTATACTACTATATACTACTTACTTTACTTACTTAATACTCCTCTTTACGAGTATAAATCCTATAACTAGTTATTCTTCCTTAAGAATAGTTAGCTATAACACTCTCTTCTATTTCTATACTTTAGTAAGAGTAGCTAGGGATAGTATAAATAGGGTATATATAGGGATATCTACTAGTAGTTTACTATAATAAGGAGTATATAAAAGTAGTAGTAGTACTTATCTTTAAGCCTAATATATATACTTATTATTAGAAGAAATCTATACTTATTTTCTTATATACTTAGCTACTATAGCCTAAGTAGCTTTATAAGCTTTTATAAAGATATACTCTTTATCTAAGGTATTTAGGTTTTTACTATCTTTAATAGCTGCTATAATATTAAGGATTAATTTATTTAAGTTTATATTATTAGGCTATACTTAGTAAATATTACTTACTAGTAAGAAGTAACCTACTTCTAATAGAAGTTCTATAATAATATAACTATTAGTTAGCTATTCTTATTCTATTATAGCTACTATACTTACTAGCACTTAAGTAGGTAATATATTCTTTATCTTCTTAGCCTAAAAAGGTAGTGCTTTAAGGCTATATTAGTTAATAAAAGCTGTTTAGCGCTTTACTCTCTTTTCTAAGGATACTTTCTTAGTATACTTAGCCTTAAAATAGCTAAACCTCTAGTAGTTTAGATAGGCTAAGTTCTTATATAAGAATTAGAAATAAGAAGTAGTATTAGAGTATTCTTAAGGTTAGGAAGGTATAGGACATTTAGGTAACTAGGCATTACTAGTATTTAGTAGATATATCGGCTAAAAATTAGTAGCTAGTAGGGTAAAAGGTTAGGTATATTACTTTATTAGTATCTATATAAGTAGGCTAAATATCTAGCTAAGTCCTTTTACTAGTTATCTTATTATGTCTACTATTATTTACTATAACTTAAGCTTAGAGTTACTTAGCTTTCTTTCTAAAAGCTTTAAAATATAAGGCTTATTAATAAAACTAGAAGTAGATATGCCGAGCTTAGCTATCCTAATTAGGCTAGTAAGCTTATTAAATAAAGGCGATTTTCTAATAAGTTTTAGCATTTTAAGGAGTATTAAGACTTTAGACTTAATATTCTTAGATTAGATACTATCTAAGGTCTTATAAAGGGCCTATGCCTTTTTATTAAGACTCTTAGAGTAGGCACTACCTAATATAAGATTAAAAAGCTTATAGGCCTTAATAAGATAAGTATTAATTAAGTAATTACCTTACTTTAGATATTCAAGTTATAGTATAAGTAATAAACTTCTATCTAGGTTCTCTTATACCTAGAACTTATTTATAATAGCTATATATAGCATCTCCTAGTCCTTATAAGTTTTAATAGGCTATAAATTATACTATTTGTATATATTATCCTTTAAGTTAGTAGTAAGAGTCTAGAGCTTAAGGTTATCTAGTTTAGCCTAGTTAATAGCTATAATATTAATAGAGAACTTAATATAGGCTTCTACCTTCTTAATAAAGGTATTAACTAATCTATTATAGGTACTAGTAAACAGATTAACCTAGATTATAAAAGCTATACTACCTAGAAGAGGTATATATAGTATTTTCTATTAAGGTATTAGAATAGAAGTAGTTTACTTAAGAATTCTAAACTTTAGAATAGGGCACTAATTAATAGGTAAAGATTCTCCTAATAAGGAAATATAAGTCTAATTACTACTATTATATCTAGTTAGAAAGTAGTCCTTCTTAATATTGTCTAATATTAGCTATAGTCTAAACTTTAATAGATTAATAGTATTAGGAGGGCACTAACTAGTTAATAGAAGATAGAGCTTATAGCTATAAGTTAGAAAGATAGTATAAGATATATCTAGTATTTCTAGGTATATAGGTTCCTTCTACTATAACTTTAAGGGTAAGAAATTAGAAAGAGCTCTTAAAAGCTTAGTAGTAATATTATTCTTATTTTTTAATAACTATCCTTTAGTAGGTAAATCTAGAAAAAATAGAGAGTAGTAATAAATAGTCTTTAATAATTTAGAAGAGAAAAAAGAGTTACTAGTAGTATTATTTCCTTCTTATAAAAATGGATCTAGCTTAGTAATATATAAAGTTAGCTAATAAATATTAACTAATATAGTTATAGTTAGTTAGGTAGTTTATTAATCTCTAGGAATAAAGAGTAAAGCTAGCTTTACTAAGCTATAGTTATATATAGATTTATTATAGCTATACTAATATAAATCTAGTAGATATTATCTAATATTAATAATAATTAGAGTAGTATACCTAGTAAGGGTAGATATTCTTTAATAATATAATATATCTACTTAATATCTTATATGTTAGTAACTAGTATTACTAATCTATTTAGATAGCTATAGATACTTTAGTAAATAGTAGTTACTACCTATAATATAATATATATATACTTTTCTAATTTAGTATAAATAATATATTAGGCAAATAGTAACTAAGATAATAGTAAGAATTAATATCTTACTAACTCTAGTTAATATAAATATATAAAAAAGGAAATACTTAGTATAGTAGACTAGATATTATCTATTATTATCTATAGCTTTAGTACCCTAGTAAGTATTTTAAAACATTATAATCTAACTTATAGTTTAGTTAGTATTAAGAAATATATACTAGGATATATTCTAGATAGGCATACTAGTTAGTCTAGTCTTAAATAGTTATTTAAGGACATAGATATTATCTAATATTAAACAATATATTTAGATAGTCTAGTTAAGTTCTTATTCTAAGTAGGCTAGCTTATATATAGCTTTCTAGGTAACTATAGAAGCTTTTATATAAATTTTAGTATAGCTAAGAGCCTCTAGTTTAGATACTAATAGAGTATATTAAAGTATAGGATATTAACTAATATTATATTAAAGGTATCTAAAGGTAACTATCTAACTAGCTAAGTAGTAAAGGTAGGGATATTAACTAATATAGTACTAAGGCACTAATACCTAAAGGACTCTATTATTTTTAGAAGTATATAGTTTAGACTAAGAAGTTATTACTAGTTTATTATTTAAGGTTCCTATTATATATTATAGATAGGTTAATAATATTTATAGCTTAGTATAGTTATATTACTAAAGAGCTAACTAGAATATATATACTTTACTACTTACTAATATAGGTAGAGAGTATAATAGTATAATTTTATAAGAATGTAATATGCCTTTACCTATTTAAAGCTAGCTCTAGTCACCAAAATAGCTACTCTAATCCAAGTAGTGATCTCTAGGGGATGGAGAAAATTGCTCAATATTCATAAGGCATAAGTCTAGGCCAAGCTTTGGTTGCGTGATCTGTGATTCATCGTTAAAAGCAATGAACCAACGATATGAACTTTAGACTCTAGCCACTCGTGTACTTGAAGATATCAAGCTACAATTGGTGACCTGCTTCTTGTGATCACATGCAAATTTAAGACTCGTTCTGAGGAGCGAGATCGTCAAAGACCCTCTTCAAGTTCAGGAGCGGAAGTTGCGACCAGTGGTCTGTGGGGCAAGCGGTGCCTGACTGTCGCGAACAAAAACGGCATAAAATCAGCACAGACTCGAGCACAATTGTCAATAATCGACACTGGCTGGATATTATGGCCCTCAGCATCGCCAACCCAGCCGGGCCATCGCCAAAGACATCGGCATCACCTCCTCCCTTGTCGACATCCGTCTCGTCATCAGCAGTGCGGTCGCCGTCACCACAGCCGCCTCCTGCAAGCCCTCTTACGCCTCCTGCCCAACCAGCCAAGCTCGCAACTACCACCCAACCAGTACCCATACTACCACCGCAGCCACCTCAGCTCATAGAGCAGCCACCTTCGCTGCCCTTCTCCAGTCATGATTCAACCGATGCCATAGCCTTGCGCGCCGCCATCTCTTCCCTTCAGTTTCAACGCCTACAAGCTCAGCGAGACTTGCGCACTCTTGAGGACATCAAGCGCCAGGCTGTCGAACGACCAGAAGAATATCGCAAACATGTAATCGCCACTGCCCAAGCTAAACCTTCATCACCACCATGGTCCATCGAGGATTGTCAAGACCAGGACATGGAAGACGACGACGATGCTGTTCTCGGCGCTTCCAACACCAACGAGCAAGACCCGCTCGACTCACAAGCCGAGTCTACGGCCACACCATATCCCGTCTCATATGGTTCCATGTTGCAGCCACAACCAGCAAAAATCAAAACTCAGTCTTCTGGCTTCCCAACGGTCCCCTTACCGCAAGATGTTGTCCGGTGTCCCCCTATCGAATGGTCCAAATACAACATCGTTGGCGAGTCCCTGGACAAGCTTCACCGCGATCAACAAGCACGGCCAGGAGATGCTGCTTCATCCCAGCAGCGTGATAGTGTTGTTGCTGCTCCTTACAACCCTTTCCTGGACAAGCTAGATCCACGGCCAGTACTCGAAACGAATTCCTCAGCGAGGAAGGACAGTGGCTCCTCTGCCTCTGACCAGCACACGCAACGAAGACCCAGCAAGCCCTCTATGTGATTGCGCCTCAAGGGTCGACTCCAATCACGCTACAAGACACGAGCTACAAGACATGATTAACGTGTACGATATTATTTTATGATTATTTGTCAAGCAAGAAAAGTATTTTCTTTGTTTTTCACAGGTGTCACCTCATTCGTGCAAAGTGCAACACAGTACGCGATCGGTCAACCAGTCGATTAATCAAGCGCCAATCATGAAAAGACAAACGAAGCAGGTATTTGTATATTAACCTGGCGTTTCAAGACCTCAGCGGCTGCATATCTTGGCATTTGTCGCAGCCCGGCTTTTTGCACGACATTGCCAGCACTTCATTGGAATGAATCAGACGTCATGTTTGAATTCCTTGTAACTACGCCAGAAAAGATGATAGTAGGTTGTTTGCTGTGATGTGAGTTTCACAAATCAAGATAAACTTGATTCTGTCTGTCGCTGTCTCACCTCCTTTATTCTGTTCATTTCTGCCATTTCTTCTCAATTCCTCGTATTGATGCTGAAGAAGAGCCGTAACAACTAGCACCTGCGCATTCGAAATCTGTCCATACCCCTTTTGCGAGGATGCTGCGTCCTACAGCATTGATACCGGTCATCTTTGGCCTTGCAGCGTTCGTCTTGACCATGCTCTGTATATTCGCCGGCAGCAAACCAAACTTTATGCAAGTGCGTTCTCGCCCCTCGTCCTCTCTTCTATCCACATCCCCTTCCTAACAAGAGTTCTAGGATTACTCTATCATCACGTTAAACACATCTCGCATCGGCACAAATGTCTTCAACACAACGTCCTCCAGCAACTCGGACTCGAATATCTTTGAATCGATTTGGGACAGTATAACCAACAGTATTGAGTCTGATCTCAATTCCGACATCAACTCTTTGGCAAAAGAACTAGGATTACATGATTTCTACTCTGTGCATCTGCTGGACTATTGCGAGGGGTTTTATACACCTACGTCCTTGCCCAATGCCACGGTCCACAAATCGGAGATCAAGCAGAATGTTACGGGATGCAGTAATCGCACCGCAGGGTTTCAGTTCGATCCTGAAGCGGCGCTGCAAAGGGAACTCAACAAAAGCCACACAGGATTTACATTACAAGACTTGCATTGGCCGAAGCAAGTCAATCAAGGTATACATACCCTACGCATAGCGCAAAAAGCGGCCTTTGTGCTTTATTGCATCGCTGCTGCTCTGATCCTCTTTGCTTCCCTCATTTCTCTCCTCTCCCTTTTCGTTCATGGGAGAGTATTTGCTGTTGTGAATACCTTACTCTGGATCCTTGCGTTTATTGCTAGTGTTCTGGCATCGGCTATCACAACTGCTGTGGCGACCAAGGCGAGGAATGTGGTTAATAAGCATGGGAGAAGTGTGGGAGTTGAGGCGAGTAGAGGAGGAAGGTTTATGGCGTTGAGCTGGGTGGCTACAGCATTGTGCTTTTTGAATGTCTTCGTGTGGGTGTTTGAGTGTTTGAGGGGCAGAAGGAGGGAGAGGTATGGGAGTGGTCAAGTTGTTGGGAAGTGAGAGCGTGGTTTGGAGGGTGCGAGATAAGCTGATATGTGGTAGGAGTGTGGCAATGAACTTTTTGTCTCTTCATGATCATTTGGTATGTGAATACTGTACGCTGTGCGCAAGTAAAGCAAAGCAAAGTCCAAGCCATTTCCGTCCTTCCAACCTCAACGAGATGCAATGCCCATTGCAACCCTTTTGAGTGCACAATCTCACAACTCCATCGTAGCAATCCTCCCCCCAACCTCCCCTCCCATGCGTCCAAAAGGTCCCTCATCAACCTTCTTCCTCAAAGTCTTAACCACATCCTCCCACTCCTTTCCTTCCTCACCTCCCTCCTCACAAAACACCTTAAGCCGATTGTACACCTCCTTCAAACACTCAAATTTACTCATTGCAACCCTGTAAGCAGAGTTTTCGCTGTCTCCCACTCCACCAACTAAATTCGAGAAGGTTTGGGATGGGGACAGGAGGTAAGGAAGACAATACTCCAGCGAAGGTGGTGAGAGAATGGCTAAAAAGCCTCTGTGGTGTTCGGCGAGAGAGGTAGAAGGTAAGACGGCGCGGAACTCTTGAACGGAAGGGATAGAGTCAGGGGTCAGAGGCAACCAATTTGCAGTTGCGATACTGCGGATCAAAGCAATAGCAGCCAGAGCCACTTCCCTCAACGCCACAATCTCAGCATGATGCACGAGATCAGAAAACAACAAAGGGTTATGGTTGAGATAGAGATAGTAGAGCGCATAAGCAGCCTGCGCTTCAGATTTCCAGGTTGCGTCGTGGGTGGTGTTCATAAGTGGCGATGAAGCTGGATAATTGATGATTTCTTGCTTTGAGGGCCCGTGGAAAACTGTAGCTAGTGTAGCCAGAACATCTGCATTTGTGGACTTGGAAGGCAGCAGGGAAAGTGGAGATGAAGACCAACTGTTGTTGGTCGGGAGGAGGGAGCTACGAGGCATGGATGCGAGAATGTGTAGATCGTGCTTTGGTGATTCGGCGTGTGCCCAGCGGCTAGGCGATAAGTCCAGAGAGCTTTGGAGACGTTTGATGAGAGTTGGCTTGAGAGGGCTGGAGAGGAAGTGTGAAGGGTATGATGATGCATAGGCAGCCACATAGTTTGCCGAAGGTGCGTACAGAAATTGTACGTCTAAAGGGTCATGACGAGGGTTGGATGGGTCCAGGTAGAAACTCATTGCCTTCTCATGCAGCTTGTGTTGGACGAGAAAGTCAAGAGCAGCAGACGAATGTGGTGATGCTGCTGACTCGATCGGCGTGATTGTCTGGAGCAGGGTGGCGTAAAATTCGACCAAACAGCGATGCATCAGGACATCGCTAGCCGTATCGACCATGCATGCTACAGCAAAATACAGCATACCCTCTCCTTTGCCATCAGTGTAGCGTCTTTCAACCTCTGGATGATGTGCATGTGTGATAGCATTCCAGTTGATAGCACCGACCTCAGGAAGCCATTCGAGCAAGCGAGCTTGAGCAAGTGTCCTCTGGCTTCCAGACAACTCCACGCCTTCAGTATGCTTCAACGAGCAGACAGAGAAGATCAATGCATAAACGTCCTGATCACCAAATACACGCTTCCACATCAATCCCTGACTGTGTCCCGGAAGCGATTGCTCGTCACCAGCACCGGGAGGAACCGCGTGGTCGACCTTGAGCAGAGCAAGCAACACATCACTCGCCTGCTTGGCAATACCAGCATCACTAGTGCATAGCCATAAGTTTACCAAAGCAGTGACGACTTCAGGCTGTGCAGCAATAGTCGCAGCATCCGTAGCATTTCCAGCCGCCTTGTTCAACAGCGCCAGCATCAGTCGATTATACGGAGTGGCAGCGACATGAAGTCCACCGACAAAGTCGACCGCAGCATTGAGACCAAGCACATCCGAGTAAGTCAATGGCTCCAGCAAAAGTACCAAGAATTGAATTGGTTGTGTCGGATCTTTTTGCAACACCGGCAAGATGCGAGAGAGCTGTGATATGAGTGTGATGGAATCTTTCTTGGAGATGCCAGGCGCAAGAGCTAGTGAGCATGATTCGAAGAGACGTTCGTCAATATCCGTGTTAACCGGATCCTCCTCCAGTTCGCCGAGATGGGCTTGAAGACGTCCGAATAGATCCTGAGAAGCCGCCATCTTCAATATCCTTGCAAATAGTTGTGTTCAGTCAAGTCGAGTTTGCAGATGATTCGATACTGCTTGACAATCTGCTGATTCGAAAGCGTGTTGTTTGAGCATTTCGATGGTGTCACGAGAGGCAAACGCGGGCAAAAGATGCAAGTCACGTGCGCAGTCAATGATCAACAAGAGAGTGAAGTCGAGTTCGACTATTTCAAGCACTTTTCATTCTATTCGATATAGGGCATAAAAATATACATAAATTCGTATCATAATTCAGTGAGGGTCATTAAACTGAGAGACTCAATCCCTTTCAGGTATCCACTGGACCGACACCTCCCACTTGAGGCCGCCAGATCCATAACCACCACCAAGTCTGTTTCGCACAAGACTTGTCATCCTTTCTCTAGTCTTAGCCAAGTCAAGACCATAGTCAGCTGTTCTATATCTCAAAGTCAAGTTGGCCATGCAAAGTCCATAGTGAACTTGCCAAAACTTGGCGTCTTGAACGGCTGAAACAGATTTATCGGTTTCGATTTCGGAGATAACGTCCTTGATAGTCACACCTCCAGTAGGCGCCGAGTAAGACATCAAAAGGATGGATGAGAGTGATGTGCCTAGGCGAACACCCAAACCAATCATGGCGACTGCAATGAAGAAGGACATGGCAGCGTCGAACCAGTGATATGCTTGAATGCTGAGCAGCGGCAGCAGAAGCAGGAGTGTAGAGCAGAATAGAGTGATAAGATGGCTGGGGTTGCTCAAGACAGTGCCCCAGCATGCAATGAACTCAATGCGCATAGCTTTGCCAATGCGGGCGTGGTTCTTGAGTACAAGAGCAGAGATCAAAGTGACGACAATAGCAAGAAGGGCCGCGACATCAACAGATCCAGCCGAAATCCGACGATGAGCATGCGGCGAGTGGGCAACATGAGATCCCAAATTTTCGAGCGAGTGCTGAATGCCGTGAGACAAGACATCGAGGCCCATGAAGCCGATGAAAACGGCAAGTCCAAAGCCAACAAGCACATCAAGTCGTTCAAGGCCGAATGGATGCTTGACACTGGAACGCTTCCAGACTTCAAAGTTTCCCATAGTCTCGACCAAGACACAAGTAATGGCACCAGCGGCATCGAAGAAGAGTAGGCGCGAAAGAGCTGTCATAGCGAGAGAGCCAGAGGCACTCCATTGAACGTATGCGGCAATCAGGAAGTGGCAGAAGCACCAAGCTAGACGGGCCTTTTGGTTCGATGTCATGCTGTGTTGGACTTCATTGCGAGTAGGGACGGGGAGAGAAGCGGGTAGTTGAAGAGGAGCGCGAGGGGCTGGTTCGATAAAGATCTGGTGTGAGACACTGGAGTGCTTGTACTTGTGACCACGACGCTTTCCAACGTTGATTTCCTGAGTATCGTCAGTAAGGTGTACTATGATCTGTTCGAGAACATACTCACAGGCTTGGCGGGTGATAGAGTGGCAGAATATTGTTGTGTTGTGAAGTTGAAAGGACTCGGGGCGGTAATGGTGGGTTCATCCTCCTTCTCTGACGAGTCGTCTACCTCGCTGACAACAGTGTGTGGAGTGAAAGAGGCGTCTGCGGGAGTGGATAGTGAGAATGTGGGTGAAATAAGATCGGTACGGCCAGTGTTCATTGAGGTGCTCGCAGTATCCGGAGGTGAATCTGATAGACGATCGAATGAACCCGAGAGGCGCGATCTGACAGGAGATTGGTTGTATGCATGCTTGATGCGCAGACCCGACTCTGCTAATTGGGGATCCATCTCATCGTCGGACGTGGTTGGAGTCCTTGGTGGATCCTGGACAGGGAATTGGTAGGCAGCCATGGCCAGTGTCGGCGGACAAAGAGGACGGTTGAATTGTTGACTTCTTTGTCCAGCTGGGAGCGGATGTCGTGGAAAGGCGTCAAAGGAGTGACACGAATTGAAAGCGAGATGTAGAGACAGTATGCAGTAGGCCTCGAGGTTAGGGGAACGGGACGGTGACTACCTCTCTGCCTTGTGCAGATCCATGGAAAAATACGCGCTTCAGGGGGTGTGTCTTTGTCTCTCTGCGCGACACTTTTGACGTCGTAGGCGGTGGACCGTTGGCGGTTGGAAAGCGCGTATCCCCGCCCTCGGCCCGCCCAAGATCGCTCTTGCCCTGCTTCAATGGTCGTGACTCGTGCTGCTCCTCGATTTGATCTTGTCCTGTGAGCCGCGACTACCATCGCGAGAGAGCTCTCAACACTACATGATTTCGAGGTGGAACAAAGCTGCTGCAGAGATGCATCAATCCATCAGGTCTATTTTGAGTGCCCCATGACAACGCATGGCAGAAACACGAACGGCATGAACGGTGCAACTGAGACAGGCGCCGTTGAAGACGAGCACTTGGCAAGCATCGTGCTTCCGCCAACTCCCAAGCACAAGCACCGGAGCCTCTCTGCTGGTCTTCTCCAGCGATTCAACTTCTTGTCACGTCCGACATCTGTCGAGCTGTCGACCTCAGCTCCTGCTGCAGTTGGTCTCCCAATGCAAGCAGAAGATGAATCGACGCATCCTTCTCGTCCCCTCAAGTCGCGTAAGCGCAAAGGTTCACTGAGGAAAACGGCCTTGCTGGGTCCCGGTCGCGTCAAGCAAGACCCTCCTGCCACCGAAATAATCACCACGCCCGACAAAGACGCCCAGTCTGACCATGCCGTCCAATCCATTGACGATGCTTTGCACCATGCTTTGCTCCAACCTCGTCGTTTGTCTTTAGTTGATGAACACTCGCCCAACTCGTCGCCGCCTTCGGTGCCCCCGCCGCCTGTGCATCCAGACCTGGGCTCGCCTATAATCAGTCCCACCAGTCAGAGCTATGCCTCGACTACTGACGATGACGACCTTAGTATGGCCGCTACTGTGACACGCCCGGCTTCATACTTTGATCCCCGTCCTGTCCTCAATGTAGTGCGCCGACGCTCGTCGCAGAAACATGCACCATCCCCACTCTCCGCCCTGCCAATCCTGGCCCATAACGCAGATGATACCTACGACTATGCCGAAACGGAGCGATGGGGTTGGGTTGTGCTGGTCGTCACTTGGGTCGTCTTTGCTGTTGGCATGGGAAGCTGTCTTGGTGTATGGAGTTGGGCCTGGAATGTTGGAGAGACACCTTATGCACCGCCAGAGCTCGAGGACGATCCTACACTGCCTATAGTTGGTTACTACCCTGCCTTGATCATCTTGACTGCTGTCATGGCTTGGGTGTGGGTTGTCATTGCCTGGGTTGGCATGAAATACTTCAAGCATGCAAAGATACAAGGCGACGATTGACGAAGCACATACTATGATACCCTAGTCCTTTTCTAGAGGCTTGTTCTAATGCTATATTTCTATGAACCACCATATCTGGATTGATCCTCTCTTGTATGCTCATGGCCTTGACCTGACCATCTGCCATGACTCCCAGGCTCTATAGCTTCGCTCTAGGCGTAACAAACAAACCCTCACCCCTCGCACACTCGATCAACTGCCCATCCAACTCCCCCTCCGCTCCATCCTTCTGAAACAAGCTCGCCAAAACCTTGACGCCCCTCCCCCTCCTCTCCACCACCTTAACCTTTGCCAATATCACACTCGGCGTCTTCATCGGCGCCAAAAACTCCACATTCAGATACTTAGTAAACGAACCGATTGACTCAGCAGATCCCTCCGCAGCACTCTCTGCATGTTTTCTTTCTTCAATCTGTTGTAATAGGCTGCCCATGCTTTCATCTAGCAGGGTTGCTACTATGCCTCCGTGGAGAATGTGCGGGTGGCCATTACATCCGTTCTCGACTTTTAGCAATATGGAGATTGCATCGAGGGAGGAGGGGGTACGTGGTAGCGGGTAGTAAACCAGGCAATGGGGGATTGTGTTGGGTGTTGCGAGGGTGGTTGCGGTCAGACTGTCTTCGGTGCTGACTTTTGGGGTTCGCGATGGTAGGAGGCTGATGTGGAGGTTTGGGGCTGCTAGCAGGCGAGATGTCCAAGGTATACTGGTGAAATACGTATGAGAGGTATTCGAATTGGATGTCATGGTTTATGTCTTTGATTTCCGGGCTCGGTTCGAATGGTTGGTGTTGCCGAGTATGCAGCTGGTAGACTCGTTTGTTTCGGGTTTGAACAGTGGTTTGTGATCGAAAAGACGCCTTCTCACGGCGAACGAGGACAATGATATGTAGTGGCTCAAATGTAAACGAACATCTTTGCGATAAGAGCCTCGTCCGTACTTCGTCGGTATTTCGTAAGGTTTCCTGTTGCGGAAGATGCATTGCCGAGGCTCGGACAACATCAGGGTCCTCGCACCCCGCTGTCGATCTTCAAGGGGTAAAAGTGCTTGACTCAATTCAACCAGAAGTCGTCAAGGTTGACATCGACAATCTTCTGTGGAAGTGAAGAACTTCGACCAAAGTCTGATAGGGGTGGTAGCTCTGGAGAACTCATAGTAGATGGTGAATCGGATCGCATCCTTCGTATTGGACGGCGTCGTAGTGGAGTCAAAGCACGCGGTGTGGTCTTGAGCAATTCGCGAAACAAAGGTTGAGCCTGAGCAGCTTTCGTCTCGTTCTCAAACAAACTCAAAGGGCAGCGATAATCAAACTCCTCGAACAGTGGATCATTCCTTCTGAGTGAGAACTTGAGAAACTCGAGAGCAGTGACTTTGAGTACCAGCATTTTGCCATTCCGGTTGATTCTGCGATTGTTGCGCAAGTGGTTCCACAGATTTCGGTCGCTTCGTATTCTCCAGTGCTCATATTGGCGTGTTGTTCCCGATGCAGGCTTTGGTATCTTGGTGAAATGTTTCTTCCATGCCTTAGCATCGACCACTGGTGCCAGGATGATATTTGACGGCCTCTCGTCGAAGTATCTTCTTTGCGGTCGTTCGAACGATCCTAGTAGAACGTCATAGCCTAGTCTCTGGTGCCAGTCGGTATGTTTTCTCTCGGCCAGAAAATCGCGACGAAACTTCATGATTCGTTCCCATGCCTTACGTGTCGTCATATGGATCACCTTTTCGTCCTCCATCCACACCACTTTGTCTGTATCCACTGCAAGTTGCCTCCACCAGTAACGTGGAAGTCCTCCGTGGGTGATCGAGGGGGCGTAATCCCGATCTCTGAGAAGACTTTCATGATCGCCAAAGCTACCACCTGGGTACAAAGCAAGACCTGGGCTCAGATCTCTGTATCTGCGCTCGAGATCGCTGGTGGGTACGAGACTGGTTGCCATTGTTGTTAGGCGAAGGATAGCCTGGTTTCAGCCGAATGTGTTCTTGTGCGTGTGGAGAGATTTGTGCACGCGCAAGGATTGCGATGGGATTCTTCTGGTGAGAGTGTTGAGAGGTGTGAAAAGAGAAATATATCAGCTGAGAGCAAGGCGACTACAGGTAAAGGTTCGAAACCGAGCATACGCTGGAGCTTCAATGAGTCAGCGAAGAATGGGCGCGATCCGAGTGGCTTTGCGAGCGACGGTGTCCCCCTATCTTCACCTCGATTTTCTGCATCTATCGTCTAGGAAAAGACGCTGACTCAGTCTAGGCAACAGCTGCTACCGTATTGTTGAGTGCGTACAAACTTTTGTCAACGACCTTTACCTTTAAATCCCGCTGTAGATGAATGCGCTTAGGTGACCTTACCCCTCCGATTCAATATAGAAGCTTGACCGTGGGGCGTGCTACACCCTCTGGGCGAAGCGCGCTGCCAACAAATCTGTTGAATGTCCAAAGATGTTGCTCCGACTCCTTAACCGACACAAAAGCCTGATTTCTGCTTGCTTGTGCAGCAGTCCAGAGTGCCTGCATGGAAAACTCATCGGCGTGAAATCGTCGGGCATCGAAGAAGTTGTTTACCAACTGCTGTAGTCGCACACGCAAGTAGCCTCTGTACTCCTTTGATGGAACTTCGGGGGCAGTTGTACCTGTAGGATGTGTATAATCCGGATCCACTGCATACACCCACATGTCGTCGACGTTTGCCGTCTGAGAGGAGAGGGACTCCACACACTGTTGGTCGATGACAAGAAACACATTCCTGAGAATGCCATCTCGAAGTTCACTACGATCTGTCTGTGGGTAGAGAGCTGTACTCTGTCTTTTGAGAGTGCGATCACGAACCTTTCGAAAGTGCTGGCGCAACACCTGAAATCTTGCTTCAAGCTCTGATGCAGTTTTCTCATTTTCTTTGTCGTTGGCATCTGAGGCGGCCTGGCTTGGTTCCAGTTCCTTGTCATCTTCGGGCTGATCCAGATACTGTAGTCTCCATCTGGCACCAATTGTGTCTCCACAGCCGATCGCCCCTCGTGCATTCATGAGAGCAGCATCTTTTCTCACTTCATATTCCTCGTTGGCCGCCTTGAGGTCACGAAACACGGCGTAGCCCCAATTCTTCTCAGCTTGATCCTCATCCCACAATCGCTTCATCCAGGGCTGTGCAGTAGGAAGTCGACTCTCGACTTCTTGCTTCTTCCGCTGCTTAGAAGCATCCATCATACGGCGCCAGTCTTCCATCTCAGCATTCCACAAGGCATCCTCTTCGTTGGCGTCGAAGAGCATGGCGCGGACCTTCTTCAGTTGATCTGTTGCTTGTTGCAGCTGCTCCTGTGTGAGGGAGTAGAGATCTCGTTTAGCGGCAGAACTGAAGGACGGCGTCATTTGTTCCCTGGTCAGGCCGAGCCAGTACCGTCGTTTGAGGAGATCAATCTCGCCGGCACTAAGAGTTGATGGGGATGAGGCCGCTCGCTCGAGTAATTCGGCTTTGGACAAGCTCGTCGTTGCAGCCACATTTGCTTCTTGAATCACTGAATCGGGAAAGTCGAGAAGCCCTAAACGGTCGTGGTCCGAGATGTCAGTTGCATTTGAGCTGCCATCTAACAGAGCGGTGGCATTTTCAACAATGTCGTCGGCGTTGTGGGTGTGCTGAACCACGCATGTAAATGTTCTGATGATGTATTCCATAAGGGTAAATTGTTACAGCACAATCTCTGATGAGCAATTCGCGGACGAAGTTCTTGTCACGCGTTCGTTATTGTGGTGAACGAGCGTACTAGAGAGTTTCTTGATTCGGATGCTGGAAGATATCTTCCTAATTCGACTGATGCTCTATCAAATCGACAGTATGGATTTCATGGCAGATGCAAGTTGTAAGGAGTGATGTTGGCTTTCGAGCCAGGGTGGGAAGGACAGCGACATAAGACCCCTTGCCAAGACATATCTCAAGCAAGGTTTTGGCTGAGGAGCTCTGGCCTTCTTCACAACCGTGTGGAAGTTTTTCTCAACTCCCCACACTGTTGTCCTGGCAGTTGAGGTGGGTTAGCGTCTCAATGGTCTAGAAAGATGAGAAAGATGGCTGGATCTGTTGATCTTATATACTCATCGAATTGTCTCGCGAGATCATCTCGCTCGCTCGCACCTTGAAAGATCTGACTTCAAAGTTGACGCGCCGCCGATGTCATAACAGAATCCTGTGGCCTTGCAAGAGACAATCAATCAGCTTCGCAACTCCATCAGAAATCTGGAAAATTAGGAGGACGCGACCTCCATTATCAACATCAAGGAATCCCAGCAAACGAGAATGGATCACCACAGCAGCGCAAAGGCTTTGAGTGACGCTTACACACTTGCTGACCTCTTTGCCGACTGCGTTGAATCCATCAACTTAATCTATGGAAACCATGAAGAGTCGCATAGTGAAGAGATCCTCACATCACAGCTCGGTATCGAACAAGCGCGCCTGTTGATCTGGGGCGATGCGGTCGGGATCTCCTCTCCGCCAGCTTCTACTGGAATCACCTCTGCCATTCCCAAGCACCCTGGCGCGTTGAATCCAGAACCTGATAAGGCCTTGTACTTTGGAACTCGAGATGCCCGCCTGGACGACCCTCGCTTCAGGCAGCGTGTCGAAGACTCACTGCACGCGATTGCAAGCCCAATGACGCATCTGACCAAAGCTAAGATGTTCCAAACGTACGGATTGGATCTCTTCAAAGGCTCGCCAAAAGTACGTGAGAACCACATGCTGGCTCCCAATCCTTTCAGGTTGCAAGCGTTCCGTGAAAAGTTCGAACTCTTGGACGAGGTTATGACCTCTTACCCGCACGCAAAGGCCCACAAACACTTTGGCGTGAACAAGAAGATGGCCTGGCAGATCATGGATGTGGCTAAGGCCAGCGAGCTGTGCACTTTGATTCGCGAAAAAGTGGATTATCTGGTCCAACTCATGGACGCCCAAACCAGGGTCGACAAAGCAATGCGATACGATGTGCGTGCCATGGGCTGGCATCCCAGTGAAGATATGAATGCAACAATCCGCGACACGCTGAAGCTATCGCTCTTGGTTGAAGCTTCGGAAGTATTGTACCCTGAATACAGCACTGCGGCACAGGAAGCTCTGGACAATGTCACCGATCAATGGAAAGGCAGTCATGGTTACGACGCTATGATATCCGAGCACCACAATCCTACCATTCACAAGACTGCCTCCCACACAATGCTCGCACAGCCTATTCGACCTTCCCAAGAAACGCCCAGACCAACCATTTCGCCACCAAAAACGCCAAAGAAGGGAAAGCTGTTGGGTGCTCTCCGACCAAAACTCACTCGCTTGTTCTCAGGCAAGAGTCACGAGAAGCTCACAGTTGCTGCCGCTGATCCCTCACGCTCAAAGTCTGAAAGCGGACCCAGCGGTGGTGCAGATGGAGACCCACTTGAGCCTATGCGCAGCAGGTCTCTGGCCAACGACGACTTGACTCATGTGCTCACACGTAATGCTACGCTCGATTCGATGATTAGTCGTCACGATCAATATCCCGGCCTTGATAGGGTTTCCACGCTGGAGTTGAGGAAGAAGTGAGATCAATTGACCACAGCAATTGTGTTGTTTTGCTATTTGTTTCTGCTGAACCCGTTGTCGCGACGCATGGAAGGATTGGAGGACCTGCAGGAGATTCGTTTGTTTTGTACTCAATACCCATCTTTTCATTCTTATGTCAGTAATGTCTCAGCTTGCATCAAGTTCTCTACTGTCCCCAGACCGCCAATTGCTACCGCAACTTGTACGCGAAATAACCGTTTCTATCCATATTGGGAAGATCTTGCGTGTCGTTGATCTTTGAAATCGACGAGAAAAAGTTCTGATTCATCTGCAACGAGAAAACCGAAGTGAAAGTCTGGATAATTTGTGGTTATGGCATTTCAGACCTTGAGAAACATCAAACCCCTTTTCCATCTTTTCTGCGCTCAATACTGAGCTGAATGCTTTGATCTACGTCCCCAAGTTCGGAAGTCTTTGAGAGTACAGCTACAAAAATATACGATATTATTGGCAAGATGTGTGATTTTCATGGAGAGTGACAATCCACTACTATCAGCATTGTTTGCTGCCCTATTGCAGTATCTTTGTTCCTACTGTACATCTTCCTGGCCCCTTTTACTGCCTTTGCCCTTGACTTGTCTCCTAATCACATTCTTTATTCGTCCTCTTTGTTCCCTTCTCTGCTTGTTGGTACAATCAAGGCCCCTGCACTTGTCTCCTGCTTCCATGTTTGCCTGCTCCAGAAGGAAGCGCAGCAGAAACTCAGATAGCCATCTCATCATCATCGTTGCTCTCAGCCGAACCCATGTCCACAACCTCAATGACTTCCTTCTTGACCTTGACAGCCACATCCTCAGTCAAATCAACAATGCCTCCGTTGCCACTGTTCTCAACCTTGATGTTGGTCTTGCCAGGGTAACCAACACTAAAGTCAATAGCATCGCCATTGTCATCGTCGTCTCCTCCCATACCAGGAAAGAAGCCCGAAGCATCGGCATCTTCGATCTTAGGTCCTTTAGCGCCAAGCTTTCTCTTCTTGAGGTCGGTGGTCTTGGTAGGGGTGTCGAAGTCTTCTTCGTCGTCGGAGCCGTTGTCGTGCATGATGGTGGTGATGGTGTGGGTTGCGGAGAGAGTCTTGCCATTGCTTCCTTTGCCCTTGGTGCTGGCGGGTGTCTTGGTAGAGGTAGACTTGCTGCCGGGAGCGTTGCGTTTGCGAGAGACAGTTCCTGGGGTCGAGGGACCAGTAGCCAAGGCTTGACTTTTGATTTTCGAGAGACGGTGGGTGATGGCCTTGGGAGTGACATCTATGGTGAGAAGAGTCAGGAGATTAGTAATGGCTATACAAACAGGACTTGTCAAGACTTACCATCGCCCATCAGTTTTGCGATTCTCTCGTTCTGGGCGCCGGAGATTTTGATGTCGTAGACTGCCATGACGGCGGTGAACAGCTATGCATCACGTGTCAGCTATCCTGAGCGCCGAGGGAGTGAGAGAAGACCAGAAGGAAACTCATTGATGTACCTTAGCATCGGCTGCGGCGTCCCAAGTCATAGGCATGTTGGCGGGGAGTGGCTGATCAGAAGTTCGGTTGTGTAGAAATGTGGGTGGTTGGAGTCCTCGTTAGGTTCCTGTGTAGTAGATATTGAGGGCAAGGGAAGTGAAGTGAGTTGGTGAGACACGGTACCTGGGCAGGACTTGTGAGGAAGGTTGAGGAAGGTGATGCGTCTCGAATTGTCTTATACGGTGTTGTGAAAGTGAGAGTTCACCACCAGGACACGTCGACTCGAAAGAGAAGATGATGAGTCCAGATGTTCGAGAGGGAAGAAACTTGATCAAAGAAAATTGGAACTCCTGATGATGATTGGAGCAGGCAACGGTGTAGGAGTGGAGGTTCAGTTGTGAGTTGAGCAGTATGCACTCGAGGGAGGAAAGGACGACATCAGTGGTTGGAAAGAAAGTGGAGGCTGTGTTGTGACTGAAAGCGAGGACCGTCGAGGCCTGTTGTCGCCAGGGGGATACCTAATGGAACTCGACGAAGAATGGTCTTGGTACATGATGGTGCGAGTTGATGTCGAAGACATATGACAGACTCGAAGGTCCAAGATAATCTGTATTCTTGTGTCGGAGTCCAACACGACATTACTTCTAAGAATCCTCAGATGATCTTCGAGTCTCCAAGAAACAAATATGAACGATGTGAAAAACTGAATTCAATGGTATCTTTTACTCAACAAACAAACGAACTGCAAGCTGATGCAAACAGTAATTTTTCCTTCCCGTGAGTTCTAACTCAAGACTGGAAAAGGACAGAAATGAGAAATCTACATCACCTTTCATCTTCTATGCGGGCCGGGTGGTGGGAAGCCACCATATCCCCCTCCTGAAGATCTACCCGCCATGCCACTAGAGCCTCGATAATCATATCTCATTCTTTCCTCGTCTTCTTGCATGCGTCTCATATGCATTTCTTGTTCGTATTGCTCTCTGTTCCTGGCGTCACGATAGCTTTGATCAGCCTCGATACGTGCTTGTTCGCGCATGGACAACATCTGAGGAGGCGGTCCTGAAAGAGGTTGTTGCTGGTACGACTGAGGTGTTCTGTGTTGGCCATAGCGTTGCTGTTCTTGCTGTTGGTGCTGCTGGAACTGAGCCTCACGCTCCTTGTATTGTCGGTCCACTTCCATACGATGCTCGCGTTCACGACTTATGTGGTACTCTCTTTCTTGTTGCTGTTGCTGCTGTTGTTGTCTCAGCATGCTCATCTCTTCCCCACGACTAGGTTGTCTTTGGTGCAGTCCACTATGAGACGAGCCTCCAGAACTATTGTGGCGGTGACTGAACTGGTTTTGCTGATGAGTCTGCATTTGCTGCATATGCGAAGGACCGCTATGTGGCTGAGCATATGGATTGGATTGCATCATCTGTGACTGCGCCTGAGCTGTTTGTGCCTGAGCCATGTGCGACAAGCCAGATGGGCCCTGAGGTTGCAGCTGACTGGGCGTCATTGGTCGACCACCAATTGATGGGGTTCGAGAATGATCCATGTAAGGATGTGTGTTAGGTGGCGGCGACGGGTTTGCCCTTGACTGCGGGTTCAGGCTACCCAGATTGGCACGATGCGAGAAGTATGGTCTAACGTCACGCTCGAGGGGAGCTGGAGGGTGAGGCGAGCTGGACGCCAGGCTTTGACCGATAGGTGGACGTGATTGCCATTCAGCTTGTCTTGAGCCGACCGGTGTTCCCGATCTACCAGTCATGAGTTCGTGCTGAGTTGTTGGAGTTGGCGCATGGGATGCTGGCTGAGGGTAGGATGAGCGACCGTCATACTCCTGTCTAGATACAGGTGTCTGATTGAACACCTCTCTTCGAGGAGGGAAAATGCTTGAACTTGGTCCAGAAGGCGCGACGCTCAGTGTCGAAGGTGTTGGCGATTGAGTAAATGGCGTAGGCTGGTCGCTGATTCTTTTCTTCTGGCGAGGCTCTTCTGGCTCGGAGTTAAGTAACGATGCCAAGTTAGACGTCTTACGAGGTTCGGCCGGCGGTCCTGTGGTCAAAGACATGGCAGGCTTGACGATCGAAGGAGCTGGTGATGGTGCCGGAACAGAGCCAGGTCGATACATGGGTTGCTCTTCTCTCTTTGGCGGTGATGGCACGTGCGATCTGAAAGGAGGATGCATAGTCACAGCCGGAGATGGCATGGGTCCAGGAGAACCCAAGATATTTCGGAACATCGCTGGTCCAGCACGGGGATGTGCGAGCGATGGCAATCCAGGTGTGCCAGAGCGCTCATCTCGCTCCAGAGGTCGGTCCAACATTGACAATTGAGGCGATCCAGCAGGCGCGGAGGTCTGGCCACCGAGAGGCTGGAACAATGGATGTTGACCCACTTGTGGTACATGCTCTTGAGAAGCTCGCTTCTGAATCGACAAGGCACGTTCTTGCTCCTCCTTGAGGTTCTTGACAAACTCCGAGGTCAGGTGTGACAAGTTTTGATGCATCAGACCGGGTGGTGTTGGCTGCTGTTGGTGCATCAAAGAAGGCGACGGTAGTTGAGCTGGACGCTCAGCAGAAGGCAAAGTTGGTCGTCGCTCCATCCTAGATTCGGAGAAAAAGCCCATTTTTGGACCAGCAGATGATATGCTCGTACGCGGCTGAGTAGGAATACCAGATTTGCCCAGAGCAGGAGACTCATGCTGCTGGAGTTGAGTCGGAGCAGCTCTTGGTGGTGGTGCAGATGTTGGCTGGGTAGCCATTGAAAACCTGTACTGATGCTGGAATTGTGACGAAGGTTGAGAGAGAGTTGAGGGCTGTGTCGGCGGAAGAGGGTCGATATCCATAACCTCACCCTGGGAGCCAGAAGCTGTTCTGGGCAGGGACGGTCCTGGATTGTCATAGCGTCTCTTGTTGATCGGCGTTGGTGTTGGTGGAACGCCCATATCCTCACCTCGGTCGCGACGAGCATTTGCAACATTGGCAGCGTCGACAACGTCAGGACGATTGCCACTTTCGATAAGTCTTTGATAGTAGTTCTTGACCTGTGGACATGTTAGCAGCTAGGAATTGCCTCTTGAAAAAGATTGTTTACATACCATTGTCTGAGTTTTTGTGCCCATATGATTGGCAATGGCGCCGAAGTCGGTACCGAAGTGTGCAATAAACTTGACAAAGTCCGTTTGCTCCGGGACAGACCAGTAGCTAGATGCGCTAGATCTTTGCATTGATGGCTGCGCAGGTGCACGAGTTCTTTCTGCAGAATCGTTCGAGACTTGAGCTTGAAGTGGTTCATGTGTATACTCGACATGCTGAGTTCCACCTATGGCCCTGGTACCAGTGAAGATTCCAGTAAGAAGCGCGGCGTCCTCCAACTGCTTTGCGCGAGCGAAGTCTTCCTGGCCGAGAGTGACCTCCTTCTCGACAGCAGGTGATGTGGCAGAATTGCCAGTCGAAGCCAGGGTTTGTCTCCCACGCTTCTGAGGCTTGTCCCCAGCAGCTGTCGTCTTGCGACGCTTAGCTGGTTTCTCGGAGCCGGTCTCACCGGTTGCAGCCATCTTCTTGTTGGTGGTTGTTGAAGCGGCAGGGGTTTTGACTTCAGGAGGATCCTTCTCCGTGGTGTATGCTGTACGTGTTGCTGCGCGTCTTGGTCTTCCAGTCTCGGTAAGCATGGGTCCAGAAGAGCTGTCGTCCTCGCCCAGGCTCTTAGGCATATCGGACATTAGTTGAGCGCCTCTTGCTGCACGACCAGCCTTGCCACCACGACGTGCGCCGCCTTTACCTCTGCGTTTAGTCTTTTCCTTGAAGCGGCCATCCCACTTGTATTTGTAATAGTGATGAATACAATCGGCATACGATCGTCCAGGTAGCTGAGCAGCAATCTCGCCCCATTGTTTCGGCCTTTCCTTGAACAGCTCCACAAAGCGTTTATGCTCAGTCTCAGTGAAGGTGTCGAACTCTGGCTCATATCCGTAAATTTCTGTGAGACAGATGGGTTCCCGGTACCGATTCATGTTCTTGAAGATGTTCTTTTCTTTCGAAGCTTGATCCCACATCTCTGGCGGGATGGCTTCTTTCTCGAGATCGATCTGGGCTCGTCTGGACTCGCGTTCAACCTTCTCCTGTTCGAGTCTGGCCGTCTCCTCCGATTGCTTCAGCGCTTGTATCAGATCATATTCGCTGCTAAACTTGTGCAATCTCGAGCGAGTTTCAGAGACTGGATTCTCGAGTACGGGGCTTGACTCAATATCAAGCCCAAGCTCGACGGACATCTGTCTTTCTTGAGATTCTTTGTTTGTTCTTTCACGATCGAGTAGCTGAGTCTCGAGACGCCAAGCGCGATACTTCTCGAGGTACTGTTCGTGCAGATCTTTCTGCAAGACCTTTTCCTCTTCTACTTGCGCTTGGTAGTGCATGATCAACGCTGGTTTTGCGGCATTCAGGCGCGCTATATTCTCATGGAAAGCGCCGAGATCTGAAAGCGGAGTGAGAGGCGCCTTTGCAAGGTAAGGAAGAGTGATCGTCTCAATGCTTGGTTTGGGTTCAGGGGTGATAAAGTCCAGGTTGTCGCTACCTTCCATATCGATATCGTCGTTCTGGTCAGCCTCTGCAGACTCGAGGATTCTATCAGATCCGGATTGATTGTACTTTGTTGGGACAGGTGGAACAGCCGCTGCTTCTGCGTCATCAACTTGCTCTTTCTTTGGCTCGATAATATCTGCGTCAATGTCCTCTGGGGCCTCTGGTGACGATGGATGGAGCTGCTGAACAGCTGATGCGACTGGCTCTGAGGTTTCCATCCCTTCCATAACATCATCCTTAGCTTCCTTTGAGATTGACTCCCGGGCGACGGGCAAGTCTTTCACAGTAATATTGGCAAGCCTTGCGATTTGTTCCAAAGGAGTAGTTGCTCTGAACTGTCTAGCGTTCAGATCGATCATCTGCGCTTCCAGCTGCGCCTTTTGCCTCTCGAATTTGGCCTTACTTTGCGCGAAGTCTTCCTCATCCAGATCCATACCTTCTTCGTCACTGATAAACTCCTCAGACGAATCGGCTGTTGCTAGATCGGCATCCACAGCAAGATCAGACTGTACAGCTTCATCAGGACTGGGAACGCTGTACTCCTTTTCGAAGGAAGGTTTGTTGGCTGTATTAACATCAGACATTCTGCGTTCGGGCGATGCAGGCGCAGTCTTAAAAGTACGATCATCTTTGTTCTCCTCTGCTCTCGTGGTTGACGGGTCTGAAATCTGACGGTGCACACTTTGAGGCGATGTTCTTGGGATGAATTGTTGAGACTTCTCATCTCCATTTAAATCTCTCTTAGCAGGCACCGTAGGTTCCCTGTACTGAGGAGCACCAGGTCTTATCCATTGATTCCATGCAGGGGCTCTCGGCGCCCCAGGAGGAACACGGGATGGAGCGAGCCCATTTCTGTCCATGGGCCTGTGAAGAGGTTGTCCGCGGTCTACAGAACCCCTAGGAGCCATGGGAGGTCCGCGAATAGCCTTGGGTGCAGTAGGGATGTTGGGATTCTGCATGACAGGTGATGTGCTGAAGGTGTGTGCATTGCGTGGGCCGCTGGGCGCTGATGGGGGCGGTGTACCGAGTCTTGGTGGTGCCATATCCACTCGTGGTACTCGTCCGTCTTGCGCGTTGCCAGAGCTAGAATGTGACTGAGGAGTGGGTGCTTGACTCGACAGAGTCTCCGGAGGTTTTGCTGGAGTCATCTGCGCCATTTGAGCGATACCAGGACCCGAGGTACGAGGCGACGTTGGCGTGTTGTTCAAGTCTGGCTGGAATGACCCGGAAAGGCTACGTCCCTCGCGAGCTGCTGTTGGAGCTAGTTGTCCAGCTGCCCTATCATCTGTTCGCAAAGCCCATGGTCCAGTGGGCACTGGAGGCTGTGGCGCAGTTTGATTTCTAGCCTTTGGTGCAGCAGGCGCTCTCTCAATTGGCGACTCCCTAGGCGCGGTTGGAGGTGCGTTCTCATGTGCTCTAGGAGCTCTAGGTGCAGCAGGTGGTGGCGCAGTAAGTTGTGCTTTGGGAGCGGTTGGGATAGTCTTGACTGCAGGAGGTGATGGGATTGGAGGCTTGGCAGGCGTGGCTGGAGCACGATTCTCTGGTGATGCTTTCCAGACATTTGAAGTAGGGCCGTTGTATGGCTGAGACTTGAACGATAGTGACCCAAAAGCAGGCACTTGTGGGGCTGACGGCGGAGGTGAGGAAGCACGAGATCCATATCGAGCAGCCGAAGATTCGACGCGGCCAGCTAAAAGATCGTTAGGTGGCAGAGGCATAGGCGGAGGTACATTCTGAGGCGGCAAATCACGTCGAGGGGGCTCCTTGATTCCGGACAAAGATGTCGTTGAGGGTCTTCGCATTGCCAAATCATCTCTCGATGACTCGAAGGGTGGCGGACGCTCGGCTGGAGGTTGTGCTAATGGCACTTGTTGATGAGGAGTTGGCGGACGTGAGTCGAATCTGCTGGTTGCTGGATCTCTTCTGAAACGATCAGGCTCACGCTCGCGATCATCACGATCAAGCCAACGGTCATCCTCGCGTCTCTCGGGACGCCAATCATCTCGGTCGTTGCGAGATACGCTTCCCCACCTAGTAGGCGGCGATCTGTCACGAGGTCTGAATGTGTTTCGGTCATCTGCAGGGCCGCGACGGTCTCGGAAGCCAAAGTCTCCTCGACCCCTTCCTCGACCTCTGCCGTTAAAGCCACCTCTACCGAACGAAGGCTGTCCAAATGGCGGTGCGTCCGAGTAACCAGGTCCAGTATTGATGGGTCCGTCTCTGGAGTCACGACGGCCTCTACCAATGTCAAGATCCCGAGGCGGGATGGGTCCATCTCTGAAACCTCTTACAGGTGAACGAGCCCTTGGGGATGTAGGTCTTGGCCTACGATCAAACTCACGTTCTCTGAATGAGCGGTCAGTTCCAAGAGGTGGTGCATCTCGCAGCTCTCTAAACTCTGGTCTTGGTGGTGCGCCTCTACCGCGAGGTCCAAGTGGCGCTGATGAGCCAGTTCCTGGACCTGGTGGTGGACCTCGAGGGCTGTCATTGAAAGTTTTGGGACCTCGCGGAGGATCCAGTCCTCGGCCGAAGTCACCGTGTCTGTTGTTGTTAAATCCAGGGTTTTGTGGTCCGCTCGGTCTCCATTCCTGATACCTCGGCGGCGATCGCGACCGGGTGCGAGGTGGATACCGGGACTCATGTACCGGAGGAAAGCGTGACGACATACTACTAATGTACTGCACAAAACATTATCGTTAAAGAGAATAGATCGTGGGGCACGTGCTGCGTCAACGCTTATTGCGCCGTTGAATGCTGGAAATGAATTTGCGACGAGCCAGAAATCGTCAGAAAAACAAATGCGCGCGATTGGTCGTGTCTGCGCGAGCTGTCAAAGAAGTGAGTTGATTAATGGTATGCGCGGTGAAACTTGCAATCGAGGCGTGGCAAGATTTGGCAAGGTCCGATCTGGATGCCAAGACCTAGTAGGGCTTTGCTGATCCGCGCTTCGGGGTCTTCGAAGACAAGGCACTCTCGAATCTCCCGTGTCTGCGTAACGATTTCACTCTCGACTTTCAACACCCCAGCGAAGATGACCTGGAAGCTCAAAATTCACCCTCGAGTCCTCTATGGATCAAAAAAGGCAGTAGAAGTCCCTGAGTGTCGCTGCTGGGGAGAAATTTATGAGAACAGTCCAGGAAAATGCCGGATCTTGAACGATCAGGGCGAAAGAGGCTGGCGGGGTGGTCACTTGGGTATCAAAAAGAAGCGAAAATGATGCCGAGTCCGAATTTCGATGTCCCTATGAGTCCCGAGGTCGTCTGAGCGAGATGGAGATGTTTGTCTGGATGGTGTTGAAAGACAGGAGAAGGAAACAGAACGTGTAGAGTAGGCGTGCGGAGCGACGAAAGCCAAACTCTATGTCATGCTGATTGGCCGGTGCGTCTTAGTTTCACGCATCTCGTGGACTAACCCGTGAACCGTACGCTCGGGCGGAATGTCAGGAACTAGAGTGAAAATCTAGTCATTGGTGGATTGGCATCTTCTCCAACAAAGAGACCAGATTGCACAAACAAGCCGATGCGCGGCAAGCACTTTGTCTTCAAAGCTGCGGTGTATATATGACAGGACGAATTGCTTGAACGAAGACTGATGGATCGCGTATGTCATCTTGAGGTCCCTCAACGGTGATGAAGCTCAAAAGTCTCGGCTGCAACATCTGCAAGTCCAGCCTCCATGCAAGCCAGGAGCAGGGATTTGCGGATCGAGATGTGGATCCTCAACTTGATAGCTGTCTATTCCACCCACGTTAACAAGCAAACCTCCTCTGGACAATTGGATAATAATTTCATGTCGCTATAGTTCCCAAAATGAGCGTGCATAATAGGATCGCATATTGTATTAGATCGTTATTGCCGTCAACCGCCATCCAAACTTAGCTTGTCTTGTGCAGTATGCGTGCCGAGCCGCTTGCATTTAGAGTGACCTGTCGGGCGTTAGTCAGCCTCGAAAAATCCAGGGTTCTCGAAAATCTCCTAGACCAGAAATCACGCCAGGACAAGAAGAATAGTCGCCGCCGACTCGCACAACAACTTTGATCTCGCATACGACATTCGCGCGCATTCAATCCTTACAAGTCATCCTTGCAACCATGGCCGCGCCAACTGGAGCTCAAGATGCCGTTCTCAAGCCCTCTGATCCGGTACCTGAAGGAGCCATTCCTGTGACTGGACTCGATTTCGACAAATTTGCTGGCCGCAACATCACCGTTGCTGAGATGGTAGAAAGCATGGGTAACATGGGCTTCCAAGCGACATCAGTCGGACAAGCAACGCAGATCATCAACGGAATGGTAAATTGATCTCGACACCTCGAAGCCGACAAGCCGACTAACTCGAGGGCGATAGCGTGAATGGCGTGACGAAGAGACGGGACAAGGCACAACGATTTTTCTGGGATACACATCAAACCTCATCTCCTCAGGTCTGCGTGAGACACTGCGATGGTTGGTACAGCACAAGCACGTTTCGGCAATTGTCACAACTGCTGGAGGTGTTGAAGAGGACTTCATCAAGTGTCTGGCCCCTACGTATCTGGGTGCTTTCTCCACGGCCGGAGCCTCTCTAAGAGCCAAGGGCATGAACAGAATTGGCAATCTGGTTGTGCCGAACAGCAACTACTGCGCGTTCGAAGATTGGGTAGTTCCGATCTTTGACAAGATGCTGGAGGAACAAGAGACGTCAAAGGATACAGAGGAGCCCATCAACTGGACTCCCAGCAAGATGATCCACAGACTCGGCAAGGAAATCAATGATGAACGCTCCGTATATTACTGGGCATGGAAGAACGACATTCCTGTCTTCTGTCCCGCTCTGACAGACGGAAGTCTAGGAGACATGTTGTACTTCCACACATTCAAGGCTTCACCACTGCAGCTGCGTGTTGACATTGTGGAAGACATCCGCAAGATCAACACAATCGCAGTCAGAGCCAAGCGTGCAGGCATGATCATTTTGGGAGGAGGCATAGTCAAGCACCACATCGCTAATGCATGCCTCATGCGCAACGGAGCCGAGAGTGCTGTCATCATCAACACCGCCAACGAGTTTGACGGAAGCGATGCAGGTGCACGACCGGACGAAGCTGTCAGCTGGGGCAAGATTAAAATCGACGGTGACAGCGTCAAGGTGAGTAGATTGCGGCGGCTGAGCGCATGAGATGATTGGAGGATGTGTGCTGATATAAGACGCCCTGCAGGTTTACGCCGAGGCGACGGTTGTGTTCCCTATGATCGTTGCATCAACATTCGCCAAGGTAGCTTGAACGTTTCCATGAATACGGCGCAACAAATTGGAAGAGGCACAGACTTGAGCCATACGAGGCAGACTGCATCCTGGCTCACATGGGACCGCTGGACAGGCTCTAACACTCGACAAGAGCATGCGCTCGAGAATGCAACACGTCTCCGAGCGGATAGATGCTGTGCAGGCAAGGTGCATACGTTTGTCTTCCTAATCAAGCACAAGGACCCAAGTTTAGCCAAAAGGGCGCCCAGGCTGATGAGGGATTAGGCGCGAGCCGAGCCGCAGTCTTAGCGTCCGCGCGGCAATAGCAGGGCATTAGCGCACGTGCCACTCATAAGCCGAGGTCAGGATTAAGCGGCACCTTGATGAGCATCTCCTCAGATCAAGATAAGAGCCGCTGCTGCTGCCTCGTCATGTGGGTCCCCTCGATCGGTTCTCGAGTTACTAGAGATAGACAGAGTGTTCAAATGACATATCAGTCTCGATGTGAGAAGCAGCAAGGTGTCTCAATGTCCTCCTTTCATAAGATGGCACAGAGCTTCAAACATTAGACGTGTTATGGCAGGCGACAGCTGTGTATGTCTCAGTAGCTAGCAATAGCTAGCAACAAAAAAGAACTTCTTTGACTGGAGCCTGGACGAAGCGAGCCTGATTGCCCTTTACCAATGTCGCAGGTGCATGTATCTGGCTGTCTGGCGTTGGAATGGCGTGTGGCTGCAGAAGCGGGGATGACCTGATTGCGCAGCATGCATTGCATGTGAAACCAGAAATTTGGTTGGACCAGGCTTCTTCTTGGCTGGCCATAAGGTAGGTGAACAGTCATCAAAGAGACTTGTCTGCTTTGCTGTCGATTGTCGTTTGGTGCCTGGCTTTCTTCTGCTTGCTGGCCCTTCACTATGGCTACCACGCTCACTCAACCACCGCGCGCATTGCAAGCGCAAACAACAACTTCGACACACGACTTGCCTTCCGTTTACAATCCCACTCACGCGCTTCACCACCCTCCATACCTTTCTGGCATGGATCAGATTTCTGTCGACGACAACAACGATTCAGAGATGGAGGGTGCTGATCACCTTCCTGTCGACGGACGAGTAAGTCCACTCCCTCCTGGCCATCACCCTGATTTCGCGCCTATCGCGATGCACGATGTTATCCACTTCATGACTACATGCACTGAGAGTGTGACCGCTAACATTTCATAGAACTCAGCCACTCCTACACCCATGACCACCGTCAACGCTATCGATGCGCCGCCGCCCGTACCTGAACCTGTCTCGCCTGCACGCCCACCACCACCGCCCCTAGCACCTGTCACACGTACAGAAGATAGTGAAGAGGAGGATGATGATGAAGACGATGATAGAAGTCACATAAGCGATGAGCGCGCAAGAAGCTTTTACCCCTTTCACCAAGACACAACCGTTCCGGATGCCGAAGAAACCAGGATCATGCGCGCATATACCGAGAACAGCGCTCTAGACGATGCGCACTGGCAATCAAGGACCTTTTTCGACCTACGAGACCCTGAGTTGGTCCCGAGAGAGCAAGGCAGCATCGAGTGGACTATCAAGGACTTCAACGGCACTAAAGAGAACCCTCGCAAGAATTTACTGCTCACCTCGCATACAGTCAGTATTGGTGGCTATGATTGGAGGATTAAACTGCTGCCACATGGCAACATGCATACCGATCGCCTCAGCTTATACGTTGAGAACGTCTCTGTTCAGTCATCGCCGGAGGAGCAGTGGTCTCAGCTACCTCTTCCTCTGCTAGGTGACGCGAAAGTTACAAGACGTAGTTCGGTCGCTGCACAAGTATCAGTCCTTCTCTATAACCCAGAAGAACCACGCGTGAACGAATTCAAAGCAGACGCCTCTCAGTTTTCACAAGATTCACCTGACCATGGTTGGACTCGCTTCACGAGTGTGCCATGGTATGAAATTCACCGTCGTTCTTATGCTCAACGACAGCCTCTACTTCGCAATGACACTCTAGCTGTCAAAGCTTTCATCCGTGTGATTGATGACCCTACTGGCTGCTTGTGGGCTCCCAAAACATCTCCAAAAATGGCACTGACTGGTCTGCACCCTTTTTGCGACGACCGAGAAGACTCTGCGGTGTGCCCTGTGTTGGCCTTGTGGTTGCATCTGCGACCGTTCCGTGAGATGATTTACCGGCTCGGAGCTGCCGATCTATTCACCAAGGATGGCGATAGTACAACCACTGAAATCCAATCGATGCTATGGCGCATGCGCTCCAGAATTGGTTGGGAGAACGAGAACAGTTACGCACCATACATTGGCGACTTTATCGACGACTTTGCTTCGAGAGGCTCCCAGCATACCATGCAGACTATGGACGCCATGCAAACTATGAGTGTCATCCTTAGCGATCTGAAATCCGAGCTCAAAGACAATGAAGCCGCCCTCAAGGATTTAACAGACCTGTTCGGAGCAGATTCATTCTCCGGTGATAGAAAGACGAAGCGGCCGATAGAGGGCAAGGCTTCGATCCAAGAAATTGTCAATGATGGCTTGCCTCAGGATCTGCTTCAGAGCGAAGTCCTTACACTTGAGCTCGAGCGTCAGGTCTTTGACTTTGAAAAACGAGTGTGGTCGAAACTGCTCAACAAGGTCCATCTAGACGATCAGATCACGGCTTCTGACGGCTCTTCATACACGCTCTATGGGTTCGTCGCCCATGAGGGCTACCTACGCAACGGCAGATACACGAGCCACTTTCGTCCTGCCGGTCTTGGAGGCCTTTGGTATACCTACATGCACAATAGAGATCCGACATGTCAGACCAGAGTACAAGCTGTGGCATCAAAGGAAGGAGTCACCCATGGCTCGGGTTCAACCAGGATCGAAGAGCCCGTCGTGTCTTCCGATTCTCCTGTCAACTATGGTCATGCTCTGCACCAAACCGATGCCGTGGCTTATGTGGTCGTCTACGTGCGCAGCCAAGCTCTTGGCCTTACAATAAACGAGCCATGGGACGTACCTGAATGGATTCCCAAGATGTATGGGCCTCCACAGATAGACGCTTCCAATGGCGCGAACACTGTGCATTCTGACGGGATGACAACTAATGAAGACGAGGATGAGGAGATGAACGACCCACCTGAACCATCTCCAGACCAAGAACCTGCCGACAGCACTCTGACGAAAGTCACGATAAACTATCTCTCGCAGCCCTTCTACCAGGGATGTGTCAATAGTAACTCAGACTACCATGGTGCCGGCCGCTTGATCTCCCTCAACGGTGATGATTACACCGGCAACTTCAGCGATTCTCAGCGCTCTGGGTATGGCAAGATGCTCTATGCCAACCGCGACACGTATGACGGCAATTGGAAAGACGGCAAACACGATGGCCATGGCGTCTATACTCAGCATCGCACTGGCAATGTCTACGACGGCAACTGGTGCGAAGGCAAGAAGTCGGGCTCAGGTGTGATGTACTACAAAGTCAGCGAGGAAGATACCAAGCTTTGCAGAATTTGCTATGGAAACGAGGCCAATGCTGCGTTTTACGACTGCGGCCATGTCCTTGCTTGTATTGACTGCGCACGCAGAGTGGAGGACTGTCCTATGTGTCGTCGTAGAGTCAGAGATGTGGTCAAGCTATTCTATACCGCTTGATCCTGGTCGAATTCGACAGAGATGCGAGACGCAGATAGCATTTCCCAAGTATGTAACACGTATTAGATGAGAAATCGCACAATCGTCTTCGAAAACAAAACAGTAATCTCTTTGGCCTTATCTCAATCCTACAAACTCTCGTGCTTTTTTATAGTACAATTATCATTATACATCGCCGTCGGAGAGAGAGCTGGAGATGCTTTGCCCTCAACTCATATGGCTACGTTTTCCATCCCCAATACGCTGCAAACAGTTGATGTGGCTGTAACAATGCAGAGAAGTATTCGAGAACAAAGCCACATCCATCGAGAGTAGTCGATTTGTTGCCACTCTCTGGACAGAATTTGAATCTGGATTCGATTGTGCATTTCTGCAGCTATGATCTGACTGCCTTCAGTGTAAGAGAGGTTGAGTTATGGTGTTAATCCAATGCAATTACATGTTCTTGGACTCTGCAAGGTTCTTGGTGTCAGTTTTGTCAGAGAATCTGCAAAATACGTCTGTTTCTGACTTTATCCATCTTTGGATGTATACATAATCTTCATGCGTAAGCTTATGGTCGTCATGAACCAGCTAGAAGCAAAAGACAAAGTTGATAGCACTACTCGTAAGATGCAGGAACATGATTTTCTGCAGCTTCCAGAGTAGGAAGCAGGCGGGGAGAGCTAGTTCGGCTGCCTGCTCTTTCTCCTGATGATCTGCGGTTCTCTCTTCGATGTCTTCATCAACTTCCACTCATCAGCGCCAATCACTTTCATCGTTTTATTTCGATTCTGAATTAACTTGACATCATGACGGACTCGCCGCTTCACCTTGAGCACCTGAATGGCTGCCCTTTGGTCGGGAAAAGGGAGAACATTGAGTGAGTGAGTATGATGAAAGAGTTGGTCATGATCATTAGGTATTGGTAAAGCTTGGAAGACAAATTACCGGCGTACTCACATACGAAGTGAAGTGAAAGTAGGCTCGGATGAGAGTACTTTGAGCTTTACTCTCGATTAGGCATCGGATGCACATCTGCTGGCATTGAATTCAGAAACACCTTGTTCCAGCATCTCTCACTCAACCTCTCGCACACCATTGGCTGAAGGTCTTCAGATTCACCATCACTTTCACTTCCAAGAGTCCGGTGGATATAGTCATCACCGCAACAATTTCTGCTTTTTCTTCTTTGCATCTGCATCCAAGAACGCATCCACCCGCGACCACTGTTTACTCTCCAACTCCTAGTACCTCTACCAATTGATTCATACAATACAACATCTGCTTCCAGCAACTTTTATTTTCTCCAGCATGGCCGACATGTCCAACCTGGATGCCCTCATTGACGAAGCTATGCTCTTGGGTGATGGTGACGCCAGAGATCTCGCAATTGATATCAGGAACCAAGAAGTTGAGCACCAGCGCGTGCGGCGGAATCGGCTCTGGAACCTCGGCGACATGATTGACAGCATAAAACATCCATATCTGGACTTCTCTGATATTGTTACGGTCGTTGAGGCTGCACCAGACGAGGATGCTCAACTTCAGGCCGTCATGGCCAGACTGGCGGAGAGGGGCGAGTGGGATCCTCTGCTTGCTGAGCTGGCTATTGCGACAGTTGGCCCTCAAGACACGGATGCCATTGTCTACTTTCTCAATTCTCTGGCCATCGACAAGAAGGATCACATCACAACTGCTGGTGGCAAGAAGTTAGTCGAATGTGTGGCCTGCGAAGAACAACTGCCTCCCAAGGATCTCATTCTTACATCTTGCGGACACTGTTACTGCGGTTCATGCTTGAGCTTGGTGTTCAACGCATCTATATCAGATGAATCACTTTACCCTCCCCGTTGTTGTGCCCAGACGCCGATTCCTATTGAGCACGCAAAGAGATTTTTGGATTCCGGATTCGAGGAAACATTCAGAGACAAGGGCGTGGAGCTCAACACTATCGACAGGACTTACTGCTCGAACCCAACATGCTCGGCATTCATACTTCCTGAGGATTATGTGAGAGATCGCGCAACCTGTCACAAGTGCTGGCAGAGAACTTGCATCGTCTGTAAAGCCCCTGGTCACGAAGGCGACTGTCCTGCGGATCTTGAACTAGCCGCATTGCTCAAGTACGCTGAAGACATGGGCTGGCAGCGCTGCTACAACTGTCTAAGCGTCGTGCAAAGACACAACGGTTGCAGTCATATGGAGTAAGTACCAGGTCGAGGTTGTTCGGATACTTTTTGACTAACGGGTGCCAGATGCCGTTGCGGAGCAAACTTCTGCTACAACTGTGGCAGGCGGATCTTTGTTGAGGAGACTACACGTTGCCCCTGCCAAAACGCGGTGCATTCGCCCTACAGATTTTACCGTCGAGATGAGCATCCGGTTGACCCGTGGAATGAGGTTCCAGCTGATGTTCCGGCCCTCGCTGAACCCGTCCCAGCCGACTTCATCTGGGTTGGCGTACCGGAAGAGAACCCAGAACTAGAGCAAGACAGATCGCAAGCAGGAACCCCTGACTTCGAGTGGCCTCTCGACCAGCGTGAAGATATCGACAACGGCGAGCGAGCTTCCTTAGCCTCATCACGCCGCTCACGCACTCCAGATGTCGACGCTGTCCAAAATGTTACCCCTCCAATCGCAAACGAAAGACTACTACCAGTAACTTCCGATGCTGCCTTCGTCAGTGCATTGAGACAATTTCTTTCTACCATCTCTACGCAACTTCCAGTTCTCCTCAACCAAGAATACGAGAACCAAGCTCTGAATAACACAAGTTCGGCCATGTTGCAGCCTGAGCTGGCTTCTAGATCGGCTCCTGAAATGGCTCTTGAAATGGCTCCTGAAATGGCTCCAGATGATCTCAATCGAACAGCAGATGAAGATTCTCAGCACTCAAGAAGCCGCACGTCGAGTGAAGACAACCCGGCATCGGAGAAAGTTTCCTATGTTCAGCTTTCCGACCATTCCGACTCAGGAGTAGAATCAGCACAATTCGATAACCCCGTCTCAAAAAGAGAAGCAGCGCAATCCAGCCACAACATTGAGGATGCCTCAGAGCACAAGAGTATTGAACACTCCTCGTTCACATCAAAGCAGTCAACAAGACACAGCCATCTGCGAACCAAACTCTCGCTACGCCGTCTCCTGCGTGTTCTGCGAAAGGCAGGTATATCTGCACTGCGCAGAAAAGGACACACTTCTCCATACAGCGATGAAGCTACCTTCGAATGAGAAAGAGATCGTAAGTGAGGATGACAAAGACAGGCTGGAGGAGGAAGACATGCTCGAGGGTGATAGTGGATGGCCAAAAACCAGGACCAAAGACATCGAAATGGAGACGACAAAGGACTCAGAAAATGGAACGAAAAGACCAATGTTTCTTCGCGAGCATCTCAACCACTCTGACATTCAGCGGAGGAGATTCTAGAAGAATTGCTGGCGCAAGGAAGAAAGATAGAAGAGTGCGATGGGAGTTCAAAATAGTTATGGGGAGGAGCACAAGAAAACGAAGACCGGCTTTGCTAGATGCGCGCGGGCAAGCTTGCTGCAAACAAGAATCTCATAGATAGCAGAACAATGAGAATACATGACCAAGATGCCTGGAGAGTGATGCATATGTGAGACCAACAATAGATCTCCAGCAAGTAAGCTGCTTGGACGTCAGGCTTGAATCCAAGGCACAATGCAAGAAGCAGCGTCACGAATTGTTCTTTCCAGTAGCGATAATTGCAAGATCCCTGTTCCGTATTTGACCAAAAGACAGATCAAGTAGACTGCTGTGGCGAGCCCAAATCGTAACAGTGAAATCGCTAACTTCTCACACTATCGACTGTATCTTTTCATCATGAGTACTAGATTCAACTGTGTGAAACCCATACTCCTTAGACCACCTAAGAAGATCTAGAGTTTGATGTTGACGATTCTTGAACCCAAGGCTCCTGACTTTCAATTCCAGATAAGCGCTGTAACTCGGATCGCTAAACCAGGTACGCATGAGCATGAGTTCTGGATTACTTTCACGCAAGAGTGTTTACCTCGGTTTCCGTGCCCTGATCCTTGTTATTTCCCTCAGATTAGCTTTTAATCTCCCAACACAATCCACTCATAGACCTTAATGGACTAGACTGGAGGGTTGTGGTCGGCTTGCAGTATTGTGGTAGTTATCTCCATAGAAGACACGTTTTTCACAACAGTATTGTGCATTTCTAGCCACAGCGACGGTCCTCAGCATAGAAAGGGCTCGAAGAGCAATGATAACGGCCATTGCTCGGTGGATGAACTCGCCATACTGAAGGCGCGACGTCAAGAATCGCAACCAGAGAAGAATACTACCTCGGATTTTCAGGCTGTTAGATGCAAATCTTGATAGCAGAGCTATCGCGTAGAGCAAGCAGACAGCGCTCGATGTCAGGGCTTGTTGAAACCACCGGTTCACCACAAAGAGTGACACTCTAGAAACGCCAGACACGAGTGTAGTGTTTAGCACGATGCTGTGGATATCAGCTTGTGCTTCCTTCCAGGTCTCCAAACATTTCGCGCCGTTCTGGAGGAAATGCTCTTCCGAAGGTGTGCTTCAATATTCGAATCAGCAGAGGCACCTGAATGCAAAAATGACGCTGGACCTCCAAAGTGGATGTCAACGGCCGATCATGTACATAAAATTTCTCAGGTTCCTGGAGTTGGCGAAGTAGTTCTCCATTTATATGGTCTAGTTTTGATGCCCAGAAGTTGTTCCCGACGTAAACGCAACTGGTCTACGGTCTTGACATGGTCGAATCCTTCGGGCAGCCTTATCGCAGGGTTGTTAAAGAAGCAGCGATTACAATCGTACACGTCTTCGCCGGCCTGTGATTCTTGTCGGCGGCGCCAATACAACCTCATGCCTCCACGGCGTTTTCCACCACAAGAAGCACAGTATCTTTCCAATTTCTCTGAGGTCAATATGGGAACATGTGTCTTCCAGGAAAGTTGTTCGCGGGTCACAGCTGATTGATAAACCCATTCGCCCAGCGTGAGTCGGATGGCGAAGTCTGGATCTGTGTCCCTTTTGGTCTTATAGTGTTTCCTAGCATATTCCACGTGCCGATCACAATATTCTTGATCGACGGCGCGCCTATTGCGCTTGTAGATGCTCGATCGGGCGTTGTCACGCTCTCGCCAGATGGGATTGGTGTGATATTTATTGCGACTCCATGCATTCTTGTACTGTCGCAAACGCTCTTTCTGTAGCTCAGGATCGTTTGGGGTTTCAGAGTCGTCTGTAAGTTCTGATTCTGTTGACAGTGCAGAGTCCTTCGGCAGTTCATGATGTTCTGATGATTTGTTCTGCACAGGACTGGTGAAGAAGGTGCGTGAGGTGGCAGCCGAGGACAATGGCAAGCCCAAGCAGACCCTTAAGCGCAGAGGGACTTGATGAGTGATGTATCTGAAGGTCTGCATGGTTGCAGAAGAGTGAGACAATTGTACGAGTATGAAAAACGATCAGATGTCGAGCAATATTGTATAGCACATGTGGATCAGAGAGTTTGCGGCAGAGGGCCGAGCCACTCCGGCCCCGTGCGTACATGGACATACCACGAGCTACTGACCTCACAATCAATCCACAAACACACAACATGGCTCCTTCACTCCAAATCTCGATACCGACGACATCAACAGCCGAACAAGATGGCAAGAAATATACTCTCTATCACGTCCAACTCGCGCTTCCTATCCGCACACACGAGACCCGTAAACGCTACTCGGACTTCACCTCCCTCCACGATACCCTCGTATCCCAGACCGGTGCTGCACCTCCAGCCCCTCTACCGCCAAAATCATGGCTTCGTCGTACAGTCGATAATCCCGCTTTGACCGAACAACGACGACGCGGCCTCGAAGCCTACGTACGAGCAATCCTCGATGCCCAAGATGCACGCTGGCGGTCCTCGACCGTATGGCGTCATTTCCTCGGCCTGCCCAACGATGACAAACAATCCAAGATCAAGCAGCAGAACGACAGTGTTGCCGACCCAGCAGCATGGTTAGATTTACACAGAGATGTCAAGAACCAACTGCACGATGCGCGTCAACTGCTCAAGAAGCGAGATGCTGCAGCCACTGCCCAAGAACAACACGCCATTTCCGCAAACGCAAAGGCTGCTCTGGTGCGTGCGGCTACAGGGCTTGCTAGACTGGACGACGCACTCACCAAAGCTGCTACCAAAACAAAAGAAGATGATGATGGAGGTTGGGGTCAGGCCTCCCGTCTAGGCGAAGGAGAAATTCGCCGTCGTCGCGATATGCTCGGTCTTGCGCGTGCGGAAACAGAGTCTCTGGAGTCCAACCTCAAGTCCTTGGTCGTGAAGCCACAGGGAAGCATGTTGAGTGCTTCTTCAGCAGCAGCGGCCGCTTCAGACAGTGATAAACGCGCACTCTGGGGTGATGCGCCTGCGGCGAGGAGCTCTAGACGTGTGTTGGGTGGTCCAGCACAGGAGACGGACAAGACTCGCGAATTGGACAACAGTGGTGTGCTACAACTGCAAAAGCGCATCATGGGCGAGCAGGAGCAGGATGTGCTCGAGATTGGCAAGGCTGTGACGAGGATGAAGGAGATGGGTATAATGATTAACGAGGAGCTGGTTGTGCAGAACGAGATGCTGAATATGCTGGACACTGACGTGGATCGCGTACAAGGCAAGATTGACGTTGCGAAGAAGAGGATCAAGAAGATCAACTAGAGTTGGGGTCTTGGAAGAGAGCATGTTTCATTTGCGTTCGAGGTTTTGGTTGTTCTTTCATTCTGGTCATTACATGGATACCCTTCTTGTTGGTTCGTTTTCCCGGTTGTAATTAGCATAATTTTATCATATCATTGCATCTTTCACCCCGTTCGCTAGCTCGACCAACATCCCAAACTAGATTCGTTATCTGACAGTGACCCAGATTTCGTCTAATGCTTGCTTCATATGGCTCGACACTTGGAATGACATACAGAAGCATCTTCAAGTATCTACTTGCCAACACCCCTACCACCCTTCCTTCTCTTACCCTTAACATCCCTTCCTTCCTCAATGGCCAAAAGCGCCTCCCTCTTCTTATCACCCACAACATTCAAAGCATCCCTAACAACCCTACTTTCCACGTTAACGCCTTCCTCAACATACTCTTCCATCTGCCGTCCCACGCGTTCCTCGATCGCCTGCACAAGCCCAACATCCCTCTGGCCCACCAAACTCACAGACGTGCCTTTGCGCCCCGCTCTCGCCGTTCTTCCGACCCTATGCACGTAATCGTCAGGGTCACGGGGTAAGTCGTAGTTAATCACTAACGCCACGGAGGGGATATCCAGACCACGGGCGGCGATGTCGGTGCAAACAAGGATGCGAGCGGCGTTGGCGCGGAAACGGGCGAGATTGTTGGTGCGGTCTGATTGTTGGAGACCGGAGTGGAGGGAGGTTACGCGGTGGTCGAGGCTGCGGAGTAAGTGTTCGAGCAGGTTTGCTGTCGAGGTGCGGTTGACGAAGATGATGGTTGGTTTTTTGACGTTTTGGTCTGTGAGGAGGAGGACGTGGAGGTACTGTGGGTTGGTCAGTATTAGAAGAAGGCAGAGATGGTGGAGATTAGACAGTCTTACCTTTTCCTTGTGCACGACGTTGACGAGGCAGTAGGTTTGGTGCAGAGTGTCTGGGATGGCGAGGGTATCAAGATCAACCTGTGTCTCTGTTAGTATCCATATTCAAATCTTAGGACTGAGTTTCAAAGCAGCATACCTCACAGACAGCCACAGGAGGTTTTCCTTTGGCCCTGGGTTTATCCTGCAATGCTCTAACTTCCGCCGTAACAGTCGCAGTAAACAGACAAGTCTGCCTCTTACTCGACTCTGGCAACACCTCCATACAGACCCCCAAATCAGGCAACATACTTCCCTTGCCAGAAGCCAACAACCTATCCGCCTCATCCAAGACCACAAACTTGACTCTTCGCAATCCAGCAATACTTTCCTCTCCGCTGCTGTTGATATGATCTGCAAGTCGTCCAGGCGTGGCAATAACAACATGCGGTCTCCTCGCCAACTCAATAGCTTGAGCTCTCATATCCGCTCCTCCAGTCACCAAACAGACTTTCAAATTCTGTACTGCGCCAATAGCTTTGAACTGTTCGAAAATCTGCAGAGCAAGTTCTCTAGTTGGTGTAAGCACCAGTCCAAAGATACCAAAGGGGTCTTTGGCCCATTGTTGCAAGATGGGCACGGCAAAAGCAACAGTCTTTCCCGAACCGGTTCTGCTGCCACCGATACAGTCGCGTCCAGCTAGAATTTCAGGGATGGCAGCTGATTGAATGCGAGTGGGGTTTTTGATAGCCATGTTGGCGAGCGAAGACACCAACCAGGGTGAAACATTCAAATCTGCAAAAGTAGATTTCTCGTTTCCTTTTTGAGCTGCGGCGATGGTGGAAGAGACAGCGTCGATTGTTGAAGGTGTGCTGGTGGAAGTCGATGTTGGCTTGGCCTTGATACGAGAGATGGATGGTTGAATGCGAGATGCAGTAGCCATGGGCGCAACTTTCTGTTGTGTAGTTTCCGGTTCAGAGTCCGAGTCTTCTGATCCTGTTGGCGAGAGTCTGCGGCGCTTCCTTGATCCATTTTGGTTTACTTCTTTGCGCTCGCTATGGATGCTGCTGGCGCCCGAGTCGCTGGAGTTGCCAGAATCTGAGCTAGCGATGGAGGCTGCCATCTTTTTGTTATTTTCCCGTTCTCAAGTTTCGATCTTATTGAAAGGACAGTCCTTAGAGTTTTGGTAACGAGATCTTTGTGGTGTTGTGCTGTTATTGACAGTGGACTATTTTTCGCCTTGATGGTCGGAAATTTTCGATCGCACGTGACCTTAGTATAAATTATATTGACCAAGACGACACTCTCAATCCTCAAGGAAGTTTGCAAATCTTATTTCTTTTTAGATTGTATTTATATGCTCGTATATACAGTATGTTCGTGTCGTAAATCAAATCTTTGACGTCTCATGCTTGGTTCAAGCAGAGGTCTGCTCCTGCTCTTGCTTTGCCTCATCAAAGTAGTTGGGCACCATCTCTTGTTCGCGGTATCCACCTCTAGTGAAGCTCTTCATGGGAGTAAGACCGTACTTTGCGAACATGGCCTTGTCCTCGTCCCAGCCGTTGCATTCGGTGGTCAACATCTTCTCACCAGTGAAAATGGCGTTAGCGCCAGCGTTGAAGCACAAGATCTGCTCAGCCTCGCTCATGGTGGTGCGACCAGCGGCGATTCTGATAATAGTGGCGGGCATGACAATTCTTGCAGTGGCGATGGTACGGAGAATGGCGTCGAAGCTGATACGCTTGCGGCTGGGGTCGTCACCAAGCGGCGTTCCCTTGATAGGGACCAGAGCGTTGACAGGGAACGATTCGGGGTGAGCAGGCATGTTGGAAACGGTGTAAAGCAGACCAACGTGGTCCTCAGGCTTCTCGCCCAGACCAAGGATACCACCAGAGCAGACGTTGATGCCAGCCTTGCGAACGTTCGACAGAGTTTCCAGACGCTCATCGTAGGATCTGGTGGTGATGACTGAAGGGTAGTGCTCACGCGAGGTGTCGACGTTGTGGTTGTATGCGGTCAAACCAGCTGATTTGAGCTCCTCGGCCTGGTTCTGGTCAATCATGCCGAGTGTGACGCAGACCTCCATGTCCATGGCGCGAACACCCTCAACCATGGCCTTGACATTCTTCAAGCTGGTCTTTCTTCCTCTCATGTCGCGCCAGGCGGCGCCCATGCAGAAGCGTGTGCTTCCATTCTCCTTTGCAATGCGAGCCTTCTCGAGTACGTCATCGACTGGTGACATCTTGGTTGCCTTGAGGCCTGTATTTTGATATCAGCTTAGCCCTTTCAGGACCTAGTCGTATCGCAGAAGGCATACCAGTGTTGTAGCGAGAAGACTGAGCGCAGTACGAGCAGTCTTCCGAGCAGCCGCCAGTCTTGATGTTCATGAGGGTACACATCTGGATAGACGAAGGAGAGTGGAATCGGCGGTGCAGAACACCCTGTGGTTTGTGTCAATCATGATAGCTCTGATACTCGAGCAGCACGTGTGCCTACCGATTGATGTGCCAACTCCATCAGAGGAGTCCTGTAGATTTCGCGGATCTCATCCTTGGTCCAGTCATGTCTGGGACCAGTCTGTCTCATGGCATCTTGAAGCACGTTTCCGGTCCTGGACACAGGGCTTGAGCCTGCGGCCATGGCCATGCGGTCGTCCACGACTGTGCTGAAAGGTCGGCCATTTGCGATCTGTCTCAACGACCTTACTGCTTGGCGGGTAGACATTGTGGGCGTCGTGGTCAATGGGAAAAGGACAGAGAACAATTGAGGAGACCAAGACAACGACAGACACACTGTTGAGCGCAGACGGCAGAGAGATTGTGAGTGATGAGTCGAAGGGTCAACAGTAATTCCGTGCTCCTACTTCGCACCCCTCGGTATTCGGGGTTCCTTGGTGGGGGAGCTCAATCGCGGGCCGGTCATCAATTCACCGGGTGCTCGACTTGTGATTGGCTGCTTCTTCGGACAAGCTTCGGGGACAGGCGCTAGAACCGGCCCATTGGAGATCTTCCATAGACCTGCAGAGAAGGTCCTTTTCCCCCTCAGTTCAACCAAATTTTTGTCGACCTTTGGTTCTTGGCTGCTTGGGCAAAGCCATCGAGGCGGCTGAAGAGGCTCATATCAATAGTCTGCAGCCTGGGATGAGGGCTATTTCTTGGCCCTCTTTCAGCTGAAGGATTTGGTTGTAGCACAAATCTCCTAGCCATGGTTCTGGCTCAATATTTGTAAACCATGTCTCCTTGCTCGTATTCTCAAGATGATGGTCTGCAGCTGATCATTTGAGACCGGTTCTCTGCATGTGCCATCAGCATTTGTGTACACCCCTGCTGTTCGCTAGCGTGACAATGGACATGTCCGGACGTGCCAAAATAGATCTTCTGTAAAACCATCATGCCGACCAAGTTCTGCAAGTGTGAGCGTCATGATTGCTTTGTTCAATTGAACTGGTGAAAGGAATATATGAGAAGGTCTCACTATTCAAGAATTAGTGCTCGTTTTATGGCAGTTGCTATTATTGCGCATGTGCTTCAATAACTACCAGTACAAACGTCGCCTACGACTTATGCACAGTCGCGTACAAATTATCCACCAGATCTTGTTGCAAGACCCTGTGCTTCTTTCTCGTTACCCTGCACTACTAGTGTCACCGCAGCTGCACAAAGCCGTTGAATGGGCGCTGTTGCGGCCGTTGCGACAGAACGGTCAGAGTCGCTTCTACTCCTACCTAGTTGCTGCTGAACAGAACAGGTCTTATCACAGCTTTCGAGAACGACATGATGTGAGATAGGCGGTGCTAGACAGAATTGAAGACTCATGGCAGTGAACATGGGTTTCTGAACATCTATTGCTGCAAATCGCTTTCTAGCCTATCTAACGAAGGCGTGCGTTGGCCGAAGGATCTTGAATTTGTGAGCATGATCTGCAGGTTCGAGGTCGCCAGCTGTTTGGGCCGGTCTCATTCGTTGGCCAGAGCAAACAGGCCAGATTCCAGTCACTACTCTAAAGATCCCAAATCCCAAATCACCGCGTAGACGCAAGCAGGTGATCAACATGGTAAACACAGAATCTCGACGCGTAGTCACACCACCTTGTTCCTCGAGGACAGAGGCTGCGAGAACTTTTTTTCACGCACGAATCAGCTGGTTGCTAGAAGACATGATGTTCACGTAATCCCGAAGAGTGCTCAGTTGAACCAGAGTTTCTATCACAGACTATTAATCGGACCTGAGCGCGTCTCCACATAGTGTATGCACATCAATATTGAAGCTGAGAGCTGTGGTGACATGGTATACCATGTTATAAGCTTTATGGCGGAAGATGATTGACGTGAGCCACAATCCGAACACCCCCTGAGTCTCGGAGAATTGAATGATGACACGGGATACGGCGCCTGGCTGAGACATCTGAGACGCGAGCCGTAACCAGGGAGCTGGGTTGAACGTTGTTGCCGAACAATGGCCAACGGAGAAGGTGTTTGAATTGTGGATGAGCAGGCACTCTCATACAGTTCGAGGTCACAGAGCCAGACATACCGTTGTGGCATTTCGGGAGCTCGAAGTTCCATGTTCTTCATGTCAAGAAGAGAAGGAAGTTGTCAGAGCAGAGCGCAACTCAAACGCCGAGCCCAGAGAGGAAAGCAATTCTGGTAGCAGCTCCCACGTAGACGAAACCCAAATTTCCCCAATACATCGAGTTCCAGTCCCAGAATTGCCAATAGATGTCAAGTCCTACGTCTTTGACGCTGTAGATGTGACCGAAATCGGCAAGCAAGAGGCCGAAGAGAAACACTCTCCAGACGCGAAGGTTGGTGGTAGAGCGTAAGACAAGGGCTTCGTTTAGTGCAAATACAGCGTACATATTTGCGAGTTGACTCAGAACGATGCTTTCGCGGGCGGATGGACCGAGAGAAACGGCCGAAGCCGAGGCGTATGTCATGTCAAGGTACTCATGTTGCTGAAACCAAGCATAGTAAGCACCGACGGCTGTAGCGACAGGTTCAATGTAGAGGAAGAACAGGCGGTACCACAAGGCGATGAGGGCAGCATTGGCAGGCGGCATCGTTTATGATTGCGATGGGTGCAGCAGGAAATAATGATGTACGTGCATGCAAGAGGGTGCTGCGGAAGAGAAAAAAAAGCAGGACGCAGGGTTTCGGATGGCGGTAAGCCAAGAAGAGAAATGACGACTGTGACTGTATTTGTACAGTACAGGATGGGAATGCCTCGGAAGCAGGCAGTGCTGGCGCAGCGGGAGAAACAGGCGCACAAGCGGACGATGAACGGGACCGATGAATGATGGAGACAAGCAACAGCAAGAAACAACAGCGACGATAACAGCAACAGGAGTGATTAGTACAATAGCAAGCCAGCACAAGCTTACGACGGTGCAGAGGCAGAAGCGTGACGGAGGTCAGGCGGGAGGCCTCGGGACGGCGGTCTGATTGCTCGAGTGTACGAACAAAGTGCGAGACAAGCAAAGTAAGATTTGTCGAGGGTAGAAATGGAAATGATGACGGAGGTCGCAGTCCAATAACGCGATCGGGATGTCTCAGAAGTAGATAGAGTGTCTCGCTATGCAAAACAAGGCAAAGCGCCGGGCAACCAAGACGGCCTGACGATGACTAGCACCGCGTAGGGCCAACCCGCCGGGCCAGAAGAGTGGCAGAAAAACAGGGAGGTCGCAGACTCGCAGCGTGAGCGTGGGAGATCGCAGGAGTCGACCGCGGCAATTTGACTTTGCTACTGTTTGACACCAAGACTCTTTTCGCTCAACGGCAAAGAAACGTAACGCGCGCTGTTTCCTGCTGCTGGCACTGCGCTGCTGCTGCTGTTGCTGCCCTTTCTCCCTCATTTCAAACCAATCGCCCCCATTTCGCTGTCGCTTGTCGCCGGTTTTATACCATAAAAATACTGAGTCCGCCACGACTGGGGTCCCCCGCCTAGACACTTAATCCATCATAACCGTTTCGCTTCCTTCCCTTTCGCTTCCTTTAACTCTCCTTTCCGCCTCGCCCTCTTCTTCCCTCCACCTTCGACTTTCATCGTCACCACTACATCCGCTATCCAACCTGCTCCACTCCTTTTTTAATCCTCCCAATATCCCTCGCTCTGAAACAAAAAGTTTCCACTCCTCGGCCGCATTGCTTTACTCCACTGTCTCAGCCGTAACACGGATCCACTCTCACTCACTACGACTCGATTGAATCCGCAAAAACTCTGTTTACCCTCGCCAAGGGGCCCCCATCAAGCCACCATGTCCAACTATGATCTAACTCATATTCTCGACACCCAACACCACAAATACTACTACACCTCCTCTCAGGCTTCGAGTGGTGCCGAGTCTTCCTCATCTTCGACCTCCTCTTCGCCAACCCGACCGCACACTTCCCAGGTATCTTCGACTGCCTCCCTTGTAGCGTCTACTCAGGGTCACCACATCTCTCGTCCATCAACACAGCCTCTCTCCATTCCTCAACAATACCACTCCTTCGACCACAGCCTCGAGACCGAACAAAGGCGGGAAGCCGACATGTTCCGTGACGTCGAGTGGAGATCACCAAAGCTAGATCAGAACGAGAGAGATATGTCTTTGAAGCGCGCTTCTTCGGCGGATCCCAGCCAAAGCTCAAACACAAAGACCAAGCAACAGAAGGAGAACGGCATCTTCAGAAAAACGTCGCAAAAGTACAGAGGTCTTCGTGCACACCTTCATGGAAGGACTCGACGCAACTCTGGAGATCTCATGGAGGGTGTCGAAGGTTCTTCTTCTTCTGCATCCATTCCCGAACACTCGGCATCTTCTGGCCCTTACCCCAAGGGTATTCAGCGTTTCAACCCTACCAATCGCTTACTTCAGTCATTGAAGGCTCCCAGACACGACACGCCACAGCCCGCCAACGCTCCCTCGCCTACACTTCAGTCCTCCTCGACCATGCCTGCCCTTCACTACAACCCCGACCAACAATTCATGCATCGCTACATTTCTGACTCAAATGCTGGCGAGGCTGCTCGCCGTGCTGCTTCAGCCACCAACGCTGCTAGCTACGCTTCCAATGCCCGTCCATTTGTTCCTCACTATCAAGCGACAAGAGATCTCCACCGTAGCCGCATCGGCAGCATTCCCGGAGCTAGTGACAGTGGCGCCGATCTTGCGTCCAATGCCGACTTGGATGTCGAGATGGCTGACATTGCAGAGATCGTGGCTCCAGTCAACAAATGCTCCGACCCTGTTGAAGCCCTTCCCACTGAGATCGTCACTTTGATCCTCTCACACCTCGATCCCGAGAGTCTTAAGGCGGCCCAACGAGTTTCCAAGAGCTGGTCTCGCATCGCCAAGGACCCTCTGATCTGGCGTGCACAATACCTCCGACAATACGAGAAGCAGACCTATGTGTCACCTGCACCTATCCAGATTGGCGGTACTGGCACAGGACTCCCCGATCAGCCTATGCAACATTGGGAATTGATGCACGACGCTAGAAGACGTATTGACAAGAACTGGACCCGTGGCGATCAAGGCGGCAAGGGTATCTATCTGGCCGGCCACACCGATTCCGTCTACTGTGTTCAATTCGATGAGCAAAAGATTATCACCGGATCTCGCGACCGCACAATTCGTGTTTGGGATATCAACACCTACAAGTGCCTTAAGGTCATTGGCGGTCCTAGCGTTCGTCCCTCTCCTGGACCTAAGGTTTTGCGTACTGTGGAATACCCCAAGTTCCACCATGCCGAGACATCTGTTAATGGCACTGCCTACGGCAACAGTATCTACCACGTTCCTTCCGACTTCCACAGCGCCAGTATCCTCTGCTTGCAGTACGACCACGAGATTCTCGTCACTGGCTCCAGTGACAACGATCTTCTGGTCTGGAACATCAACACTTTCGAGCCTATTCGTCGTCTGAAGCAGCACACTGGCGGTGTCCTTGATGTCGCTTTCGATGAGAAGCACATCGTTTCCTGCTCTAAGGATTGCACCATCATCGTCTGGGATCGCAAGACTCTTGAGCCCATTCGCACCCTTACTGGTCACCGCGGTCCTGTCAACGCTGTTCAACTCCGTGGTAACCTTCTTGTTTCTGCTTCAGGCGACGGAGTTGCACGTTTGTGGGATTTGAACAAGATGCAATGCGTTCGCGAATTCCCTCAGAAGGAGCGCGGTCTTGCTGCCGTTGAATTCAGCGATGATGCTAAGTTCGTCCTTGCTGGTGGTAATGACCATGTCACCTACAAGTTCGAAGTTGCGACTGGAAACGAGGTCAAGCAATTCACTGGCCACACTCAATTGGTGCGTTCGCTGTTCCTTGACACTCAGAACCGTCGCGTTGTCAGCGGTTCCTACGACTTGGACCTGCGCGTGTATGACTATGACACTGGTGCTCTCCTTGGTCGCTTCAACGAGTGGACTACTTCTTGGATGTTGGCGGCCAAGTGCGATTACCGTCGCATCGTCTCTACCAGTCAAGATGGTCGCATTCTCATGATCGACTTTGGTCGTGACAATTCTGGCCAAGTCATGCCTGGTGTCGAGCTTCTTAAGAGTGTTGAGCCGCTCTCGCTATAAGGCAAAGAATACGAACGGGCAAGCACACGGGATAGACAACAAGGAGCTTAGGGCATGGGAGTTTTGAACACAATTCTGGGAACAAGCGTGATACCTCGGATAGGGTAATTGGCGAAGCGGCATCTTTCTTTTTCTTTTTTCTCTTTCTCTTTTTACTAGACCACTTTCCTTTTTTCTTCTACATGGTTTGGATTCTTGGGACATGGTTTCTCGGCGAGCAAAGGTCAAGGCATAGCGGCGTTTTTTGTGGTTTTTGTTCTCTGGATTCCCACCATTCCTCCTTCTTACCATCTGGTGGTGAAGTATAGGGCGTTTCTTTCGTGTTTTTTTCTGTTTGGAGATTTTGAGATGCGCTCTCTGTCTTTCTACAATTCTAGAATCCATGCCATTTGATGGCATTCTTTCTCTCTACACTTTGTGCTCCTCTCACGTCCATTCTTGTCGATGTTTTAATTAAGGTCTGTGATTGTATAAACAGCACAATTGGAAATGGCATAGTTGTTCAGACGTTATCCATACCAATTCAAATTCAGAATAGATGATAATGCCATTCTGAAACATGGTTAAAGTCTTGATGGGAGTTTTCGATCCCATCGCAGTATGGTCTCAATCTACTCTTTGATGACCATATGGAATCGAAGCAATAGACAGACGATGTTGTCGAGTTATGCGATCTTGAGTGTTCAAGTACTCTGGAATGTGGGTTTGCGTTTGGTATTCGTCAGCTTATCAACTTCATAAGATTGGCCTGTCGTCGTTGATTGTATGCCATGGTAAAAGTTATCCGGGACATCAGGTCGCAGATCATACATTGCTGTGAGCAATTCGAGATATCTAACCACGAAGACGTATCCTTCTATCCATTCACGCAACACAGATAGTTCGGTCCAACTAGACTGACCTGCTCCTCTCTTATAATTATAAAGTCAATTCGATGCAGTCTCGTGACTATCGAACGTGGTTGTGGTTGTTTAGATAGAGACTGGAAATTAGAGACAGGGTCGTACTCACAGCTTGTAGACTTGACCGAAGTTCGACAAAGGCTTTCTATTCAGTTCACAGCACAAAAACTATATCATGTGCGTCCAAGATTCTGCTGTGTCATCGAAATGTGTCAAAATCACTTTTGGAATGGTATCCAAAAGAATCAATAAAACATCATAGGTATGAACGGCAAATAAGGGGGTATCATTTTCTAGGAACGAAAGAGAAAACCATTCCATCGAGCATCACAAAAACCACCACAAGAAGATCTTCACAGACAGCGCAGCACCAATCTACTTCGCAGCCAACAACATCTCTCTGAACTTCGGTCCTAGAAGTTTAAGAGTTGTCTCCGCTGATGGCGCATCTGGTGTCTTATCTCCGACAATCTTGTCCGCTTGTTTGAGCTCAACACCAGACTCTTTGATTTCGCCATCCACGTCCCTTCTGGCCTCTTGCTTGACACTAGCACTGGCTCCCTTGCGGACAGGTCCCTTGGCTGTCTCAGGGGTCACCAGCGTCGAGTCGAGCAATTCCTGCCATCTAGCCAGATAGGCTCCGGGTCCGTATGGTGTGGATGACTTGTTGCTGATCACGTCGCGGATTCTAGCTGCGGATGATGCGTATAGTTCGTCAAGGTATTTTGCTGATGCATCGACTTCTTTGCGGACCTTGTCTTGTTCTTCAGGTTTCAGTCCGTCAAAGGCTGTGGAAAGCGAATCGAAGATGGAAGGTGAGGCGTGTTCCTGTTTGAAGTTGGCAGAGACCTGGTGTACGTAGTCCTTGAACCACTGTGTAACCTCCTTGCCATTCTTGGCCACTTGGTGAATGAAGCGATGCGAAGCACCCATGTGGCTGTGCAAGAGGTGTACAAAGTCCTCGACGCTGGGAGGCTTGCCGTCCTTCTTTGGTTTGGACACCTTGATCATGTCGTCCATGAAAGCCTGGAAGTCTGCGACAGTGGCGCTGAGGTCGACGGCTTGATGCACTTGTCTGATCATGGGTTCGTAAGCATGTACACCGTCGCGTACGGCCTGTGTAAGGTGATCAGGGTTGTGATGACAGAGCACATCAACGATCTTGGTTCTGTCTCGGACGGCCAGACTCAGCGAGAGGTACTCGAGTGCCAGTTTGTGTTGTTTCTCGCTAAGATCTGGACTTGCTGGAGACAAAGATAGAATGGTCGATACGATCGACATAGACTGCTCCTGGCTTCGTCTGCGGCATTCTTCTTGCTCTGGTCGACTTTGTTCCATCCAGGATTTTAGTGCTTCACGCTGCTCCTGGGATGGTGCATCCTTGTCTTTTTCGATCTTTTCTAGTCGCTTCTTGAGCTCCTTCTTGTCCCAGCCGAGGACGGTGGAGATGATCTGTTGCATCAAGTTCATGCCTTCGTCTGCTCCACTGCTGATACCCATCCAATTGGTCAAGGTACCAACACTCACTTTGGCAAGCATCAACTTGACCATACCGTTAATCATGGTAGCAACATTGCCGACCTTTAGTGTCTGTCTCATCAGGGTGTACGGTGCACTGAATTTGTCAGATGATTGATGTTCGAGCAAGAAGACAGTAATTTACTTACAGCTTGTGAACATTCTCGACCATGCGAAGTAATGACGGACCCTCGGGACTAACGACAAGAGTGTAGTGCATGAAAGATGCAAGGCTAGAGTATGTTAGCGAGTGAGGTGCTATAGGTCAGGATGCGGGCAAGACATACTTGACAATGACAAACTCGTGAGCTGCTTGAACCAGACTGTCATGCTTGCGCAAGTCGTCCGTCTCTGCAGCCTTGGCGAAGAGCTTGTCGAACAGGTCGCCATAGACCAGCTGCTGCATGAAGACGTACCACGCACGCAGCACATCATCAGGCTTAGCAGGGTCAAAGTGTTGATCCTTGAAGACCGACTCATCCTTCTTGATGCCACCATAACATCCTCTGGCTGGGTATTCTATCAAGGCCGAGATAGCAGTGGCCAATGTCTTTCTGATACCCAAAACACCCTTGTCGTAACTCTCACTCAAGTTTGCGGCTGCCAACTCTTCTATTATGTTCTCGATGCGGACCTTCCAGAATTCGGGTGAGACGTCGCGGAGTCCCGGTAGCGGTAGGATAAATTTGGAGAGAAGCGATTGTAGGATGGGAGAGGTTGTCGTTTTTGTGTCTTGAAATGGCGGGCCATACTCTTTCATGGCGGCTGGCGACTTGAACTGGCAGATCTCGTCGTAGGTTGCATGGTGGGTCAATAGGTCGAACAGAGCACTGCTCTGCTCTGGGCTTAGGTGTGCAGTCGACATGTAGAGAGTTGGTATGGATGTCAATGAAATACGATGATAAGATACTAGTTTGGAAATGATTAGCAGTAGGAGAGGTGTCAAGGTGCAGATGGAGGAAAGTGTCGAGATGCAGCCGCATACACATGAAATGTAGACGTTGGTGACGTCAAGGCAGTTGCGCTCATGATGCGCGTGAATGACCCGAACGCTCTTTCCTCCTTCACTCTGTCACCCATAAACAACACGTCAGGCGTGTGACTATGATTGTTATCGTATCACCTCCTCGAGTCCTCATGGAGGCTGCTGTCGTCTGCCTGTGTCCGACCTTGATTGTTCGCTCGTTCTGATTACCTCTCTATCTCCGAGCATGTGATACCACCACTCTCATTCTTCGCTTTTTCTGCTTCTTGCACCCTTTCTATGACTTTGGACACTCTGTACATGGTCACGAGACTCATGAACGTATGAAAAACCAAAAGCCAGAACGGAACACCCTACAGTCTATCAGCCATTGCTTTTTTCCCAACTCTGCACAAAGCTTCCTTCATTTGGTCGAGGATGTATTCAACTCACCGCAACACGACACAAGTGGCTTGCGAATCTGTCCTGGGGATTTAAAGCTACTTCAACAAGACCGCAGCTGAAAGTCTCAATTGTAAATCCCACTGAGCTGATATATTGATGGTAAGGACCAGAAGTTGGTGCATTTATGAAAAGCCATCCGTGGGGCGAGTCAAGATCAACGTATCGATGCTCGTCGCGAAACCCATATAAAACTGTAATGTTACCCATGATCAGGTTGATGGCACTGACGAGGGACAAGGCCGTTAGCCGTTGTCTGCCAACCTTTGTACCGCTTAGTGATCCTATCTCAGTTCGTCAACCCACGAGAAGAATCTCACCATGTTGTCTGTGGTTTCTGCATGAACCCGTCGCCAGAGACTAGCCATAGCAGGCACATCGATAACCGCAAATGCACATGTGGCGATACTAAGCCAAAGACTTCTCTCTAGCACCAACCCAGGCAGGACGCTCATTGGCGACAGCCCATTTGGTGAGTCCGTTGAGTAGACGAAGTATTGATGTTTGACAGTTTCAGGACTTCGTATGAGAGCAAGTAAATATCCAACAACACCAAGACTTGCGATGGCATTGACGAAGCAGAGGAAAAGGGATGCGTAGAACCACATATTTCTGAAGCTCCGTCGTGCTACAAAGCTATGCAATAAACAATTGTGAGATGCAGAACATTAAAAAACAAAGGGCAAAAGTCCATGGTATAAATGCAACAAGCAGCAAGGCGCAGTGGTCGTCAGTAGGCGCAGTCGAGGACAAGAATGCAAGCATGCAAGGGAGAAAAGCAACTTCAAAGAAAACATTTGATATGGATTTATTGCTTATCTAGCTTTATACCTGGTATACCCAGGCTGTAAAATTCTTTTATATATTATGTTGTGCCTCTCTTGAAACTGTATAGATCCTGCCAGGAAAGATGTACCGAGAAAAAATATGTCGGATGGCAGTGGGAAAAAAGACTGGCGCCAGCGCCTGATCAAAACCATTATGCCGAGTCTATGCGATGTGAAAACGCCAAGTCGATAAAACTACGATGAGGGTATTGAGTAAAGATGATCGTGGCATGCTTCAAAGGTTCGGATTTACTTCTTTGAACCGGGAGGGCTCGAAGGGCGAGATGGGTTGGGGGTATCTGAGATGGCAGAGCCCTCGAGGCTCTTAGTCACACCAATGATCTCGCGAAGCTGCTTCTGGCGCTCACGCTCGATACCGTGCATGACAGCATCCAAGACGTTGGGGACGGTGGCCTTGGGCTCGAAGCGAGGTGTAGTACCGTGCTGGTAGACACCGGTCTCGACCAAGATAGAGTACCAGTTCTGTTCAGCAACCTTGTTGAACTCGTTGGTTCCGCGAATGTCGGACTCGGGAGTGTCACCAACGAAGTAAATGGTCTCCGGAGGAGCGTCAATACCGTGGGTGGACTTGCGCCAGTGCTGCAAAAGACGAGTGGCAAATTGGAAGGTACCAATCTGAGGCTTGCCGAAAGCAACAGTCTCCAAGTCTTTGCCAGTGACGGCCTTGTACATAGCCTCGAGGGAGACGCGAAGAGCGCCCATACCAAGACGGGTGTGTTCGTGAGAAGCTGACCAGATGACATCGTTGTGGGAGAAGAAGACTGGAGGACCTTCGTTCAGGGTCTCGGAGCGAGTACCAACGACACCACCCTTGGACATGAGGAGATCAAGAATGATCTGCTGGTCACCAGCCCAGTCACGGCTGTCGGCGAAGACGAAAATGGCCTCAATCTTGACGTTGGTGAAATCGCGATCACGGGAGTGCTTCAGATCGTCCTCGGTCATGGTACGGAAAGGTGTGGTGTCGGGGTTGTGCTTGATAATGTCTCCGGGGGTGACAACATCCTTGAAGCCATAGCCCTCAGCGACCTGACGGCACTTGTCGCCCTCACCACCGATGACAAGAACAGTGTTGTACTTGTCGGCCATCTCCTTCATGGGTGTGTGACCGCAAATGAACTGACCAGGTGAGACCTCAATGTCAAGCTGTTTGCTGAGCTGAATGCATCTCTCTTGTTCAGTCTTGCCACCACCGTTGGTCAGGAAAATGTAAGGACTGCAAACGTTAGCATTGAAAATCTGCTCGGCTGAAGAGAAGCAACTTACATCTTGATTCCATATTGGTTTTGACCGTTGAGCACCTTCATAGCCTCAATAGCCTCGGGAATAGGACGTCCACCACGAATCAGAACACCATCGATATCGAAGGCGTATGCATATCTGTCAGTAACACTCGACTCTTTCGGTGTGTCACCATCCTCCATAGGAGTGATTGCTTCAATCTCTTGTCTAGCCAATTCCATAGAAGCCGCAATGTCGTTGGCTTCCTGATCAACAAGGTGGGGAGGAACGACAATGGCAGGACCACGCGAAAGAAGGTCTGCTGTGGCATCCTCGCTGGACAACCTGCGCAAGGTGCGCGGTCTAGGAGGGTTAGATTTTGTGGTAGTGCTCATGATGGCTTCGACTGTGTGGTTGTGACAGGTGTAAAGGACACGACGGACGAGGACGGAGAGACAGAGAAATATGTGGGAACCGCGTGCGGGGAAAAGAAGGAGAGTGTCAATAACCTTGAAGAGTAGCGAGCGTCATTGCAGCCTATATAAACCGAGAAAGCACCTTGGGTTCCTATGGACTGCTTTCTGGTTGAACCCAGCCCGACTCCGCGCGATTAAAACGTAAAAGCCTCTGACGAGTTAGCGCGGGCTGCCATTTAGTCAACGCTTGCCAGATCAATGTTTGCGGCTCAACTGGTTCCTGAGCTACGTTTCTTCGACGCTGTGCTACTGGCCTATACCGCTGTTCTAGCCAGACAGGTGAATAATGTCAAATCATACAAACTGTCGTTGGCGCTTTGCATTGCGTACAAATGATGTTTGACTGGCCTTGTGCTTGAGTCGTCAAACGCAAACTCGATCTTTGTGACGACATGGTGGCGCTTTCCCACGTTGCCGGCCAGCGACGGTTCCTCCTCCGACCGCCCGCATTTTCGCTGTCTCAACCGATTGTCGATACTGAAATCCCGTACAAATTTGCATCAAGACGGATGTACTTAGCATTAGGTTCACCGAGAGACCAATTCGTGTATAAAATATGCGATCCGGGCCGGAATCGTGATCAAGATACAGTGCACGTGTGAATTGGTTGAGCTTCGATTGAATCCCATGTCGGCTCCATACGAGATTGTTGGTCGCGGAGAGTAGTCATAAGATGGCCTTGCTCGGCACTTGTTACTCAAGCACTGCTGCTCCGCTCTGCCCTCGCTTAGATCGACTTCATGGTAGACGACATGTTAGGTAGGAAGGAGCACACAGGTTTGGGTGTATGGCCAAATCTGGAAGCAATTACCATTGTGACTTCTCTCGAGATTCAAAAATGGAATTAAGCAAGTTCCTTTATGCTGAATGGCATTGATTTTCTCCCCTCAAACTCTTACCCGTTACCAAGCAACATGAACTGGACGGGAGGCAAGCTGCAACGAAATTCGAAGAGCAAAGGCAATGCTGTGATCGAACGTCAAAAGTCGCACTTTGCCAAAGCCCGTAGCAAGGCTCCAAACAGAACCAATCCTTCGATTGAAGCCTGGAACGACATCTCTCCGACTCGACCTCCATCTCCTCCTCCATTCAAGAAAGCTCGGACTCAGCATAGGCAATCTCCACGGGTACAAAAATGGTCCATATCTGGCCAAAATGATGGACGCCGCCTGGTGGGCGACTTTGTGTTGCCATCACGGGATAGCAGTGACATTCACGTCAGGGTAGGCCCGCGAGCGTTCGCAAGTCAGCTCGACACAACCGTGGCTAGTCCCTCGACCAGGATTCGATCACACTCCACCGCGCCTTCGGATTACTCCTCAAACTCGATGCTTCTTGATGGGCTCGACCAGCGAGGGTCACAGGCGAGAACCTCCAGTGATAACAAGCCCTACCAATCAGACCAAAGCAACAGCATAGCCTCACCATGCATGCGGGAACAAACGCGGTTCGCTTTGAGTGATTCGCTAGAGGATGTCTTGCGAAATCATGATGATACCCAGTTTCCCTCAGACTTTGCGACGTATGCTTCATCAGCTGTTCATGCTGTCGCAAGTTTTGGCAATGCTTCGAACAACACATCAGCCAAGGATATGCAAAGCCATCCAGATGCGGCTGAGCGATTGAGAGGCTCACCGGTCAATCCGCTACCTGAGCACTTAAACATCTCTGGTCCGTTTGCACAAGATAGTTCTGTTCGTCGCGGTCACGAGGACACTGGAGATAACGATGACATCTGGATGAGATTCATTGAGGAGAAAATAGAAGATGGTCAGACAGAAAATGATCGGTATGCTGCACCTCAATATAGGACGCAAGCCTCGCCAATTACTCTACCTACCTTGACAGTGGCTCAGGATGAGCCGCCCTATCCGGCCAGTGTTGGTGGAAGCACCCCGCATTCATCCTGCCCAACAGCACGTCCATGTCTTCTCGAGACAGCGACATTGAAGCGGACAAGCGGTGAGACAAGCGAGAGAGGACCAAGCCTCACTCATGAAGATCAAGTATGGAGGAGGTTCGTGCTAGGATACGATCCGTCCTACGCTACGTGAGAGCACAAGCATCATGATCAGATACGGATGGAAGGGATCTTCAAAACGATGATTCGTGCCTTCAGGAGTCGCGCTCGGAGGACGAGAATGCCACAGCAAACGTTTTCGAAATCAGATGAAACTTGATTTCTACGAGACATAATACAGCACGTTTCTGGTTTGCTAACTACTGCGAGGTGAACGGTCAAAAGCACGCCACTTGCGGAGAAAGACATGTGGGGGGTGTGTCGACGGTCGATTCTACAACGATTAGAAATACTTCTTGACATGTCGTTAAAGCTCCACGAGGTCAGACACGCATGGTACCCTGAATGCTTATCAGACATGTATATCAGTATAGAGCGAGGGCACGTGGTACAACTGGCTGCGTTAGCTATGGTCTTTATACATGTCCGCAATCATGGTCTTGATGCACAAATCAGAATGAGGTGCTTCTTCACGCACGTGTTGACTGCCCAGCCCCTTGTCAAGATAGGCACGGCTGTGGCGTGGAATGCAAAGCACTGTAACGCTAATGCGACAACACTTCCAACATGAGTGCGGGCATGTCAAGCCGAGTCAGGAACTGTTTGATACTCTTTGATACCTCCAACCCACCCCACAAAGATGTTGCCTGACACTTCTACTTATCCAAGCCGCCGCGGGCCGCAAGATTGTTTCGGGTTGCAATTGTTCCGACCCATGTGCTAACCCTGTTCAAACTTCAGAGCCAGCAAGGTTCAGAAATGGATGCTCGCAAAGTCTCCTAATTTCGCTGGGCTCGATCCACTGAAGGATTCAAGAGCGGTGGGCTTAGCTACATGGATTCGTATCTAACGGCTGCGAGGCATATCCTCCCCTTGAACCAAGCCAGAGTCAATTGAGGCTATCATGATAACGCACAAGGCTGCGCAGCTGCGGACCGACTGCACGGTGATGCTCGCAACCTTGGTGGGCTCGGTATGATGACAAGCATAAGAGTTCGGCTATCTAGTAAGTTAACTTATCTAAACGTTATGCAATCAATACGGCGGGCATGAACGCGGGGGAGTTTCCAATCAAAAAGGTGGCGGCAGATTGTGATGAACATTCGACGGAGCGTGTTTCAGCACAGTGAGGGCTCGGTGCGGATGCGGCCGGCGCGCCCTCAGAGGTAGGGATACAAGTTTCGCCTTGCCGTCACCTTACGTGGGCCCTGGTCGCGGGAATTGAGAGAATTGCCTGTCGCAAGTCGCAAGTCAATGCTGGCGTGAGCAGAATTGATGAGCAGGGGGTTGACAATCAGGCAAGAAGGGTCAGCAAGCAGGTTTCAGTAGTCAATTTCATGTGCATGACAGGACGGAGGAGGAGGAGGAGCCCACTGCGCAGTGCCCAGAAGTTGAGGTTCCGTGAGCCGTGGGAGCAGGTCGTTGTTGGTGATTTTAGTGGACCTGTCAGACTAAAGTTGGCTAGCGACGGGAATACTGAGAAGGTGCCGAGAAGCACACAGCATGTTTCGCTGCAGTTTGAGAGGGCGCCAAGGAGCTGGTGGCTCGTATCAGGAGATGATGCGAATCGTTCTCGAAGAAAGCAGACGGGCTCGCGCGGTATCAAGGATGCGATCATCTCTCAAGGGGTGACGGTTCGTCGGGCTCACTTGGGTACTTGGTTCAGTAGATCATGACATTCTGTTAGCTTGGGTCGGTAGGCGGCAGGACTAGCCGGGGGCACTTTTTGCGCCAGTCCAAATAACCATTGAACCAAGATCCACCGCGTTCCTTTTTCTCTTTACCTAGCACCTCCCGGCCTGTGTCTCATCACCTTCTCTCCGCTTTTGCTCTGCTGTTAAAGAGTGTTGCAACGGCCATCCAACTCCCATACGTTCCTTACCTACTACATGTGCATTGCCCGCCAACCGAACGCCTGCTGGAGCAAACTATTTTCGTCGACCCTCATCCTCAGCCTTAACATCCCATCCATCCTTTAGGCGCGTCATCTTGCGAGATCGACCTGCAGCTGCGCACGACCCGTCGCATCACCAACACGCACACGACCCAGAAAGGCTGGTCCTTGGAAGATGCATCACCGCCTTGCCATTCTCTCGACATGAGCCTGACCCAGTCTTACCTCGCCTCCGCCCCTTCGCAAGACTCGCTCCGACACAACCTGTCACACAATCACCACAATGGCATCCATACATCCTCAAAACCCCTTTTGATCCCCACCAGTGCCCCTTCTCACCAGAATTCAACTTTCTCCATGGCTTACACTCCGGCATCCAAGGCTTCGACGGCTGCCAACAGTCCAAATGATGCCTTTTCCATGTCACAATACCAACGATCCGTTGATCGGGCTGCTCCTATGTCTCTGCCACCTTCTGCCATGTCAGAATATCCCTCTCCTTCGCCTGTTGTATCATCGTCATACACCTCTATGACCGAAGCTTTTGGCATGTCCAAAGGTACTGGTCTCATTCGTCGATTGTCTCGTGGTGCCCACAACAGACTCAGGCGAAGACCTTCCACCACACAAACCAATCGCATACGCGATCAAAGCGCTGGCCCTGTCTTAGTACGCAGAAGGAGCGATAGCACTGGACAATCTGACCTAACTGGCGACATGTCGGATCTCGACCTCGGACGTACTTCAGAGGACGGCAATGAAGATACTGTCACCTCGTATCCACCTCCGGATTCCTCAATATCACAGGGTTTGCTTGCCATGCGCAAGGCCTCAGCGACAATGACTGAAGGTGGCGTTGCACCAACCATTTCATCCGTGCTGGAGCAAGGTACGTGGCTCACCAAGGTTACCAAGAAGAAGCGGAAAGTACTTAAATTCCGCTTGGACCCTCTGGCCGCCAAAGTGTGCTGGAATCCGTCAAATCCGTCCAAACAATTCTACATTGATGATGTCCGTGACATTCGGGTCGGCGCAGAGGCAAAGACATCGCGCCAGGATATCCAAATCCCCCCTGACCAAGAGCGATGCTGGATCACCATCGTTTACGACGCATATGAGCGATCCAAGGGTAGTTCAATCAAGACCATGCATCTCATTGCTCCCAATGACTATATTGTAAAGCTCTGGACTGATGCGCTGAACGTCGTGTCACGCGAACGCATTGAGATCATGAACGCGTTATCAGCAAATCCAGAAAAGAGCGAGCGTAGCATGAGGATGGCGTGGAAACAAGCCACGTCACGTAAGAATCCTGATGCCGAACCAAAAATCGATTTCGAGGACGCAAAGTGGATCTGCCGCAAACTTGAGATTAACTGCTCCATTAACACCATTCGTACACACTTCAACCATGCGGACCATGACTTGGTTGGAGAGCTCAACTACTCGCAATATCAATACTTTGTCAATCTGTTCAAGATTCGCAAAGATGTCCAATCACTCTATTACGGCATCAAGCGCTCTGATGAGCCAGAACTGAACCAAGAGGCCTTTCTCGAGTTCCTACGTAATGAACAACACATCGACGTCGAGAAAGATCGTGCTTCGTGGGAAAACAAGTTTGAGCTTTATTGCCGAAGCGCTTCTGGCAAACCGACCGATCGTCAGGTACCTCCCACTATGAATTTGCAGGCATTCCAGACCTTCCTATCCTCCGGGTCGAACGGGGCCACTGCTTCAATCAAGTCTGACCCTACACTTGATCGTCCACTCAACGAGTACTTTATCTCGAGCTCGCACAACACATACCTTATGGGTCGCCAAGTTGCGGGTTTGTCTAGTGTAGAGGGCTACATATCGGCTCTTGTCAAGGGCTGCAGATGCATTGAGATTGACTGTTGGGACGGCAAAAACGGTCTGCCCATCGTCAATCATGGTCGAACTTTGACCACTGAAGTCATGTTCGAGGATTGCATTGCTGTCATCTCGCGATATGCGTTTGCATCTTCAGCCTATCCCTTGATCATATCGCTGGAGGTCCACTGTAATCCAGATCAACAGCTGCACATGGTCAACATCATGAAGCTCTACTTTGGAGTCGCTTTGCTTACCACGCCCCTGGTTGACAACGCATCTGTTTTGCCCTCACCAGAAGAGCTCAAGAACAAGATTCTAATCAAGGTCAAAGCAGCCTCACAGCAATATGGAGCACATGATCTGGCAGACAACCCCAGTACCCGGCAGAGAAGTTTCAGCTCACCTTTTAGTCGAGCTGCAGAGAACAGTGTTCCTCCATCACCATTGCAGAATGCTGTGAATGGTGACGGACTTGTCACGAAGTCATCGAACACTTGGCCTGTCCTCCGCGGCTCTTCATCTACTCAAAGCACAATACCGTCAACATCGAGCTCCTCTGAAGACAGTGATAGTACACCCGCTTCTGTTGATTCCAAAAAGAAAACAAACAACAAGAAGACCAGCAATATCGTGCCTGCTTTGGGTGCCCTCGGTGTTTACGCCTGCGGCATCAAGTACTCTGGCTTCTCTGCTCAAGAAGCACGGACATATAACCACATTTACTCCTTCGCCGAAAATACGTTTGATCGTATCTCCAAAGATCCCGAAGTCAAGAGTCAGCTCGAAAAACACAACTCACGATACCTCATGAGAGTTTATCCTGCTGCCATTCGTATCGATTCGTCAAACTTTAACCCTCTACAATGTTGGAAGCGTGGCGTGCAAATGGCAGCTCTGAACTGGCAGACCTATGATATCCACATGCAGATGAACGAAGCCATGTTCGCTGCTGGCACAGACCGAACTGGATATGTTCTTAAACCCGAGGAGATGCGCCACAACAAACAATCTCTAGCCAGTGGTTCCTTGCTCGACAGCTTGAAATTACTCAAACGAGGAAAACATTTGGTACAGTTCAGTGTCGATATCATCTCAGCCCAACGACTCCCTCGACCTCGTAATCACAATCCTGAACTAGGCATGAATCCATATGTCGAGTTTGAGGTGTATGCTGCTGAAGACAACAAGTCTCGTGGTTATGCCAAGGTCGACGGAGGCATTGATATTCAGCCTTCTGGTATCGGGCCTTCGGTCAAGAGAAGGACTAGACTGATCGAAGGCAATGGATTTGACCCAAACTTTGGCGATTGCTTTAGAGTGTCCCTTGAGACAAAGTATCCCAGCCTGGTATTTGTCCGATGCACAGTCTGGAACTCACCCGATGGACGCAATGCCTCATCTAACAGCACGCTCCTTGCCACCTTCACCGCAAAACTCACCAGTCTTCAACAAGGCTACCGTCACCTCCCTCTCTTCAACTCTTACGGTGAACGCTATCGTGACGCCAAACTGTTCGTCCGTATCAAGAAAGATTTACCGATTGCTTTGTCAGCAACAGAAGTCGGACCCATTGATGAGTCTTCCCCTACAGTCCCTGGTCCGCGGGCGGAATCCATAAGACAAGGGTCAAGGTCATGGTCCAGAAAGATATTCAAGCGAGCTTCGAGCGAAAGAAGACGAAGACCGCAATGGCCTGAATGGCAAGGACCCCTCAGCAGAACCTCCAGTACCGAACGATATTCATGAATCACGGCCTTGCATAACACCCCAAGATTTCCTATCTGACCTCCTTTCTACTTTCGGGTTTCTTTCTCCTCTATCCCAGACAACTGCATTCGGCTTTTCGTGGAAACTCTATAGGGTGTCAATGGTGGGATTTCTTTACGGCGTTTTTCTCTTTCTGGATCATCTCAGATACCCCCTCTCCAATCTCAGCGGCACGCACACTGCGCCGCTTTCTCGTTTTTCTCTGATTGGTTTTCTCAATCCATCGCTCGCTTTTTGCCACAGAGCAAAACAACACCCTGGTGGCGTCTCCTCCCATGACACTCGATCTGATACCCCTGTACTATTACAAAGACTTCCAGCATATGCTCATCCTTCTCAGCGGCTGGGACAAACTTGATCATTCGCTACCATTTTCATCATTGGCATTTCTTCTTCTTCTGTCTCATTCCATCCTTGTTGTCTTCTTCTTTTGTATATACATAGATTTTTCTTTTCTTGGCATTTGTCCATTGTTCTCTGGCACATGTTTGTTGGCACTTTCGGGCAGGTTACCCAATGTGTGATGGAAACACAAACGATCAACATGCCTTGGCAAATTTGCTTGTCTTTGATCAAGATTGATTGAGACTTGAAATCAAATATCGATCTTTTTCTCACCTCCTTATCAAGTGCATATTCCTTGACTGCTTTGCTTGTGCGTTATCAATAACTGAATACATCCTTGCCTCAACAGGCACGAAAATGTATACAGACATTACAAGAACATGGAGCGAGGGAGCTTTTGATAGAATTCTCGACATTGGATGCCTTTACACAGCGAAGCAGTAAGTGGCTTTTCTCGAATGCAAGACTGTTGACAGATGATTCAAGTCGTGCATTTTCTTGTGTACATTGTCGAGAGTCAGAAACATTGTTATTGGGAGATGGTGGTCAAAAAGACAAAACTCTGCAGATCGATTGGTTTGTGGGATATCTTTTCCTCGCTGGTTGGACCTTTTCCAGCAAACGCCGTGTATAACTAACTCTTCTTCCATTCTTTGGTAGAGCAGAGCTGCGGAGAAAAGGAGAAAAGGAGAAAAGAGACAAAACAACAGCAATCACCACCTCCATGCAAAAGACACCCCGCCCCCCAAGTATCTCAGAAAAAAAACTCCCGCTGCAACACAAAAGCAATACCTGTCCTTCCCAACTCCTCAAAACCCCACCAAAAACTCCTTTCATAAGCGCGAGACTCTTTCAATCTCTAACCCAGACCACCCCAAGCACCTCTGATTCTCCTTGCTAGCTGAATGTCTTTTTGCATAATGGTGACTCGTTTCGCGTGGATGGCGCATAGATTCGTGTCTTCGAAGAGGTGCACCAAAAAGGCTTCGGCGGCTTCTTGTAGTGCCATGATGGCTTGGCTTTGCCAGCGGTAGATGCCTGAGCCGGCTGGTGCCATGGATATACAGACTTCTCTGACCTATGTCACTCGACGTATCAGCACCGATTATGCCTTGCCAGACAGACCTTGCCAAAAGGTGTAAGAGTGAAAGAGTGGGATTGGGGGGAAAGGGAAGACGTACGAGTCTGGCAAATGGCAATTTCAGAATCAACAAATCGGTACTGCGTTGGTACTTTCTGATCTCGCGTAGAGCGACGGTGCCGGGTTTGTAGCGACGAGATTGTTTTACTGCGCCCACGCCTGTGGAGCTTCGTCGGGGTGCTTTTGTTTTGAGGCCTTTGCCTGCTGTGCCGACGGTTTTTCCTGCTGGTCGTGAGGCCATTGATGTTCGTGGGGCCATTGTTTGCGTGTGTGTAGTGTGGGTTGTGGGCGGAGGATAGATGGGTCAGACGGGGCGGAGAAGGTTGAGGTTGGGGTTGTCGCGTTTATGCCGCGAGAATGGCGAAGATTGGGTGAGAGTTGCGGGTGTTGGATAGTCGTCAAGGGTCGCGTATGACGTTTCTTGTGTTCCTTGCGATGCGTTGATGTTGATGTTGTTATGAGGAAAGAGCAGCAGCAGCTCAGTCGCGTTGTGCTGCTTTCGGACAAGTCGCGATCGGCACCTATCTAATCTTATCTCCGTGCCGTAAAGTCGTCCCCGCGCCTCGGCTCGTGTTGTCATCTTTTGTATTGTTGGCACTGAGCTTACGTTTATCACTTGTTTCTTTCTGAATTACTTGTCCTAATTCTTTTCACAACTTTCTTCCTAGTCAACACGTACCCTTCTTTGCGACAGAGTCATGGCAGCTATGTTGGGAGCAGGCGGTGGAGGAGAAATAGGTGGTGCTCTGCCGTTGGAACAGTGGTTCTTTGAGATGCCTGTGTGTACGCGCTGGTGGACTACTGCGACTGTCGTTACGGGACTTTTGGTGCAATGCCATGTCCTCACGCCTTTTCAACTGTTTTATTCTTTCCGCGCTGTGTTTGTGAGGAGTCAGGTATGAATTTCCTACTATCTCTCGCCTTCTTGCTGTCCTTTGCTAACTCGAAGTCTACAACAGTACTGGCGCCTCTTCACCACCTTCATCTACTTTGGCCCTTTGTCTCTAAACCTCCTCTTCCACATCTTCTTCATCCAACGCTACGCCCGCATGCTCGAAGAATCCGCAGTCTCTCAAGCCCACTTTACCTGGATGCTTGCCTACGCAGTCACAACTTTGCTGCTGCTGGCACCAATGGTCTCTGTCGTGTTCCTCGGCAGTATACTTAGTAGTACTTTGGTCTATATCTGGAGTCGCAAGCATCCAGATGTGCAGCTTTCATTCTTGGGGCTTTTTGTGTTCAGAGCGCCGTTTTTGCCTTGGGTTATGATTGGACTTAGTGTGGTTATGCATGGCAATTGGCCCAAGGATGAGTTGTGTGGGATTGCGGTGGGGCATGGTGAGTTTTTGATCGCTGCTTCTCCTCCGTGTTTCCCGAGAAATGGCATTGCTGATATTGGAGTCTTCACAGTCTACTACTTCTTCAACGACATTTATCCGGCAAACCATAATGGCCAACGACCACTGGATCCTCCCATCTGGTGGCAGAGATTGATAAGAGGCAATGCGGCTGTGGATGCAGAGCTACGCCAACAAAGACCAACCGACACTGCTGCTCCTGCTGTGCAAGCGCAATGAATGAGATGCCCACCATTCTTTCCTTCTTTTGCTTTCTGGCATAGCGATACAACAAGTATAGAATTTGCATTACTTTCTTTTCTTCACCATTAAATCTGTTTCGGTCATGACTTAGTGTGAAAACTGTGGTGAAGTCTTCAATATGAACAAGGACCTTGATGGCTTGGATTCGAAGATTTGGGTATACTCAAAGTCTTGCCGTGGCCTTAATGAGGGCGCATATCAAGCCCTTCCCTTGCCCTTCCTCTCTCTTTCTCTATCCCACTCTTTGGCTTTCTTCCCTTTATCCCCCACAATCTCCCTCGTCTTCTCTCTCGGATCAATAACCTCAAATTCCTCCATTTTCCTCTTCCATTCCAGATCCTTGCCCAATGTGTCTTTTGCGAAGCTCAATGCATGCGACATCCAAGTAGTATCATTGTCATCCTCCTCTTCTGCATTTTCAGCCTCATCATGCCAATTACTGCAACTCTGACAATTGGCAATGAAGTGTAAATCGCATAGCTTTTCTTCTGTGTCCACTGATGATTCTGTTGCTTGTTTGTTGTCTGGTATTGTTGTTGTGGTGGTTGTGGTCGTGGATATTTTCTCAGCGGGCAGTTTTTCGAGTCTCTTTTTGAAAGCGTTGAAGGTCGAGAGTGAGGAAGCGTCTTCTTTTGCTTTTCCTCGTTTGCGGCCGCGCGTTGCTGAGGCCGGAATCATCATCTCGAGAGCAGAGAGTTTCTTCTCCGGTGCTGAAGTGGTTGTTGTCGTACGCTTCATCGAAGCTTTTAGTTGTGCGATCTCGGCATTGGTGCGTTCGAGGGCAGTGGGCTTGCGGCGTTCCGGAGAAGGTGTAGGTGATGGTGAAGGAGATTTTGCTGGTACGGGTTTACTCAAAGGTACAGATGCATGACTTGTCGCTGGTACCGGTGGATGAGGTGAGGGCGATCTGGAAGGAGATGGTTTGCGAACGGGCTTCTCTTGCTTTGGTTGTTGGGGAGCTTTTGGCAAGGCAGAGTTGTTTTGGATTTCTGGTTGTTGCGGTTCGGCAGCGGTAAAGTTTGGATTGACCTTTGCTTTCTTGACTACTGGTGCGGTAGGTTCTTCTCCTTCTTCTCCTCCAAAACTCAATAGCGTCTTTGTGGCCTTGCGCTTCTTCTTGGGAGCCTTTGTTTCTTGTGGTGTGAATGTGGCAATCGAGGCTTGCTTGACCATGTCACTGAAAGGATTGAGAAGGACTTCTGTAGAGACGATTCTTGTAGGGTATAGCGGCCTGTCAGAGCCATCTTCAGCCAGGTCGGCCTCGGCCATCTTCATCAGATTGTAAATGGTATCTCCTTCGATACGGCCAAACATGGTATTCTTGTCCTGCAGCTCGGGAGTCTTGTCCAAAGTAAAGAAGAACTGAGAAGTGTTGTCATTCTTGTCTCCAGAGTTTGCCATGCCCAGCAGACCACGGCGGTTGAACTTGAGTCGCGAGTGGAATTCGTCGGCGAAAGGAGCTCCATCATTGATGGCGCTCACACCACCGGACCCAGTTCCAGTAGGGTCGCCACCCTGGATGATGAAGCCTGGGACCAGGCGGTGGAAGATTGTGCCATCGTAGTAGCCGTTCAGACAGTGTTGAAGAAAGTTGCGAGATGCGAGAGGAACTTGTTTGGCGAAGATTTCGACGACGAGATCACCGGACGTGGTATTGAGCAGGACCTTGGCCGTCGGCGGTGGCTCGAGATTGTATAGGGTCGACATTGTGTATGCCAGAGTATGAAAAAGAATTGCGAAAGTCGCAACGAGGAAAGAGCGACTTTCACGAGTTGTCCAAGCTCGTCCCCATTGACATCAGTGAGGCAGGCGCGATTGCGGGGTGAGACAAAGCCTCGACTTGGTCGAGTTTCAAGCTCACACTGTTGCATACCACATCACATCACATTAACGAGCAAACACAATAAATCATGTCGGAGACAATGTTTGCACAAGCCCTCATGTCGGGTCTGGAGAAGCGTCCTACCAGACTCGCCAGCGATCACGTCTCGGATCCTAGGAAATACCCTGCTCAAGCTCCCGTATGTACCCTTGAAACCAATGTCTCGCTCCACGACCTCTGACCTACTTCATCTAGTATACCCTCCCCAAGCCAGTCCATCCTTTCCCTCGCCGCCAAAGGCCTACCGCTGGCCAACAATCTCAAGCCATCAATGTCACTCTCAAGCCACTCAAGGGTTCTGATCAACTCGACCTCCCGAGCCAACCTCTTAACACTACCATTCTCGATCTCAAGGCTCAATACGCCCAGAAGTACAGCCTCGACAAGACGAAGATCAAGCTTCTTATGAACAAGAGACCATGCACCGATCTCAAGACCCTCAAGGATCTCCTTCCTGACCCACTTCCCACCAAGGCTGATTTCAGCGTCATGCTTCTGGCTGGTGCTTCCACTCCCCTTCAACCTTCTACTCCTGCACCTGCTTCACCAGTAGTCAAGGCCGGCGATTCACAAACCCTCCCTCCTGATTCCGCCCCCTTATCCGAACATGCCCAAGCAGAAGCCGAAGCTCTTCCTCACGCCCACGATACCGCTACTCAGATGTTGCAGTCCGATGAATTCTGGGCCGATCTCAAGGACTTTTTGGTTCAAAGGCTACGTGACGAGAATCAAGGCGAAAGGCTTGTTCGTCTCTTCCGTTCAGCTTCTACTTAGCATGCATGCTCTCTTGTGAGCCAATCCACTATCTTACGGCAAGAAAAATGAACGTTTGCAGAGTCCACAACGTGGCATATCAGAACCTTAAACTCCAATCCTCCTTGACCACGAATCAATCTCTCGACTCGCAGCATTTGAGTTTGTTCGAGTCTTTTTTCCTTCTCTTTTTTTTTCGTTTCGCCATCCAAAAGTTCAAGCCCATCCTATGCCCTCTTGTAGCTCTCCCTGTCTTTCTTTCATCTCAACCCCATCACGAGAATGTTGTTGAGTTATCTATCATTTCTGCTGCCTGTGCTGGTGCAAGCAGCTCCTCGGAGTCTGCATTATAGACAATCTCGAGCACCGTAAGTTGAGCAACTCTGTTCGGCTACACCACACTTGCAGTCAGATGAGTCACGGAACACACATCTGTGTTTGTACTAGACCTCAAGCTAGATGTCCAACTACAACTCAGGGCACAATAATACTAATTCACTTCGCAGCAGCAGCTCACCCCCCTGGAAGCTTACGCTTCGTGGAAATGATTCCTCGACCATCTCTCCTGCCGTCTCGCCCACCGGGACGGCCGCACTTTCAGCTCCAGACTCTCCGTGCAAGAGCGTACGCTTAGCCTTGCAACCCCCGCAAAACTCGTCGACAAAGCCCAGCTTCAGGGTACCTGCGAAGCTCGCATATGATTGTTTGAATTCCATACCATTCAATCAGAGCGCTGCTGCTGCCTTGATGGAGTCTATGAGACCATACCTGGACTGGCAATCAACTACTTCTTACATAAAAGATCCACCGAAAGAGGTGCGTGCATTACATCATACCTGTATGCGATGTCCAATTGCTGATTTTGGATGGTAGTATGCAGAAGCAGTCCAACCACCTTACGATTTCTGGGCTACTTTCAACGCTATTGAAATGAACGTTGCCCGTGGAGCTTATGCCAGCGAGTATGACTTTGGTTGGGATCTTTACCTAGCCACTCAAGAAGCACATGATGGTCATTTCAGCTTCATTCTAGATGTCATTGGTAACGTCTTTTCTTTCGGGCGCACGACTGCACTCGTCTCTGTGTCCGAGAATGGTAAAGATTTACCAGCGATCTATGTGTACGCAGACATTCTGGCTGCCCAGACTGGAAACTCATCCTTCAATCCTTCTCAAGTCGTTCTGATCGATGGCATGGACGCCACTGAGTTCTTACTCGACTGGGCACAGTATGGAGGTCATCAAGACAAGGATGCTTTGTGGAACAATCTCTTCTACTCACCTGCACAAGTCTCGCTTGGCGGCAGTGGTACAGGAACTGGAACTTTTGCTGGAAATGGCCGTGGTCGCTTGGTGTACCCTGGGCCGAGTACCGCCCTGACCTTTGCTAATGGAACAAATGTCACCACCGAGAACTACGCCAGGGCTCATATCAGTTTCAAAAACATCGATTCTGGAGCGGACATATACAGGGAATACCTTATACCCAAGTCTCCGCCGCATCTTGATGTTTTGGAGATGGTCCAACGCAGCGAAACGAAGCATGATGAGAAGAGGAGTAACAATATTCGTGTTCCTTACCTCAATAATACGCTACCCTCTCACCATCGCAAACACCGTGGCATAGATGCTCCCGGATATCCGCCTCCAGTCACCAGACAAAGGCACAACATGAATGGAGGTTACTTCCTCGAAGGACCAGGTTTTGAAGATGTTGCTGTCTTGACAGTGGCATCTTTTGTCCATCAACCATTCGTCGGACAAGAGTTCAAGAAGGTCAATTTCGACTTCATCGCCGCCGCCCTGGCTGCAAATAAGACCAAGCTGATCATAGACGTCAGCGCCAATGGTGGCGGTGTAATCCTCCAAGGCTACGATCTCTTCAAACAGCTATTTCCCTCTATACATCCCTATGGCGCCTCTCGCTTCCGTGCACACGAAACTATCGATTGGCTAGGTGAAATATACTCGAAATTTGGCGCTCAACTCAACAGCAGTAGCACCTCTATCAACAATTTCCAACTCGCGCCTTGGGATTACCGCACTGATCTGGATTCTGACGACAAACACTTTACCTCTTGGAAAGGAGAAGGAGGAAAATACGGACCTCATGGATATGGAAATGATACGTTTACCTCGCTCATGCGATGGAATCTCAATGACCCACAACTGCCGCAATATTCTGGCGGCATCACAGTTTCAGGCTATGGCGAGGGTACCAACACCTCCTACTCCCAGCCTTTCGAAACCCAGAATATTATTTTGGTATATGATGGCTATTGCGCTTCCACCTGCGCCATCTTCTCGGAATTTATGCGCAGAGAAGCTGGGGTTAAGACCATTGCACTAGGAGGAAGACCTTCCTTACATCCCATGCAAGGCGTCGGCGGCGTCAAAGGCGCCAACATGTATACCTGGTCCCACATCTTTGGGGCTGTAAACAACGCCAAGGGGTTCGCTGAGAAACTGCTTTATCAAGATTTGAACAATACTGCGTTGGGCAGGTATACCTCTCTCGCGTTGGCTAGAGCCACAGTCGCAGGAGTCAACTCCCGCGATGGAATTAGGAGAGATGACGATGAGCAGATTCCTTGGCAATTCCTCTACGAACCTACCGAGTGTAGGATTTTCTATACCAAACAGATGGTGCTTGATCAAAGTGCGGTTTGGAAGACTGTGGCTGATACTGTGTGGGGAAGAGGGAATGCTTGCGTGGTGGGCGATAATGAATTTTACGGAAACAAGGAAGGTGGTTATGATGCTGATGTTGAGGTTAGTGAGGAAGGACAGGAGCAGAGGGTGTGGGATATTAGTGAGGGATTTGATGTTGAAGGGGCGTGGAAGGGCTTGGAGGTTGAGACTGAGCATGAGTGGGATCATGACAAAGGTGATTGTGTCGTGTATCCCTGAGGGCACCACGACTCTGTTGCCAGAAAAGAGAATCAAAGCTGCGACTGTAATGGGCAAGGCGATGTAGACTTTGGTCGTCAAAGAAAACTAGGAGTACCGAGAATATAAAGGTATTACAGAGTCATCTACCAAACAAGAACATGTCTAGTTCGTTTCTTGCCTAGCTTTATAGGCATTCACCGATCCACCTGCCAAGATCTTCGCTTGTGTTTTTTCAGTTGTCGTAGCATCTTCAACTCCACCCTCTTGTACAGAACCCCAACCGCCACCACCAGGAGAGTTGATCACGATCCTGTCGCCTTCGCCAAGTTTGATCGTTCCCTTGGCTCCAAGATTGACCACTCTTTTCTCACTAGAGTACTCATCTTTCTTAATCACCAAATTGAGACCAGCAGCGCCAGCCTCACCTCCTTCAAGTCCATAAGGTTGGCGACTGCGGCGTTCAGAAAGAATCGAACATTGCACTGGCATGCGGAACTCGATATCGCGGATTGTGCCTGCACCACCGTTGTGCTTGCCTTTACCGCCAGAGCCTTCGCGTAACCCGAATTGACGCAAGATGCATGGGTAGCGCTTCTCGAATACTTCGGGGTCGGTGATGCGGGTGTTAGTCATGTGGGTGTGCACGCCACTCTGACCTTGCCAGGTTGGTCCTGCTCCTGAACCGCCGGCGATGGTTTCGTAGTAACCGAAGCCATTGACGTGGTTGCCATTTGCGTCTTTGCCGCCTGTGCCGAAGGTCAGGTTGTTACAGCAGCCTTGACTGGCGGCGCACGCGCGGAAGGCAAGAAGTACGACATCTGTAATGCGTTGGGAGGTAAGGACGTTGCCGCCAACGACACCGGCGCCTTTTGCTGGACTCAACAGCGAGTTCTCCGGAATCTTGATCTCGACGGGATTCAGACAACCTTGGTTGAGAGGGATATCGGAAGAAATGAGCGCACGGAGACAGTAGATGATTGCTGAGTTTGTGATTGCAACTGGTGCGTTGGTGTTGCCATAGACTTGTGGTCCCGTTCCTGCGAAATCGAAGACGGCAGTTCCGGTTTCAGGTTCGATGGTGATCTCGAGGGCGATTGGTGTTCCGTCGTCCATGTAATCGATTGCTTTGAGAGGCTTTCTGCCGAATTGTTCGTACTTTTGCTTGAGCAATTCTCGAACGGCAATGTCGCTTGCTCTTTGGATGGCATACATGTAGCGATGTACGGTGGGCAGGCCGAACTCACTGATCAAGCCCTTGATCAATGTAATTCCACGCTTGTTGGCGGCGATCTGTGCTTTGAGATCTGAGATGTTGTCCTGCAGACATCTAGTACCGGAACAACCATCGTACCGCGCAGGCTCTTCAAGAAGCAGCTTAGTGATAGCTTCTTCATTGAACCTGCCTGCCTCAACAATCTTAAGTGATTCAATAGCTGCACCCTCCTGATACAGAGAGTGGGAGGTAGGGGGCATGCTTCCAGGTAGAATACCGCCAATATCGGCGTGGTGTCCTCTTGAAGCAACATAGAAAGCGATCTCCTCGCCATCAAAGACGGGAGTGATGACCGTGATATCCGGAAGATGTGTTCCACCACAGGAAGGGTGGTTCGAAACAAGCACATCGCCGTCCTTCAACTTGCCTTTCCAAAGGTTGTGTTGGTATTTGACTGCAAATTGCATGCTTCCAAGATGGACCGGAACGTGAGGTGCGTTAGCTACCAAGCCACCATCGTTGGAGAATAGCGCGCAGGAGAAGTCAAGTCTCTCCTTAATATTGGTAGATACTGAAGTCTTCTGAAGAGTTCTACCCATCTGCTCAGCAATGGACATGAAGCGATGGCCGAAGATAGAGAGCTGGATGGGACTGAAGTCATCGTTCACAAGTACCCTGTCAACAGCTGTGGTAGAAGTCTCGTGGTCGATCACGACGCAGCTCTCGAGCACATTGGCCACAGCGTTGGGAAGAACGACTATAGTTTGAGTCTTGTCGATGATCAACGCTGGGCCAGAAATTTTGCTACCGACAGCAATAGCAGGCAGCTCGTAAGTCGGTGTGTCTAGGTAGCCCAAGCCTTCGTAGTAAACGCGGTTTGTCGCATTAGGTACAGCTTCAGATACATTGAGAGAAGCGGCCTGCTCCAACTGTGCATAGGGGCTGGCAGCAATCTTCTCGTGGGCAGCTCCGATTGCTCTGACACGGAGGTCGTCAACAAGAATCGGCTTCTCTCGGAAGAGGAAGCCGAATTCGCGTTGATGTCTCTCCTCGAATGCCGATTGGAAGTCCCAATCAGCACCCTTGAGCACCATGAGAGAGCTACTTGAGCCAGCATATCGAAGGTTCAAGAAGGTCTCGTAAGTGATACTCTCATCCGTGAAACCTTGATCTTTCAGCTCAAGAGATGCTTCGAAAGCAAGGTCTTCAAGCTGTCTCTGGATGGCTTGTTGAGTCTCTGCAGAGTAAGTTATGGCTGCTGGCTTCTGAATCTCGTGAACGACATCTGCTAGACTCATACCGTAAGCAGACAGGATACTGGAGTATTTGTGAATGATGATACGCGAGATGCCGAGCACCTTGGCCACGGAGCATGCGTGTTGGCCACCAGCACCACCGAAACAAGCCAGGTGATGTGCAGCTGTATCATGGCCTCTGGCCTCTGTCAGACCTCTGATAGGTCTGGCCATACCTTCATTTGCGACGTTCAGGAATCCTAATGCGACTTCTTCAGGTGTGAACGTGACGGCACCGTCTCGGCGCTGCTGCTGGTTGATCTCTTCTGTCAGAGCCAAGAACTTTTGTGCTGTAATATCGCGGTCGAGCGGTTGATTCTCCTTGGGGCCGAAGATTTCAGGGAAGTAATCCGGTAACAGTCTTCCCAAGAACAGGTTGGCATCAGTCACGGTCAAAGGTCCACCTTTGCGATAGCAGGCAGGGCCGGGGTGAGCAGAAGCAGATTCGGGACCGACATGGAACAATCCGTTCTTCCATGTGAGGATAGAACCTCCTCCTGCTGCTACAGTGTTGATGTCCAGTTGAGGTGATTGAATGGAGACACCTGCAGTCGTGGTCTCAAAGACATGCTCGTATACGCCAGCGTAACGAGACACGTCTGTACTAGTACCACCCATGTCGAAACCAATGATAGGGCGGCGTTCCTCGTCGTCCCAAGATGTTTGAGCGTAACCAACAACACCACCAGCTGGACCGGAAAGGATACCCTTGAGACCGCCGAACCTGCGGAAGTCAACAAGTCCACCATCTGATTGCATGAACTCGCAGCGAGTGTTCTGTGCCCCGAGACCACCCCTGAAGTTTTCTGAGATGGAGCTGATATATTGCTTTATGACTGGTGTGAGGTACGCATCTGCTGTAGCACTCATTCCTCTGGGTACAGCCTTGATCATTGGCTGCAACGCGCTTGATAGAGATACTGAAAAGCCCATAGAGACAGCCAGGTTGCCAACAAGGTTCTCGTGAGCAGGATATGCGTAGGAGTGGAGGAAGACGATTGAGATTGATCGATAGCCTTGCTCCCATAGTGATTCCAGCGTTTTGAGAATAGCTTCCGGATCTGGTCGTTGCAGTATACGAATGCGTTCTCCAGTGACAGCCTCCACAATGTCAGGATCTGTGGCATCAAGATTGACCGTCTCGGGACTTGGGTTTTCTGTGTAATCTTCCATGGTCACACGCTCACCGACTTCTATTACGTGCTCGTAAAGGACATCAGGCTTTGCTGCTGACAGATCAAAAATGTTGGGTCGCGATTGGTTGCCGATGAGAAGCAGATCCTTGAAGCCTTTTGTGATGAGCAAGGCAGATCTGGCTCCTTTGCGCTCGAGCAACGCGTTTGTAGCGACTGTCGTGCCCATTCTGATGGATTCAATGTGAAAGAGGTCGAGTAATTGGCCTCTGGGATGCGGTTGGCCAGTGGCCAGTTCCAGGATCCGTCTGATACCTTCTGTCGGCGCATCTTGGTAATTTGCAGGATCTACTGAGAGAAGCTTGATGATAATGTCTTCGCGTCCAGGTATCGCGGCATGAACGTCAGTAAAAGTACCGCCTCTATCAATAGAGACGCGGATTTGGAGCGGTTTGATGGCCATGTTTGTCGAAAGGAAGGTCGAGTAATACTAAATTGAGTATGCCCGAAGCCTGAAGGCCTTCAAGATGGACTTATATTGCGAACCTACCTTGCTTCGGAGGCCACCATACTGATTGAACTCACATAATGAGAATTGCTTGACTGACCAAACATGATCGGAGACCCCTACCGCGGTGTTGGAGTCAGAGGGTTGTGCCCGGACGTCGATAAGGGAACGAGCGATCGGGGACCCACACCGACGCTTTGACCATCTCTCGCGCGCTCTTTCCCCGACAGACGACCCCACTGGTACTTTGATACCATTCCCGAATGTGCTCGCCTATCAGTAGCCATAGACTTGCGCGGAGAGCGTGATAGCTTGCCCGTGAAGCCGATATAGGGTACATTAGTATATCAGTGCCAATCATGTAGGAAGGTCAAAGGTAACCAACATATTGCACGTCAAAATGGCTATATCGAAATTGTCTACTGGAGAGGCTGTCCGTTTGGCAGCGAGAGAAGGCAGTCTTGTCGGCGTCACATCAGGCCTCGCTCCTTCCTTTCTCCAAGCAAACCTCATCGTCCTACCTTCTCGCTATGCTGCTGATTTTCGCCTCCTCTGTGCTCGAAATCCTGTCCCTTGCCCTCTCCTCGCGGAATCGTCACAAATTGGGTCTTACGATAGTCTGAAGTCCTACATTGCTGGCCTGAAAGGAGACAAAATTGCATCTGACATCGACATCCGTTATGATGCTCCCAGATACATGGTCTACCAAGACGGAGTCTTGTCAGCTTCGCACGTCGAAGACATCTCTGCAGAATGGACTGAGGATCATGTTGCTTTCTTGATCGGATGTTCATACAGCTTCGAAACTGCTTTGATTAATGACAAGCTGTCGCCTCGCCATTCTGTCATGCAAAGGAATGTTCCAATGTACAGAACGAACATCCCACTTTGTCCTGCTGGTGTGTTCACCGGAGCAACATATGTTGTATCAATGCGTCCATACAAGCGATCAGACATTGAAAGAGTGAGAGACATTACGCGACCATTTGTCACTACACATGGCGAGCCTATCGCTTGGGGCTGGGATGGTATGAAAAGTTTGGGCATTCCAGATATTAGTAGACCTGACTGGGGCGATGTCCCACTGGAGATGGATGGACAGCCGCTGGATTCGAGCAACGATGATGTTGTTCCTGTGTTCTGGGGATGTGGTGTTACGCCTCAGGAAGCTGTCATGAGAGCTGGGCTGAAAGGCATCGTGTTGGGCCACGCTCCTGGGCACATGATTCTGCTAGATGTAAAGGACGAGGACGTCTTTAGCATCCATTAGAATTTATGCAGCAAGATTCTAGCCAAAGATGCAAACATCTCGAGTTCAAAAGACGCAAATTGTCTTCTATCGTTGTATGATAGCCTTCTTGAGCCCCATTGTATCAGTTTGAGCTTTCGGAAATTTGTAGCCACCACACCACTATCTGTGAAATCACCTCTGCACCTCGACTAATGCAATCAATATTGAACCGATACTCTGTTTCGAATCATTGTACATATTGCGCTGCATATAAATCAAATCAATCCTATATTGATTGTATCTACAGATGGTACTTGAAGTCTGTAGCAGCATCTCCAGTCTGCACCTTTCTGGTGTCCGCCTCGCCATTCGCGATTCTTTCCTTAACATTGTTGCAGTGTCTGAGGTAAAGCCACTTGCAAGCGATCAAGATTTGTGCAACACCGAGCGCACCGAGCGAGAAAGAGTTGCCAAGGACATAAGGGCTCTTTCTGTAGATCTGTCCTGCAACGATACCTGCAGTGTTTCCAATGGTTTGTTGGAAGCCAATTGCGGTAGCTCGGCGATATTGTGGTGCCACGTTGACATTGAGCCAACTCATGTTCAATCCAGGTCCGTTGTAGACAGCAACAGCACAGAAGAAAGTGCCGAGGAATTTGACGCCGTGTGGTGTTGGGCAAATAATCAAGATGTAGCCGATTATTCCGAAGATGTTCGCGAATGCTACTAGTGGTCCACGAATACTTGTACGGTCGGAGAACCAAGCGACGAGCATGAATGCGAGACCACCGAAGATGTACACCGGAATGGTGAGGTACTGTGCTTGAAGGGAGTTGTAACCCAGCGACTTGATGATACTTGGTAGGAAGGTCGAGAATCCGTACAGAAGAATGTCTTGACAGAATCTATGGGTAGGTATTAGTGACTGGAGTTTTCGGGTCTATGAAGGTAACACTTACTGGATCATGCCACTGAGAATGACTTTAGGATCGGTCAAGGCGACCTTCACTTCTGCCCAGCTGAAATGCTCAGATCCCATGTAGGCTGCACGCTGCCTTGCTCTGATCTGCATCAGCTGCTTGTCGTCATCGTTGAGGAAGTAAGCAGTGTTGGGGTCGTTGGGCAAGAAGGCAAACACAACAATTGCTACACCAACTGAGAAGATACCCTGAGATATGTTAGCCTTGATGCAGCGAAGCAATAGCTTCTGACTTACCTCGATGATGTAGACCCATTTCCAGCCAGCAAGACCGGACACTCCATCCATTTGGAGGATTCCGTATGCCAGAAGACCACCAAAAGCACCCGCGAGGGCAGTGCAAACGAATAGGTAGGCCACTCTCTTAGCCATCTCCTCTCTCTTGTAGACCATGGTCAGATACAAGTTCAAGCCTGGGAACAGACCTCCCTCGCAGGCTCCAAGAACAAGGCGAGCTGCATACAGACCACCAACGCTGGTGATAAATCCACTGAAGATTGTCGTCAAACTCCAGACGACGCAAAGCCCACCAATCGTGTACTTTGGCGTGAACTTCTTCAACAGAACAGCCCATGGCGTCTCTGACAGAACATATGTGGCATAGAAGATCGATACTGCCGTCGAGAATTGCTCTGCGCTTGCACCAATATCTTCGGGCATGCCAGCAACTTTCACCTAGTTCATGTCAGCTAAGGCAATGCCATCGTCTTGGTGCCATGATCTTACGTTTCCGATATTGCTGCGATCCAAGAAGCAGGCCAAGTAAGTCAGCATGATGATGGGTACCAATGCCAGATCCAACTTGGCTAGGAGCTTCTTCTCCCTAGCAGGGTCAATGAACTCTCCAGCCTGTACGTCGACAGCATTCTTCTCGCCGTCTAACGTGTGATCGTATTTCTCAGACATGATGTGAACAGATATGGATTGACAGGTGACGAGTTGATGCAAGTTGAGAAGATGGGCCAGACTTATGCAATATGTATGCGTACTTGCCTTCAGACATGATGTTCAGCCGATCTTCTGCCTATCTCGTAGATATGCCTCCAACCACGAGGCGTGTGTACCCCGCATGGGCGGGATTCTGCTCCAGGAGATAAGGTTCCGTTTTCTCTGAGAAGTGACATTGCCGTTGCGAGCTTTGATCGCTCTCAACAAGTCAGGGTATCGGAATGGAACAGCGAGCAATTAGCAGAGAGAGCGATTAGCAGGATAGCATTGATCGGGGTCAATGAGCGAGCCGCCAAGCCACCAAACTGTAACAGGACACGCTATCGCCCTATCAGGAGTAGTCCGAGCGTCTGATACCTATCAGCCGCTGCACAGCGAACACCGGCGCAACGTCTGACTCGTGTACAGGGCGCTACTAATATTCATTATCACATCGCGTTGATGCCACGAACCATACCCATGTCTCTGGCTCCTACCTGATCTCCGGGGATGTTCTGTTCTGAAAACGCTTCCACAGTTGCAGACTCGCTCGTTGTTGCCGACAGTCCTCTTTGCAGTACTGATATCAGTCTGGGGAAGTCACATCCCCGCTAATTGAGACGATCGGCAAGACCAATGTAGGACAAGAGAAATGGCTGCGAATATAGCAGGCACCTCCCCGTCATCTGAATCAAATCTGAGTCGTCCTGTGGCTTGCAAAAGATGTCGAGGGCGTCGCACATATTGCTCCAAGGAGCAGCCTATTTGTGCAAGCTGTAGAGAAGGCAATCACGAGTGTGTTTATGAGTCTGGGCGTAAGATTGTGGTCTCAGAAAGGTGATGTCTGTCGAGTAATGCATTTGAAAGCATACTTGTTAACGTCTGTCCAGCTATCTGCGAGATCTCGAAGCCAAGCTGAAGTCGTATGAAGGTGAGTAATATCATATCAACCCAACTCTGACAATCATCATACTGATTTGTGCCCATAGCGAGTTCAGCAACTGCAGCTCCACAGCCCTCGTCTGTTGGCAGAAAGAACGATCCAGAGCTCGACGTAAACCCTCTCATGGACAATTTTGCCAACCTTGTCATCAGCCCATCCGGCAAACATCACTACCTGGGAAGCTCTTCATCTACAATTCTTGGCAGGAGGTTTCGAGATATCGTAGGTATCACCAACTCTGGACTAGACCTCGATCAAGAGTACTCGACCTACAACCACTCCGCTCTGCGTTTGCGGCGGCTGTCAGTCGTTGATAATGTTATGCTACCCCCTGCTGCATTTGCCAAGCGCCTCTACATTGCTCAACATTCGTATATCGGGACAATCTTTGCGTTTTGTACCCCAGATGTGTTTGAGGAACAACTTCAACAAGCATATCGAGGACCTCCAGATATTGGCGATAGAGAAGCCTGCCTCGCATACTGCCAAACACTTCTAGTACTGGCGTTCGGTCAACTATATTCTGTCAACCAATGGTCTGGTTTCGATGGTCCTCCAGGATTCGACTTCTTCACTCAAGCTCTGCAATATCTACCAGACATGTATGAAGAAGGTTCAGTCCTCTTTGTGGGCGTCTTGGCTCTGATTGGATACTTTTTGCAGAATCTCAATCGCCGCGATGCTGCCTTCTTGTATGTAGGCACTGCGTTGAGAATGGCCATCTCTCTTGCCTTACATCAAGAAGTACCAGACCCTCGGCTCGACGAAGCGAGCAAAGAGCAACGCCGTCGCATCTGGTGGAGCGTGTATTCGTTGGACAGGATACTCTGCGTCAAATCTGGCAATCCTTTGACTATCGACGATCAAGACATTGCTGTAAAGCTTCCAAACAGACTCAGCAACGAGCCAGAATACTGCCCCGCAGTGTGTTTACGACATTACACGCAACTATCACGAATTCTTGGACGAATCATGAAAACCATTTACAGAAGAACACCCAAGAGCGGATCAACACTTATTGCATCTGTTTCCGAGATCATGACTGATCTTTCTACATGGCACCGAGACTTGCCTAACGAGCTCCGCTTTGATCCTGCAAAGCTGAACGTATCTCGAGAGTCTGTTTCAACATTCTTGCACTATCATCAATGCATCAATCTCACCGCTCGACCTCTTCTCTTCCATGTGGTAGAGAAACGTCTACACGGTAATGCTGACGATCTTAGCAAGGATTGGAGAGACGGCCTATCTCCTACTACGATTGCTGTGATTGATATGTGTGTTAGCGCAGCCAAAGACTCTGTGAACATGATGACTTTGGCTGCCACGAAAGACCTGGTTGCAACATATGGCTATATGGATGGTGAGCATGCTTTTTCTGCTGCCATCGTCCTCGTAATGGTCTGTGTTGCGTTCCCTGCCACCAGATCAGAGTTTATGGCTATGGATCAAGCACTTGAGCTTCTTCAAGGCATGGCTGAAAGAGGTAATACACACATTGCTGCAAGGCATCAGCTGCTCTCCCACTTGCGCTCTCTGATTTCACTGCCATCTGTCAACGTCGCCTCTACACCACCGGCTGCATCAATGCCTCAACAAAACACAACGTTTGTCGATGTCAATCAGATGCTGTCATACGATGCTGGCAATGTGGACTTTGGTCTGTGGGAGGAAGGTTACACAAATCCAGATCTTGATATCGACTTCCAGGACCTGACTCAATGGACGCAAGCGGCACAAAACACCTACGGCATAGGATCAATGTGACTGCAGCTTATGGTGACGTGAAGTTGTGATTAAGAAAGCTCAGAGCCCATTTTCCAGCGATCAAATGCAAGCCCAGAGGAGACTCTCGAACTCATGGCCGATGGCAAGCTCGGTGTGTCGCTAATATCAACCCGACCTGAAAGCCTTGGCTACAATACCCAGTAGTCTAATCTCGTTACCATCTTTGCCTTTACCTCGCATATTGATCTCGTCACATCATTCAAATGGAACTCTGCGACACGAAGTTTGCAAACGACTTTTGCCAGATTGCGTCAAAACTGTGCTACGCTCTCAAGATCAATCCTACAGCCACAGACATCTATGCGATTTAGGGATTCAGGATGCCCTCTGCAAGAATGTCAACATCGCGAACCACCTAGTGAGAGTGGGAAACTAGGTCCATAGCCCCTGCCTCCGTTTCCCCCTCTCCGTAGCCAGCTGCCGTTATGATACTCTTTCATGCCTCAACTCCAACAACAAAGCCGTTTAGAGAAGTATCCATTATCTCGGCTTCATGGACCTGGGTTTCTCTCTCCCATGCCTCCACATGCATTGGCAGCAATTGTGCAGTCCATAGCGTCGAGCTCCTCCTTAACCTGCAGAAGCTCCTGCTTGGTGGCAGCAAGCTCTGAAGCAACAGCCTTAGCTTCAGTAACAGAACCAGCGGCCAGTGCAGATTAAACTATTCTTGAAGGTTGCAAAGGAGATCTCATCCGTCACATGAGTTCAGTCCATATAGAGCGAATGGACATGTTCTTGTTATCTCGCTATCCATATAAACCATAACCTCTTGTTCCACACTCCCACTACAAACAGACCACAAAGCAAAGTACTGTCCGCAATCGTTAGATGCTGCTCTTTCAGCTGAAACGTTCTGGAAAGGAGAAAGGGGAACAGAGGAGAGAAGGAAACAATCAGGTCCGTATCCCTTCTCTTCTCTCCCGAGTCTCCTCAGTGATGTGCATCAGGGGCTTGGACATCAGCAATCCGTTGTGAGATGTACAGGGGACTTCTTGCATCACAAACCCGATGACTTCTTCTCGTGCTCTGTGTGGTATTCACGCTAGTCTGTGAAGCGCAGCTCACGGTCGAGTTTCTTGATCTAGCGATCATGTGTTCGTGTCTCTTGTGATCGTTGACAAGTCTTCTGATCTTGTTCTTGTATAGGGTTGTCGAATTCAGGGTTGTGTTTATCCTCACTCCGCTTGGCTTGTTAGTCTCGTGCTATGGCGACCAGATGGTGGTCCTGCTCTATGGTGACTTGCTCGGTTAGGTCCTCACGCCTCTCGTTTATGGTACGGATGACAGCGTCATGGTCTCAGGCAAGTTTTCTAATTTATTTTTAAGATCATTCACCAAACAAAACATTGTTGTATTCGTCTCCTCAACTCGCCTCTCCCTTTCTTCAACATTACTTTATGTACAAAAGTCTGTTAGAAACAACCCCTACAGTACTACTCTTCTCATGTCCACATCTTCTTTCATCAATTCATCATAACGCAAAAACGAATGTTGACAAAACTGGATCTACTTTTCAGAATTCCTTGCACTCCGCTCGGTCATTCTACCAAGTCGAGTGGTAGCCAGTGGGCTGAGTGTAAGTGGTCCACGAGTTGTGTCCGCCATTGCTGGCGGTATGGGAGTACGAGTGGGAGTAAGATGAAGAGTGCGACGAAGACTTGGAGGCAGACTGCGAAGTAGAGCAGGAAGTCACAGTGACTGTGGTAGCAGCAACAGAGCTGTGGGGTGGTGAAACAGGAGGGATGGAGTAAGTGCCATTGCCCCCAGAACCGCCGCTGCCCGAGCCGCCATTGCCAGTGCCAGGTGAGGTGGCACCATTAGCAGGCAAAGCAGCCTTGAGGGGCAACTTTCTGCTGGAGGAACCAACGTAGACTGTCTTGGGGTACTCGCTGATGTACCAGTCATCAAGCTGGTTACTCCAGTTGCTGACATCTCTGCGTGTGATCTGGGCGGTGAAAGTCTTTGAAGCACCAGGGGCGATGGAGAACTTGTCGAACTGACGCAGAACGACAGGTGGGTCGTTGGGGCCGCCAAGGGAGATGTAGAGCTGAGGAACTTCCTCTCCCTCAACCGAACCAGTGTTGGTGACGGTTGCAGTGACGGTGTAGAGGATGTCATAAAGGCCAGGGTTGCCGCCAGGAGCTCCTGAGGCGGGGAGAAGAGGCTGAGGAGCACTCGAAGAGGAATCAGCAGGGAAGCTGTAGTTGCTACCATAGTTGGGGTCTCCAGACGAAGCGCGAAGGTTGGTAGAGTTGAGGTAGGGGTAACTGAGTATGTTAGCTTTCCTTCTTGCCGTTTAAGTTGATTGCCATGACTTACATGTAGTACTCGATAGGTCTGACATCAGCAGGGTACAAGTAGTCGGCAGAGTTGTTCGAGATAGTGCCGTAGACAGGTGCAGCCTCAGTGTAGCCTGTGGTAGGAACGTAGGCAGGAGCCGATGTGTTGACCGAGACCGAGATGTCAGAGTAGCTGAAAGTGGTGTACGAAAGACCGTAGCCGAACTCGTAGACAGGGGTTTCGTTTCTTCTGTCGAAGCCTCTGTAATCGATGAAGACACCCTCCTCGAATTGAGTCTGAGGAGCTGCGCCACCATTGTTGTACTCGTAGAGGACATCGGTGCCATAAGACTCACGAGTCTTACCAAGGGTGAAGGGGAGCTTGCCAGAGGGGTTGACCTTGCCGTACAGTACATCGACGATGGCATTGCCTGACTCTTGACCGGGGACACCGGCCCAAAGAATGGCGGTAATGTTCTCGTGGTCGTACCTGAGAAGACAATCAGTATTTCATTTAGCTAAAGGAAATGGTTTGAACATACCACTCATCGATCAGGACAGGACCAACAGTGTGAAGAACAACAATAGTGTTCTTGCACAAGGATGAGACATTGCGGATAACTTCCTCAGCGCCTTGCCAAAGAGTAAGGTTATTACGGTCTCCCTTAAAGTGAAGGTACAGTTAGCAAGATATCAAATGTTGGTTGTGAGAACACCACGACTTAGCGAAACGAATGTTCTCAGCTCTACGAGACGCCGTCCTGGATGGCGTTACATTGAAAAACACCTTCCAGAGACTGCTCGTGCAGGCTGAAACAAACGCCAATACTAGTTGAGGTGTTTGTACCCTCTTACCTGATTGCCATCAACTATGATATAACCTATTTTGGGTCAGTATTGAGATTGCCAAACAGTAAATAGATGGTCGATGGATCGGAGTTGAAAGAAAAAAGTTGCCAAGTCGACCCGACAATGACATACCTTCACCAGAATCGGCATTTCCAAATACTGAGAGACTGAGTTAGCATGATCTTTTGGGAGGTTTTATGCAATGCAAGACCTACCAATACAAGCGCCGTTGACTTCATCAGCACGTTGGGCGAGAACTTCAATCTGGCTGTAGGCGGCGCGATCAAGGATACTTTCGACGGACTTGCCGTGAGAGCGAACCTCGTTCTCGATGGCTGTGTGAGGGGCGACCAGGTAAGGGAAGTTGGCAGTTCTGTGAATCATTGGTCAGCGTTTACCTTCCCCCTGATTGCAACCACTCTCAACTCACCCACTGCCCCAGCCCATCGCCATCGTGCCGTTGTCGCATCCTCTGTCGCTACAGCCGTTAGGTCCGTATTGGTTATCGGCAGCGTCCTCACCGAAGACACCGACGAGTTGCTCGTTGCCACTAAGGGGCAAAGCACCATTCTTGTTCTTCAACAAGACAGTGCCCTTAGAAGCGACCTCACGAATGTTATCACGATGGTTGTCCTGAACATCAACATGATAGTTGATCTGTTCATAGCCCTCTTGAGCAATGTAGTGACGGTATCCGAAAGTTCTTGTAGTCCACGAAGAAAAGTTGGGGGCATTTTCGACTTGGTGGCCCTCTCTGTCGACGAGGTACCACGCTGCGACGATACGGACAGCCATGTCATCGACTCTGTATTGAGGAACGGTGCCATTCAGTACGGCGATGGTGAGGTTGGCACCCCAGAAGGAAGTTCCGCTGTCGAAGCCAACGTCTCCAGGCATGGTCATGTCAAGGCCTGCAAGAGCACTTGAGACACCAGAGTGTTGACCGGACCAATCGGACATGACGAAGCCTTGGAAGCCTAGCTCAGCCTTGAGGATCTTGTTCAATGTGTGGGAGTTTTGGCACTAGGATTTGTCAGAAGAGCTACGGTTGCGTGAACTCTGTCTATACTTACAGCGTAGCTGTTATTAGCCTGGTTGTATGAGCACATGACACTTCCAGTGCCAGCACGAACGGCATCAGCAAAAGGCCAAACGTAAAGCTCGTGCAGAGTGATATCATCGACATTGGCAGAGACGGCATCAGAGATGTTGGGACCACCTTGTCTGAAGTGCTCCTGTTCGTTGAGAATGTAGTGCTTGGTGCAAGCAATGACACCAGCATCTTGGATACCCTTGACGGTCTCGGCGACCAAGATACCAGAGAGGACTGGGTCGGGACTAAAGCCTTCCCAGTTGCGACCGCCTTCGGGCTCGCGGCCAAGAGGGCCTACGACAGGGCCGAGCATAACGTCTACACCCTTGTCGCGGTGCTCGCTGCCCATGTCATTACCGCGTGTGTAGGCAAGTGATCTGTCCCAGGTTGCAGCAACGGAAACGCCAGCGGAGAAGGCAGAGACGAAGTCGCCTGACTGCAATCAGTATACAAGACCTCTAGGGAAGTTGCTCATCGCTTACCGAATCTGACGCCGAGAGGCGAGTCCTGCATACAAAGGGACTTGAAGCCCAGACGGGGGATAGAGCCAGTGTTGCCCACACATTTTTCAGACTCCCAACTAGAGGATTGTCAATACTAAAACTTCTTGTTCAGATTGGACTGAGACTAACCCGACACCTAGTGACAGTCAGCAAGGTACGAACACACCGTATCATGACAAGAAAGACGTACCAGTAGTCAAATTGACCTTCTCAGCAAGAGTCAACTTGGACACAAATGCAATAGCCTTCTCATATGCGTCTGCCCATTCTCCGGCACCAGTTCCCCAAGGAGAAGGATAGTAAGGAGGAGAGGTTTCGTTGAATTGGGCGCCAGCTTCAGCATAAGGCACTTCGGAGCCAGGGTAGTTGGTACCAGGAAACTTTTTAGCTGTCAATTGGCTGTTATGAAACTTCAGAAGCTAGAAACACTCACAGGTAGACCTGCAACAGGAGGAACCGGGTAGCCACCTTGTGCATTGACGAGCTGAGCCGCCAGCAATAGAGCCAGGCTCTTGAAACCAGCCATTGCGGATCAAGAAGTCTCAGACCAGCAGAGAGATTGTGTGTCAATAAGGAGAACAAGATCAAACAAGAATTGAGAGTCCGAGAGGACTTGGTTCGCAGGAAGTGGAAAGCACAAATGGTACTGTCCCTACTGCAGCTTCCCGTAAGGCTAACACAAGAGTGAATCGAAAAGACGCGGCCATGCGATCAATTTAAATCTTTTGACTCGCCCTTCATTTTACCGGCAACCCGAGTGAGAAAAGGGCACCTCATGATGCCATACAAGGATCTTCTTTTTGGGAAGGGGAGCTCTGACCCGCGGGGTAAATTATTTCTCCAAGGAATAAACATGCGGAAAGAGCTCTAGTCAGCCATGCATGGGCTATATTGATCATCTATGCAGGCACGGCAGAGACGATGAGAGGGGTGCATTGCAGTAGCTCCGTCTTTAGCAGCCTCAATTGACGTGTTCGTCACTACCTGCTGTAGCGCAGCAAGGTGTGATTTTCATCTTGAAGCGCTGACAAGGTTTGGAGGAACAGCGAAAACGGCTCTCCAAGGCATTGTCCTGCCAGTCAGAGGCAGGCATCTAGCGTTTCATGGAAAGGAAGCAAGGTGCCACGCGGAGGGTCTTGAAGTGAAATCTTGGTTAGAGTACCCCAAGGTTTGTAGATCATCATGCCCATGGGGCTTTCCTATATCGTTAGGGAACGTAGTAGCAGTGTAAAGCAACGTTGGCTGATTCAAAGCGGTATTTGCTAGCTTTATGCCGCATCTCTGCATCATTCTTTAGCATCGTCCGCGAAGAGGAAGATGTTACAGCATCATGCTGTGTTTCACAAGATTCGCCAGACAATTGACTTAGAAAGTTCAGAGACCTTATTACGTTCTAGCAAATGACCGCTCTCATCCCTCAAACCAATTTCACCGCTCTATAAACCAAACCCTTTCCTTCTCGCAAATGTGGAGAAAGCTCCATGTCGATCAAATCCCCTTCACCTCGGCTGTATGCATGTTTGATAAGTAAGGACACCTCATGACACCTGCCGCCAACGCAGGTATCCATAAAACCTGCAGCATTCGTATTCCACACAGTATCACGTCAGAAAGGCCAGGTCACGGGTACTGTGCGTAAGCAAAAAGCCAGCAACAAAGGTACTGTAAGGGCGTTTTTGGTTGTATCTTTCGTACGTACCATGTCACGTTCTGCTGCGCGCGACGGATAGAACGTGCCGCTGCCCGCAAACAGCATTCGGAGATATGCAAGGATGGAGTTTAATTCGAGGTGCTAGCTCATCCCTCTTCTAAACTACTGCGGGGCAACACAGAGACAGAGATGCAGAAAGCGGGGTGTGGGAAAGGGCAAAGGAGAACTGCAGATCCACCTTGGTGCCTCATCAGATGGCAATCTAACTCGGCCGAAAAGAAACTTGCAGCTTCCAGGTTAAAGCGGTGCAACGAACCAAGCAGAGATACCAAAACCCAGATCGCAGAGATTAGCCTAGCACTACATACCTGTAGCAGGCTCCTAGATATAGTGATATAAAGCGCATGCCTCTAATTTCCACGAACTTTCCAAACTGTTTCAGACTCAGGGAGATTCGATATCCCAATCTTTTCCAGAACGACAGCAGGAAGAAGCTCCACCCACGGATAAAGAGACCAAGGCTTGAACCACGCCACAAAAAGGGCGCACCCGTGTCATTCCAACCCACCTACCTCATCAAGAGAAGACACCCCGCTGTCGAAGGCGTAGGTGGATACGGCCCACAGCTGGGCACTGTAGACCCAAGAAGCCATTCTTGGTCGGTCCGACAGAATGACAAGAAGCGGCTGTGAGGCCCGCAGTCCCGTGGCCTCTTGCATGAGCACTAGTGCTCTTGACTATTCGAACCCCTCACCGTGCTGGAGCTCGGTGACAAAGACGAGGTATTGGAAAGAGGGCAATCACGATGATGTGTTATGAGAGTGGAGGAAGATTATTTGCCGGCTGATATTATCTCACAGCTGTCCAAGTACGCCCTCTCTTGCGCCACATATACTCGATGACAAAAGATTGCTCTGTACATTTTAGAAGATAGTCATGGGAGTGGTGAAAAAGGTAATAGTACAAAAGAAAGGGAATCCGCTATGCGCAATATAAAAAAAGACGAATGAAGATGCCAGAGAAAACACAGAACCACCCAATGCCCATCAGCCCAAGAACTCCGTTGTTCGTCTCGGAAAGTTTCTATACATAAGAACCTCTGGAGCTTATTTGTTCAGATCCTTGAACACCACAGGAGCAGGGTTGGAGGATCCGGGAGGAAGGATGGGTCCATCAGGCTTCTCTGGGACGCCAGGAATTCCTGCGCCAGGACCTTCACGGTCGCCACGGCCGCCGAAATACTTGCTAAAGTCGCCCTTGTCCTCGAATGGTCTTGGGCCAAGTAATCTGACGAGGTCATCACGAGTCAAGACTTCCTTGCGGAGCAGCTCCTCGGCGACAATACCAATCTCCTTCTTCTTCTCCTCGAGAAGGTCGCGACATTGCTTGTAGGCTTCATCGACGATGCGCTTCACCTCGGTATCAATGTTGCGAGCAGTCTCCTCTGAGAAAGGCTTTTGAAGCTGGTTCGGGTCGTCCTCGAAGTAGAGGTAGCCGACCTTAGGTGACATGCCCCACTTAGTGACCATGGCGGTGGCCATGCGAGTGACCTTGTTGAAATCGTCTGATGCTCCTGATGTGACAGTCTCGAAGTGGATCTCCTCAGAAACACGGCCAGCAAGAGTCATAGCCATACGGTCCAGAAGCTGAAGGTACGACATGAGGTAGGTATCACCAGAAGGAAGATATTGAGCATAACCAAGAGCTCCTTGACCACGGGGAATGATAGAGACCTTGAGAAGAGGGTCGGCCCACTTGAAGTACCAACCACAGATAGCATGTCCAGCCTCGTGGTACGCAACTGTACGCTTCTCCTCAGGCGAGAGGACCAGCGACTTCTTCTCAAGACCACCGATAACACGCTCGATGGCCTGCTCAAAGTGAATCATCTTGACAGTGTCAGCACCACCACGAGCGGCGATCAGTGCTGCTTCGTTAACACAGTTGGCAATGTCTGCTCCAGAGAAACCAGGAGTAAGTGCTGCCAGACGGCCCTTGAGATATTCTGTGTCTTCCTTTGTCACAATGTTCTTCAAGTGGACAGCGAAAATTTGCTTGCGGCCATCCATAGTAGGCTTATCGATTGAGATGTGTCTGTCAAAACGACCAGGACGCATAAGGGCTTGATCCAGAACATCTGCACGGTTGGTACCAGCAAGAACAATGACCTGTCATGAATTGTTAGCATGTTACATCCCGTTCAGAATAGACGAGCGAAGAGGCTTACCTGCTCAGTGCTAGCGAAACCATCCATCTCAGTGAGAATCTGGTTAAGCGTAGCTTCTCTCTCATCGTTACCACCACCGAAGTTTTGCTTCGATCTTGACTTTCCAATAGCATCAATCTCATCGATGAAGATAATGCAGGGCGTGCTCTTTCTGGCATTCTGGAATAGATCGCGTACTCGTGAAGCACCAACACCGACGAACATCTCGACGAACTCGGAACCACTGACACTGAAGAATGGCACACCAGACTCACCAGCGGTTGCCTTGGCCAGCAGAGTCTTACCGGTACCGGGGGGACCAGAAAGAATAGCACCTCTAGGGATCTTTGCGCCAAGCTTCTGGAAGCGCTCGGGTTGCTTCAGGAAGTTGACGAACTCCATGATCTCAACCTTAGCCTCATCCATACCAGCAACATCGGCGAACTTGACCTTGACATCGGTCTCGTGATTGAACTTCTTGGCACGACTCTTGCCCATACCAAAGATACCACCGCCGCCACCGCCACCAGCTCCAGATGCAGCTCTTCTTGAGAACCAGAAGATGACACCAATGAAAAGCAGGGTGGGACCGAAGCTCAATATCGTGTCAGCCCAAGAGACTTCACGACTGTATTGCACAGGGATTCTCTCAGATGATGGAATACCGAGCTCTTTCTGTGCGTCGTCAAGCTTGCGCTCAAAGGCTTCTACAGAGCCGATTGAGAAGTAGTAATAGAAGTTGCTGTGAGCAGCGGGGCTTTCGGGGTACATGGCTTGAACAGCCTGCTGGTGGACGTGGACTCTGACCTTGCTGTTGTTGACGACGACAAGTCTCTCGACAAGGCCCTTGTCAAGGAATGTGTTTCTCAGCTCTTGCCATGTGATCTCGCGGGAGTTTTCGCTGGGGACGACCAGACGGTAGATAAGGTATGAGGTGAAGGCGGAGAGGATGATGCTGTTCATATCCAGCTTGACATCCTTGATGTTGTATGCAGGGCCGTCTTTATCTTCGCCTTTGTTGTTCGACTTTGACTTGGAGCCAGCTCCAGGGTCATGAGCACCAGACTTTTGCTGAGCACCCTTGGCTTCACTCTTCATGTCACTCTCAGCAGTCTTTCTAGCCATGGAAGACACCTGACGCCACAAGCGGGCGGCGACAGCAGGAGTCATGTGGCCCTGCTTGACCTCGTCCATGGTATCGCGAAGCTCTTGAGGGATTCCTTCCTTGCGCATCTTCTGGAAAGTCTTTTCAACCTCCTCGGCCATGGAGGCGGGCATGCCCTTCTTGATGTTGCCGAAAACCTCAATGAGCTCCTTCTCTTCCTCGGGAGTAAGCTTCGCAAAGCCGGGGCGAGGAGAGTCGGAGGAAGAGGATTCAGCCTTCTCATTCGTCAGAGGGCCGCCCTTGTTGTAAAGGTGCTCCATGCCAGGAGCGGACTGGCCGGGAGTCTTGTCCTTGGACTCATCCTTGTCTCGAGGCTCTTCAGGTTGAGTGGCGTAGCGGCGGACGCGCTGGTATGCGTAGGTTGGTCGCGGGATTGAAGCAGGTCTTAATGACAGCGAGCGACCGCGGGATGATATCTGGTAAGTCGGCCTGTACAGGCGACCAAGGTTGATGGTCTGCCTCAAGAAGCCCGACATGGTTGGTGGCGTGATGCGAGGCGGCGAGGGTAGGTAGGGGAGGATAAGACGTTGATTTAGTGTGCAACAACCATCCAGCGAAAGGATGCTTTGATGCGTGCGGCGGCGAAGTATGCAGCAGTGAGAGGTGGTCGATGAGCTGATGATTCGAAGGCGAGAGAAACGCCGATAGTCAATGACGCGAATCTGCTGTTGGCTGGCGTCCCGCAACGCTTGCATCAAGCCCGCCGGCAATCTCCGTTGCCTTGCTAAGAATGCCACCCTCGACACTTCGATACACTCTCTTGATCAGCGCCATCGGGTAACAGTCATCTTCTCGTGAGTCATCTCAGCTTCAAGATGATCCAGTCTTTGGGACTGCCAAACATTGGGCCTTGCTTAGTCCTTGCTTCTAGACATAGGTACAACATTCTATGATCATAAACGTTTCGTCTAATTCTGCTCCAAGCTATATACATATATCAAGTGCTATAGAACATTGTAGCCTCGGACTTATAGGTCCTACACTCCAAAGCCAATGCTTTCCCTGTTGTCATCCACAAGTCTGCCATATTCGAGCAAAAGTCTAAAGAACCATACTTCAAAGTCCTCGTTTCTAAGCACTTTGTTGCTCCACTCTCTGCCTCTCTCGGCCATCTCAATAGCCATGGACTTGCCAGTCTCCTCGGCTCCAAAGTATCGCACTGACTCGAGAGCCTCCTCTGCTCTCAGACTGAGAGGCACGTAATGAATCCAGGGCTTGAGCCACTCTGCATGCCATTCGCGGAACACTGCCATCTTGAACACCAGGCTGTGGGACTTGAGGAACGCATAGAAGCGGCCACTGAAGGCATTGCCGTCCATGTCAAGCAAGTACTTGTACTTCCAAGCATCTTGTTGGTCGGCCGGTGGCACAATCTTGAAGAACTCTTTTTGGGCATCACAATCACCAGGATCGCATTGACCAACGTGAGAGAAGTGGACGTCCATGAGTTCGGCATAGTCGGAACGCGGCACAGAGCGCATTTGCCAGTCAGCAGTCTTGTCGTCGCGCGAAGAAGCCGAGGTGAGGTGTGCATCGTACATAATCTTGGCCTGGTCAGGCGCATTGAGCTTGTGCACAAACTTCTGACGATGTTGACGGCGCCAACCTCCGTCGCGTGAGAAACCACCGGTCGTACTACCAACCCACCACAGTTTGCCTTCTTTCTTCTCCCATTCTACATCCTTGTGGGAGTCATAGGTGACTTTTCCGTACCAGTACCATGGAGAAGGATACAGGATATCCTGGAAACTACTCATCTTGGACTGGGAAAAGACCGGTACAAGGTCGTGCACAACATTGAATGCATTCGGTCGGTCGAAGAACCCATGGGATGTGCCAAATGAAGGAGAGTTGCAAACGTCGCTGAAGGCTGTGTCGTTATACACAAACCCTAGTTCGCTTATTGCATAGGCTGCGATGTTATCAGGTGTGATCTCTTCTTCGAGAGCCCGAGCAGGGCTTTCCGGAGAACACGAAAGGCGTGAAGGAATCCAGGTAGGTTGATGAGCAAAGACGTTAAACCGTGTAACCTTGACCTCATCGACTCGTTCGCCTTTGTTCAGATCTTTTGGTCGAGGCGAGAAAGCGTCTTTGGGGCTCGGATTGGCCAAAGCAGCAGGCATGTTCCTGTTTTTCGCTACTTCCACCAAGCGAGACAGTTCGTCGTGCGGAACAACAACTCGAGGCTCGTCATGAATGTTGAAGGCTAGGTCCATGTCGGGCAGATACTGGATGAATTTGTCCATCATGCCAATGGTCGCCTTCTGCTGCCATTCTTGACCGCTCCGCACGTGTGTCACCTTTCCACCTCGGACCATCAATGCGATCAAATTGTTGCCATCAAAACCGATAGCTTCTTGGACCCTCCGTCTTATAGTTACAGGCTTCAGACCCCAGAACGGAAGCAAGGAATGGTAGATGGTGTCGAATTCGTCGATGAGCTGAACATTGCGGTCCTTCGCGAATTGGAACCACTTGTCGAAATGAGGTGGAGGAGGGATGTTGTATCGACGCTTGTACTCAGCAACTGCTTCTTCCAGAGTGCGCGACTGTCTTTGTAGGAGAGCACTAAAGTCGTTTTCGGCATTCTTTGCCAGATATTCGATTGGGTGGACATGGGTATCGTTGTACTGTAGAGGGCGGGATAGGTCTTGGTCGCGAAGCGTAGGTGACCAGGGAGCGGCAGGCCCAGCTGGGGCGGCTGGGATATCTGGCACGACCCGAGCTAACAAGCGGTCGCGGAAGTTGAACACTGCAAGCAAAGCTAGCGAGACAAGCAGCAGCAGAGTGAGAAGGCGTCTCGATCGCATGTTTGATCGACCGTCTTGCGCAGAATGTCGAGTAGTCGAGTTCAAGCGGTCATGAAGATAGGCGTAGAGTGATAGGAGGCATATCGACGCAAACCACAGCCGTCCTAGCGAAAAGTCGGCGGCCAATTGAGCGACAAGTGCTGCGACAACAAAAGTCGAAGCTGTTGTGACCTGGTCGCATTTATCCACCTGCGGAACAACCCCAGTCAGTTCAAAGTTCACATGCCGAAGTGGATCCGCGACCCATCTGGGTCACCTTATCTCGACTTGACTTGACTTACCGCGATGATCATCGTCCTGTTCAACATGACGTGAATCATTACCATAATCATGCCCAGAACTACCATCAAGATCTGTTGTGGTAGGAAAGCAAACCAGAATGGTCTGGTGCTAAACTCTTCCAAAACGAAAGCCGACAGCCATTGCGCAAACGCAGCTGCAAACGATACATCGACCAATACTTGTTGTGTATCTTTCTTGACCGTAGGCTGGGACAACAGGCCACTCACAGATATCACTCCATCGTCAGGGCCGCTGGTCGAAACTGTCTCTCGATGGGCGGCTTGCAACAGCGACAGAACCACGGCCACAAGCACAGCATTACAACAGCCCAAGGCGAGTGTGGCCCGCAGCTCGCTCGCATAACTTAGAGCTACGAGTGCCGATACAGTGAGCACTGCTAAGAGTCTTGTGTCTCCGTTCTTTGACTTTTCAGCAGATCGAGTATCTGTACTCGAGATGAAGCGTGCGTTGCCGAATGCATCCACCTTGACGACTACGTAGACGAGGACAGGGAGAAGAGCCTTTGTGATGGAAAAGTTTCAGCCAACATTGATTTTGTATATTCGTGAGGCATCCTTTCTGACCTTTGCCCAGTATATGTGACCTCTTTCTACAGCTCTTTCGCACACGCCAGACAAAGCCAACAGTACTCCTGCTGCCCATGATAATATCCGTCCCTGCGACTCTCCCGTGGTGCTGAGGTTGCTTCTAAAGCGAGTATATGCCCAGATGCCAGTCCATGCGACAGCGCTGGTGGTAAGGGAGTGTCGTGGAGAGGTGCCGACTAATGCGAGGGCGACGGTGATGAGCAAGGTGCTCAGCAGCACGGCTTGCTGATTGTCTTGAATCACCCGACCCGGCAATATCATCAGTGTCTTTCGAGTTGGCGAAGAGTCTTCATGGTAACGTTTCCGCCTGCTGCAACACTTTTACGAATGGCCTCCTTGCTGGACGCGTGAGAGCTTGGCAATCCTTCCTCCGAGTCCCCGAGAAGCTAGGGGATAGAAGTGACAAGTGATTGGCTGCACTACATTATGGTAATTCGATCGATCTTTCAGACATGTCGCTATCACAAAACCAGATCTCAAACTCGAGAAAAGAATTAGCAGCACAAGAGGCATTGTTTGAGGGAGCATGGCTTCCTTTGTCTGGTCATGCGTGATTGGTGGAACTGGCTCGAGTCAGGCTCAGGGTCCCGTTTTCGACTATCAATAGATAAGGACGTTATCCGAACCGACGGCCGCATGACCGACACTAACTCCGCACCCGCTGTGTCATTCATCGCTATTCTACTCCTACCTCCTCCTTCTCGTTTCCCATCTCCCTTCTCCAAGACTCTTTCTGAACGGACATTCGTTGCTGCTTGAGTGTCAGGCTGTTCATCTTGCAGCATACAGTCAAGAGCTCGCAAGCTCTCACACTAACGCCAACATGGCTTCCAAAGCCATGATCCCCGTCCTCGTCGCCATGATGCTACTGACGGGCATGTGCAACACCCTCTTTACCAAGTACCAGGTCAGATCTGCTCAGCATGGTCTGATTCTCCAAGTCTGACTGAACAACAGGACATGCAATGTGTCGCCAACTGTGACGACCCCAACCCCGCCAAACGCAAGAACTTCGAGCAGCCCGTCATCCAGACACTACAGATGTTCGTTGGAGAATCCGGATGTTGGCTCGTTGTCTTCATCTCGTACCTCTCCTCTCGCTACGTTACCAAGTCATCCGACACAACCGCATACCAACCCATCGACACCGAAGACAGCCGCAGCCCTCTGTTACAAGGAGATCTTGAAGCTCCCGCCGATGCCACGAATGTGCCTGCCAAACCTTTCGCTGATTCTGAGCACGCTGGACAGAGACTGCCACTGAAAGGCTGGAAACTTTTGTTGCTTGCACTTCCTGCATGCTGTGACATCGCGGGAACCACCTTGATGAACGTAGGCTTGCTGTTTGTGGCTGCCAGTATATACCAAATGACCAGAGGTGCTCTCGTGCTCTTCGTCGGACTGTTCAGCGTCATCTTCCTCAAGAGACACTTGAATGCCTTCAAGTGGACCAGCTTGTTCATCGTCGTTGCCGGAGTGGCAGTTGTTGGCTTAGCCGGCGCTCTGGAGAAAAAGAAGGCCACTGTTCCTGGAACTACACCTGGAGCTGATCCTCCAAGTTTGGGTGATCTGGACCAGATGGCTCATAGTACCATACACATGATCCGCGATGTTGCGAAAAGCGTTGTGGCTACTGCTCAGGAACACTCTGCCGTCCAGACCATCATCGGAATACTTCTGATCGCGGGCGCGCAAATCTTCACAGCATCACAATTTGTGTTGGAAGAGAACATTATGGCCAAGTACGAGCTGGACCCTCTTGCAACTGTCGGATGGGAAGGTATCTTCGGTTTCTCGGTCACGGCTATTGGCATGGTAATCCTACACTTCGCTGTTGGACGTACCGAAGCTGGCAGAGGAGGATACTTTGATGCAAAGGAAGGACTAGGACAGGTGTTCCAGCATCGGGCAATTGCTGTGAGCAGTTTGTTGACGATGGTGTCGATTGGTGGATTCAACTTCTTCGGGCTTTCTGTCACTCGTACAGTGTCGGCGACAGCTCGCAGCACCATCGACACTTGCAGAACATTGTTCATCTGGGTAGTCAGTTTAGGACTCGGGTGGGAAACGTTCAAGTGGCTGCAAGTAGTAGGCTTCGGATTGCTGGTGTACGGCACTATGCTGTTCAACGACATCATTCAGCCACCGACAGTAGGATTTTTGCGCAAGCGAATCGCGCTCGAGACGGAGGATGATAGACGAGGAAGAAGTGATTAGGTCGTGTGTACTATTATCTTCAAATCTGAATATATTTGCTTCTGCTAGGGAGAGGAATTTATGCACGTCATAACTAGGCACCCCCCACGTTCGGGTGCACCTCTGGATGGATGCGATGGTCTTTGTAGCGATCGAATCTTGCTTTCTTGTGACGCGCTACATTTCAACCAGCACATTCCATAAGGATCTTCGAACGACCATTCATCATGTCGACGGCTCCATCATCGCGTCCATTATTCCAGCCTCAAGGCGAAAACATGGGTCCACCAGGAAAAGCAATCGCTCGGCCGCGAACAGACAATACCAATCGACCAGTGCTAGGCGACCTGACACCAAACGCCAAACTCGACAAGCAACAACAACAACAAAGGAGCGGCAGCCCCCTCAAGCGACAAGCAAACATCTTCGACGATGGCAAAGGCTTCAGCTACATCAAGCGTCGTCGTCTATCACACAACAATGCCCTGACGCGCCGCATCACTCCACAACCTCCTCAGGACCAACAGAAAGCCCCCTCTCCTACCGAGCACGACTCTCACTCTGAGGGCGACAGTGGTCGCTCGTCACAGAACTCCAACGCTACCCGTGGCTCTTTCTCGTCGCTGATCAACTACGATCCCTCGTCGCAACAGCAAATCTCGCAGCAACATCACCAACAAGCCTCCTCAGCAGCGTCCATGTCCATCCGGACCGCTGCTCAGACTCTACGGTTACGTCTCCGTATCGCCATCTACAAGGTCCGCACCAATCAGATCAACGTGCCCTTTTCGCGTTTGCAGATCATCGGCAAGCAACCCACACGACACCAACAACCTCAACCACCAGCCCCTCCCTCTCCCGACGCCCTGCCTATGGCTCCTCCGCCATTACGCCCCTACGGCGAGAAAAACACACAAGCTTCTGAGCCACAAAGCCAAGCTCAGCAAGCTGTCTTCTCCACGCCGAACATCTTCTCGAATCGCTTTATGCCGTACAACGCTCCCTCGAGCTCGCCGCCGTTAGCACACGACCCTCTGCCGCGTATCGCGAGAGAAGCACAAGCGCGTATGGCTGCTGCCGCCGATAGAGATAGTCTGGACTCCGAAGCTACTGAGTTGGCCGAAGATCACGACGAACACCCTGTAGCCGAAAGCCCGCTGGATAGGTCTAGAAGACATCACATGCTACCGCAGACGTGATTCATATGGTCAAGAAAATATCTCCCTTACACCATGGGCAGCGAGTTGGCTGGTGTTAGCACGATGATACACCCTGCATCGCTTGGACGATAGGTGTTTAGCGGTGCTGTTGAGTCCTCCATTGCAAGAGTCACTTTGGATGAACTTTTTGAACCCGTGCTTCTCTGGCGCCGCATCAGGTGTTTCTTGCCTCCATGGGACTGCGGCTTATTACAAACTTTCACAACTGTCCCGGAATGAGGCAATAGACGGAGAGAGATGGACACAAAAAAAACTGGTCTTTATGGGATTCACGGCGTTATTATGAGATTTTCGTCTTCTGTTAAAGCCTCTTGGAATCTGCGACAGGAATAGGAGAATTGGGCTGTTGTTTGTTTGTTGTTGTTTTTGATATCCGATCTGCCTTTTCGATGTTTTATGCTACCATCTTATCTCATTTCTTTATGATACGCTGGACTTCTTCGGGCTTTGTTACTCAAGCCTTTGTCCTCCTGTATCTTTTATTGCTTGAGTCTCTTGTCACGCTTTTCTTGTTTTTCTCTCATATGCAAGGCGCATCAAGTCCAACATGCCTGCCTTTCTTGGACGAAACGACGATGACGATGAAGATATAGATTTGCAAGCACCAGAATCACATAATCAATCACTTTCGGATTCGCTGCAATCTGCTTGTTTCGACTGATTTCTAACTTACTCATGTCTATATCATGTACTCGGACGAATCAAAATCGTGGCAACACAACAACAACAATGCTGTAAGCTGTGGAGGCGCGCAGTTGTTCTGTAATCAGTCGAAGTGAATGTGAACCTGTGGAGGAAGGAAGTGAACACAGCGTTCGAATCAGAGAACTGTATAAAAGCCATTCCACCTTCTTGCATTTGCATCTCTAAGCTTCTTCAAAGCAACAAGAATACGAGCACATCGAAGCTCGTGGTCTTCGCGCTTCTCACGCTCTTGCGCGTCACATTTCTACTGTCACACTTCTACGTATCTCGCTCCTGCCTCTCTCGGATCATGGGTTGTCGTTCGAGTGACAAAGACAGAGGAAGGAGAGGTCAAGCAGGGAGGTGAGGGAGGTCACTGCACAGGTACCATCAAGTCTACATCTCCTGCGAGCCTTGCTTCCAAATGGATTCTTTGATGTTCTTCACATCAAAGCTCGAGCAGAAGGTGGATCTGGGAAATGCAGCGAGAGGCGACAGACATCCTGACCTGAGGAGTCTGGACCAAGGTGCTCGGAGATGACAATGGGGACACAGACGATGAGGAGTCTTGACAACAAGAGCCAGAAGACGACGAGGAAGCAGAGCGATGTTGCCTGATCCTAGTGTGAGAAGTCAAGATCTATACCTATTCCTATCACTTTCAGACGCCAATCGAGAACCAATATCGGCTCGTGATGATATGATATCCCACTGTCGGTATGGTCAGCGCACCTGTGGGTATTCATGACATCCAGACAATCTTATTTTTTCGGACTGGTTGACAGTGATGATATTTGTACAGGTTCCAATCTAAGTCTCTGCTTCGATTTGTTGTCAACACGCGCTAGGAGTTGACCATCATGATCTGGTTCATCTGGGTTGATCATGATTCTGTCACAAATCAACCACTCCATTCTTCCACCATCTTGCGCTTGTGCTTGCATTTGCAACAAAACATCATCAACCTCACAAAGTCATGCTACTTAGGAGTTTCGGATTATAATATCAAGAGCTACACATTCAATCAGAGCAGAGTGTAACCCAAGATGTCGCTGTGGCGGTAAGTCAAGACATTTCTGATTTCCTCATCATGCTCCAACACAGAAAGAGAAACAACTTACCTACTGCATATCACACTATCTCTTCAAAGCATTGTCCTACGCTATCCCTGTAGTGTCTGTCTGTAGCTCTCTTTGCCATATCAAGTCACGATCACATCCTCTCACTCTCCCTCCTTTCACCCTTGCCTCCTCTTACCTCCGTCCTCCCACACGCCAACTAACAACCCGCATAGATACTACACTTCCCTTAGCCCAAAAACCCGCCTCATGGTCGGCGGCGGATTGATTGGGTATGCAACACTCGGTCTCTTTCTCTCCGACACTGCAGAAGAGAAACTAGGCTACACGCCAACCGAAGAAGATAAAAAGCGCCTAAGGGAAGCGATGCCGAGGATTAGAGTTGTGGAAGAGTAGAAGAAGGGTACGAGGAGGACGACATTGGGAAAGTAAAAGAGCAAGGGAGGGGAGAAGTTGATGATTGGACGTTGGAAAAATTCTCAAGTGAGGAAATGGTGATGGTGTGACCCTGGCGGAAAGGAGATGAGGTCGGATAGCGACAGGAGAAGTGCTAGAGTGGTGGTGTTTGGTCGGCAAACAGGTCCTAAGGGCCTTTGTATACAAATCTGTTCTGACTAGAGCGGGGGATTATAATAATGGCATCCAGTAGCTGAAATATAGCAAAAGACAACTCCGCAGCCAAAGAAGCCTCTCCAACCACACAACCCTATCTCCAAGACGTACACTAGAAGGCGCATGAACATTCAAAAGCTTCATCGCATACAAGGGGTTTGCCGGTCTTCCAATCCGAACATAGTATGCCTAGCTTTTTTCTCTATTTTTCGTCATCTTTAGACTGAGCCTGAGATGCCAAATGGATTCATCCGAGGATATGGGATTGTAAGCACCTGTCTCAAAAAAGACCTGCATTGGCGCACATCTGTGAGAGGGAAACCGTGGTGACGAGTTCTCGATCAAGAATACCCAACAGACAAAAATGTGGCAGACCTAGTTGAAGGTGGTCTTCTATCATAATCAGGCGAGGTCCTGTCAGAGGCCACGACTACTTGGACCTGCACAGAAGACAACCAGGCTCTTATCGTAGATCGCACAAGAGCATAACTTTGTAGCAGAATGAAGCACAAGAATTCTAAATCACGCCATATGGCATACCTGTTATACAATACAACCCCCGGCTCGGCTCGTCGACACTCCTCCCTCATGGCAAACCTGCTGTGGCAAGATCAACCACTCCCACCGCTCAATTGATCACTGATCCTCAGTCGGCAATTGCAATGTTGCCACCACTCACTGAAGCACGTCAGGACACAACACCAAGAACAAAACAAAAAACAGGGTCTTGGGAAAAAATGAGTACGAAGAGACAGACTTCTTTCTCATCGAAGATATGGATCTTAGATTCGTTGATTTTTTGTTTCGATGCAAGTGTAAGCGAGAGAGAACCCAAGACCCTTTCGCGAAAACGTGGCTGCGGCGACGATTTTGCGCCACATCCGCTGGCCAAATCAAGAACCGCTCGGGGTCGACTCCAGAGGGTCAAAACTGAGCCGCGACTCAGCCAACAGCGGCTCTGTCGTTCGCTTGCGAGCGGGCGCCTAAGGGGTTCGTATGTCTCATTAGTCTTTTGCGGACTATGTGACCAAATGCGATAGTAGTACAGTGCACCGGTCTCGCGGGGCTTGCCCAACAGGCAGGAAACGAAACCAATGTGTGCGAGCATCGAGTTTCATGGAAGCATCGAAAGTCGGAATCGAGAACATCGAAAAGCCACTGTGGAGAAAGCAAGCAGCAGAAAGCTTGGCATGCACATGCCATCCACGACGGTGCTATGACGAATGATCCCGAAAAGGGTCTGTTGCGCGCGCCTATGGGAATAATACTTTGATTCGTTTGGCAGATGAGTTGGAGCTCAAGCTCAATGAGGGAAAATCGATGCATACATCGTGTTGGAAAGACGGATACCTAAGATTTCGTTCATGCGGCTGAAAAAAGGCAGGCGCCGACAGCCAGCGCGCGGACCTTTCGGTAGCGCCACGAGAGCTTGGAAGCTGTTGTTGCTGCGCGACAGTGTTGTTGCATGTGGCTTGGACAAGCTGTGTTTGTGCAAGCGAGGACCTACATGATCAACTGTACTGCCGACATGGCCTCAATCTGGGTTGCGCAGAACGAAGAGCGACAGCGAGGTTGGCAGTCTAGACCGGTACTCCGGCAACTCATGTAAGGGCGAAAGGTACATCATCAAGGTGATTGATATAGCAAACTTTCAACATGGATTTGTTAACCGCCAGTGGCCTTTTTGCTGGACGATCATGGACCAGATCTGGAGAGTAGTTATGTGCGTGCGTGCTGTAGCGGGCTGCTCGAGTTTAGTATACATTGTGTCAGGGCGCAAAAGCTCATACAAGATCTGCTGTTCATCGAAAACTGCTATCATCGATCCTTGTTCAAGCTCCTTCCTCGCGTAATCATCATCCCCCGATTCACTCGATGCGGATCTGAGATGCCTTGAAATATGCGATTCGATGCTTCAGGCTTCTCCCACCGGAGCGCGCATTCTCGCCTGAAAGCAGCAAACATGATGCATGCATGGTCTGACGGAAGGAAGCTAGGCTTGAGGCGACGACGAAACGTGTGATGGAAGAGATGGAAGCAATCGAATTCTATGCTGGTGAATCTGCCAAACTCAAGCTAGATCTCCCGATTCCCGAACGGTGTCACATCCCATTGGCTCGGCCCGACTCTCCGGGTCTGGAACGTCGCTTCTGTTTGTACCTCAAGAACGACGTCTACCGTCATTTGCTAGAGACCATATAAAATGCTTAATTCGAATAGTTGTGCCAACTATTTGTGGAAATCTCTATGCTCTTTTGAAGACGATGCTGCATCATGATTTGTATATCTCACCAGACTGTTTTGCATAGGTAGAGTATGATGCGACCTTTCAAGGGAAGAATGGAAAGTGGCTCTAGATGTGCGCTTCGCGCTTTCCATCATGCGACTTGACGCGTATGTTGCGCATGTCTTGATTCGCCTGGTCTTCCCTACACAACTCAAATGTTGTTTGGCGCACGAAACGAGCGCATTGTCCCTTCATGAAAAGCCGGGGCACGACACCCAGGAGGCCAGACCCAATCATTTCCCATATTAAGCTTTGAATGTGTGCCTGATCGCCGATTTGTTCTTCACGTCCCTTTTGTTTATTCTTTTGTCTTTTGGCCGACAGATCCAGCGGACCAAGCCTGCAGGGCTCAAAACCGAAGACCATACATTTAGCGACATTGTGTTGAGTAACCTGGAGTCGATGCCAGTCAACAGCACGCTGTTGTCGGCATGAGAGCTGATGTTGCGAGGTAAGGGAACTCGGGTAGATGATAGGCCTCCGCTGAGGTGGATGGTCGAGAACAAAGGCGTTCGTGGTTTTCGTTATGGTTCGGAGTGGTTCAGTCAGCCTTCGAATCTTGACTGCCTTCGACTTAGGGGCTGACCAGTCCTAGGGTCGACGTTTCCATCTACCCAACTAGACGGTGGCATTTGTAAGTCGTAGAGGAAGTGGTTCTGAGAAGGTCCAGCTTGGTTGTGTGGTTTCATCCAATCATGGACATTGGGTTGAAAGGATTCTTGCTGAACGTTGGACGATTCTTGGAATGGCCATGTCTCTGCCCTAGAAGCCGATTAGCATCGATACGGACAGGTGCCTTCGCGGTCCCTCGGTGACTGAGCTCACTGCTTCAAGAATCCTTGTTCGCAGAGCTGATCATCACCGACTCGAGAAGACGACGGGCAAGAAAGGGACAATGCCACTCACAGGCTCTGTAGTGTTGAACCATTGTTGTTCGGGAAGCCGTACAAGGTCTGCTGACCAAGGCGAGGGTCAATCATCATGGGGGGTTGCTGGGTAGGACTTGTGTAGTCGGTCATTGGAAGAGGGTCCGTGTAGATGTTGGAATCGCCATCCTGTTGATCTTGAGATTGCACCGACATGGGGGATAGATTAGACATTGTGCCATCATCCATGAAGTCGTTCAACTGATCCGACTGACGTTTCCTTGCGGACGGCCGTGATATGCGGAGTGTTCTGGCGTAGGTTTCCATATCCGGGCACTCTCTCAGACGCCGAAGATGATCGAAGGCTTCAGGCTCTGGAGTAGAATGTAAAGCGTTGAAGACAAGCTCATAGTCAGAATTTCGTTCTCCCAGTTCCTTGTTCCGGCGGCGCACGGCTTCGACCCGTGATATGCCTGCTTCGGAGTCGTAGACAAAAGATTGACCTCTTTGTTGACAGAGCATACATGCGGGACGCTCACCGCTACACTAGATGCTGTGTGGTTAATTCAGATGTCTCATAGAGTCGACCCAAGGCGGTTCTCACCTTCACTTTACGCTTCTGACATGACTGACACGCCGCCTTGACAAGTTGTCTTTTTGGTCTGGTAGAAGACGATGCATCTGTGCTCATTTTGTGAGCGCAGGACTCCGATGCCTGGAGACTGAGGCGTGAGAGTGAGAAGGACAGACGTCAGATTTATTATGAGTCCAGGATGGTCGGTAGGATTGACGCTCTTGTACTTGGTTGTGCATGAGGAGTCCCAGTGTTCAATGGGCGGTCCCCAGATAACTATCCCGAAGTGCCGTAAGCTGTTCTCAATCGACGATGTGAATCGTCGGTTTCGTCGAGCTCAGATCTATGGGTTTTGATTGAACCCTGCCACGCCCACCCAATGACTTTCGATATGATCTTCGAGGCAGGAAACAAGAGCAGAATCTTGAGATCAGAGGCGAACGGGTAAGAGCTTCCACAGGGGGTAGGGTTGTCAAGAAGAAGAAGAAGGATATCCGCTTGGGAATGACAAAGCCTTCTTTCGGACCCGACTCCGAAGGACCCAGGAGTCGAGATGGCTGGACTTGATTCTCTGAGGAAACACTGTGGGGACAGCCTGGCTCGGTGTTCAAACGTTTTTACTAAGTTAGGTGCAGCGACATAATGCGATTGCCGAATAAATCACCTCAGCGCCTCAAAAATATGACCAGGTATCAGTAGTGCCAAAGTCGATGGTCGGTCGACCATAGATATTGATCATGCCGCCACAGCACCACCTCGGCAGCACCAGCCTGCTATTGCAAGCCTCGTCCTCTTATATTGCACATTTCCTGTGGCAATGCGCAATCCCGGAACGCTTCACCAAGCTACGGTCGGCTCACTAAACCTGACCTGGGAGGACTCACGGGGAGTCGGTCAGATAGGCCTTGAACCGCTTACGCGCCTGCTCGGGCCAACGTCACGAGCTGAGCGTTACGCCGTGTCCATTTAGAGAGCCAGGGAAGAAGGTGCAGAAGAGCAGGCCATAAGATTCTGTCGACTCGTCCATGTTTTGCTGGTACATTCTTGTTACCCACCAGATTCGGGAAATTCTGGCGCTCCCCGAACAGCCGCGGCAGACACCGTCTCATCGTCGGAGAGCAGATACTACCCGTATGAGACAGGGACGACCTTCTGTTTGCCTTTGCCTAGAGGAGCGGCATTCTCGCCTCCCTGACGACCGTTTCAGCATGGAGAACCTCAATTCTGCTCCGGATTACACCCGACCTTGCATGCTGGGAAAGATCAGCTCGGCGAGAAGTACTGTAAGAAGATTGTCCAATGCGACCTTCTACCTGGCTCTAATTTCCCGGCACTTCTTCGTTATTGCACTTCATCATATTCTCAAATCCCATTCGGGTCAGGTGGATAGGTGAATTGAACCAGTTCTCAAAAAGGAAGACAAAACACAATCATTCCTGCGGTAGATAAAAGTCATCATAAAACACAAAAGCATCATCTAAAGCTTGCTCTTGCTGACAATGCTGCTGTTGCCCTTGCCAATACATGACACAGCCTCGCTGACCATCTCATCAACAATTTCCTTGGCAGACTTCCTTTCGTTAACGACAGCTGCAGCCTTGCCCATCAGGAAAGGTCGAGCATTGTCCATAGTCTCATCATCAAGATCATCTCCAAGCGTGTCGAGATCATGTTCGACAGGGATGACACCCTCAGATGTCAGCTTTTTGATCTCCGCCTGTCTTTCGTTCTCCCACTTCTCAATGTACGGGTTCTTTCGCACACGCAGTGGACGTCCAGTGAAAATGATGGTGCGGACATTGTCATCAAAGCCAGAGGTGCGAACGGCTTCTTGGTGGGCCTTGCTGGCGCCTGCCTCCTCACTGAGTACAAAGCGAGTACCGACCCAGACGGCTGTGGCACCGAGCATGAGCGCGGCAGCCAAAGACTGGCCATTAAAAAGACCACCAGCAGCGATAACTTGCACTGGCTTACCAGTGAGGGGACTCTTGTGACCTTGGCACATCTTGACGACGGTCGGGATCAGGACAGTTGTAGGCACGTCGCCAGTATGTCCACCTCCTTCTCCACCCTGAGCGCAGATCATATCGGCGCCGATCTCGAGGCATTTCTTCACATGCTTGGGGTGCCCGATCATGTTCATGTATAAGACACCAGCTTTGTGTAGTTTCTCAACAATGTGCTTTGGCGGCACACCAACAGCGGACACAAATAGAGAGGCCTTCGAGTCGATGATGATGTCGACGAGCTCATCGAGTTTACCCTTGGTATAATCGTAGCTGCATTTTATGTGAGAATCATGATATTGCCGTTAGTCATGGCGTATGCTCACTTTGTCTTTCTGGCACTGCCACCCACTTGCGGAAGCAGAAGATCAACTCCGAATGGAGCGTTCTTGTCCTTCAAATACCCCTTGAGTTCTGCAATTTGCTCGCGCAGCATGTCTGGGGTGTAGCCAACGCCACCAATGACACCCAAGCCACCAGCATTGGTAACGGCGGCAGCAAGTTTTGGACCAGCAGCAACGTTCATACCAGCCAGCATCACTGGGTGGTTGATCTTCAGAAGATCAGTTGTGGTGGTTCGAATTTGCTCTGCACCCTGTTAGTGAGCACCGGGCTTTGTCTGGCATATCTTCTTACGTGGGGAGGCCATGTTTTGAGTTGATAGTGTTCTATGTGAGATTTAGTGATCGTGAACAAGCGTTAGGTTGTCTGGTCAGAGGTGTGCGAGACAGATGTACTTGTAGGTGAGGAGGAGGAGAAGACAGGCACCGAGGACTTATGTGTTGATCACCAGATGCCTCGGCATTGACGCGCGAGCAACATCCTTCTCGATGAGCATTTGTGGTCACCAGACACCCTTGCACAGTCCAAATGTAGCTACTTCAACATCTTGATACATCCATCTTTCTTGCACCATGTTCGAAGAGAACGTCACTAAAGACAAACGCCAGAAAGACGCAACACTTCTTGAGTTGAGCTTTGTTTACAGATACCCTAACAGGCATCAAAAGCGGGGAGAGTCTGGGGTAGCTTTTGGACCTGAGTCACGCTCCCGTTTTTGGATTAGGACAGGGTTTCCTCTTGCGTATCGACGACGCACCTGTAAAAGTGGCCTTGCGTCTCGCTCCGAGTTTAGATATTGGCTTGGGTGGTCTTGGTAGGAAGATCTAATAAACCCTGAGTATAATCATGACTTTTTGAAAAAATCTACTTCGATGACCTGAAAGTCACTTCTTCCGCTATCGGATCTCTTGCTTGCAGCTCAACCCGCTTTCGACTAGCGACCGAAAAAATTCACTTGAATCCTCAGCCCCCTTTACTGGCACGACATAGAGTTCCGGAATGGGTTGTACCTTTGCAACGATCAGACCGTCTCATAGATGCACCCAAGCATATAAACGAGTTGCACTTTTTGCATCTTTACCTAACCGGACCTATCACCAGTTTTCACGGACAGTTGTACCAACTCAACAATCACGTCCATTCATACCTCGAATGACTGGCTCAAATTTACAACAAGAACAAATTCAGACATTGAGAATGCCGCTGTTCCGCCGCGATATGTCTACTATTGCAGCCCGTCGAAAGGCGTACATCGCTCTTGGAAGCAATGTAGGCGACAGGCTTGACATGATTGAAAAAGCATGTCTAGCCCTGGATCAAGATCCGGATATCAAAGTCACACGGACGAGTTTGCTCTATGAGACTGAACCCATGTACGTTCAGGATCAAGCCAGATTTCTCAATGGCGCTTGTGAGGTTGGTGCTCTTTTTTCAAGCTGATTCATGAAGCAATTGACTGACATTCAACGATAGATAGAAACCACACTGGAGCCAATGCCTTTGCTGGATAGATTGCAAGCTATTGAGAATGAGTTAGGGCGTGTCAAGCTCATCGACAAAGGACCACGAAGCATCGATCTGGATATCTTGCTGTACGAAGAGCAAGTGATTGATACAGAACGTTTGAAGGTCCCGCATATCTTGATGCTGGAAAGAGAATTTGTGCTACGCCCGCTCTGCGAGTAAGTTTTTCTGTTTCTGTACAATCGACGGTCTTTTCTCACCCATTGTTAGCATCATCCCAGACACGACACCTTCAATCGGCCAAACACGGGTACCTCTTCGAGAAAGTTTGCGAAGACTAGCATCTTCTGCTTCTACCCCCATATCAACTACAACGAGTATGGGAGAAGGCACATTTTCAATTCGAGCTCTGGAAGCCACACGTCCTACGCATGTCATGTCTATTCTCAATACTACCCCTGACTCGTTCTCGGACGGAGGCCTAAATTCACCTACTGACGAAACAGCGCTTCGCAGAACGATCACATCTCATATCCGCGAAGGTGCCACAATCATCGACATAGGTGGACAATCATCTCGTCCGAATGCCCCGGATGTGACAGCAGAAGAGGAACTTGCGCGGGTTCTGCCTGCTATCAAGGTCATCAAATCTCTGCCCGAGGCGTCAAATGTTTGCATCAGCATCGATACCTATCGAGCAACAGTGGCCGAAAAAGCTATTCGGGCAGGTGCCCATGTTATAAATGATATTTCTGGAGGTCTACTTGATGTCGACATGCTTCCTACAGTTGGCCGTCTGGGTTGCACCGTATGCTTGATGCACATGAGGGGCACCCCAGCAACAATGACGAGTGCAGAGAACTGCTCATATCCTGACGGTCTAATTCCTACGATAGCTAAAGAACTTCTGGATAGGGTCAGAGCGGCAGAAGAAGCTGGAATCCGTCGCTGGCGCATAGTTCTAGACCCAGGGATTGGTTTCGCCAAAACAACCGAACAGAACCTGGAAATCCTGAGGCGCATGGGCGAACTCAGGAGTTGGCCTGGCTTGGTCGGGTTCCCCTGGCTCTTGGGCAGCAGTAGAAAGGGCTTCGTGGGCAAGATCACAGGGGTCAAGGACGCAAGAGAGCGTACTTGGGGCACAGCAGCGACCGTCGCAGCGGCTGTCCAAGGCGGAGCAGATGTAGTGCGTGTGCATGATGTGGATGAGATGGTCAAAGTGACCAAAATGTCTGATGCTATCTGGCGAGCATAGAGCAGGGGTAACGATGATCAGTTGAGACGTCGTTGGAAGATCAGAGTACAAACACTCTGGCCCTGTTGACCACCAAAAGTGAAGGTTGGATACTTGGCCTCGTCAAAGAATTTCAGCTCGCCATCAGGAGCTACGAACCAGTTCATGACCTCGTCTTTGGTCCAGTTGCATGAGGTGATGATGAAGAATTGACCAGGCTTTATGAGAGGAGTGATGTGTTCACGGTAAGATTCGCAGATGCGTCGGCCCTGGGCGTCTGTCTCAGAAGACAGCGAGATGGCGTCGAAGGTGCCCTTGTCCAGTACAGCATCGAAGCCTTCGGCGAGCCATTCTCCGGGCTGGTGGTTCAAGAGATCCCACTCCTCGAAGCGGACAGAAGCACCCTCTTCACTGCGACTGGCAGCAATCTGGCGTGCAAGCTTCACACTAGTATCGCTGTAGTCGACACCAACCAATTCTCCGGCCCAATCCTCGTCCAACAGCGAGAAGAGCATGTGTCCATTGCCGGTGCCCAAATCGAGGATGCGCGAATCGTCCTTACTCAGCAAGCCTTCATCCTCCAAAGCTTCCAGGCGTTCAATGACCTTCTCTTCAGCACCACTGTCGTCGAACCAGATCGTGCCTTCGTCTTGGGCATCCTGAGCGTGATTTGCGATTTCGCGAGCGTAGGCGTCGTCCCAACTGGACAGTTGATCAGCTGTGTTCTTGTCGCATGACCAAGTGTTTGGGGAGGCGTACTATTGCTTGGTGCCGAGTTCACTGGGGTCGAGATGAGTGCGCATGATTGCTGTGTTCACGAATGACTGGAGTTGGTAGTCGAGGCTGGAGCAGTGACAGAAGAATTCCAACAGAAATAACAGCATGACCCTGGTCGTGCTTCACATGCGGCGGTGCTCGGGGATGCCAACGGGCCGCACGGACTTGGCATGACGGTGGGCCATGACTTGTTGGACGCTGAGGGTGAGGTCAAGGCTAAGGCTACAAGCTGCTCCTGACACGCATGCCAATTGCCCACTCAACAATTCTCCAGTTTATTCCACTGCGCGCTGCCTGGATGCCTTGAGTCTGTCTTGACACGTCTGTCTCCTTCCACCTCGTCGCACCGCCGTGTCCGACTCGCGGCTCGCTTGACACTTGACCGCTACCTTTCCCCGGACATCCAAGCCCCCCGTCATGGCCGCCGCATACTCTGCAAGTGCTCCGGGCTCACTCCCTCCAACCATGTCGAATCCAAGTGCTCCTCCGGGCACTTTCGCTCCGGGTACCAAGGTCCAAGTCGGCTCACATCGCGTCGTCATCGAGAAGTACTTCTCCGAGGGAGGCTTCGCTCACGTCTACACCGTCCGTGTACCGCCCAAAGATGCCTCCGGCAAACCCACCATTGCCGTCCTCAAAAGAGTCGCCGTGCCGGACAAGGAAGCTCTGGCAAACATGCGTACCGAGGTTGAGACCATGAAGAAGCTACAGGGTCACAAGCACATTGTCACATACATCGACAGCCATGCAAGTCAGCTGAAAGGTGGTGGCTACGAGGTCTTTTTGCTCATGGAGTTTTGCTCGGGCGGTGGTCTGATTGACTTCATGAATACGCGCCTGCAACATCGCTTGACCGAGCCAGAGATCCTGAACATCTTCGGCGACGTCAGTGAGGGTGTTGCGACCATGCATTACCTCAAGCCGCCGCTCTTGCATAGAGACCTAAAGGTCGAGAACGTCCTCATTACAAACTCACCAAAGGGCGCCATCTACAAGCTTTGCGATTTTGGAAGTACAGCTCCTCCACGGCCGGCTGCTACCAACGCCCAAGAGGGCAGGATGATCGAGGACGATATCCAGCGTCACACTACCATGCAGTATCGAAGTCCCGAGATGGTCGATGTCTGGCGCCGGCAGCCAATCGACGAGAAGAGCGACATCTGGGCGCTGGGCGTCCTGCTGTACAAGTTGTGCTACTACACTACTCCTTTCGAGGAGGTCGGCCAAATGGCCATCTTGAATGCCTCGTTCAAATACCCGCACTATCCTGCTTTTTCATCTCGTCTCAAAGCATTGATTGGTCAGTGCCTTATCCCTGTGATCCGCTCGTTCTGCTAATGCCGTGTTGCAGGTTCTTGCTTGCGAGAAGATCCTCGTCTAAGACCGAACATCTATCAAGTTGTGAGCGAAGTGTGCAGCATGCGCGGCACTCCAGTGCCCATCAAGGATGTGAGTTTATCTGTACGATCCGTACTCATACCGTATTCTCTGACGGCAAATAGATCTATGCACAACGAACACAATCTGAGGCAGGACGCAACCAAAAATTGCCAGACCCTACACCTGTAGCTTCACCACCTCCGGCAGGTATCAGCCATGCATCGCCTATCAAACAAAAACAATACATCCCTGAAATTGCTCCAATGAGGCGTGGCAGACCCACTGCTGCACCTCAACCAACAGCTGCAGCTGCGTCATCTGCTAAGAACTCGGATCCTTTTGCTGCTCTCGATTCTGCCTCGAATACCATTCGATCTCGTGCTGTAGATGAGCTCTCAGCCAAGTTCCCCTCGTTGGACGAATTCTCGATCGCCCATGATTCAGGAGGCTTCAACTTCAGCTCGTCCAAACCGAAGAAGAACGATCCTATCACAAGTGCTTTGGCAGATGAGGTTTTTGCACGTCCGGCATCAGCAAAGGCCACACCTCCCCCCAAATCTGAGTATACTCCAGCTCAAAGTTTCAGCAAGCCACCCACGAAGCCTGAGACCAGCACGAAAGCCCAAGCACCTCCTAAACCCAAAACACTGCTGCATCAACCAGCACCTCAAAGACCGAATTATTCTTCTACCGGCACCATGACATCTCCATCCGAGACTCAACCTGCACAACCAGCCCTACCGAAGATGCCAGAAGTGAGCAAGAGGCCAATCTGGCGCGTCCCGGATCACTCAAGATCCTCGAGCCAGCCACGTGCTTCCCCCATGGCTCAGAAAGAAGCCGATAGACTCCAGCCTAGTGCACCACCTGCTCAAAGACCTGCGCTACTAGACTCACACAGATCCAAATCGCAAACTGCCACGATGACGCTTGCAAAGCAAACGACCTCTTCTAGGCCCTCCTTGGAAGGCCACAGACCATCTTTTGGTTACGAGGAGGGAATTAGCAGAGCGAGATCTGCCAACCCAAGGCCGCGACCTGTTAGTGCTGCGTACGTGGACTCTAATCTTGACTACTTGCGGGAACAGGAAGCCGAGAGGAAGAGACCATCACTTGAGATCAGGAGATCAAGCCGATCAATTAGAAGCACCGAGCTCAACTTTGACGATGCAAACATTGAGAGCGACGCCGATTATCTCAGAAGTTTGGAGAACAATGATGGATTGAGTCGCCGCAGTAGCGGCAGGAGTGCTGCTCACAACAAACGCTCCAGCTTGTCCTCATTCAGCTTAAGTGGAACAAAGAACATGCTGACAGGCAGGTTTGGTGATGCTTTCAAGAGATTTGAGCAGGCCGGGGGAGAAGAAAAGACCGAGAAGAGCGGTAGAGGGTCTGAATCAGGATTCAGAACTCCTAGCCCCAACCCACCGATGCAAACTGAGGGTAACCTGCTTAGCCCGATCGCAGACTCCGAGACTAATGAGACACCGCGACGCCCAGAAGTCACCAAGTCTGATCTTGACGATTTAATTGAGACTGAAGATCTACCGCCAGAGATGCGCAGAGAAATGGAAAGACTACAGCTCGCACAGGAAGAGAAGCGTGTAGCAGCAGCGGCGGCCGAGCACAGAAGTCGCGGAGGTGCACCGCCCGTACCATCGAAAGCCAACATGATTCAACAGCGCGTTCAATCCTTATTGGACGACGGACAGAAGTCACCCGTACGAAAGAGGCAAGCGGAGGGCTACGGGCGCTACACAGACAGGGTAGAGACTGCGGAGCCTGAGCGTCTACCTACACCCACAACTCAGCCCGGTTTGAAAAGACAAGCACCGCCTGTTGCGAGAAAACCAGCTACGCCTGTTCCCTCAATTGCTGCTGCACCTGGAGAAGTGGATATGAACTTGAGATACCACAAGGTCAGACAATCCCAGTCGTTCCCGATAGTAGCAGACACATATCCTTTGGAGCACTCGGTGTCGGCACCTGCGCAAAGAACAGGAACAGCACCAAGGCCGAATGCACCTGCCAAACCAGCGGCGCTCAAAACGGGTGGATCAGCAGTGTCGTATGGTCGACCGCCATCCTCCGGAATGACCAGCCCGGTATACAACCAGCCGTCAGGGGCAACTCGTGGACCCAGCCTCGCAGCATTGATTGCACGGGACAACGAGGGTGTCGCGGGAGTTGGTGCTGGCAACAATATTGGCATGGAGCAAGCAACGCGGCAAGAACCAGAAATCACCAATCAAGCAGATTTCGAGGATTGGCAAGCAGATTTCAGCAAAAGATACCCGAGTCTGAGTGGCATTGAAATGGTGGAAAGAGAAATAGCAGCGACGGGTGGAAGCAGGGACGGAGGACGACGTGGAATGCGAGTTAGAGATGTCTAAGAGTGCGATGACTGTACTTGTATAGGTGTAATATAAAAAGTTGGAAAAGAGACGCAGATTCAAGACCAGATAGTGTATAAAGTTGAGTGGCTGCCAGTTGTGGAATGGTTATAGGAGGCTTCCGGCAGTCAGATTCAAGGTGTGGCTTGGTGTTGGTGTTTCACAAACGCCGGACGATCATCCAGGAAAGTCCGACGACTGCGACTGCCCCAAACGCTTCCCCCACCTTACGCATCACAAACATTACAAGCCCTCGCTTCCTGCTATTGTTGTCTATTCGAGCATTACACGCTCCTGCTTATTGTTGCTGAGGAAGAGAAGGAAACAGAGTCAAGCATCCGAGAACAAGCGGCGTCAACAACAAACTCGAAGGACGACACAGGAGCGTCATCATCACAACACGCGCGCCCTCCCTCTCCGCCATACACCGACCGACACACATCCAACACGCAAACCATAATGGCCCCTACCAACGAACGCCCGCGAAGGCAGCGCCGCTCGTCTAACGTCTCAAACTCATCCTTCTCATCCACATCCCCCGAACGCGAAGTCGACGATGATAACGACTCCTTCATGCTGCAGCCCAACGACTCGCAGTCGTCGGTAGCTGCCTCACTCGACCTCATGGACGACGCCAATTTCGAAGAACGATGCCGCCTGTCTCCCGTCTATCGTCTGCCTGCCGAATTGCTCATCGCCATCTTCGGTCGTCTCGCTTCAACAAAAGACCTCATGTCGTGTATGCTTGTGTCCAAGGATTGGGCACGAAACAGCGTCGCCCTGCTGTGGCACCGTCCACAAACCAACAATTGGGCCAGCATACACAGCGTCGTCAAGTCAATACGCAAGACCGATCGCTTCTTTGCCTACCAGGATCTGGTCAAGCGGTTGAACCTGTCCACTCTGGCTTCCCAAGTCAGTGATGGCACCTTGATGGGCTTGACAAGCTGCAAACGTATTGAGCGTCTGACTTTGACCAACTGCGCCAAGTTGACCGACCTGAGTCTGAGCAGTTTAATTCATGGAAACCGCAGCCTGATAGCCCTGGATGTCACTCAACTCGACCAACTCACCGATCGCACCCTTGAGCTTGTCGCTCGCAACTGTGTCCGCCTGCAAGGTCTCAATATGACTGGTTGTCGGCGTCTCACAGATCAATCTCTGGTCCAGGTAGCCCAGAATTGTCGTCAACTCAAGCGTCTGAAGTGCAACAGCTGCTCTCAGCTGACCGACGTCTCGATGCTCAGCGTCGCCCAGAACAGTTCACATCTGTTGGAGATTGATCTCTATGATCTTCCACTACTCGAGTCAGAATCCATCACAGCACTCCTGACTCAATGTCGACAACTCCGTGAACTGCGACTTGCCCGTTGTCCACTCATTACCGACCAGGCTTTCTTGCAGCTGCCACCCAAGGCTGCTCCCTTTGACGCCTTGCGTATCCTCGATCTTACTGATTGTCAAGAACTCACTGACAAAGCTATCGACAAGATTGTGCAGACTTGTCCCAAGCTGCGTAACTTGATTCTCGCAAAATGCAGACAGCTTACCGACAGAGCCGTGTGGGCCATCACCAAGCTTGGCAGAAACTTACACTACATCCATCTAGGCCACTGCGCCCGCATCACCGACGCATCCATCATCGCCTTGGCAAAGTCGTGCACTCGCATTAGGTACATCGATCTCGCCTGCTGTAGCAATCTCACCGACCAGAGTATCACTCAATTGGCAAACCTCCCCAAGCTTAAGCGTGTTGGTCTCGTCAAGTGTGCCGGCATTACTGACAGAAGCATTCATGCTCTTGCTACCTATGGTGGTCGGGTCATGCAGAAGCCCCGGGATCGTCAACACAACGTTAGCGCTCTCGAACGTGTTCACTTGAGCTATTGCACTCTTCTTACTCTCGATGTACGTGGCTGATCTCGCCTCCATACTTCCGCTTTCACAGTCTAACTCGTTCCCAGGGCATCCACACATTGCTAAACAACTGCCCGCGCTTGACCCATTTGAGTTTGACAGGAGTTCAAGCCTTCCTCCGCGACGATCTGACCGTCTTCTGCCGTGAAGCTCCTGCAGAGTTCAACGACCATCAGCGCGAAGTCTTTTGTGTCTTCTCGGGCAATGGTGTTATCCGCCTTCGCGAGTACCTTAACCGTGCTAGCGGTCCTGGACTGGATACCGGTATGGTCAACGACTCTGACGACGACGGCGATGGCGCCACTCTCCGTAACCTTCCCCTGCCTCCGCCTCCACCTCCTCATCACCCCAACCTCATCCACACATGGCACAACCCAGCATTCCACAATCACAATGACCCAGACATCGAAGACGAAGATATGGAAGATGATAACGACGGAGTCGACACGCCTAACGATGGTCATGGCATCGGTATCATCGACGCTGCGGTGCATGGTCATATGCTTAATCTGGACGCTCACCCTACTTCGGCAAACAATCCTGATCAGATGGTCGGCGGGCCAACCACACACAATCACGGTGGTGCCTTGTGGGCTGGCGGAAGCGGCGAGGCTCAACATGTTACTGGCATGATGAGCGCAGCCATGCTTGATGACGTTGATGAGGAAATTCCTCAGTGACAAAAGAACCTTTTTTGATTCTTGACATGATGAGGCACAACAGCACGAACGGTATGATGACCACAACAACAGATGGCAAGGCGTATTTTTGCATCCCATGGTATTGGGCGGGCCGGAGTTTGTTTCTTGGCTGAAAGGATCACCTCTTTTTAATTCTTTGCGACAGGCCACATAGGGGAAGTTATTAGGGTGTTTTGTTATCTTCTCTCACCGGAAGAGAGATGATCACCGTTGACGATACACAATTTGGGGGGTTTTCTTTTTCTCTTTTCTTCACTTGATTCCATTATTCGATTGTGACAGGGAAGTCATTTTCTCATCTGCTTTCCTATCTTTTCTTCTTGCCTTTCTCATCCCTCCATGCGGGTTTCATTGTTTGTCAAAGTAGCCGGACGGAGATTTTGAGAAATGAAAGGAGCGTTTCTTGCCGTCCATCGCCTTTTGACTCACACTTTGAGACCATTTATTGTGCTTCGAGCTCGCGTGTTCTTCACTTCGACGATATATTTGTGACTACTTGCAGCGCTCTTGAACCGTCTAACCACCTGTCTCAATCGTTGGTTTATCTTGTCCTCTTCGTACAAAATGCCAAGCTTGTGATTTTACTACACGTTCAGTCAAGAACATTTTCGGAGCTACGACTACCGCCGTCGAGAGAGCTTCAGAGACGCCGACATCCAGCCTTCTCGTCGCACTAGCGGCTTACATCGACGACGATGACCGCTTCAACGTAGGGTTTGGCTAGATTGGAGTTTGTCAAGATACCGTTCTGGCGCTTTTGGTGGCTCCGGGGATACCGAAGGGCAACATGAGGTTATGGACCTGGTTACTGGGGGTTCATGAGGAGATGATTTATAAGGGGATGACCATGGCTCTTCTAGAGTTTTCTTGTTGTCGTCTTCGATCGAAAGACGCACAATCTTGTCTGAAATCAAGCAGTGCTGTGTAAGGAACATCTGAACAGAGTTTTCTTCATTGTCAGAAACCGACTTCTAGCAAAGAGTCGATGTGTTTCGGCCCTTGTTATGAGAGTCAGAGAGCTTCAGCATCACAATCTATTCCATGGCTGAATGATGATGGTTCAACGAGCAAGGCTTGCTGCTTATCTCTGGTTCGATCATGCGCTTGGTTTGTTCGAAGTAGATGTACTCTACATAGACGCATAGATTGCAGGTAATATCTTGACGCTACTGTAGCTGGGGGCAGAAAGACACCTCAGGTTTGCTGGTTCGTCATGTCCTACTCACTGCGAAAGTCGATGATGAGAGAAGTCCGAGGGCTCCAGGCCGGCATCCTGATGCAAAAAGCACGATGAAGATGAATCATGATACTGAGATGGTTAGCATGAATGATAAATATTGATTTTCTTGAATCGAATCCGGAAAGTGTGTTTGTTCAGCTGATGGCATCAAAGTTGGGAAGGAGCAACAGATGCCAAACAGGAAGTAGTGAATTATCTTTATTTGCACCGAGACTTCCTTTACCGTCGCGGTGACCGCGATACTCTTGGCCAGCGAACGCAGTTCGGCCATGCTACTGGTGATTGACACAGCAAATCAACATCATCCTAGCCATCAGCGCGTCACTTGCATTATCTTTGACTCGACCACAACCAATCCACCTTTATCCCTTGACGTGTCTGACCTTGCAGACATCACTACCATGGCTGAACACTCTTCAAGGTATTCCTCACAATCAATATTCCCAAGAGACATACGCTCATCGAAATGCAGTGTCTACAACTCGCGTCTCTTTACCTTTCGTGCAAGCGAGAACGGTGCTGCCACTACAGTCCACTCTGGCGCTGTCGCCGCAGTCTCTGCTCCTCTCAAGCTGTTGATGGAAGAAGAAGGTCCTGATGGCCTCAGAACTAGTGCTACCCTGCACGGCGTGCGCGAAGAAGATCTCTTGCGCTTCTGCGATTTCTGTTACACTTCCACTTACACGGATCCTTACCCTGTTGTCGTCAAGCCACCCACTCTTGCCATTGACTCTGGTGTCAGCAATGGCGATGGAAACGGCGAGAACGCAAACACTTTCACTGCTCTTGTCACCACCGACGACAGCACCATCCAGCCCCCAGCTGCTAAGCGTCCTCGCACCGAATCGCCAGCTCAGTCTGTTTCCGGCTTTGGCAGACCTGGAATCCTGGGCGCCGCTTCACCCGCTCCTGAAATCAACGCTCTGAACGTAAATAACAAGCTCAAGCTACACAGTGTGTTCGCCAACACACCCTATACAACCACTGCTCCTCGCGTCTTTGGATCAACCAAGAGAACCAGATCAAATGGCATGTCAAGCAACGATGACCACACCAACGTCTTCATCGCTCATGCTGCCATGCACGCCCTCGCCATAAACTACGAAATCGCCAAGCTCAAGACACTGTCGTTGCAGAAACTGTGCGACAAGTTGATGCGATTCGAATGCAAGCCCGAGCGCGTTGGCGATGTCCTTGCCTTGGTCCGCTGGGTGTACACCACTGAATCTGGAATGGCCAGAGACATGCCAGAGCTCAAGGACATCGTGGTCAGATATGTCGTGTCTGAAGTCAGTGGTTTCGGCAATAGTCATGAGTTTGGAGAGTTGCTGAAGGAAGGTGGAGGTTTTGTCAAGGACTTCTGGGCTATGGTGTACAGTAATTTGCTTTAGGAAGGTAAGCAAGAAGGTGATGAAGAGAAAGAAGCGAAAAAGAAACAAAAGCGCAGAGAAAAGAGAGAGAGGCAGAAGGAGAACAGAAGAAGGAAGTTGAGCGCGGAAGGCAGCACCCTTGACCAGAAGCCACGTCTGTGGAGTTTGGAGGGATGGGCTACCACTGAATTCAGGTTCGAGTGTAAGAAAGAATAGGCGCGGCAAGCCATTTCTTTGCTTGTCAAATACTTACAGACATTGCTTAACATATTGATCTCGTTGTCACTGTGTCAAGTAAATACCTACCATCATAACTTGGGAAAGTCTCAGTGACAGAGCGATTGCAGGCTTCAGCTCTGAGTACAGTTCAAGGTGCTCGGCACGTGTGTCAGCAATCTTGATCTTGTGTTGTGACGATCCAGGCCTTTCGTGTGGAAGCTGCCAGGAAGCATATATAGAGGTACTGTAAGCAGGCTTCAGAGCTGTCAGCAGTCAGCAGTAAGCAATCAGCCTCTACAAAAGCAAAGCTGAAGAACAACAAGTCAAGTCAAGTCAGCATAAGCAAAGAGCTACTCTACGCTGTCAAAAAAAGAACCAACACACCCTCCCTCCATCGGAGACATGGAAAACCCCCGACCATCTCTGAACGAACAACCCAAATAACCGAGTAAACACCCTAAATCGCGATTAGAATTCTGTCTTTCACACCTTCAGAGAAAACAAGCCTTTTTGCGAAAGTTTGCGGATCCGGATGTTTGTTTTTCGTCCGGTGCGATGTCCGAGAAAGCCTCAAGTCATATTACTCAAATAACTTACTCTACCTCCCAAAGGGCTTGTCGGACTCAAAAAAGAAAATACGAAACTCTGAAAAGGTTACATAGGCATTTTATTGTTATCAGACGACAATTGCTCGGATCTACACCCTTTTTGTTTTTTGATCGCTTCGGATTGTTGGTTGCGGTCGAAGAGATAAGTGTGTTTCGCATACCTATTTGGGGTTGTTGCTATCGATTCTCGGATCGATACTACTACTTGTACATGTCAAATCCACGACATCGACCTCGAGCACCTTACGACGCACGCCAACCGCTGAGCCGTATATCGATATGTGGGTGTTCAGATTGAGACACAAAAGAAGGAACACGCAAAAACGAAATCATTGAACGATGATGTGACAGATATGTCTTGATCGTCATGTGTACCCACGTGCAGTCTTGGCTGGCCAATATCAAGTTTTCTCCAGACGTTTTCTGAAAAGTAGTTTCACGGATATCGACCCTTCCAGACTTTCCGAATCCGAGAAGAGAGAGAGAGAGAGAGTTTTTATGCAAAAAAAAGAGAGCCAGTAAAGTTATGCAAATTGCGGAGAAAGAAGCGAGAGAAAGTGGATGTTCGTAAACGGCAAAAGTCGATACGGGTACGCACTTATACGAGCATGCAAGAGCGGTCTGCAGACAAATCGTATGATAGGGGGAAGACAGAACACAATCGACAAATCTTCGGTTGTGTGACTGCAGGTTGATGTGTCATCACAGAAGGAAGCAGCGGATAATTGCAGGAGAGCAAACAAATAAATCAGAAAGAATGAAAGTTCGTATATTCATGGGTGCTGTGTTGTTGTCGACGCTGGCTAAGAACAATGATATCAATAATACAAAGCGCTCTGCGCATGTAAAAAGATGGTAAACAGACTAGGGAATGGCGATATGGGTATAATGGTTGGGATGGGTGTAATCCAAGGGCCAGCCATCAGATAAAAAAAATGACAAAACGCGACTTCTTCTTCTTCCTCTTCTTCCTCGGCTTTATCCTGCCATGCCACAGAAGAGCCTTCTGAACTTGCTGCTCTTCTTTGTTTTGGGAGGTGTGTTTGCTTCGATCTTACCGGCAACTATACTATTGGCCGAGGTGGTGGAGCTTGCGCGCTTCTGGCGCTGGGCCGCTACGGCAGCTAGCTTTCTCTCGATTTCCTTTGATTTGACGGAAGCTGGACGAGGGGTGCGAGCTTCTGCTTCTTCATCGCTTTCGTGCAGGTCAAGAGCAGGGATCAAGGGCGTAGGTGCCGAAGAGTGCTTTGAGGATTTGGCAAGCATGGCAGCTGTGTTCTCGACGCTTTCCTCCTCTTCGGTCATGTCGCTTTGTGCGAGATCCATATGTGCGAGTCCCGATGCAGTGGTGCTGGTAGTATCAGCACGACGTCCTCGGGGACGCTTAGAATGAACCAAGACGGTGTTGGTAGAGTCTGCACGAGCTCTCCTTGCACTGGAACTCCTGGCGACAGGAGCCTCGTCAGTCGAGGTAGAGCCATCTACCTGAGAGGAGGTAGATCGTCGCTTGACCCCAGAAGAGCGGAACATACGAGCGATACTGCCACTTCTTCGTGGAGTATCGTCTTTTAGAGTAGCAGCAGGAGACAGATCCAGAGATGTCTTGATAGGAGAGGTATTGAGTCTGAGAGAAGGTGATCGTAGCATAATATCATCATAACGATAGCCAGGGCACCAGCCCTCACGAAGGGTTACCCAGATGGCAGTAGCAGTGATCAGAGTCTTCAGAGACTGAGTTGTAATGATTGGCTCGGAAGGAGTGCCGGCATCTTGGGCGGCTCCCTCTTGCTCATGATCTGACATTTCAGGCGAGGGCGCCAGAGGCGAAGGGACGGTATAAGAATCGTTGATGTCAAGAGATGTGGTCGTGAGTGATGCAATGACAGGATGGCGACGAGAATTAGTAGAGATTGTGCTGAAGTTAAACTTCTTGTTCTGGTTGGCGTTGTCGGTGCCCCAGGACGTGGTCATGTCTGAGGCAGACTGACTTCTTCTAGCCTTGGGACGGCGGAGGACCCAGCGTGCAGTCATACCCAAGCCGTGTGCGTCGGTACTAAAGAACTCGTAACCACCATTGGGCAGGGGGTATGCCTCCCACTCGCTTCCGTCTTCGAGAAAGAGCCTCGCCTTGGATGTTGTGTTGCCATCTCCCTTTCGGCCTTTGCAGACAAGAGCCAGAACGTCTCTTGACTCATCCTCCTCTTTGGGCGACGCTTCGTGTTGATGGTAATTCTCGGCCTTGACAATGGCCAAGTCGGCAGGACAAAGGCCGTGGCGGGTGCGGAAAGTCTTTGAGATGGCGCGCGACAGCGAGGGAGAGAAGATGGCCGAGGGCAGGAGTTCGTAGGCGGGCATAGGCCTTGTAGAGTGGGACAGTTGGTGCAACTGCAACAAGGGTTTGGCGCGGACGTGGATCTTGTGTCGCGCACTGCCTTTGGGTGGTGCATGGGCGATGCTGTAGGAAGTCTTGGGACGAGAGGATCGCTTTCTCCTGCCGCCATTGGAACTCATTAGTGAGCCTTCACGAGAGGCATATTCTTCGTCGTCATTAGACATTGGCGGCAGTGAGTTCCTGTATGAACTGGTCCGCTGGCTCCGCGGGGTGGGGGTCTCGTCCTGCATTGGTAGTGATTCGATGGTATAATTGTTCTTTTGATAGTTATTTGTATTCGCGTCCCGACTGTCGGTCAATGAGGCAGTGTTGTCGGTGGTTGGCGTAGTAGTAAAATAGCTCATGAGTATTGTTGGCAGTGCAGACACCAGCGTGGGCTGGGGAGGGGCTGCTACTTCGGCCATGTCGATCTCCGTGTTCTAAAGCGCTGCCTTGTTACAAGAATGGGGAAGCCGCGTTTGACATCCACAAGCCAGCTATTGTCCAGAAGTGCATTTGCAAAGAGTCTAGGAAGAAGAAGAAGATGCAAAGAAAAGTTGTAACGAAAGAAACCGCCTTGAAACGATGGCCAACTCTTGGGCAAGAGTCAAGACCAAGACCAAGATGTGCCTATTCCCGTACGCCGCTCGTAAGATCTTCTGCTATCCGTGTATGCTTATGCAGAAGGTGGGTCGAACGCTCCTTGGCAGCCAAGCAATATCCAGTAAAAGGAATAAGGATGATGACACCAACAGGGCCAACGGTGATCCTTCGCGCGGACTCGCTCTCCAGGTGTTGCGAATGAGAGTCAAAGTCGTCCAAGTATGTAGGTCAGACAGAATGCTGCGGACGAGGGGCTATGCTCTCGTACATATACAATCGATTGGGTTGCTACAGCGGCCTTTTGTCCCTGCAGAGGCACTTCCAACCTTGCCGATTACGGTTAGCCTTGCGGACAGTCGCGCCTTCCAGAAAATAATCTCATCATGACCTTTGCACAAATCCGGGTCCCGGAGCTGCGAGGATCCAACTCGATCGGCTCTGCCTTCGTCCGCACCCCGTCCGTCCAAATCCGACTCGGCCTTTTCCAAGGCAGACGTCGCTTCCCATGCCTGATCCTCCAGAACACCTCTCCATCATCTGATCAATATCCTCGTTCTGGCGCCCCAACTCGTTCCGTCAAATTCCCTTCACTTTGTTCTCGTCAGACTTTGCTTCTTCCCGATTTCTCTTTGTCAGGAGTCACTGAGAGCGCTGAGAGCGGAATTTTCTTCAACGTCCGACTCCTTTGTGACCGACTCTCATTTCAAGTTTCACCCCTTTGCACACTTTGTCAACAATGGCTTCTCCTGATCGATCGGGGTCCAACATGATGCATGCGGATGTTCGAGCACTGGCTTGTTTGTTTGTTGTCTGGAAGCTCCTGCTTCTCTGTGTAGCCTATGCTAGCCCCGGACCCGGCTACGATACCTCTACCACGTTGCTTTTAGCCCGTGCGCAGTCCTCGGTAACTGAAAATACATTTCTGGAAGACTTTGCGAAACAACTCGTGACGAACCTTGTTCGCTGGGACGCTTTGTACTTTGTGAGTGTTGCTCGCCGAGGTGTAATTTTCGAACAGGAATGGGCCTGGGGGTGGGGCTATACCAACTTCCTTGGCTTGGTCTCTAAAGGTTTGTCTACTACATGTGAGTCTCATACAGTGCCCAGGCTGAACTCCACATCAGTCCTACCGGGTAAATCTTCGCAACCGCCACTATTTGTTCAGGCATATGCCGGACTGTTGGTGTCTCATGTCGCACACCTGTTGTCTGTTCTCGTGCTGTACGGTTTGGTTCATCGTTTGCCCATCAGGGATAAGCCCCAGCGTCGTAAGGTTGCCTTCATTGCAGCATGTCTTCATGTCTTTTCTTCCGCTGGATTGTTCCTTTCCGCGCCCTATTCTGAGAGTCTCTTCTCGTTGCTGAACTTCTTTGGTGTTTTCATGCACGCTGGCGTTCCATATGAATTGCCTCTTGAAGACTATGGGCCATTCTCGCTGATTCGTCTGCTGTTGTCTGGTGCTAGCTTCGGATTGGCTACGACAGTCCGCAGCAACGGTATTTTCAGCGGGCTTATCTACTTCTATCATGTTTACATGTTGTTCCATTCACGGATCAATGTTCGCACGATCGTAACGATTGCCACCATTGGCGTATCAGCCGCAATGATCTTGTCAGGTATGTTACTGCCTCAGTACATTGCCTACCAAGATTATTGTGTAGCACCATCAGACGACAACCCGAGGCCCTGGTGTTCTCGAAGCTTGCCTAGTGTCTACTCCTGGGTACAAGAACATTATTGGTATGATTTGAATCTTTGTGCTGTAAGGCTTACTGACATTGTCCCAGGAATGTGGGCTTTCTCCGCTACTGGACTGTCTCTAACATACCGCTGTTCTTGCTCGCATTGCCTATGCTGTGCGTTCTCGTTGGCACTGGAATCGTTGCCCCTACCTTGAAAATGGGGCCTCCCGGATCACCTAAACCCGAAAACTCCAGACACAAGTCAGTCTACATTTTGTGCCTGGCTCTTCCACAGATCTTGCTGGCTTTCTTAGCTTTCACGACATTCCATGTCCAGATTGTCAATCGCATTGCTACTGGCTATCCGATCTGGTACATCGTGCTTGCAGCAGCTTTCGTATCGCCTGATATGTTTGGCAAAGTCACAAAGACAGTTCGGCATGACGACCAATCGTCAATGGTTGCTACACTCAATTACCAATTGAGTAAGCAGTCAACGCAACAACTTGTGGTTCGAGGAATGCTCATGTATTCCATTATCCAAGGTGGTTTATATGCTAGCTTCATGCCTCCAGCATGAGCTCTCCAACTCTGGAAGACACAAATCAAGTCAATACATCATCACACTTAAGCCATCTCCATGTCAACCAGGATCTTCACGTGTCTGTCCTTCTCCTTGATTAGTGCCAGAATACCCTTCTCGACCAGATCGTTCAGGGGAATCTTTCTTGTGATCATCTTGTTAGGTTGCAGTCTGCCATCAGCAATAGCCTTGATCACTTCGATGAAATCTTTGCGCTGGTAACCCAACACACCAACATATTTTCCTTCATTGAAAACTAGGCTGTTGGGATTGAACGATACTGGCTTCTCCCAGATGGCGACATTGACCACGGTACCGCGGGCCCTGATGGCTTTGCAGGCTGATTCGAAACTAGCAGGTACGCCAGCGCAGTCGAAAACGATGTCAGGACCTTCGCCATGGCAGAGCTCGCGCGAGACGCCTACAACGTCATATACATTTGGTGCAAGGACATGGTGGGCTCCAAACTCTCTGGCGAATGCTTGTCTCTGTGCGGCGATCTCGCTCATAATGATCTTCTTCGTTCCGTGTGCCACGAGGACTTGCACGACTGCAAGGCCAATAGGTCCACCTCCTAGTACGAGGACCGAGGCGTTCTTGGGTCCGATCTCAACTAGCGGGGAAGCAGCGACTGCGTGCCAGGCGACTGATAGAGGCTCGACGAGTGCTGTGTTGGTATCAGTGTCTGGTCCAGACTCGACGAAGAAAGGCATGCACACCTCCAGTATCCAGCTCAACATTATCCGGTAGTGGAAGGACTGCATCCCATGGCACAGCCACTGCTTCACTCAGGCCACCGCCGCCACCTAAATTTCACCTTTCCATCAGCGTTCTTCACCTCACACTGGATAGCAAGGCATACTTACCACTCAAACCAATAAACCCACCATTGGGACATGCATTTTCCACTCCGTTCCTGCAAGCCCCACAACTTTGACAGAAGATCGTAGGTTGAATGGCGCACTTTTGGCCTGGCTTGAAAGAAGAGGCATTGGGCACATCTGAAGAAACTTCTAGGATCGTGCCGCTAAACTCATGGCCCATGCCAATTGGGATTGTTTCTCTGGTGACTGCATGTGGCTCAATGGGTGCGAAGCTATATTTCGTGTCAGTTCCTGTCCTCAAGTGAAAGCAAGCAAATTCCACCCGGGCAGGGAAAGACAGGAGAACTCACGTCGGACCAGCAATATACTCATGCAAATCTGTCCCACAGATTCCCACATGAGAAGGCTTGATTAGGATTTGACCAGGCGACAATCGAGGGCGAGGCGTCTCTTCTATGCGCACATCTTCTTTGCCATAGTAGCGAGCTGCGCGCATCATCTTTGCGGTATTGCTTCAATCAAATCCAAAAAAGGTTACGTTGAGGAGAAAAAGGTGTACAGCAGTAACAGAGGCGGGCATTAACGCCATCTTTGTAGCTTCACAGCCGCCAAGTTCGTATGCGATCCTTCCGGCCGCGCGGGATACCTAATCCAGCCATCATGCAATCTGGCTCAGCATGTGTCTCGTGGTTTGCGAGTAGCGTGATAGATTGCTCCGCGTCATCTTTTTGGGTTTGCGGGGAGGGGAAAAGACAGAAGGATCAACAGACCCCCCGCGCGGGGTAGCGAGGATCTCTCACATGTCAATATGGGGAAGGAGCGGCTGGGGTGTAGTAGGGGTATATCATCCTTTTTAAGATGAATGTGTGGTTCGAACACGATACATTGTGATATATGGTGGTTAATCTAGAGGGGATGTATGTTGTTCATTGTCTCTACTACACAAAAGAGCATGAACATACAGTGTTTTTGGCCAGCGTGAACGCCAGTGTTGAAGTGCCATAATTCGTGGAAGGAGCGAGATGCGCATTGCCTTCTCATTCCAGAGGACAATCGAGCTGTCCATTGTTGACAGATCATAGGTCCCCGAATAAGTCAGGTTTTGCAACACTCCAGCTTCTTGCTCATGGAAGACTGCCAATTTGACACTATTCGGGGAGGTCGCACCCTCATGGTCGATCATTTAGAAGTGCAAATGTGCCCGTCAGTCGAGCGTGAACTTGCCCGCGCATTGACTAGGATAATACCAACGATAGTAACAGAAGGCAAGCTAGAAACCGAAAGAGATGCAATCATAACTGCATGTGTATGCGAGGACACTTGGATACATTTTAGCGGCGTGATGAATGGAAAATTGGCTTATGGCTTTGGGTCCGCGGAACGAAAGCAAACATGAATCAGAACGGAGATATTCGTGAATTTCAGCGGAGCCTGACTCCTTGGACAAATAGATCGTTTGGTATATGACCGACTGCTCGAGGTCTCCTAAGTCATGCAAGCGAGCTCGTTGAACAAGAAACTTGCTAGGGATGGCGCAAGATTCACCTCTGCCGGCAGAGCTACCCTCGGATGCTTGATTCAAGACCCAGACGTTGGAGCGAAGGATTCACTATCCATGATTTTGGTACTCGGCAATCTAGCCATGACTCGATGCTCCACAAGCTGTTGTGATTTTGATGTGGCATGTGCCAGAGTGGAATAACACAGAGAAAGATCTACCAGATCTAAAGGAACAAACGAAAGATGTTGATGCTTGTGTACGCTAAGAAGAGTATAAGAATATTCAGATAAATCAGGCAGTGCTGTAGTCCACGGAGGAATACGCGCGGAGATCATGTTGCACGACCAACAGGACTACTCAGATCATTCATAGGAATCTGCGAGTCGTTCGAATGATGGCTCGCGCGAGGGTTAACAGCGAAACCATCACGATCGCGGGTGAAATCTCTTGTGGTGCGCTTTCCATGCTCAAGGTCGAGCGAACGATCTTCGCTGTCCGAATCGCCCACGTACACTTGGACCTCCGTTTGGCGCTTGATGCCGTGGATATCTTCTCTGAGGTCCTCGTTGCTTCGATTGTGACCAACAAATGCGGTATTCGTTACGTTCTTTGGAACTCCGTGACATTCTCCTTCATGGAAAGTGTGGTTGTGTTGTGACTTCTGGGTGTTGAGTGTTCCTGGATATGGTGTGCCTTCAGGTGAAGAACCAAAATTCATATCTTGCTCATTGCTTCGTGCAACCTTGATAATCATGTCGGCCATGCTCATCTCGATGTTGAGCTTGACCATCTGTTCTTGCGTCAGCATCATTCAATACAAAGAACTCGAAGAGCGAGGAGACAAGATCGGGTTTCACGAGATAGAGACTTTGACTTACATATGCCACAGGATGGAATTGAACAAAGACGATACCATTAGGTAGTGACATCAGACCGATGAGCATAAGATCCATGCAAACAGAGATGACTCCCAGACGAGTGTAGTAAGCCACCAAAGGCTTATACTTTCGAAGCCCATGTTGCTTGACTAATCTAGCCTTGACAACGTAGATGAAATACCAATTGAGAAATGCGTCAACAAGCATGATCAAGATCTTCGAACAACGATCCCAATACTTGTTTATATGTACAAAGCTGTTTTACCATTAATGAGGTCCCAAGAGATGACAAGGGGAGCTGCTACTTACACCATACTGGGTGGAGGTGAAAGGTGTGAAGGAATGAAGATGCAGAAAACGGCAATATTAATGCATGAAATGACTACAGCAGTTGCAATCTTCAGTCGTTGTGCTGTGGCCTTACGTTCCGAAATGATCGAGATGCGGTTGATAATTATTTGCATGAGGAACTGAACCTCGAAGACATAGAAAAAGAGAATGAAGAAGAGAAGAACAGCTCTGAAGAGTGTTAGCTTGGGTGTTGTTACCAACATAAGGATTTGCGTACCCATTGTGGACAATATCCTTCAACCAAAGCCAACATAGAATACCAAGGACAAGATTCGCTAAGATCTCGCCCCAGATCATGTAGATGTATGCCGACCGTGATGGATTCCTGTTCGCTCTGGTTTGATGAACGGCTCTGACTGTTGTCAGGTAGCCAAAGCCAATGGTGAAGCCAGCCGCACATGCGGCCACCTGATAATCGCCAGAAGACGACATGTCTGGCAGCAATCGAGGTAGAACAAGTGCTCGGAGGACGAGCCCAGAAGCTAGTTGATAGCATATGGGATGTCCGCTTGATATGTACTTGTGTCGCACTTGGGTCAATGCCAGCGCTAATTGACTACACGGTCCCTGCCATGGCTCGCCATGGCCAAAGCATTGGCAGTGGCTTCCTTCAGTGTCAAGCGTTCTGAGGAAAGATCCACCAACGGTCTTCTGACCCTAATATTTAGTGTACTGGTACGTACTAGCATTTCCACTCATGTCAATGATGGGAAAGTTTTCGGACTGATGGCAGTTGGTAGCAGTGTCACTTTGGTTGATCTCTCGTTTCCATGCTTCTAGCAAAACAAGACATGCACATCAGGACGAGGATATGTGTCGAAAAAGGAGATGATCTGTGCATGTCAATATAATTACCTCGCCAAACTTCCCACCGACTTGGAACCTCTGTAGATCTGGGGTTCAGCTTGTACTTAAGCTATGTGGATCACAATATGAATCGCGGATCCATCATTAAGATCACGAGCTGCCATACCCAGCCAGCTGTGTGAGGTCTTGCAATGTAGTAAGCACTCACCACACACGATGGTATTGCTCCATCTCAAGCAGCGCATAACCCAGGCCACCAAGGAGGGCAAGGCTAACATATGCAGCGGGGCTGTGAAGGGATTTGTCGGGTTCATTGGTAAGCGAAACGAGGGCACTGTATTCAGGGCCAAGTTGGTCGCATGAATGACAGAGACGCGAGTCAGGTGGAGACTGGTTAAATGGGCCATGAGGGAAACGGCAAAACAGGGCGACGACGAGTCATGCTATCTTGGTTAGACTCAACAACAAGCTTAACACTGGTGGCGTTGAAAGGCGTCAGAGTTGAAGTAGTGGACGGCAGAATTTTTTGTCGTGGCTTCATACACAATGAATGCTTCCGCAACCATGTCGCTTTGTGGTTGAGGTGTGGGTTTGATGTCTGCAGGTTTCCGGGGCTTGGCAAAACCACGGGTCGTGGGTTCCTTCTTCTAGGAAATGCATCACGACACGACGGCATCGCTTTTCCTCTCCACAATCTACTGAATCCCATGTCCTCAAGCCGTCATGTTGGTCCGCGTCGGACCAGGAATGCCACTAAGAATGATAGACACGGGCCGTGTGTAGCTGATCTCCCTTCCACCTCCAGATCACTGCTTCCGCACGGCTTGCAAGACGCTCACACTTGTCAAGATCAGCATAGGGCATAACATGCGTGATTCTTCAAAGTCATGACCGAAACCACTCGCCCCATTGCCTGTCCCGAAGGCTGTCGTAGCCCCCCGATGATCACAATGTAGGTAGGACCTTCGACTGTCCGACCGGACATCCTTCTGTCCAGTGATATTGAACCTTGATCCCTGCCTCCGATCACGTTCGTACAATTTCCTGAATCTCATGGCTCGGGACCAGCATGAGCAGTCGATAGGCGCGCTCGACTTCTTTTCGTGTACCTTTGGGTTTATATGGGCGAGGTTGTGGTGAAGGCAATGCGGCGCGTTAGAAGCTCTGCTCGCACAAACGTTATAGGGGTAGGCGGAACGAAACCGAAGGCCTGTCTTACTCTCCTGCCTCGTCTCCCATACTGGCTTAGCCTAGACTCGAAGAGTGGCCAAGGTTGCACAAAACCTGGAAGCTACAATGATGTTGAAACAAGACAACTGCAAGTTGAGGACTTGTTATTGGAATACATCTGTGATAGTGCAGCACCAGCAGACACTGCTCGAATCAGGTTGCCGAAGCCGTGTCATGGTCACAGAACACTACGGACCGACAAGCATATCTCTGGGCATCCTCTTACGAACCCGAGAGATATGTCGCTTTCATGTGCTGTCCTGTCTTTGAGAGGGTCGTTTGGTCAATGGCAGCTATGACTTTGAAGCTTGCAAAGTTCTTGCTGTACCAAAAGTGTGCTCAACCAAAGCGGAGGTTTGATGCTAGCCATCGACAAAACTAATACACTTGCGAAGTGATAGTCAAGATCTCGACAACATGCTGAACCTCAGCCTGGATTCTTTTGGCCCTCAGTAGGAAAAGCCATTACTTCCTGTCACCGCCCATACCCTGGCCGCCCCCGGTACCGCTTTCCGTATTCATGCTTGCCGCGTTCGCGTTGTTCGCAGCGCCAGACTGTCCGACAACGCGAAGAGTCAGTGTGAGTCAACAACAGAATGAGCGGAGCGCGCTTGACTCTTGCTCTTGCATTTCAGGTCGTTAAACTGCACAGCAACGCAGCTTCTTGCTCGAGGCTGTATACTTTCCAAGAGTCCAAACCATATTGAGAAACCAGCATTTCATTCAACCATCGTATTGCGAATTCCTGTGCAAGACCAACACCAGAGATCTTGTTACGATGCCACTGTGCGCAGCAGCTGTGTTCAGCTAACATCTCCAGCAATTAAGCGCATCGCTCATCGAGGGGAAGTGTTCTGCACTCTCCTCCATAAACATGTCCGGTATCACGAGAGCCTTTGTGTTGTGATCTTTGGTGATTTGTAATGAACAGCATTGTTCTTTGTATGGAAGGTACCAAATACATTGGCGAAATCCACTGTTGAGCCATGAGAGCACTTGATCACAAGCCGGAAACTAATCAACTGTAGGTGATTGAGCCTTCATCTTCTCTTAGCCTGGAAGAGGGCCAAAAACAGTACTAAGGGAGAAAAGGATAATGACGCTCAGAGTGCGGCGCTGTTTGTATTATAAAGCGCCGCACGTTCACCTACTAAGAAGTGCAAGAAGGGTGCGAGGGAAATAAGAAGCCGCATCTGAAATCCAGGCAATATAGGCAAACGATTGGCGAACAGCGTCACAACCTGATTATCCGGCGTGCATAATGTGAGCCAAAAAAAATCTTGAATTCTTTCAGCCAGGAAGCTTGAGGTCATTCGTGTCGTTCCCGGCCGCGTGGTCGATATTTGTGTTGGCCACAGATCTATCCCATTGGTATGTTGTGCGCGCTCATAATCTACATGGACCAGTGAGCGACGAGCATTCTCTGACTCTCCAAGTCAGCCGCAACAAATCCTTCAGCATTGTTGAAGTTCGCAGTGCTGAGCAATACTTTGACTTGCTGCTCGGAGGTGAGACGGCTCCTGTGAAAGCGCTCATACATCTTCACAGCTTCTTTAGCGCTAGTGCTGGGGGGATTCCGAGCATACAGGTGATACAGAAGAGCCCATCTTTACATCCAGTCGATCCTCTAGCTCCGTGCATTTATCTTCGAGAGCTTCTGAAAGTCTCTGTAACTGTTGTTGAAGGTCGTCAATGGCGATCTGAGACTCCCGATGCACCTTCTGAACGCCTGACTCTTCTGCTGACCTGATATTCGTAATTGCCTTGTCTTTTACTTCGTGTAGAGACGTAGTTACTATCTTTGATATTAGTAAAAACTACTTTATATAAAATAGTAGATATATAAGTAGTAATATAGTCTATAATAGAGGGCTAGGCCTAAGCTATCTACTTAGTAGTAAGGTTATAAGTCTAGACTTAAGCAATAATTATAGGGATCTAAGCTTATATTATCTTCTGAATTAGATATTTAAGGTCTATAAGAATAAGAGTAATTATTAGTATAGGTTAAGCCTAAGGTCTAGTAATAAATATAGTCTGCTTAATATTAAGCTAGTTAAGGTATATAGTTAATGCTTTAGAGATAGTATATGGCAGGGCTTAGATATCTTAAGTATCATTAGAATTGTTACGATTAATAGTAGAAGTACGGGTAGGGGTGCGCTAGTAATAGGGAGAAGAGTAACTTTATGTAGAGTGGTCTTAAGACGGTTCATTAAGGACAGGTAAGTGAGCACTTTAAGGGATTCTATCCTCTCCTATAGGGTGGACGTCGTGGATGGACTGACTGTCTTCAGCAGACTGTGGGGAGGGGCCTTCACGTGTGGAAGTAGGGATGTTCTCCTCGATGGGTGAGCTGAGGGGGTAATTGGCCTTATACCACTCACACTCCGATCCTTTCGTTCTCTTGTTGGTTGACAAATCATCCTCACGAAGACATTTCGACGAAGGTGGAGTTGAAAGTCTTCGCGAGGTACCGGTCGATTGTGCGAGAGCTTGATCATAAGGAGGGAATACATGGCACAGGGCTATATCTTTTCGAGCAAAAAATGTTCTTTAATCTGTGCCAATTTCACGTTTGCACTTTGTTTCCCCGAATGCATGGCTACGCAAGCTTCTCGTATGGCTCTTCATCACAATTCTCGACATATAGCCAGAGATGTCTCTCTAGCAACTGAAGTCGCAATAGAGTGTAGATGAATGGGCACCCCGAGATCAGCTACCGAGCGGCCGGGTATGACGGCAAGCGGCTCAAATTTGACCGCAGCCAATTCGGCAATTCCATCAGAAGACGCAATTTTTTGAGGGGTTGAAGGTCGAACGGCTCAGGGCTGCGAAATCGAACTCTCTGCTTGAACTACTTGAGTCACTCTGTCCCACCTTATTCTCTTCGCACGACCGTCGACAAAGAAGAGACACAGGCTCAAGTCGGAGCGTGCCCAGCAATCGCTTTCAGTTCCTTGAGCTTGGCAAAAGCAAAAATCTGGGGCACATCAACAACCTTTCGTCATGCATCAACACACACAACCTGCAGAGGCGGCGACGCGACCTAAAAACGAGGAATACGAAGATTCATCTGTGTCTACGGCGACAGAAGCAGAGAAAGAGATTGTTGCAGAAAATGCCTTGAATGAGGGAACGACACAACCATACGAAGACCCGATCGCCGAAGAACGCCAACAACATACCGATGGAGGCGATATCGAAAAGCAGACGACGAGGAGGAGCATACGGTCAGGAAAGGCTGTGTCGGTAAACAATGTTGCTGCTATCCCCAACGGTGGTACCAAGGCCTGGTTGCAGGTGAGAGCTTCTATACGCGCATGGCTATGAACAAAGACAACTGATATGATATTTACCAGGTCCTCGGCGCATGGGTCCTTTTCTTCAACTCTTGGGGAATCAGTATGTCTCGATCCTTGCCATGTTAAGTGCAAGCAAGCGGTGGACTGACCAATCGAATAGTCAACACTTTCGGCGCATACCAGACCTACTATGAAACCGGCATTCTTGCGTCTTCCTCGCCCTCAGACATCTCATGGATCGGATCAGTACAAGCCTTCTTGCTCATGCTCGTCGGCGCATTGACAGGACCTATCTACGATGCTGGGTACTTTCGCGCTTTGTTGGCTGTCGGCTCTTTTGGTGTTGTCTTCGGTTTCATGATGCTTTCGCTGGCCAAGACATACTGGCAAGTTATTCTTGCCCAAGGAGTCTGCGTCGGTCTGGGTGCTGGATGTCTGTTCGTTCCATCTGTCGCCATCTTGAGTACATACTTTAGTACAAGAATTGCCACCGCCATGGGTATCGCTGCTTCTGGAAGTAGTTTGGGTAAGCTCTGTCTTCGACTTGGGTATTGTGTATTTGCTGACATTGCATACAGGCGGTGTCATCTATCCCATTGTCTTCTACCGTCTCGAACCACGCATCGGCTTTCCTTGGGCAACTCGTGTCATCGGCTTCATCGCTCTGGCAACACTCATCGTGTCCAACTCAGTCATGCGCATTCGTGTTCTACCAGCTGCTCGTCGTGCCGTCCTCGATCTCAAGGCTTTTACCGAGCTGCCCTACCTCTTCTTCGTACTTGGTGGATTCCTAGCGTTCATGGGGCTTTACGCACCTTTCTTCTACATTGAGAGCTACAGCATCACATACAACATCACCTCGCAAAGCTTGGCATTCTACACGCTGTCGATTATCAACTCGGCTTCGGTCTTTGGTCGCATTGTCCCCAACCTGATTGCTGATCGTACTGGACCGATGAACATGATCATCCCCTGCTGTCTCATCTCTGGAATCATCGCACTCTGCCTCATTCCTGTCCGCAGCGAAGCAGCGATCATCGTCGAGTGTGTGCTGTATGGCTTCTTCTCTGGAGCTTTGGTGTCACTGCCACCCACCGTATTTGTGCATTTGTCACCCAACAGAGGACTCATCGGAACACGCATGGGACAGGGCTTCAGCGTCATCTCGATCGGCTTGTTGCTCGGTACTCCCATTTGTGGCTGGATTTTGAATGGCAGCAGCTTTACTTATGTATGGGTGTTTTCTGGAGTGCTGATTCTGGCAGGTGGGAGTCTCATGGCTACGAGCAGAATCTTCAAGGCAGGGCCTAAGCTCGTGCAGCGGGTTTAGAGTTGAGCGAGTGAGCTCGTAACAGACGTGTTCAATCTTCCTAAAAAACGGCATCTTTAGCCAACACATAATATAGAGTCAAACAGTGACCTTTTCAGAACAAATTACTATCTCGATTCACTCATTGATGCAAGTGTTCCCAAGTACCTGGATGGCTTCGAGATGGGGATCCGAGACAGATTGACACATGGCAGCAGCCGAAGTTTCTCCGGGTGGGTCGTTTGATGCGGCGTCTTTGTATACCCGTGCCATCACTCGACAACCGCTCCGACCAGGAAGCGCATTCATTTTCACGCCATCGCATATATCGCACCGTGCTGCCTGGATCACTGTCGCCTTTCTGGAAACTGGCGTCACCTTCCGGATCCGACACGACGGCTTCACTCAAACGCGCCGGCGCAGTGACATCACGGGCTCTGGTCTCTATCACTCGTCCGCATGTCCGACAAGCAGCTATAGAAGAGCATGCCAGGTCGCATCGTCATGGACAACCATGCCGCACCGCAGACTAACGGCCTGAAGCCCGAGCAGCCCACCATGGCCTCGACCGCTACCGCGACCGCCCAACCCTCCACTTTAGCAAACGGCTACAGCAATGGCACAACCCACGAGGAAGAGAAGGTTCTGCCGCCGGAACTGGAGCATTGGGCGCACACATATGTCCCGATGGGCACGTTGCTCGAGCGCATGGCGCAGCAATGCTATTTTGACCTGGGCGAGGTCATTGAGCAAATGGCAGATCTCAACATTGGCACACCACAGACGAATGGCGCAACCACTGCCGCCCCTGACGTGTCAAAAGCGAGTATCGACAAGAAATTGCGACTTATGAATTTTGCAAATACTCAACAAGCTCGCTTCATCAAGGCTTTGGTCCTGTCAGACTGGGCGCGCAACATGGGCGACATGAACAAACTGATCGAGTTGCGTATGTGGTTGACTCAGCAGGATGAAGCTTCAACCCAAGTCGGAGATGCCATTATGCAGATGAAACACAACATGATTGGTGCCAAAATGCCAAACCCAAACATACAAGGAGCCCTGGAACTCTTGTCCACGTCCAAAGCGCCATGGCTGCCCGATCTAGGTTACATTGCACCAAAACCTCTATCTGCTCAGAAACTACTCAAAACTCTCCGAGACATGAACTTTGTTCTCTCCGTGCGACTCAACCTACACGAGCAACTACCTTCGCATTTCTGCAACTACTCGATAGCTAATGGACGTGCTACTTTTGTTGTCCCCAATGAGTTTGAGCTTGATCTGGCCGTCACTGACGAAGACACGACATCTCCATTCTACTTCATCGATATCCGGTTCCTGTTCTCTGATGCTCCATCTCTGGCAGATGGTCCCGCCCGCGCACACCTGGAGGGAAAGGTTAATCAATTACTCCAAGCTGAAGGTCTCAACGCCGCTTACGGTTTTCTGCATGGATTTGTGTTAACGCATAAGATTACTCTGCTTCGGATACAGGCTACGGACTTGGCGCGCACAAGGTGGACTGAATGCCTAAACATCGAACCCGTTCATCGATCGCTCGTTATTCAATACTGGACCGGCCAGCCTGGAGGAAAGAATTGGATCGAGATTGGAGTTATAAAAGGTCACAATGCACAAGATTCAGACCGGCCACATACACCCGCACGGCTGAATGTCCGCTGGTTCAGAGCTGGAAAGGAAGTTCCTGATGCAAGATTCGATATTGACCCAGCCAATCCCTCGATGGAGTATATTCTAAATCAGGTCACTGCAGCGCACATGACGGTTCGCCTTGAAACCATCAAAAGCCAGCTTCTGGCCATATCTCCAACAAGCTCTGCTCTGGACACCAAGGTCAAAGTCTCATCAACAGATCCGAATGCCTGCGCCTTAACCATGAAGCTCGGAGAAAACTGCCTGGAGACCACTCTACGGATCATACCCGTTAATGGCAACATCTCCATCTCTCCCGTGTCTGCTGCCTCAATAGACGTTGAGGGACGACTCAACTCCGACCCCACAATCGATGCTGCGCAGATCTTGTCTTACCTGAATTGCAAACTCATTCAAGACCAAATAACACGAAAAGCTTTGCAAGGCGGCTGGCTTTTGATGCCAACTACTCAACAAGGAGATGCCAACAAGATTTTTGCCGAACAAATTATTCGCCGCACAATATTCACTCGCTACGGCTGGGGCGAGGATTGGGCAATTTGTCTGACAATCAGCTTGCAAGGTGTGAAATGGTGGATCGTCCGTCTGGCGTCGACCTCACCAACCTCTCGCATAATCAACACAGCAGAAACTCTGTCTATTCCCGCGTCTACGAAATCCTTCGATCGCCATACACTCATGCTCATCGAATCTCGCGCTGTAGCGCAAGTTTCGCTCAGCAATATATCTTCGCAACTCCGACAAGGAAAGATAAGCCACGAGATCAGACATGTATCTCCAGCCACTTCACAAAACAATCCTACAGCCTCACCACTATCCTCATCAACAACTACAGCAGTCATCGGCATCAAGTTTGAAGACTGCATGCAACCTTCTTCCTTGCCTGAGCGCAAACTCTGGAAACCTTGGTGTGGCAGTACCATGATCTTAACGCATCATGGTGTTGATGAAACTGCAAAAGATGCAGTCAAGGTTGTTCATGTTCTCAAAACGAATCTGACCCCTCAAACAGCGGAGATTCTTGCACCCTTGGCAGGCAAAGGAACTCCAAGTCAGGATATTGTATTTGCCGCCAATGGCATACTGGCCCTACAATTACGCACACATTTCGGCATCGATCTCCTTGCTGCAGTGAAAAGCAAATTGCGACGCATCGAGCGGTTAGCAAGTTGTCTTGCTGCCATCACAAAACGTAGTTTCACAGTCGAGAAAGTGGCGGTGACTGGATTGGTGTTCCGTTACTCTACGGCTCCTCAAGTGCTCAAAGCAGGCATCCTATTCTCCGACGACGCAACGCAGCCAATGCAATTGCGCTTTGCGACCGAAGATGCAACAAATCCGCATCGACGAGTGCAGCCCCTCCTTCAAAATCTCCTTCTCGCACCTCCTGGCACTTCCTCTATGCTTGAAGAAAAGTCTAGAGTGGAAAGGCTGTTCGACACACTATACACAACCACACCACTTCTTTCCGCTTGCGCTGCCATCGAAGCCAAAGACCCAGCCGCAAAATCTTCGCGTTTTGCTATCAGAACCTTGACACATTTACGGATAGTCTATTCATCTCCTCTACCCTCATTGACCCTCAACATCGAAGCCACGAGAAAAGAAGGCAAGAGTCTTTGGAGCTTTACCATACTCAAGGACTCTACAGCTGAGTATGACAAGTCTTTGGATCTGCTTCAACAAGCGTGGCAAAACAAAGAGCTTGAAGGGGTCAAAGGGTTTAGGACTGGCGTTGTGGTTGAAGTGCAAGCTGTGGAGGACATTTTATTGGGTTTTGATGCTGTGGTTAGAGCACAAGGTGGTGGTGATGGCCATGAAGTTGTTGTCCTGGATTAGATGTTCCAGGACACGGAGTGGGCTTTTTATGCATTCAGTTGATGCAAGATGGGTCTGCAAAGCTCGAAACTTCGTGAGCAAGACCCGCAAGGAAGCCATATTGAAGCTCATCGCTGCTTCCTCCACCCTATTCCTAAGTACAAATACACAAATTATTAATGACATATACGCCTTAACTTCTGAAGTTCTTTCTTCTTCATTGAAATGTGTCTTTGATCCTGTGGCTTGGTTGCTAAGCATGTGGTCGTTCGCGATTAGAGGGTTTTTCTCGACATCAGCATCGTTCGCAACATGCAACGATCCCATCATGTCGACGAAGACTTTGGCCATCAACAAGACAAGATCATTGCCATTTAGAGATCGAGCATCACTAAAAACACGATCACGAAATGCGCGCTCTACATACGAGAACTCAACCCATTCATGCCATCTCAAACCTCTGGACAATGCAGACTCCAACTACCCATCCCTAATTCAAACCCCTTCACAATTGAAAAAGGCCACCTGCACCGTAATATCATCTCTCAAATCTCTAGAATATGGATAAGTAGCTGCAAGTCTTCCTCCTATCAACTCGGCATGATTTCCACCCAGAGAGTTTCGAAGCAGATGGACGGCGACGTTTTCTTTATCTTTGAGGACTGTTCTTTCTTCTGAAAATCTGCCAGTGGTTGAGTTGTGGGAGATTTGACTGAGGTCGAAGGGTGGGTAGGTGGGTTTGTGGTTTGTGGTGGAGTTACTGGGGGTGGTGAAAGGTGTTTGAGAGTCTAGCCATGTGGATACTAGGGTGACGGCTTGTTGGTCGGTGAGCATATCCCATAGCCCATCTGATGCTATGATAACGAAGGAAGGGGTTTCAGGATCGATGACAGTACTTGTAACCACTGGTTTAGCAGTTATATATGGCGGTGTCTTTGATTCGTTTCCTGGTCTCAATGGTGGTGCTTCAAACTTTTTGATCATGTCGTTTTGAAACTCGACAGGCCATTTCCAGCGGCCATCTCCAAAAGCTCGTGAGACCATTATTCCGAGAACTCGGCCGTTCTTGACGATGTTTTCTTCACCCGGGTGTTCCTTTTGGATCCTTGAGATTTCGTCGGTGTTGCTGCCGGTTTGGTCGATGGATAGGGGTGTTGCTGTCCATGTTCCGTCTGAATTCTTTTGGCCGAGGACTGCTCTTGAGTCGCCAGTGCATGCGACATGCAAATTGCTTGTAACGGGATCGTATAAAGAGAGCAAAGCGCAGGAACCAGCAAATGCAGGAAGTAACTTCTGCATCTTTTCTTGGAACGGCAAATTACTCTGAGCAGTCTCCTGTGCTGTTTCGACAATCGAGCTGTCCAGATCTACAAACGCTTTGGTGATGGCTTGCTGAATTGCTTCCTTGTAGCCAGATTGTTCTCCAAAGGCAATGGTGGCCTGACGCAGGTACTGCTGAACCAAAGGCACAAGTTGCTTCTCTAACAGATCTGCTGTCTGCCAACCCGCATGTCCATCAAAAATAGCCCAAGCCATCCATGGTTTGTCATCATCACGAGGTGAAGGAAGCTTGCCATGAATAAAGCGGTCCTCGCAGATGCCATTAGAGGCTAGTTGTGTACCGTCATACCTGTCAACGCCAGAAACACCCTTGATCAGAAAGGAATAGGCCTCTTGTGAAAGTATTTGGGTGATTTCATCTGAAGAAAGGTCGGGTTTGTTGAGCGTGTGCTTGGATGCTTGAAGTTCTATGACTGGCACGGTATCGCGAGTGGGTTTTGTGAACCACCAGATCCCTCCTACTCCCGCAATCGCACTGGCAGTGATGACAGTATATCTCACACCATTACTGCTGGTTTGCGAAAAGTTAGGTTTCGTTTTCGCAGAAAAACGTCGAGCTGGTAGTCCAAATCCACGGCGCATGCTGGTGCGAGCTAAACGCCATGATCGCATTTTCAAAAACATGATAATAGACAAAAGAATGAATCGAAAATAAGTATAAAAGTTAGAAAGTAGAGATGTAGAAAAGGAAACGAAGCACGCGAGCTGTTGCCTAATAAGCAAGACATGCATGTGCTTTGCGGCGCAGCAAACGGGAATCCTGCAGCTCAAAACGGAAGGAGCAGATAAGGTGGGATTTCCTCTGACCATTTTGGTTGGCTTATAACCATCACACGACCATCACAATAACATTCAAATTATGTACATCGAGACTTTCATTGAAGAAATCACGCTTTTTGGCATGGTTTGGGATTTCGATGTTTTACTCGGCAACCATAGACAAGAGATTCTACACACGACTAGAGGACGACAACCTGCTATACCGGGATCGAAAAGTAGGCGACAAGAAGATGAAGACTCTTGAACAAAAATCACATACCGACGTGCTGCCATTAGGATTTTCGCCTCGATTTTTAAATCATCAACGACTAAGTCGGAGTTGCCATCAGTCAAGTCATCATAAAAAGCCTGCCAGCTCGCAGCGAAGTTGACGTGGCCGAATTCTTCTCAACCATGCAATACCGCCTTCGGAAGCAGGTCTCAGTCAGAGACGATGCAGAACAAGAGAGAGCTGTGTCAGCGAATGAAGGAGAACAACTCGAACTCTGCCAGATTTTAGCTAATAGTTCCGAGCTAGATAGCTTTATCGTTGCGACCATATCGACAGACGGCTTGCCCCCAAGAGCTACAGAAATCACAGTATGCAGCCGACTATTCTGCACTATTCAACTTTGGCATAGAAGAGTCATCCATTCTGATGGACCATGACCCAAACTATGCTCATGTGTCATCAAAGTATGATCTTCTGGACGTCGAACGACACCTTTCCAAAGCAGCGCCCTTTCTTGCACCACGCATGTTCTTCTCAACAAAGATTGAACTTCCGCAAGCTGGATGGTATGCATACGGATCTGGACCAGATTTATCCCATAGCCAGGATGTCTCGGCATTTGTGAGAAATTGAGCAAGTTTTTGTGACTGTTGCCTTGAATCTTTGCATCGCCCTCTCTGATCAGACATCTTCTCTTCTTTCCTCAAGGTCCTCACTCTACCATATCTCACTCCTCAGATCGCACAACCATGGAAAATAGTACTCCTTCAATTTTGGAGGACGATCTGCCTCCTTTCGGAAGACTTTCTATCGACCTGGTCCTGCAAATCGCCGACTTGCTCCCGATTGAGTCAGTCTTTGCTCTTGCGCTCACTACGAAACCGCTTTACTACAGTCAGGCTCTCCAAAAAGTTTGGAAGTCAGATCCTCGTCTCTACCCAGACCGGTGTGCACAATTGATAGCGAGATACACACCGGAGCGGATTTACTGTGCCTTCTGCAAGCGTTTGCATCCGCGAAGAACGACCCCGAAGATCACCAACGATTGGTCTAGCTTAGATCCGTGTCCACACAAGCAGCCCCCTCTCCGTCGGCAAAGAACGGCTCTGGAAATCATCGACAACTGGGCTAGCTTACCTCCAATTTCAGTTGAACCACCTCGTCTTGTATGGCTACACTTGGATCCCTGGGAGTACCATGTCCAGTTTGAGGACGTCTATAAAGTTATGATTAGACATCTCTGGGGAGCGCCATGGGGTGACGATTTGGAAAGCCTGGCTGTTGAGACAAATTGGCAAGCTCTGGCATACAGTCCTACTCGCGAGGACCCCAATGGCTACCTGAAGACACCGGCTCGATGCCTTGTAAGACTCACTGTCAAGCCCGAGATCGTCGCGGACAAGCTCATTCTTCGCACCATCCAACGTATATGGTACGATCGCGACGTGTGGAATCATTGCAAGCCTCATGCTCTTGAATGTCCTCTCAGAGCTTGCCAACATGCGACACGACCTGGTCTTACGAGTTCTATTGATGACTTACTTGCAATCTCTCGTCAGGGACTCCGATTCTCCAGACCTCATCTTCCATGGCAACAAAAAAGGCAAAATGCAATGGTAAAGTCCCTTTCCCAGCATTGCTTCAAATGTATGAGTAGATTCTTCTTAGTTTTCTGGAATCACGATCAGACTGGAGTCGAATTGGCCATGTACACTTGGACCAATCTCGGAATGTGCGATTACAACCTATCCAACGAATGGACTGTGGCAGCAAGTTCTGAATGGAAGCCGTTCCATGAACGGTGGCACATCTACAATCGCAACCATGGTTTAGACCATGTTTCTGATGTACACGAACAGATCACGGAAGCCGATAGTGAGATTTGCCACCGATCATTTGAACGTGCAAAGCAAAATCTTGCGCTACGGAATCAAAGATTGCATGCACTCCAGCTTTGCAGCAAGGATGAAAATTCCCAAGATACTGTGGTCTCGAGCAGAAATCAAGAAGATCATTCAGAGCAGACCTTACCGAGGAAGTCCAGAGTATCCAGGTTTGTGAGCCAAGTTCACAGATCGGTATGGCATCCGTTTGGCCGCAGCAAGTCTTGAACCGTCCATTGAAGAAGGCAAAGGCGATGAATGTCAGCTTCCTTGGCATTCTTCTCTCTGACGTGAGATTTGTATCAGGGCGAGCAAACACAAGGGCCTAGACGACAAACAAACGAAGCCTCCGAAGCCAGAACGATTGAACTGGACAATTCAGAAAGTTATATCGATGCTACAATTTACGATATTGTCGTCTCTACCATTTTGCTCTCCAGTTCCACCCTTTGACTTTAATTCGCACCCAAACAAAGCATGCTAAAGCAGCAACATAACTCAGTCCAGTGAACACAGCAACGCCCCAATACTTTCTCTTGCCCGTTGCATCCACAGCATCCAAAATACCACCAGCAGCAGGCAAACTAGTCAACACTCCAAACGCCACAACCGTGTAACAACTAGCATAATACCTTCCATAATCGCCGATACCACACAACTGTCCCAAACAAATAGGCGTCAGCGAAACATTGGAACCGCTTACAAAACCAAAGAGGATAACAAACACGATAAGCAAAGCTGGAGAAGACAGATCTGGTGCCAGGATATCAGGGATCCAGAATGCGAGTACTGAGACCGCGCAGAAGAATAAAGAGACTATCATAGTGTTGTAGTGACCGAAATGGTCGCCTAGAGTACCAGAAGTTAGGCGGCCGAAACATGATGCGGCGTTTAGGATGGCGAGGAGTTGGTAGCCAAATGCTGCTGAGCCGGTAATACCAGCGTCGGGAGAAATGTTTTGACGGGTGAGGTAGTAGGTGGGGAGATATGTGATCGGGATGTAGTAAGCCAGATCCGTAAACAGTGTTCCTAGGGTCGTTACTGCCATTGCACCTGTCCCATCTAGAAAGATGCGATAATCTGGAAGTGTGGCTCGCCAAGGTGACTTTCCATCTTTGGGTTTTGGAGCGCTAAGTCTGCTGCGGCAGAAACAGACGCTAAGGATGCAGAGAGCGAGTGTAATAAATGCTACGATTCTGATGCTCCAACTCCAGCCTAGTTTTGGTAGGAGTGCTTGGATGACTAGTGGAAAGAGCACGCCGCCGAATCCACTTCCTGTCCAGGCAATACCGCTGGCGAGTCCGCGACGGGTGTCGAACCAATGAGCTACGCAAGCCATGGAAGGTGTGAGCAACAGACTCGATCCTAAGCCCGTAAGAATTGAAAAGGCTAGAAAGATCTGATAGTATTCTGTTTGGCTCATCAATGCTCTTGTTCGAAGTATGATCGGGTTGATTCTTTGCTTACGAGTACAGAAACTCAAACATACCATTCCCAACACCGTACAACCTGTTCCTGCAAGCATCAAGAGTCGAGGACCAAACACATCGAAACAGGGGCCAACCCAGACACCTACACTCCACACTACAAAAGCATAGATGGAGAAGATCCAGCCGAGTGAGGATGCTGATGTTGTAGGGAGGACAGAGGATGAGATGATAACGCTGAAGACGCCGGTTGTGTTATAGACACCAATGGAAGCAGTCAAGCCACACCATGCACCGAGGACAACCAGCCACGCTTGGGTGCCACCTTCAGGGTAGGTGATGGCATCTGAGGGCTGAATTGAAGAAGTGGCTTTTTCAGTGTCTGGAGGAAGTGATGGAGACTGTGGCGAAATATCTGAGTTGGAAGCCATTGCTCTTGTCTGTTCGAGATAACGCTTGCATATAAGGAGACAAGAAAATATGGTCAAAGAGCTTGGTGTATGGAACTTGTCAAGAAAGAGCTGGTGGTTTACCAAAGGTGTTGGTATATGAAGCTCATGCTGTATGAGAAGATATCGAACCATCGTAGCCTACCTGTCTATATAAACCAAGTCCATTGTGTTTTCTTGATTGATCATCGTTGAACTCGAATTGGCCAATCAGAGGCAAGAGTGTACTGGAAGTGACCAATCAACGTCCAGCTTGATGCAAGTCCGCGATCCTTCTGGAGCGAAGTGGGTTTTCCACCAGCAATAAGATCTCTTCGTACTGCAAAACTCAGACAAAACAGCAAGACGATCGTTAGTTAGTGTTCATGGAAGCTGTGCTGGGTGTTGCTGGAGCCAGCTATGCGAAAGCTTTCAAAGCTCATTTGAGCTGAGCGTATTATCCGACGTGGCGACACACGTGGAAAGATCGAGACTACCGTCTATAGAGCGATTGCGACTGCGCATCTCGAGAATCCTCCAGAAAGATCTCGATGTCTTGATACATATTAAAGTTGTTGTGTGGTACGGAGTCACAGTCGCACAGAAATGATGTCAAGGTGAGTTGGCGGATCAACCTCGGTTGGGCAGTCGTGCTTACCAACCTCTTATCCACTGGAGGTGCCTTACTCTTGCATCCTTGCATGATTCAGCAGGACTCCTCTTGTTTATCGCAAGACTGTATCAGACTGCTACGTACTGAGAACGCATACATCTTCTTTGCACGATAGAAGCCCTACCACAACCCAAACTCAACACTAACTAGTCTCCTGTCTCCAACCACACCATTTCCTGACAGACACTCGAGTCTACTACTTCATAGCTACAAGGCACGATGTCGGCTGTTGCATCATCCCCTACAGACAACTCATACCATTCTGCCCTCCCAATACTGCCCATAACAACTTCATCCCGAAAATGGCATGCTCTGACCACACGCACACCTTGCCCCACACTACCTTTTTACTACGGTGTTCTTGCCACAAAAATCTACTGTCGGCCTACCTGCACAGCGCGTCTCGCTCGCCGTGCCAATGTCTGCTACTTCGCTTCTGCTCAGGCCGCCCGAAGTGCTGGTTATCGTGCTTGCAAACGCTGTCGTCCTGATGATGAATTGTTCTTTGGCGAGGCCGAGGAAGTGGTCATAAACGCAATGGCGGCGATAGGGAGGCGGCAAGGGAAAGACAGAGGAGCTTTGGCACAAATAGCAGCAGAAGTGGGTGTGTCGAAAAGCTATCTGTGTAGAGTGTTTAAGAAGACTATGGGCATGACTGTGGGAGAGTATATCAAAGAGTTCGAGACGGATGGCAAGGGGGATTTGATAATTTTATCATCTATGGCCGGATCAGAGGCAAATTCGTCAACGATGGTGTTCATCGATGGAGCGCAGCCTTCGAGTGCTATCAACAACTGTCCGAAAGGGGTCCGTGGTGATTGTCTCGATACATCCAACCTCCCAATACCGCCCAGTGAGACTCCGGGCTCGACCTTGATCAGCGAATTCAGCTGAGGATAAGATACCTGGTTCGGTAACATTGAACGACAAGATCTGTCACGGCTTCCATCCTGAAAGGTTCCATCAGACGGGGAAAGGATACACAAACGCCAGCGCGAAACTTTCGAGTCGAGGCCGGATCCTTCCTAAAACTGAATAACAGAATACAACGAAGATGCTGGCCAGGGAGTCGGTGTCAGAACCGATGTGATCACTTCGGTTCTATTTCGTGTGACGGCGTCTCGGCCTTGAGTACAGAAGTGTACACTCTCGTGGTTTCGCCTCTTCAAAGCGGTACATTATTGTATCTGGATCTTTGTTCAGCAGAGACGATCAAGATTAGGGGAGACAGATGACCACACTAACCGGTGCCACATGTTCGGACGAACGTCGAGACATGACGGTGCGATTGAAGATTCTTGCTGTTGGAATTTGCATACCCGGGACAAAAGCTGTGAGAAAGAAACTTCAAAGTAGCAAGACGCAGGATCAGAAGACCGAGGATCAGAGAGAACTTGAAAGCATGCCTCTGATGATTACCTGATGGACAGTCATTCCAGAATTGTCTTGCACGATCAAGCCGCTAGTGCAGAATTCAGCCTTTGAGAAAAGTGATGATGATACGAGATGTACTTGTGAGTGAACAACATGACAGGTATCCAGCATAGCAACAGTTCGTTGTGACGAACTATCTTCGCGGCTGGGAGCATCATACCAGCGCAGGTGCAAGTTGCAAACGAGCTTGTGTAACTCCACCAGCCATGACGTGCAAGGAATCGTGACACAAGTTTGATGGAGATTGACAGATATGTAAAAGCATGTTTGTAAATGATAGATCTTTCTGAGATTCTAATTGTGCCGAGATGTGCTGAGAGGAGTTGTTGTTTGAGGAAAGTCCTTGATCGTTCCGTGTCTTGGGCCCCCCGATTGAAGATTGAGTAGCACTTGATGTGCCTGCATGCAACAGATGGAGAATCGGAGCTGAACCTGAAAGTGGAGATGGTCATTATGTTCGCAATTCTTCGCTTCAGCTAAAGCATACAAATATGAGAAGGCAAAGTACAGCGCTTCAAGACTCCCAACAACTCCAATAAACCGCCCAGCTGTGACCGTCAAACACCAGTATCGTATATTGCATCCTCATTTCTTCAACTTGGCCAACTCTTCCCTGACACTGCCTCCGCTTGCTCTCCACCAGACATCACCGCCCCATCTGATCATTCTCTCGGCCGCATCCAGAGGACCGTCAACAGCAGGTCTGACGTCCAAGTAGAAAACGGGTTCTCCAGTCTCCTCAGGGGGTCCAGAGTAGTAATCAATGACATATCTCTTTTCCCTCTCTGTGCCATCCGGGTGTACTCTTCTCACAAACCAGTCGTGGCGATCAAATGGCGGCTCAGTCTCGTACTTGGAAGGGTACAGCCATCCCATAACCTGCAGCATCCTCGCCTTGGGTGTAAGCTCTGACGGTCTTCCCATGAAGCGCACGAGGGAAGGGTCCTTAGTTTCAGTATTCGCAGCCAAAGCATCCTTCCTCGCCAACATCTCAGCAAGCGGATAGGCATTCTCCTCTCCCTTCTTGCAAACCTCCCATCCTCTCTTCAGACCAGCTGAAAAGCGTCTCTCCCACTCTACAATCTCTTGCCAGGCTCCCTCGTTCAGGAAGTTGTGTACAGCAACCATGGACTCGACGTGCTCGGCCGGGGTGTCGGTGTATCCTTTTCGCAACATGGCATTGTACATTTGCTGTGGTGATGGATATTCCCACATGCCTTGGCCGTCGCCGCGGGGGATGGTCGAAGCTTCGCGCTCTAGAGGCAGGTCGACGCTCTGCTCGGCGTGGTCGCGCTGGTTGGAGATGGATTTGGGCATGTAGTTGAGAGGGTTGAGCTTTGAGATATATGAGGGCGAGCCGGCGGAGGGTTCCTGCTTCTGAGCTTCGGTGGGTGGTACGTAGGGACATGCTGATGCTGAGTCTGAGGGCTTTGTGACGACGGAAGGTGGTGGTGCGGCAGGAGCATCGGCGGCGGGCTTGTGCATGGGACATCCTGGCTGTAGACAATGTCAGTTGCTGATTCTGATGTGCGAACTGAATGAGCTTACTGGAGGGGTGGCGCTGGCGTTAGCGGGCATAGGATGAGGTGCGACGGGCGCAGCTGGTGTCGAATCTGCCCAGAACCAACCCATTGTGTGTGATTATGTGTATATAAGGGTGTTATCGAGTATTCGAAGGATCGCAAGAAGGGCGTGACGAGTTGCAAGGCAGCGGCGAAAAAAAGTCGATAAATGGTCGATAAATAAAGATCAAAGACGCGGAGCTCGGGAGTCTTCGGCGGCGACCAAAAAGTTGCTGACCCAAATCCTGTTTCTTGACTCGGGTGAGATTTTCGCGATTATCTTATCTAATCTGATCTGATGTTGACATTTGATATTCATGAATAACATTTTCTAGCCATTCGTCTAAGCTACTTGTTCTTTCGTCTCTTATTGCCCATATCCCTGTCTAAGCACCAGCCTTGAGGTTGCTGGTAATAGTGCCAGTGCCTCTGCTTGAGAAAATAGCCATAATGCCAAATCCGACGTAGAAAAGAGCTAAGGGGTAAGCAACCAAGCCTCGCATGCCAGTCATTCTTCCCACGGCGCAGAACATGGCACTGCTACTGTATGTACACCATGAAATCGCCAAGCTCGTCAGAATGTAGCCCAACAGTCCATCGAGGGGAAGTGCGATGCCGATGAAAGATGTCAAGACAAGAGGAAGAAGGCAGTAGCCGAGGACGGATGCTGAGCGCCAGATGGTCAGGGTCGCCGAGAAGTGACCGCCGTGTGCAGATGATGGGTCTTGTTGCTGAGCTGCAGTTTCGGCGGGAGAAAGGGGAGGTGACATGAGCGAGAGGATCCAGTGGAGCGAGATGCTGCCCAAAGCGGCCAGTCCGTAGATGTAACCGAAGTGGAGCTTGCCAGACTGTACAAAATCAGTAAAGTGTATATGTACCATCTCCAGGTGCTACTCACCAAGAGCAAGAAAGTGCCGAACAGCAGGAAGAAGAGGATAGGTCCTGCCAGATCAGAGTCGTCCATGATGTGCTGGTCGATTCTAGCCAGAGGGTTCAAGACGGTAAGAGTCTGTCGCATAGCATCAGTATACCGTGTCTCGTCTTCTTGTTCCTCTTTCACACACCTTTGTCTTGATGTGTCCAAAGTTGACACCCAGCTCTTCCAACAACGGCGGCTCTCCAGGATATCCCTCGGTGCCAAATGCCGCCAGCCATCCCATCGTCAAGCCTCCTTGTTCACCCATACGTCCAGACACAGCGGGCTGACCACCGAAGCCTGCGCCATAACTTGAGGGGTATGCTGATGTTTGCGCTCCGCCGTTGAATGCCTGGAAGGGAGTCGACGTGCCGGAAACAGGTTGATTCGAGTATGACGAAGAGTAGAACTGTAGGTTTTGGGCATTGCCATAGGGCTGCTGTTGTTGGGGGTTGTAGTACGCCATTGTGACTGACGGGTCGTGTGTTTTCTCCTTGGATGGACAAGTTGACTCCTTGTTCAATCCTCCAAGCTGTTCTGTTGTTACCCAGCTCTTGCCAAGCCTCCCCACAACAGCCTGCGTCACTTCCATCAAACTTCCCAACACTAAAGGGACACCCTGTCTTGCCTGTCATCACACTCCACCTTGTATCCTGCCTGCCTCATTCGACTGCTTGAAACCAAGACTCGCTTGATATACACACAGCTGTATCTCTACCACGACCACAAACACTCGTTCGCAATACCTCTTTTTTTGGCCATCTCATCGCCTTCGTCAAGCTATATCTTGCTAATGGCACGCCCGTGTGCTGAGCCTCCGGGCATCCCAAAACACAACATTAGGTTAACGCGCGTAGTATGGCACCAACTCCAGATATAGACGGTCAGCCGTGAAGTCATGGCAAGTATGCGAGCGTTGTTTAGAGGACATATTGAGAAAAATTAGCACGATAAGCACGTACGGCCACAGTCAGCTGAAAACTGGGCATCCCGTCCGCTCTGCCATACATAAGCAGTTGAACGGCAGATTAGTACTACGGTGGGTGACCACGTGGGAATCCCTGCTGCTGTACGTTTTGTCCTTTTGAACCAAGTATTGCAGTCCCTTGCTGCTCAAAAAGGCGGGTGGTCGAATAGAGAGTTGACCAGAGGTAGAATTTCTTTTAACGTGATGTGCGGGAAGAAGGACCATGCCGAAACACGACCAATTCCCAGCTTGATCATGCGAGTAGGAGGACAACAGAGTGAGAGTCAAGGAAATCATCTCATTATTCGATGTTATGAATACTATGATACTGCTATGTCAAAGGAGTGTGTTGAGTTTGGCGCCAAAACATTTTCGTTCATTCATCGTGTCGTCAACCATGACGGTCTCGAGGAACAGATTACCATCCACCGCTCTTGGAGTCTCCGCCCTTGCTACCAGAGCCTTGGTTGTCGCCTACCCAGCTGCCGCTGGATCCCTTCTCACCAGAGGAAGAGCCTTTGCTACCAGAGCCCTCGCTGCCGCTTCCCCAGCTGCTTACAGAGGAACCCTGGCTGTTTCCCCAACCACTGCTGGAGGAACCTTCGTCACCACCAGATCCTCCCTTGTTGCCGCTTTCGCCCCAGCCGCCGCTGAAAGAGCCTTGTCCGGAGCTTTCATAGCTGCCACCGTAAGAAGAGCCCTGGTTGTTACTTCCGCTGCCCCAACTGTCGCTGGAGCTTCCGGAGCTTCCCTTACTGCCGGTATCTCCAGAACCCCAGCTATTACCAGAGTTGCCAGAACCGTCTTTTCCAGAGCCGCTACCTTGACCAGAACTCCAACCTTGACTAGCACTAGAGCCCTGGCCCTGCGAGCCTTGATCGGAGCCCCAGCCTTGGCCGTTGGTTAAGGAGTCGCCGTAGCCTCCGGAAGATCCTCTAGCGATGAGACTTCTTGAAGACTTGCCATTGTTGCCCCAGCCATTACCATTGCCTCCGTTTCCAGATCCAGATCCAGTTCCCCAGTTGCCCCCATTACCAGACCCAGTTCCACAGCTACCGAATCCATGACCGGATCCCCAGCCGTAGCCACCTTGGCCACCGTTGCCTCCCCACCAACCATTGAAATCGCCGGTGTTCTTCTTGTTGGTCAAGGTATCGGCCCAGTACTGAGCGTCCTCGTCGGAAAGCTTGCCTCCGAAGCCGGTTGCGAAGTTGCAGAGATCCTTGGCAAGGTCGCCATTGGAGTTGCCATCGGAAGACCAGCCGCCAAAGTTCTGGAAGAAGGACTTGAAGTTGTCTGCCAGATCACCATCTGCGAATTGTGAGTAACTGAATCTGCGATCGAGTATGCTGACAGCACTTACTGTATCCATTGTTGGAGGAATCGCCTCTCTTCTCGGCAGGTGCAGCAATAGCAGAGCTGAGGATGCTGGCGAAAGCAATGAAAAGCAGTTTGGAGGGGATCATTTTGGCTTGTCGATTGTTTGTTGCTTGTGATATGAGGATCAAGTATAAGTTTGATGAGGTAGGCGAAACTCCTGATGTTTTTCTGTGTTGCTGTTGAAGAAGGAGTTGGAGTTGGGTGCGTGGTCGGTATTTATGCTCTCTTCGTCCCAGCAAAGATGGTTACCCCTCTTCGATGTTCGCAGAGCTCGTTCTGTTCTCGTTCGTCGTTCGGTCACAACTCGTGCTCTAGACGTCATGATGCCGTTCCTGTTGTCGTCGTCCGAGGCGTACGAGATGCCTTGAAAACGATTCCGATGATGCTGAATTCATGCTCTGATCCAATCATGGCTCCTCGACCAGTCCATGCTCGTGGTTACCAGATAGATCCCAGCATCTGTGAATGTGGTCCTACATGACGCGAAGCAACTGTATCAACATTCACTCAACATCCGGGTCAGGAGAGAATGCAGGTCCAAGGATGTTTCGAGAGCTCTGCCAATCGAAGTTTGTCGTACCAACGCAATTGCGAGACCAGTTGGACATGGATTGGAGTACAGATATTCGTCCAGAGAGATCCTAGACGCGCGTCCACTCGGGACTCTGCCGTGCTAAAATTCATTGTTGTCAGGGGTCCGATGTGATGAGCCGAGGGCAAAGACCAGACTAGGGTATACAAGCTCTCATATTGAAACACGGCCATGAAGGTCAGAGTGATACACATTAGCAAACTGAAATCGCGAGGCGTGGAGATCTTATACGAGAAGGATGCTAGAGCTGACTGTCAGTTGCGCCCCATCATGCCAGACGGTTCCGGTAGGCCAGACGAGCCGGAGCCATGAAGTCCGTAGCGGCAGCGTGGATCTGCAGAGGTTCTCTTTGCATTCAAGATCGTTGAGGTTCTCAAGTGGTTCCGACCAGTCTGGCCACCAGCAATTTTACCTCTCAGTCATCGAGCGGTCATGGTCCCGCAGTATACCAAGCAGAAAATTGACCTCTTGATGTCGATGCCAAGGAAAGCTGCAGTCTTCGCGGAGACGACTGTACGACGGCGGGGGTAAGCTTCTATTCTGAGTATTTCGGTAAGTCTGACAAGCAATGACCGTCGCAGTAGCATGGTAAGCAAAAGTTCTCACAGAATCGGTTTGCTTGGAGGACACCGCCAATCTAATACTAGCAAGACCTTGATCAAGTCAATGCAACAGTAATACAGACCGACACATCCACAACCAAAGACGAAAACTGTGGTTGATTTCCGAAACGCAGCCATAGTTGAGATTTGCCAGAAAAATACAATCCCCAGTGAAGCAGGCATAGTGTCATCAAACTTCCGGTCTCACGTGTCTAGAACTGGGGGAAGGAACGGAGCACAAAAGGCGTGGGTTGTGCAACCACATGGCATTGGTAGGCAGGGGTAGTTGTTGAGGAGCAACGTCCGACCAGAGAAGCAAGAGCGACCACCGTCTTGCTGCATCTGCAATCACAGCATACCTGTAGCAAGACGGAGATGAAGTAGGGGAGCCGAAGGTGAACCAAGGGCGTGCTCAGGCAACAGGCCGCATTGCAACTTCGTAGAGCCAGCTCAAGTTCAACGTCATGAAGCAAAAGACGACATGGCCAGCACGAAGATATTTTGTGAGAGTCGCAACTTCTCAGACCTCGAAGACGCGTTCTCTGGTGGAGCCATCCGGTAGAATTGCGGCTGCAGGCCTGCAACGCGCTTTCCTCTCGTTCGCAAGCGGGCTCTTTGTTCTTCAGCAAGCCTGAGGTATCAAGGACATTATCCATTCTACTATTCTCATGTCAGCACTTTTGAGCGACAGTGATCGTCTTCAGCAGGCAGACTCGTGTGAACAATAAACTTCGTTATCTTCACTGCCTCCTTGCATGACTCTGATAAAGTTCCTCGAACCGCTGCTATCGTGGCAGAGTTGTCGTCGCATGATAATGGATTACATCGAGCAATCCGCCATCGAAAGCACGCCATTCGACATGAGAAGCGAAACATCAGACATGGGTCTTGTGAGACTTTACCGCATCAAGACATTTGTTGGCCGACTACAGCAGACTCAGTTTAGCTTCGACAAGCCGTCGTCCCCGCTTGCAGATCCTACAATGATATCTGAGGGGTCTGTTTGATTTTTGCCGTCCTGGAGAAGGTCACCTGCTCTGCCCATTCAATGCTCGGCTTCTCCCCTTCTTCGTTCTTTCACCATAATCACAAAGTCTTCAGTTACATGCTCACGCTCCACGAGACACCTCGCAAGCATGGCCGCATCTCAGGCTTCAAACGCAACCGATGGCGCTCAGAAGCGACCCAACTTCCTTGTCGTTGTGGCTGATGACCTCGGCTTCAGCGATCTCTCGTGCTTCGGTGGTGAGATCAGGACTCCAAATATCGACAAGATAGCAAGCAATGGTATTCGCTTTACCGACTTTCACGCAGCTGCAGCATGCTCACCCTCACGTGCCATGTATGTTATGTCTTGAGGCCGGCTTTGGGATCCAATGCAAACGTCAGACATTTGAGATGCTCAGACATGCTTGCTTGATACCTACTGCTGGACGAAGCGAAGCTTGGATCAAGGTGACAAAGTAATGTGCTGATCATCTCTACAGGATCATGACCGGAACAGACCATCATATTGCGGGTCTGGGAAATCTCATTGAATGGACAAATATATCCGGTCAGAATGCACCGGCAGAAGGTAATGCCAAGTGCTTTGATACCGCTCCTCAGAGAGGTATGCCGGGCTATGAAGGCTACCTCAACGAAAGAGTTGCTACATTGCCAGAGATCTTGCAGGATGCTGGATATTCGACCCTGATGTCAGGTAAATGGCACCTTGGTCTGACACCTGAGCGTAGTCCAAAGGCAAGAGGCTTTGAAAGAAGTTTTGCGCATCTTCCTGCATGCTCCAATCACTACGCATACGAGCCTCATCTCCAAACACCTGACAAGATTCCTGAATTCATGACCATGTCATTCATTGCTCTCCATTCAGAGGATGGTGAGTATGTGAAGAAACTACCGGATGGGTGGTACAGCAGCAACGGTTATGGGGATAAAATGCTCTCATATCTGAAAGAGCGTAAGGAGAACAAGGATGAAAGACCCTTCTTCGGGTATCTTCCTTTCACGGCACCCCACTGGCCTCTCCAAGCTCCTGATGAATACATTTCTCACTACAAAGGTGCCTATGATGATGGGCCAGAAGCCTTGAGACAGACACGTCTGCAAAGAATGAAAGAGATTGGCTTGATCGCTCATGACGTCGAACCACATGAGGTGATTGCGGACGAGGTGAAAGCCTGGGATGCTCTGACATCCGAGGAAAAGGCCAAGTCCGTCAAAGCAATGGAGGTCTTCGCTGCCATGGTCGAGTGCATCGATGCCAATGTTGGCAAGGTCGTTGATTATCTCGAGGAGACTGGAGAACTCGAGAATACAATGGTCTGTTTCATGTCTGACAATGGTGCTGAGGGTGCAGCTTACGAAGCATACCCTATCGTACAGGGTGAAATGATGCAGCACCTGAAGAAGTACTATAACAACTCGATCGAGAACATCGGTCGTGGTGACAGTTTTGTCTGGTATGGACCACGATGGGCTCAAGCAGCAACAGCACCGAGTCGTCTCTACAAAGCCTTCACCACAGAAGGTGGTGTTCGTGTGCCCTTCGTTGTACGCTTTCCTGCAAACATCGAAACTCGTTCTGATGGCTTCATCGATGGTCCTGTAGAGGTCGCTAGTTCTGGTTCTCATGTCAGCGTGGAGAAAGGCAGCATCACCCATGACTTTGCCACCGTCATGGACCTCTGTCCTACAATTCTCGAGATGGCAGGGGTCACACACCCAGCACCTACTTACAAAGGTCGCGAGATCGTGCCCATGCGTGGCCAAAGCATGCTGTCTTTCATTGAGGGCCGAGCTCACTCGACCCATCCTGAGGATCACATCACAGGTTGGGAGACTTGCGGCCGTGCAGCCGTCCGCTGCGGCGATTGGAAAATCGTCTTCATCCCAAAGCCCAAGGGTCCCGAGAAGTGGCAACTGTATCACCTTTCGAAAGATCCTGGCGAGATTTACGATCTTGCTGAACAAGAGCCTGAGCGCCTGGCTCGCATGATCAAGATGTGGGATCAGTACGTTCTCGAGACTGGTGTTATTCCACTAGCGCCTGAGTTGGGTGCGTTCCTTGAGGCCACAGAGGCGCAGATGCCAGAAAATGCATGGATGGAGTACGAGTATTGGAAGGATGGAGCCAGAGATGAGCCTGAGAAGTTCTTCAGACAGCCTCCACGATTCCAGAGGACCGTTCAGCCTATATAGGTCTTACAGAGCCATAGCGGTATCAACTCGTCTTCGTGATCATCCTGCAAATCGCACATATTGGACCATTAATCAACTCGATCTACATCTACGTGGGTAACATGTACAGGAGATCGGTCGAACAGCTGTGAGATCGCACTGTGCCAGATAGAGAGATATGCAGCACTCGCGGATATTTGCCACCGGGCTTTGAAATTATATCTAGAACGCAGAGATTGCGTTGAGCGAAAGAGAGCACCCGATACTCGTTGGTTGGATTTGCTGATGGTATGCAGATAGGCAAGATGGCTAGCACGATTTGCTCACAAGACTCGATACTGAAGCAACCAGAAGATACCAAAACCCTGGGTTAAGAGCAGCAAATGACACTTGAAACGAGTGTTGAAGCCAGGAAAGACACACCGGAGCAAGTTCCGTTGGCGACTGAATCGGAATCCGGCAGTCATGCCCCGGAAGGCAACCCAGATTTTTGGGCCGATCGATAGACGCCGTGGAAGCTGTATCTCGATGCTAGTACTAGCGGATAGACGTCGTTAGTGAGCTGTGTATCCATATGCGCCAGAAACCCCTTGCGAAAGAATTGTTTGGTGTGACCCTTAGCTCTCTGGAACCTGCCGATGGAATGGGCATCGACCGCAGGGCTCGACAGGATGCCTGGGCACGAAAGCTGTGGTGTGACGACTATTTGCTTTCATACATAGCATGCCTGTGTTCTTGTCTGTTGCTTCGCTCGGATGCGGTCGGAAAACTAGGGGAGAGCAACAGGATGTGATCATTTCACGGCGCGCATGTCAGAGGAAGTTTGCGCAGGAGCAGTGTCGCGACGGCCGCTGTTTTGAACGCGAGCTTTAGATATGTCGGCAGCATCATCCGCTGTCAGTGACGGTCGTTGAAGGATTTGCGCCAGCGGCTCTGTTTGGTGTGAGTGTGGCGCAGCAGTCACTAAGATCGATCACGATTAAAAGAGACGCCGGCGGATTGTTATAAACAAGAGATTTCTTGGTCAGCTAGAAGGCACCAACGGGGTAGTTCAGATCTTGCGCGCGGGTAGATCCTAGGCAGGCGTTTTGACAGCAGCGGCGCAGACAAGGGTTCAGAGAAGCCTTATTAGTAGAACAGGTAAGACGGTGCCGTAGTCGCCGGAGACTAGAGGGAGTGCTAAGAGAAAGTAGATTGGAGTTTGCTTTGCCTAGTGTCGTGCTCCTCAGCTCGTTCCTTGCAAGACACTTGCGCGCCGGACCGCCGCTGCACGGTACATCCGTCTAATGTCGATTGCCTGCTGCTTATATTCATGCTTAACTGCTTTAGACGCCCGAGGCCGTCAATCTTTTGACTTCTGATCGCGCCAAAGATGATTCCTGGTTTCGCTAGGTAATGTACCTACTGTTGGTCGACCGGCGCCAGCGAAACTAAATCATCATTCCTGCTGCCGCCAGGAACCCCTCAGTTCTTGATGTTGGCACGTTGGATGGTCTTGGACTAAAGCAAGCACTACACGATTCGCTGCTGACTTACCCATCGGAGTGCGTCTCTGGTTGGTCGGCCTATATGAAACGGCTGATTATTTACTCGACTTGTAGGGTGCCAATCCACGTGAGAGTCTAAATAATTAAGGTCATGATAGTTTGCTGGCCCTGGCGGGTTTCAAAACGGACGACGGCTCGTCCTGGTGCTTCAGACCATCGATTAGGCTACCTTACCGTCTCACGAATACTTTAAAACATGCTTGCCCCTCAAGACAGTTTGGTTCCGATTCTGATTGTTTTTGTCCATTTTGCAATGTGAAAAAATCTGAACTCATGATACTTCCACATTTCGTTCTCTCCGCCAGCCATGAAAAACACAAAAAGGAAAAAAACAATCCACCCGAGTACCTTATGCTTCGCAGGGAAAATGAAAGCAACAATGAACAAGGCCCGCCGGGCATGCCGAGAATACAACTACAATCAAAAGTGTTTCTTCAACCTCTCCGGAATTGATGCAGGATCGAGAACCGAAAGTCGAGATCGAACGCGATACGCCTGAGATGACACCGACCGAAATCAAGGAATTGGAAAGACGTTGATTAAAAAAACATCGCCCATGGAATGGTATCATGAAAAAGCAGTGCTTCCAACCACGGAACGAGATGAATGTTGCGGTTGCAATGATGAGCGAAAGACGCTTGCAAGCTCGACCGCAAGAGCAGTAGCAGGAGCTGCGTCCGGAGGTTTTCGCGCGGACTTGGAAAAAAAGAATTATTGATATCAGCGCTTGGTCCGAGACGGACTACAAGGGCGCTGACTCGTCGCGGGCTGGGAACCAGAACTATTGGTTGTGTCGATATGCCTGATTCTGGGGTTGCTCAGGATCTATTGTCCCGTCAGCCTCAGTGTCATGACGATGGAGCGTGATTATCTAACGTTGCTGATAGATCTGACCGCCCTGAGCATAGGGGCTTTGAGGATAGCCTCCATTGGCGGCATACATCTGGCCAGCGGGGTAAGACTGTGCTCCGTCTACTTGCTGCTGTGATGGAGTGTATTGCTGAGGAGTAGGTGGAGCAGCGGGAGCGTAGCCGATGGGCGGTAGTTGAGCACTGCTCATGGCCTGCGGAGGCATCATGTGTTGTTGCGGGTACTGTGCCGGGGCGGGCTGGGTCGGGGTGCCGGCTTCTTGAGCAGCACGACCGGCTTCCTGACGTTGACGCTCCTCTTCCTGCTTGCGCGCATTCTCCTCCTCCTTCTTTTTGGCCTTCCACTCCTTGCGGATTTCTTTGAATTCTATACACGGTGAGTTAGCGCGGTTCAACCACGTGCAGCTTGTGTTACGGGGTGCATGCGCTAGGGAGATTTAAGCATGGCTGGCGTGCTAGCTTCCGCGACAAGGAGGGTGGTTTAACCAGCCCAGCGGTCGGGGTAAGCACTAAGGAAATAATGCGACACTGCGACGCAGAATGCGTGCCACTCGAATAATTCTTTTTTTCTTTTCTTTGTTTGCATACCTTCGGGAGTGCGCTTTGCGCCGTGCGACTGCATAGTGACATGCGCATTCAGATGGTTAAGTGTGCCATATGCCTTTTCACAGCCATTCCATCCGCACTTGTACATGCGCTCAATCTCTTCATATCGTCGACGCGGACGCTTGTGCTGCTGCGCACCAGGAATCGGGACAAACGAATATACGGTAGACATTGGATGTCCTCCCTGCGAAGAGTTAGAAAACGCGTTCCGACGCGTCAATTGAGTCTTACAAAGCCTTGACTTACACCTGGGGGTCTTGGAACGGCGGCTGCCATTCCTGGCGGTCCACCAGCGGCTGACACGGGGTAGTGCATAGGTTGAGCGTGGTATGCTCCCCATTCGGGGCGCGGCGCGTACATGGGCTGGCCAGGCTGGCCTGGATATTGGTGCATCTCATGCTGGGGAGGGTATGGGGAGTATGCGTGTTGCTGAGGGTATTGCGGCGTCTGCGCAGCTATTGTGGGATCTATGGCAATGGCCGAGTCAGAACGCGTGTCGCGCAACGCGCTGGCAAGAGGCATGGACCGACTTGATTGAGCCATTGCAGCGTGTGGATGGCCACCTGGCTGCTGGTAACGTGGAGCGCCCTGCTCGGGGTATGGTCGCTGAGCTTGTTGCGGCTGGCCTTGGGGTTGCTGCTGGTACTCGGGGAATGAGGCAGAGCGCGCAGACTGTCAGGCGCGTCAGTGAGCAAGACTTTGGCAGTGAAGAGAGGAAGGAATTGTCTTACGTCTGGGTGGTATTGGGCAGCTTGGTTCTGGTCTGGGGAGGAGAGGGTCTCAGAAAGGTTGCCGGTATAGGACGAGGAAGCGTAGGGCGAATTCAAACCTGGTTGCTGCGAATACTCTTGCTTGAGCGGCGGTTGGTGAGCGTATTCCTGCTGGCGAGCGTCCATTGACTGCGGATGGCCGTTCATCTGTTGCGACGCGAGTAGCGCGCTTAGAGACGTGTCGGTAGCGGGCTGAGCTGGTGAAGTGGTGTAAGTCGGGGACATGCTACGCCAAAAGCAGAGTCGCGGTCGAGGGTTAAGCACTACTGCTAGTGAGGGGACTTGGAGGGTAGACGAAAACGCTGGCGGCGGCGCGTTGCGGACAGGCAGGTAGTTAGCGAGCGGCCGAGGAAAGGTTGTGTTTTTGCCCAAGGAAATGTGATGTGCATAAGCGGACAAGCTCCACCAAAAGGACGATCTGGCGCGGGAGCAGAGCGGTGTAGTGCACAAAAGGTTCCCAAAGACGGACTGGCCTGACGCTGGGCGATAAAAAACGGCGGGAGACGGTGCGCGTTTTTGACAGATCAGTACGGCAAGCCCGGACGGCGACAAGACCAGGGGGCAACAAGGGCTGTCCGTGTCGATGGATTAACGTTACGATAGAGTGAGCCTAACGACAAGGGTGGGCCAGCTGCCTCAAATCATGCGTGAGACGGCGTCAAACTTTATTTAATAACGATGATGCTGATCTTTGGTCTGCAAAAGCAGGGTGGCTCGTGTGTCGGGTTCAGACGTGTCGCGGCACGAGGCCAAGAAAGGCAGCGACAAGAGAGGGGTGCGTGGTGCCGGGACACTGGAGACCGCCGGCGACGACCAAGGAACAATCGACACCCTTCAAGATCTTGATGGTTGGCACCAGAATGTGACAGGTTGCAAAATAGTCGTTCCTTCGCCCGTCGACCTGCTCTTCCCTACTCGATTCGGTGCAGCGAATCAATCCTCCGGCCGCTCCCGTGCGTAAGCAGAAAAACTGACTCTGACAAACCCATCCGAGGGGGTTTTCTTGGTCTACTACTCGTTTTCGGACTTGGTTTGGAATCCATTGTGCGAGTATGCACATGCGCAGACCTGCATGGTGATGCACCTGCCCACTTTTAGAACGAGACAATTGCTGTCTTACGCCCGCACTATTGCTCTGTCCGAGTATCAATTTCCCTCGCTTTACGGACGAGAAACGCTCTGTTCAAAAAAATACATCTCTGTCGATCACAAGTTCTTCTATCTCTGCCCAATCCATTTCGCCATCTTTGTTCCCAGAATGCACATCGCTTTGCCCCTCCATCCCAGACGTCACTCATGCATTGCACCTTGAGACTGTTACGCTGATATCAACGACTCTCACTTGCAATTCATGGTCCGAGAGCGCTAACCCGCATATGTGGTCAAGCATGAGTCGTTCTATGTATGCAACAGGCTTGATCTGCCGATGCTTTGACCGTCTTCTGCTTCTACGCGAGTCCACTTTACGTCTACCTTTCTCCGATGCCGGTCTAGAGGACTTGTAGCACTCTCGATTCTCGTTCTGGGCCACTCTGTTTGCTCTCTGCACATACGAGAATATGAATGCAAACTTGTGCCTAAATAGCTGTCTACCTTGCACTGTTCAGCAACAATTGGCCGTTGCAGTGTTTGCCAAATCCCTTCGGCCGCGCCCGATCAGCTTGCGCCATCGTCCAATTCCATTCCCTACTGCTCGGCCCAAGCTCGCTATTATACCACATTGACCTTCATGAATTTGAAGATAGATGTGGATCACTGCGCAAGCGAAGTCAACCCACCGGCAATAAACTCTTGATAGCGCAATGCGGGGAAGACTTTGATCTCAATCCACGTCCAAGGTGCCACCTCTCTATCAGAGAATGCGACTGCTCCAGGCATGTCCACCTCGATCCCGTATCGGACGTCATTGTACTTCTCTACAATGCTCTTTCGTCTACATCTCGAGTCAGACCTCGTAAGGAGAATACCATCAGGGACTGACTCGACAGGCAATTGACTGATGCTGAGAATCGAAATTTAACCCGGGACATTATTACCAGACTTTCCCGCTTTCCCCACCTCACCTGAGGGTGCGCAGCTACAAGCCATGTCTTTGTCCAAGCTCAGTCTGAAATTCTGTGAGATTGCACCTGCCCAATAGAGAGCATACCACGAATCGGTTCCCATCGATCCGTGGTTTTCTATAGAATTGAACCGTAAACGCGACAGCTGCGTCTCGCCAGGGTATAGACGTGTCAGATAAGTTGTTACTTGCAAGTCGCAGCGGCATACCTTCTACAGAAACACGGCATTTAACAGAGCTCATCCAGACTCCCACTGGTCAAAATCACTTCGGTTTCGATATTTGTCGATTTTGTTGCTTTGCGATTGGTTGGTCACAAGACGTGGCCCAGGCCGTGGTTCCGGACACAAATCTCTGTGGCGGTGAGAGAAACATTGGAAGCTGACGCTGACATGTTTCAATAATTATGATACCTAATAATAATTGAATTGGTCACTCAGAACGCCCACCTCGGCATGAAGGGGAACGATAGGGGGGGGAGATGTAGTGAAGAGCTGTCAAACCCTTCTTCCACTTTAAAACAAGCTAGATCACCTGCAAGGCAGTCATCTTTACATGCATCTAGCACGTGTGGCCTAATTTCTGTAACTGACGCTAGCCCCTACAGCCGCATCGAGGACATCCTGGATGCGACTCAAAGCGTGGCTCTGTAAGGGCCGGCGTAAGAGATCGGTGCTGTTGTATCCTTCCGACTGGACTCGAGATGGCAGGGCTTCTGGTCGATGGCTCTTCCCGTCTAGCCGTCCGCCGAAATGACTGACCCTGCTCAAGCTTGCCTTTAGCGTGCCGCGTCCTCAACATCTGCAACAACACTGACCACTTTTTGTTCTCTGAAAACCGGCATGCCAACGCGAGATCTGAAATAGTCGTTGGAAGATACTCATGAGATACAGTATCAATGTCTCAGCCTCTTTCATTCGCCTGCCGACATGCCATCTAGGCCGCGTCTGAACGATCCAAAGCTCGCAGACTAGGAGGGGGTGCATGCAAGCTGCGCCTTTGAACACCTCGCTCGCTGATATAATTTCAAGGTTGGAGCGAAGTGAAAGTGTCGTCTGACATCCCGCAGAGCCTCAACGCTTCAACGTCAAGTAAGAGAATCACCGCGTTAGACCCTGCGTACGAGTACGAATGGAAAATGAAGATGTACCTTTCCAGTCCGAAGGATTGGTTTTACCGACGAGCCCTCAAGTACGAGATACAAACAAGACCGCATATTCACTCATTGCTCATGCCTAAAGAGAAGAACAAACCTCTTTTGGTTTACGCACATGCAAGCAATGCAGACATGCAGATGAGCGTCATGAAACCTGCACATTTGCCTTATGGATATTGTTCAACGATAGCGCGAGATGTATCAAGTAGCACGATACAAATGCTACAGTACCATGGCCTCTAAGCGATTTTAGGAATAGGCAGCGCGGGAGATGGCAGCGACGGCGCGCCTGTCAGTATGCATCAATATGCAAGGACCCAAGATTTCGATGGGGTTGTGTCTGATCATCTTTTTGTTAAACCCGAGCATTCAATCACGATTCATACTTGTAGAGACAAGGGTCTCAGAACCACCGAGTGCACAGTTGCGAAGCATGGTCCGTTCCAACTCCAGAACATCATTCGATTCCCACTTCTCGCATTTCGCAACCTACAACGGACGAAGCAGGATTCGGATCCAACGTTTCTTCATGCAGGTCTTTTTGGCCACGGCGGAACCGGTCAAAGTCAGCGACGACCCTGCAGCCGCTCACCATCAGCCACTCGACCTGCCACCTCAACCTCTGTATTGCGCTATGGATGTACGTAAGAATAGACGACACGACTTCATATATGAAGTGGAGTGAAGACTCTAGGTGGCGGTGTCTGGATCCCAATGCCCTTACACTGCCCTGCTTCCAAGATGCTGTTCATGGTCTAGCTTTCTCAATGGCCGCACGAATGACAAGGAGAATCAGACCATGGCTTTCTTGAACTTCCAGGCTCTCCACTGAGAAATCTCGTGTGACATTCTCGCAGAGTCTCAGAAGGTAGATCGATGCTGGATGGTTCTGTACTCGGAGTAGTGGCTCTGCATGACGATGCAGAGTACGGCCACACACTAACATGTCTGCTCGAGTCACAACACGGTATATAGACCCCGCTGCCGACCCAGCCAGCATGTTAGCTGCCAACATTTGCTCATGCCGACGGCGCTGCTCTACGGTCCCACCATTCTCGAACTGATCAAGTCGATGTCTCATGCTCGGTTGAGCATTCATCGATCGTCAACCTTATTTGACAGTCTGTAGTATTGGTTGCTGTATGGACCAGCGACAGTTTTCTGTTTATCGACCATGAGACTTGCTTGACGAGATTTGCACGGACAACACACCTGGTCCTCTCATCTTGTACCCTATGGCTATTATTGGCTTGTGTATTTGAGACTTAGATTATTGTTACGGCGAAAATTGGTCAAGGTACTCTAGTGAACCTCTATCTGTTTGGCGAAGACAGCATCCCTTCCGCGGCCTGCCAACATACCGTACAGAACTCATATCACACAGTTCTGTCCTTCTGTCGCGAGTAGCATCTTTGACCCGCTTCCCTTGCTGCATACAACATCAGCGGTCTAGGGTTTCACTGCAGGAACCGGAAAGCCGGCACGAGACAGCAGAATGTTGGCCACGCTCATGGCTCTGATGTGACAAGACGGTGCAGTGGTGCCGCCCTTGCAATCATTCCATTTCGACCATAGACATTGGAAATCTGGAATGTTCAACAGCCCTCAGGAACATTGAATTTGACCTGCATGCGGTAGAGTTGCAGTCTACTCGTCTGGCACTGAGCCAAGCTTGTCAGAAAGGACCCAGACTCCTGTGAGGTGGTCGACAATCTGTGATCCTGGTGCTGCATGCTTACGTCGTCCACGTGCATGCTCTGGGTCATCACTCCAGAGATCATCACTTCCCGTCTGTAGCCTTCAGTAACCGTGAGTTGCAGGTTCTGCATTTCCTTATACACATATTGATTATGCCGTCTTCTGGTGTCTGTATAATATGGCGCGTTCTGGACTCCATACGAATACGCTGCAGTCCATCAAGATTGTAAATATGCCGGGCCGACTTTAGTTTGGCTCATTCATTCAATACATTGTTCCGTGTATCAAAGAGTAACAAACCATCTTCGACGCTCTCGAGCCGTGTTCGAGGAAGATTCTCTTCTCGACATTGGCCTGCCTAGTCATGCTCATGCATTTTCATTTTTGAAGCTTTCGGACACCATCCACTCTTGGGCTTGTTCGAGCCATTGCATATCCCGCGACACATCCATCTTGTATTTGCCTATTCGGTGGAATTTGTCGCGACCATGCTTGGCATTACCCATATTAACAATAAACGTATGTATCGAAGGTGCAGAAAAGGCATTGTGACGTGTTTTGGAATCTTTCCGCTGTCGATGATTGAGGAAGTCGCTCGTCTAGCCGCGATATGCGGAAAGGGCAATCAAATAAGCTTTTGATACTTGCCTTACGTGCCTCACGGATTCATCTTTCGCGCAAAGAATGGCACATGCAAAGCGCTTTCCTTGCATGAAAGGGATATCTCGGCGGCGGATGTTCACGTTTCCACCACTGCGCTCTATTCTCAACACCTCGATTTGAACAACCTATGCTGCAGGAGATAGGCTCCTCATTCTCGTGCCGAGTAAGGATAGAGGTGTCCAACACGCTTCGTCGGCTTCGAGACACTGTGTTAATCTTCGTGTTCTGTGCATCCGAAAGCATGCACTTACCCGGTCTCTGCTGTGATTGCGCCCGCATTGCATCTACTCTCTCACTTCGCTTTGCAGACACGATCCCCAATCTCGCGCTATCAGGCTTGTCTACCTTCCCAATGTATACCCATACCCCGATGAGCTGCCCAAAGCATACGAACGTCGCATGAACGATGTCTCACCTTTACGGCCGTACAACCGAAGAAAGTCCAAGGGTCTCCGGGTCTGTGTGGGCTGCATGCTTCCTTCTGCTCATCGTCATCAGATGGGGTCTCTCGCATGCGCGCTCGCGACTTGGCGGACAAACTCGGAGAGAACTCCTCTATTGGCTCTGCTTTGACTCGTTCGTTCCCTTCCCGCTTTCCCCATCATCCATCCTTTCCCTGCCCTCTTATTCCGTCTACCCTACGTACGTGAGAACTATTCTAATCCTTCTTTTGGTGGATGCTTTTTTCCAACTTTGCTTTTCAACCCTCTTGTGGGGATGCACGACGCAATTCTGGGGCAGAAAAACAAAAAGTGTTGCAACACTTGCCGACAACGAATAGCTCGTTCTCTGGATACGAAACCCTTCATCGGAGAATTTATCGCATCCTTCCTTCCGCCCCAAACCTTGCTTTGCAGGGTACGTATCAAACTCTAATTGTTGCTACGCTGCTAATATTTTCCCTTTTTGGCGAGTGCTTTTGTGTTTCCCAGTTTTTGCTCACCAACCAACACTTGTCGCTTGTGTTGTGACTTTCGGATTGTGGTTCAAGCGTTATGATGTTCCACGGTTCGAGTGCATTGGAAAATCCCATTGTGATTCATCACAAAAGGGAGAAAGCTGATGATGCAGGTGGTGGAATGAGGAATCAGATGCTGATTGCTGATGCTACCTTCGTAAACTCTATCCTCCACCACACTTGCTGCCAGCTTATCCACTTAGGCCTGCGTTGATAGGCACCACTATGGAGTTGCATTCAGCACGTGGATATCTTTCTTGGTTGCACCTGACCTCAATTATCGCCTTCCGTCGTCACGGTCATTAATTGTCAGATTGTTGCGACGCAGGCCGTCGGCCTGAACAAACGACCCACACTCATGCAACATGTAGTGGGGCTTGCTCTACTGTGACCTGGCGTGTCATGCTACTTTCCAAGAGATAGGCGGAGTAGCATCCATCCACGTGTATTCACCTCTATCCCATCCAACCTATCGCTATTCTTATCCTTATAGGATCCATATATTGATATGCAGCGAGGAGGTCTGGGCGAGGTTGGCATGATAGGCAATGTCATCAATTCGAACCCACGTGCTCGCGGCTCTTTGATGGGTGATAGGAGCTTCTTAGACAGGCATTGTGCACCGAGCATCGAGGGAGAGAAGAGGCAGTCGATGATATTGGTGATGATTCTGACATCAATTGACCACTTCATTACTTGAGCAATGAGAAGTTCAAAGTGGGATGCTGGAGTCAGGGTGATACGCTCAACCACTGATCAAAAACGTAAAGGGCATCGATCAAGGCAACAACGAGCTTACATATTATATACACACTGTCATTATGCTTCAAGGAGACGACTTCACATATCTGCAATTCTCTGTAACGATCTGATGTGCTGTGGTTGAGATATATCACCAATACAATCCTGAGCATTTGTTTGACGGGTCATCCACCAGCAGCCATGCGAACCACCTTCCGCTGGCAACTTTCACAAAACAGATTCTGCAGAAATGCAGAGATGTAGAGAAGACAGCAATGATGGTTTTGCATGAGCCATATGTATAAGTTTGCACATATAAGAGGTGGAAGCATGCAAGAGCCGAGCCACTCCTGATCTCGTGTCGAAATTCCCTAGATCAACCGATCAACAGTGAAAGGTCAATTCCCATATGTTTATTTTGAAGGTCAGTCTAGATCGTTCGAGGGCAGAGACATGCTCATGATGATTGTCTGCTGGACTGCAATGATAGTAATCATGAACATTCCTGATTCGAGTCTCGATCTTAGGGTCCAAGGCACCCACTATTACATCTTCCATGAAGAGAAAACGTAAAGGACAGCAGATCAAATGACGGCAATGCAAAGCCTATGTAGAGTAAAAGGCTCAAGGTAACACTGGTTCTCAGATGGGCACAGCACGGGACAAACAGTTTACAGTAAAACTTCTATTCTTTTGCTTAATAGGACATGATAGCTAGCAACGCAATCTAAACGTTATGCTTAAAAACGCCCAAACTCGTCATGAAAACTCCGTGTCCGCCTTGATTAGTATGCAGGACTAAAGACTGATAAAAAAAACGCAATTCTTTCTTTTGGGTTGGCTCCGTACCAGGAGAACCATAAACGCCGAGAAGACCAGAAAGAGGCATGAAACAAAAAGCACGAAAAGGGTATCATCATCTACCAGCGAGAGTCACGACCGAGGGGAGCGCTGTTGGAGCTGGTGAAGCCGCCACGACCGCGGCCACCGCCACCACGTCCACGACCACCGCCCCAGCGACCGTGGCCACCACCGCCACCACCGTAGCGGACCATCTCAGCGAGACGGGGGTCGATGTTCTGCTTAGCCTCGGCCAAGACGTTAACAAGGTCGCGAGCCTGCTTGGAGTCTGGAGGGTATGTCAGCTTATGTTCTGTGATATGGCCAGAAATGGGTAAAAACTCACTCTCAGTGGTGAAGAAGGTGATGGCGGTACCCATAGCACCTGCACGACCGGTACGGCCGATTCTGTGAATGTAATCCTCAGAGTTGTTGGGGTAGTCGTAGTTGAGAACGTGGGTAATGTTGCGAACATCTTTGAAAGCAAGGGTTAGCATGCCTGTTGCGAGAACAGTGTGTATCAAAAGCGAGCCTTTGTCGGTCGCGTAATCTGATGAAGAGGCGTGCAATAGTGATATTGACAACACTCTGTGCGCTCCATAGGAGTCGAGGCTTTGTAGAAAAAGCAGATAGCAATCATAGCAATCACATGTCACAGGCCGTAGAAGATATCATGCAGGATATCTTCGAGGTCCTACCGTCTCGGATGCCTTGGAAGCGCGTAACAAAACTACAATGCAGCGGTGCGCGGCGAAAATACCTGCATCTCACTCTCTACTGAGCAAAAAGGCGCACAAAGCGCAAAGTAGAGGGCGAGAGGTACGATGCGAAGCCAAAATGAAAAAACAAAGGCCTCGAATCGAGCAAGTTTCTCCCAAGGATCCGGAGTAAGGAACCAGTAAACTGGACGGCCTATAAGGAACATGGTTACGTATGCAAAAGGCGCACCGAGTGCTCGATATAGAGCACCACTTTCAGATCACGCAAGTGCGAGCAACGGAGGAGGGGAGAATTGGCAGTGTAGTGGAGGAAAGGGAAAGGGGAGGTGCTGTGAGTGTTGGAGAGGGGGTTGTTCAATCATACCGATACCACGAGAAGCCACATCAGTGGCAACCATGATGGGGCTCTTGCCCTGCTTGAATTCGTTGAGAACCCAGTCACGTTCCTGCTGCTGCTTGTCACCGTGGATGGAGAGGGCTGGCCAGCCGTCTTGTCTGAGGAAGCGGGTGATCTCGTCGGCGACACGCTTGGTGCCAGTGAAGATGAGGCACTTGTTGTCCTTGTCCTCCATGATCTTCTCGAGGTGCTTGATCATCTTGTCGCGCTTCTCGAATTCGGAAACGACCTCAACAACCTGGGTGATGCGGTGGTTGGCGGAAAGGTCCATGGATCCAACGTTGACCTGGATCCAGTCGTGCTGGAAGTCCTGAGCGAGGGCGCGAACCTCCTTGGGCCAGGTAGCGGACCACATGCAAGTCTGACGGTCAGGGCGAATCTGGCCGATGATCTTGCGAATTTGAGGCTCGAAACCCATGTCGAGCATACGATCAGCCTCGTCGAGAACGAGGTAGGTGACGCGGCGAAGGTTGGTCTTGCCGGACTCGAGCATGTCAATCAGACGACCGGGAGTGGCGATGCAAACTTCGACACCGCGAGCGAGATCTCTGATTTGTTGACCCTTGGGAACACCACCGTAGACACAGGTGTTGCGGATGCGCGACGATTTGCCGAACTTGTTAACTTCGGCCTGAATCTGAACAGCGAGTTCACGAGTAGGGGCGAGGATGAGGACAATGGGGCCGTCACCAGGGGAGAGGAGAGGCTGAGCGTTGATATGGACAATCGAGGGAAGACAGTAGGTCAGGGTCTTTCCGGAACCGGTCTCGGCAATACCGACGACGTCGCGACCAGAGAGAGCCATGGGCCAGCCCTGGGACTGGATAGGAGTGGGGTTGGCAAAGCCTTGGGCCTTGACCTCGTTGATAACGTATCCAGGGAAACCAGCCTCATCGAAGGTCTGGACGGGCTTGGGGACGTTCTTGCCCGAGACGGCGATCTGGTGAGTCTTGCGGAACTCGTCGACTTCGGCCTGAGAGCGCTCGGCAACGGAGGGTGCCTCCTTGTAGAAGGACTTCTCGAACTTGGGAAGGGTGCTCATGTCTGCAAGACGGTTAGCATATTGAAACCAACGATCAAAAAATATGGGAAAGACGTACCCCACTGCTGGCTCTTGAGACCGGAACCAAGCTGGCCCATTCTGTCGCCGCCTTGGCCACCACCGTAGCCGCCGGATCTGCCACTGCTAAATGTTAGTGAATGAATGAGAAGTGATGGGTGGATAGAGATAAGATGAAGCAGAGCTGAGCAGAGTCTTATTAAGAATCGTACCCGTCGTAAGAGCGACTGGTTGAATAGTCGCCGTAGGAGCTTTGTCCATAGGATCTCGAGTTGTCGTACCCGCCAGAGTAGCCATTGCCGCCACCGTAACCACCGCCGCCGCGCGAGCCGCCGTAACCACCACCGCCGTAAGACATGATGGGTGTTTGTGTGAAGGAAAGTGGGAGTTGTCGGAGTGTTGTGGGATGAACTCTGCGTTCGTGTGATGCAAAGAGTTCAAGAGTGAAAAAGAGATGATAGAAGAAGGGGGGTTGATGAAAAGAGAGAGAGTGTAGAGGTTGCAGAAAGAAAAGTGAGAAGGCGCGCGCGGCTTGATAAAAGTGGTTGGCTGCTGCTGCGTTTTTGCGACAGGGCGGCGACTTTCTGCCACGCTAGCAAACGCTAGAAGAACTTTGATTGTCAAGCCTGGACATTCTCGCCTTTTCGATGCGACGCTGACCCGGACGTTGGACCCTTTTCACTTCAAGCTTCTCAACAGCATGGCAAAACCATGTACTCGATGCCTTGCATGGCGTTTGCATATGTGAATGTTTATACAAGTGAATATTCTATTTGTACATTGAAAGTATCAAAGTGATGCTGTCTTCTCAGTCCTCAAACGGCAGATCTTGCAAGGCCTTTGGCTCGAGGTCTTTCTTGTTCTTAACCCACGTGCCGTCTCTCTTCTTTTGTTTTTTCACCAGGTTTTGGCGAAGGTGCCTCAGCTGTCTGCTGTCCCTTCTTAACTCTATGAGCTTTTCTTTGGGAACGATGTTCTTTCCATCCATTCTGTCCATTAGCCTTGTGACAAAAGCACTCAGCTTTGATCGTCTCTGAGACCAATCTTGCATCTGATCCTGAGGGATTAACTGCTTTTTCATCAATTGATCAATGGCGCCAATGACTGTTCTCATCAGGGCCACAATATCATGTCTTGCCGTTACTGATGTCCTACCCGAGTCGAATGTTCCAAACGAGACAATTGACCTCAACTTCGTGATAGGATCTGACAGACGATCGATTACTTGGCTAATGACTTCTCCATCTTGCGTAGAGAGGGCCAACTCCATGTATTGAGTGAGTGTCGTCGGGTCAGGCTCCACCTGATAGTGCTCGCTCAGCTCGAAAAGTTGGTTGGCATGTTTCATTACGTTTGGGTTGTTCTTGTCGCGGCTGCAGGCACTCATCGCAATGCGGAAGGTCTTGCGATGAGGTTTCCAGCCGTAAGCCGGGATCGTATCCTTGACTAGATCGAGAGTCCGACCAGATGCGCGGGTTTGCCGTAAGATACGCATGAAAGTATGAATGTTGTCCATATCGGGCTTCAGTGCGTATGTAGATTTGTTGGTGAGCAGATCCCAATATTCGTATGACGTCCGGAAAGCGTGTGCCAACTTGCAGGCCTCGAGAAGGAGTGAAAAGGTGTTGTTTCCTGGTTTGACGAGTGTGACGGATGGGTTGCCTCGGCTGTCGAGCAAAAGTGCTTGGTCAAACTCGGTCTCGGGTTCCTCGCCTTCTGTAATGTCCTTGCGATCCTTCTTCACATCGGCGGGCATGCGAATAGGCAGATTCAGAGAGGCCATCCTCATCTTGCTACCGAGCTTGGGGACCAGACGAGGGATGCCCATGGTCTGTTCAATCAGGGAGAGGACATCATCCCAGTCTTTTGGCTGCAGACCAATGAGTAAGAGGCGACCCATGGCGGCTACCATCTCTTCGTTGACGGCGATGTCTCCAGATCGCCATCTTCCAACAATGTCTCCCCAGATTCTTCTACCTTGCTGAACAGCTGTTGCTCTAAGTGCAGCGATCTCGCTGTCGTCTGTTCTGTTGCCGCCTTCCAATAATGCATGCTCTCTGATTGCATTCAAGATTGTAGTGTACGTGTAAGCGTCGGCAGCGCCAGGCCCTTTCTCTGGGATTTTTGAGGCTATGCCCCAGAGAGAGTCCATATCATTTGCGCGTGCGCACACTCGCAGTGCTGCATTGGTGTGTATGGTTGTTGGCTTTACTCTAGAGTTTTCAGCACCCAGTGAATGGTAGATGGCAAGGGCTTTGCCGAGGGTGTCTGCCGCAACGGGAGGTTCGGATAGACCACGAAGGAGGATAACGTAAGTATGCGAGTCGGGGAACTGTGCGCGCTTTTTCATCTATGCAAACGTCAATTGACAGCGCTGGTCATGGTGCATAGACAAGTCGTACCTCGTTGTATATCTTCAGAGCGGTGGCGACCTGTTTCTCGGAAAGCAAGTGGCCGATGATGTGATTCCAACTGACGATGCATTCCATGTCCTTGCTGGCAATACGAGTGAGACCAAGAGCCTTCTCGACGTCGCCCTTCTTGAGAACGCCACGGACATGGTCGGCGAGCTTGAGCGGGTCCGGTAGATATTGTAATTCCCTTCTGATCTTCTTCTCCAGTGCCAAATTCATGTTGGGCATCTTGCCATCTTGTTGATCTTCAGAGGGTACACGGACTTTGCGATGTTCATTGTTCTTGATCCAAGTCTTGGTCGGATCGTATTTCTTTTGTGGTACCCCATCAACCAGAGTTGTACGTTGACTATTTTGAACCTCAGACGTGATGTCGTCGAGCTTTTCGTCGCGCGTCGGTGTAGCGTCTCTTCTAGACTCTGTTGTATACTGTCGGACGGCTTGAGATGATCGCGCATGGGGTGCGATGCGACTTTGGAGATACGGCCGAGGACCTGTGCTGGCCTCGGCAGTGATTGCACGAATGCATCTGAGTAAGCTGTTCCTGCACTCTGACATCGAACTAAGTGCAGTTGCTAAGCTGCGAAGATGAGGCGAAATGTCCAGAGTATCATCTCTTTTCGCCGAACTTTTGATGCACAGACCATCTGTTCAAGAGTCTCGACTCGCGACCAACTCCAGCCTGTACATGCCACATTCCGTCACTCTATTTCTCTCCTAAACAGCCATAAAGTGGCACTGGCCTCTCAAGGTGCACCTGTTAGATCGGGGTAGTATTATCTTTCCAGGTTTATCTTCGACCTAGAGACGATTATGCATCTGCATCGATTTCTACGCAAGACACATAGCGGCGATATCTGAGGTCGAAACATGATATTGAATGTAATACACATTATAGGAACATCTGGTGGAAACATTCGCCTGCCGTTCATGAATCAAGCTCGTATCAGGAGTCGGGACAGAGACATCAATCAGATCATCTTCCTTTGGTCCTCGAAATTTGCATTTCCTGGAAGAGAATCAGGAGCGGTCGAAAGCTGTGAGATCTCATCCAAAAGTGCGACAGTCTCTGCCGGACTAGCAATCCATGCCGTTGTACAGGCAAGCCTATCGTTCGTTAGCATATACAGTTTCGAAGAGTGCCAAAATAGCACCAACCTAGCCTGGTATCTGTTAGCATGTATCCCGCAAGCAGTGATGAATTTGACGAACCTTGAAATCATTCGCGCCAATTGACAAGAATTGGTCGCCAACATGCAGAGACTTGTTTCCTTCTATTCCGCCAAAATACCTCTGGCAACTCAGAACACCCCAGGACTTGTCACCAATGTCAATGAAGACGTCGCTTCCTCCTGTAAATCCTTTAGTCATTGTGTCTCCAAGTTCGGTGTGCCAATCCTTACCATTAAAGGCGCAGAATGGTAGCCTCTTGCCAACGGGAGTCATTTCCTATTTCCTGTAAGCAAACGTCGAGCAAAGCATTGTCGTAGCACGTACCAATGTCTTCTGGCAGACAAGAACAGTCTCCTCAAGCTGTTCTCGCGAAAGTTTGAATCCTTCGATTGGGATGATACCAACCGCTCTTTCTTTTCGAAGAATGTTAGCCTTGAGCCTCATGGCATCGACACAACTGTGAAGGGACTTTTCTGCAACATTCAACAATTCTGTAACATCTTCTTGTGTCCAAGATTGCATTTCCTGCAGCGTCCACTGCTTGCGTGGGATGGCAACAAGTCTGTCCGGGCTCTCGCTAGCGAATTGGAAGAGGTAGCTCGCCTCTCCTCCAAGAACAATGAGATTCTTCTTGGTATCATTTGGGAGATCAGATGTTGCTATGGCGTCGAGTAGACCGTGTAATCTACCATAGTACTTTGATGCTTCAGTGTAACCAGCGGCAGTCACAATCCCGATGCGAGTGCCATTTCTCATCAACTCCAGGATACGAGGAATGGCTGGGTTGTCATCGGTCAGAGATTGGCCATCATCATACAACGTAACATCACCATCGAATGTGACAAGATCTAGCCGGCTGTGCTTGACCAACGACATGACTTGAGCAGTATTGAGAATCAAACGAATATCGTTGAAACTGGGGGCGACAAATCTCCTTGAACTTATGTATCGTCTTTGGTCTTGCCATTCGAACGCATCTCTCAGCATAAGAGGCGTGAAGAAGACACCAACAGTCGGAACTAGCAGTTTGAGCTTGGAATGGGTATGTGTGCCCTCTTTTTGGCGTGAGATGTGGTCATTGATGAGCCCTTCAACATCACTCATGATCTGGGCATAGCGCTCGTGGGCATTGCGAGCCATCTCATCAGTACCATGAATACCATCTTGGCCAAAAAGTGCGGTAGGCTGAGATAGGAGCACAAATGGTACAGCAAGGAGGCCTTTGATCCATTCAATCTGACACAAACTTAGCAAGAGTGGAGTGAAATCAGCCGGTCAGACCAGGGACGTACCAATTGATCACGGCGGTGAGTCTTGGAGGACGAATTAGCAAGATCCAGGTTGTTCATGCTTCGGTATACGAACCTTGAGAGCATCTAGATGCAGTTAGTATCAAGTGTCAGCATGTGATAGCCATTGATAAACATACACTCGACACGGTATCTAGTGGTCATTCTGGCGTTGCGGTTTCAGACTTGTCGATTGGGAATGGAAAGTCACCAAGTGTAAGTCACAAAGAAGTGAAGAAGATGGCCACGACAGAAGATAGCCGGAGGTGGCCGACAAGAGTGACAGCAGCAGGTTGTTAACAGATTGGTGATAGGCATGTGATGCTGCACCCCACAGCGCTAAACAGCGGGTAGAAGCGGTGGCGCAGATCTCTTGTGCTTGCTCAGGAACCGCTGACGCTTGTGCCGACGCCGAAGCTTTCCTTAATCCAATCCACCATGGCCGACATCACTCTTCCCTCGTCCTTGCTGCAACCGCGCGACGACAGCGAAGCAGACTCACTCTTATCGATCCTTGGGCGCATTCACGATGAGCGCGGCCACTTTCGACATATCACCGAGCAAGGCCTACAGGCTGAAATAGCTGCCAACGACAACGACGAAGAGAGCTCCGAGACAGATGACGACGAGGATGGCGCAGACCCAGATGGACTAGAAGAGAAAGACCGCCGGGAACAGCTATGGACAGCTAGAGCAGAGATGAGGCAACATGTTGAGTGCGTTCCCTTGCGACTGTTCATTGTCAGCAAGACAAATTACTGACACTCCCAGCTCCGCACGCAACGAAGTACTCATCGCTCTGGACTTTGTCTCCCTGCTGATCTCCAAAGAAGCCCCCAAACAGGCCGACCTTACAATGTCACCGCATCTGAAACAGTTCATCAAGCCCGGAACCCTCGCTATGGATATGTGGCAGAACGTCCCGCCCAACAAGGAGCAAGAGAAGGTCGACGATACAATCGCTCGTGGCTGGAGAATGCAATCGCTTCAAGCCTCCGCTGATTCTCTATTGGGTGCTGCGACTCGCTTGGAGAACGACGTCAGGAGAGAGACACATTACTGGGAACAAGTCTTGTCTGTCAGCGACAAAGGCTGGTCAATTTCTCGTCTGCCTCGTGAGAAACACAACCTTGGCGTTCGCTTTGGCTTCTTGGAAGCGCTTGGAGAGTTTAGAGACCGTGGGCTTGCTGCTTTGAGATCAGATGAAGATGGCAATGTTCTACTCGACAAAGGCATTGGAAACAACAGCAAAGTCCTGAGGGTACGCATCCAAAAAGGTGATCACATTGCTGGCGTCTCACGGATGCCCGATGTCTCGAACGATTCAGAAACCACTCTCGAAGCACGTATTCGTCACGCTCGAGACTCGTTGTACGAGGAAGAATTGTTCCATGAAATCATTCGGGAATCGCGAAGTCTGGCATCATACGGTGTTGATATGCGCGAGTCGACTGTTCGTCTTCCCACAAGATTGTCCTCGACTGCTTCATCATCCACATCAGATGCGCAAGAAGTCTTGATTGACTTATTACCATTGACTGCAATTGAGATGAAATCTCATGAGAAGCAGCCAGAAGATGCGTGGGCCCAAGCTATCGCACTGGCCCTTCGCCTGTTCCTTTCGTACACTCACCGCGAGAGACTGACACGCCGATCTGATCTGCCTCCACCAATGTCAAGCGCGAGAAAAAACACACCAGTTGCAAGCATCATGAAGCCCGTCCTGACCTTACTGCAACACCGGTCAATACTTGGTGATGTCGGCGCCTATCTCGAGCGTATCAAAAAGCTTCTAGATGCTGCATCAGTTGATACTACAATCGAGACAGCGGCGTTCGACCCAGCACTCTTGAGGTCTGCAGAAACGATAGAGACTCTCATACAAAGAGGTCTCACGCCACTGCATTCGCGAATGAAGATATCGCTCAAGGCAGCGCATCTGACCGAGGCACTCGAGTTCGGTATCGAAGTGCGTACATCCATTTCACCACCTGCTTTCGGCAGTGCCATGTTGGTCACTTCACCGATAGGCCTATCGCGAGTCGAGATACCAGAAATTCAGGAGCTCAAAGACTACTTGAACACAGCGGTGGCCAACGCTTTGGGCTATGGAATTGCAGACAAGCTGGTTAACTGGACCCTCAACGATAGGTGCAGTATGCTCACCCGAACCAATAGCAATGATAAGATCAGCATTGAGATTCAGGGAAATGAAAATGCAGGGCAGGACAGTCTGGTGTTACGAACAGCCAAAGAGAGATTTGAATGGAAGGTCGAGGACGAGATGAAACAAAACGGGTTCTGGGAGGCAGTCAAACAGCACGTTTGGGACGGAGCATGAAGCCGGACATAAATTCAGGCAGGTGCAGCGACTTTCAGGGTCCAGCGTCTTTTTTTATTTTGTCGCATGGAGGGGCTGGTGATAGCTAGCCAGCGAAATAGACGATAGAGCAGCAACGAGCAGCAACAACTAGCAGGGCAAGAATCACGAGTTTACGGTGAGCTGATATGGAGTGTCCCTCAGAGCGTGCCACAAACAAATGGTGAGATTCTTGGCCTGTAAGACCGCAGTCGGACCGCGATGTTGACTGGCACTGGCCAATGTGTTGAGAGTGACGTATCGCAGACCGGAGAGTCTTGGGGGGTTCTCTCAAGATTTCACCTCGCAGTTTGGCTGAAGCCTCTTTTTCTTGTATTCACAACCATCTCTCCACCACGTGTCTCGACGACTTTATAAACCCAGCTGACCAAGCTCTCTGTCTGGTACAGCTTCACACGCTCTCCAAATAATACAACCACCCTCACATTCGCATAAAAAAACACAACACAATTGGCCTCTACCATGGCCCAGGTCAACCTCGCCCCTCCCGCCATGCCCGCGGGCAAGAAGCGCATTGCTGTCATGACTTCCGGAGGTGACTCCCAAGGAATGTCTGGCGCTGTGCGTGCCGTTGTCCGTCAGACCATCGCCTCGGGCTGCGATGCATTCGCCGTCTACGAAGGTTACGAAGGTCTCGTTCAGGGTGGAGACATGATCAAGCAGATGCGCTGGGAGGACGTCCGTGGATGGCTCTCAGAAGGTGGTACCCTCATCGGAACAGCAAGATGCATGTCCTTCAAGGAGCGTGCCGGCAGACTGCAAGCGGCTAAGAACATGATTGACAAGGGCATTGATGCCTTGGTTGTCTGTGGTGGTGACGGCAGTTTGACTGGTGCAGACAGATTCAGAGGCGAGTGGCCCAGTCTGGTCGAGGAGCTGGTTTCCAATGGTACTTTCAAGAAGGAGGCAGTCGAGCCTTTCAGACATCTCAACATTGTTGGTCTGGTCGGTTCCATTGACAACGACTTGGCTGGTACCGATGCCACCATTGGATGCTACTCATCGCTGCAGCGCATCTGTCAGGCTGTCGACTACATTGACGCTACCGCTTTCTCTCACCAGCGTGCCTTCGTCGTCGAGGTCATGGGCAGACACTGTGGTTGGCTCGCCCTGATGGCCGGTGTTTCTACTGGTGCCGACTTCGTTTTCCTTCCCGAGAACCCTCCGTCCGAGAACTGGGAGACCGAGATGTGCGAGATTGTCCAGCGCCACCGCAAGCTCGGAAAGAGAAAGACAATTGTCATTGTTGCTGAGGGAGCCCACGACCGTCAGCTCAACGCTATTTCGCCAAACAAGGTCAAGGATCTGCTTGCTGGCAAGCTTGGTCTCGACACCAGAGTCACCACTCTTGGTCACGTCCAGCGTGGTGGTACTGCCGTTGCCTACGACCGTATGTTGTCTACTCTGCAGGGTGTCGAAGCCGTCAAGGCTGTCCTCGACTCGACCCCCGAGACTCCCAGTCCTGTTATTTGCATTGTCGAGAACAAGATTGTTCGCAAGTCATTGATGGAGGCTGTCAAGCTGACCCAATCCGTCGCCGAGGCTATTGAGCGCAAGGACTTCAAGGCAGCCATGAAGTTGAGAGGTGCCGAGTTCGACGAGTACTGGACTGCTTACAGCACTACCGTCTCGACCGACAAGGAGGAGTTGCTGCTTCCCAAGGAGAAGGTAAGATCATGTTTCATGACAACTGCAAAGACTAGAACTGACATTAATACAGCGCATGCGCGTTGGTATCATCCACGTCGGAGCCCCTGCTGGTGGTATGAACGCTGCCACCCGTGCTGCCACTGCCTACTGTCTTACCCGTGGTCACACCCCCATCGCCCTCCACAACGGTTTCCCTGGACTCGCCCGCCACTACAAGGATGAGGAATCCTCTGTCCGCGAGATCAAGTGGCTCGATGCCGAGAACTGGGCCAGCAAGGGTGGTTCCGAGATTGGAACCAACCGTGCTACTCCTTCCGAGGACTACGACGGTGTCTCGGACGCCCTCACTCACCACAAGATCGATGCTCTCTTCGTTGTCGGTGGTTTCGAGGCCTTCACTGCCGTCTCTGAGCTTCGCAAGGCCAGACGCGACTACGATGCCTTCAAGATCCCCATCGTCGTTCTTCCCGCAACCGTCTCCAACAACGTCCCTGGTACCGAGTACTCCATTGGTAGCGACACCTGTTTGAACGCCCTGATCGACTACTGCGATGCCATCAAGCAATCCGCTGCTGCCTCCCGTCGTCGTGTCTTCGTTGTTGAGACACAGGGTGGTGCTTCAGGTTACATCGCTACCATCGCCGGTCTCTCCATTGGTGCCGTCGCCGTCTACACACCCGAGGAGGGCATCCACCTCAAGATGATCGCTTCCGATATCGAGCACCTGAAGGAGCAATTCGCCAAGGACAAGGGCCAAAACCGCAGCGGAAAGATCATTCTCCGCAACGAAAAGGCCTCCAAGACCTACACCACCGAGATCATCGCCAACATTATCCGCGAAGAGAGTGGCGGCAAGTTCGACTCGCGTTTCGCCGTCCCTGGACACGTGCAACAGGGTGGTATCCCCTCGCCCATGGACCGTGTCCGTGCCGTTCGTTTCGGTGTCAAGAGTATGCAGCACATCGAGTCCTTTGCCGGCAAGTCCAAGGACGAGATCGCAAACGACCCTCTGTCGTGCTCGGTCATTGGAATTACTGGTGCCCAAGTGCAATTCTCGGCCATGGAGAAGGTTGAGAAGGAGGAGACCGACTGGAAGGACCGCCGTCCCAAGAACGAGTTCTGGATGGATTTGGTCAGCATTGTGGATACCCTCTCAGGCCGTCCTCGTCCTAAGAAGGAGGATTCTATTGCTGCTGGTCTGCCTGCTTAAGGAAAGTTTTGACTTCGTTCTGCTCTGGCGTTTCTTCTTACAATCATGATTGCAATGATTTCCTTATTATTTTGCTATGGCCAGAAGCCCGGGACAGTTATCATTGGGTTCTTGCATATTTAGAAAGGTATCTCTATATTCACAAAATTTATTCAGTTTCTCAAATCTCAAATGACTTGGATATGTGTATGTACAGAGGAAGCATCATTTCATTACCGACAAGATTGTTCTTTTATTTGTTGTAATTCGCTTAGGTCTTGCCAAACACAAAGACACCCTTGCCAGATCTAAAGCCTTGCAAGGTGCCTTGCACAGCCTTAATCAACTCTTCTCCCTTAGTCTCCCACTCCCATTTGACCTCATCAAAAGGCGTGTCCTTGAACTTGCCCTCTCGCACAAGATCCAAGACATGTTCAACAGTCTTTTTCTTTTCCTCTGGGTTTGCTTCTGACCATCTGCTCACCCAGAATCCATCGTAGGAAATGTTTTTGAAGATCTGGAGGCCGGCGGGCACTGTGACGGGTTCACGCGACATGGCGCCGTATGTCACGATGTGTGAGTTGTCGGCCAGGACCTTGGCCATACTGTTGACGAGTTTTCCACCTACACAGTTCAGGGCCAGAGAGATTTGTTCGCGACCGCCGTTTGTAGCTTCCTTGATGACGTTACGGAAGGACTTGTCCATTGCTTCTGAGTCTGTGAGGACGATGTCTGCACCCAAATCTTTCAATTCTTGCTTCATTGCTTCTGTGGCCGAGGGGTCGGAACGGTCGCGGATGATGTTGATACTGCGGTAGCCCCAGAGCTTTGCCAGTTGAATTGCTGCCCTGCCGACGCCTGAGTTGGCGCCGTTCTGGATGAACCAGTCGCCTTCCTTGAGCGGTACAAAGTCTTTGAGCATGCGGTAGGCGGTGCAGGGGTTTACACTGACAGTACCAGCTTGGAGAGGTGTGAGGCCTGACTTGTCTTCGATCTTGAGGAGGTTCTCGGTGGTGGTTTGAGCGTGAGTGCGCCAGGTGCCGAAACCAGGGCTGCGCATGATGACCCAGTCACCTCGTTGGAAGCCCTTGACACTGCCTCCGGCGGAGATGATCTCGGCGACACCTTCATTGCCTCCTACAGCAGTGGGTTCGGGGGCTCCGAGAGTGGTGCTAAAGGTTGGTTTGCTGGGGTAGACACCTTGGATCTGGTTGATGTCTGCGGGGTTGATGGGAGAGGCGAGGAAGCGGAGGGTTACGAGGTCTTTGTGGGCGGGAGAGATGCTGTGGCCGTGGAGGCGCAGGACGTCTTTTGGCTCGCCATAGTTGGTGAAGGCTAGTACTTTGGTTTGCTCGTAGCCGTAGGCGCTGAGGTGACGGCGGGTGACGGGCGTTGTTGTGAGACGGGCGAGAGGGGCCCGTAGGCTTGTGCTGCATGTGCTCAGGCGGAATGACATGATGTGTCTTGTATATCGTGATGAGAAGCAGGTAGGAGAAATTGTGTAGAGCTTTGAAGCTGTCGATCAACAGTGACGTCGCCGAGGGCCTTGATGACAGCCGAAAGCACCCTCCATCTTCCCGAATTTTGTTATCTCCATCTTGACTTCTTGTCATCGAAACATTGTATCAGTTCACAATGGAATCGTCAGTTTCAAGGAGACTCACCAGATCACCACCGGCTAATGTTTTTTCTGTTTCCTCACTGCTCGAGCAGTCGCATTGTTCAGCGCCCGTACTGGTTTGTTCCATGCCCTTTTCAACACCTTGGCAATACCCTGTGCAGCTTTCTTGATGGACCTCTTCTTTTCGGCTTTCCTTGTTGCATTTGCCTCGTTAGGAGTCAGACTCCAGATGCACGTCGCTTGACCTCCCGTTCCGACACACGGTCCGCCGCTCACACAGGCGCACTCCACGAATCTGGCCACTCGTGTCTGTTGTGGTACTTGTCTGAGGACCATGTCGACTACGCTTGATTGTGGCGTGTCGAACACCGACCGGAACGGGCTCTCGAACGCCTGCGACGACTCGGACATGGTCTTCAACACAGATTCTCTGCTTGAACTTGTGGGAGTCATGCTGAGATTTGTGGTGCCCTGACCTAGATTGTGTTGGAAGCTGGATCCGTCCATTATTGATACTGCTTCCATCTCGAATTCCTTTGGCTGGGCTGGTGATGTGAAAAGGCAAAGGATGGACATCTCAAAATATTGCCAGTATCTTCGTTGTGATTCCTGACTACAGTCATGCATTCTTATTCGTGAGAGAATATCTGAGACATCACAGTCTGTTCAAACGAGTCTCCAACCCCTCGACGCGGCGAATGGGACAATCCTCGTCTAGGCATCTGCGAGGACCTGAGTTATTTTGCGACATCTCCTTGAGTTGATACATGATTTCAATCACAGAGCAAACCACAGCATACAATAGAGTGTTCGAGTGCTGCGTTTCGCTCAGTCACGGGTTGCTGCCTTGAAGCGAAAAATTTATATACCTCAATACCACTCCAGGTCAGTCAGCTATAGGAACCCAGGCTTTGTATTGGTCAATTAGAGGGCGAACCTCTCGAATGGACGCATCTCTCCTCTCGACTCCTGTCATCCACTCCAGATACAAACAACGCCCCATCTCTCCTTTCCTCATTTCCTCCTTCTCATCCAACAGTGATTCTTCGTAACTGCTACAAGTCAAGAAAACACACCCTTCAACTCACACTCAAGAGTGATCAGTATACTGAAGCTAGGTACACCGACGCTGAACCTCCCCTCTCATATACAATCCTCCCTTAACACATACAAAATGGCAACCACACCTGCCCTCCTCACCCAGGCACAAGCCAAGAAGATCTGCCGCCTTACAAAGTGGCTCCTCAACACCCAAAACAAGCTGCGTACTGCCATCAAAGGGTCCAGCACTACCACCACCACCACCACCTCCTCTTCCTTCACCATTACTAAAAAGTCCTGCTCCTTCACAGGCAACAAAGCCAGACAACAACGTCGCATCCACAATGAAGTCTTCGGGTGGACAAGTGACGCCTGGGACGAGATGAGCCTAGCCTCTACCTCCTCGCCCACAACACCCCTTTTCTTACCGGCACCAACCACTCCACAAACAATGCCCATGAGTAGGGAAGAAGCTCTCAGACGCGCCGATGCCTACACCATCCGCCGTATCGAGAATGCTTACATGCACAATACTGTCCATAATCCACATGGCAGAAGAGCATACTTCAGAGTTGAAGGATATTAAATACCGACCTTGTCATCCTCAAAGATGCTTGTGTCTCCAGGATTCTTCTTTGTAACTCTTTTCCCACTGGATGTTCGTCATATTCCCAGTGGGTTTTTAACGAGGCAGGAGGACTCTTTTTGGTAGAAGGTTTACGAACCTGGTTTACTTTTTTGCTGTTAGAAGTGCTTGGCAGTTACAGTACTTTGAGCATTATCATAGTGTTTTTCTTGGGAATGAAGATTACTGTTGGAGCAGCTATATTTTTTGTGGATTCAATACGCGTACATGAAGTGATCCTCCTCTTGACTGTGCCTGTGTGATGATGCTCGTTGTTGATCTCGCTTCCCGTCCCAGATGCACTTGCCACCATTGTCGCAATGCAGGATTGTCCTTAACGTGAGAGGAGATCGGCATTGTTTTACTCGATGGACACAGACCTTGTAACCTCCCAGCATCTTCATAGATGGGCGAGAACAGCGACAGCACTGGACGCTCGGGCATCTTCTTCAAGGATTGAGTGTCGTTGGCTGCCTCGACGCCGTCAGCCCTGGCAAGTCGATGATAGTTGTCCTGTTCCAATAGTCACTTGTGTTGAGCAGCGACAAATGCATAGCTTGTGATCACCCTCGAGTATTTTTGAGGGACTGATATCGCGATTGCGGAACCTTTGATTCCAAGATTTCAGACAAATTAGTCGACAGACATATGGTAAATCTACTGCCTGGATGCAAGAAGTAATGTTTTCGAGAGGTGGTGTCCAAGGAGAGCAAAGATTCAGGGAACCTTCCATCTGAAGATCCGTTCGTGTGTTCCGGACGCCATCTACACGACTGCCCGTTCCGACCTCGACGCAGTCGGAGAGGACCATGTCGTATACTTCACGGCTAAGATCTACGAGGCGCTGCGCTTCATGAACGCACCAGGCCTATGATGGCGCCATCAATGCGCTGGCCAATGCTGTCTGGGCTCAGCAGTGGGTTGATAGTCCTGCCCTTTTTCAAGGTGACCGAGTCGAGTCCATCTGAGATGGGAATTTCAGAATATGTCAAGAACCTCCAGGCCGAGATTTACGGCGAGGATGACCGGCCTAAAGGGCTGGCAGGAAATGTTGTGCGAAGAGAAGGCATCGCAACGTTGCTCAAGCGCTGTTCATACGCAAGCATCTCTCTTAGCTCCGCAAGTCTAATTCGTCAATCGTGATATGTCACAACATCTTGAGAGGAAGGCACTCAGAAGGAGAGATGAGGCCACTGTGGTGATACTTGATTTCAACCTCGCTTGACATCCCCGATGGATGATTGCCACTTTTCAAAGCTGCTGTAATGCAGAACCCAATTCCAGATGGCTTCGATGTCACGAGGGACTGGACCATACCCCTGAGACTTTATGAGAGCTTGAGTGTGGAGGTACTGGCCTTGTGGCCACCGGCTTTGGGCTCCAGGTCTGCTCGCTTTCGCATTTTTGTGTCTGTAGCCCAATTGAAGTTCGGCTTGCTTGCCAGCATGGACATGTCATGTCGTATGATGATTCTTGCTCTGTTCTACAGCAGCTTTGTCGGGGCGGACCCAAATCTTGCTTGGATCTGGGCTTCGTCCTCTGGTATCACACTGTCCTTGCCGTGCTTCTTTCGTCAGTCACCCTCGGCCTTGTTGATCTTTTTGCCGTGGGCCCTGAGGCCATCTTCGGTGTGCTTTTCGGCAACACCGAGACGTCTGACGGCTTCTGCATCTCCGCTAGTCCTGACAGCATCTTTTCTCACATTGGCACGGCGTGTTTGGGTGAAAGCCGAGCATCGTCATGATATCTGACAGGGACCATCAATCATCAAGACACTGGCATCGAATTAAGGCAGCTTTGGGTACAGAGCACAGAAGCAACAGCGAAGACAACAAGAAAGTGTAAAGGTCGGTCATCATTCATTCACTCAAGGAGCTGAACTCTAGCTACTCTAGGAAAGAGCTGCCAAGGAGGATCGCGCCAACCCTTGGAGTTTGTGCTAACTACCCAGGTTCTTGGTTCTAATCCTGGCAAGGCCATTTGGCAACCATCACAAACATTTCGTTCTATCATTTTCCTATACCAATCCTTTCTATCAAGGCAAGCTCAAGAACAGAGCCATCATCTTGATCGAGTTTGGTGTGCCCAATCCAGTAACTGGATCCCATCCCTTGCTGGCAGAGAAACCAGGAGTACCACATCCTTGGTTACCACCCTGGGTGATGTCGTTGAGCACTTCGGGGTGAGCATACAGTGTGGGGTTGATAAAACCGATACTGCTCTTGCCAAGCTGAAGACGTCTCTCGTTGATGATGGTGAGGATAGAACCAAAGGTAGGAGAAGATGCTGATGTGCCATAAACCAGACCAAACGCTCCATCAATTGCAATTATGTAGTTAGCACCGTTTGCGCTGACATCGGGGTAACCACGAGTCTTTTGGGTGTTGTTGAAGCGGTCAGCGCCATATGGTGGAGGGTAGTTCTTGAACCACGATTTGACGGCCGAAGCCTGGTAGCTGGGCATGTCGAAAACGTTGCTGAAACCACCACCAGAATAGATGACGGTCTCGCAGGCTTCCTCAGGCTGGGTGCCAGTAGCAAGAGCTTCAATGATGTTTGTACCGGGAATTACTTGCGTGGCTCCAACGGATGTCACGTAAGGGCAGGTACCAGGGAAGGAGGGGTTGAAACGACCATCCTTGCCGGAGTTGTAGGTGCCGTTAGCTGCGATACACTGGCCGCCGTTGCCAGCGACACCATAATCACCCGAGCTGTAGAGGACCGAGGTACCCATGAGACCGAGCTTCATGTACTCATCGCACTGGCGCTTCTCATAGAAAGGAGTAAGATCAGCCTCGTTGTAGCCGTAGGATGTGCTGATGACCTTGGTAGGCGCAAACGTTCCGCAGTTTTCATTGCCCTTGTAGCCCCCTGCGGCCGGATCAGGGAAAACAGCATCTTGAGAAGGGTCATCGCCACCTTCATATGTGCAGTAAGAAGCATCAATAGCGTCAAGGAAGTTGTTGAACGATGCACCTTCAACCTGGATTGAATAGTTAGCGTTTTCACCAAGTACTGATATACACTTAAAACCACTTACAAGATCACCAACTTGGTACAAAGTCACTTTCTCGGGGTAAATCAGAGTCATAGCGTATTCAAGATCGAGGTCGCTCTCGCCGTTGAAGCTAAAGCTCCTGTTGGTTGCTTGGATAACGCCACCGTCGATAAAGTCAGTGATGGGACGATCTCCGACTTGCTTCGTTGAGAAGTTGGCAAAGAAGAGATCGAGATCAGACGGAACATAGGCCTGAGGAGTGTACTCGACAATGCCATAGCTGTTCTTGACACTTTTGCCAGTGCTCTTGGGAATCTGATAGAGAGCCTTCAGACAGTTAGGAGTGATCTGCTCGTCACACTGTTCGAGCTGAGTGATGAACTGCGACTTGTTGATCCACTGGCCCAAAACAGGCGTACTACCGCTGCTAGGTTGACCGATTTGCTTGCCAGTGTTGGGGGTTACATCACGCTTTTCGATCTTTTTACGCTCTGTGACTCTGGTATCGAAGTGCAGAGAAGGAGTGACGAAGTCGATGTGGTCCTTCAGATGCTTGGGAAGACTGTATTCATCACAGCCAATATGGGGCTGACCAGTAACACCGTGCTCGTAAACGTGGTACTTGGTGTTGAGCAGCGATTCAGCTTGGTCAGCTGAGGCTTCAAGATTAATCCAGTTCTTGCCCTTGCTCAACTTGATACTGTCGGAGGAGATGCCAGAAGCGATGAGCCAATCCATGACGGAAGAGATAGTCTCGTCGCTCGGTGCGAAGTGGTCTGCCACTTCTTGTGCAGTCCAGTGTTGGCCATACTTGGGAGACTCAGGATGGCTGACTTCGTGCAGGTATTCTGCGGCCTGATCGAGGTTGCGTTGCGTCAATGCAATCTTCATAGGGAGCAAAGCACGACGATCGAGACGCTCGCCTTTGTTCCAGCCCATGGGAGCAGTATCACGCTTCTCATGGATGACATAGTTTCCAGTTGGTGAGGCAAGGACTGAGGCGACCAACACACTCAGACTGAGTAACGAGAGTTGCATGGTGGAAGGACCGAGAAGGCAGAATGTGCCTCTAATAGAATCAAGAGCAGAAGATAATGAGAGTTGGAATCTACCTGGACTACATGGTGGTTGTTCTGAGTCCTTATAAACCACACCCAACTACTCCTCCTTCCTCTTCGAGATAGTATAGTTCAGGGGTCGGGTCTGGGAGACCGCTTGATAGATTGTAGATGAACTTTCCGCCATGTCGCCCTGGAAGTATGTTATGCCCGTGTGATATGGATGCTCAATAGCCCTGGAAAAGCGGATATAGAAGAAAAGCAGCTAGTGCTCTGTTGGGAAGGAGGACAGAACGATCAAGGGCGCCATGGAACGCGTAGCCAGTGGCACGCCGAAAGCAACTTGATTAGCTGCCGTGTCATGAGCTTGTTCTTTGCTCGTGCAGATAGAAAAGCGGTCACTTGAATCGCACGAATTGAGAAGGTCGATAGCACGAGTGGAAAAAGAAGGCAGGTGGGCTTTCATGGTGAAAGCACGCGAGCAGACGTCGCCGTCTGTGCCGTTGTCGGGACGGCATCACCCCGCTTCATGGAGCGCGTTGGTAGATTCGCCCACAGCTGCCTCGTATAATGGTTACTCTTCGACTAGACACGTTTCTGATCGTCAAAGGAAGTTTATTCACTCGAAATACACCCAGCCAAAGGACAGAAAGTCTTCAGCATGGCCACTTCGATATGAAGTGTGACCACTTTGGCAACGGCCCACGAATCACAAGTATGTTGTTTGTCTGCCGTCCATGCATGTTATAGCGAGGGGCTTCTTTAGATGGGGGTGTGGTTATCACCAATCCTATCTATTGCATGTTGAAGATAAGTGCGGGAGCCAGTGGGCTTGACACTTGACCAAGATGCTGATCTATGTGGTGACCCTTTCGTTAAGCTTCTGCAGAAGGCTTGTCCTAGCAACTGTCTCGGTTGTCAGTGGAGAAGATAAGAATATGCCTCATCAAAGTCCAGACTTAGAGTAACAAGCCTATCGTGTTTGCAGATCAGTGTCAGTGCTCGAAGCAGACTCGATAGGCGACGAACACTCAACCGCTGCTGTCACAGAATCAACGACAACTTATAGTGCGGGAACGCGGATATAACTCTATGGATAAATATACATTGACGTTTGGTAATCGCGGCACCTTCCATGAGTGTAGTCTATCTAGCCGGCCTCATATACGAGATTGACAGCAGGGCGCATACGCAAGCATGTTCGACTTTATACGAAATGTTCTCGGTATCTCTCGGGTGGTGATTTGCTTGCAGTCGAATCTCTCGAATTGTTCACCAAAGGACTTACATCTGGAGAGCCAATTCTTGGAGACATGGTTAAGGACGAAGGAGGCGATACCGCACTTCTATCATCGTAATTGTTCCAGCTCATAATGTGCCGACTGTGCTGTCTTCTGCGCACATCATCTGCAAGATTGCTTTGCCCGTGATCGGTATATCGTCCTAGGACGGGTGATTCATCAACCTGTGGCGACATTGGTGTTTTTGGTGCCATTATGGGAGAGTTTGCATCCATTTCAACAGGAGCAGGACCAACATTCGCCGAGGGATATATTGGCTTGCCTTCCACTTCTGCAGGACCAGTTGACTTGTAAGCAGCTGGTGTGTTTGCAGGTTTCTCGAACTTGGCGGCCGCAAATTCATTGGCAGAATCTTCTCTGGCGAGCTGAGATTCACCGAGCGGTGCTTGCTTCAGCGCTGTTGTATGTCCTCCGTAGAATCCTGTGGCTGTTTAGCATCGATCATGTAGATGTTTCGGCCTGACTTACCACCAAGTGCCGCGAACAGCGAGTCACTTTTCGAATGAGGCTCCAGGGGACCTGTTGGGAACCTCTGAGTGGCGGACTTGATTTCTTCATTCTTGATCCTACGCCGTCTGCGCAGACAAATGAATACGAACAGAGCAAGAAGAACGAGAACAACCAAGCCACCAACCACACCTCCGACGATAGCACCAATGGGTGTACTCTTCGAGACAGGTGGTGGCCCAGAAGAGTTTGTTGGTAAGGCATCGGCTGGTGGATCAATTTGATCATCTCGATTCAATAAGGCGACGGTTACATAGTTGCTTCCTGCAGTGCTTGAATAACTATCCTCTGGAAGATCGGATTTCAAATAGCATGTTCCCGAGTCGGAACCTACGAAAGTGAATCCTACGCACGCCGCGAGGTTATCACATGCTGGAAAGCACTTGCCAAATCCTCCTGTGCTGACAGATGTGGAATTGAAAGAGTCGTAAGAATTGTCGGCGTTGCAACGAATCGAGTACTGGACTTTGTTTGAGTCGACATATGTTGTCATGTTGGCGGCTGGGCATGTTAGACTCGTCGCTGTTGGTAGCGAACTAGTCGAGGTGGTGCTCGTTGGAGAAGGAGACATCATTACTGAAGAAACGATTGGGGTCGTGGCTGGTGTCGCTATGGCTGTCGGTGTGACAATTGAACTTTGGCTTGTTGTGCTGGCTGGAGATGTAGACAAGGTGCTGCTGGTGTCTGGGCAGGTGGCGCCAGGATTGCAAGGATCGATAGAACAGCAACCTCTAAATCCATTTTGGCAGACATAATATGCCCCTTCGGGACAGCTCTGCCGATGATGAAGGCCTTTCAACTGCATTGTGCCGGATTAAGCACCAAGACGTCTCAATAGTGGTTGTTTCTTGGGGGAGTGGTATTGGCGGCAAGTCAGATTGCGTTAGAAAAGTTGGGCATAGCGAACAACAACAATATGCGAATGAAAGAAGAAAGTGACGAGTGTGGCCGGAAATGTGAAGAAGGTAGACAAAGAATCAAAATTGAGCGACCATCAAAGACATGCAAACGAAAGCTCTCCCCGGAAAGACCAAACCGACAGGTTACATAGACGACCATCAGGCGCAGCTAACCGCAAAGCCTGAAATCGAGCTTATGGCAGTACGAGGAATGTATTACCTGAAGCATGCAATCGGTTGCATGCCTTTTGTGACATCTGACACGAGCACAATGGCTATGTCTCTGTCTGTTACATCCACTGCATGGTAATTGGGTAGAATGGAGTTTACATCACAACTGTGTACATCCTTGCAAGACATGTACCTTAACAGCGGCCTTAGATAGAATCGAGCGCAAGAATAGAAGAGCAGGTCAGTCGATGGACGTCGGATTCGGTCGCGGCATCGGGCACGATGAGTCGGAGCAACGACAGAAGGGCGCTCGGACCAACCGAAGCATCCAGAATGTGCCTGGTAACCTCGGACGAGCTCTGGGGTCTGTCGTATATTTTTCAACTTGACACTCCACGCTCGTCGCCGTCTTCCCCTTCTCATCTCGTCTGCCATTTGCTTCGCGGAGTAACAGGAGCAAACGGGTTCAAATCATTCTATTTGCATTTTTGTATATTTCCAACATGCAGCGCGCTTTCACCTCTCGTGCCAGGGCCTCTGCCCTTTCGGCCTCCAAGCTTCGTTCTGTTTCTCTGCAACAGCAGCGTTTCGCACACAAGGTAGGGCATGCGCGCAGTCTTGCCTATACCACAAGCTAACTCTGGCTTTCAGGAGCTCAAGTTCGGTGTTGAGGGCAGACAGGCTCTGCTCAACGGTATCGACACCCTCGCTAGAGCCGTCGCCACTACTCTTGGTCCCAAGGGTCGCAACGTCCTCATCGAGTCCAGCTACGGCTCGCCCAAGATCACCAAGGGTATGCGCCTCTCCCTCCTAAAGAAGCTACTCGCGAGCGATTGATGGCTAATACGTGTTCCAGATGGTGTCACTGTCGCCAAGGCCGTTGTCCTCAAGGACAAGTTCGAGAACCTTGGTGCCCGCCTTCTCCAGGATGTTGCCAGCAAGACCAACGAGGTCGCTGGTGACGGTACCACTACCGCTACTGTCCTCGCCCGCGCCATCTTCTCCGAGACCGTCAAGAACGTCGCTGCTGGATGCAACCCCATGGACCTGAGACGCGGTATCCAGTCCGCTACTGAGGCCGTCATCGAATACCTCCAGAGCCACAAGCGCGATGTCACCACCAGCACTGAGATCGCTCAGGTCGCCACCATTTCCGCCAACGGCGACACCCACATTGGTGCTCTCCTTTCGAGTGCTATGGAGAAGGTCGGTAAGGAGGGTGTTATCACCGTCAAGGAGGGCAAGACCATTGAGGATGAGCTCGAGATCACCGAGGGTATGAAGTTCGACCGCGGTTTCATCTCGCCTTACTTCATCACCGACACCAAGTCGCAGAAGGTCGAGTTCGAGAAGCCCCTCATCCTCCTCTCTGAGAAGAAGATTTCTGCTGTTCAGGACATTGTTCCCGCTCTCGAGGCCTCTCAGCAGCTCCGCCGCCCTCTTGTCATCATTGCTGAGGACATTGACGGCGAGGCTCTCGCTGTCTGCATTCTCAACAAGCTCCGTGGTCAGCTCCAGGTCGCTGCCGTTAAGGCTCCCGGCTTCGGTGACAACCGCAAGTCTATCCTTGGCGATCTTGCTGTCCTGACCAACGGTACCGTCTTCACCGACGAGCTCGACATCAAGCTCGACAAGGCTACCGCCGAGATGCTCGGTTCCACCGGTTCCATCACGATCACCAAGGAGGACACCGTCATCCTCAACGGTGAGGGAAGCAAGGACCAGGTTGCTCAGCGCTGCGAGCAGATCCGTGGTGTCATTGCCGACCCCACCACCTCCGACTACGAGAAGGAGAAGCTCCAGGAGCGTCTCGCCAAGCTTTCTGGTGGTGTTGCCGTCATCAAGGTCGGTGGCTCCTCCGAGGTTGAGGTTGGTGAGAAGAAGGACCGTCTCGTTGACGCTCTCAACGCTACTCGCGCTGCCGTTGAGGAAGGTATCCTCCCCGGTGGTGGTACTGCCATGATCAAGGCCGCCGCCAACGCCCTCAACGACCTTAAGCCCGCCAACTTCGACCAGCAGCTCGGTATCAGCATCGTCAAGAACGCCATCACCCGCCCCGCTCGCGCCATTGTCGAGAACGCCGGTGCCGAGGGCAGCGTCATTGTTGGCAAGATTATGGATGAGTTCGCTTCGGACTTCAACAAGGGTTTCGACAGCTCCAAGGGCGAGTACGTCGACATGATCGCCGCCGGTATCCTTGACCCCTTCAAGGTTGTCCGCACCGGTCTCAGAGACGCCTCTGGTGTTGCCTCGCTCCTCGGTACCACTGAGGTTGCCATTGTTGAGGCACCCGAGGAGAAGGGCCCTGGCATGCCTCCCATGGGTGGCATGGGCGGCGGCATGGGCGGTATGGGCGGCGGCATGTTCTAAGCCAACCGCAGCTTGAAGAGTCGATGATACCCCAAATTTTCTTTAGCCTGTGACAGGCATTCATGTTTCTATGTATTGTAGCTAAAAGCCTGTGGCATTTCTGCCGTGTCGTTTATGTACAAACATTTCTCCTCTCTTAGATTGCATAGCAGAGGATGGATTTAGCGATATATGTATCTGTACGAATAAGATGGTTTTTCGTTTTAGAATATGTTCGACAGTGCGCAGTGAATTCGACAGCATGCTGGTGAGTGTTAAATCGAGTGTCAGCTGGATATCGAGAGGTCAATCTGAGGCTCGAAGCATGCGAATAAAGTGCAGGTGGTTGCCAGGAGCGAAATGAGGCTGAATTGGCGTCGTCATGATCACGTGTGAAGCAGAAGAGGAAGTCGCGGAGAGGACGGGGGCCACGGGAGGGGCAGCAAGCTCATAGCGCCAGCATCACCAGTTGTGAACAGTCTACCACAACACCACAACAACCTTTTCAACCCACTTTCTGATCCGGTATGTTGCCGCCCTCTTCTGCACACGCGTACATTGGCTGCCTGTCTTGCCAATGTGCTCTTGATCAGAATGCTGTTGCCTCCACCTGGCGCTACTTAACACTGACGGCTGACACCGCTCCGACAGCCACCATCGTGTCTCAGACCTGCTAGACAGACAAACAAGATGGTATGTTCCTCCACAGCTACCCAATTGATCAACATGCTGACCTCAATACTTCTAGGCCCAATCAGGGTATGTTCACCTTCGCCCACCTCTCCCGCCCTGACTGCGGCCCAATCCACGAATCCTGGAGCTGATGACCCGCCGACAGTGTTTCCGTTGCACCCGAGTGCATCACCGCATTCAACGACCTCAAGCTCGGCAAGTCGACCAAGTGGATCATCTACAAGATCTCGGACGACTGGAAGGAGATTGTCGTCGAGGACTCGTCCACTGAGGCCAACTACTCCGTCTTCCGCGAGAAGCTCCTCAACGCAAAGAGCAAGGACCGAAGAGGAAACGAGGGCATTGGTGGCAGATACGCCGTCTACGATGTCGAGTACGACACTGCTGGCGAGGGCAAGAGGTGCGCCGTAATCGACTTCTGTCGTCTTGTCGCTGCATACTGACGCCTATTGCAGAAGCAAGATTACCTTCATCGCCTGGGTCCCTGATGATGCATCGCAATACGTGAGCTTTTCTCTTGAAATCGTCTACAACCACACATTCTAACTGCTCTGGCTATAGCCCCGCATGATGTACTCGTCCTCCAAGGAAGCCATCAAGCGCGCCCTTAACGGCCTCGCTGCCGACATTCAGGCCAACGACCCCGATGACATTGAGTACGAGAGCATCGTCTCCAGAGTCGCCAAGGGCCGCTAAACACCTCACCCCTTCGAATTCCCTAATCTCTGCTTCATCCGACAAAAGAGCAGCATTGATGGAGCAGTCCTCTCTTACAAATTAAGAAGCGCATACAGAAGACGTTGGAGAATGATGAGGAGTGCTGCCCCAGAGAGCCTGTGTTGATTGAGGCTTCCTATAGAAGTATTTATGAAAGCACTGCTTCATGCATTGCAATGGCCAAGTCGCCAGCATGTATAGTCGCATATGAGCATGTTGCCTTTTACCATTTTCTGCTTCTTTGTGTTCAGTGACTTGTTCTTGCACCAGTTGGTTGCTTCGTGCGACTCTGCTGTTCATCCTCCTGTTTTGTGTAGGATCAAGGTGTACATCACATGCATAACCAAGTCATAAAACCTTGTGCTACGTCATTTCAGCAAACAGCCTATCCACCCACGTGTACCAAACTTCTTGGACTCTCCTGGGACTTGAAGCACTCTACCAAACCAACTTCTTGTTCGTTCTGTCTTGCGTTGTTGAGGTCTCCATTGCACTGACTTCACCGAGCAAGCTCCACGATGTTGCCCTACATCAACGCCCGTGAGTGCTGTGTGCATCCTTCGCTGCAGAGAGGCCAAGCGAATAGAGTAGCTCTACTGACATGAGCTTGTAGCGTTTGTCTACGTCGCTGGCAAACTGGGCGCAGCACCTGACGAATGTGTGTATTGGTCGGTCGATGTTGATGTCAGCTTGGTTAATTTTATACAGTGAAACTCATCTTCTCCTTTTTGTTGTCATATCCCTTGGCCGGAGTACTCAAACGCATACCCGACTCGAAACCCGCGCAGAAGAATGCTTTCATCATTGCGTATGCATTACTATGTAGTGTTTTTCACTTGACTCTGCTAACTCAAGCAGAGTGTCCATGTTCTACTTGGTCGGGCTTTTCGACCTGTGGGCTGGTCTACGTACCATCTTGATCAGTTCTATAGGTGCATACGCAATTGCCGCATACATACAGGGGCCTTATATGCCATGGGTTGGTTTCGTGTTCCTCATGGGACACATGTCTGTCAACCACATCTATCGCCAGATCGTCAACGACCCTAGCACCATCGACATTACCGGTGCACAGATGGTTTTGGTTATGAAGTTGACAGCTTTCTGCTGGAATGTTTATGATGGTACACTGCCTGAAGCCACCCTGACTGACCACCAAAAGGAACGCGCTTTGAGAAAGTTACCTAGCCTGCTTGATTATGCTGGTTTCGTGTTCTTCTTTCCCTCGCTGTTTGCAGGCCCTGCCTTTGACTATGTGGATTACAGAAGATGGATCGAGACTACCATGTTTGAGCTTCCTCCAGGGGTCGACCCCTCAAAGGCTCCTCCTACTCGCAAGCAACGCAAGATCCCTCGCAGTGGTACACCTGCAGCCTGGAAAGCCGCATTCGGTCTTCTCTGGATTCTTGCCTTCCTACAGTTCTCTGGCTACTACTATACCGACTTCTTGCTTTCTGACGGCTACAAGCAGTACGGACTTCTTCGTCGCATCTGGGTCTTGCATATGCTTGGTTTCACCACTCGCATGAAGTATTATGGTGTCTGGTCTCTCACTGAGGGTGCTTGCATTCTCTCTGGAATTGGTTACAAGGGCATAGACCCCAAGACCGGAAAGGCTGATTGGAACAGACTGCAGAATGTGAAGCCTCGTGAAATCGAATTGGCTCAGAGCAGCCATGCCTACTTGGGCAATTGGAACATCAACACCAATGTGTGGTTGAGAAACTATGTCTATCTTCGTGTCACGCCTAAGGGTAAGAAGCCTGGCTTCAGAGCTAGTATGGCTACCTTTGTCACCAGTGCATTCTGGCACGGCTTCTACCCTGGCTACTACCTTGCCTTTGTGCTCGCAAGTTTCATCCAAAATTCTGCAAAGAGTGAGTCCTGCATGATGTCTGTGGTGATCAAGAAGGAGCCATGATGATTGACCTTTGACGAACAGACTCACGCCGCTTGATCCGCCCCTTCTTCATGAGCCCCGATGGCACAAAAGCTCTGCCTTCGAAGCGCTACTACGACATCTTCACCTGGCTATGCACTCAACTCGCCTTCTCCTTCACCGTGGCGCCCTTCATCTTCCTCGGCTTCAGCGACTCTCTCCTAATCTGGCAGCGCGTCTACTTCTACACCGTCATCGGTGTAACCGCAACTTCGCTTTTCCTTCTCTCTCCCGGAAAGCAATTCCTGCAGCAAAAGGTCAAGCAACACTCCAAACCTAGCGAAGGCCAGGTCAAGAAGGATCTCGAGAAGGAAACCAGAAACCCGACTTTGGGTTTGCCTGATGATCCTGGTCGTGCTTGGGACGAGATGGTCGAGGAGATTACAAATGAGATTCAGGAGAGGAAGAGAAAGGGATTGCCTATTCCTGCAAAGTTGAGACAGGAGGCGGAGGCTGTTGGAAAGAAGGTCACCTAGAATACTTGACGATGCAAAATCAAATCTGCGGGAGAGAAGAAGCAAGTTGGAGGGCTGTGGCAGGTGGACGCGTGGAGGACAAGGAACGATAGAAATGCTGATAGGGAAATAGTCAAGCCCATTCTTTCGTGTTTCGTAAAATTAAGCATGATGAGCATTGCATTAGAATAGTGGTTACAGCGATATTTGTTTGCTTCGGTTTCTGTGGTTCAAAATGGGGCGCTTGTTTGGACAGGGTTGGGGTCGAGACTTGATGTATCGTATCACGATGACCAGTACGACTAATTGCTCATCGCCTCTTTGGACGCAACAGGTTTGTGAGTGGGTCGAGTGGCTTGAAAGGGCTTCATTTTGTTTCTGCTGACATTTTTCACGAGCTAACACAGCAAATTTCGAATCATTTGACATCAGCTTATAGTGGAGCAGAGTTGGTATTCAAAAGAGCATCCTGTTTCCTTCTGACAATATGCACAGGCCGTGTTTTACTCAATTGCTTGGGGGTTACCAAGAATACACCTCCTTGACGACCCACTTGTAATCTCCATATGATAGAACATTGCCCTCAACCACTTGCTCGGGTGTGAATGCCAGTGAGACGGGCAAGAACAAGTCACCCAACCTAGCAAGACGCGTCCAATCACCTTTGCTTTCCTTTTCTGACACTTCAAACCCCCAGCGCTCGACAGTCACGTGCTCGCCGACCTTTAGTATACCTTGACAATGTTCACCCACGCGAACGACACGTCCTTTTGCATTGTGCTCGGGATCGTCCAGATCGATAACGATACTCCAGCGAGTGCCCTCTACAGCAGAAGCAGAGTAGTCAACCCACAGTTCTTCGTAGGCTTGTTCCGAGTTCGTAAGAGGGTTGTACATTGCACCGAGTTCGAGAGTTGTATTGTTGGATTGAGGATACATGTCACCCTGATCAGGTCCAGGAGTGTCGGTGCGGCTATCGATCCAGTGCGAGAATGTAGAATGACAGACAGACCTTGAAGAGCCATCTGACGGTGGAGGTGGATTGGATGGATGATCTAGTGAAGGACCGTCGATGACTGTGCTTGTTGATTTACCAGCGATTCCCCAATCTAGGAGACTTGATGGACCGCCTGTGAGGTCGTAGGTCAGCGTTGAGATAGGATCGCAAGTATGGTAACGTGGATGCGACATCGCTTGAGTGGGAGACTCTGCTCAGATCGAAACATCTGAGGAAGAGGCATGCAACCTTGGACTCACCTTCGTTAGGTAGTGTTTCTCCGGGGTTGCAGAAGATGCGGATGTCGACAAACTGACCTCGCGAGCCGGTCAGGACCAATGTGGAAGTTGGTTCTTGGAGCTTGGGGTCGTCAGGAAGCTAAGGGAGGTGGTAAGCGGTTGCTTACTGTAAAAACCTGATTGTTACATACCCATCTGATGCCTCTTCTTTCGGAGATAGCGGGCTCGTTTCTCTGTGATTCGGGCATTGTTCGCGACGGGAGTGTAGTCGATAGGTGCAGAGATTGAGACGGATGGGTCTTCTGGGCGGGTTGGTTGATCTGGTCGGCCTTTCTCCTGTTCTTGGACTTCTTCTTCTTGGGCTTAGCATTGGCCAATTTGTCATTGGCGTGAATCATGGTGATAGAGCGATAAGGCAGAGTGAAGGAAGACACGGCAAAGGATTTAGATGGTCTGCATGTCTTTTTGGGGTTCAAGATATTGTGATGATTGCGGACTATATCAATGCCACCGAACAAGTTGGTTTGCTTCCTCTGATGGTGGTTGGACTTGTCAAAGAGTAAAGGATGTGTGAAAGAGGCCTGCATGTTGTATGCAGCCGGAAGATTAGACGAGGATAGCAGAATGTGAAATATGGTTGTGCTTTCAATCGAGATGGAACAGGAAGGTGCTAGCAGTCAAACACTTACTCTGAACAAAGAAATGGAGAGGGTTGAGAATGGCACGATCGGGGTGGCTCGAGGAAGCGGCAGGCCGCAGCAGCTCGCCCAAGAAGGAAGTGTGATGGCCGCTGACGCTGACGCGGGGCCCAAGTTTGAAACGCGTCTTCCCCCAAACTCGCTCTTCGTCCTTTCCTCGTCCATCCCATACATGCACGCCGACATGTCTGACAACGGCGATAATGACCCCGTCTACAACAACAGCCACCGTGCCTTCTTGCAATCTTTCCTATCTCGCGCAACTCTCACCTTTGAAGAAGCCAGACCCATTGTTGCTGCCATTGAGAAAGCTCAAGGTACCCGGCCGCGCTTCTAGATTCTCGACACAACCATCTAACATGGACAAGCACAAGATGGTCGCCATATCCAGCCTGCCGACATCACAGAACAAGACGTCTCCAACTACATCAACCTCACCAATGCCGCCATCTCTCCCTTCGATCTCGAGATCAGACACACCCTCTCTCAGCACGACCGCACCCGCATCTACGCTCTTGTAAACGTCTCTTCAGATTCCATCACTCAACTTGCAACCACACATACCCCAGACGAAATCGCCTTTGTGAAGCGCTGTCTCGATGCCATGTTTGAGACAAACAACTCTTATCGCAGCGAGGTCCTTGCTGTAAGATCTACTGAGGCTCTGAGACTGGCGAAACCACCAACTACCCAAACTCAACATGACGAACCCACACAAGGTGCTCAGTCTCAAAGCTTGACCATGATGCAAGCTCAAAGAATGCTACAGGCCATGGTCGACGAGGGCTGGTTTGAGCTTAGCAAGAGAGACTACTATACCCTGACCCCACGCGCTCTGATGGAATTGCGTGGCTGGCTAGTCGAAACATACAATGACGACGAGGACGAGAGGATCAAGAACTGCTCTGCCTGCAAGTCCATAATCACCATGGTATCCTTTGCCCTATGAGCACTGATCATCCCAAGTCGCTAACACTCAGGACAGGGAGAAAGATGCCCCGACCTCGACTGCTCTGGTAGGCTACATCAGCATTGCAAGCGCATGGCTTTCAGAGCACAAAACAACAACGAGCGCTGTCCGGTATGCAAGAAAGATTGGACAGATGCCCCGTCCGTAGGCGAGAAAGCAGCCCTTCAAAACAGGAGGAGTACCAACGGCACCGGTGCTTCGAGAAGACGCTCTGCTACAGCCCAAACCGATGGTGCAGACGATTCACCCAACGACTCGACAGGCGATGAAGGTTGAACATGAAGACTGCTGAGATATCACTCCACATCAAGGAGTTTAACACACTTTTGGGCTTGAGGAATCTTCTTGCTCATTGACTACGAGCGACCAAGCCTGCACCCTAAGGTATTCTGAGTTGTAAGCAGAAGCAATCACTAGATGCTACAACACTCACGCCGCTTCCGTCATGGGGCGATGGCCTATGGCTGACGGCATATACTGGTCTTGACATGACATGAGGCATAATGAAGCAGATGACCTTACAGAATCAGGGTTTGGAAGTGGAGCAGTCACAAACATACATTGATGGCTGTGTCAGACAACGGCGCCAGACAGGCTCTGGGCAGAGCAGAGGCTAGCCACTTACTTGTGGTAGCTCGAAAAGTCACATCAGATAGCTCTAGCATCATATGAATGAATAATTCCGCAAAGCGCATCGCGTTGCGACACATCGCAATATAGAAATAGAAAAGGTCTTTGTCTCGTTTTGGTTTGCTGGCTTTTTTTTTGTTCGACAACACAACAGCGATTTTCGTTTCTTCTTGTCTGGCTCGCTAACGACGTGGACAGCTGCATCGTGCGCAGGGATGATGGGAACAGCAAAAGTATCGCTTTTGGAATATTCTTGCCTATGCCATCATGAAAAAAGTTTTGGGATCCCTTTTTTAACATTTTCCCTTTTCCCCCAGTTCACACGCGCCAATGGAAAAGAGGAGGATCATCACAAACCCCCAGCAACCCACAAGTCGAAGGCCACCAATGCGAATGCCACACACCGTAAACAGCACCTTGCCTCCAGGCAGAGGAGAATTGTTTAACGGTAGGACTTCTGGAAGCGCGAGCGGGCACCCTTACCACCGAACTTCTTGGGCTCGCATCTTCTGTTGTCGGCGACGAGGAGTGTGCGGTCGTAGGCGACAAGAGCCTGCTTCAGCTGGTTCTTGGAGTGCTCATCGACGAACTTCTGGTAGTAGGCGATCTTGAATGCGCGTTAGTCTAGATCCTGATTCTGTATTCATGTGTTGCAAGAGTCGCGCAGAGTCATGTCGGAAGGGCCCATGTGCAAGTAATGCGTTGATCGAGTTCCTCCTCTTTCTGTTGTGCGATCGGGTCGTGATGGATATTGGTTGAGAGAAAACGTACGATGGACTTGGCAATAGCCTGGCGGATGGCGTAAACCTGGGAAGTGTGACCACCACCGGAGACGCGGACTCTGATGTCAACACCGGCTGTAAGAAAGAAAAACCTGTCAGCGATTTGTCCTAACAAAGATTCCAGTTGTGTGCAATGGCTCCAGATCTTGGCCTCCATCCTCATGTCCCATGCTCTTTTCCATCCATTGCTCTTTCTGTCTTTCCGGGAGAATAGGTAGTCGCATACCGAACTTGTCGAGGCCGAGGATGAGGATAGGCTCGTAGACCTTGAATCTGAGGATCTCGGGCTGGACGAGCGAGATGGGCTGGCCGTTGACCTTGATGAGGCCCTGGCCCTGCTTGCAGTGGGCAACAGCAGTGGCGGTCTTCTTCTTGCCGAAGCACTGGACGCTCTGGGAGGACGACATGTTGGCGGTGGTTTGTGTGAGGGTCGGTTGTCGAAAGTCGGCGGCGCGTTCAATCTTCAGAGGCGAGCGAGCGGTGGGCTTTGCGAAATTCCTGGCAGCGTGCGAGTGGCTCGGCTTGTCGAAAAGCCGCGATTTAGCCGTGCACTTTCTCGTCTTGGCATTCGACTCGACCGTGACCATTGTCTTTCCATTCATCCTTACAACAAATACAATAATGCCTGTTTACGCCTTGGGCTCAAACGGTTCTTGCCAACTTGGAGTTGGCCACGAAGAAGATCTCTCTGCGCCATCACTCGTTGAGATTGAAAAGCTCGACGCCTCAGTCAAGGCCATCAAAGCTGGAGGAAACCACACTTTGATCCTCACTAAATCCGGCACCGTATATGTCACTGGTGAGAATAGTGATGGACGATGCGCAATCTCTACAGCGGTAGCTTCTATTTCATCATTCGTTCCGTCAAGTTTACCTAGAATGGATTTCATCGTAGCTACCTGGGATGCCTCCATTTTTGCCTCCGCCCATGCTGTCTACGTCTGTGGCAGTGGCGCAAAAGGTGAGCTGGGTCTTGGAGAGGGCATAGTGAAAGCAGACTCTCCACAACAGATTGCAGATTTCCCGCCTTCAGGTACTCACATTATCGACTTGGCTGCTTGTATGGGCCATGTTGTTGTAGTCTTGTCGGATGGGTCGGTCTATGGATGGGGAACTGGACTGCATGGCCAATTGGGAAACCCACATGGTCTTGTCTGGCAACCTCGTCGACTTGATGGCATATCGTTCCCTGTCTCACGCGCCGTCTGTGGCAAAGATTTCACATGTGTTTTTGGCGATCCTGCTAGTGGACAATTACAATTGCTCGGCCTGGAGAAGCGCGACAGATTCAACATCAAGTCAAACACCCCTCAAACGCTTCAAAATTGGACCGATGTACAAGCCACGTGGGGCAGCATTTATGTTCTACTATCTGACAATAGACTTGTTGCTTGGGGTAGGAATGATCACGGGCAGCTCCCTCCTGCAGACCTTCAGATAACTGCGATGGCAGCTGGTAGTGAGCACATGCTCGTTCTGACGACTTCTGGCAAGGTCTATGCGTGGGGCTGGGGAGAGCATGGTAACTGCGGCTTGCCTACCGATGAACAGCGCGATGTTAAAGGCCGATGGAACGAGCTCGACGTAGGCGGGACCGTCGAGCATATCGGCGCTGGCTGCGCAACGAGCTGGATCATTACCGAATTTATTTGATGAGATGGACACAAGGTCAGATGGTAACCTCGAGACGAAATCCCGGTGCTCAGTCAAACAATCCGTTCATCTGCGAAACGAATCAGCCACAGTATCAGGCACAATATCAATGAGCTCACCTGAGAAAGTCTTTGCGTAGGTGGCAGACCTTGTGTGCTTCTGTTGAGACTTTGGCTGAGCGGCGGTGGCTCATGGGTAATGGCATCTCGGAAGGTCGGATGGTATCCGCCAGTCTTGAGAAAGTCAGCATACTTCAATTCAACCGAACAGGAGCCTTGACTTACGACATCTGCATTGGCGTCCCAGCCCAGCATCTCCTCTGGCTCTTCATCGAAATTTGTTGGGTCAAATCGGCTGTCATCTTCGTCGCCTTGCGGCATGAACAGACTCTCAGGGTCAGGATCTGCGTTCGAAGTTGTTGTAGCTTGAGAGATTTGACGTCCAAGACTGCCCAAGACTCGTCGTTCACGCGGACCAGCGACAGAAGCAGGCTTTGGTGGAGGTGCCATCTCTGTGTTCCTCTCTTCGACCGTCTGCACCACCGCGTGAGAAGTCTGCCTCGAAGGCATGCCTGAAGCTATAGATGGCTGTCTCGTTGACGCGTCTGGGTCTACTGTCGATTGTCTGGATGGGCGAAGTGGTACAGCTGAGGGTTGCCTAGAAGCTTGACTACCTGGACGGGTAGATGCCACTTTTGGTGCTGTTGCGGGCGGAACGGCTTGTGATATTCCGGTTGTCATAAGTATGAACTCGCAAGTCAGTCCTCTGTCGGTGTATCTGAACAGCAATGGTCTCCCAGGACGAGAAAATTGGGCAGACATTGGCGCCTTCAAAGTCTCGGCGTGGACCACGATGGCTTTGAAGTCTTTGACGTTGATAACGATGTGAACATCTTCTTCGGCATGGAAGTCATCAAAGTCCTGGATGTGTAGAGAGATCGCCGTCTCTAGTGGTTGCTTAAGAATCTCTGTAAGATGCATCAGTAAGATGTCTCTAGTAAGGCTGGACTCTTTCTACCTTTGCCATCCATGATCTTTTCTGTAAAGCTAGTAAAGATGGCCTTTTCATCCTTGACTAGCAAATCAAGTTGTTCTGTCTTCGCTCCAAAGAATTCGATGTACTCGCGCAGTAGACGAGAGGAGATCTTCCAACCATTCGCGGCGTTGTGTTTGTCGAAGAGTGCATGTGATACCTCCACAGACTCGTATGTCAATCGATATGTTTTGGTGACACCTTCAGAGTAAGTCAGCTCGTGTATACACTCTGAACAGTCAAGGAGATGGTCATACCATGTCTGCATACCATCCGGACAACCAGACGGCACTGCACTTTATTCGGCTTGTCTTCCACGCTGACTTCACAGCGGTCTATTGACGTATCACCACCACGGGGATCTGAAATGCGACTTTTGAACACAGCAAGAAGAGCCTCGAGACACGTCAGCCATAGTTCAGACACAGTCTTGTTTTGAACACGGACCTTGTTGTAGAGTTGGCATGTGAATCTAGCACCTTGTCCCAAGCCAAAGTCATATGACAAGAAGAATGTCTTCGCGTCCAGGGCAAAAGAAGCATATGAAGTTCTAGATGAGTTTAACGTAGTCAAAGTAAGCTATTAGGATCAACATTAGCAGGCCGAAAAGATCATATTGCATAATAGCACGAACATACCATGTCGCCACGAGCTTCCATGCACACCGTCTCACCAAATTTGGCTAGACATATTAGAGCATCATGCACTTTAGCAGTAGCCTCTGGTGAGAATGCAAAGCTGAGAGCAGACATTTTCAATATTTTTGATGAATAAAAAGGCCTTGTGCTGAAAGACAAAAGAAAATGGTTTGAGTATGAACTGCCAAGAGCTGATGCCTCTGGAGGAAGACGCGATCCGACGCGTTTGTGATGACGTGCCTTCCTGTTTCGGAGCCGACCAAAGGGTACCTGTATATTTTCTCCTAGACTTCTTTTATTGTGATAGTACAGTCAAAAAACATGTCTGTCGAGGATGATACCGCTACATCAGGTGTGAGGTTGCCACCTGACGTGTGGCAGCTTCTCTTCGACGAGCTCGCTTCACGCAATGACTTCTCGAGCTTGTACAATTGTGCTGTAGCCAGCAAACACCTGGCTGGTTCTGGAGCCCTGGCAAATCTCTACCGGTACTGTTGTTCTCTTAAACACACAACCGAATTCACTAACAAACCACAGTGCGAGTCACAATGCGCCAGTCAAGAGCGGAGGCAATGAATCGTTGCCATTACAAGAACAAGAGCAGGCCGTCCAGAGATGGTCAATCCTGTGGCGGACCATTTTGCTTTCATGCACTGAGGAGACGCTATTTCCTTATTGCCATTACCTGAGAGTGCTTGACCTGCGGGATCTCTATGAACTTTTGGATGATGATAAGTTCAGAGGTAGAATAAAGCAGTAAGCTTAAGGATATCGCATCGAAATGAGTTTTAACTTACACCAGTGCAGAAACTTCTTCTCCGGCTCCCTTGCGAAATTCAACATCACCGGTCAGACTAGGAGCAAGGCTCGTGCCTTGAAATCGAGTAACATGCGTGAGACTGTTGCTGCAATTGGAGACGGTATCTTGAACACCTGCAATCATCAGAAATACATCTAACTGACGACGTACCAGTAATAGTGAAAGCTGCACCTATGCTAGAGGAGCTCACAGAGCCTACTGTTGGCGGTAGGTACGATTTGAACACACCCATGAATCAAGACTGACGTGGTTTGTCAGTTCTTTCCAGTGCATTACCACGTTGGGCACCCGACATGAGCAGGCTACGATCACTTGAACTATGGGAGGGCAAGACACTAGGCGATGAGATTGTCCAAGATCTCCTGCACAAGCACTGTCCACATCTACACAGAGTTAAGATCTATCAGTGGTAAGCGGATATTCCCTGTTTTCTTTCACTATCAAAATTATGCTGACAGAACGCAACAGGATCAGCGACGATTCCGATCGTCAGCTCGCACGATTCTTGAACCACATGCCGAAGAACACATTGCAGTATTTTGAAAACATTGGAGAATGCGGCATCGGCGTTGAGACTTGCCAGGCACTGAACACACACGGAGAATCACTGAAGGTTCTAGCACTCGCCATTCCGGACAAAGGAATCGAAGGACTGGGAATGATGAAGAACTGCACGGTGATTGAGACACTCAAGCTGTCCGAAACGCAACCACCACACGATCTCAAGGAAATGCAGCAAGATACTCTGGAAGGCATGGTGGAGTGGCTGAAGCAGTGCACGAAACTGCGTGAAATCAACTTGACCGAGTTCGTCTCAGCTCCTGACATCTTAGCGCCTGTCCTCAGCGAGGAGGGTATCGACCTTGAAGACCTGCAGATTGGCGCAAGAGATGACTGCATGTATGTGCTACGGGAGCATCAAGAATTTCACGCAGCCATCGGGTTGCAGACGAAGCTTCAAAGTCTGGTGTTGAAGGCCGATCCCGACCCTTTGGAGCCTGTCGCTCGCAACCAGCTTTGCGAATCTTTGTGCGAGTTGAGAGACTTGCGGTATCTCAAGCTCACCAGATCATCTGACTACTTCCAAGACGACCAATTACAACTTCTAGGTGAAAACCTGCTGAACCTAGAAGACCTCCTCGTTAGTGGCTGGCTGCTCAGTGATCGGACGCTTGATACGCTCTCGAATCTGGGAAACCTCAAGAGTGTCAGTATCACTGGTCTGTCGGTGTTCACGGCAAATGGTCTTCTTGATTTTATCGACAAACTAGGACCAGGCAATCGTGGCCTGGCGATCTCGATTGACATGGCTTCGCTGGATGCAGCTCTGAGTAGTGAGGAGCAAGACTTGGTTCGTGACACTCTGGCCATCAAGGTGCAAGGTCGTTTTGAGTATCAGCTTGTCAGAGGTAAGCCAGCTTTATCCTTCAAATCTCGACAAACGGGAACTAAAATTTGACCAGATCCTGATGTTTCGGAATTTGACGAATCAGATTCGGATTGAAAGGCTTGTATGGCATATGAAACAGTCATCTACTCTATGGTTTTCAAGAGGTTGAGTTGGTTAGGGCTAAATGACAGAGCGGTCCGAAAGCGGCTCGGGAAGTTCATCCCGATGACGGCAGCTTCGACCTCGACATTCAACCAAAGCGTGCTTTCCACGATTATTGTCAGACAACTCACAAAGATGGCAAATGCAAGACGAATTCTTATCGTCGCAGGATCTGACAGCTCAGGTGGCGCGTAAGGATCTGCCTTGTCAAAAATTCACTGCTGACGACTAATTCTTGTCTAATTGATAGAGGCCTCGAGGCCGACCAAAAAGTCATTGCGGCTCATGGCTGTTATGCTATGACTGCAACTACAGCTTTGACCGCGCAAAACACTCAAGGCGTTACCGGTATCCACGAAACACCATCAGAATTTGTGAAGAAATGTATCGACGCCTGCGCTGAAGATGTTGGAATTGATGTAGTCAAGACTGGTAAATCTATCTTCTTATTCTTATTTCATGGAACTCTCCCACTTGCGAAGAACACTGTCACCCTATCTTTTTACTTGAACTGATGATATCAAAGGCATGTTGGCCTCTGCGGGCACCATTCAGGTTGTTGCAGACGCTTTGAGAAAGTACAAGCCCGCATGCAGCATTGTTGATCCGGTATGTTTATTCATGAGGATCGTCATGCTACTTGACTGACGAAGACAAGGTCATGGTCGCGACGAGTGGAGCAAGGCTTCTCAAGGAGGATGCTATCAAAACACTCTGCGCAGAACTCCTGCCTGTTACAGGCCTAATCACGCCCAATATTCCGGAAGCACTCCTGTTACTCGAAGAATCTGGTAACGAGATTGATGAGATCAAGGATCTGGAAGGCATGAAGCAATTGGCGAAGGCTGTTGCTGACTTGGGTCCCAAGAGTGTGCTGATTAAAGGTGGACACATCCCTTTGAAGAAGAACTATGAGGTTGCTACCACCGACGATGAGAAACAGGTATTGGTCAACGTGCTCTACACGGACGGAAACTTCTGTGTCTTCGAGTCAAAGTACCAAGTTGCAAGAAACACTCACGGCACGGGATGCTCGCTTGCTTGTATGTATTGTGTCTTTGAGAAAGTCTAGGAGGGACTAACTTGGATGCAGCTGCAATTGCCTGCAACGTCGCAAATGGCCTTAGCATGGAACGAGCAGTACGTGCTGCTGGTCGCTATGTCGAGGCTGGCATCAAGACCAGTGTCGATCTTGGTAAAGGCGCTGGTCCAATCAACCACTTTCATTCACTCAACGTCATGCCATTCCCACCGTAAGTCAGCTTTGCCACAGTACCCAACTATCATACTGAGACTCTCGCAGCGGCGGCTTCGTGGACTGGTTGTTAGAGCGTGCGGATGTTCAGCAAGTCTGGAAGGAGTTCACACAGCACGATTTTGTTGAGAAGATGGGCGATGGTACGCTGCCCGTAGAGAGATTCAAGTTCTACATGGTCCAAGACTACCTCTATTTGGTAAGCTTCAGGGCCTTACAACCGGATACGACACTTGCTAACTTCACAGACGCAATTTGCTAGAGCAAATGCACTCGCCGGCTACAAAGCAAAGACCCTGGAGGGTGTTGCGGCAGTACGTTGTGCAAATGACCACCTCTGCTAACTAGGCTAAATTCAACTACAGTCCGCCAGTATCGTCACGCATATCCATACCGAGACCAAGCTCCACGTATCCGAATGTCTCGAGCTAGGCGTCACAATGGACGAATTACGCAACTCAGAGGAGCATCAAGGTCTGTTACATTCAAGTTGTCCTTTCAAGAAACCACATTGACCTGAAATCTCTAGCCTGCACAGCATACAGCAGATACATCCTCGACATTGGTGCATCAGAAGACTGGCTTGCCCTCCAGATAGCAATGTTCCCCTGTCTTCTCGGCTACCACCACATTGCTAAGCGTCTCTCGTTGCTCCAAGATCCCTCTGCGCCTAAGAATGCAAATCGCTATCGTCAGTGGATTGACAACTACATTGCTGACGACTACACTCAAGCTGTTGGCAAGGGCACTGGTAAGTTGTCTTATATCCGGAAAAAGCAAAGCATGGAGAAATTGACACATCTGCAGAATTGGTCGAGGGACATATCTTCAAACAATCTCCCTCCAGGATTGAAGAGTTGGTCCAGATTTTCATCCACGCAACCAAGGTAAGACACCACGCTTCTTGCAGAATTTGATCAACTAACTCTATCATCTAGATGGAGTGTGGATTTTGGGACATGGGAATGGGTGCCTAAGGCCATACAATCAAAGTCGATAAAAGAATCGAGTACATACAAAGCAACACAAAAGCAAAATGGCAACAGAAACGCCAATCATAGTCTGTCCAATTCCATGAGTCTCTCATCTCCTGTTATATATATCTTGGTAGTCACTCTAGAACAAAGAGGCAACTGCATCGACATCTTTCCTTTCTTCTAGCACACAGAGCGAGGGGATTTTAATGTCTTGTGCGAGATGAGAGTTCCAAGAAGGCTGTATGGTGCTGGCAACACCACACCCACATGGTAGCAAGGACGTGCATCACGTCCATGACCGCACGTGAAACAGATCCAAACTTCAAGATGTCGCCTAGTCTTTGATGACACGGACGAGAATCACGGAAAGTACTTAGTGCTACTTCTGGGCTTTGTACCTGCTCTTGATATTCTTTTCTACTCTGGGCTCTTCTTGTGCTGCATGACTTTCTTCTTACTGCTTTGTACAATTTTTTTCTTCGTGAGCTCCGAACATTTGATATTTACTAGCCTGACGACGAGCGAGAGCACACTGACTTTGTTCAAACACCTTGATGTGACCTTGAAATTAGAACCTTTGCAAGCAGCGGCTTGTACACAGAAAAGCATCAAAATGCGCAATGTGATTAGTACATGCATAGTGGTCCATTGAGAGCAACAAATTCAGACACTCTCTCAGTGGATGCGCCCCAAAAACGAAAACAATCGTGACTTCTAATAGCCGTAGATTGTTGCTGCTTCGGCGGAAGAGAACGTAATAATCGATGTTGTACCTTGATCCTGTGCTCTCTTTGCGTACCATCTTGAGAAGATGAAAAAGTGTCCTTATCCCACGAATTCTATCAAGAAAAGAAAAAAGAGAAGCGAGAAGATTAAATTATGTACAATGCCTTTGGATCTAAAAGTTCTTTCCTCGTTCATCTTGTTTATTCTTCACCGTCGCTACGCGGTTTGTACATGATGGTGGTCAAGAACTAACACCAGATTAGATCGTGCGCACTTGTAGGGAACAAGCTGAAACATACCTTTCTCTTGTACCTGGTGGTCGCACTCGTGGCCAGCACGCCTTGCTTGATGTTGGTTGTCGCTAGATGGTTCAATACCGTATGATTTGGCATGATCAACACACTGCTGTCGTCTTTTGTTGGTGTAGTACCATTCAAAATGCTTTTGCTAAGGAACATTGGAAGTGAAGGAGGCGCTGGCTGAGATTCGGCAGCTGCATTTGCACGCTCAAACCTATACCTCGCGGCAGAACTAGACGGTGATTGACCTTCTTCTTTTGCTGAAGGTGGCGGATACCAGGAATCAAGATCTGTGAGATATGCTGGTATCGTTTGTGTCCATTCTCTGCTCTGTTGACGGACCAATTGTGGTTGTTGGCGAGGCTTGGGCTCGTCTGCGGGATGTTGAGCGGGTGTGCCTGTGGTCGACTTGGGTGCAGGTAGCTCATGACTTGACTTTGGAGGAGTGTTCTGTGGTTGTTTGGATGTCAAGTCCTTGTCTGCCTGAGCGGCTGGCTTTGGTCGGATGTCCATGGGTCGCGAAGGCTCTTGCGGCTTGACCGGAGGTGGACCAGGAAGTACAGGCTTGCCAGGTTGCGCTGGTAGCTGGTCTAGCGACACCTCAATGTAGTTGACCAGAATGTTGGTGTAGTCGACAGTGGTGGGCAGATCGTTCGAGGTCATCATGTCGCCATTGGCAATAAACTTGATGTGATGAGTGCCGGGTGGTAGTTGCAGGGTGGCCGACAATGCATTCTTATGTTTGCTAGGACCACTGTGGTATCGAGTCAGTTCGGAGAACTTCTTGGGGTTCGCATGCAGTTGGGATCGGTCACGCCACCACTTTTAAGACTTACTCCTTGTGCAGACGAAATTTGCGTTCCCAGTTTGTGAAAGTGCCTGTTACATAGACACGATCGCCGGGTTGGGCATTGCGCCATTCTATGAGGGTGGGCACCTTCGGACCACCAGCGGCCGTTTCATAACCCTCGAAGCCATCTGGCTCCTCGTCGTCATCGTCGACAGTACTGCTCACAACACTCGATCGCCTAGGAAGGTCGACTTGTTCGGGATCGTCATCGGGTAAGACGGCTGAGGTGATGGGAGAACCAGGAGTGTGGTCTTCCTGCTCAATTGGGAGGGGCAAGCGGGGAGGGCGCGAAAAGCTGGCTGGCGGGAGGTGATAGGCAGCTTCAGTAGCAGGAGAGGCAGAGCGAGGAGGTCGTTGTGATGTGGGAACGTCGACAGGCTGCGAGGCAGGCGACAGACGAGGCTCTGTCGGAGGACTGGGCGACTTGAGGCTCTTGTAGCGGCGGGGTGCCGAGGGCGAGTCCTGCTTGGGAGTGTTTGTCGTGTTGGAGCGATTGCGCTGGTGGGCAGAGGCAGGGGTGGAGCGTGGTTGTGAAGGAGAGTAGGCCGAGGGGAGGATGGCGTGCCCACTGGCCGAGGTCGTGTCGAGTGAGGGCGATGCAGCGGCCGTCTTGGACGTCAGGGCCGGGATGGATTCGCGGCGTCGTGGCTCGCGTCGGGGAGGGTCGTGGTGTTGATGGTGGTGGGCATGGGCGGGCGAGGCGGGCTGACTGCCCTTGTCGGCCTTGTTGGACGAGGGAGTGTTGCCCATCGAAGCAAAAGTGCTGTGGCTATCGAGGATGATCGGTTGGTCGATGGTCTTGAACCAAGATGGAAATGGCAGCAGCATGCCGGTCCCGCCGCTCGTGCTTTCTCCGCAACTCGACCACGTCGCTGCGCGCAAGCTCCTCCTCCGTCCTTGACAGCACCCACCTCAACACGCACGCCAGACCTCACGCCAGCCCTTCGTCCGGCGCGTCGCTTGCATTGACGTGCTTCAGGTAGCTTCGTTCAAGCTGACATCAAAGTCTACAGACAGCATCCGAGACGTCGGCCTGCAGCATGAATCCATACGTCTCGTGGTCACTTGCTGCCCTCTATTACCTCATATATCCTGTCTACTTTCTACTTTGTTCTATTGCAATAATCCTAAACACTCTGCTCTCGCCAATCACCAGTCTGTTGCTCTTCTTGCTCCAGCCACTGGTCCTGTTTGCTCAGCTGCTTGCTTACTGCGCTCTTGTTCCATTGCGATTCTTGCAGAAATTCGAGGTCATCAACCCCATCCCCCATGCGCCTTCTTGCTTGCTCGCCAATTACCCCGCATCCTTCTCTATTTTAATCAATGCTAACTATCGCCAAGACAATCTACATTTATCTGGGTCTTGCCTCTATCACTGGCATTTCATGTGGCTTGTTGCTGCATTTCGTTTATTCCTTCTTGCATTCGAATCTGCACCTCGCTTCTGAGCCTGCTGTCCGAGGGCCTACCTCAAGACAATACCGTGCTTCGCGCAGACGCAAAGAAGCTATGCTCTCTCCTACCTTGTCCATGTCCAGTGTACTCGACACCCCAGGTGCAGGCAGATATGGTCTGCTGGCTCAGACTATTCACGAGGAAGACTCTGACTTCTGAGACTTGATCCATCGAGAACTCATCTATCCATTCCTACCTTGCCTACCAATTATGCTGTCGTAAGTCATGCCAGTTGCCTTTCCCCAATACGCCTCGCTAAAATTGCACAATGCAAAATGCAGAAAGCAAAATGCTACTTGACCGTGTTTTCAACCAAGACGAGGTCGCTTTCCGCCGCCAGATTGGCGTTCGTCCCGCATGCGCTTCCTGTCCATCTCTTCCCTCATGATGCGCTCTGCCGCACTCATCTTCTTGGGCTCCTCAACCACTTGCGCAGCCTTCTTCTCCTTGAGAGGGTTAGACTTTGATTTAGATGCAGCCGCAAAGACGTTGACCCTCTTGGGTTTAGAACCAAGGTCGAGAGAAAGTTTAGGTGCACTTGAAGGTGCGGCAGGAGCTTCTGCCGGCTTCTCGTCTCCAGTTTTGAATTCCAGAATGGGCTCAGCTTTGGTCTCGACAGGTTTCTCGTTTGGAGATGGCGCCTTTTCGGCGGCTGGCTCTGCTGACTCTGTAGTGATCGGCTTAGATCCCAATACCAAACTGAATGACAAAGGACCTTCTTGAGCCTTTTTAGGCCTGACCTCTTCGTCCTGGTCCTTATGCTTTAGACGATCGTCTTCCTCTTGTTGCCGCTTCTTTTCTTGTGCACGCTTGATTTGCGCTTCGAGCATGCGCGTCTCACGCTCTTCGTCGCCCTTTTCCATAGCTTCCTTCTTGCGAACCATCTCTCTGCGTCTGAGTGCTTCAGGGCTGTCATCGACCCAAGCAATTTCCAGACCTCTTTCTCCCTCTTCAACTCTGCAAATGCCTTCTCGTCCAAGATACTTGACGAACTCAGTCAAGCTGGGCCATTTTGTGGCGTTCATGTGGATGTGCTCCTTGTCGTGGATATATTCCTGGTAAAAGTGGTTGGCGTAGACTTTCTTCTCTCCATGCGATGTCCTGAGCAGGGTCAAAAAGTCCTTCTTGAAAGTTTCCGAGTATTGAGCAATATATTTCTTGGGGTCCTCGCCGACCAGTAGCATAGCGCGCACATGTCCCTCGGATAGAGTGTGCTGCTTGAAACCGTTCTCATCGCGCATCTGGCGCTGACAGACTTGACAGTACCAGCGCAACCTCTGCAGGCCCTTGGACTTCATGTTGTTGGAGAGCCATTTTGTACTACCGACTTCAGCCTTGGGCATGATGGATACACAAGTCGACGAGAGTGATAGGTTATGCGACCACTATTCTGAAAGCTATGAAGGATGTTGAGAGAATCTGGTCGAGTTATGAGAAAGCCGAGATGTGTGATGGAAGTTGATGTTCGCAGTCAAGACTCAGGGCAGTCAGTGGCGGGGCGGCGCGCGGTCGCAACTGCTGTCACGGGATTTGCCGCCAAGTTTTCGGCAAGCGCCAAGCTGCGCGCACGCACCTGCCACATCGAATTCGTAGAATTCTCACAGCCGCCGGCGTCTCTTTCCTCCCACGACCAGCGAAATAGACCGTCAAGATGCCTGTAAGGAGTTCCGCCAGCGCTCCAGACACACGACCGCAGTCCCGCTGACACCATGTAACCACACAGTCCCACAAGTCTTTCCGCACCAAGCAGAAGCTGGCCAAGGCCCAGAAGCAGAACCGTCCCATCCCTCAGTGGATCCGTCTGCGCACCAACAACACCATCAGGTACGAATGATCCAGGTCTTGCCCCCGAAGGAACGAATTGGAAAGAGCTTGGAAGGTCAAAACACCCGACGGAGGAATGCGAACGAACACCTCGAAAAACATCGAACTCTTTTCTATCTGTCCAAACACACCGATGGCCGACTACGCAAGCGCACACGAACATGCAGAACCCCAAGACTAACGGACCTTTGTTCAGATACAACGCCAAGAGACGTCACTGGCGCAAGACCCGCATCGGTATCTAAGCGACTCGCCCACGATACCAAGCAGCCAACATATTCCCTCGATGTCGACTTCGTCACTGCCGACCTGCTCCTGAAAGAAGCCGACTGTTTCGCTATTGGGCCTGTGTTCCCTTTCTCAACGGAAGGAGGAAAAGGGTACCCTTTTTTTCCATCATCGTGGGGCTTGTGAATCACGCTGGGAATGACAATCAAGAATCAAAATATGGCGCTAGTTGTTTGCTAGGGGATGCGTATCACAAAACAAAAAACTTCTGGTTGATGGAAATTACATGATGAAATGCCTTGACACCTTTCGAGTCTGCTCTCTGCGTCTTTGTGAATTTCGAGCTGTCTGATGCGCAATTTGTGCCTTGAACGTCCCAAAACGTGCTCTTGGACACAGCCAATATCGACCACAACTATTCAGCTCCGGACAACCACTATAAACATATTTTGTTACGACACTTTGGCGCGCAACGCAAACTGAGGAGGCTGATTCAAGTCAGAAACGCTTCTGTCGCATCTTCGGCCACAAATTGACTCACCTCGGTAGTATCGATCTTGAGCAACCTCTCTTCGGCCTTTCCCAAGATGTCAAAGATTCTGACTTCTCCCTGTTCGACCATCAACACGCAGCTCGTTCCGGCGTATCCCACAACCTCTTGACCCTCGTCATCAATACCCTGACTAACGCCTGCTACCATGCCAGGTTCAGTGCCACATCTGTTGGCCATGACCACCACGATTCCTCCTTGTCTTTCACTCTGTACCACCGGCACAAATCTTTCCAGCCAATACCTTAGTGTCTCGAGATCAGGCTGCGTATCAGTCTCACGTAGCTGTTGAGGCAGAAGTCTAGTCAACCAAGCCATGGATAATATGACCAGAGGTGTGTCTGAATCCACGCAATGATTTGCGAATTCGTATGCAGACCAAGGTGCTTCGAAGCGGCGAGGATTTATATCCATACAGATGCCCATGCAGGCCTGACCGATCGAACCGAGTGTACCATTGTAGAAACCAGTGTCGCCCTCAGTTGCCCACGTCTCGTCTGTGTAATAGAGGAAGGTTTTTCTGTAGCTAGCTGCCACAGTTCCGTCTGGTGATATGCTGACTACCGTGTTGTAACGCTTTCCCTCGGGTGTTATTTCTGGGTAACCGACGGTGACTATGCAGTTCAATCGTGCGGCCGTACGCTTTGCCCATTCCGATGAAGGGCCACTGCTTGTCGGCTCTAGAAAAGGTGTAATGGCCTCTAGGTTGGGGAAGTTGTAACCTGTGTATGACGGTTGACATGAGACCGGATTTGGTCTGGAAAAGGAAACAAAGTGCGACCTACCTGAGAATGCCATTTCTGGCAAGACCAGAAGATCAAGTTCAGAGGATGAGGTACCATCCAGCAGCGAGTCTGCTTTGCGGATGTTGTTATGTACCTCGCCCAATTCAGGCGCGAATTGAAGGCAACCAATCTTCATGCTCGATTCTAATGGCGATGTGTGTGATTGTAAAGGTGAAAGAAAATGTGGTGATCAGAAGTTGGGATGATAAAGAGGGACGTTAGCCAGAGATAGAAATGGGAATGAAGTATTTGACAAGAAGCTAGACTATACCACCACCAACGAATCGAGGCACTGTAGTCTTTTTCTTGTGCTACCGACCACCACCTAAGCTCTCTGTGACCTACCACCCTTCGAAGTCAAGACTATTTTTGAGCCAGTTCACACATGTGGTTCAGGTCGAGAAACAGTTGCAAGCGTGGCCGGAAGCTTTGACAACTGCCCGCATTTTGACAGCATCGACGTCAGCGATTTTGAATCTGTACAGAAACACATGCAGACAAGAAACGAGTAGCATTCGGATAATGAGCACGTGAGACCCCTGGATAGACAATTGAGACGACATCATGGCGGGCAGACGACTGCTAGACGCAGCTAGGCTTTTCAGCGCGTCTGGATCCATAGCGAAACACCACTTCAACATCCGCTCGCAGCAATGGGAGCTTTTTACGCAGACGTCGAGTCTGGCAAAAGCTGTCAAGAATCAGACAGATCGCGTCACTCTCACCGCACGAGCTGCCTATGCTCTTTCACGGAGAGTCAACGAGACTGGTCCTACCTACACACAGACGAGCCGACACGATGAACCCATACCAAGTCAAGAGACAGTTCAGGGCGCGGATGCGACAGATATACACGAGGAGGGACTGGAACAGGATCATCATTGGAACAGATCAGAGCAGAACGCTGCCGCCGAAGCACCCCCAGCAGACGATTTGCATGTCACTCAAGAGAAGGCACGCCGTCACCCTCTACCCGACGGCACTATTCCTCCCGAGGGTGCAAACCTTGACCCATCGCCGAGTCGTCAGGGCACAGATACCTTCAGCCAACGACCAGTCACGGACGCTCCTAAGGACCCTCTTGCAGAACAGCAATCCGTCATCAAGGACTTGCACCCGACAGAGTCTGGCACCTCCACCATTCCCACTCCCGCTGCCCAGGACAGCCATGCCGATGACACCGTCAAGATGCAGCGTAAGGCTGAGTTTCAAATCCCGTCTGTGTCTGGTCATTCTCAATCAATGCCTGCACCAGGACAAGACACTTTCAATGTGAGACCTACAGAGTCTTCGGTTGAACTGTCATCGCTCCCTCGCACCAAGATTCCTAAGTCTGTTGAGGATACTCAGGGTGGTGACGACCACGTCAAGGATGGCCAAATCAACCAGGACGTATACTACTCATCCAAAGGACACCCTGCCCAACCACCCATACCGCAACAAGAAGCTATTCCCGCACAGGACGAGGTCCCTGAAGGTATCAATACTGATGTGTTCCACAGCCCAAGAGTGGCTTCATTGCTGAGTGGTGGGGCTAGAGAGGATAGAAGGAAAGCTTACGAGCTCAAAATGAAGGCCGCCAGGAAGGGCTCAGCCCAGCCAATCCAAGAGAGCATCAAGGCCGATGACAGAAATGCTGACACTTCCAGCACAAGACCAGGCGCATCGTTATCAGAGGCTGTTAATTCGCCTGCTCCCAGCATTGAGACGACTGCTACTGCTGCTGAAGCACAGGAACAGATCAGTGACAAGGAGACCCAAGAGCTGGCTGATGCTATGGCCGCAGACGTCACTGCTGCTGCATCGCCAGCCGTTGAGTCAGACAAGCCAAGTACTCCCTATCAACTGCGAGAATCTGCTGTACCTTCTTCTCGTTTTGGTAGACTCTGGCAGTATGGAGGTCTGGCTACAAGCATGGCCTTTGGTGCCGTCGGCGAAAGTCTACGACGAGTGACTGGAGGCGCTGCTGCTGCAAGTGGCTCATTACTACTTAGCCCTGCGAACATGGAGAGGCTGGTAGCTAAGCTCTCTCGCATGCGCGGTGCAGCTCTCAAGCTCGGCCAGATGATGAGTTTCCAAGACTCTAAGATGCTGCCTCCTGCCATCAATGCTGTGCTCCAACGTGTCCAAGACAGTGCTGACTACATGCCGCCGTGGCAACGAAACAAGCAACTCGCTGCCAATCTGGGTGCTGATTGGAAAGATCTGTTCTCGAGTTTCGAAGATGTTCCTATGGCTGCTGCCTCAATCGGCCAGGTACATCGTGCTACACTGGCTTCCAACGGTCGTGAAGTTGCTGTCAAGATTCAGTACCCTGGTGTTCGAGGTAGCATCGATTCTGATCTCAATAATCTCTCCCTTCTCCTGACAGCATCACGAATCTTGCCTGCCGGCCTCTTCCTCGACAAGACCATTGCGAATGCTCGCCTGGAGCTAGGATGGGAGTGTGACTACGAACGTGAAGCCAAGTGCGGCGCTCGGTTTGCAGAGCTTCTTGAGGATGAAGCTGCCACATTCCGTGTCCCACAGGTCTTCCCCGAGGCATGCGGTCCTGAAGTTCTGACGGCTGAGCTCATGCATGGCAAGGGTGTGACCAAGATTCCCGACCTTTCACAAGACGAGAGAGACTGGATAGGCACCCAAGTGCTGCGCCTCTGTCTCCGCGAACTGATGGAGTGGAGGTTCATGCAGACCGACCCCAACTGGACCAACTTTCTCTACAACCGAGGCAACGCCCCTTCGGAGCGTAGACTGGAGTTGTTGGACTTCGGAGCTTCGAGAGAGTATCCTGAGAGTTTTGTGACGCCTTATGTCCAGCTGCTCATCGCCGCTTCCACGCACGACCGCAATGCCTGTCGTGATCTCTCTATCAAGCTAGGCTATCTCACCGGCGCAGAAAGTCAGGCCATGCTTAACGCTCATATTGACTCGATCCTCACTCTTGGCGAGCCTTTCTACTCTGGCAGAACAAGCGAATACTATGACTTCAAGAACCAGACTATCACTGACAGAGTAAGAGAGAATATTGGTCTCATGGTCAGAGAAAGACTGGCACCGCCGCCAGAGGAGACGTACTCGCTGCACAGAAAGTTGAGCGGCGCCTTCCTCCTCTGTGCAAGACTAGGTGCAAATGTCCCAGCAAAGAAGTTGTTTGAAGATGCCATTGCAAAATGGAAACAAACTCAAGGTTAGATAGCATGCGAGAGAGCTTGTATATGCACATAATCACTCCACTTCAGTCAATATGTCGTCTATCATGGGAAATATATATTTAACAGTAGATGTTGTTTTGCAAGCTGGAATAACATTGTGCTCTTCTCGTACTTCTCATACGTCTTGTCTAACCGAGAACGGTAAGTCAGTCAGGTGGTCGCTACTACTTACCCTAACCCTAAAACCCTAGACGTCTGAGATGGCTCAATCTTAGATATCACTGCGACAAGATATTAACAGGTTTGTGCTTACTAGCACGCGCAAGAATGCTTTCTCACATGACCACTATCAGAGTGGTATAGCCATTGGGCATCTGCTATGGTTGTTGCTCACGATAATGCTTCGACACATCAATTGTAAGGGCTTGCATTTTGGGCTCATGGGCTCTCTACATGTCTAGATACCCGTCAATACGCATGCTTGTGCTTCGGACATAGGCTAGGATGCCCGTTAGGCAAGAGTATATTCTGTATAGCTGATGGAGGTGTGTTCGTCATTCGGTACCCCACGTGCCAGGCTTTAATTGCTCAACAGCGGTTTTAGGCTCCTCCAGCTCAGAAACACACTCTCCCAAGAACATCAAACATCAGAAACCTTTCTCAGCAAAGCAGACATGCAGGAAATGGACATTCTCATCCTTGGAGCTGGTTGGACGTCGACATTCTTGATTCCGCTAATAAAGGCTCGTAATTTGACCTACGCTGCCACATCTACGACAGGGCGTGACGGCACTATCAAGTTCAAATTCGATCCTTCAGACCCGGACCCTACCTACTTCAAGGTTTTGCCCTCTGCTCGCAACATCTTGATTACCTTCCCGCTCAATCAAGAAGGCCAGGCCAACAAGCTGGTCTGGGCGTACAACTTTACACACCAACACCCAGGAACCAATGCTCGTTTCCTGCAGCTCGGATCATCTGGTATCTGGCAAATCGATCAAAAGACGACATGGGTAGACCGACACTCGCCGTACAACAAGGAGAGTGCACGAGCAATTTCTGAGGACGAATTGATGTCCTTGGGTGGCTGCGTACTCAACCTCTCCGGATTGTGGGGTGGAGAGAGACAGCCAAAGAATTGGGTCAGCAGGGTAGCAACCACCAAGGAGCAGGTCAAGAGCAAGAAGAGCTTGCATCTGATCCACGGCGAGGACGTGGCAAGGGCTATTCTCGCAGTCTTCGATAAGTGGGAGCATGCCAAGGGTTCACGTTGGATGTTAACTGATGGTCAAGTCTATTGTTGGTGGTCGCTCATAGTAGGCTGGGCCAAGGAAGGCAAGCACGTAGACGAAGAGCCCAGCAAGCAGAGCCAATGGGTGTATGAATTGATGCAGGAAGAAGATGTCAAGGCTTTGCCGAGAGATATGGAGACGCTGGGCAGGTGCTACGACAGCCGCGAGTTCTGGAAGACATTCGATCTTATACCCTTGAGAAGCAGGATATAATGAGCAGTTGTGTTGCAAGCTTTTGACAAGGCGCAAGTAGTATAAATGATTATACGGTTTCATAATTCCGTACTTGACCGAAGCCCGCAGTATAACGAACCATATATACCGGAGCGAGCTCGAATCGATCTGATATCGAGCGCTGACCACAGCCTGTTGTGCTCAAGGGCCAAGTTGTCTCAACCACAGTATCTTGTTGGTGCTCGATGGTTTTGTTGGCGCAGGATGCTGTTGGTAGTGCTGCAGCTTGAAATGACATTCTGACGCATACGTTCAGTTTTGGAAGAAAGCCACACATTTCAACAGCATACGAGACTGAGAATTCGATACTACTATTAGCACATCATAAGCATATGCAGATCTCGTCTGAACCGTTAAATCTCAATATATCTCGTTGTTCATGGCACAATTGAATTTATGGTGGTTGAGCATGATGTCGAGGGTGGCACCCTGTGAAGTTTCGAGGCCAGTGCCATGTCACGTGAAACATGACGATGTTCCAGGTTTCAAGCCAAGTCAACGACACGGCGTCGAGCTTGTTGCCTTCGAAGATAACCACCACACCTCCGACGGCCTGTCTTAATTGTTCAACCGACAGTCAAGATGGCGGCACAAAAGGACTCGCTGTTCCGCTCGGTGGACATGTCGCTGACCCAGCTGTACATGGCCAACGAGATCGGACGCGAAGTCGTGAGCGCCTTGGGCGAACTGGGCATCATGGACTTTAGAGACGTGCGTCGCCCTCGACCGATGCTCTACGACTTGTACTGACGGCTGTGTGTAGCTCAACTCGGACACCACTGCCTTCCAGCGCACCTTCACTCAAGAGATTCGAAGACTCGACAATGTCGAACGCCAGCTTCGTAAGCCGACCGCCCCCTTGACATGGTAGATGGAATAAGAGACTGAGACAATCATTGGCAGGCTACTTCAAGGCACAGATGGACAAGGCCGATATCCCAATGCGTTCCATGTACGAATTTGGCGACCGCCTCGCCGCACCCTCGGCATCCGAGATCGACGAACTGGTCGACCGCAGTCAGACATTGGAGCAGAGAATTCAGTCACTCAACGACAGCTACGAAACGCTCAAGAAGCGTGAAATGGAGCTGACCGAGTGGCGCTGGGTACTCCGTGAGGCTGGCGGCTTCTTTGACCGCGTGAGTCTGGACAACATGGTGGACTGCCGATCATGAGCACTAACACGTGCAACAGGCTCGCGGCCAGACAGACGAGATCCGCCAATCCATCGACGAGAACCACGATGACGATGCACCTCTACTCGCTGACATGGAGCAGGCTCACAACGGCGACGCCTCGGGCGAGCGTTCCTTCTCTGTTATGAACATTGGATTTGTCGCCGGTGTCATCCCTCGCGAGCGCATGGCCGCATTCGAGCGTATTCTGTGGCGTACTCTCCGCGGTAACTTGTACATGAACCAGAGCGAGATTGAGGAACCCATCATCAACCCCGAGAACAACGAAGAGATGCACAAGAGCGTCTTCGTCATCTTCGCACATGGCAAGGAGATCATCAACAAGATCCGCAAGATTTCCGAGTCTCTTGGTGCCGACATCTACAATGTCGATGAGAACAGCGAACTGCGCCGTGACCAGATGCACGAGGTCAACACTCGTCTGCAGGACCTGGCAAACGTCCTCTCCAACACCAAGCGCACTCTGGACGCCGAGCTGACCATGATCGGTCGCAGTCTGGCCGCCTGGATGATTATTGTTGCCAAGGAAAAGGCTGTCTACCAGACTCTCAACCGCTTCTCCTACGACCAGCAGCGCAAGACATTGATTGCAGAGGCCTGGTGCCCTACAAACTCGCTTGGTCTTGTCAAGTCGACTCTGCAGGATGTCAACGACCGCGCTGGTCTTTCCGTCCCTACCATCGTCAACACCATCAAGACCTCCAAGACTCCCCCGACCTACAACAAGACCAACAGATTCACTCTTGGTTTCCAGACCATCATCGACGCCTACGGTACTGCCAAGTACACCGAAGTCAATCCTGGTCTGCCCACAATTGTTACTTTCCCCTTCCTGTTCGCCGTCATGTTTGGTGATTTCGGTCACGGTTTCATCATGACTGCTGCCGCCTGCGCCATGATCTACTGGGAGAAGCCCCTTATGCGCTCCAAGCAGGATGAGCTTTTCTCCATGGCCTTCTTCGGTCGTTACATCATGCTCATGATGGGTATCTTCTCCATGTACACTGGTCTTATCTACTGTGACGCTTTCTCTAAGGCGCTTGCCATCTTCCCTTCCATGTGGGAGATTCCCGACTTCAAGGAGGGTCAGACTGTCACCATGGTCCGCAAAGAAGGATACACCTACCCCTTCGGTATGGATTGGCGCTGGCACGATACTGATAACGACCTTTTGTTCTCCAACAGTTACAAGATGAAGCTCAGTATCCTTCTTGGTTGGGCTCACATGACCTATTCCCTCTGTCTTTCCTATGTCAACGCCAAGCACTTCAAGACTCCTATCGATATCTGGGGCAACTTCATCCCTGGCATGATCTTCTTCCAATCCATCTTTGGTTACCTTGTCTTCTGTATCGTTTACAAGTGGTCTATCGACTGGTATGCCATCGGTGCTAACCCTCCCGGTCTGCTCAACATGCTTATCTACATGTTCTTGCAACCCGGTACCGTCGAAGAAGAGCTTTACTCTGGCCAGGCTGTCCTTCAGGTCATCCTGCTTCTTGCTGCAGTCTGCTGTGTACCCATTATGCTCTTCCTGAAGCCTTTCTACCTGCGTTGGGAGCACAACCGCGCTCGAGCCATGGGATACAGCGCTGTCGGTGAAAGCCAGAGAGTTAGCGCCCTCGATGACGATGATGACGAGCACCAAGGCATGAACGGAGGTAGACAGAGCTTTGCTAGCGAAGATGGCGGCGCTGCCATCATCACTCAAGACATTCACGGCGAGGAACATGAGGAGTTTGAATTCTCCGAGGTCATGATTCACCAAGTCATTCACACCATTGAGTTCTGTCTCAACTGTGTTTCCCACACCGCCTCTTACCTTCGTCTTTGGGCTCTGTCGCTTGCCCATCAGCAGCTGTCCATTGTGCTGTGGTCCATGACCCTGGCCAACGCCTTTGCCTTCACTGGTGTAGCCGGTGCCTTTGTCATCTTCTTCTTCTTCGTTGTCTGGTTCTTCCTCACTGTCGCTGTACTGGTCGTCATGGAGGGTACTTCCGCCATGTTGCACAGTTTGAGATTGCACTGGGTCGAAGCCATGAGCAAGCACTTCCTTGGCGATGGTGTCGCATTTGAGCCCTTCAGTTTTGAGACCATGCTCGAAGAAGAAATGGCTGATCTGAAGTAGTCTGTGGTTGCTGTCTGACGCCATATCAGTGTATTGTCTATTGCATCGCATCTCTTGTTTAGTCTTGTATGTAGAAATCTACCGTATAGATGAGGCTTTGTGTCTCTTTGATTTTGTTCATCAATCTTCATATGGTCATGTACTTTCTTTGCAGTTCTCAAGCCTTGTCATCGACTCCACTACGCATTCGATCTTTCTGTCTCTACAGACATTGACTCAGTCTACAGACACAGATCTGTCGCTGTTGAACAAGCACACGGACACATCTAGAGAATCACAGCAGCTAATTTTGCTCTTCCTTCTCAACAGCATCAGCCATATCCCCGAGCGTGTCAAACTTCCAGTCAAAGATTTCTTCCTCTCGGTTTCCCATCTCCGCTCCCGGTCTCACAATCCAGCAACTCTTGATTCCCATCTTCTTAGCTGGGTGATGGTCATGGAATTGACTTTGCGCCGTCTGCAGCACCTGCGATTTTTCGATCCCAAACTTTTCGTTTACTTCCTTCAACATGAATTCAAAATTCTTGAGTGAAGGCTTGTAGCTACCGATGTCTTGGGCTGTGATGATGGCGTCGAAGGGGAACTTCTGCAGAGGTCCGGAGTTTGTGGTGGAGAAAGAGTTGCGGTCGACATTGGAAAGAACAACCAATTTATAGTGCTTTGCGAGACGTTTGAGAGCATCCACGGTATCAGGGAAGGCAGGCCATTTTCCCACCGAGTCTCCAAATGCTTTGTTGTCTGCTTCTGTTGGAGGTTCACACTTCAAGCCTGCGGCGATCGAAGGATGAATTGCAGCGAGCAGGTCACAGTAAGACATATCTGGTGTCTTTTGCTGCTGAGAGGCTTCGTGGTGGTGGTAAATCTCCAAGAGTGCCTTGCGGGTATAATTGCCTGTCTTGTTGTTCTTGGAGAGGAGAGGGTGGAGAGCATCTATCACACCAGTCTCCCAGTCTATGAGTGTTCCATAGACATCAAAGGAGAGAAGCTTGAAGTCCGTGAGTTTGGTCATGATTGGTCTATAGATGATATAGTCCTTGATGTTACTGGTTGATGATAATATGAAATGTGGCAAGAAGTGTATGTGAAGAAGGCAAGTAGAAATGTGCTAAATTTGCTTAACATACAAGGCACACGCCCTTGAAATGATCGGTGTCTTGTTCGGGACAAGGTGGAAGATGCAGTTGCGAGCGACCTTAGCCGAAAGATAGGCGCAGCTCGATGAATCGAGTTAACCCGATAGCGGGCAGGCTTCACCTCCTTTCATCTTACAACGATCAACCTCAACCTCATTCTCCAACAAGTCAACACCTTGGTGATGCATATCCCTGCAGGCATCTGGAGAGCTGTCTTGCGAGTTACTCCAATGTTCACCCTCGCACTGCGACAACCAACACAAGGCGCCATGACGGTCGGCCATTGGAGAGTCGATCATTAGTCGACACCTGGCCTCTCTCAGAATTGACTACATATACGCGTTTGCCTCACCACTTTCCATCGTCAACAGCCAGTTCACACAGTGGACTAGATCATCAGACCTGCCGGGGTAGCTCAATCGGTAGAGCGTGTGGCTCTTATCATTCGATAAAGTACAACCTCAAGGTCGCGGGTTCGAGCCCCGCCTTCGGCTATTCCTAAACACAGTTGGCTTCCTTTTTGCTCTTTTCTTGCTTCATATATCTTTGTGATGCAAGAAGGAATACAGAAAGTGCTGAGAATTTTGAGAAATCTACGTAATTTTTTGTGGTGGTGAAGGCTGGCTTGGCGGTCAGGGTTGGCGTCGGACATGGAAAAATCCGTGGTACTCCGACGAGAGCAGCAAGCAATAAATATACTATGAAAAGTCACAAATGTTTTCGAAAGCAGAGGTGCATCCATAGAGAATCTGTAAATTGTAGCTTCTCAGTGGACACTCTCCTATTCCCTGGTAGTATCGTGCATTTGTACAGCTAAATGTATCGCTTTCTTGGGCTAGCTGAGGGCGCAGCTTTAAGCCGTTCGGTCAGATCCCTGGTTCAGGACCCCCCATCGGCTTGTGTTCAGATTGTTGCAGTCTGCATATAATGATGATATCCCTAGGATACGACAATACAGAGCAAAGCTTCGAGAGATTGGTATTCACTGCGTTAAACCACAAATGCAAGCAAGTGACTGAAATAATGCAAGTTTGATTTTAGGAGGGGATATAAATCTGATACTAGGTCTGAGGACCTCAGAAGTTGAAGAATCTGTCGTGATTCAGGCTGTCGCACAAAGCTTAAACGTGCTCGCCATGGCCGCCCTGACTGGCCTCAGAAGGGCCATCCTTCTTAGCAGGAGTGCGATCGTTACGGTGCCTGGTCTTGTGTCAGTACTTGAACAATAGACACATCGTGAAAACGAAACTTACTTCTTGACAACTCTCTCGATGCCATCAAGACCCATCTTCAGAACGTCCATTCTTGGACCGTAACTCAGTCTAACGTGCTTGTGGCAAGGAGAATCGAACAGGTCTCTTCTCTTGCTGGGGTTGAGATCGAAGAAGATGCCAGGTACGACAATGACCTTTTCATGGAGACAGGCGTTGAAGAAGTTGAGACCATCGTTGATGCCTTCGGGGAGCGAAGACAAGTCCAGCCACAGGTAGAAGGTGGAGTTAGGGACAAGAGGGATCTTGAAGCCCATTTCAGTCAATCTACCAATAACATAGTCTCTCTTTTCGCGGAAGTGGTGTTGCAAGGCACGCATTTCGTGCTTGACTTTAGTGGGCTCAAGCATAGGGATAGCAGCCTCTTGGAAGGGGACGTTGGTGCCTCCATCGAGGTAAGATCCACAAGAGCCGATAGCCTTGATGAACTCCTTGGGTCCAACGATCCAGGCGACTCTCCAACCGGGGAGACGGAAGCGCTTTGTCAGACCGTCAATGATCAGGACATCTGATTTGTGTTAGATAGGCCAGCTTTTACAATTTTCAGAAGACATACCATCTTCATTGACGTCTTCAATGTTGTCAGCAGCTGAGACAACAGTACCATCGCAATCGCTAGTGTAGTTGTAACCGCCGTAGAATTCATCCATGATCAATGTCGCACGATCTCTGCCTGTAGGACTCGATTAGTGTCTTCGTGTGTCAGCATCCGTAATCAAAACTTACAAATATCCTGGATCTGAGCAAGCTGAGGGTTTGTAAGAACCTGTCCTGTTGGATTGCGAGGGTTGGAGGTCAAGATGACACTGGTTCCGCGAGCAATTTCTTCCGCAATCTTGTCAGGGTGCATGTGGTATCCATCTTGCTTAGACAATGGAATAGGAATGGCGCTGAAGTTACGGAACAGAGACAGCATCTCGTTGTAGGCAGTGTAATCTGGTATGAAGAAGCCCAGATATGCATTGCCTTTTTCCTCCCTCTCCCCTTTAGCCTCCATTCCATAATCGTGTTTAGGGAGCACTTACCGATGACGGCGGCGATTCTGATGAGACCAGCTCTGCCACCAGGGACGATGCAGACGTTCTCCCAGGTGTATTGACTCGCCTTACCTTTGCGGTGGTGCTCATTGTAGAGATTGGCAACAGCCTCTCTCAAGGGTTTGATGCCAGCTGTTGGACCCTGAAACAGCGCATCAGCCAAGGGCAGGGTTCGAAGAAGACACAAAACGTACGTATTCACGGCCAGTCATGGACACATCGATATGGTGGGGCCTCTCGAAGCAGCCCTCAATCTCATCATCGACCTCGGGAGCGCCTTGACCCAAGTTTGCCCATTTTTCCGGGTGTTCAGCAAAGCCATGCTCGTAGGCTCTCTCAGTAGTCCAGACCACTCCGGTAGATGCGCGCGAGGGATCCAATCCAGCATGAGGTTTGTGTCCTTCGTGAGCGTTGCGGAATTGGCGATGGACCGATGAGCTCAACTCTGGAAATTCTCAGCGACTGATCACGTAGATAGAATGTTACAAGCGTCTTGGATCGCGGCTGCTGAGAATGACAACTTCCAAATGTCTAGTCAGGTGATGAACAACTAGAATGGAGTTCTTACCGCTGTCAGTGGGCTCTTTGTTTGTGGAGAAGCGCCTCTCTTTGGCTCCATGGGGAGCGTTCAGAGGAACGTCGGTAGCAGAGAAACTAGCTCTCATGATGTAGGTTGATCGCGCAGGACCAAGAACACCGTAATTAGATGCCAAGCGTTGGCTGGTGATCGATTGAGGATGCAAGAGTCGCCGCATGATGGGGTGAGGTCGGATGTTGATGAGTCAGCAACACAACGCGTCACATCAACAACAATGAAAGCTTCACAGTATTTCGTCTTGTAAACAGGAACACACCTCACTGTGAAAGCTGTCGTTTTAGGAAAGAGCTATGTGAGCTATCTTCCTATACGGCTCACTGCTGATGAGCGTCATGTCGCATTGCACAAATGCAGTTGTCAGCGACACTGAGTTTTCGGGAATATGCCTTCAGCTGCCCTCTTGCCTGGCGAAGTCTGCTCAAAACCCGCCAAAGGATTGACTCCTCAGGAGCCTGAACGGCGAAGGTGTGGGTATGTATTGAGGGCGCTTGCGTCTTTCAATCTCACGCTCGGCGCAAATACTGCTTCAAACCCCTGATCTCCTCCTTCAATCTCTGAATCTCATCATCTTTGTTCGCCATTGCACCGACTGCCTGTTGTGTACGGGGTCTGTCTGCGTCCAGAACATAAATTTGTGCCTTGAGGTTCGAAATCTCCTCATCCCGCATACGCAAGATGCCCTTTGCCTGTTCGAGCTCCTCTCCCATTCTCTTGACGTCCTGCCAAAGCGGTTGTTGACTTGGCTGTGCTTCACTCACGCCATGATATAGAGCCGGTTTACCCGATGGAACTTGCGGACCTGGAGTCTTCGTTTCCAGTGATGACATCTGGTAAGGAGTTCGTGCGCCCATCGAGTGGTTCTGGTATGGGGTCTTCGCACCACCGATATATGGTGTTCGCGCACCAGATGCTACAAGACGACCGTTGATACGCTGAGGTTCTTCTTCGTCATAGTCGTAGCGTGCGTAGACAGTCTTGCCACCAACTCTTGTCGTAGGGGACCATTCTGAGCCATTAAGAGGTTCGACTTCGTTGTCGCCAACCGCTCTCGCTATTGGAGGTTTGTTCAGACGTCTGACTCCGCCAGGCCAGTCTGGAGATGGTGTCGAATGTAGATACTTACCGACTTTGGGACGATCATGTCGAGGGTTCAGAGGCTGGTCTGCCTTTCGCTTGGTGGCATATTCTGTCCTACTGCCATTGTTGAGATGCGTAGTGGTGCCTGCTGTCGCATACTCCGTTCTGTTGCCGCTGTTGTGACCTCCTTGGGATGATGCCTGCTGGTTGGAAGTATCATTTATGGTTGCGCCAGAGCCGAAAACAACTTCTTTATACCCGCCATCTTCGCCGGAGAGATAGTATTTGATCACGTTGGGTTTGCTGCCTGCCTTGACCCAGGGGACGGACCCCACCCTCTGGTTATTTACCCCCTCGACATGCCCTTGGCTTTCGTTGGCGACCATTGCTGCTCTTCCTTTGTGGCGTCTGCCGGCCCTGAGACTGCCATTTGCCATAAAGTCGAGAGGCCAGTATGTACCCCTTTCTTTTGTGGTGTACTTCTTGGATGTAACGATGTCCCAAACGGCTTTGTCGTCGAGTGCCACAAAATGTGGAGGTGAATTGGCTCCGCGTCCAATGGGACCGATATCACTTTGGAAGAAGCGATATCTCTCCTTGAACAACTTATTGCCGGGAAACTCGCTATCTCTCACACCATCTCCATCACCGGGCTGCCATATCTCACGGCTGCAGCTGTCGCCGTCGTGATAGGTGATGGCGTCAGGTCTGAATGGCGTTCGAGAGATCGACTGGTAGGTGCTGCCTCTTACTTGTGAGCTTCGACCACTCAGAGATGTGTGAGCGGGAGTTTTTAGTGGGTCTACTCGACGATTGGCCTGCAAACAATCAACGAGATGAAAGTAGGTTTTAGACAGGGGCGCGCTCACCTTTGCGTTGGTCGACATATCTACTGCTTTACTGGTACCATCGGCTCGGGAGGTTGTCTGTTGCAAGTTGATGAGTGTATAAGACGCAATGCGGAAGACGGGGATACTTGCTTACATCAATTTGATCAGGGGTCGCTTCAGACAGGGGCTCAAAGAGAGGTGAATGGTCGTCTTCAACCACAATGGTCGGCCTCTCCAAGACTTCCGCTGGCTTCCGTCGTGGTGTTACTGCCTTTTTACGGATGTAATTGTCTGGTGCTGGTTCGCTTGAGAAATTGAAAATGAGTTTGTTTGGTGCCGTCATATTCTTTGCTGAATGCTCGATGCAGATGTCTCAGAAGGAAGTGAGTTGATCTTTCGATGCCAATATGATTGTCGACGATGTTTGTGGCTTTGAAATCTGATAGAAGAAGGTCTGGACGGAGAGTTGAACCCAAACGATGCATTCAGGCCAACAAGGGTGGTGCATTGGTGTGTAGATTTCTGGCAATCGACTTTCACACAATCACACGCATTCTCTGATGTTGACCAAGAGATGTCTTCATGAAAGTTTCCGATGAGATCGAATTACAAGCTCTAGTGGGCTGTTGAATCATCTGATTTGGCTCAATCACTGTGCTCCAGCGAAAGATACACTGAGTTCCGTCAACGAAGATTATGGCTTACAAAATGTGCCTTGATGCACAACGGCAGCTGCCTATGTGGCCTTGCGGTGAATCTAGGACGCGGCGTCTGTTTCTGTGTCTCAGAGAGTTGTAAACACAATGCATATTCCTGTGCTTGAACACAACTTCGAACATAACATCTCTGCCATATCTATGATGGATGGAGAACGAGCTCCATTTACTTTACGCAATTCCGATCATCCACAAGAACCATCCTCGCACAGAGACTTGATATGTTTTCCTGAGGCAAGACCAATCAAGACTTGTGTAACGCCTGCTGCCTTCGAAATTTCTTCCATTTCCAGCACGGCAACGCTGTCCGAGGCAAAGCAAATGGAAAACGCAACTGGGTACTCGCGAGTCCGAGTTTGACCTTTTGAATATCCCTGATGGATATCAGTTGGAAACATAGGATGCATTTTTTCTCGGAGATGCTTTGAGATAGAGCGGATAATGCGAACCTTGTCACTGAGAGCACTTGACCAAAGTCAGCTTTGGTCCCAGCTCTCTTACCATAAGATACAGAATCTTCGTGATAGGGGTCAATACATTCAAAACACTCCCGTATATGCTCATCAACCCCTGTCACATTTGCACATTCCCATTCCAGCTAGCTGAAGAGCGGAAACGATGTTCCTCACAGCGAGGTCAACAGCCAGGCCACTGATCCTCTCGAAAATCCACAAATCCACTACGGATGTCGAGACACTGTACCATACCTGATGGCCGTTGATAAGAAGAACATGGTCGCTGTAGGGAGTAGTATAGACAAGGGTTCACGTCGTCGTAAACAGAGACCAAAGCTCGATCCCTGGTGCTAGGGGTACAACTGTGCTTGGCGTCAGGACATGATTGTTGAACGAAGGAGTATATACAAAAGAAGTCATATCAGTCGAACAGTCTACTTCAAGGTGAGATGGGTTCAACTCTAGTGATGGCGACAGTCACACTCTTTGTGATGACCGGAGCTCCTTGAACGCTGTCTTCACTGATTGCATCGTCCTCGTTTGCACCCTTGTTGATTGCCCAATCGTTGTTTCCAGCATTGTTGGCCAGCTCTAATTGACTGCCGTTGTTGTGTACACCTGATTGAGGTGCACTGTGCAGCTCATATCCTTTGTTGCCAAACGACCTATCGAGCCAGGACTTTTTGTTGTTCGTGTATTGGCCACTGGCTCCAGGTGCAGATGTTCCGAACGTAGAGCCCATGAATCCAGGAGCGATCTGTCTGAGCAGAGGCTTGAGTGATGGCACAGATGCGCAAATGATTGAAACGTTGGCATCCACTGCGCTCCAGATAGAGGAATCGAAAGAGACCCAGGTCTTGTCCTCCTCGTGCAAGATATTGCTGACTCTTACTGCTCGGACAATGCTAGCAACGATGGGAACAACACCCAAGCAGATTGTAAAGAGCAGTGCGTTCTTCTGGCGTGCATGTAGGTTGAGTCTCATGATCTTGGGTGCCGCGAAGACTATGAGAAGGATGTCCACGATGATGTTTTCCGCAGTCGAAGCATAAAATGCTGGAATGGTATCGATGCACGTTTTCTTCTGTAGTGTGATGTCCCAGACACCTTCGACCGGGTTGCATTGAAATATGGAAACGCACTCGAGGATTATGGTGGCTACCACTACGAGTCCAAAAACACCGTACAGGAAGATTCGACTGGGCCGACTGGTGGTGAACACTTTGAGATATAGTGCGCACAAGGACAGCTTCGTAAAACAGAGTGAGAGCTGATAGACGATAAGGGTGCCGTATAGCAGCTTGAGAGATGGAACAATGGTGCTAAAAGCGACATCGGCTTGGTGCAAGCCGCCGCCAAACTTTGTCAACAGGCAAGCCATGATACAATTGGCGAGGGCAGTGAGCTGTGTTTTTGTCAGAGTCAAAACTTTCACGCTCAATATAGAAACAACATACCCAGCCTGTTGTGAGAAGCCAATCATCCCATCCGAAGGTGTGTAAAATCGCAGCTCGACTATAGACTCTCCCAAGGAAGAAGATGGTTGCCAATAGAAATGGAAGAAGGTTTCCTAGCAAAATATAGGGCGCACGAGTCTAACATTCCATCAGCCATGAAATAGAGAGTAAGATGAACAGACTTACTTCCGGCATCGTGAGAGAACCTTTGACTCGTCTGTTCTGCAAGTGCTATACCAGATCAGATGAGAGACAAAGGGCATGAAACCAGGGCAAGAAGGATAATGATCCACAGCAGACATGTGCTATATAAATGAAGAGCGACCATGGACAGGATAAAACACTTCCGCAACGGTCATCATGCCCCTACTTCAGCCACTGGCCATCAAGCTACAACGAGCCGAAAACCTTCGCAAGCCTTGCAAATTTATTCGCGTAACGATTGGGCGGTCCACCCACCAACCTTGCTTTTGTAGTTCCATAATGTAGACTCCGTTCTTGCGGCCGCAGAACCACGTCTAGCTGCTTTGGTCTTGAGAGCGCTCCCGAGCTCATGAGCTAAGAGGAGTTGATCGGACGAATTCAAGCAGTCTGACCATAGATAACCCCAGGCCTAGAACCAGTCAAACAAACCCCTAGGGATCGGGAGTTGAGATCGTCCCATTCTAGGACGGAGTTCACACAACATAGCTCGATCTAATCATTGCTTTATCATACTCACAAACGTGTCGAGAGTGACAAAGACAACGGAGATCTTGAAGTCGAAAGCGAAACAGAAAGTTGTTGGAAGCTTCCATGCATTCAGTCTACAGTACCTGGTCTGCTCGGCTAGCTTGCCGAAAAAGAGACAAGCCCTGATGATCTACACTGCATTGGCCCACGAGAGAGATCCTTCAGTGCAAGCCCAAAACATGTGGCTTCGACCTCAAGTAACTTAGATACGAGCCAGAAAGCTTGGTTAAATACATAGGCCTACAATTTTAACAAAGCAAGACCTTTCTTTGCGCCTCGTGTGAGGCGCCCTGCTATTTCCATCTGAACGTTGGTTTAGGTGTTGGCTGGCAAGAAGTACTAGGAGCGTTAAACTTTGGCTGGTGGCTGGATTAAGATGATCTAATGCAGGACTCTCGTGTCGCACCTCGCTAAACTTTTGGAACAGGGAACAGCCGCGAGGGAAGGACCGTAGAACGAAGCGACCCCCGCTCGAACGATTGGAGTTCAATGAAACGCAACCAGTGAACCTTCGGGCCTTCAATTGCTCCACGAGTCATGACCAGTACCGTATGAAGGCATTGGGCAGCGAATGCAACCATAGAAAAGCCAGCTAAGCCGCATGTGTGAGCATCGAGAAGCGGAAAAAATCCCCGACATTACCATTTGTTGACCGAAGCCATCGGCCACTTGTTTGTGCAGTCTGATGATGTCAATCGTGGATACCCTCTGGAAAGAAGCACGGAGGGGTGTTCGAGGCATCTACGTAGCGACTTCAGTCTTCGAGAACCAGAGACCAATCCTGGCAACCAACATTTGTGAGGGCTCTACTTGTTTTTGGTCAGCACTACTCCGATGAGAATGTGGGGGAGGATCCTCAACACGTGTCTCGCGAGCCCAGAGATCTGAACCTCAATATATCGGCAACGCAACGACAAGCACGTGTCTGCCAATCGACATTGTATATAACTTCGCACTTAAGGCTAGTCGAAAGAGACTACTGGTTCGAGTACCGGATACCGATATAATCTGAAACGCGAAGCTGTTGAACGAACCAAGGCTAGAGTGGAACAGCAAGTTGAACCTCCATCCTTCGCTCGAAAGCTAGCACACTACCAACCTACCATCATGAGATATGATGTCTCTGAGCCTTATTGAGATGTCTTGGAAGCGAACGCAAGGACATATCTCATGGTCATGACTTGTCTTGATGGGATATATCTGGGTCGTGCCTGGATAGTAACGATGTTCTTGACGAAACTCAACGTGCATTTTCGGAAGGATTGGAGATATTCCATTTTGTGGCTTGATTGACATCGCCGAATTTATACAGCGTGATACATCCATCAGTATCGCAAGGAGGCACGATTAAACTCTCGAGCCTAGTTTTGCGGCCGTAAACACTTCATGAAAGACACGATTCGATCATCTGTCGCGACCAAATGTAGCAGGTCCTGCAGGCTTGTTATCGAGGATCTTCTCAATTTCCTCCATGAGCTCCGGCGTCAACTTCTCAAGCAGCTTCAAGGCTCCAAAGTTGTCCTCCAGCTGCTCGACCTTGGTGGCACCGAGGATGACCGTGGAAACGTTGGGGTTCTTTGCAGCCCATGCCAAGCTCAGCTGGGTGACGGTGCCACCGAGCTTCTCAGCGATGGTTGTGAGCTTTCTGACCTATTCATAATGTGTGAGTTTTGATTCGACAAGTTGACAGAGATATGTTTAGATACCTTCTCGATCTTGGCCTTGCCTTCGGGACTCTGGAGCTGCTTGACAGTGTTCTCGAAGAAGTCCTTGTTGGTGGCAAAGCGAGAGTCTTCGGGAATGCCATCATTGTACTTGCCAGTCAGAAGACCAGAAGCGAGAGGCGACCAGATGGTAGTACCGTACTTGAACTGGTCATACAGAGGAGCATACTCAACCTCGAAACGTTGTCTGTGGAATGCATTGTACTGAGGCTGCTCGGCGATGGGTGCAATGAGGTTGTACTTCTCGGCAATCTGAGTAGCTTCCATGATCTGGGTGGCGCTCCACTCGGATGTACCCCCTAGAAGACAAGGTATTAGTATGCTCTGTCTCCAGAAGCAAATTTGGTTGTCACGAACAGTAGTAGGCCAGGTTGAGGTTGCGAATTGCTTGGGTGAAACCTTCGACAATCTCCTTCATGGGAGTTGCGTTGTCAGGACGATGGGCCAGAACAATGTCGACGTAGTCGTGGTTCAGTCTCTTGAGGGAGCTCTTCAAGCCCTCGATGACGTGCTTCTTTGAGAGGCCACGGGTGTTGGGCTCCTTACGGCCAGTACCGAAGAAGATCTTGGTCGAGAGAACGTACTCGTCTCGTGGGTAACCGAGCTCGTTCAGGGCACGTCTATCACAAGTCAATTCCTGTATTGATATGGCATGTCGCCGTCATTGCGAAGCAACACAAGACGACTTTATCAGCTTACCCCATCTCGATCTCAGATTGGCCGTTGGCGTAAACCTCAGCAGTGTCGAAGAAGTTACAACCTATCTCATAATTAGCTTTGCGAGTTTCTTCAGAAAGCTCGAAAGATAATACCATGGTCAAAAGCCTTTTGGATACACTCCTTGACAACGTCGCCCTTCTGAGTACCACCGTAGGTCAACCAACCTCTGGACAAATGGTTAGCGGTAACGGTTGAGTCAATTGAGGCTCATGCCACGTACCCAAGAGAAAAGATAGAGACCTTGAGACCAGTGGGGCCAAGGTGACGGAACACCATGTCCTTGGGATCAAACTTGGATTCGACAGCCATTGTGAGGGATTGGTGTGATATGAGTGCGCTATGGGAATGCACGAAGGGGTATAGATTGAGAAGAGCTCTGTGGAGGGAGGCGTGCTTTTGTAGGACACATCACCTTCCTAATAGGACACGGCATATCCACGTACCCCTCAGTTGCCTACCTACCTAGTGCCGTTTGTCAAGCTCCATTTTTGTTAAGCTCCGTTAATGCCGCGATGTCGTCATCGGTATGTAAATGCCCAAGTACCAAACTACCTAAACTAGGTAATAGCAATGAGACTCTGCCGTGCGAGCATCAGAGGACGTTGGCGTATAGGCTGTTCAATGCACACATCTGTGTATGCCAATATATCAAGATAGTTGTGTCGCTACAGAAAGAAGCTATCAAGCTTACCAAGCAAAAAGAATAGGCGCTCCGGAGCTCATAGCCAGCCGCAAGCTTCAAGGAAAGCTCCAAAAGCAGTGCGTCGACTTCCATGCGGCTGTTCCCACCTTCTTCTCCTATTGTGACTTGGTCATGATAAACCGATAGCATCATGTCTCTGAGGAAAATGAAGCATAGACTCGAGAGCTTGGAGCTCAAGTCCCACGTGTTCGAAGGACGACAAACGACATCTCGGGTAGATCCGCACACTAGTGTCGATCTAATCAGCAGCTTTGTCTACCTTAGAAAGACAGAGGGAAGTCAAGCCATGCTTGCTCTCTCTCTATTGACCCATCAAATACTCAACATGGCAGCTCTTCGAACGTTACGCCCTTCGGCTCTGCCAGCGGGCATCCGTCAAATCCTCACCTCTCCTCGCATCATGTCCTACTCGACCCCCTCCTCAGCACAATCATCCACCACGCCTCCGCCAAAGTCATCAGTCTCCGAGACCGAAATGTCACACTTCTCCGCCCTCGCCTCGTCATGGTGGGATCCTGAAGGTCCTTCACGCATTCTCCACGAAATGAATCCTCTCCGCCACGTCTTTATCCAACGCTGCCGATCGCTATATCCAACCGATGTCACAAAAGCGCCAAAGAAGCTCCGCTATCTCGATGTTGGCTGTGGTGGTGGCATCTTTGCCGAGTCAGCAGCGAGACTTGCTGACACAGAGTCGGTCACGGCGATCGATCCGACGATAGAGGTCTTGGCCGTGGCCAAGAAGCATCAGAAGAGCGATCCTCTGTTGTGCGAACCGGGAAGATTAAACTACATCAATACTGCTATCGAAAACTTGCCCCTACCAGCCACACCAGACCAAGGTGTAGATGTCTTGTCTGTGTTTGAGGTCATTGAGCATGTCACGCACCCTGCTCCCTTCCTCGCCAATTGCATGCCTCATGTCAAGCCTGGAGGCTGGTTGGTTCTCAGTACCATCAGCAGGACGTGGGCGAGTTGGTTCACTACAAAGCTGGTTGCCGAGGATATCATGCGTATCGTGCCGCCAGGTACCCACGATTGGCATCAGTACATCAACGTTGACGAGATGAAGGCTTGGGCAGCCAAGCAACCAGGTTGGAGCAATCCCATGACTATGGGCGTTGTCTATATTCCTGGATTTGGCTGGAAGGAGATTCAGGGCAGCGAAGGTTGGGGCAATTACTTCTTTGCTATTCGAAAAAACGCTTGATGACACGGTCTCGGTAGTGTAATCCTAATGTAGCAATATTGTATGATATTGAGCAATTGCCATGGAAACAAATGAAAGCAAACATTTTGCAGCCATGCACTATTTCTGAGATGACTCCGGGTTGGGTACTTTCTAAGCACCGCCTCCGGCTCCGCCTCTCATTCTCTTGCCAGCACCCTCATCTCCGCCCTCATGTGGACGCTTGTTGCCTTGGGCACCAGCTGTTCCCGGTGCAAATTGTTGTGCTCCCGGGTTCATGCCTCCTCTGCCGCCACCTCTTCCCCTGCTCATGCCGCCTCGGGGTAGCCCACCACGTTGAGCCTGACCGGCGGCGCCTTGCACGCTAATTCCTTGACCTTGCGCGTTCTGTGTTCCAGGCTGTGCCAGGCCTCCTCTGCCGCGGAATGCACCACCACCACGCGGTAGCATGCTCCCACCACCTCTAGGTATGCCAGTAGGAATCCCTGATGGAATACCACTTACAGAAGGAACACGTACAGCACCAGCTCCAGTGGCTTGTTGACCTAGAACTGCTGGCTTCAATTGTGCTCCCGGAGTTTGTGGCGGTGTGCCTGCTGCAGCCTGAGATTGGGCAGGAGCAGTATTGGTTGCTTGAGAAGCAGCATCAGATGGAGCTTGGTTGGGGACAAAACTTGGTTGACCAAAGGTGGTACCCAATTGTGGTTGCTGCGTTTGAGCTCCGAACTTTTGCATCCTTGCTTGCATCTTGTCTTGTGGTGCTTGGTTGTTGGGAGTGGGTTGATTGGACTGAGCAGGTTGAGGTGGAGCAATGCCAGGCGATTGTGGAAGACCAGGACCAGCAGCCTTGAAAGGAGAGCTCATGGGAGATTGGACTGGCTTGTTGACTTGAGGAGGAAGTGGGGCAGACGCAGGAGCGGGCTTGGTAGATTTGGCAATCTCCCATACTTCGACGACTGGTCGTTGAGGTGTCTCAGCCGCAGCCTTCTCGACAACATCCAACTTGGCTTTGGCGGCTCTTGTCTGTCCTTCAGCCATGCCAAGTTTTGCCTTTTGTTTGATGGTCTCCATGTTGACAGCCTTGGTCAAGGCCTGCTCTCTCTCCTTCTTAGCCTCTTCCGCCTTCTCCTGCAGAGCTTGCTCCTTCTCCTTCTGAGCCTCTTCCGCCTTCTCTTGCAGGATCTTCTCGTGCTCTTGCTTGAGTTTGGCAGCTTCTTGAGCAATCTTGTTTTGAATGTTTCTAGCCACGATGCTTCGGATAACAGTGTTCTTACCAACCAGTGTACGGGCTTGTTCGTCGGTAAAGACCAGCTGTGCTGGATCAATGTTAGAAGCAGAGGCTTGAGCGGGAGTTGATGTATCTGCGTTATCAGCAGGAGGCTGACTAGATGCTTCGCCCGAAGAAGCTACCGGTTGCTCCTTGACCTGTGCTCGGTCTACCGCAAGCTGGCCTTCCTTGGTCAGACGCTCAATTTCGAGACGGTGCTCTTCCTTGAGCTGTGCAATGGCAGCTTCATGCTCTTGGCGGAGTTTCTGCAATTCCTCACTGTGCTTGACCAAAGCTTCTTGACGACCTTCCTCCTTCGTCTTTTCCTTGTCTTCTCGGAGCTTCTGGTTGAGCTTTTGCTTCATTAGGTTGGTTCGGTTGTTGTACAAAGTTTCAAGCTGCTCTTTGCTCAGGTTGTGCTGCTCCTCGAGCTGGGCGCGAAGTTTAGCAACTTGTTCTTCGACTTGTTCGGCGACGGATGAGGCCTCGGCACTTGCAGCAGTTGCAGCAGTATCTGCGGGTTGGTTTGATGCCTCCTGAGTGGCGTTGGTAGCAGCAGCAGCCTTGAGCGATTCGACTTCTTCCTGTGCAGCAGCCAGCTCCTGTCTCAACTTTTCTAGATGCTCAGTGTTGTCGTTGGATTGAGGTGCGGTCTCTTGAACTGGGTGCTCTTGGTTCTGGAGCTCTGAAAGGCTGGCTGCGCTAACCTCGAGTTGTTGTTGGAGATCGGTCTGATTATTGTTAGTCGTTTTGTGTCAGCCCAAAAAGACTTGTAAGAACTTACTACTTGAGCTTCAAGCTCAGAAATTCTGGTTCGCAAAGATTCGACCTGAGTGGATAAGCCGGCAGCCTTTGCAGCCTCTTGAGATGCTCTGGCCTCTGACTGCTCCAATGATTGCGCCAATGACTCTTGTTGGCCGTCTTCTTGAATCTGACCGTTTTCAGCTTGTGACTGAGCCGAGAATTGTTGAGATGCTGCCTCGGCGTTGGCCACAGCCTCGTCTCTGGAAGCCTTGGTGGACTCGAGCTCCTCCTTGACTTGGACGATTTCCTGGTTGAGTTGGTTCTTTTCCTCCTTGATGCCTTCGAGCTCTTTTTCTAATTCTCTAATTTTCGCGCTTTGCTCGCGAGATCTTGCTTTCGCCTGCTCGACAAACTTGGCCTTTTGTTCCTTCCATTGCTTTTCTGCCTCGTCCTTGGTTTGCTGCAGTTCAGCTGGAACAGCATCAAGCTTGGCCTGAAGTTCCTGCTTCTCGGTGGTCAACTGGTCGCGCTCGGTCTGGAGATCAGAGATTTGGGTCTTCATGGCTTCCATCTCGGCAGGATCGACTCTGTCGTATTTGGAAATGATGTTTTGTGTGCGATCTCGCCAGCGATCACGGTCTTCTTGCATTAGTTTCATTTCACCTTCCTTTGTCTCTAGTTCATTCTCGACTTCTTGAATACGAGTCTGTAGAGGCTGGATTTGGCTGGTCAGGCTTTCAATCTCCTTGATCTTTTCGGCCAGTTGCGTCTGGGCTTGTCTTGCCTCTTGTCGCAAGGTAGTACTGCTCTCACGGAAGACGTTGAGCTCGTTGATGGTTTGCATAAGCTTGTTATGGCTGACGGTGTTTGCTTCGTGGTCAGCGCGTTGTTGACGCTCCTCGCTGAGTTTCTGGCGCGTTTCGTCGAGCTGTGTCTGTGTGTATTCGAGTTGCTGCTGGAGACGCTTGCTTTCTTGAGTGGAAAGCTCGTACTGAACATCCACAATCTCCTTCTCCCGACGCAAGTACTTGATAACTTCTTGGAGATTTTCGAACTCGGAGCCATGGGTTTGTTCCGAATCGTCCCGTTCCTCAGATGAAGTCTTTTTCTGCTGCAAATCATGAATCTGATTGCTGACAGACTCAAGTTGCTCGTGAAGAAGCTTGTTTTGAGACTTAAGATCCTCGCGTCCAAGTCTGACTTCGGTCAACTCGCGCTCATATCTTTCTCTCACTTCTGCCCAGCTCTCTTCACTTTGGCTCAATGTGGCCTTGGCAGCTTCGGCCTCAGCCTTGATTGCGGCAACTTCGGTTTTGAGTTGGTTGTACTCTGTGCGTACTGACTGCAGATTCTTGGCAGCGTCTGCATGCTTGACCAGCTCGTTCTCGTAGCTCTGTTGGGCTTGTTGCGCGATTTCTGCCTGTGCCTTGAGGTCCTCCTGGTGAAGCTTTGCAGTCTCGGCATAACGTTCGGACTCGTCACGGAGACGAGCAATTTCTGCTTCGAGCAGACGCTTTTGGTCGTCCAATTGAATGGCGCTTTCTTCGTGCTGGGTGCGCAAGGTTGATAGTTCACTGTTGGTGGTAGACAGCTCGGTGCCCAATTCCTCAACTCTGGTCTCCAAATCCTTGATCTTCTCGTCCTTTTCTGCGATGATACGATCCATCTCTTCGCGGTATTGGTCGTTAGTTTCGTTGAGGCTTTGAAGTTCCTCTTCCGATGCTTGGCTGATGTTCTTGTACTGCTCAACCTGGATCTTGGCGTTCTCGAGGTCGCTGCGGGCGAGTTCAAGATCGTGCTTGAGGTCAGCGATTTCGAGAGCGAGCTCTTGCTCGCGAGACAAAGAATCGTCGGGATTACTTTCCGATGGTTGCTCTGCCTGAGGGGTAGGACGAGGTTGAAGTGCTTGCACACGTTCTTCTGATGTGCGCAATTCGATCTTGAGCTCTTCCACCCTTGATGAAAGTTGGTCGCGTGTCGTCTTGGCTGCGACAAGCTCTTCACGAACACTCGACAGACTCTTGACCAGGTCATCGATTCTTGACCTACTCTGCTCCTGATCGTACTCTCTTCTGAGGGCTGCCTTCTTGCTCTCTTCCACCTCGGTCTCCAATTTCTTCTTTGTAGCATCAATGTCGGCTTCAAGTGTCTCAATTCTTGTTTGAAGTCTACGACGAGTTTCTGACTCGGCTAACTCGCGCTCGTTTTGCAAAGTCTGCAGATCTGCAATCATCTTGTTCAGGCGACTGCGTTCGTTCATGAGTGAATGATTATCCTCCGTCATGCGAGCCTCAATCTTTTTCCAGAGTTCACGCTCTGCTTTGAGGTTGGCCGCATCGTTGCGCATACTGTCTGCAAGGGTACGAGCCTCGACCAGCTCTTCGGCAACTTGTTGTGTACGAAGGTCTTGCTTGGCTGCTACTTCGGCCAGGGATTGGGATCGTTTTTGCAATTCCGAATTTTCAGATTTGAGCATGTCGTAGTTGGCTTGAAGCATCTCGTAACGTTCATGAGCAAGTGTAATCTGGCCGCCAGTACGGGCAACCTCTCCTTGCAACTCGCCCTTTTCACGAGCCAGTCTGTCAACTTGTTGTTTGAGAGTGCTGTGGTCCGTTGCAGCCTCTTGTCTGTAAGCGTCGAAGTGAGTTTGCATCTCCTTCAAGAGCTTGGAGTAGTCTGACAACTCCTTGGAACGAGGTGTTTCCTCGACGTCTCGTGGCCTGCCGCCTGGTGGGGGAGTTGATGGGGCTGGACCCATGGAACGACCAAAGGCGGCCTGGAGGTCAGTACCAGCTGGCAACTGCCCACGATGAGAGAGCATGCGCCTAAACATGTCACGCTCACGCATGATACTCTCGCATTGAGTGGTCATAGATTTGATCTCGTCTTGGTGTCTCTGAACACGATCACGAAGCTCGTCGAGCTCCTGCAAAGCTTGTTCAGTTTCCGACTGTTTGGCCTTTGCAGCTTCGCCCTCCATGCGATCGGCAAGACCACGGTTAAGTTTGAGGAGCTGTACGTTTTGTTCCTGAAGTTCTTGGACATTTCTGAAGAGCAACAGTCTTTGGCTGATCAAGGCTCCTGCAGATGTCTCGTCTGCCGCAGATGATTGATCGTCGAGTTCACCATTGGCAATCATCTGCAGTTGCATTTGACCTGCAGTGTCGAGAGCTTCTAGACCTTGATCACGAGCTTGCATCTCGACCAGGAGAATCTTGATCTGTGCACTGAGGTCGCGAAGCTGTTGACGGAGGATATCTCCTTCTCTTGAAAGTCCCTCAGCCTGACCCTTGAGATTACGTGCCTCCTTGCGTGCTTCATCACGTTCAGCCGAAGCTGCATCGAGCATGGAGGACATTTCTAAAATCTCGGCCTCAACACGCTCCTTCTCCTCACGCAGTTCTTCCTGCTCAGGACCTCTGTTTTCAAGATCGCGGATCATCTCATCGAGCTCATTGCTCAGAAGGTAATTTCTGCGCTTCTCTGCTTCGAGATCTGCCTTCATGTTGCTGTACTCACTATAGAGTTGAGTGAAGTTCATGTTGCCCTTCATGCGTGCGGATCCAGGGGTGAAGACGGCAGGCGATCCATCACGTCCAGGAGTTGCCGGTGCTAGGCCATTGGAGTTGCGTTTGGGAGTAGCCATGATTGAAGCGTTGTTTTGAGCTTCAGAGGCAGCAGCTTGGAGGCGCTCGACCTCGAGTTCCAGTTCAGCAAGTTTGGCTTCTACAGCCTCACGGTCGGCTCGTTCGGTCTCGATTTCGGCTTGAAGCTGACCAACCTCTTCTGCTGCATTCTCCTTGATTTGCTCAATGTTGTTCTGAAGATCCAGTAGGCGTGCTTTGGCAGTGTCTGCACTCTGCTTTTGAAGTTCGGCGAGTCTACGGGCGCTGTCCAGTTCGACACGGAAAGACTCTTCGGCCTTGGAAGAACTTTCCTGCATTTGTTGAATCTTGGCAAAAGCGTCATCTGCCTTTTGACCCAGCTCTTCCAGACGTTGGCGGAGAGTTGTCTCTGTACGCTTCAAGGCGTCGATCGTGGCATTGGCATCTTCGTTGGCGCGCTGCAATTCAGAAATGCGAGCATTCTTTTCTTTGCGGAATTTTGTGTGTTCGGTGGTACGTGTCTTGAGTTCAGACTCGTGCCACTCATTATTGCGTTTGAGCAAATCGACTTCCTGCTGAAGGGCTTGTTCCTTGAATTTGGTAGTTGAAGCAGCATTCTCCAAAGATTGATTCTTCTCTTCCAAAGCGGAAATATCGCGACGCAAAGAAATTATCTTTTGGTGTTGAGTGGCGAGCTCCTGAGCCAGCTCGTCGTGAGCAGTAGACTTGGATTCGAGGACGGAAAGAGTTTCGCGGTTAGAAGTTTCGAGAGAGGCGATGCGGGCACGCAGGGTGTCGAGCTCGGAATTTGAATCTGATGCTGAAGCCTTTAAGGAGTCAAGTTCGGTCTGAATTTCGGCACGAGCGTTCTCTGTTGATTGATGTTAGTAAGGCGAAAAGTGAAGAATAGAAGCCAGGGCACACACGTTGATCATCAAGAGACTTGCGCAGGTCTTGAATTTCTTGAGCGTTCTTATTGAGAGTGGCCTTGAGAGCCTTGACCTTTGACTCTCCAGCACGAACAGTGTTTTCGAGCTCGACGTCTGATCTGAGCTTGTCGGCTTTGAGGTTGTCAAAGTCCTTCGCTCTAGCAGTGAGGGTCGACAGAAAGTCCTTGATCAAGTCCTGTGTGGGAGCGTCCAGAAGAGAATCAAGTTGTGGCTCGTCGATAGAGAAGGCTTGGGCAATGAGAGCCGTATCGACGGCGCCGGCCTGGGCGCGCGTCCTCATTGTCGCAATGGTGTAGCGGCTAGTTGAATGTCATGAAGCTTTGGAAAGGCGATGCGGACGTGTCAGGGTCAGACAAGACGCGTGACGACGAAGGTGAGAATGACAATGGACAAATGCAATGGAACGACACGCAATTGGAGGCGTGGCTTGCAATGTCTGATGTGGTGAGTTGGTTGGCAAATGCAACACTGAGCACAAAGAACGAGAGCGTGCAACTGCAACGATCAAGGCCGAGCTGCTGGCGGCGCACTGACCGATGCCGTTTGCGGCTGCCTCCAACGCCGTCATGCTGGAGTTCACCTTCACTGTAGGTAATTAATCCATCAACCACGCCGTGACAACACGTGCAACCACTTTATTCCCATTTACACAGCATATTCTCTCGACACTCTGCCTGCTGCTGCTGCCGCCGCCCTCCATCAGCAGCGCTCTTTCAGCATCGTCGCCGCCTTGATTGGCCGACACTCTTGCCAGCATGTCTCTCAAGGCTTCTTTCAATAGTTTCAATAGCGAGTTCTCGGCCGCTACCACTCGCAACACACAGCAGCAGCAGCAAAAGCGCCCTACCGCCACCGTCCCCACTCCCGTACAGCGTCCTTCGACTCCCTCGACACAGCCCACAGATCTCAAGCGCAAACGTCAGGATCTCCCACAAAATGCTGCCTACTCTCAACCTGCCGACACGGGCTCGGGCAGAGAGGTCATGACCCAAGTTGTCTACGCCATCGACTACCTCAAATCCAAGGACCGTCCCATTAGCTTCACCGACATATGGAACTACCTCTCCATCCCTGCCAACCAGCAGCAGCACCGTCAAGTCTTGCGTAGGGCGCTTATGGAGCACCCCAAAGTCGACTATGACCCCAAAGGCCTGGATGGACAGCACCCTTCATTCCGCTTTCGCCCCATCCATAACGTTCGCTCTGCCGATGACCTCAAGGCCTACCTGCAGCGCCAGCATACCGCTCAAGGAATCAGCGTCAAGGAACTCAAAGAAGGGTGGCCGGATGCTATTCCCGAGATTGAGCGTCTCGAAGCAAAAGGTGAACTTTTGGTCGTAAGACAGAAAAAGGACAATATTCCCAAAATGGTCTGGCCGAACGATCCTTCTCTCGATCAGCGCATCGACCAGGACTTCAAGGATTATTGGACAAAGATCACTTTGCCAGCCAACCCTAGCGACTTGAGAATAGAACTTGAAAAAGCTGGCATCACTCCTACCAGTCAAGTCAAGGAAGTCATCAAGGTCTCGGGCGCAAAGGACAAGAAGAAGCGCACTTCGAGAAAGGTCGGCAGAAGCACCAACACTCATATGGTGGGCATTCTCAAGGACTACAACGCGATCAAGAAGTAGTCTGGCATCTTTTACTTTGTTTTTTTCTCTTGTTCATGAGTTTTAGCGTGGCGTTGGTGAAGGAAAGCATATCAAGGGAGTCTTCTTGGAAACACTGGACAATCGGCGGATGCAGCGGAAGCAAAGGATATGCCGGCAATTCGTACCTTGCAGTGTCTCTTGTGCATACGCAATACTGCCCACTTCAAAGCACGTAACTAGTCGTCTAGCTTCAAGTCCAACAATTTCGTTGCAAAATGGTATATGGCTACCAAAGTAACGAGGAGCATGCCCGTGAGAGACGTGTTATTCCCGGCAGCGTTATAGCCGCAATTGTCATGAGCGAGATCTGTCACTCCCCGCATGGGGAAAGGTTTGGGGGTCGCGGCGCGTGCTCTACTTGCACTTGTACTCATGCATTCACCGATTTGACATCCATAGAGTTTACAAATGATCACCTGCTATCTCTTGCACTCGTATCTCTCTGTCCGCCTTCAGTCTATACAAGGCTCCCCGGCCCTCCCTTTTCTTCATCTTGAAGCAGCTCTCTCGTCCTCGTCTTGACCGTGATGGATTCGCGCCGCTCTGCCACCCTTTTCGGGGTCCCAATGAAGCACCTCACCTTGCTCACTGTATGCTCTGGCTTGGTCTTGTGGACTCTTTGGATCTGAGACTAATGCTGAGTTCTAGTTGACTTTCCAGAATTCCGCCTTGATCTTGGTATGCCTGGTTCGTCGCTTTCACATACAACAACTGACACTCCGCATAGATCATGCACTATTCACGAATCATGCCTACCGTTGATGGCCAGCGGTACTATACCTCGACCGCCGTGTTTCTCAATGAAGTCATCAAACTCGCCATTTCGCTCACCATGGCTCTCTACGATCTTTCGCAAGACATGCCGTCTTCCTCGTCTGCAACCGCACTATTCACCGAGCTCATACGCCGTGTCTTCACGGGCGACAGCTGGCGTTTGGCCATACCCGCCATGCTCTACACCCTGCAAAACTCTCTACAGTACGTGGCTGTGAGCAACCTGGATGCAGCAACCTTCCAAGTCACGTATCAATTGAAGATCTTGACTACCGCCATCTTTAGTGTCACCATGCTTGGACAAACCCTGGGTTTGAGAAAATGGTCCTCGTTATTCTTGCTCACGACAGGAGTGGCCGTTGTCCAAATTCCTGCTAGCTCCAGCCCAGCCATACCCACCTTCAAAGACCTAAGACAAGCCAATGCAGGGCTTCATTTTCCTCGGACAATCCAAGAAATGCGCGACATGGGAAGCAGTGCTGCCGAGAAGCTGGTGAAGAGATCTGCCACGTATGAGGGCATCGACAAGGACTTTGCAATGCAACACCCTCAGCTCAATGCTTCAATCGGTCTAGCCGCCGTCTTGGTTGCTTGCGTATTATCCGGCCTGGCCGGCGTCTATTTTGAGAAGGTCCTCAAAGATTCTAGCAGCAAGACTTCTCTTTGGATCCGAAACGTGCAACTATCCTTCTACTCATTGTTTCCATCGCTCTTCATCGGAGTCATCTTCAATGATGGCGCTGACATTGCAAAACACGGCTTTTTTTCAGGCTACAACTGGGTGGTATGGAGTGCCGGCCTTTTGCAGGCTATCGGTGGTGTTCTCGTGGCTTTGGTTGTCAACTATTCTAACAACATCGCGAAAAATTTTGCCACGAGCATGAGCATAGTGATCAGCTTCTTAGCAAGCGTGTGGTTCTTCCATTTCAAGATCACCACCAGTGTAAGTCTCGAAAGTCCTTAACCTTGCAAGTTGCTGATCATGATGGTACAGTACTTGATCGGAACTGCAATCGTTCTTCTGGCTACCTATTTGTGGACTAGTGATCATGGGCCTCGTCCTTTGAAGATTGTGGTTGCTGAATACGAGAAGACCACCATCGGCCACGAACAGCCATACAGTGATAACAGAGGCACCCCAAATACAGCGTCAAGACCAAGCTTTAAGGAAGCTCTGACGACTAGCAGACCAAGCACTCCAGTCAATTTCGAACGTCGTGGAGGTGGGTTCAAAAGAGAAGAATGAAACAGCCTTAGAATCACTTAGATGTCCATACCAGTATACGACGACATGACTGCTTACTAATATGCGATGCACCTCGAGAAACTGTCCAGGTGAAATACGGAAGGTACTGACCAAGGCTCCTTCCCTAAATGTGACGCTCACATGCAAATTGGAGCCGATTTCGAACAGCCCCTGTTTCCTGTCGCCTGAAGAAGGCGCTGGTGACGTGACTGCCCAAGACGTGGAAGACATGTTCTTTCTCAAATTAACTCCAGAACAGTGTTTCCGTACCTCTCTCTCTCTCTCGCCTCTTCGACAACTCACAAGTCCATTGTCGAACACACCACTCATCATGTATGGATACAATCCATACGACCACTCCAGACCGTACGAGCAATATATGGAAGGCAACGTGGACGACCATGTTCGGACTGCAAGCTACGAGAACGACCGACTCATCGGCTACGGTACTCATGATTCAAGATTGTAATCAGTGAATCCTAACATCTGACCATCTTAGAACCGTCACGTCCACGCCGAACAACTACAGCAAGCCGCCAAAGCCAGGCTGAAGTTGGCAGGGCTCGACTGTCCTTACCACCATCCGCGCTTATTTCTTTTGATGCCAATGACCACCAGACATACGACCATGTATATTCGGTCCCTGACCAGTACTCAAAGGCATACATGATGGATCCGCCCGAAGAAGCACAATATACTTTCCAACCCGCAGACCCCTTCGAGTCCTCGGATCAATCATTGCACACCCAAATCCCTGAACAACAAGGTAGCAGCTCATCGCCCATGAACGCTCTGCCCTCGAGTCCAGCCTATCAAGCCAGCCAAAGGCAACAAAATCCCGGAACGATGCTTCCCAATTGGTCATACATGAAGGCACAACCAGAAAGATCGAATGTAACAGTAAAGGGTCCTCCCGTCGTCCAGGGTATTCAGCTCGTGCCTGTACATGCACTTCCAGATTGCTTCCAGACCATTTTTCCATTCGCCATGTTCAACGCTGTCCAGTCTAGTTGCTTTGAGAGCATCTACGAATCGAACGATAATTGTGTCTTTTCGTCTCCTACAGGCAGTGGCAAAACTGTACTCTTCGAGATTGCAATTTGTCGCATGCTTCGGGGTTGGCAGAATGGTACTTTCAAGGTCATTTACATGGCCCCAACAAAGTCATTATGTTCCGAGAGGGCTCGTGATTGGAAGGCTAAATTTGAGCCTTTGAACCTGAAATGTGAGGAGATGACAGGCGACTCTGATATCAACTCACTCCATCACGTCCAGCGAGCGGACATCATCGTGACCACACCAGAGAAGTGGGACTCAATGACGAGAAAATGGAAAGATCATGAGAAATTGGTCCGCCTCATAAAGCTACTTCTTATCGATGAAGTTCATATCCTCAACAAGGACCGTGGTGCTGCACTTGAGGTTGTGGTTTCCAGAATGAAATCGATTGGTTCTGGAACCAGATTTGTCGCCCTCAGTGCAACAGTGCCCAACTCACAAGATATCGCAACATGGCTCGGGAGGAACAGCGATACTCCAGATATACCTGCTGTTCACAAACGATTTGGGGAAGAGTTTCGGCCTGTTGAACTCAAACGCCATGTATGTGGCTACCAATCAACCGCGAATGCATTCGGATTCGACGCTATCTTGACCAAAAAGTAAGTTGGAGTCGGCTTGATGTTTTGTCAGCTCGCGCTGACTATGCAAGGCTTCCGGATGTGATCATCAAGTACTCTCAGGCAAAGCCAATCATGGTGTTTTGCTTTACCAGAAAGTCATGCGCAGAGGCAGCAAAGCTTCTTGCCGAGTGGTGGAGGATTAGTACACCACGAGAGAGATATTGGCCTGCACCCTCAGATCAGATCGCAGTTGAGGACAAAGGTCTACAAAGTATGTCTTCTCCCGTGACCTATCGTAACAAGGTACTGATACCTACAGGCATGGTCGCTGCTGGGGTTGCTGTCCACCATGCAGGGCTAAGTCAACAAGATCGCACTGCAGTAGAAAGAGCTTACCTTGCAGGATCTTTGAGTGTTATTTGTTGTACTTCAACCTTGGCAGTAGGTGTGAACCTGCCTTGTCACATGGTCATCATCAAGAATACCGTCGGATATGAAGCTGGAGCAATCAAGGAGTATTCGGACCTAGAGATCATGCAAATGATTGGAAGGGCCGGTCGACCACAATTTGATACTTCGGCTCTGGCTGTCATCATGACAAAGATGCAGCAAGTCAAGCACTATGAGCAGCTACTCAGTGGACAAGAGCGCCTGGAGAGCTGGTAAGTCCTGTGACACACACTCTTTGAAAATCATTAACGTGTATTTAGCTTGCACCTCAATCTTGTTGAACATCTCAATGCGGAGATTGGATTGGGAATGGTTCCAGACCTGTGTGCAGCAAAAAAGTGGCTTGCTGGCACGTTCCTCAAGGTGCGACTCGAAGACAACCCGGCACACTACCAGATCAATGGAGATACTCCAGATCGGAACCTGGGGGCTAGACTTGAAAAGATCTGCGAGAGTGCCATATCAGAACTCAGACGGCTGCAGCTCATTGAGCAAGGCTCATCCTTCAAATGCACAGAATATGGAGATGCCATGGCACGCTACTACATGAACATTACGACTATGGGGCTAATTCTGGGTCTTCCTCGGAAGCCAAAGATGTCGGAAATCGTACGTGTTTACAACTCTTCGAGTCATTCTTACCTGCTAATATGTGAACTAGTTGACTATCGTATCGCAAGCCCATGAGTTCAGGGAAATTCGATTTCGTTCGGGAGAAAAATTAACATACAAAGAATTGAACAGCAAGAATGACATTCGCTTCCCCTTCAAGATTGATCTCTCGGCCGCGGCACACAAAGTATCCCTGATCATACAAGCAGTACTGGGTCGAGTAGATCACATCGCCGAACAGGCCAATCATCGGGCTCAGTACAGTATCGACCAATACTTGATCTTCCAGCATGTTCACCGACTGATCCGATGCATTGTGGATTGCCAAAATATTGACAAGGATGCGGTTGGCATACGCAATTCTTTGATTTTATCACGCAGTCTAGCTGCTCGAGTGTGGGATGATTCTCCAATGGTACTGCAACAAATCGAACAGGTTGGACCAGTGGCAGTGAGGAAGCTAGTGGATGCAAGGATCACCACTATGGACGAGCTTTCGAGTACAGATCCAGGCAGACTGGAGCTTATTCTCAACAAGGCTCCTCCGTTTGGCATGAAAATGCACCGTCAAGTTCAGACGTTTCCCAAATTGAGAGTCAGCTTGCAAATGAATGGACAACCTGTAAGGGCCTAGAACAACACAACGCATCAAGTGGTGAGCTAACTGGCATCATCAGATCACCAAGGATCACGAGCATGTCGCTGTGAAGCTTAAGATCGATGTTGGATTCTTGAACGACAAGACTCCTGTCCACTACCGAAATAAGCCAGTTTTTGTCATCGTTCTGCTTGGCACTTCAGATGGACATAAGATTGAGTTTTTCCGCATCAGGTATACACAGACTCCGTCTGTTTGTAGCAACGATCCTAACAGGGAAATAGTGCCTCAAAGCTACAAAACATCAACCCAGTCACCAAAACCGCATACCTGACGAGTCCTACTCAACTGCTCCAAGCGTGTGTCATGTGCGATGACCTAGGTTAGTACCGTATGATACTTCATCCGGAGATCAGTAGCTAACATACTTCAGCGGGAACTATGCAAGAAGCTGTGCTCAAACCCGATATACCATTGTCAGCATTTCAATCAATCAAGGAGACTACAGCAAAGGTTGGCAGAGACATACAAGCAACTGGACCCCTGGCCAAGTTGCACTCGAGCACCGATGCTGACGAGTGGGATGATGGAGTACTTAATGACGACGATTTCATGGGCGCGGAGCCCAAGGAGGACGATTTCATGGATGTCGATGCACTTGATCAACCGGTGTTCAATCTAGCAAAGAACGGCAAGTCGAAGAACAAAACTTCTGTTACCGACACCGTCGAGGTTATGGACGAGCAGAGACTAGCGAACGGAAACTACGCTTGTAAGCACCGTTGCAAAGACAGGAATGCCTGCAAGCACAAATGTTGTAAGGAGGGAGTTGAGAAGAAACCAAAACCAAGGAAGCCCAAGGACAGCGGACCATTTACTGCGAGCAAAAGCAAGACGACTTCCACCTCATCGACGAAGGTCCAATCGAAGCTGGAGCTTCCGATAAGGAGAAAGGTAGTCAGTGGACCTGTGGAGCACCTGGACTTGTCTCAGGCTTCAGCATCACCAAAAGCCAGGGTCTCCACAGCAGCCGCACGTCTTGCCAAACTTCACAGCAGTACGACTACATCCAGCAGGGTTCCGATCCTAGGAGCGGGTTCTGTCATGCCCATGTCATCAGCTTCTAGCAGGAACTTTGCTAGACCAAAGTTCTTTCAAAGCCCGGATTCTTTGAGAAGCGTCGAGGAAGAGGCGATTAACGAGTCACCGACAATGGAGTCTATTGTCGAGTTCTCTGATGATGACGACAACGACGGAGAAAAGATACTGTCGGAGGAAGAAGACTACCTAGACAAAGACGAGGAAATGCTGGATGCAGCTTTGGTGGGCTTGGAAGACTCACGAAGCCTTCAGACTTGGAACGAAATTGTCGAACCTACACAAAATGCTCAAAGTCTAGATATGCTGGGTTCTGATGCGGACTGCCAAAACGACAACCACGAGCCAAGACTCTTGGTGACACCTCATACACAACGCGTCGACGACTTTCCAGGTGGATTTGAAGATGCAGTAGCAATGTTCGACCAGGACATGGACGACGATGACTCGACCTTGTCAGGCACGGTCAAACGCAAGCATGGTGAGGGCGTATCATCAATCTACTTCTCGGCAAAGAAAGCCAGAACAGACAAGGAAATAGAGCTACAAAGTTTCGAGGAGCAGGCACAAAAAGAGAGAAGAGACGAAGAGAGCATGGATCATAAGGAAAAGAGAGAAAAGGAAGAGCTACGAGCGTGGTTGGCTGCAGAGCTCGGAGACAGTGTCGAGATGATCTGATCAACACAGCGCGGATACTGCTTGAAGAAAGATCAAGTAAGATGGCTTGGAGGTTGTTGCTCGAGATGAGATTGTGGCATGGACAATGGAAGGTGGTGGAAGCGGTATAAGACAAGGGAGACTAGGGTGAGAGATGACGTGGGCTTGGCGGAAGTGTATATATCTTTCACATGCTCCCGGTCCAGGCAACTGCGAATAGTTTGTCGCATTGCATAGACATATTTACCAAGACCTCGTACACGACGCAAACATGTCGGTCAAGTGAGTCTGACATGGTATCAATTCAAGAGAGACCGACGCTGACGAGAGTGCAGCTGGGTGATGCTGGAGCCCTCGTCGGCGCAACCCTTTACTCCCCTCCCGCACGAGCAAACTCTCTACAAGTCACCAGCCCGTACCAGCTTTTCCCTACAGTCGCTCAACAAATTCCCTGGCAAAGAGCCCGTCCATTACTCAGCCTCTGCTGGCACCTTGTACCTCACCAACCGCCGCCTGGTCTACCTTCCCTCCACACCAACACCTCAACTCCAGTCATTCGCCGCACCTCTTCTCAACACTCACGATTCACACGTCGCTGCTCCTTGGATAGGACCAAATGTCTGGACCGCTCTCGTGCAACCCGTTCAGGGAGGTGGCATTCCTGCACATGTCCCTGCGCTAGAACTCAAGTTCGCATTCAAGGACGGAGGTGCATACGATTTTCACTCTGGTTACGAAAGAGTCAAGGAGAGACTACAACAACAAGTCGATGTCGCGAGGCAATCAGGTTATCTCCAAGGCGACGGCAGCGAGGCTGGACGCGGCAGAGGGGGAGACACTCTTGCTGCCGTTGATGTCGCAAATGTTCATTTGGACGACTTGCCTGCTTATGAGGAAACTGGTGCTTCGGCATCCATCCCTCAGCCTCCAGCTCCGGCTACCCAAACACCTGCACCGAGGCAAGCTGCTAGTCCTCCCGACTCCCATGCGCCAGAAGTTTTTACACCACCTGCTGAGCCGCCACCAGGATATGAGCAAGTGCAGAGAGAGACTGTCGAAGACGAATTGGAGAGGAGATTGAGCAGAGGTCAGATTCTTTGATTGTGACCCACTTCCTGATGCAGTTCATGTGTACGATGAGATGATACCCTACGACAAATTTCATGGCTGCTGATGAGCAATGTGTTAATGAGGAAAGGACGGATTGGCGTTTGTGGTATTCTTTTGATTTCTGCTTGCATCAGGCAGTATCAATTTAGGCTCTTTGCTGTTACAAGCACTTGATATGAAGCAGGAAGAAGTCCCATTTCCATCATTTCCTTCACTGAAACTGCTTCTCTTGCTCAAATGACACCAGGAATCCAGCGTGCACCCACCACACTCTTGTAACTCTCGTACTTTCTTCTGATGCCCAAGTCGACAGTCTCTCCATTGACAACATCCTCATTCAACATAAACTGCCTCTCCTCCAAGTCTGCACCTTCCCTGTACAGCCCAACCAAGCCGATGACGACAATAGCCATAGCCACCATTCTGACAAATCCAAAGAATGCATGGTTATGTCTCCACTCCTGCTGCATCGCGATCAAAGATCCCAGCCAACCGAGGATGTACGAGACATAGACTGGATGTCTAACCAAAGCATAAGGACCAGTATTGATAACCTCCTTAGGCGTAACCTTTCCAAAGATGACGGAAAGATTGCCCTGGCCAGTGACATGACCGCACCATACTCCTAGCAACGAACTGCCAGCTAGGAACACCCAGGATAGTAGGTGCAGTAAGCCCGTGTTTGCCGAGTGAGATACTGCGGAGGGTAGACTCGTCGCGAAGATGGACGGAAAGGAGATCAAGATGGCGAGAACAGACAAGCCTTTGACCTGAAGGAGACGGTTGGAGTTGACGAGGCCTGTGTCCGGCTTGAAGAAGTGGAGGAAGATGGCGTATGACTGGCCGCTCAGGAATAAAAGGTAGAGGATCTGGACAAGAGATGGGAACCACATGTTTTCGACGTGTATCAGCTCTTGCAACAATGTGTTTAGAAATTCAAGAGGTTTGTGATGCTGGGTCTCGCTTTATCTTGTGTGACAGATTGCCCGTTGCGATGAGAATGACATCAGCGTGTATAGACTCGGAATGTCTCAGATTGGTGGAACAGGGTCGCTCAGCTCAACCCCACACAGGAACACACGGAAACAGGGAATCTCACGATGCCGAGAGCACCAAGCAAGTGGAATGTGACCTTGAGAAAGGTTATCTTCTAACGGTCTTCCAGATGTTAATCATCAGCATAAAGCACAACACCGCAGCTTCTAGCACAAACACAGAGTGCATCTCAATAGCCACTTCCCCACATCTCCTCTTCGTCAATGACTTGGTCTTGTGCAACTGGAGCACGTCTTCCTTCATCTCTTTCGCGTTGTCTCCTCTCTGCCCTACTTGTCAAGTGAGGCGTCACTGGTGTTACAGGCGTGAACGGCATATATGGACTATACGGTGTAGCCATGCCTGTGCGAGGAGCACTCAACATGTCGCGACGCCTCTCGAGATAAGTCGTCTTTGTGACGAGACCAGGTGATGCCAATGGCATACCATCGGATTGTGTCATCACACGAAAGGGCAGTGTACCTAGAGTTGACACAGAAACATTCAACGAAGATGTTCGATTGTTGATACTGTGACCAGCTGTAGCCGCGGTATCCAGCCTGAGTTCTGTCTGCCTGGGCGCGCGACCTGTAACTCGCGGGATCTCATATTGGTAGCTTCTGGTCCTTTGTGGCTCTGGTAGAGGTATGACTCTGATCTCATCAAAGTTCTCGACATCGACAGGTGTTCCATAGCCATCATGTGTACCTGGCGTAGTCGGTGCTTCGCTTCTAGGTGGCGGACTCGGTGGCATTCCCGAGTCGGTATAGTAGCGTGGAGTCAACGGAGTGCGAACTTCTTCATCAGACACTTCGTAGTGGCGATGTTGAATGCGTAGATTACGAATTCCTTTTCGAGGACGTTTGCCTTCAATCTGAGATCCAAACGAGGATGTCCGCGTACGTGTCGACGCTCCGCCGGGAGATGCTGGCATTTGTATCCTTGGAGATGCGGGCTGGCCGTAATCTGGCCGCATGGGTGAGATCGGTGACGTCGGGTGTGGACGAGGAGAACGTGGAGGATAGATAGCTCGAATAGGACTTCTAGGCGATACGGGGCTGACCTGAGAATCTTGCAAGTGCAGATGTGCAAGAGTGGGAGCCGATGTCAGCAGCCTCGGAGGTTGTTTTCTCGGTCTGGATGATGTAGGCCCAGGTGAGGGTATCTCATCTTCTGTGACTGTAGTCCGAGATTTGGCTGCTTCCTGAGCCAATGCTGCGGCATAGAGATGCTCCAGCTCTTGTTGTCTGGCCACTCTGTCTGCCTCAATGACACTAGGGTCGAAGGATGCAACACTTTGTACTGCTGGACTGGAAGGATTACTGGCCGTCCTAGTACTGCCTTGCATGCTGCGTTTCTTCTTCAGCCTTCGAGGGCTATACCAGGATCTTTGAGAATGTGGGCTTAGTGGCGAGTCGTCGAACTGTGTGATGGATGGTTTGACCATTTCCACCGAGGTGGTCGAAGAGGCCAACAGAGCAGCTCTTCTCATTCGTCTTCCAAACGTGAGAAGAAAACATCCAAGGATAAAGATGGTCGCTAGATAGGCGGCTATGATTCCACAGATTTGCCCGGCAAGCAAGTTGTGATTTCGAGAAGCATGCGCCGACAAAGGAGGGCCGTCTTCTGGAGATGGAGCTGGTCCGTTGTCAATGTCGACCGTCCAAAGACCTGCTTGTACGGTTGGTGCTAGGACTATCGTATGAACGATATGTTGAACCAGACGAACTGGTTGATTAACCATGGTCGAGTAGTCGAGGCCAACTGTGCGCCGCAACAACAAAAGTAAGCATGGGGAGAAAAAAGAGAAGAGTCAACAGTAGGAGAGTGCTTGTTAGTATACTCCAGCAACATGGCGAGCGATTGGTGTGGCTGGCAAAGTGATTGATGGGACAGCTGCATTAGTGCGTGTGTGGCTTTGTATCTGGCGCTTAAGTTGCAGAGGGACGCCCTCAATACTTGGAGCCAATACAGCTGCAACACGATCAATACTCGACAGAGTTGGGAACACGAACCACATGTGATGAGGAAAGTTTCAGCGGAAGAGTAAAAATTTGAGGAGTGTATCTCGATGTAGGCGCCAGAATTAGCCAAAAAGGGAAGGAGGTATCGCCAAGAAGGAAATGATCAGAACCAGACTAGAATTCCAAATCGATTCTTGTGGGTATCTTGTCGCTCGCTTTTTAGTATGTATGAAATGAATAATCGAAAGTAATGCTGTACTTTTTAACAGGCTTTTAGAGGTCGTGAGGTGCGTGAAAAGGCCTGAGCGTCATTGAGCTTGCGCTGTTTCCACTGCCACTCAACCAAGACCGGGAGAAACTGCCAAAGATCGAACTCAGGCCAGAGACATTCTAAGAAAACAATGCTGGTATGCTCGTGGCATTGCCACATCATGAAATCGCTTAGTCTTTGAACGCCAGAGGTCCGAACCAGAAGATCGCAAGGAGGCGCATCATGTGTAAACGTGTGGGCATTGATGGTGTCTGCAGTGATAGTCTCGGGATCCGGGAAGACGGTCTGAGGTTTTGTAGGCTTGAAGGCAGGAGAGTGGGCAGAATTGGATGTGCGAGAAGAGGGGGGATGGTCGTCGGTGGAGGCAGCACTGATGTTTGAGTCATCCGTCTCTTCGGTGTTGTCTTCATCGGCCGAGGTCTCTTCTTGCACTTGGCTCAGTTGTGTAGTACGCAAATGGCGAGCGATGTGGGACTCGGAGAAGGGGCGTTTGCTGACTGGACGCAGAGGGGTCGAGTATTCGCGGACAGTCTCCCGAATGGCATGTGTCATCTCGTGGCGCGAGGTGTAAGGGAAGCAGACGTTCAAGACAGCCTTGGTGTTGTTGCTGGTCAGACGAACGGCATCGTCTATTGATTCCAGGACGTCAGGGCGTACGAGTTCTCTCTGTCCCAAGACTTGAATACGAGCGCCGTAGCGGTGGAGCAGCTCGCCATGTTGGGCCAGTTGGTTCAGCTTGAACTTGGCCATGTCCATGAGAGCGTCAACTTCATACTTGGAGCGCTTAAAGTTCTCGATGCTAAAGGCGTAAATGGTGACAACCTTGACTCCTGACTTGTAACAGACTTCGAGTATCTGCCCCTCGGAGTGTTAGCAATGGCAGTCCCGGATATGGGCCGAATGCAGACGTACACGAGCGAGGGCTTCAAAACCTAGATGATGGCCTTCGACCGTCTCAATATGATGGGTGCGAGCATAACGTCGGTTGCCGTCCATGACAAAGGCAACGTGCCCTGGAATAGGCCCTTGTCGCAATGCTCCGATCAGCAGCTCCCTAACCCGCTGAACTGCCCACTCTGCCGGGGGAGAAGACAGAAGCCATCTACTGAGGCGCGTCAGGTGGGCAGAGGACATGTCGACGTTGCTTTGGGGAGAAGAAACGTAGACGTCGTGTCAATGGCTTCCATGATGGAACAAATGCCATGGCCCAGCTTGCCATGGACTCCTGCGTCAGCTCCTCGGCTGCGCCTGCCGCGTCTCCTCATAGTCGCGAGACCGCGAGACCATCGGGCCATCACCACCACATGTCCGTCTGCCAAGCCCCGCCATCTCCGTGCGCCGCTCTCGAATTCTCTTTGTTGCTTCCGCCTTCAACAACCTTTGCACCTTGCTTCCACCACACGCTTCTGTAATTTGTTCCTTCATATCTGATCAACATGGCGTCCATCGCCGAAAAGCAGCTGCAGAGCTTGCTGGACGGCTTTGACGCCTTGCGACTGGAATATCAGCGTGTTTATTCACGATGTGCTGTTCTCGAGGCCCAGCTAGTCACGGCAAAGTCACAGGTCAGTCCACCAAGCTCTCTTTGCCCAGCACCTTTCTCCTTCTTGTGATGAACAACCTTTAGCTCTAGACCTGCAGCTGTTCGCAGCTTTGACAGACAACACACCATAGCATGTTACTGATTCTCCCTACCAACTTCGCCATCAACTTTCACCCACTTCTTGCCGGCACACCAGCTGACTCAAACAAACAGTACTCGCGCCTTGCCGCCCTCAGTCCTGAAAAGGCCGAGCCCCTCGATCTCTCAGCTTCTGCAGCATTCCCTTTGGCTGTTGATTTCGAGAGCTTGATAAATAGTTCTAAGATAGTTGACGCCAGCCGTCGTGACAAAATCACTGCCGCTTCTCGTACCTCAAATTCGCTGCGTTCGGCTGGCGTAGTCATCCATTCTGGGCCTTCGGCCGACAAACCTTCCGCTCCCACATCATCTGCTGCCATGCCCTCCATATCAGAATCACCACTCGAACAAGACTTCACCGTCCCGGGTACTCCGAGCAGACTTGATTGCCCTTTCGCTTCCATGGAAAGGCGTAAATTGAGCTCGCACGCCGCTTCAGTTGTGTCTCGTTATAAGCCCGAGTCTGTCCGACAGACGCGCACATCCGGCTCACGTATCAATGGACGACGCGGTTCCTCCAGCGCGCGAACTTCGGTTGTTGATCCTATAAAAGAGGTTTGTGCCATGGAATCACACAAGAAGGCCCCCGACGCCGCACCTTCAGTCCAAGGTTCATCTGCCGACAAAGTTTGTCCAATACGTTTTCTCGATCAACACAGCCCAGAGGAAGTCGCCGCCTATTTTGAGCTACACAAACATGAACTTCCCAGGAGCCACGAGATATGCGTAAAGAGATATCAAAGCAACGAGGAACAAATTCGACAGCTCGATGCAAAATACGGTAATATCGTCAGCATGATTCAAGGGCTTGGTCAGAAACACGTATCACTCTTGCCTGAGAACCTGGGTGACGAACACTATGAGGCCGAACAAGACTTTGATGAAGACGAGCGTGCAAGTCATGAAAAGATACGTAAATGGGCCAGCACTGTATACACAGGTCCGGATGCTCCTGCCGAAGAGAAGAAGGATGAGGAAGAGACCGAGGAAGAGCGACTGCCTCGTTTCGATCGGCCACTGAGAGACGTGCGTCTAGGCGAAAGCCCAAGTCGGCCTTGGGGCATCCAAGTACCAATTGAAGCACAAGATCGTCGTCACAGTGCACTATCAAGCGTAGCAGCTGCTGCAAAGCCCGAGACCCCCCAGGCGCCAGTCGAAGCTCAATCGAGAAAACCTAAAGGCAGATGTCCATTTGGTTTTGATCAACAAAAACCACTTGGACAAGACGAGGAGGATAAAAATGTCGACAAACCCATCGCCGAACCAGACCAAAAACAACCACTGGCCCTCAATGTGGAGAATGTCGAAACCAAACCTACCTTCATTCGACAAGCTCAATTCGAGGCATCCAAGGAGAGAGACGTTGAAGGACAGCCAGTGTTCATCAAGACAGAGTCTGGCGAGCAGAAGAAAGAGGCGGCATCAATGGTGTTTACAGGACCCGTTTTCATTGGCTACTCAGTGCAAGAGGCCATGACCGTACTGCAATCGCTGCAACGAAATTAGAATAATGAAGTAATGCCAGAAATGATTCACGACTGTTCATAGCAATTCATTTTTTTTTCCAGAACTTGAAGTATTGTATCCAGCAGTGTTGAGTGAGTTTGAAATTGGTCGTGTATCGTTGATATCATCTGAAATTGGGGTCTCATCACTGCAACTTGCCTAGCGACACATTGTAGAATTCCTCAGCAGGAATCGAACGGTGAATGGAAGCAAGGTGAAAGAGAAAAGAGAGAAGTGAATGGACATGAAGTTGAGGGGACCATCGGAGCGGCTCTCATTGGTCAAAGTCAATGGTCCGTGCATGGGGAACGTCGAAAGGTTCGCAGTGCCGCCTCTTCGACAGCAACGACAGTCAACACATTCAGAGTCGCCTCATCACCGCTACCATGGGTATCTTCGACTACGTCTCCGACCTCTACTCGTCTCTGTCCGTCCAGTCATGCGAGGCTGAAGTTCAGGACGACCACAAGTACGCCTCGGGCGACTTCAACTCGTCCAAGGACCAACAGAACGGCATGGGCACTGCTCAGCAGTCCCGTGGCGCCACCACCAAGGGCGGTGTCAGCCTCGACACTCCCGCCTCTGGCACCGACGAGGAGAGCGACTCCGAGGCCGACGCCAACAAGCAGGACGCCAAGAAGCCCGAGGGCTCGAGCGAGAAGGGCCACACCCCCGGCGAGGGCGGTGCTGCTTCTGGTCAGGTCGGCGCCGACAATGCTGGCCCTCACGGCGGCCCCGTTGGCAAGGACGATGACGAAGAGGAGGAGGAAGAAGAAGAGGAGGACGACGAGGAGGAGGATGAGCCCGAAGACCTCAAGCCCAAGCTCGAGGAAGGTACGTCAAGGAGCCATTGACCCTGCGGACACAACAAGAGACATGTCTGACAAGATGACAGAGTGCGCCAACTCAGCCGAGTGCGCTCCCTACAAGCACCACTACGACCACTGCGTCGAGCGCGTCACCAAGCAGCAGGAGGAGAACGGCAAGGCCAACGAGGACTGCGTTGAGGAATGTGAGTCAATAATTGTCGTCTGCCAAGCAAGCAATTTCGATGGCAATGCTGATGTCTGTGTCTAGTCTTCCACCTTGCCCACTGCGCAACCGCATGCGCCGCCCCCAAGCTGTTCAAGCAGCTCCGATAAACGAGACGCGCGCCCTTAGGCCTCATCAAGCAAGTCGACTTTCTATGCCGAGGAAGCGATGACACTACCCTCTTGTACAAAGCATTTTCTACACGACGAATTGTACTATTTTTTCCTTTCTGTTCCCTAAGCCTCTAGATGCATCGTTCCCGAGCGGTCAAAAGTGTGTAGCATAGAGTCTGTATGCCCAATTGCTTCCAACATTTATCCAAGTACAGTCCATGTCTTTCGACAAGACGAAAACGCCATGTAATTGTGACGCAGGGTCTGCGAGGTTGCAGAGGTCGATTGTCGTGGTGAATGCAATTGGCCCTCGGGCTTCGGATATGACGCAGCACTTAGTAAAGCTCTGGAAGCTGTGTGTGGGCTGCTCTTTGCTCTCTGCTCTCGACGTTTGACTCTTGTTCTTGCATCCCATCGACGAACACAATCGCATTGATCAAACATGTCTTCGGCCGCCGTCTTCCGCAACTCTGCCATGCGCTCTGCTCTTAGAGCCACCGCTCCTTCTGCCACCAAGCGTGCAGCCATTGCCAGCACCACCTTTACCCGCGGCAAGGCCACTCTGCCCGACCTGCCTTGTAAGTTGCGGCTCTTACGCTTCTTACACCTCGCTCTTGAACTGACCACATAATGCAGACGACTATGGCGCCCTCGAGCCCGCCATCAGCGGCCAGATCATGGAGCTCCACCATTCCAAGCACCACAACACCTACGTTACCTCGTTCAACGCTGCTTCCGAGAAGATGGAGGAGGCCCGCGCAAAGAACGACATCCAGACCCAGATCGCTACCCAGCCTCTGATCAACTTCCACGGTGGTAAGTCCATCTGCTCTGCATCAGCCACTATCCACAATCCTCTGACACTACAATCACAGGCGGTCACGTCAACCACACTCTCTTCTGGGAGAACCTCGCTCCCAAGTCCCAGGGTGGTGGCGAGCCTCCATCAGGCGCCCTCTCCAAGGCCATCGACTCCCACTACGGCAGTCTCGATGCCATGAAGGAGAAGTTCAACGCTGCTCTCGCCGGTATCCAGGGCTCTGGCTGGGCTTGGCTGGTCCAGGACACCCAGACTGGTGCCATCCAGATCAGAACCTACGCAAACCAGGACCCCGTTGTCGGCCAATTCAGACCCATTCTCGGTGTTGACGCTTGGGAGCACGCCTACTACCTCCAGTACCAGAACAAGAAGGCCGAGTACTTCAATGCCATCTGGGATGTCATCAACTGGAAGGCTGCTGAGAAGCGCTTCAAGTAGACGACTGGCTTATGCTTTTAACGACATTCTTAATCACGCATTGTACTGTATATAGTCGTATCCGAGAGGCAATGGCCCAGATTTAATTATTCCATCAATGATGTGCAATTCATAAGTAAGACCGCTTGAATGCGATTGGATCAACATACACGTATTGTGGCCTGGATCATGATGATTATCATGCAAACAATCTTTCAACTCATGATACTATAACCGCTTAGAATAACAGTATAACAGAAGAGCAGGTATAATCTAGACCAAAGGCTTCTCCATGGGCGCGATGATGCCTTGTTTGACAACAACTCTGGGTCTGGTGTTGCGTTGGAAAGTCTCCTTGGTCGTCCATTCGGGACCAACAGGAACACGCAGACTCCTCTCATACTGCTCCCTCTTCTCGAACTGATGAGGCAGTGTACTGGCCAAATACTTCTTGCCCTTCCTCTGCTGAGCTTCCGAGATAATGACATTGTTGAGCTTGGCGTCTTTACGATTTGCTGCCTTGACACCCTCGGTGACCTTCTTGTGCAGAGGATTGTGAGCGATGCGTTTGTTTTGCTTTCTCGTCGCTTTGGAGAGACCGGTACCAGTCCATGAGCCCCAACCGGGGAGGAAAGTGGATTCAACCTTGTCGCCTTCATCTTCGATCTGAGCGTCCTTCTCTGCTTCGAACTCAACAGCGACGTCGTCACCGGCAAAGGCACGTTGGTGGAAGAGAGCTTGCTCATCTTTGGAGGAGAGCATAGGATTTACTCTGTTGTCCTCCTCGGCATCGGCTTCTTCTTGATCGTTGTCGTATTTGACTGTTGCCCAGCCTTCGGTCGAGGGAGCTGTGGTCTCGTTGGCTGCGGGCTTGGTCTTTTGCTTCTTTGCCTGGGCCTTCTTTCCGGCGGCAGCAGGTTTTGCTGCTACTGCAGGTGTGGGTGCGGCCTTGGAAAGATCAAGCATCTCCTCATCAGCAGCCTTCTTGCTCTTCTTCTTGCTCTTGGAAGAGCCCGTCAGCCAGGCGTTCTCTTCTGGCTCTTTGAGTTCGTCAACATCGGCAACGACCTTCTGGGCACTCTGGAGGAATGATCTCGGCTTCCTTGACTGAGGAGCAGGCTTGGTGTCTGCTTGATCGCCGACCTTGATCTCAGCTTCGGCTTCCTCTTCATGATTGTCCTCCTCATCCAGAGTCTTGTTCTCTTCGAGCTCGCCACGAGGAACAGCCTTGAAGGGATTGGCGGAACCTTGCTTGGGCTTGGGTCCGAAAATGGCACGGCCAACAGTGGTATCCGCTTCTTGTTCGCTCTCACCATCCTCGTCAGCCAACTCCTTGCGCAGACGCTCGATATCTTCATCGTTCTGAGCCTTTCGTGAAGCTTCAGCTCGGAGCATGAAAGCCATGTTGCCAATCTTGGACTTTTCTCCATCTTTGGCACCAAGCTTGTCAATCTTCTTAGACAGACGTGCTTTCTCGAGTTCGTCATCGTCGAGCTCCTCGTCGTCGTCATCACTGACGCTGATATCAGAGTCGTCGCTCTCACGCTCGTACACATCTTTGCCCTCGATTCTCCTCCTGAGCTCCTCGTTGCGTCTAGCCATGTCAATAAGACCCTCTCTAGCGTCCTCGTCCCAGACGGAACGGTTTGACTTCTTCATGGCCTTTGACCACTTGCTGTCCTTGTGCTTGGTGCCCATTCTCTCCTCAGCACGTCTTCTGTCCTGTCTTTCCTTCTCATCCTCGTCCTCGATGCCTTCAGCTGCAAGGTAGTCACGCTCGGCGGCCTCGGCACGCTCACGCTCCTTACGATGCACACGACGGTAGGCCTTTGACTTGATCTTCTTGACACGCTTGGCCTTGACTTCCTCCCTGAAGAGCAGTTCTCTTGCCTTGCGAAGCTCGGCGCGTCTGGCCATGACTTCCTCGATGGGAATTTTGTTCATTTGAAGCTCCTCAAATTGTTGAAGTTGGTCCTCCTCCTGTCCCTGCTTTTTCTTGTTGCTGAGACCACTCTCCTCAAGGATGTTCTGAATGGCGCTTTCAAGTTCGTTGGCAGGCTTGTCTTGTTGGATGGGAAGCATCTTCTGAGTACCGACAGCCTCAATGGCATTTGGATCTGCCAGGGGGAACTGCAAGAATTCGGCTCTGCGGTTTTGGATGACAGTGTCGCGCCATCGCTCCAAGGTCTTCTTTGTCTCTTGAGTAGCAGCAGCTCTATCCAATTTGTCCTGTTGTCTCTTAGGTAGCGGAGCGTCAAGCTTTCCAGGGATACCTGCGCGCTTGGTGATTTTTTCGGATGTAAGAATTTTGAGCGATTTGCGAAGGGCAGGATCGGTGACGGTAGGTAGCAGATCAGAAATCTTAAGCTTCTGCGAGGCGGACAGACCATATGCTGAGGGCTCTTGCGACTCGTGAGCGTCCTGTGTACGTCCGCCAATGCGCTTTTCTGGGTTGTCCTTGTTCAGCGAGGCGACCAGATCCTGCAGCTTGGACAGCTTGGTAGCGTCGTCTTCTCCATCATCTTCTTCAGACTCGTCGTCCTCAGATTCTTCCTCCTCCTCATCCTCGTCGTCAGAGTCTTCTTCCTCGGACGAATCGTCGCCATGCTTCTCCTCGGTCTGCATGAGGTCGTCCTCGTTGTCCTCGTCGAGCATAGTGGCTAGGTCGACACCCTCATCGCCAAAGTCGCTAGCCGAGTCCTCCTCATCGCTGTCGCCGCCTTCGTCGAGATCCATTTCCGAGGTGGGTTGAGGTCGCTTCTTCTTTTTCGAGAGACCGTTAGTCGAGCTTCCTCTGAATGTAAAGCCTTCGAAACGCTCTTCGTCGCTCTCTCCAAAGGCTTCGTCACTGTCGAGGTCGCTGTCGCTTTCTTCGCCAATGTGACCACCCATGCGCCATTCGTTGCCTTCGCTATCGCTTCCCTCGTCTGTTTCCTCATCTAAGCCTCCTCTTTTGCCAGTACCAGTTCTTTTGTTCACAGCCTTTTGTTGCAGTCGTCGGGCGTTGCTGGCGTGTTCCTCGTCGTTGTCGTCTTCGTCATCATCTTCGAGTCTTCTACGCTTCTGGCGAGGTTCACCAACAGAATCGCCCAAACGATGCTGACGGACTTTATATGTGTCGGGAGCGGAATGCGAGGCGATCGAGTAAGCGTCAAGAGTTCGCTTCTGAGACTTTTTGCGAGCGTTGTTGGGTTTGGCGATTGATACGCTCGAGCGAGCAACACGAGCAGGCATGATTTCTCTGCTTTGCAACTTTACAAAAAATTGCAAAGATCAAAGTCTCTAAACGGGCGTCTCCAGAAAATGGTGATAGCGGCAAGGCAAAAAAGTTGTGCCAAGCCGCTAAAAGTTGGTTAAAGTCCGCAAGACACCTCCGAGTCGCAAAGTGCTAGAGAAGCAGCAGCAGAAGCAGTATCGTCAACCAGTCGCATCTCGCACCGTCGTCAACATGTTCACTCCTACTCCTTCTCTGGCACGCGCCCTCCGTCGTCTTGCTCTCACCACCAAGCAAGCGGGCAAGGACTACTACAAGGGTACTGGCTCAGGCTCCATGGGTCGTCACACCAAGTATGGTGGCTACCGTATCGACTGGTCAAAGGTCCGCACCTACGTTGTTCCTGACCTCTCCGACTTTCACGTACGTCTCCCTCTTTGGCTGTTCATCAATCGTGCAGCTGTCTGACACACACGCAGTTGAAGCCCTTCGTCGCCGAGAACATCGACAAGCCCACAAAGACTCACGAATACGCCGGCTCCGTCAATGGAAAAATGTACCTCGATGCATGGAAGTACCAGGGCGGCGACATCTAAAAAGTTCTGCCAACCACAACATCTACTTTTCTTCGTTACATCTGCCAGGCTTTACCTTATGATACCCATGGACACTGCATCTTCTCATTTCCCCACTACTTTTGTACATTCTCTTCCCTCTTCCATTCCTGTTGCATCAAAAGAATCATATCTCTGCAGGAAGAACATATGCATTACAGACGTGGCCCTTTCCTCCAACATGAAAGCCAATAGAATGCACAACCTTCGCTGTACATTATGCTTTACAATGAAAACAAACATTTTTTGATCCAGGACTTCAATATACTAAACTTAATTGTGCATTTTGACGCTCTTGATCCTCACCTTGAACACGAGGAAAGAAGTAGTATACAGTGGCGCTTGCCTTGAGATTATCTGGGTTACCAATTAGATAAACCAAGAAGATCATATTGAAAACAATGCAATAAACTGGATGATGGAATTCTGATTCTTGATGCTCGGCCGTGAAATACGTAAGTTATGCTTAGAAGTTTGCAATGAATGAATGACAATGACTGTGGCTGGATGCTCCTCATGCAATCTTGCGATTGCTCCTCTCTCGCCCGGGCGCAAGAGCATCAAGTAAAACCATCGAAATGCACAAATGTGTCCTGTATCAGAACCTGGCCACTGAGATGAAGTTATTCAGATATAGAAAGTCTTGTCGCGCAGGTTAGAATGAACACCATGGGTCCAACCAGCTGTTTGAGCGTTGTAAGCCACAGCATCCGCACCCTGGTTCTCGTTCAAGATCGAGTAGAGATACATGCGGCCTCTCTCGCAGATCAGATCGGCGTAATATGCAGGAGGGCATATGGAGACAGCCTTGGTGGCGCGATTGAAGTTGTAGCACAACTTGTGGACGAACGATTCGAGCTCGTTTTGACCAAATTTCAGTTCGTCCTTGAGGACAATGTAGTGAGCAGGCCTAGCGGTCCCTTGCAAGCCCTTGTGGGCCTGGAGAAAGAAGTCCCAGAGGTAATGAGAAGTGACTCCGCGATCGACCACAGTTCCAGGCATGGGGTTGCCCGATTTCTGGTCCATTGATCTGCTGTCTGTAGGATAGAACCTGGTATGGTGCCTCTTACCAACAATCAGGATAGTCAAGGATGGGGGGTTAGAGCCATAAAGCTTCTTGAAAGCCTCTTGGATCGGGGGCAGTTCGCGGTCCAGGACGAGATTGTATTGCCCCTCGGAGACACCATCACGGAAGATGATAATCTTCCTGGGAAGCTTGTTGTTGTGCTTGCGCCAAAGCTCTAGGCGTTCGATCATCATCTCTGTCAGTCCTTGCACCATCTCCTCCCTTCCTGTTTGACTGCGCAACGAACCAGGCCACTGAGACAGTTGCTCATCCACGCTAGCCACGACACCAGCGATACTGGGGGCTCTGTCCACTGACCCCGCAGATGGGTGCGTTACATCGATGCCAACAAGCATGCAGTCATTGTTTCCAAGAGGGTACATGTCGCGCTGGGTTTGAACGACACCTCCACCCTTGATGTTGAACTTGAGAGCAAGGTTGCCCAGGTACATGTCTTGCCCCTTGGGCTTCTGAATCTTGGATCCGACTGAACAGATAGTCTGCACACCAAATTTGACATCGCCCCAAAACTTGATGCGGCTGTAGAGCCATTTGTCAGCTTCCTTGAGAACGACGAAGAGAAGTTGTATATTATGCTTTGCAGCATTAGTAAAGACCTCTTTGAGCTTGTCATCGATGGCCTTGCGGTTTTGCTCGTTGGGACGAGCAATGTTGATGTTCTGAGTCTGGAGACGCGAACCCATACGAACTCCATATGTTTTTAGATGGTGCTCAAGAGCCTTCAATATGCCCTCGCCGCCAAGGACAGGAGCACTCTGCATCTGGGCGCCCTCGGGAAGCAATGCGTTGCCCCTTTGGTCATTGTAGTTGACGATAACACATGCCCACAAGCCAAAAGAACCAGATTTGGAAAACTTGACATTTATCAAGTTCCATGACCCCTCCCTGGCTTGTAACTCCTTGTTTCCATAGTACACTCTGGGCGTCGGCAATATGCGACCAGGAACGGTGATGAGCTCCTTGCCGATGTCAATGCCGAAGTTGTTCAAAACTTGTGCGGGTCCATTGAAACCCATGGTTCTGAGTCCGTTACCTGGCGTGCCTGCAATGGATTCCGCATTGAGACGGGGAGCTCTAGCAGCGAATCGAAGCATATGCTCGGTCTGGCTTCCTGAGAGCAAGCGTCTGACGGGCTGACCAGGTGAAACTGTCGCCAGCTCGATCGGCAGATATGAGGGATCACTTCTGGTGCCTACATTGAGAACAGGCAAGTCTGGATGTTGAAGAGTGATGCCGTGATGTTTCTTGAAGTAATCGAACACAGAAATATTACGAGCTGCAGCTTGAGGGGTCTTCGGATCCGTCCAGGAGAAAGTGACAGTTCTGGCATCGCCGTTCCTGGGACGTGGAGCCAGACCAACAACGCTCTTGAAGCCAGGCACAGTCTGAGGGCGTCCCTGAACAACCCTCTTGGGCTTGCCGTCTGTGTCGAGAGCCTTGAGGTAGTTCGTCTCGACGCGAAGCATGCGGATGAAAGCTTCAGCTCTTACCACGTCGTATGCTTTTGGGGCTTGACCAGTGTAACCACCAACGTACTCAGAGACGAGGTCCATGAGGGGTCCAGGCTTGTAGAAGGCTGCGCTTGCGACGTTAAGGTTGACCAAGATTCTGTTTGATGAAGTGCGGACACTTGCATAATATCCACGAAGAGCTTGAAGGCCACCAGTAATGTCGACCTGCTCCATCAATGGCGAGCCAACACCTGGATAGTACTTATTTTGACCGAGAGAGTAAACGTTGGCCGTGTCGTTAGGTGTTTTGCAAAGAACAATATTCAATAGCTGCACAACATCACCTTGCGCTCCTAACCAGGCGCCTGCCTGTACAGCTTGGAGGGCGCGCACAAGATCAGCCAGACTGAACTCTCCTGTCTTGGACAGCTCGTAGCCCTTGGTACGACGACTCCTGACCTCCTGGGCCTGCGCATTGTCTGGGCCTTGGAAAGCAGGTAGAGAAGGATCGATGACTTCAATCTTGCCTTGTTTGCGGTCGGCAGGGCCAAGGTCGAGCTTCTTGGTCGTCACAATGATGCCCGCGTAGTCTGTCGCAACCTGACGACCAGCAAAGAGAGGGTCCCTGATAAGATTTGTAACGAGCAGACGCATCTTGGGTTTGCTGAGCCTTTCGCCGCCGACTATGCCAACTGCGTAGCGATAGAGTGGCACTTCCTGCTTACCAGTCTCGAAGGCGGTCTTCAAATGCAGGTAATTGGCACGCAGCACAATCGAGATACCCTTAGTACCATGGCCTGGGCGTCCTGGAAACCGCTCAATGATCTTTCCTGACGTCTCCAGAACGCGTTTGTCTTCGAGAGCTTGCACCTCCTGGTTCGGCTGAGGAACATTGCCTTCGCTGTGATGGAGTTAGTATTCGGAAAAGCTGAAGATGAAGCTGGAAACTTACAGGAAAATGCTGTTGCTCGGAGGCCCAGAGTGGATTGGGAGTCTGAAACCTCCTCGACCACGTCCACCACCACCTCGGCCACGTTCTCCTTGGGAGCCACCACCACGGTCACCGCGATAGGAATTACCGCCACGATCTCCTCGAAAAGAGCCACTGCCACGATCGCCACGTGAGGCAGAGCTTCCACGATCACTGTAACCACCTCCTCTAGGAGCACTGCCGCCACGACCACCAGAAAACTCACCACGATTGGAGGGACCTCCACGATTGCTGTCTCCACGACCGCGGCCACCACGACCGCCGCCTCTATCTCCACGCTGTGGGGCTGACATGCTATAAACGACTGAGTAACAGACTTAGCTCAAATTGATCGATGAGGAATAAGTTGGAATAAGGAACGATAGAATAGACCAGCCGCGGTATCGTTGATATATGAGCTTCTGGTGGATCTGATTGCCGCAGCGACTGCGGACAAAGAATTGACCAGGCAGCTTCAAGAGGCCGACAGCTGCAGCAAGCTGTTTCAGCACCTGCGGAGAAGATACTTGCATCAAACGAATAGCACGGATGTCTTGAATTGATGGATCGGTTTGTTGCTGAATGGAATCCATCGCTGGAATTCAAAGCAGGCAACAACCTGCACGATGAGAGCGCGTCTGACACGCGTGCTGAGGGGCAGCTTTGAGCGAATCAATCAAGGATGATCCTTGACGAGCAAACACCATGACATACGTCAAGTTCTTGATGCAGCGGCTAGGACACACTCATCTGGAGCAAGACAGAAGGAGAATCTGATATTAAACGGTCTTGCGGATCCGAATGAGGCTCAATTGACGGGTCGTACAGCATATGCCTCTGCCCAACGAACCATTGTTTAGAGGTGCCCCGACCAGGTACAGCACATGCTGCCATGCTTGTGTGACCTGTCTCCAACTTGAAAGACCTGCAGGTTGCTGTATCACAATCAATCAAGAAGTAAATGTGACACCAGCAGATGGCTGTATGATCCACTTTTGTGGAGCTGTGACCAAATCATACATTGCAGCGTGTTTTTACCCCCTTCCCTTTCATATAGCAACGAGCATCTCTAGACTATGAGAAGGCATAGTTGCTTTTCGAACCAGAGGCATGGCCAAAGAGAGCCAAGAATATGTTACCTCCCAGTGGATACTATCCTGCTTTCTGATAGTATTGTGCATTTTCATAGCATGCGTTACATAAAGACATGGGGTAAGCTAGCATCTGAAGCATGACCTACCTGTCAGATGGACAGAAATGCTTTGTTGACCAGCGATGTCCAAGGCGCCAAAGTTCAAACCGCGACTGGTCTTCTGCGAATTGTACAGTGAAGATCATGCTTTGGTCCAAAGAACACCGCCTCGAGCAGAGTCGTCAGTGCGTAATAGCTAGGAACGGCAATACCTCGATATCGAAGCTGAAAGCAATGAAAGCGCATGAGACTCTCTAATTAAAGTGAATATCGTGGAAAATGTTGCGATGGTTGTTATTCGCTCGCAGAACAATGCAACAAGGCTGCTTTGGTGGCTGGAGTGCGCCCGAGGCGAGCCGCGCTTCCTCAACGGCTGTCGGGGAGCATAAACATCTTCAACCATGACTCCTTTCACAAGACCAAAGGCAGCTTTTGCCAAAAGCGACGATCGGCACTTGTCTTTGTGGCGTTCTTGTCCAACAACCTCTGAGAGAGGGGCTTGAGGCTCAACCCTCCCTCTGCGATCGACTTCGTCTTGGGCCCCTAGACTTACTCAAGGAGGGCATAACATTCCTCTCGAGGGCGCGCTGAGCGCGTCCTTCACGCTCTGTGAAAACCATCCATCTAGATTCTTCGGTCCATGTAAGACACTGGAGTGATCACGTCTACCATTCAAGCTCGTCCTGTGCTCCTGCACTCGTATCATAGAATGCTAGACTAGTCTGCCAGGAACGTCCTCTCTAGGCATTTTTTTTTTTTTTTTCAGACGCAAGGCGAGTCACGTTTCCATGATCACTATACCCCCCTTCACTCGACTCTCTTGACCATTCTGAGTAGGTTGCAAGGAGGGGATAATGTCTTTTAATCACAGGACGTCCCTAAAATCTCACTCTTCGACGCCTGTTGCGCCCTCTGACCCACCCCCCTTTAAACGGCCGTATGCCAAGTGGCTGCTCTCTTGAGTGCTAACACTAAACATCCGAACATTTATATGACCTTTGGACTCCCCAGTAGATGTGCTAGAAGAACAGCCAACACGTTCATTATGACTCGTTCTGTCTTTTGTTTGCTCTTATTCTTGAACACATTTTTAGTCACATTTATCAAAGCTGCGCCTCTTATCAGCGATGCCAACTGGGAATCTGAATATGACTGTGAGGCTGAAACCAAGAGTCCACAGACACAGTCGACACATTCTTCAAGGTCTATGATCTCTTCTGCTAGCAGTTTTACACCTGTATTGTCTACCAGGCGACCGGACACCTCCTTCTATTCGCTCTCGACCACTGTTCACTTGACATCTCTGAGCTCGTCTGCAATTCAGATTGCTTCCTCGACAGTGGAGCCTCAAACTTCAGGTGTACGTTGTTGCTTTTTTTCTAGCTCCCAGAACCGAAAACATTGTCAGAAAAGGAAGGAATGACCAGCACTGAGGATGGCTTGGCGAGGTCCATTTCGTAGGAAGAAGCCTGCCTAGATATATTCGAGCCCTACATCAATTGCTCTTGCTTTTTTATAACTCAGTCTTTATCCGCAACTTTTGGACATGGGCAAAATTATCACAAGCCTGCTGCATAGTTCTGCGTTTCATTCTAGCTCCGCACATTTGAATGCTGACGCCCATCGCAGAGCATTATATCTTCCCTGGAGACTTCTGGCAAGAGTTCTGTCCAGCCTTTTCCTACATCAGTAGCATCTGCTTCAACTCCACTATCTCTTATCAACACCGCTAGTACATCATTGCCTCATCCGGTTGTCGCCTCACCGGTTTTGACGATGTCTGTGGACAACGTCTTCGCAGCATTTGCAAGCGGTCCACCTCCGCCTCAAATTCCCCAAAGAACCGACCATCCTGTATCTCATTCCATGGTTGCACCACAAAAAAAGAAACTGCAGACAAACAAGTTTTATGCCAATTTCTTCTTGGGTTCTCAATCTTCGACTACATTCACCCATCCCTACTCCATAGCTTGGTCAAAGGGTTCCGGTGTGCTCAAAAGCTATGGCCTGGCTGTCAGTCATATAGTGAGGTCACAACTAGCATACGGCCCTGGAAATCCGGCTCGATATTTCATCAATCCTATTGGCATACAGTCGATTACACTTTCTGCTTCTGAGCTGAATACCACGACTCAGCTCACAATGGATTCTCTGGATGCTTTCTCTGCCAATGTTAACCTTCTGCCACGTCCGGGTGCTGCTCCAGCTATCACTTTTCCCTTGGTCCAAGGAATGGCATTCGTGACGGCTGTTTACAGCAGTAGTACACCACGTATCGAGAGCGTGATTTCTTTCACTAGTGTCACCTATGTTGGGCGCATGCCTTCTGGCTCGACCTACAAGTATCAAGCAAAACTTGCCGACAGTACCTTGTGGAACATTTATGTCACAACCTCTCAACCTGGATATCCTGTCAACTCATTTACTCTGACCAATGTGCGAGTACTGCAAGGAGCTCCTAAATTCCAAGGTTTTATTCAAGTCGCCAAAGTGCCCTCTGCTGATGCTGAGTCAGTCTACGACGAAGCAGCAGGCGCATATCCAGTTTCTGCAACGGTAGCCGGTTCTGTGGCAGGGACCACTGGAACGTACACGTTAACATGGACCAAACAAGGCGTCGCTAACCGTACTTTACTTATGTTTGCTCTGCCTCATCACGTGCAAAGTCTTGCTTCTGGCTCTACGACCAATGTCAAGCTCCAAACTACAACCAAGGGAATGGCCACGGGTATCGTAGGAAACTCATGGACTCTGGTCGAGCGAGCTTTGCCAATAGGCATGAGCTTTGCTCCCTGGTCAGTCTCCTCGGGTGGAAACAGCAAGGTCTCAGCTGAAGCTGTTGGATTGATTAACAAAGCGGGTGAGAGTGAACTCAGTCAGGATATGGAGAAGCAGTCAGACCTCAACTCAATGTACTATTCTGGAAAAGCACTCGCCAAATTTGCCGCTATCGTCTATGCAGTGCATGACATTGGTAAAAACGCAACTCTATCCATCAGCGGACTTCAGAAACTCAAGATAGCTTTTAACACATTCGTTCGCAACGAGCAGGTCCTTCCTCTTGTTTACGAATCATCCTGGGGTGGAGCCGTTTCTAGTGGTACTTATCAAACTGGTGACTCAGGTCTCGATTTTGGAAATACGTACTACAACGATCATCATTTCCATTACGGATACTTTGTCTATGCGGCCGCTGTGATCGGATATCTGGACCCCAGCTGGTTGGATCAAGGCACGAACAAGGCATGGGTCAACACACTGGTTCGAGACTACTCCAATTCTGTGACTACAGATGCATACTTCCCTTTCTCTCGATCGTTTGATTGGTAAGTTGAATTGAATTTATGGACACCACGACTAGTGCTGGCGTTCTGTCTCAGTCTGCATGAGAAAGTTCCCGGGCGTCTCGCCAGATCGAGTGTATTCGTCTAGCGAAGCCGTGGTGTTCTCACATCCAACTCTGGACACTCTGCTGACCATACCTTGACTAAAAGGTTCCACGGGCATTCTTGGGCAAAAGTGAGTTAAAGGCTGTTACTGGTGGTTTGTCTGGACCAAAGTGTGCCTGGCGGGTGGCTTCTTAACGAAACACCGTCCGCTCGACATCTTGAAGGAACGAGTGGAAGCTCAGCAGAGCTGTGGTGTTACTACGCACGTCTTTGTGAGATTATGCTAACTGTACGTTCGTTTCAGGGTCTGTTCGAAAGTGGTGATGGCAAAGATGAAGAAAGTTCTTCCGAGGACAACTTATCCGTCTATGCAATCAAGATGTGGGGACGCACGATCGGAGACAAGGCAATGGAGGCAAGAGGCAATCTCATGTTGGCCATTGAAGCAAGATCTATGCAGAACTACTTCCTCTACACGTCGGATAACAAAGTCCAGCCTCCAGAATTCATCGGCAACAAAGTCAGCGGAGTCGTAAGTACAAATTTCTCCTGCAGGATATAGTTGTTCTAAGACGTTGCAGCTCTTCGAGAACAAGATAGACTACACGGTAAGACGTTATCGATGATATTTTGGAAAGCTCTGCTGATTTTCTACTTCAGACCTATTTCGGCAGTAACCCAGAGTACATCCACGGTATCCATATGATACCCGCTGGCTTCCCTTTCAGTGCATACGTACGCACACAAAAGTTTGTCACCGAAGAGTGGAATGCCTTTTTCTCCAATGGGCGTGCCAATGTAGATGGTGGTTGGAGAGGTATCTTGTATGCCAATCTGGCAACTATCCAGCCGGCAGCCAGTTATGCGTTCTTCTCCGATCCCAAATTCAATCCTGCTTACCTCGATGGTGGAGCTAGTCAGACTTGGTATTTGACATACTCGGCAGCAATGGGAGGATCGCCAGCTAGTTCAGCAAAGAGATCGGAGGCTGAAGGGCTTCTCGCAGAGGGAGGCTCAACCGAGGAACAGGTGACCGGGAAGGAAACGACCCAAGCTATTCATCGGCACAAAGGTCACAGGCATGGACATGCAAAGCTCTGAAGTCAGAATTTGAATTAACATTCATCAACCGCTGGACGGTGGTGAAATGTTGGCCATTCTTTCGGAGTGCTGGAACGAATATATATACCCAGCGTAGCACATAGTGACGAACATATTCAATCGTTGAACAAGTAAAAGGTGTTTGAAATCGTCGTGAACTCAGTGCACAGAAGCCATGACTTGTTCCATCCAAGGGTAAACATAGCTGTTGGCCTCGGGATAACCTACGAGTGAGGATCAGGTTAGCGGAGCTTTCTCTTCAATTTCAATTGCAAGTTGAAGACATACCCATGTGTAAGCGATGACTAACAAACCTCATCTCCTTGGGCGAGCCAAACTCACTCAAGAGCATGGAATCTTCAATGGGCATCAAACCATCAATTGTTCCATTGATAAGCAGCAATCGACAACTCTTCATGTTAACAACACCAGTCTTGACAAGTGACCAAGTCTCTTGGGCATTGTCCATAAAGTCATCGTGGTCCTCGTAGCCAAATTTTTCTGTCAAGGCGGGTAGAGCGTTCCAGGGGTATTCTTTGCATTGAGCCTTCTCGAGCCACTCACGCGAGAAGAAGTGGTGGGTTCCTGCGCCTTGGCCGATGGCACCAGCGAGTCTGTCAGAGTGAGTGTGTGCTGCGCGGACCTGAGTCGATGTTAGTGAATAGTGCTTGGAGTGTATACTGTAGAAATCTAGATGCACATACTGCGTTGTAGCCTCCAGCACTAAGGCCCCAAGTAATAACACGCTTCATGTCAAAGACTCCTTGTCCTGCCATCCAATCGAAGATGGTTGTCCACAGTCTCTCAGCAGCCTGAGGGTCTTTTCTGTCTGCAGGGCAGTCGGCAGTACCAGGGATATCGACAATGATTGAAGCCCATCCTCGAGCCAGGAATTCGTCACTTCGGGTTGTGTTGTCTGGTCTGTGTCCATCGAGTCCGCACATGAGCAGGACAGCAGGACAAGGCTTCGATTTCGAGGCATCTTTGGGCAAGCGTACATAGAGAGGCACAGAGTCAGCATCAGCCGAGGTTGCTGCTGTGTGAGGAATGGTGACATCTTCGATTGGGCAACTCCAGAGGCTAGCAGCCTTGATGTATGCCTTCTTTTGTGCCTCGTAGATTTCGCGTTTGTAGTCCGAGTTGATGTAAGGGAAACGGGCGATTCGGTAGACGGTGCAGGCACGAAGGTAAAGAGCTGAGGCAGCATCCCCGTTTGAGGAGACCAGCTTGTCTGCCTCTTCAATGAGATGTTCAGCAGTTGGGACGAATTCGCGAGTGTACTCGTCGGTGTAGCCTGAGTCGATGTTTTTCGAGATCAAGGTCTTGAAGACGGGCTCGAAATCTTCAAACTTGCCATCGTGGAAGGGGTAGAGAGACTTTGAGCAAGGGAAAGCCCATTTCTTCTCCCACAATGCCTGGATGCCTTCGAGATGGGGGTACACTTGGTCGAACTTGTCACCAAGGATCCACTTGTGCTCTGTAGGAGTAGCCAACGACATGGTGTGTTAGGGTGGTATAGGGAAAGGAATTACAGTGTAAGCATAGCAAGACTAGGTGGTAGTATTTATTATATCATGAGCAGCAAGCTACACGTATTGCAATATCAGAAAGTCCGTCGGGCATGGAGGGGAGAGCCGTAAGACGGATACAAGGCATAGTGTCACGGCAGTTGGGTATAAGCAGAGATTGAAGGTGCATAGGCCGTAAGACAGAGCAGGCACGAGGAACGAAAGACTCGATATGCACAATTTCGGAGAATTAAGATGCAGGGACAGATGGTGGTGGTTGATGCAGTCGTGATTCGTGAACGAGGACAAGGACAGGGTTGAAGGTTTGTGAGGCTTCGGCCCCGCACGAGGAGGGGCAGTTCAAAATCGTCACAAGGCGGCCGTTGCTGGCACGAGCTCGGCGCGTGACGAAAGCGTAAAAGCGTCTCTGGGCGCCAATACCACCAAGCACTTTTGGAGCTGCTCCATGCGTCCAGCGGCTGAGCGCCTCAAGAGGCTGTCGTCTTGTCATCTGCGGAACCGTTCATCACTGTTCTGACAGCATCCACCACGACGACGACGACCTGTATTTGTGAACATCTGCCATCGCCACGACGACACAAGCAACCACCTGGACCTGCGTCGGGCCAAACACGACCGAGACCCACATCTTTATCTTCCCAGATAGGCTAGGTGTGGAAGCGGCTCCCGAGTCATCAACAAGCAAGCCCATACAAAGTCACCATGTCGCTATCAGCAGCAATCGACCAGGAGGCCAAGGACCTGCGGAGGGACTTTGAGCTCAACAACACTCGCAAGAAGTCGGCCTTGCCCCCACTCCCGTCTCCAGCTCCTACCAAACCCACCCCACCCACAAGCCCTGTCTTGTCTCACAGAGCTATGGCTCCTACGACTGCTGCCCGCGGCAAGCCCGCATTCCCTGGTGATCTTGGTCCCGGTGACCCACGACGCAGCTCCAGACTGCCCGGCGACCTTGGCCCAGGAGATCCCAGACGCAGCAGCAACAGGCCCGCCAATCCAGATGGCACTCGCTCGGCAGCACGCAGTCTGAGTCCCACTCGCAGTATCAGCCACTCTCTCAACCCGAACGACAAGTCTCCTTCGCAACGCAGACTATCAGATGCCGGTTCTATTCGTCCCCAGCTCGGAGACGGAGGTGTTCGCTTGCAAAAGGACTACGACAATGAGTCTGCCAGCAGCGACGAAGAGAGCAGCGATGAACCAGATACTGATCACGAATCGTCGCGAGGCAGAGGCCGCGCCAGAGTTGGCAATGCTGTTGGCGTCACTCCCGACAGCGACGACGACGAACCCTCGCCTCCCTTGAATGCTGACCCAACTATTACTGTTACTCCACCCGCCACAGACCAACCGTCCACGGCCTCAGCCTACTCGTCTCGAAAGCCCGACGTCCATCCCAGCACTGCCTTTGACTTTGCCGCATCAACAACCTCTACCCCTGTGCACTCCGACGACGAAGAACATCTGTCCGACTTGCGTCGTGCCCAACGCCTCTCGCTCAATATTTCTCCCATCCACAGTACTCCCTCTGCGCATCGTGTCATTCGTCAGATCATCCGTGGCGACTACCTCTACTTCCAGCGTCAAGCTGAAGAAGGCCGTAGGAGGCAAAGAGTTTATCTTGTCGCTACCGATCTCTCTTCCGAAGCCGAGTATGCTCTTGAATGGACTATTGGTACTGTTTTGCGCGATGGCGATACTCTGCTGGCAGTTTACGCAGTTGACGAGGAGTCTGGTACTGGTGGTGTCTCTGAAGGTGTTGAGATTGGACACGGTGCCGACGTCGTCAAAGACACAGCCACTATCGTGCGCTCCATGACTGCAGAGAGTATGACTCCTGCAACACTGCCGCGAGATAGTAGCACCGCAAGAATGGCCTTTAGCGAGAGAAAGGACATGTCCAAGGCCGAGCAAGATCGTTTCCGTGCTGCTGAGGACATCAGCCAACGTTGTGTTAAATTGCTTCGGAAGACTAGGCTCCAGGTTCGTGTTGTAGTAGAAGTCTTCCACTGCAAGAGTCCAAGACATATGATTACCGAGGTGGTGAGTATATACTAACGCCTAATCACTGACCCATGCTGATAGCCTGTACAGATCGACTTCTTGTCTCCCACTCTTACTATCCTGGGATCAAGAGGACGCTCCCAACTGAAAGGTGTCTTGCTCGGCTCGTTCAGCAACTACCTCGTGACCAAGTCCAGTGTGCCAGTCATGGTTGCCAGAAAACGGTTCGTCGAACGACATACGAAAACGCATTCCCAGGACACCCAGACTGATTCTCTTGCCAGACTTAGGAAACATTCCAAACAACGCTTGCACAAGGATGGACTGCCAGTGGCTCAAGCCGGTGACGGAAGAATGCGCTATATCAGAATGTCCAATGTCCTGGAAGCACCTGGTACAAAGCCCAGAGCTAGAGGCCTGGCTGGAGCCAAGATTGATTGATTCAGAGTATGTCTTCTGCCTGATCAATTACTCCGGGACTTGTTGCAAGGTCTGAAAGCTCCTTTGAGATGCACATAAAAACTATTGACACGAAGTAATACGCGACCACGACAAATTCATTAGGCATTAATTCATATTACACACTTCCCAGGCAGCATATCTTCCCCCTTGCTCTCAGACAATGTTGTACTTCGAAAAAAAGTTGCTGCAGCTCGTGACATGTCGTGTGATTCAAGCCACAAGCTCTTCAATCTCGCTCGAGCATCTTGACAAGCGTGCCATGATTGGTTCAGAGGCTGCATAATATGTTCAACAGACTAGAACTTGGGGAAGAACATGGGTGTGTTCTATTCGAAGTCAGCAAGTGCTAAGCCGTCGTTGGAGACACATGACACCTACATTCTTCCACTCTTGGTAGTCCTTGCGGTCACCATAGCGCTTATCGTACTTGTTCTCGCTAAGGGGAATACCCGAGACCTAGTTGAGCTGTAAGCATACGAAGGCGAATCCCTACGTTCATCCTTGAAGCATACCTTGAACAGCAAGAAAGTAACAAAGGCAGGGCTAACACCAGCCATGGCCAAAGCACCCAACCTAGCACCAAGACCGCCGCTGAAACCCATACCAGATTGACCAACATTGCTAGCCAGAACACCAGCGGCAACAGTAGCAATACCAGTCCACAAAGTGCTCTCACCAAAGTAGTTGGGGTGTCTGCTCTTGGACCATAGACCTCTGGTCAGGAAATCTTCATTGTGCTTCTTGTTCTTCTTTTCTTCCATCCATTGGCTCTTTTGCTTGTCGGCTGTTGCTTCGAATCCGAGACCGCCGACGTAGAGAAGTAGACCAATGACATCGGTAAGGGTGAGGAAGGGGAGGGCAGAGAGTGTTGTTGCAGGGATCGAGTTGAGAGCGAGGACAGGGAGAAGGCAGAGGGAGACCCAGGTTGCCTGAGCAAAGAAGGCTCCAAGGAACTTGGGAGGTGAGGTTCTGATCTCGTCGAAGCGGGAGTCGCGACCATCTTCAGAGGTGATGCGCGAGAAGAGGAAGCTACCGACTGTGAATCTGTCAGTCGTAGACCCTGCTTGAGGCAGATGTGATACGTACGTCTTGTGGCCCAGATGGCTACAGCAGCACTGAGAATGACCTGTCTCCAGTTCCAAGCCTGGACACCACCCTTGCTGGCCAGACTAGCCAATAGGCTAGGGTATGCAGGAAGGGCTGCAGTACCAGCAGAGACAGTCGCTGCTGCAGCTCTCGCTCTCAGCGTAGGCAAGTAGAGAGAAAGTGCCGTGCATGACAGATATGTCAACGATCCGCTCAAGTCGTAGAATCTTTCGGATTGGAAGAAGATACTAGGAGCTGCTACACCAGCTTGAATGGCATAGGCAAGTCCGATACTAGGTACCAAAGTACGAAGAAAAGGAGACCTGAAGTTTGTGAGAGCCAAAAGAGAGTTCAACAAAGTCATTTTGGATTGGCGATGGCTGTAATAGCCTGTGTACGTATGACAAAAGTGTGACAACAAAAGCCTACACTCAACAGATGTTGCTGCAACTCATATAGGTTACTGGCTCTTAATTGAGAAATCCTTCTGCCTTCGATGCCTCATGGTTAGAGTGCACTGGTGGAATCGAGCTGGGAGCTACATGACGACATATCAGGGTCCGAGTGTCTTCTCGGGGACTGTTGATCTCCCGACTCCGAGTCCGAGAGAAGGTAATCCTCCGATTTAACTCTGATGCTCATTATTAAAGTATGGATATGACTGCATTGAATCAAGAATGCTTGTAACATTTCAGGAATCTGGTTGCTTGCCTTGAAGGTGAAAATTGAGCTTCTAAGATACAGTAAAACTTGATCTGGATGTTGCACTAGTGACCCTGACACATAATTTCACCTCACCTCTTGTTACATCCACACGTATGATCAGAGAACTCGCATATGTCGTCTGATGATGGGTAGTAGACCTGTGTGCCTGATATATGTGTATGTGTGGACTTGGATGAAATTCCGACGATCAAGGTCACTCATGAATACTTCATACGAAAACCCATTGGTAGGAAGAAGTTAGTGCCCAAACCAATATTCACCCAACCTTCGTCTTGTTCATCAGGGTCCCAATACAAGCTATTTCATCCCAGTGGTAAGTCTATCATCGTCCAGAAGCAAGTTCAAGTACAAGATCGACTTAGAGGTAAGGACTAAAGACTATACACGAAGGTAAGCTTCTCGTCTCCACGCCGTACCCTATCAATCTCTGCCCAATCACGCAACTTATCGAACCTGCAGGCTCTTGTGATGAGTGTCCAGAAGTTCTTCTGCTCGACCACAGCACCGTCTCCAAACATTGCCTCGCGCCTCACTTCGTCATCGTCCCAATCTGCCACAATTCGTTCTCGTCTGCGATTCTCCGTGACAAGCAAAGCCCTAAAAGCAAGGTAGCCAACGAATGCAGTTAGAACGCAGACGAGGGTCGCATAAAAAGGAATGATGTAGCCGTCCTTGGCAAATCTGGGAGCAAAGAGCATGCTTGAGATGACTCCAGCAAAGTTCCCCCACCCATTGATACCCAGGACGATCGCACGCTTGCCAGGCTGGGGTATATTATTGCTCAGCCAGGTCACTGTCAGAGGCGAAGCTACGAAGGAACCAGATAAGAGAACAGTCAAGGCCAAGTACCGAAGTTTGTAGGCGCGTGTCGGCAGCGCCACGGTGGCAGCTAGACCAGCGAGAAGGATTGCCAATCCATACAAGATTGGAATCAGACGAGTCCGGTTTTTGTCAGACCACCAAGTGAATATCCATAGGATGATTGCACCAGCCAAGAACGGAGGCACTACAAGCAGGTTTATAGCGGCTGGTCCCAGGTCATCCCGCCCAGCGATGCCTTTGATGACGAGCGGAAGGAACACCGAAAATGCAGTGGCTGGGATGGCGGACAAGATGTTACAGAACAGGAGGTACCAGACTTTCCAATCGGCCACAGCAGAGAAGATGTCTTCGCGAGAAACCCCACTATCAGCTGTGATGGATACGACCGAGACGTGGCTCGGTCGACGAGTCGATGGTTGCGTAACTTCAGCACCAGGGAGTAAGAAGTCAGCCTCTTCGTCCTCCAATGTTAGAGATGAGCGTGGTCCAGATCGGGTGAATGGTGTTGAATCTTGGATGTCAAGACTTGATTGATTGTTTGGGTTGGTCCACGAACTGGCTGCAGCAATCTGATCCTTACGAATGCGCTCTTCTGCAACGAGGCGTTCATCGGCAGTCAGAAACCAGGCTGTATTGGCGCTGTGAGGAAGCCAGAAGGACCCAACGAATGCCACTAGGATCGTCAAGGAGCCTTCAATAAGAAACAGAACCTCCCAACTCCTCCACTTCTTCACAGCAACATGAGGATTTGGGTCATCGTGAGGAAAATGACTGAACACAACCCAGGACAGAAGTCCTCCAAAGCAGCCAGCGAGAGCTGCTTGCCCGTAGAAGAAAGCCAAGCGCTTGCCAAACTCGTAGCGAGTATACCACAAACTTAGATCTACAGCAGGTAGCGGCGTGTTAGTCCATGATCAGCCTCGCAGTCTCAAAGAGCATAACCTACAGCTAACCACAGTAGGATAGAAGCCGGATTCTAGTGCCGCAATAAGGACTCTCAAGGTGACTAGTTGAGCCTGAGACTGCACAGCAACGTGAAGCGCCGTACAGACTCCCCAAAGGCCCATGGTAGCGGGGACCCATCGTGCCATACCATATTTGCGACCGAAGAAGGCGCCGATCGGCTGACAAGACACGAAGACAGCAAAGAACCAAGCTACGGAAACATTCAGAGCGGCCTTGGGCAATCCGAGGTCTTCAGTAAAATGGCCAGACTCTGCATTTCCGACGTTGGATTTGTCTAGAGAATTAAGCAAGAACAGTAAACACAAGAAGGGGAGAAGCAGGAGGTCGAACTTGAGCACGACACGTTTGCTCAAGCGGGCATACTCGTCAGCATCAAGATGACGAGGAAGAGCTCTATCCATGGGCAAAGCAGACACAAGCTCAATGTCGCTTCCGACATTCATGGTCGACAAGAGCTAGCCGTCATCGGTCGGTCAGGCTGGCTGGGGAAGTGGCTGGTTGTTCACACGAGTCAAGGCATCCACACCGAGTGGAAAATAAGCTTCACGTCACCATGCATGGCCCGAGCGGCTGTTGTCATGGTGAGAAAGTGCAAACAAATTGGATTTTGAATGCGTTGTTCAATCTTGAGTGGGCAGCTCTTTAACGAAGCACAGATCAACATCTCGTACTTCTCTAAGCAGGTAAGGAGGGTGTGTTGACAGGTAGTGCGATCAATGATAAAGAAGAAGAACACATAAACAGTGCTTTGAAGACAAGCAAAAGAGCAAGGCTAAGTTCCACGGGATCGCTAACGATTTGCCCATAGCAGAAGCACTACAGACCATCACAGCAAAGCAAAGACCAGAAACAGGCTCTCTCCTCATATCGCGACCGGGGAAGGGCGGGCCGCATCCTGACAGTGTGCCTGGAAGCGACGTGCTGCATTCAGCGGCAACCTGCTTGCTCGCTCTGCATTTGGTGGGCCGGACCAACTGTGCTGGGTCTATCTGACCTCGAAGTCAACAATTTCTGGTCGACGAACAACGTTCCTGCCGCTCGATCAAGACGTGACTTGAAAGAGTTGCAAGAAAGTGTGCTTCCCCGCAGGTGCGACAGGCAGGTGCAGTCGACGGGTCAGAAACGGTCTCAACGGTGCTTGCACGCCTTGGATGAAGTATGGCCGACGCACCTCCTCCTCCTCCTCCTCCACCTCATGGAGCAAATCCAAAGTCGACATCCGGCGGTCTGCCCAACGGCAACTATGATATCTTTATCATCCCACCCCACAGCTCGGGCTCTGGATTCCTGTACCTACCTTCATTGCAACCACAACGCAACTCTTTCATCGCAGGATTCGCATGCGCTGTCTTTTGCTACCTGATATGGGTGACCGCTGTACCAGTGCTGGGTCAATGGCTATCGATTATTGCTGCTAGCGGAAGTGCCGGCGTGCTTCTGCTTGTCGCTGGTGTAGGCGCTGTCGCATGGGCATTTGGAAAGACTCAGGGTGAAAGCAAGCAGCAACGTCCTCATAGCCCACCACCTCCTGGTGGCAGTGGTGGAGCCCAAGGGGGTGAAGACACAGAAGGAGCAAGCAAGCATAGCAGAAACAATAATGGTCCTTACAATACTTCGCATTCCTCGGGCTCAGACCATACACATTCCGCACCACCCCCGCATACCCCTCGACAAGATTACTCGACTCCTCCACCAAGGCAGGATTACAGATCACCACCGCAGTCAGGATACTACCCCCAACCACCACCAGAGCACAATGCTCCTCGACCCCAGCCGCCACCAGATTATGCTGCTCCACCACCGCCTCAACCCGAATATAATGCTCCTCCTCGATACACCGCTCCACCGCCTCCTCCAACCCCTCAGCGAGAAACACCGAAGCCAGCCCCTCCACCTCGAACGAAACCCGCTCCGCCGCCAGCTCCCTCCCCAGAACCCTCAGCAAGGTCTGCATCCGACGCTGCAGCAAGTTGGGAAAAGGCTCGAGAAGAAACCCGCAAGAGAGAGGAAGCTAGAAAGAAGGCAGAGGAGCTGAAGAAACTACGCGAAGAAGCATTGAGGAAGAAGGAGGAAGCTGAGCGACAGGAAAAGGCGGCTAATGAGAAGCGCAAATGGGAGCAGGCCAGGGCCCGTGAGAAGGAAGCCCGCGAAAGAGAAGCAAGAGAGCGTGAGCTCAAGAGCAAGGAAACCAAAGATCAGGAGACTCGTGAAAAGGAGAAGCGCGAGCGTGAAGCCCGGGAGCGGATTGCAAGAGACAAGAAGGAAAAGGCTGCCGCCGCCGCAGAAGCAGCAAAATCACCCAAGCCTACCATTCCTGCCTCCAAGCAGTATGAGCGCCCTAGTGCGCGAAGCTATGCCAGCACTGAGACCACGAGTGCTTATGACGCTCGTACAGTCATATCTTCCTCGACGGCATCGTCCTACACGGAAACACTTTCCTCCTACGCGCCGTCAACATCTACCGCTCGAACCAGTCCGCCTCCCGAATACCGTGGACCGTACAACACATCTGATCCAGACAAGATTGTCATGAAGGCTGTCTACATGTACAACAACACAACACCGAAAAAGCCTATCAGCCAACTCGTCAGCGGCGAAGCTAATGTCACCGATGGCCTCGTCCTGAAAATAAACACCGAAGGGTTGTTCATTGATGATGATGTGCGTCGTGTTCCACAGCGGGAATGGGATGTCAAAGCCTGGAGTCTCAAGGGCATCGAGAGAGGAACATTGAATCCTCATTACATACTGCGTGCCACAATCAGAGACACAGAAGGCAAATACTACGTCTTCGTCATCCCATCAGATCAAGAGTGGAAGGTCGATGTTGGGTTGGCTCGCCTGCGCAAAGGTAACTTGGTCCGCAGCATGGGAATGGGTAGCATCAAGGCACCAGAGATGAAAGGTTTGCTCAGCGATCTGGGATGGATCTGATTGTTGCGCCGGACAGGCCGAGATGCGACCCCATCTGTCATCACGGAGGTTTTTGACTATTGGCCCAGAGCGGCTTTGAGTGTTTCACCGCATCATGCATCAGCGACTGGCGTTTTTTCCCTTTCTGCTTTGAGCTTAAAGCTCTTATCTTGAATCCTCTGCTTGTCTATGGACATTTACTCTCGCTACGATGGAACGACTATTGAAACTTGCGGATACCACCTTGTGCTTTTACTCCCTTACGGAATGTTACATACCCGATAATAGAATCAAACAAGAAGAATTGTTTGCAACGTTGCCTCTTGTGTCATGGACTGTATCCCAAGTACATGGATGGGTCCTCGACTGGCGTCCGTCTTGACTTATTCTAAGTAACATTCCTCGGTCAACGGACCGATGTGCCTCCTTCGTATCGCTGTAGTTATATCACCTCTGGTGACATGACAATCGAGAGAAACAGTGCTCTTGCTAGTGACGCAAGCTGTAAGCTAGTCGTAAGAGAGCATACACCGCTTCTTGTTGCACGTATTCTGCAAACCTATCAGAGACTTGTTTGTTATGTGGGATATTTCGAGTGTCACACGCTCTGTAAGTAGGGTCCGTTGCATACTGCTTGCGATCTTGGTAACCAGTTTCAGTATAAGAGGCCCCGATATCCTTGACTGAATGTGTTTCTCAAACTCCCTGAATTCTGACTACGAAGATCAGACCATCTTTCTTTAGTAAACATTTACCACTCTGAGAGATTTCATTCTTCTTTCCAAGTCCACTGTCCAAAGAACATCATGGCATCATCGGTCACCATCTTAGCAGCAATGCTTTACGCTTCCGCAACATTTGCATACCCTCAGTCCATCGTCAATCAGAGCCTCATTCCAGGCAACCTCGCAGTGACTTGGTATCAGGCGCCTCTGGACTTCAGCGGATCAATCTCGACCGACACAACTTGTGGCTTCGCCGTTTCTACGGGACAGCTGAAAACCGCCCAGTGCTACGTCCTGCACACATATGCTCTCGGACTACAGCAAAACGAGCACCACGGATGTACTTTGAAGGTGTGGGATAACGTCTCTGACTGTTCAGGCAATGGATCATGGACTATGCATGCTATACCTAGTGGCAGAGGCACCAGTTGTATCGAGACCGGTGTACTGGACGGAGGCAACTTCCAGCACAAGAGCTGTGTCTTGACATGCTCTTGAAGATATTTGAATATTGTGGTATTGATGATGACGAAGGTTGGAGGCGAAGAGAGAGGCATTTTAGTGGAGGAATAAATATGTGCTCACCTAAATCTCGTTCATGGGTCACATTCTGTATTTGAGCCTCCGTGTCCGGTCAGGACAATTGACCATGTTCTGGATGTGTACCGTGTTGACATGGTCATTTAACAAGGATTTACACACTGTATCAGAACACACAAGCTCTATACAGAGTCCTTCTGGGCCCTTGTCGATGATCGTATGGATGAATGTGATGAACGCAACCCTTTGTGCCAGAACAACCCTCGCGGCTCTACATGTTGAGCTGTGAGCATTTCACGTGCTCCCAATGTCTTACCACGGCACAGTTGCCGTTATGGACGCTAGCTCTCGAGTCGCTACATAGTAGATCTCGGCTTGCTCTGAGCGCCGAAACATTGAAGTCTCAGGCCAACTCCGGCAATTCTCCATGTACGAGTCGGACCGCATCAGGTCACATTGGAACAATGAAGGGCATCCCCAGGTGTCGCATGTTCCCAGCAGGAGAAGGACCGATAGCATTGCTAATGGACCCGAATTTGCGAACGGCGTTCATTGGTCCGGACCCTCCCCATACCGTGTTTGTCGTGGAGGTTTGCGGGGATCAAGGATGGGGCGTTCTCTAGAGCGCTTAGACCATGCTCAGGCGTCATCTCCACAATGATCTCTGGCGGGCCGGGGATGCCTTCACAAAATCTTTGTGCAGCAGACGAAGAAATTGTTGCATCGAGCAGTCATCTCTGTTGTGTGAAGGTATTCAACACGTCAGCGGATAAATAGATCTGGTTGAGGATCTGGACATGAAGAACAGGTAAAGCCGAAGAGCTGGGGTGAAGATGATTGACGAGTGAGAACAGGCCCAGAAGCGCAATTTCGAACGGTAGCACGCTTTCTAGCCGAGCGCCTGCACCAACTTTTGGCTAAAAAACGTCACTGGGGGTTGGATCAGTTGAACGATGTGTCCCAGCCTGAGGCTTCAGTCGTTGGGAGCAGCGCGTCGCTACAATTTACCACATTCACGCCGTCTCAATCACTTCAAAAGTTGTCGAGGTTCACCTGCACTTCTTGAAGAGAAAAGTCTCACACACGCACAAGGCGGTTGTGCAAGCATTGAAAGAAGAGTCCCTGTCTCGGCTGCAAGCAAGCAAAAAGCACAGAAACGTCATTGCCGTGGTTGCTTCTGACCATTTGCAGGTGAGTACCCCACAGCTCGCCGATCTCGTCTTGTTCGGATGGACACGAGCTAAACCGACAGCTCTGCTCCTTCGACCTTCAACCTTACTTTTAGCTTGCTCCTCCCACTTTCCTTCCTTCGTCACCGTCATTGCTCGACCCTTTCTCCGTCACACCCTTCTATACACACAACGCAATGGCTACCGCAAAGCGCGACGTGAGGAATCACGTTCTCTTCGAGGTCGCTACCGAAGTCGCCAATCGAGGTTTGTCTCGCCTCACAATCCTTTGTCCGGGCCACGCTCATAACTAATGTCTTGCCAGTCGGTGGTATCTACTCTGTCCTCAAGTCGAAAGCCCAGGTCACAACAGCAGAGTATGGCTCAGCCTACACGCTGCTGGGTCCTCTGAACCGCAACTCGGTAAGTCACCAATTCGTCTTGACATCATCGCCGTGCAGGTAAACTGACTCGAACACAGGCAGCTGTCGAGGTGGAGGAGCTCGAGCCTAAGGACCCCGCCATGTTGGCCACCATCAAGTCCATGAACGAGCGTGGCATCAAGACACTATACGGAAGATGGTTGATTGATGGAGCCCCGAGAGTGTTGCTTTTCGACACTGGTACTGGTTACTACAAACTCGACGAGTGGAAGGGCGACCTCTGGGCAACTGCCGGCATCCCTTCGCCTGCAGATGACCACGAAACCAACGAGGCCATCGTCTTTGGTTACCTCGTTGCATGGTTCCTTGGAGAGGTGATTGAATCACAATATCTTGATTTCTTACCTCACGACTTATACTGACACATTACTAGTACGTTTATCACGAAAAGGAGCGTGCAGTCGTTGCTCAGTTCCACGAGTGGCTCGCCGGTGTTGCTCTACCTCTGTGCAAGAAGCGCAGAATTGATGTGACCACCATCTTCACCACTCACGCAACTCTCCTCGGTCGTTACCTGTGCGCCGGCTCTGTCGATTTTTACAACAATTTGCAATACTTCGACGTCGATGCCGAAGCTGGAAAGAGAGGCATCTATCATCGCTACTGCATAGAACGTGGAGCTGCTCATGCCGCCGATGTCTTTACAACCGTCTCGCATATCACTGCTTACGAGAGTGAACATCTGCTCAAGCGCAAGCCCGACGGTGTTTTGCCAAACGGTTTGAACGTCAAGAAGTTCTCGGCAACTCACGAGTTCCAAAACTTGCACCAAGTCAACAAAGAGCGCATCAACGACTTTGTTCGTGGTCACTTCTATGGCCACAACGACTTCGATCCCGACAAGACTCTGTACTTCTTCACTGCAGGTCGTTATGAGTACCGCAATAAGGGTGTCGACATGTTTATTGAGTCTCTGGCCCGTCTCAACCACCGTCTCAAGGCATCCGGCTCGGACATGACCGTTGTTGCTTTCATCATTATGCCTGCACAAACCACTTCGCTCGCTGTCGAAGCACTCAAGGGCCAAGCCGTTCTCAAGTCTCTGCACGACACTGTCAGCTCTATCGAGAAGAACATTGGCAAGAAGCTCTTTGAGCGCTCTCTGGCATGGCACGAAGGACAGAACCCTCCTGACGAGACCGGTCTCTTGACCCAAGAAGACAAGGTTCTGCTTCGCCGCCGTCTCTTTGCCATGAAGCGCTCCAACCTGCCTCCCATTGTTACCCACAACATGGTCAACGATTCGGAAGATCCCATCCTGAACCAAATCCGTCGTTGCCAACTCTTCAACCACCCTACCGATCGCGTCAAGGTCGTCTTCCATCCCGAGTTCTTGAGCTCCGGCAACCCAGTCCTTCCGATGGACTATGACGATTTTGTTCGCGGTACTCACTTGGGTGTCTTCTCCTCTTACTACGAGCCCTGGGGTTACACTCCTGCCGAATGTACCGTCATGGGTGTTCCTTCCATCACCACTAACCTCTCCGGATTTGGATGCTACATGGAAGAGCTGATTGAGAACGCTCAGGACTATGGTATTTACATTGTGGATAGACGCATGAAGGGCGTGGACGACAGTGTGAACCAACTCACCGAGTACATGTTCGACTTTGTCGGAAAGAGCCGCAGACAACGCATCAACCAGCGTAACCGTACCGAGAGATTGAGCGACCTTCTGGACTGGAAGCGCATGGGTATGGAGTATGTCAAGGCCAGACAGCTGGCTCTGAGAAGAGCATACCCTGCTTCATTCGAGGGCGATGAAGAACCTGGTTTCTTTGACGGCACCGAAGTAAAGATCTCTCGCCCACTTTCTGCACCTGGCTCGCCGAGAGACCGCTCAGGCATGATGACTCCTGGTGATTTCGCATCTCTGCAAGAAGGTAGAGAAGGCTTGAGCACCGAGGACTACATTGCCTGGAAACTTCCGTAAGTGTTTCATAAATTGTGACATGTATTATGAAAACCAAAATGCTAACATGTAACCTAGTGAGGAGGAAGATGTGGACGAATATCCCTTCCCGCTTACCCTTCGAAGCAAGAACTCATCGACAAATGGAACTGGCACCACAACACCTACAAACGGTACTGCTGCGACGAGCAACACAAGCGGCGCTGCCTTCTGAGGACAAGACCGAAGCTAGGGAAGAAAGAGAAGAATGATGAAACGATCATAAACGCAACATGAAAGACCGGGGCTTTCGTTGGCCACGGTGAGTTCTTTTAGTCGTTGCAACTTTTTGTACACTACCATGTAATTTGCGAATTGCTATCCCAGAAGTGCTTTGTTCTCCAGCATAATTCTTGCCGTGACGCCAGATGGAATTGTGACTGGACATGGACGCTACGTTATGCAGTCTATTTTTGCCCAGACGTCAGTTCGTGCGTGGCTTGCAAATAAAGTTGTCGGGCTTTTGGTGATCTGCACATTGCAAAAAGCAGCCATCACAGGTGGGCAAAAAAGCAAAATCAGGGATCATAATGGCAATAATGAGCAGCAACGAGGTCATTGAGCACCAAGGGCATCGGGAAGAAGGGAAGAAAGACGGCAGGCGGGAAGGAGGAGCATGCATCATCGAGGCTGAGCATAAATGAGGTTAGAGCCCTGAGCCAAGGCGCTGGAGGCGGCTGTGGGTTTGAAGATCGTCAATGCGCCGACCACCGTCAACTTGCGATTATTGTCTCCTTCTCGATGACTGCATTCGAGTTTTGTCACGCCTAACTCAGGTCCACTCAACCTAGCCCTCTTCCTGTATATACCGCTTCGCTCGACATCAGCCGCGCTCCTCATCAAATCTCGAACAACCAGACATCTATAGTCGACGCCCCGTTGTGCCCTCTCCTCATCTCGACCGACTTGGACTTTTGACGATGGCGATCGCGCCTCAAGATCAACTCTGAGAAGCTTCGCTGGCGACAGTTCTCTTACCACACACGCCACGCCGTCTCTGAAGATTTCTGCCGCAACCTTTCTCAAGACAAATTCTTCATCTATTCTTCGACCTCCCCTGGCCGTCATACTGCTCGTCAGCAATACTTTCGCAAGAGATGGAACGCCTAAAGGGTTCGTGGGAATGGGTCAAGAACCGCTTGCCCAACCCTTTCAGGCGTGGAAAACCGCATTTTAACTTCATCACAACTCACTGTAAGAAGGCTCCATCTTGCAAAATCAAGGCCATGCTGAAGTAATATCAACACAGACATGTATATGCTGGGATTGACCATAATTGGTTCTATCATGATATATCCTGCTGGCGTAACACCGTATATCGATGCTCTATTCTTCGCTGCAGGTGCAGCCACCCAGAGTGGTCTAAACACGTAGGTAGTCCATATGCTCCAGTTATGCTATTGCTGACATGAGTCAGCATTGACGTTAACAAATTACACACATATCAACAGGTAGGGACTTTGCTTGTATCTGCAGGGAAACGTCAATAACTGACTGTGTAGGTTGTGCTCTACTTTCTGGCCTGCTTCGCAAATCCAATCTTCATCAATACATGTGTAGTCTTCATCCGTCTTTACTGGTTTGAACAACGATTCGACCACATCGTCAAGGAAGCCAGAAACCAACGACGCACTCGGACGAGGTCACGAACTGTCAGCGAATCTCGAGCAGACCCGGATCCAGGACGTGTCGAGATGGGAGTCAATGGTCGTAAGATCACAGTTCTACACCACACCACAAAACCAAATGGAATGAGCGCCAGAAGTGCCAACGCCAAAGTCCATGGCATGGATGAAAAGGAACGCCTGGAGCATCTTGCTGGAAGCCTAAACGATGCGCATGGCAGCACGTCAGAAAGTACCGAATCAAGCGAGACACGAGAGCTAAGGTCGGGCGATGGTGATGAGATAAATGTCATCAACAGAGACGAAGAAGTGGCCCCAGACGTTGTAGTGACTCGGAATGAGAGCGAGGACTCGGGGAACGAGACAGACGAGAAGTCTGCAGAGCAAACTTGGCTGGGACGAAATCCATCCTTGAAACGAGAGATCACATTCGCGGACCAAGTCAGACCTTCCGAACACAGAAGACAAGCTTCAAATCTTCAATCCGTACCCGAAAGACCACAGCCAATGCGTTTAGAAACAGAACACCATATTGCATTCCTGGAGAGGCAGCGAAACATCAAAGATCAGCAAACTTTGCGCATCCCCAACCCTAGAGAATTTGACCGCGGAGATCAGCCTCACGAAGTCGACTCTGATGAAGAAATTGACGGCCTCAACCGTCAAATGACCAGGAATACTCTGCCATCATCACCTCGGCTCCGCGGACGTTCGTCTTCTGATGCTCCGTCAGGTCAGTTGAATGGCGATGACCATCCAGTCAGACGTGGCATCATCATCGACGAGCCAGAACGTCCACGACGCGACCGTCAACCATCACCAGCTTCGAGCACTGAACGCTCGCATCGCTTCAACTTACTAGCACCTCTTCGCAAACTTCGTAGCAGACAGCGTGGAGATAGCACTACGTTCGGTCGTTCTCTGAGTGGTATCACCAATAGAACCTTCAGCTTCACCAAGAGTCAGGATCGTGACATGCAGGACCCTATGCCATATCTAAGTTGGCAACCGACGATTGGCCGTAACTCACAGTTTGTGGATCTTAGCGAAGCACAGCGAGAAGAGTTGGGTGGCATTGAATATAGGGCACTCAAGACTCTGGCACTGGTGCTTGTATGCTACTTCTTCGGGTTTCATCTCCTCGGCGTTGTTGTCTTCCTTCCTTGGATACTTGAAAGCGGAAAGTACGGCAACATCGTCACTTCTGATGGCCAATCCAGGGCGTGGTGGTAAGCACACGATAAATTCTGTTTTCAAAGACAATACTAATCAGAGTCCTAGGGGTGTTTTCACACCTGCCTCCATGTTTAACGATCTTGGCTTCACGCTCACCCCGGACAGCATGATTTCCTTTCAGACGTCCGTCATGCCCTTGTTATTCGGATCATTCCTAATCATCATCGGTAATACCGGCTTCCCATGCATGCTCCGATTTGTCATTTGGCTTCTTTCAAAGCTCGTTCCTCATGGCAGTGGGATTTGGGAGGAGCTGCGCTTCTTGCTCGACCACCCTCGTCGCTGTTTCACGCTTCTGTTTCCATCAAAGGCCAACTGGTGGCTTTTTGGAGTTCTTGTAGGTCTTAACGCCATCGACCTGATTTTTTTCATCATCCTAGACATCAACGACTCAACGGTCACTTCTCTTGCCCCAGGATTCCGAGTGTTGAACGGCTGGTTTCAGGCGGCTTCTACTCGTACAGCTGGATTTGCTTCCGTCAACATCGCAGATCTTCACCCAGCCATTCAGGTTTCCTATCTGATCATGATGTATATCTCCGTCTTCCCTGTTGCCATCTCAGTCCGCAGAACCAATGTATACGAAGAGAAGTCTCTTGGTATCTTTGCTGGCGAGGAAGAAGAGGATGAGGAGAACCGCAGCTACGTTGGTCAGCATTTGCGCCGACAACTGAGTTTTGACTTGTGGTATATCTTTTTGGGATTCTTCATCATAACCATTGTCGAAGGTCATCGTCTGGAGGATACCAACGCCTACGCGTTCACTATGTTCGCTGTCCTTTTCGAGATTGTGTCTGCATATGGTACCGTTGGTCTTTCTCTTGGTTATCCGACCATCAACGCCTCTTTCAGTGCCGAGTTTGCGACATTGAGCAAACTTGTCATCATTGCCATGATGGTTCGTGGGCGACATCGTGGTTTGCCATACGCACTGGATCGTGCCATTCTGCTGCCCTCGGAGAACCTCAACAAGAATGAAGCAGAGGGTGTGACGACAACTGCTCGCAGTAGCACAGATGAAGCCCGTCCCTACTCGCGCGCTTCGTCCAACAGAGATAGTAATGTACCTCCAGAAGCCAGTGGTGCATCTCTGGACTTCAGCCCTACTGGCTTGAGACAGATGCGTCGTGGTAGCCAGGTCAGCACCAGATCGGCTGCAACCAGAAGTCAAGCCCCTGCAAGACGCATGTCTAAGATCTTGATGAGTGGGTTGAGCGCTGGGCCGACGATGGGCAGGAAATACGATTGATCCGTGTAAAATCTTGTATACTGTTTTTGATCTACATCAAATTAGCCAGGCGTTGGGTTCGGTTGGCTTGTTTCCCTTGTCTCTCTCGTAGCTTGCTTCATAGGTAGAATGTAAGCATGCACAGTGCAGCATCTAATGTTTTGCAATCTGTTCTGGTGACAAGAGTTGCTCTTGTCAGGGACAGTCCGAAGCGTCAAAGCTTCTTGACCAGACCCACATGTGGTTCTCAGCCCTGTACCTCAAAATTACGTATATGGCTAGACCAATAGCGCTCTAATCTGGAAGCGTTCGGTATGCGGGAACCCGCACAGAAATTGTTGCTCTTAGCGGCAAGAGGTCATTATGGTGTCACTTGCACGTATTTTTTATCCAAGGCACCCAAGCCTGCCTCATTCACTACAGGCAGGCTTTGAAACGCCACATCAGAATGTGCCCTGCAGCAGCACACTCAACAGATGACGCTGTTGTACACAAACGACAGGCGGCGCAAAGAATTACCAGACTACTACCTGATGGTCAAGACTCCGCTGGCTCGACACCAAGGCGATCACTCGAATGGAAAGGTTCTGTAGAAGAGCTTCTGGGCTTCCGCATAGAAGACATTCCAACAGAAGAGAGCTGGTGGCTGGCAAGAATTCATCCAGAGGATCTATTCGATGTGGTCAACAGCCTTTCCAAGATCCTCGCTCCAGCGCCAGACAAACCATATGCTTCCGAGGCCAGGATTTGGGCCCAAAATTACCGTTTCAAACACGCGGACGGACAGTTTCTGTTAATCTCGGAGAGGTCAATTGTAGACAGAGACGAGAATGGCAATGTGCTCAGCATGACGAGCACAATCTTCGACGCTGAAAAGCGAAGAATCGAACGAAAAGCACATAGGGAATTTCTGGACTCGAGAAACCAGTTTGCTCTCATCGCCAACAACACGCCATCGGGTATCTGGATGATGGATCCTCAAGGATACACGACATATATGAACAATGCTGCAGAATCGATCACGGGTTTCAAATTCGAGGAAATCGCTGGCTGGACTTTCCATGCAGCAGTGCACAGCTGCAGGCCAGATGGCAGTCCCTACCCAGTAGCAGAGTGTCCCATCTTTCGACATCAACAAACTGGAACTGAGGCCATGAACGAATCCGAGGTCTTTGTCCACAAGAATGGAAGCTTCTACGACATCGTTTATAGCGTCTCGCCGATAGGTGATTATGCCAGTGGCGGTGCAGTCATCGAATTCCGAGATGTGACTGCACAGAAGAAATTGGAGCGAGAACGATTAGCAGCAATTGTCCAAAACGAGCAACAGTCGGTACTCATAAAAGCATCCGAAGACCATAAAGCGAATATGGCATCGTTTGTTTCTTTTGTTTGCCACGAGTTACGAAATCCGCTTCAAGGAATCTCAAGTGCGACGGTAAGACTGAAGGAAACCGCGAAAAGCATTTTTGTTTGACGAAAATATGTAGGAATTTCTATCAGAGACATTGGAGAAGTTGGAAAACTTGACAAAAGGCATGCATATCGGCGGCTCGACGGTCAAAGATACACCAAACGTGATTACAAACGGACACCGAAGTGAGGCTGGCGAAACTCCGAAAGACGACTCAAACTCGACGGACGTTCCGACTATCGAAGCAATTCGCGATCTAATCGCATATTCTCGCGAGCTGGTTGTAAGTGTTTTGTTGTTCGAAGGTTTCGACAGAGAGCTTATTGTACGCATAGTCCAATGTCGCTGTTTGCGCCTCGCACCAAGCCCTCATCACCAACAATGTTTTGGATTTGAGCAGGCTCGATGCTGGTAAGGTAGAGCCCTCATACGACATTGTGGATCTGCGAGCGCTCGCCAATGAGACTGTTGGGATGATGGTCTCAAGAGCACGTGTAAAGTCCATCAATCTGCGGCTAGCCAATGATGATGCTCCACCTTTGTATTTGAAGGCAGATTCAACTCTCATGTCTCAAGTCTTGCTGAATCTGATAGGCAATGCCGTGAAGGTATGATTCCAACGTGCGCCCTCTCATTGTTAACAGTTGACTGACTATCCGAACAGTTCACCCCTGAGAACGGAAATATCGAGGTTGACATATACTCAGAGCCGCCGGATCAAGATGGACGAGTTGTTTTCCACGGCTCAGTAATTGATGATGGTGTGGGGATGACAGAAGCCGAACAACAGAGATTATTCAAGCGGTTCTCACAAGCCAACAAACGAGTTGCGCAGACATACAAGGGCTCAGGATTGGGTCTCAGCATCAGCAAGGAAATTGTCAAGGTTCTAGGTGGCGACATGGCAGTCGAAAGTACTGCCGGTATTGGCAGCACGTTCAGCTTCACCACTATGCATGATTGTCCGACCGAGAGCGAGCTGGCTTCGTTCCGAGAGCAAGGCAAGATTAGGACGACTACTGCTGCCACAGATCTTGAAAAGTTCCAGATGAGCAATTCTGCATCAATCACACCAACACCCAAGTTCAAGAAGATTTGCGTGGCCGAAGACAATCCGTGAGTGCACCTCATCCAGCAATAGTAATATTTCGAGCTGACGTTTTGTAGAATCAACCTTCGTCACCTGTCCAAGAACTTGGAATTCCTGGGCTATGACTACGTTTTGTGTAACAATGGCAAAGAAGCACTGGACAACTTTACTTCGCCAGAATCAGATGTTGATGCAGTAATTATTGTGAGTAAAACGACCACATAGCTAGGTTGAGTGACAACTCACGAGGTTCCAGGATATGAGCATGCCCATAATGGACGGTCTTGAAGCAACACGTCTCATGCGCAAGCACGAGAAGTCCAACCCGAGCACAAACCCTCGTCGCATACGCATACCCATCATTGCTCTATCGGGCAATGCCATGAAGGAGCAAGTCGAAGAGGCCATGGCGGCTGGAACAAGCGATTACATGATCAAACCCTGCAAAAGGGCTCAACTAAAGGTCATGCTCGAACATTGGGAGCGTATCATACACGATGGATCTGCTCATATGCCGCTGGTTGCCAAGTGACCAGGGATCTGCCTGTGTCAGCCTACAAGCTGATCGATTTGCACCACAAACCTTGAGAAGAAGTCTTCGCCCAGCGACAATGGCTCCATGCCTGCACTAAAAACTTTCCGCAATAATTTTGCGAATGCCGGACACAGTATACACTAGGCCACTGGCCCATGAATGGACAAAGGGATCATGCCGATGAGACCTTGGGAGGCATAGTTGCGCCACACTCAAGACTCCTCCGACCAACTAAAAGTGGTCTTTAGCAGTCACGCGTCGAATGATCTTTGAGCGAATCAAGTGAAATGACTTGCATGAAGTACAAGTTACTGTGCAAGAAATCGGGGTCGATCATATTAGCTTCTTGTCACTGATGCCTCACACACATTGGAATCCTCAAACACCATCAAGATATACGGCGTCACAGAGAAGTGCGCTTGTACACTTTGATTTTTGGGTATACAGCAGAGCAACTCTAGCGTTTTGCCGCTGACTTTAAGCAAAAGAGTATGCAAATAGGATGAGTAGACAGTGTTGATCCCCAATAGCACTTGCTCGTATGTGATTGTTGACCTATCAGCTGACTAACCTTTTTTGAAAATACGATTTCAGAGCTTCTCCCATCACTTTATGTAAATGCTAAACCGCTCCCACGCCCAACCGTTTATGCTGCAGTACTAACGCCATCGCCATGTCCATCAAACAAACGATACAATGCAAAAAAGAAAAGGCAGAATGTCAACCCCAAATGTTAGAACTCCATAGCCGCGTGTTAGAATAGGGTATCCTTGTCATCTTGAATATCGTGGAGAGAGTGTTTGAAAGCTTGCGGTGCAGTGGAATGCTCAGGCAGAAGTCATGGGCTCCAAGAAGATACTGTTGCCCAAAGCAAGCAAGTCGCGCTTGCTCGTAGTGTTGGAGAATTGCAAGTTACCAACATCGCACCAATTGTTGACATCCTGCGCCCAATTTGTCAGCATTTTGTACAAGGAGCACAGAAAGCGTATAACTTACGATACAACTCAGATACTTGCACCAGGTGCAGCCAGTGCGCCAGACGTAGAAATTCTTGAGTAGAACGATGAAACCAATCAGGACACCAATCAGGGCGAGCATACGCACAATCCACCATACCCACCACATAGCGCGGCGCCCCTTGAAGAAACCAGCGGGCTGCTTGATAAAGACACGCAACCCCTGACTGGCCGCATCTTGAGTAGCGGCAGGAGCACCAACACTGCTGTAAGGAGGTTCGTCCTCGCCAGTGCGGCGGCGTAGAGCATTGGGTGAGCGAAGGAGACAAATACCAAGAACGAGACCCATGAGAAAGCCACCAATATGAGAGAAGTTATCCAAGCCTGGCAAAAGACCGAGGACAAAAGAGATGATGACATCGACGAGAATGAACAAGAGATCCTTGACAGGGCTTTGGCGTTCCCGCCAGGTGTACAGAAGCTCGAGTAGGGTCAGAGCCATGATGCCGAACAGACTGCCAGAACAGCCAGTAGAAGCGATACCAGTAGCTGCGAAGTTGCCACCAAGAACGAAGCCAAAAATGCCAGCGCTAAAGTAGACGAGAGTGAAGCGAATACTGCCAATGGAACGTTCCATGTCACGGCCCAAAGTCATCTGAAGCAGCATGTTGAAACCGATATGGATGATTCCAGCATGCAAGAAGATGGGAATGATGAAACGATACCATTGATTTGGGTAGGGGTGGTCTGTGATGGAACCTCCAGCATGTGGCTCCGGGACACCACCGAAACCACACAACTGGGACAGGGTGCATTTTGCATCGTCGCCCGTGTTGGAAGTGGCCCAGGGACAAGGCCATGTGATGTTGCCCGAAGCGCGGTCCTGTATATTGTGCATGTTGTGCATACAGGGCTGATAGCGAGCACCCATGTTGATCAGAACGTACGGAGAGGGGCCGATCATGGGGTTGAATTGTGGATGGATTTCGATGGGGGACTTGGTCAAGACAGCGTTCTTGACAATCTCGGCGATGAATACAATGACCTGAACCAAAGTCAAGAAGTAGCAGACCCAGGTGACACGGCCTGTAAAGTGTCGACGCCAGCCCTTGACGGGCGGAGAGCGGGGTGGCCTTGAACGGGAGCGTGGTTTCGCATCTCTTACAAAAGGATCGTGGTACTCGGGCGTAATGACTGGGGCAGTGCTGGACTGGGACGAGTGCTTTGGACGGTATGAGTGCATGGGCACGGCATGGTCATCCTGGAAGGGATCACGGCCATCGCTCGGGGTTGGCTGGTTGCTGAGATTGTTCCATGAAGACGAGTAGGAAGGGTAGTGGTTGTCATCGAAGGGGGAAGTATGGGTGGTGTAGCTGTTATAGCCAGGGTGGTTGTTGTTGGTGGTGCTTGTGTTGTAGTAGTCGTGGGAAGCCATTTGGACGGCGGTTGCGAGGGCAGGAACGAGTGGCAGTTCAAGTTGGGTCTTGACACTTGACAGTCGACGATCGGCAAGCCAGACAGAAGACAGAGGTCACCGCCAGGGTGAAGTTGTCTTTGTATAAAACAAAAAAGCACAACCGATTCAAGGCCAGGCTGGCGTCAGCGTAGTCAGAGCGCTGTGAGGCGCAGTTGTTCGTCTGAACTACAACTTGGCTTGGTCCCCCTCGCTGCGACGCGCACTGCCAACAGGGAGGGACACGGACGCCTGAAGGGCTGACAATCTTCCCGCCCTGCCAAGCCTCTGCCGCTGCTGCTGTTTCGCAAGTTGGTCGATTTTGATCAAGTTACCGTACCTACCTGAGGAAGCAGCTCAGGCCCAGAGTCTTTCGTCTTGCTGCCCTCTGTCACAGCACACATGAACAAGTGCTAGGCGCCGCACCCGTACTCGTACCGACTCGCTGGGAAGGTTTGCTGTCGTGTGGGATATGGATCCGCCGCCGTCGCAAGCTCGCAAGCGCATTTGATCGGAAGCGGCTGCTCTGTTCGAGTGCAGCCCTCCTGCCTGCATATAGACTTCCACTCTGCTGGGTCGCCCACTCGGCCTATATACTATTCCTCGTCTCCGCTCCAGATCGCCTCTGTTCGCTCCTTCTCACTCACTCTCTGTTTCTCTTCTCGCTCTTGCCGCAGCCCTCGACAAGTCTTTTCCACCTTCTTTCCTTCCGCCCACCCGAAGGGCCATGCTCTGCGCCGCTTCGACATTCTGTCTCTGCTGATTGACTGTCCACCGTCATGTCTCACTCTCCAATTCCCATGCAACCCTCGTGTCCAGCACATCAGTCTGCGCACTCGCGTCCTTCTCCTCCTCCAATGGACCATCGCGCCCTCTCAAATGACTCGCGCCGCAACGATCATCCCCCACCTCCCACTCCGCACTACGACCAGCCCTCCGCCGCACAACAGAGCGAAGCCTTCCAACAGGCTCTCAACACCATCGAAGTTCAAGGCTCTTCCGACGAAGACGCCTACTCAGATTCCGGCTATGAGGAGAGTCTAAACTCTGCCTTCTCGTCTTCGACTTCCATGTCCTCCTCTGTGCGCCATTGGGATTTTGAAAATGGTCGTCGCTATCACGCATATCGTCAAGGTCACTATCTTCTACCCAACGACGATGCAGAACAGGAGCGCGAAGACATCAAACATGCCACCGTCTTGACTGTCTGCGGTGGCAAGCTGCACTTTGCGCCCATTCCCGAAAACCGTCCAGACACTCGCATTCTCGATATAGGCACAGGGACCGGCATCTGGTGCGTCGAAATGGGTGATCAATATCCTTCTGCTCAAATTACTGGCGTAGACCTAAGTCCCATACAACCAGATTGGGTGCCTCCGAATGTTAATTTCATGGTCGACGATATAGCAAGCGAGTGGCTGTATCCTGAAAACCACTTCGACATGATCCATGCCAGACACATGGGTGTCGCTATCAAAGACTGGGATCATGTCCTCAACTCAGCATACACACATCTCAAACCAGGTGCATGGCTCGAGTTTTGTGAATTTGATTACTGGCCGAGCTGTGATGATGGGACCATGACTGAGGATAATCTCCACTACGGATGGCATGTCCTTGTGACCGAAGGTATGAAGAAAAACGACGTCGACTTGCACGCCGCTTTGTCTTTGAAGAGAAGGATAGACCACGCCGGCTTCGAAAACGTAACTGAGAGGATCATGAAAGTTCCTCTGGGTCACTGGCCCAAGAATCCCCTTCTCAAGAAAGTCGGCAGCTACATGCATGCTGTCCTTTACGACGGCCTTCAAGGTAAACAATTATTCCCTCGATTCACTATTTCTGAATTCTAACAAACATTTAATAGGCATCTGCATGGGTCCCCTAACAAGAGGTTTGGGTTGGTCAAGGGAGCAAGTTGAGCTCTATTTACCTGGAGTACGAAAGGACCTAAACAATATGAGTGTGCACACTTATTACAGTCTGCACGTAATCACGGCCCAGAAGCCATACCATTGATGAAAGCGGCTGCTAGATGTATCGCCGCTCATACACTTGTATTCTCGCTTTCCTTTTGCTTTTTGACACAGCGGTCCACTGTGACTTCGCTGAACTACACCTCTATGAGATAGCATTATACCCCAATACATTTTTGTGATTAATACTTCTTGGTGTGCCGTCCGTTCTCCCCTTGTCCGCCTCGTGAATCACACGCACGCGGGGTGCTCGTTCGTGTTCTGCACAAATCATTCATCGATCGATCTTGCCAATTTATCTCATCCAGACAGCTGCATCTCGCATGCGGCATGCCTCGGGAGTTGAGTCTCCGATATCGAATTGTCCTTGCATGCACAAAATGTTTCGGCAGACAGACACTCTTGCAACCGAATATCTTCACAACCACACATGTTTAGTCGGTCGTCAAGTTTGCATATTTTTGCAACAAAAAGTAGGGAGTTGAAACTTGGAACGCTTCGACCTTCTGCTCAACATGTTGGGCGCAAAAATGCATGGCCTGGGCAAACAAGAGACAGCCCAAAAGTTGATCACTCGCCCTTGAACTGGTTCAATCGGCTTCCTTCTTTCCCATTAGGCCCTTTGGTTTTAATCGAACCATACCACTGGTAGCATATCCTTGTCAGGATTTGGTAATGGCCCCGCTTGTCTCCGTGCTTGATCCTACCAAATCCGAGGGATAATACGGCTTGGAGCACACACTGGAGTCTGGTTGTAAGAATACCTTGCACGACGAACTCATGATCTAAACATAACACATGGAATGGCAGGCAAGGGAGAGATCAACTGAGGGGAAATGGCCATGCTGCAAGTCAAGACCCTGGCAGAAAACGGCGAAACTCTTTGCACTGTCCAACTTCTCTGGCAAGCTAGTCGTATTCCCACGGCTAGTTTCACTCAGCTCACCACTGTCCTGGTAAACAACCCTGTGTCGATAACTCGCTTTGAGGTCTTCTGACCAAGAAACATAGAGCAGTTTAGGGTTGCCGAACAATCATAAGCATCGATTGGGTGCTCTTTCTTGACCATTGTACTTCATTCATGGCTCAGAGGCCTCCCAGTCCGACCAAAATCCAGACTACAAAGATCTGGATCAGAACGAACGTGCCTGCAAATGATTGACAGGACCTCCAAAGGCCTGAGACTTTCCATTTTCCGCACTCAAGACCGTTGTTACCAGCTGTACATCCTCCCTTCAGCTCCCAGTACCACGAAATCAGTCTTTCGATCTAATGCACATTTGTCTCAATTCTTTCGGCCGTACGGCGCCTTACCTCACCTAGGCAGGAAATCCCGAAGACGATGTCTTCGTACGACCATTTTAGATCGGCTTGTCAAGTGTGGTACGCGGACTGCAACTGCTGCTTCGATTGGCTCGGTTGGTGAGATGGGCTCATGCAGACATGCATACGTTTTCCGAGCTACAAGATCTGGCGGTAGGGTCCCGGGGTAGGTACACATGGTCTCTCTTCCAAAGAAGACGCTCGTTGGCAATGGCCTGATTTGATCTGCATACCAGCATGCTTGATCTTCCTATTGAGCACATCCTTTTTCGACATTTAAGAGAGAACGGTGGCTAATTGACAGCTCGAGGGCTTCCACACATACACGCATCCACCAGAAACATGTTCAAGATGCACGCTTAGTTATACCGGACTGTTTTGCATTGGAGCAGCTACCTATTTGACCGGCTTTTCTCGTGGGGATATCCATCTCAGGCTCCATTGACGAAAATATATTGTCGGCTAGGATTGTACCTAGCTCTCTCCCCATTGTCTTCGAGCCAATTACTCCCCATGTCCTGTAAGTACTGTGCCGCCTGGTCTTCAGTGTCTCCAGATATCGACACGGGTGGGCGATACGGCTCTGTAGTCGTAGTCTTTGACGCCGTTTCCTGCTGGTGTCCACTGGCTGTCCTCGATGGAAGACCTACGTGCAGGGCGGGCAGTATCACTACCAGGCTCCAGCTTGTAGCCACTGATAGGCTCGTCCAAGGTCTTGTAGGCTTTAATAAGACCTCCGGTCATCTCCTCGAGTATGTCACTGTAGCCTTCACGACGAGCCACATCGCATTTTGCTCCAGACGAGCTTGCTTCGAAATGAGCAACAAGAGGACTGAGCTTGGGGAAGTCCTTCAGACATACTGGGCATAGATTGCGCTGTGCAGCATGCGACTCGCGCATATGATTGCCGACTTCCTGAGGGTTGTCGAAACGTCTTTTGCAGCTGTCAAAGGGACACTGGTAGTTGGGAGCGTTATCGTTGGTAATGTCTGGGCAGTAAAAGTAGTCAGGTTGGAAGTCGCTGTGGGAAGGATCCCAAAAGTGTGAGATGAAGATGTTGTTTCTGTCGTCTTCTTCCTTGTTGCGCTGATGAGAAGCATTGATGGCATCCCAGTTGGCAATAGCTTTGGCCTTGTAACGCCCGAAAAGCTTCTGGGGAACATTAGGAATGGACCATGGTTGGACTGGTGTAGCGGGGGCAGTGCTATCAACATCGCCAGTGTCTGTGAATGCGGCGCTGCTACAAACACTGATAGTGTCCTCACTGATACTCTCAGCGGAAACAAAGGATGAGTGGCTGTTTGTGGAGCTGATTGAGATGCTCTCTAATGAGTTGCTCAATTGACTGACATCAGTGCTGAGGGTCTGTGGCCATTCGTCTTCGGATTGGCTTCCATTTGAAGACAATTGGGGGCTCAAAGGTGGCTGGCCACTGAATTGGCTGCGGTCGCTTTGACTGAGCAGCTCGATGCTGACACCACCACTCATGTCATCAAATTCTCTGGGCAGTGGCTGTCCGGGCGTGTGAGGAAGGCCCCTCATGTTTCTCTTGAAGCTTTCGGGATCATCCAAGATCAATTTGATCATGCGCTTGTGTTCACGCTCCTGTCTAAGAGCCAAAGGCCTGAAGTATGCACAGAAACCTCCCTCGATGTGGCTGATGAGTTGACTGGCGCGGCCGAAGATAGAGCCACATCCTTCGCGATGGTCATTGCCTTTTTCGTCTCGAACAATGAGATGGCCTTTGCAGACAATATGTTGATCAGCTTGGTGCATCTGTTGTGGTGGGCTTAAGTCAGCGTTGTTGATTCTATGAAGTGTCTGCACCAACGTACCTTTTTGCGATGAATTTCTCTACCAGATAGACTCTCAAAATCCACACCACAGAACTCACAAACGATGTGATTCAGCTTCTTTGGTTTTTCAAACCTGCGCTCACCGACGATCCATGGCAGCATAGTCTCGACTTTGTGTGCAAGAAGCTCGTCCCAGGTCTTGCCATGGAAATCACACTTCACAAAGCCCCTCTGAATTCTCTCGTAGCCAGGATCCTTGCCACAGTAGTATGGATGACGTTTCTTGTCCTTGAGGTGGGCCCTCATCTCGCGTTCAGTGTCGAAAGAGTGGAAGCAATCATCATAGCTGCACTTGAAGGCTTTGAGTGGCGTCAACTGTACTGCCATGTTTGTTGGAGGTGGTGTTGAGAAGTTGGTCTCGCTGTCGATGTTCAGCGACAGGATCAAGTTTGTTCGAGGAACAAGGTGTAGGTAGGTCAAGGATCAGAGGAGGTGAAGGGTGAGGGAACAAAATGAGAGAGGCGGAGGTGGGCCAATTGAAGATCAAAGCGTTGGGAGCCAGTAGTGAAAGACGGAAGGCCAAAGCTGCACAAGGTAAGGATATCGGATATGAGAGAAGTTGACAAGAGTGATGTGTGGAAAGTCGTGTTGAGGGAAAGAGCCCTGGAGGAAATAGAGGCGGTCACAGGCAGCTCCGTGACCGTATTGGCGCCGTGAGGAAGTGACGAACGACTGACAGGCAGCCAAATCAAGGAATCGTTTGTAGGTAGTGAGAGAAATCGACTAATCAGGGTGAGATACAATGGGGAATAGTGACGAGAAATTGTTTTGCTTGTGACTTTGACTTATTTGCTTGGAGAAAGAGAGACGCTTATCTATCAGATTGGTGAAAACTGATTATTGGTCCAAAGAAGACACCCAAATTGTAGTGAAGGTGGTTAGGATTGCTTGCAAGCAGAACTATAGGCGACGATATGCGCTTCCTTGCCTTTGTGTCGTTGGTTTGCGCACATCAAGGAGGTAACAAGATCAAACAGAGTCTGTTCAGACACCAAAACATCCAAAGCGAGTCTTACGCTTCTTATTCGTTCCAGCTGATGCCTTTTTCACCGTGATCTTTGCCGAGTCTCTCTTGCGTCCATTGTAATGAGCCATCTCCTGCTCCTGTTTCTTCTGTATGATCTGCTGACGAATCCTTTCCTGCCTTTCACGGACGCTCAAGGGGCGGTCGTCCCTGAGGTTGTAGCGACTGCCAGTAAGCATGTTGCCGCTGGGACTTCTGATTTGCAGATTGTCGAGCTGTGCGGGATCAATGAGTTCCGAGTAGCGGCGGATGAGAGGTCTTGCCGGTGTTGGATGTGTGATGCCAGATTCGATTTCATCATCGGTCATTGCTTCGTTGGCGCAGCGGGAAGTCTGTTGAGACTCGCATGCAGAGAGATCATGGAAGCCAGGGCTGCGAGGTAAGCTCATCTGGGTGAAAGTGTCATCATCCATGTTGAAGGACGTGACAGACTTGCTCGAATAGCAAGCTGCTGTCTTTGAGATAAGATTGCCCATGGTGTGTGCTCTAGATCAGTATCGCCGAGTCTTGATTCTTTGATATAAGCTGTACCTTTCTGTTGCTGATGTGCCGGGATGACTGCTAAGTCATGTCAAGGAGGTGGATACACACTAACGAGGTTTGGTGGAGAGCGCATAGGTTTTTACAGTCGTGTTGCGCGAGTGAGGATGTGTTGTTGCACTTTCGACAACACACTCCTCGAACTTCCCGCGTCTTCCACAACACGATGACCCGCTGCATCGGAAACTCTCGACGGTCAATGCTTTCCTGTTCACATGATTGAATGTAGGACGCGGAATATTAGGATGGATGATATCGTTCAATTCGTATCTAGAGGAATATTGATCTAGAATCTCGAGTAAGGTAGCCTAAAGTGCGTGGATTAGCGATGGTCATCGCCAGAAGATGTAGCATGTTCCAAACTTACCACTTTCCTCTGAGGGTAATAACAGCCCAGTCGCCCTTCTCATCGGTTTCCTTCTCGACCTTGGTGCTGAAGCTAATGGCACTCATGATACCATCACCGAACTTCTCGTTCAGAATGGCCTTGTATGCATATCCGTAGTTCTGGACAATTTCGTAGAGTCTGTAGACCAGAGGCTCCCTTGGTGGCATCTCCATCTGGCGTCCGCGGTCTGGGTAGCCAGAGAGCTGTGACTCGAGCAACGACTCATCAAGCTCGAGAACCTTGGCTAAGTTCTTGACATCCTCTGGGGAAGCTCTGGCTTGTCCATAGAAGAGTGCTGCAACAGCGACTTCCTCACGTCCAAGAGCTTTGGCAATGGTTTCGAAAGAGAGGTTCTTGTTCTTCTTGGCTTCAAAGAGAGTAGGCGATGAAGACGGCAGGCGAGGTACAATCGAGGTCTGGGTATACTGTGTCAATAGTAATCTACACAAGCATCGAGATACTAGTCATACGTCGAGAGTAGCAATGGGGTGACCTGAAGAAGTTCCAGAGGCCGACATCTTGGTCTTGGTTGAAGCTGTAGCTTTGGTACGGAGAGAGTGCTGGGCTAGAATTATGGAGGGACGAAGGAAGGCTGAAGCGCGAGGGGTTGCACGGGATGCAAGTCTGGCTGATAGCGGGAGCATGGTGGGTTAAGTACTTGGCCTGCGGTAGATAGTCCAATGGTTCAACATCCGAGGTCGTTCTGGAACTGGAAGCTCAGCTTTTTGAAGCTCAACGGACTTGTCTCGGCCATCTTGCTGCGTCACTGTGACTTCCACCTTGATTTGGAACCCTCAATCGTTGGTGTCATTAGTGCGGGGCAGATACGCCCCTCCTTGTGCTTCTCCGGCAGACACGCAGCTCTACTTTCACTGAGGAGATATGATAAGTGTGTGAAGGATAGTCACCATCTGTAGGTACCTGTGAAACTCTCTCAATATAGCTAGCTGGTTGTATCCAGAGATCTATAGATCGAATTCTAAGAAACCTGCCGTCTTGCTCTACTGACTTGTGCTCCTCGCAGCAGGGCCATGCTTATCAGCCTTACGTATCAAGCTTCTGCTAAATCCGTTATCACCGGGGTAAAGCTAGTCAACCGACGGAACTCAAATCCAATATCAGTCCTGGGAGTTCTACAGAAATATACTAGTTCTTTCGTTAGCTATCACTCTGCTCAATTTTCGCGTCTGTACCGGCGTCTGTACCGGCGTCTGTTGTTACAGGTTTGATACGTGAGCTTCAAACAACTTCCCTCTTTGAGGACATTGTCTGAACACTATGACGCAGTGCTCAGCCACTTTTGACTACCTTGTGCTTGATCGAGACGTGCCTTCGACATGAAAACGAAGATGGCAAGCGCTGTTGACTTTGCAAGACGGCAAATGTAATTTGTAGACGATGGCTATCGAGGCTCAACAATACGAGCAAAAGTATGCAATGGCCATACAGGGGATTCCTCGCATAAGATGTTTAGCGTGCAGGCCGCAGACTGTTCGTTTTCGCCTTGGTAACAGTCCCCATTGGTTGAATACCCTGGTTATGCAAGAAGATGGTCATGCAGACTAACCATTTAACGTGGGAACACCCTGTAAAGGCGGTGTAAGTGACGACGTGCATGTTCTTGGCGAGCTCGTCGCGTTTCAGGAGCTGTAGTTAATATCTGACGTGACCTCCCACAACCTCGACCAAGGCCAGATAACGACACAATGGCCTTCCTCTTCGACAAAGTGCACAAAGCAGTGCATGAGATTGGCAACGATCTCAAAGACAAGTTCTCCGAGCATGGACAGACTCAAAGCGCAGGCGCAAACGAGCAATCTGGTCAAAGCAATTACAATGATCCGCATAGCACGCATCGCTTCCAGAGCTTTGCACCACACAGGATTGGAAATGAAGTCAAGTGGTATGTCGACGGCGCTGGATATATGCATGCTGTAAGCATGGCACTCGAAAGAGCTCGCGATTCAATCTGGATCATGGACTGGTGGTTATCGCCAGAGCTGTACCTAAGACGTCCTCCTGCTCAGAACGAACAGTACCGTGTTGATCGCATGCTGCAAGCTGCAGCTGAAAGAGGAGTTCAAGTATGTGTCGCCAGCCGATGCCTTTGACTGGCTCATTTTCCCTCCGAGATCCATCCTCTAGTTTTTTGAAACTATCCTTATTTACGATTGCTTGATTTCTCCACTTACAATGTCTACGAACCTGCGTACGCCAAGTGCTAACATATCTAGGTCAACATACTCATCTACAAGGAAGTCACTCAAGCCTTAACTCGTAAGTGTCTGAATCCTATTTTACCAGATTTCTTACAATCACTTCTTCCACGCTCGGTCGACCGCGTTTCTTCGGCTCTGATCCGATTTGGAATGGACGTGACTTTCAAATCTTTAGAAATTCTCGAGGAGACGAATCCACTAATCGACCCCCCTATCACAGTCTCTTCGGCGCATACTAAGCATGCTCTTGAACAACTGCACCCCAATATTCGTGTATTCCGTCATCCTGATCATCTTCCGGACACACAGGTCCTGACTTCGTCGTTCTTGTCGTCTATACAAGGAATGAAGGCCACCGCAGCCAATCTGGCCAAATTACCTGGCGATGCCATCAAGTCTGTCTATGGTATGAACGAAGACACTGTTCTCTTTTGGGCCCATCACGAGAAGGCATGCCTTATCGACAGCCATATAGCGTTTATGGGAGGCTTGGATTTGTGCTATGGTCGTTGGGATACCAACCAGCACTCAATTGCCGACGCCCACCCCAGTGATCTCAACCAAATCATCTTCCCGGGGCAGGACTATAACAATGCACGAATCTTAGACTTCAGTGACGTCGCCCATTGGGATCAAAATAGGCTTGATCGTCGCTACAACTCTCGAATGGGCTGGTCCGATTTGTCCATCTCTCTCACAGGACCTGTTGTGGAAGACCTCCGTAGACACTTCGCCGAGCGTTGGAACTTCATTTACAACGAGAAGTACAGGTCTAAGAACGATAATAATAGATATGGCCCTCTACATGTCCCAGAGTCAAGAACAGGAGTTGTTCATCATGAGTACCCCTCCGCACCCGGAGCTCCACTTCCTGAGCACATGCGTGAACGTATGATGGAACGCTGGGAAGAAGGTCGCGAACGCATGGAAGGTTTCAGGGAACAAGTGAGACACCACTTCCCTTACAGCGGACACCCACCACCTCCACCTCCTGGAATGCCTTGCCAAATCATGAGATCCTGCTCAAAATGGTCACACGGCACCAAGACTGAGCACTCAATCCAAAATGCTTATATTGAGGTGATCCTAAACAGTCACCATTTCATCTATATCGAGAACCAGTTCTTCATTACAGCCACTGGTGATTCGCAACGCCCTATCAAGAATCAGATTGGCGCTGCTATAGTCGAACGTATAGTTCGTGCTGCGCGCGAGAGAGAGCCTTATCATGTCATTGTCATCATGCCTGCCATCCCTGCCTTTGCTGGTGACTTGAAAAGCGACGAAGCACTGGGCACGAGAGAAATCATGGAGCTCCAATACGACAGCATCAACAGAGGCGGCCACAGCATCATGGAAAGCATTGCAAGAGAAGGCATTGACCCCATGCAATACATCCGTTTCTACAACCTTAGAAACTACGACCGCATCAACTCGAGTGGAGCCATGCGCGAGGCAGAACAGCAAAGTGGTGTTAGCTACGATGATGCGAGACAAGACTACGACCAGCGATACGGTGGAAGCGAAGGGTACGCCCAGGAGGGTGCTTACAACAATCAGTATCAACAGTATGATGGAGGAGCCTACGAGCAAGGCGGACAGTACAACCGCTTCCAGCGTTACCAGCAGGCTACCCAAAACTTGAGTAACCATTCAGGCCTCGGTAGCGGACGCTGGGACTCGGTCGCAGAGTGCTACATGCTCAATGGCGAGGATATTCGTAATGTACCTTGGGAAGATGGCACGACTGACGAGATGGACGCATTCGTGTCTGAGCTGCTCTACGTACACAGCAAACTCTTGATCGCTGACGATCGGGTCGTCATTTGCGGTTCAGCCAACCTGAACGACCGCAGCCAGTTGGGTGACCACGACAGCGAGATCGCAATTTGCATCGAAGACCCCCGCGAGATCGACTCTTACATGGCTGGTCGTCCTTGGAGGGCAACCGAGTTTGCTGCCAGTCTTCGTCGACAACTCTTCCGCAAACACCTCGGACTGCTGCCAGCCCAAGATTTCACCAGACCCGATCGCAATTTCGAGCCTATCGGTGTACCCAACACATACGACTGGGGAAGTCGTGAGGATGAGGCTGTGATTGATCCATTGAGCTTGGACTTCTTGTCCTTGTGGAACACCACTGCTCGCACCAACACCGAGGCGTTCGAGCGTGTCTTCCATCCCGTACCTTCTGACAAGGTTCACAACTGGAAACAGTATGATGAATACTTCTCGAGATTCTTCCCTACCGGTAAGGACGCCAAGGAAGAACGGGGCAAGGATGCAGAGAAGCCCAGCCAGTGGAAGCTTGGACACGTTGTAGCAGAGGAATTTCCTGATGGCGTGGCAGAGGTCAAGGACGTGTTGAGCATGATTCGTGGTACGCTGGTCGAGATGCCACTGCTCTTCCTGAAAGACGAGGACATTGCAAAGGAGGGTCTCACACTCAATGCCATGACGGAGGAGATTTACACCTGAGGGGAAAGCTAGCATAGCAGGCAAAAGGAGAATCAAAGAGATCATCTTGTTGACAAGCAGCATCGTAGACGGTGAGCAAATAGTGAACGTTAACGAGGGCACAGATTGGATTGTCTCCATAATCGAGACAGAAATTAGATATAAGGTACGTACAAGGTCGGCTACGTCTATTTCTTCGACACTTGCTGAATCAGCCTCTCGACCTCTGTGGCTGTCTGACCTGTGGCCTTCTCACGAAGAGACTCGAGCAATCTCAGATTGCGAGCCTTAGCCGCTTCTTCGGCTGCGCGTACTATTAATCCACACTTGGTCCAAAGCTCTACACGTTCTTCTACCGTCAGGCTCGTACACTTAGGTATGAACAGAGATGCCAGTTTCGGATTCCCAGCAGACAGGATTTCATTGATGAACGGCTGACGCATGATTAGTGTTGTGCATTGATAACAAAAGACGAACCTTCAGACTTACCTCCCAGCCAATAGGGCTCTTGCGAGTTTTTGACAACTCCTCCAGCTCGCGCCAGTCACGACGCGAGACAAGCGCACGTAGGCGAATCCACCAATACACCTTGTCGGAAACTTTGAACTCGGACTGGATCTTCTGACTTCTCTTCACGTTGCCTAATCGAATGAGCTTGTATATCGTTTCATTGATGCTGAGGCCGCTGAAGTCTTCGTCGAGATCCCGCTTGAACGTGTCCTGGAGTTTGAGCAGCTTCTGCTCTTCCTCAATCGCTCGTACTTGTATTGATTGGTCTTTTGACTCTTGAAGAATCTTTGACGCCATCTTGAGTTTGTCGTTGCGAGCGTTCACGTCTGCGACATTGAGTGAATCCGATAGTAGAAGATTCGAGCTGTCAAGTCTTCGGTCGTCCTGGTAGAATAGATCTTTGAGCAGTTCCTGGTCTTGATCCCAAGCAGAAGCTTCCACAAGGGCAGTCGCGACCGGTCGGCCATTGATCGTGCGAAAGAACGTAGCGAGTGGCAGCTTCTTTTTCAGATGTAGCAACACATGATACACCAAATCAGTATCTCCACTCTCGATTGCCTTGTCTAAGGCAAGTGAATCCTCCTCTACGTTCAGCAAAAGTGGTACTTGCTTGCCGGCTCGTGGTTCGTGTTCGAGCAACTCTGTTGCGAGCTTGCCACGGCCTTCTTCGTATGCTGTTTGTGCAATCTCTTCGAATGAAATACCTCGTTTGCCTCGTAGTCTTTCTACAATCTCGGCACAGATATCATTCTCATCACTTGTGGAGCTACGCACTTTTTGGCGTGCCCAATGTACATAAATCTTGTCAAGAGGCAAATCAAGATGCTCAGAAATCTTGATCGCCAAGAGGTACTCCTTACGGTTGACCAGCCTCTGGACCAAGTTCGCGGGAGTCAAACGGGTATATTGATCGAAACTGAGAGGCAGGCCAACCTCGAAGAAGCGAACAGCATTGAGTACACGTAATGTCTCGCACATGTCGACAAATTCGTCGCTGTTGTATAAATCAAGCACTGATTTGCCAAATGAGGCGGCCTTCAAAAGTTGTTTTTGCCAATGTACGCTGAACTCGTGGCCAGCTGCTCTGATACAGGTGTCAACAGCTTCGTCCAGATTTGGTCGAATGAGTTGGATGTTCTCGTCGGCCTTGGGGGATTTCCTGTCGAGCTGCTCTGCTGCATCGAGTAAGACTGAGGCAGGTGAGGTAGAGCCCAGCCTGAAGGTGTCTTCGGAAACGTCTGGCACTTTCTGAATGAACTCGCAGACATCGTTTGTGAAGATGCGGATGCCATCAATGTCGGGGGACAGATGGACCCAAGAGTCATAGTAGTGTTTCGAAGCAGCACCGTTTGGGCCGACCAGATGCACTTCGTCCTCCCAGGCCAGAACAACAGCATTGTTACCACACCATTGCAGATCTTTGGGAGGGGTTTTAACGCGCGAGTCGTACTCGGTAAGACGGTTCTCGAAGTCGCTGCTGATGACCCAGACCTTGCCATCCTGGGTGTAGAGAGCGATGAACTTGGCGTTGGGGGCGACTGAAACGAGTTTGAAGGGGCCGTTCTGTAGTTTGCGATCCTGAGCCTCGGAGGCATCAACTATGACAATAGTATCGTCAATGGCCAGGATGGCTTCGACAGAGCGAGACAAAGTAAAGGCGGGAGGGATGACGGCCCATGACAAGATTTCGCCTTCTGGCGGAGTAGCAAGGAGGGTAGGACGAGGCTCATCGTAGCGCGAGACGCAGACGAGCTGATTGTTGCCTAGAAGAGCAACGAAGCCTGAGGACCAGAAGCGGCACGAGACGACACCATGCTCGTCGGCACCGTGTCCCAGGCTGAAGGGGATGAAGTCGCTGCTGAGGGCATTGTATATCCTGACAGTTCCGTCGTTTGTGACGACAATCAATCTCTCGTCTTCGGACCAGCCGCAGCCCTGGATTGCGCCCTTGTCCCAGTTGATGCGGTGGATCAGTTTACCCGAGCAAGTGTAGAGGTCAATGGATGGGCGAGCAGCTTGGGTACTGCGGTAAGCGTATAATTTGGAGTCGTCGCGGTAGACTGCTATCTATGTGGCACCGTCAGTGCAGTCATGGCGGAGGTCGTGGTCTTGTGTACGTACGGCACCAGCGAGTGGAGCGCCGACTAGCACATGGTTCTCGAGTTCCAGCTCCGGGTCGAAGACGGACGTGTACAGCTGCGTCTTGCGGTAGAAGCGATCGCCGACTCTCTCCCAGTCCGCCGTGGCCTTCGACATTTCAGCAGCAGTTCATGTCTGCACTTTGGCCTTGTCGCTGTCGCTTGCGCATCGAGCCCATTGCGTAGCCGCTGGTCTGTGCGCCGGTAATTGCTTCCCCAGGAAGCCTCACCCGCCATACACAATCACCATCGTCCTTTTCCATGTCTTCGGCTCTGATTTCACACCAAGTACCGACTAGACCAGATCCTGTTTGGATTCACGTCTTTCTCGAGGGCTCCGTCCTTCGACATGGATTCAACTGCTGCCAAAATCCAGGCTTTGGGAGATCTAGAATTGGCCGTCTTGCTCTGTCTGGTAGCCCAGCAACACTGTATAATATCCACTCAGAATATCTTAATCGACAGCCTGGCACATGAACTTCAGCTAGTTTGTCTACACTCGCTCGAATCTTCACTCTTCTGAACTGACAAACCCAAGATTGCTACTAACATCTTTGGTCTCTCGTGTGCCTTGGTCAACTGTTCACCCACGACTACTCTTGACGACTTCAAAGAGTCTATCCTGGTTGATGTTCCAGATACATCTGATGACCATGTACTGTCTTCTACCCATCTATCACTCCCCTCATTCAACCACGCCACTTCTAGGCACACCTTTTTTCGTAATCAGTCTGGCACGAGCAATGAACTTGACGAGCGGAAAATTGCCGACATTATCATCGCAAAAGATCTAAACATGGCAGGCAGTAACGTCCAGACTCAGGCTTTAGAGGTATCCACGTATCCCTGTTCATGGCCATCATCTTGTCTCACCATTCTGCTAGCTCATGCGTACCAAAAGACTGTTCAGTCACACCGCTATGCACGGTACCTCCAAGCACTTCCTCTTCCTCGCTCTACAGGCATCAGAGTCCAAGTCCAAGCTCGCTTTTCATCTTGTAGGTATAATTCTGAGCCCACAACACTACCCAGTCGCTGAACAACCATTTACAGAACGACATGTTTGCCATCTCACATCACCATACCGAAGACGATGGCTTCCCAAACCTTGAAGAACAGGAGTTCAAGGATCCATCACAGTTGGATGATGCTGCATCCATCTCGTCAATCGTCAAGCATCCTTTTCCCAACCAAGAGACCCTTCCCGACTCTCCCACAATCACGCCCGACGAGATCCAGAACTTGCGTTCTGCTGTCACAAGTGTTCGCGTAAGCGCTGAAGTGGCTGCCTACCTCCACAATATTGTCATCTTCATGCGTCTGAATCGCTTCGTGGCAGGAGGCATCTCTGCCTATGCTACTCGACATTTCCGAGCCATTGTCCATGCTCTTGCACCTTTGCACAACCTCAGATACGTTCCACCCTCATTGGTCGCGTTGGCAGCAAGGAAGGTTTATGCTCATCGCTTGATCTTAGCTACTCCAAACACCGAAAGGAGCATGCAATGGGGAAGCGACTATCGTGCGGTCGAACAAGTCTTAAAGGGTGTCACCGTCGAGGATGCCATTGAGTCAGTTCTCTCGAGTGTTGAAGCGCCGCTCTGATCAGATTCATATTTCATGTCCCTGGGCTACATTGCTGCAGTCTGGGATTTCTGGATCTTCGGATCGGATATCCTACCATGCAATGACGCATCGCGTGGCACTGTCCATGACACAAAGTCCCAAGATCTAGTGGTGCCCAAACATCTGAGCATCCGCGTTCCACTCTCTCAAAAGAACGCCGGTCTCTATCCTCAAATCCTCAACGATATCATCCATCTTGATGTCAGCCTTGTCCCAACCGAACGGCTCTTCCAACTGGTACGCAATAGCTTCAATACCATACAGGGTGAAGGTGATGAGGGACACCATCACGATGGTCCACCACTGCAGACTTTCAACGAAAGCGAATGGCAGCACGCCTCCATAAAGAGCCAGTACCTGTCTGGTGTGGATGAGATAGGCAACTGGGATGGGTGTCAGGCGAATCGTTTCCATGGCTCCGAACGCTGCCACCAACGTATTGAGCTGTACAGACAGCTGTGACGCTTGCGGACTGTGGAACCATCCCCGATCGTGAGCGCGCTTGATGTATGCTTCAATTGACATGGTGAGTTGGATTGGAAGGCCGAGACCCTCAAACTCATAGGTCTGAGACATTGTTGGACCAAGAAGTTCTCTCAGCTCCGGCTTCAGAGATCCAGAGCCGCTGTCTTCAAGATCCGGTGCTCCTATACTGTGCTCCCACTCCCATCGAAGCGTGTTCTTTACAGCATAGATGATTGCTAGTAAAGCATGTACAGCAGCTTCGGTTTCTGCTCGCTCAGCTGGCGTTGGCTCCGGGCCTTTCGAATTGTAATTACAAGTCAAGAAGGACCGAGTCAAGTTGCGGATGTTTGTGCAAATGGTTGTGAGTTCTTGCTGTCCGCTCCAGAATCGAGAGTATGAGCTTTGGTTACGGAACACAAGTAGCAAGCCTACAACAATAGACAGAGAAGATGTGATGCTGCCGGGAAGATGTGGCGTGTAGGGTGTGAAATCGTCAACGTAAACAATCAATGCCGCGAATATGGCATGAAGAATCACTGGCAGCAAGATGTCGCTGTGAATTGAACCACTGATGAATCTCAAGACAAGTGGCATTCGACGGGGCTTCTTCCTTGCTCTGTTCATGAGCGGCCTCATTGCATGGGAGTGAGGGTGAGATCGCATTGTGTGTGTGGCGGACAATATTGACTTGGTGATGAAAGACGAAGGAAATGTGCCGGGTGTGGTTCCTGTCTTTTGAGTTTGTTCTAAATCGAAAAAAGGAGAAAGCTGAAACGTTCTTCAAGATGCGGTGAGGTGGCTGGCTCTGTCAGGGTTGTCCCCACGACGATCAATTAAGAACTTGTTATTGCTCTAGCCACTACACCGTATAGACAAGAAGGTCATGTGAGAGTTAGAAATGTCAGCGGCTATCTATGTGTTCCGGAATATCACACTCAAAACGAAAAGATCGTGTGCTTCTCTGTTAAAAAGTAATTAGATGACAGGATATTCCCGCGATGCCATCAAGTCCCTCTATGGTACGAACGAAGATCATGTTCGTTTTTGGGCCCAACATAGAAGAAATATCTTTTGAAAAACATATAGCTTTCATAATAGACTTGGATTTGTTCTATGGTCGATGGGATGCCAACCAGCGCTCGATTGCCAACGCCCGTCCAATTACTCTCAACCAAATCATCTACTTCACATACATGACCGTGATTCTGAGCCATAGATCCTGATTGGAATTTTTACTAGTTCGTGTTACACTACAAAGATATACTCGATTCCGATCCACTGGTTTTAGGTGAAATTGATCAAATCACCATGATTGCGAGCTTCCACTGTCCGACGAGACTTGAGCGAGCTCGATGATTTTTAGAACATCAGCAGCATCATCTCCACTAACAGGTACCTCGCCCTCACCCTTCAATGCCTTTGCGAGGATGCGGTAATACTCGACGTAGGTAGGTGGAGGCTCGATGGAGTGAACGGTCTCACGGTTGAGCTTTCCATCGGCAGCAGCCATGATGAGTGTGCCGTGAGAAGATGACGCCTCAACACCAAAGTTAGAACTACTCAGTTTGACACCGGCGAGAAGCTGAGGCTCTTGAACGTCCAAGTTATATTTCTTGAACGAGCCTTTAGTTCCGCGGACCCAGAATCTCAGCTGGTCTTGTTCTGGGCTGATGGCAGAGCTTTTGACGGTGACGAGCATCTCATCCTCGGGAGTTCCATATTTGAGCAGTACCGTGCATGCATCTGGCGCACAATCACCGGTCTTAAGTCCTTTTCGTTGCACTTGGACGAAGCCTGTGACGGATTTTGGCGCACCGAAAAGATGGTATACCTGATCGAGCAAATGGCTTCCCAGGTCGTAGAGCGCGCCACTAGCCGGAGTAGCTAGAGTTTTCCATGTGGTACGACTGGGAAGATCTGGACGGAAGCGGTCGAAGTGTGTCTCGAATTCAGCAATCTCGCCCAGTCTGCCGGATGCGAGTACTTGCTTCAGGGTAACAAAGTCTTGGTCCCATCGTCTATTTTGGTAGACTGCTAGCAAGCGGTTCCTATCCTTGGCCAGCTTGGTCAATTCTCTGGCCTCCTGAGATGTTGGGACGAATGGTTTTTCGACAACAACGTGCTTGTTGCTCTCGATTGCCTTCTTCGTAAATTCGTAGTGTGTTTCCGGGATACTGGTGACAATGATCAGATCGACGGCCTTGTCAGCGAACATGTCGTCGGCATTGCGAAACAGCTTGATTTCTGGATGGTCGGCTGAGGCATCGTCGCCTGACTTTGGACTACGTTGCACAACAGCATACAGGTTGTAGTCTGGGAGAGCCTGAACGAATGGGATGTGGAAGACTTTTGCACTCAAGCCATAGCCGATCACACCCACGTTGATCTTCTTGTCTGCAGACATGATGACTGAGTATTTGAGATTGACGGAAGGAGTCTGGAGCGATGCAATGGCAACAAAAGCGGGCTTATGATTTCTTATGGTAGATGCAGGAACAGCTGTTATGAGTGGCACAGAGAATCTCACCAAGGGCGACAGTAGCCCTATGCTTTGTCACAGTAGATAGTTGAGTCACAAGACCGAGTGTTGCAAGGTAGGTGGTTACGCGCTTTGTCAAAGCCGCGCATTAGGGCACGAACAGGGCTCTGATCGGGATACCTTCCGTTCTGAGCGATGACGACCTTGCCTCTGTACTCGACTTGCATGTGAAGACTTAACAAATACTAAGTCGACAACAACACCCTCATATTCTTTCTCTCCGCCGTCGACGTGCGCGCAAGCAACATGTCGTCGGCCCCGACCGCCTACAAAAAGCGCAATGGAACTCTGTCAGTCAGCGCAGACCGCACTTCGTTGTTCTGGACTCCTTCTGAACCGCCGTCCTCTCCACCCTCAGTAACCATCGCCATCAAGGATATCACAAGTCACTATCTTCTTGTCCCTTCGCATCTGTCCGTCAAGGCTGACCCTGCGACACAGATCTCCAGCAGACCCCAGCAGGCAATCCAAAGGTCGCCCTGAAAGTCGTCGTCCAGCCACCAGCAGCTGCCGCGCCAGAAAACCATGTCTTCTCCTTCACCTCTGCCGCAGCACGATCCGAACAAGAAGCAATTACCGACATCTTACGGAACGCCATCGCCGCCATAAAAGCCGCCGAGCCACCCAAACCTGCACCAACACCCGCAACAGCACAAGATACATCTGCTCCTTCAGCAGCCATGGCCATGGCCCAGGCTGTTTCCTCCACAGTCAAGACCAACGAGAGCTGGTACGACGACGCCCATCTCATTATCGATATCGAGCTACAGAGATCACTACTGGAAGCGAACCCGGCGTTGCGACAACGATTCAATGAGAGTCTGAGGGACAGACCAGAAACCATAACCATCACCCAGTTTTCCACACAGTTCTGGTCTACACGCTTACACCTTCTACGCGCGCATGCCATTGAGAAGGCTCAGAATCAAGGCGATTACAATGTATTGCCCGAAATCAAATTCACACGAGTCGCGGCCGAGAAGGAAGGCGAAGCGGATTCTTTGACGCTCCGTCTGGCAGGTCCTCAGATCAAGCTGATATTCAAGCAATATCCCATTGTCAGACAAGCTTACAACGAGAACGTTCCTCCGACCGATAGCAACACATTTTGGTCTCGATTCTTCATGAGCAGGCTGTTAAAAAAGTTGAAAGGCGAGAAAATCACAGACGCAGATCCACCAGATCCAATGTTTGACAAGTATCTGAGTTATCAAGAAAAAGGACCTTCGAACATTGGCCATATTCCGCACTTCATTGATCTCGAAGGCAATGAGCAGAACCACAGTCAACGTCAAGGAAACAGACCGGACGAAACCATGAGGCCCGAAAAAGTGCCGATATTGAGGATCCTCAACAACTTGTCTGAAAAGATGATGGCTCAAGTAGCACCAACAGACGGAGAAGCTCATGCACCTATCGGTATGAGTGAGGATGCATTTAATGAACTACGACTTCGAGATCTTCAGACCGAGGCAGGAGACAATCGTGTCGTGCTGAACATCAAAGATCAGCAACGGTTGCTTGGAGGCAAACAACAGAATGGACTCTCGACAGAAGCACAGCTCTATGCCAAGCAATCACCCGAAAAGGTGCTTGAGCTATTGCACTCAGAGATGGCTTCTGCCGACAATATCAACCTCAGCAAGGTTGTTGGTATCCAGTCTGACAGCGAGGACTCGGACGATGAGACTCGATCAAGCAAGAAAGCACGAATAGGAAGCAAAGCAGCACTTACGCAATCAAGCCGAGAAATGCTGGCATCTATCAGCAGACGTAGGTTGGCAGCATCGGCCGATGTGTCATCAAGGAGAGGTCTATCAGAGTCAACGTTTGATACGCTGAGTCTTACACACAATACGACGGTGGAGTTTCTTCACTACTTTTGGACGCTCTTCTTGTCTGGCGATGGATCAAGGAGTAACGAGGTGGCGAAGCTTGTAGAGACTCTGGATCGATCAGTGGACCGCATCAAGATGGTAGCAGAACAAGCAGAAAAGGAAAAGTCACAAGAAGCGGAAAATCTTCAGAAGCAGATATCAACACTGAACCCCAGATCAACAAAGCGACGACGGATTGAGATGGAGTTGGAAAGACTAGGCGGAGGAAAACAGGCGGTGGAGGAAATGGTTCAGCCTACGATCAAAGCACTGGCTGAGGCTACGGCACAATACCGCAAGGCATTCGAGGAACAGAGTGCACAAGCGGTGGGCTGAGGCAGAATTGAAAGGTCAAGGTATAGCGGTTAGCTGATAGGCAAATCCAATGCAAGACAAGGAAACACTATCAAGATCAACGTTCCTGCATGAGGTTAGAAGGACGATAGATGATAGAGTAGGGCGGCAGAAGAAGGGAAAGCGGCATATGGAAACTACCTTAGGTAGTGAAAGTGTGGGGAGATAAGGGCGGGTTGCTGGGCAACGACAGAAACATCAACAAGGCAAGCCAGCCATGACGGCGGGGAAATGTTGTGCCAACAATACAATTCTCAGCTCTCTTGATTTAAGCTCTTGACAATCTCTCTATACATGGATGAGCGAGGCCATGGGCAAGCTGGCGTCGACCACAACACCCCTCACCAAGAAGCTCCCTCGTCGTCGTCGACCATCAAGATGCTGAAATCCATCCTGCCCAAAGAACACAGACGATCAAAGTCAAAGGACCTCGGTCGAGTCGCCTCCAACACGACTACCACGACTACAACCCAGATGGTACCTCTGCTGCCTCCCGACCACCCTCACTCGGCTGCCCAATCCACCGAAGACGGTCGCTCTAGCAGACAGGCCAAGAAGGAGAATGCTCCGCCGCACAAGCGTTCTAAAAGCACCGTATCACTGCGCTCCCTAGGCAGAGACAAGGAAAAGGACAAGGAAAAGAAAAGCCGAAAGGAAAGAGAAAAGGAGAAGCAGAGCCAGAAGAACACAAACGACCAGGACAACCGCGATGGCCGCACACGCATGAAGAAGACCAAATCATCTACCAGTCTCCGAGGCTTACTTGGAAAGATGAATCGCTCGTCCAAAGACCTCAGCGACACGCTACACGACAAGGAAAACCAGAGCCCACCACTCTCGGCTCAGGAACCCTCGGTCAACTCCGCTTGGCCTCAGAGCCCGCCCGTCATCCAACAGATCGATGCAGAGATTGATCGCTACACTCCCAAGGACTATACCCCTTCCAAACAACGCGACTTTTCCGCCTATGGTCATCCCGCCCTTCCGAGACCTTCCTCTTCTGGACGTCCAAAGAGTTTAGTCATTCCTGGCTCATCTTCCTTTCTCGATATGCTCAACCGGCCCATCAGTCGTGACAAAGAACGCGCGCAACTGAACTCACGCGGAAGCAACCACTCACGGGGCAGTGGCGAAGGCTTCGAAGACGGCAAACTTTCTTTTGATCGCAAAGTGAGCTCCAGCAGTAACGAACGTCCGGCACCAAAGCCACTGCCAAACATGCCTAAGCGTGGTCCAAGGGTCATGGCTGCTGTTGCCGCTTTTGATGAAAAGGCCAGAGAGAATATGGTGATAAAAGACGAGCAAAAGTTGGATCCTAAAACTGTTGATGCTGCCTTCGAGGCCGTCTTGGTAAACACATTTCCCTTCGTATACACTCGGCTCGTATGCTGATATGCATCTTCACAGGATTCACGCAACATTCCAGAGAACATGAGACAGAAGATGCGTACGCTGACACTGCGTGTCAAGGCCGACTTTGTCAAACAGGACAAGGGCGCGCTTAGCCCTACAAAACCAGAATCTCGACTTCCTTTCTTCCACGACGAGCCTGTTCAGCAACAGGCTGTCGAATCTGGTGACGAAGAAGTCAAGGAAGACCCTTCGAAACGGTCAAGGTCAAGAAGTAAGACTTTTACACTGACCAGAAGCGATGGGACTGCAAAGAAACAGAAGCAAGACAGCCGCCCCAACTCAATCCATATTCCAAGGTCATCAGGAACCTTGCCCAAGAACTCTGTTCCCCCATCACCTGGTCGAGGCCCACAAGCTGCTTGTCCTGATGAGTTTGTGGCCTACTTGGAGAACGTTCGCGATCCCGTTCAAATGGAAGTAGGTCGTCTACACAAGTTGCGTCTCTTGCTTCGAAATGAGACTGTCGCTTGGGTTGACAACTTCATATCACTTGGTGGAATGGCTCAAGTCGTGGATCTGCTCCACCGCATCATGCAGATTGAATGGCGCGAGGAGCATGAGGACCAACTGCTACATGAAGCATTGCTCTGCTTGAAGGGGCTTTGCACCACTGAAGTCGCTCTCAAAAATCTTTCTAACTTGGCCGATGCCCTCTTTCCTAAACTCCTGGCGATGCTTTTTGACGAAGAGAAAAAGGGGCCAAGTGAATTTACCACCAGAGGCATCATCATCAACATTCTTTGTAAGTCGAAACCAACCTTGTCTGGTCTATAAATCTAACGCAGACCTCTAGTCGCATACTTGGGCGCGGCGCGTGATGACAGACCACATGATCTTGCCCAAAGAGCTCGTGTGATCTTGGGCTATCTCGCAGACCCAAAGAAACCAGAGGAAGCACAGCCAGTATCTTTTGTGCTCAGCATGCGACAATCTCGACCGTACAAGGTGTGGTGCACGGAAGTCAGCAACGTGACGAAGGAAGTATTCTGGATCTTCCTACATCATCTCAATGTTATACCGCTTCCGAAGAAAGAGACTCCAAATGGAGACGGCTCGGCACCGACACAAGCAGATGGAAGCACGATTCCTGGTCAAAGTTATGCTCAGCGATTCTTTCCTGGAGATCGACCACCTGTTCCAGCTGCACCCTACATTGGTGGTGTCGAATGGGATGCAACCACATACATGACATCGCATCTTGATCTTGTAAACGGCCTCATTGCTTCACTTCTAACCCGAGAAGACCGCAACCAGCTGCGCTCCGAGCTCAAAGCCAGCGGCTGGGAAAAGATGATGGGCGGTACCATGCGCACATGTAAGGAGAAGTTCTACTGCGGTGTACATTCTGGCTTGCAAAACTGGATAGCCGCCGCTCAAGCCGATGGATGGGACATTGAATACGTGCGATATGGCCCAAGCAAGGAAGAAATGGCCGCGTCGAGTCCGAAGAAGAGTCCAAAGAAGACAGAGCCACCGCCACAAATTGGTCTTCCCGTCATACAGATGCCCAAGCTAACGCTAGGATTGGATCGATCTAATTCGACGCCCGCCTTTAACGCCAGTAACGATAACGATGGATGGTTGCTTTGACAAAGAACGTGGAGGTTTCATGATTACTTCTAAATTCTGTTTTTTTCTTTTCGCTTTCTCATTCTTGCAAGGCATTTCAATGGTGTTTCTGGAAAGGCTTTCATGGTGGCGTTATAGGTGTACATGTCTTCTGGAGGAAAGCAAAGTCTCGAGAGTGTGCACGTATCAAGTGCAAAGTCTGGTAGCATGTTAGGCTTCTATATATCCAAGTTCCCTCTCTATTACATATCCTTCTCTACCAGCTGGTCAGTTGTGTCGAACGGTCAAAGCCTCCTCGGAGCTGCTGTCCGGGCTTGACCACTTTGCCTTGGAGGACAGTGTAGCGGACAAGATTCTCGCAGTCTTGAGGCTTGATTCTGGCCAGCCATATGCACTGTGCGGCCTCATCTAGGGGCTTGCCATCAGGGGTCAGGCGTCTCCTGTAAATCAGAACATTTGCTGAGTACTTGTGGCCACCAACATGATTGATGAAATAGATTCCAACGCCTCCTGGACGTTCGTCATCAAAGTCACGGGCCAGTCCTAGAGGTCGCAAGTGTCTTTCGAATTCCTTCTTGAGTAATGGAGCGGACTGGCCGCATCTAGCATCTCTGGTTGCGTGAGAACACAACAGGATCAAGTAGTTGTGAGGGCAGTCTCTCATGTCCAGTCCTGAAGGCAAGGATGCCATGGTAAGAGAGTTGTCCGAGGCAGGATCGGCTAGGGGTGTCGTGTTTGTTGGCGCGGTACTGACGCAATGTTTTATAAGGTCTGGCACGGCGGCAGGAGTGACGTGGTCGACAAATTTGAAGGCGGGAAGAAGCAAGACGGTGGTGCGGACCTGGCCATCAGGATCTGAATGCGAAGTGTGCGGTATGGGCATGTTGGAGGCCGAGAGCATCATCTTCTATTGGGGGGTCAGTATGTATTACCTTGATGTGCTGTATGGGCTAGCCATCAACTTACGCCATTGGTGGGCTCTTCTGTTTTGGACACGGCCTCCATAACGCTGCCCTTCTCGTCGGCGACATCGCGTACCCAGTCGGTCTTTCCAGTAGCAACGATCAGATGAGTGTTCCAGCCATTGATGTTTCCGTAGAGCTTGTCGTCTTGATCAATCTCGAACTTGCGGGGATATTTGACCGAACATGATTCGCAGTCGTGCAGACAATCCTCGCCGTCAACAGCAGGATCGGTTTTTGTGAAGAGAGAGTCGACGTTCTTGGCCTTTCTGAACTCAGACGAAGGTGTAGGCGTGAAGCGATACGACAGGTTGCGAAGAAGCGAAGCCATTTTGGTCATGTTGACTCGGAGGGGAAACTATTGCGACTTTATCAGATCGACTCGCGCCCGCTGCCGATTGCCGACGCGACTCCCGCCCGTCACCATCTGCTCGAACAACATACCGACTTACGTACCTGTACGATATACTCTGAACTATGTTTGCGTGACCTGTCATTGACTTTGGCTGGGAATAAATGTGAGCTTTAATTACAGGGCCTGGTGCGGAAGCGAACAACAAGCATGACTGCCTTCATCCTGCCTCTTTATCACTCTTCACCTCGGACATCGCGGACTCGGAGCTCGGATTAAGATTCCTTCAACCAACACAACCTATCACTTCCTGGTCGCTATCACGGGCAATCTATCTACCTCAGGCGCTTACATGGCCACTCCAGCCGTCAAGTTTCTGACCGGTGCCCCTATAGCTACTGCCCTGGATTGGAATGATGAAGGCCTGCTCAGTACCCTTTCTTCGGCTTTGCAGAGACATCTGAACTATGCCGACTTGGCTCCTCCACCTACACCTGTGCCCACTCAACCTGTAGCCAAATGGAGATCCATCCCTCTAGCCGCTAACAAGACCTTCCATGAGAGTCCTGTCTTGCCTAGGACGCTGCCACATACCAACAAAAGTGCGCTGCCACACGCCATCACCAGCCTGCAAGGAGACCATGATGATTTCCTCGACCACTCATTTGCCTTTGAAGCAAATCTACAGTCTTCCCAGATTGCCTCCCATGACCACAGCCCAGAGGATGATCCAGAAGAAACGACGACATTTCTGACAGACGATTCCATCTATTCGACCGTGCTGGATGACTATGACACGACTGTCGTGTCTGTTGAACAATCCTTTGAAGACAACTCTGGACCTCGCTCAGGAGCAACATACAGACCTGTTGGTCCCATCATGAGCATCAAGGCCATTCCGACTGCAGAATACCTTCAACGCATACAGCCCCAGACCATGACTGTGAACCTACTGGTTGGTGTCATCAGCATAGCCCCTGCAAGAACAGTAACAACGCGGAAGGCAGGTCATGAAATGGACATCATCGAACTCACAGTCGGTGACGAGACCAAAGCAGGCTTTACTATCAGTTCATGGCACCAGGCTCAAGACTCTCAACAGCGACACAAGATTGAAGACAAGTCACGGACTGTGCTCTCTTCACTCCGCCCACAAGACGTCGTTCTCATTGAAAGAGTAGCACTCAGCTCTTTCCGCAATGCCGTCTTCGGCCAGTCTCTTAATCGGAGAGCGACCAAAAACACCACGGCATTCACAGTCTTGCACAAGGCACACGACTTCCGAGCAGACAGCGCACAAGATTCCACTTTTCCTCTGGCAGTAGAGCACAAGCTTGAGAGAGTCCGCGACTGGGTCTCGAGTTTTGTTGGACCAAGCGGCAAGCGTAAGGCACAATTGGAACCTTTGCCACGAGCTGGATCCAAGAAGAAAGGCAAGAGCGCTGTGATAGAAGAGTTTCTGCCAGCCGACTCGCAGCCATGATAGGTTCGGAAACCGCCGACTAGTAAAGTCACATGCCGCCATCCGCGCTAGCCGAATCAGGAGCGTGGCTGGTACTTGCGAGAGTTCTCGTAGCTCACGAGCAATGCAAGACAATAGGTTTTGTGATAGCTCCTACCAACAATCGATGAACGATGATTGTCGTTGCAATTATGATATCCAACCCATAGTAGAGCATTGACAAGGATGTGATTGGTTCCTACATTGTATCACAAGATACCGCTTAATTACAATTGACAAAGCTCGAAGCCGCACTTTGTGAGAGGATCGTATTCTGTGTATGTTCAACATGTTGTACACGAGAGGTATCGGGAAGAGAAGGGATATAATACATGAATGAAGGGGAAAGGATATCGTTTGTCAGAAACTTTTCACTGGCGACCAAGACCATACTTTTGAATGGTGCCTTGAATAGCATCCCACTTCAGTTCTTGAAGAGTGACGCCTTCTTCTTCGCCCTGTTGGATGACGACAGTGGGAGCACCACTGCCACCGCCGGGGTTCTTGACCATGCCGCCAAAGACTTGACGTGCGACATGGCGAAGCTCCGGAATGGAGACCTTGTCGATGCGAGCAATCATGTCCTTGACAGGAACCTTGCGTCCGTGGACCTGGACTTGACGGCCAAGGTCTTCGAGCTCGACCATGCGGCTCTCAAGGTTCATAAGCAGACTGCTCTTGAGTTGGTTTTTTGCACGCTTAACCTCTCCCTCCGTTAGGCGACCGATGCCTGTTTCCTTGCCTAGATTTGCGAGCTGCAAGCACATGACTTGGAGCATGTGGTTGACATAGGGGGTGGCACATGCAGCGCTGATACCAAAAATGCCACTGTCAGTGTAGGCGTGGTTGAAGGCGACGCAGTTCTCGACCCATCCGTGCTGATTCAAAACGTTGGTGTATAGACGACTGTACATACCCTTACCAGGGCCACCAGCGGAGAAAGAGCCACCACCTCCAAGGAGAGTCTGCAAGGTCGCGAGGGCGTAGATGGAGTCAGAGTTGATGGGCAGAGATTCAAAAGCAAGATGAATGTATGATAGGCGAGGGAGTGCAGGGTTGGGAGGGATAGGAAGATTTGGTAACGTCAGGAAGCCACCGGTGTAGTGGGCAGGTGAGGATGTGTCGACGGGAACATCAAGAGGATGGGGAATGATCTGAGAGGGATCGAGTGGTGAGACGGTGGCAGACTGAGAGGCAGAAGTTGAAAGGTTCTTGAAGAAGGGAATCTTGGAACTGAGCGTCGACTTCTGCTGTGGTTGCCGTGACTTTTGAGATGAGGGTTCTGTGGTAGCGAGCTTCTCAGCCTTCATGTCGCCAAAGTATTGTTCGGCCAGTTTGACGGCTTGGTGGTGCTCGACGCCAGCAAATGCAACAACCAGTCTCTCCGGGCGGAAGAATGCACGGCGGTAGGCGTCAACGGTACGCTTATCGATGCTTCCCAGACGATCGGCGGGACACAACAGAGGGTTTCCAAGAGTGTTGTCTTTGTAGGCAGCCATGTGAACCAACTCGGGCAGGATGAGGTCGGGCTTGCTCCAGATCTCACCAATCTCATATTCAGCTGTTTCGAGCTGACGGGAGACCTCTTCATCTGTGATCAGGGGATCGCGAATAGTCTCGGCGAGCAGAGCAGTAGCTGTAGGTACTGCACTGTTGAAAGTGGCGGCCTGGTACATGAGCGACTCGCGTGAAGAGGCGCATTGGATGTTGCCGCCTAGGGACTCGATCTCCTCGAGCATGCTGTCAGCGCTTCGCCGTGATGAAGACTTGAAGGCCAGACGGTCGATGATGTGTGAGACGCCGCGCAGAGCATCGTTTTCGTATCGCGAACCGGCATCTACATAGACACCGATGCCTGAAAAGGCACCAGGTACAGCCTCGCTGGCGACTCGGACGCCATTGGATAAGGTGGTGACTTGGTCGAGGTCGGCAGAGTCCTGAACAAGATGGGCGTTACTAAAACTGGCCGGTTGGAATGCGATGCGCTCTCTGCAGGCTTGGTGGGACATGGGCCTACCTTTGTGGGGCGGTCTACCGAAGCAAAAGCGCGCCGCGACACATGTCGAGACAAGAGGGAGTTAGCAGAGCGTGGTATGGCTCTGTTTAGTCGTAACATGATTGATTCTGGGTAAAAGAGGCTTTCTGTGCAGCATGCATGGGCTATTCTGTCATTGCTGTCCGAGTCGGCATGTTTGGCAAAAGTGCAAACGCCTCTCGGCCCCTAGTCCCGGCTTCGGACAAGACTCGACGGCTGACGCCTCTCCCGCCGCTCTACAGGCCTGGATCCAACATGTGATGCATCACGCGTGCAATTCTCTGTCTGGCTGTCGGCTGTTGGAGAGACTGAATTCCTCACTCAGCATTGAAGCAGTGCTTGCCAGGACAGTCGTCGCCGAGCGAGACATCGAGTCAGGATTTGGGGCTAGAAGACGGTACCAAGAATTCATTGAATAGTGACGAGGCTAGAAGCCATAACGCCCCGTCGAGAGCGTTGTTGCATTGACTGCACTGAGTAACTATGTGAGATGGCTTTGGGTCACTGTATGCGAGTGCGGCACGCACCAACTCACACGACTCCCTCTTCTCTCTCCTTCTCCTCTCTCTCTGTCTTGCCCACTTCTTTGTCGCTGCTGTCCTTGTCGTGTGCTCGCTCTGCATACTACCGTACGACTAACGTCTTTCTCATAAGCCAGACTCGGATTCCCGTGCTACACTCTCCAAGCGTGATCGCCCGCCGCAGTGACATAATACAGCCGCCTCTTTTTGCTTCGATACTCCAAGCGAGCGCTCGACTTTCGCTTGGATTCAAGCCTCTTTGTCTTGCCTACATCACACCATGTTTGGCAATTATTCACCGGCTGCAGCGTCGCTGTCGACCGTTAGTTCAGCTGCCAACTCGCCCGCTACGCCCGCTTCTCCGACTCGTCCTTCCCGACTCCGCGGTCTCTCATATCTCAGAAGTTATACCCACAACCACCTCCACTCAAGCTCAAATTCCACCAACCAAAATCAGTCCAACAACTCTTCAGCCACCCCGTCTCCTGCTCGTCCCTCCACCCTCAGTCGAAGTACCAGTTCTCCCGCCCGCAGCGCACGCGAGACGCCTCCGAGTCCCCCTCTTCGCAGCGATACCACTGCCAACGGCTGGATCCCTACTGTCGCCGGCCAGAGCGTCCTGTCCAGGCTCGCTACCTCGCCTCAACCAACCCAATCCGATTCATCTACTCCAAACATGACCCGTACAAGAGCTGCCACTGTCAGTCAGGATGCCCCTCCCGCCGACAACAACCCCGCTCCAGCCACCACCTCGACCACCGACACTGCCGAGTCTGCTGCTACTGCGCCGGCGCAAGCTACATCCACCGACAAAAAGGAAGCCCCGACCATTCGTTTCATCCCCCATCATGAGCCTCGTGCTTCGAGGCCGTCCCTCACCTTTCCTATCATCACACGCACAATTGCCGCTGCTGGTCAGCGAGTAAAGGTCGGTAGATATTCCGAAAGAGATCAGGCCGTCGATTCGCAAGCAAGTGCCAAAACCGCAGCTCCCGTTGGCTTCAAGAGCAAGGTCGTCAGTCGCAGGCATTGTGAGCTCTGGTGCGACAATGGTCAGTGGTTCATCAAAGACGTTAAGAGTAGTTCCGGCACCTTTTTGAATCATGTGCGCCTGAGCAGTCCAGGCATGGAGAGTCGTGCATATCCTCTCAACGATGGTGATATCGTTCAGCTGGGCATTGATTTTAAAGGTGGAGAAGAGGTCATCTTCCGTTGTGTCAAGATTCGTATCGAATGCAACAGAGGTTGGCAGAAGAGCTTGAACCAGTTCAAGTAAGTTTCATCATCCGTGCGCCAGAACGCAATGGCGCAGTTGCTAACCTTTATAGCACTGCAACACACAAAAATATCCTCAAACAGGCAAAGGTCAACAACGCTAAAGACACCGACGCTCAATCGACCCACAGCTCCGAGTGTTCCATCTGCTTGAATCCTGTTGCTCCATGTCAGGCTCTTTTTGTTGCTCCATGCTCGCACGTGTGGCACTACAAGTGTATCCGCACTCTTATCTATCCAAGCTGGCCGAGCTTCCAATGTCCAAATTGTCGTGCGTACGCCGATCTGGAAGCCGATGTTGAGCCTCCGGAAGAAGAGTACGAAAGCGAGGACGCCGAGGACGTGATCCAAGCTTCAGCAAGCACCCAACCAAAATCACCTGAACCTGAACCGCTTCCTGCTATAGAGACTGGCAGTGGTCTCGAGGATGAAGACTTGACTGCTATGATGAACAGTGTCTCCATGGGCTCGACCTCGCCATCTCAAAATCCTTCTGGCACAGACTCGAGCTCGGATGTCGAAGCTGGGCTCTCGCGAGGCTCAATATCAGCGCCTGTACCCATCGTCGCTTCGACGAATGCACCAATCAACAGGAATTTGCCCGACTCTATCATGGCACGGTCAGCAACGCCCACCTCTTCCGCGCCCTTTGCTTTAGCTGCAGCTACCTTAGCACCTATGGGTGATGGACAAAACACACCCATGAATGATGCTGGTCCGTTCGTCTTTGATAATTCGAGACGTGTTGCTGCACAACGAAATATTACAGACATTGCTCGCGAGCCTGTCCCCGAGCAACCTGAGGAGCATGCTTCATGAGCATTGTTCGTTTCTTCTTTTTCAAACACTCTAGTTTGAAGTCGTGAAAACCTGGACATGGTTGATTTGTGGTTGTTGATAAAGCACGTTAGGCGGTCTGTTCAGTGCTTTTGTTCTCAGTTCCACGTGGCTGGACTGTTCTTTATTCTTATCATCTCGTTCTAGCGAACCACTGGGTTGGGCAAGGGACAGGAAGAGAGACACACCAAAACAAAAGCTGGTCTTGCAGAGGAGACTGCTCTTTGGAATGCAACCCCCTTTTTGCTAATTTATATAATCTTGTCATTACTTGTAATCCAATTTGCTTATACCCTGCTAATGCATATTCTGGTTTGATTATCGTGCTCGTGAAAAGAAGAGTTCTCAGTAGGATAGTTACGAGCTGCAAGCTGTTCCCGGGCACAGCTACATGGCGAGCTCGTTGCTTTTGTACGCACAAAGATGGATGCTGGAGGATGATTGATAGATAAAGTGAAGAACACCGCTAGCGCTATGCATATCTAGAGAGCTGTTCACTTATAGCTGGCTTTTGTCTAAGGACGTGACAGCAGTCCAGTATCGGCTTCAATCTAGAGTTTACTCTTGCCAATGCCCCATACTTGAGCCTCGGGGTTGTTCTCCTTCGATCCTACAGTGCCGTGCTCGCTCTTGGGTTTGGCCGAAGGGTCCTGGATGGGCTTTCCCTCCATATCGCTCTCAGGGAGTTCATCCACGTATAGCGACTTCGCCTTGTTGATGGTCTCTAGAGCTTCGCGCTCGATACGTGAGACGAGGTCTGCACATGTCGGGATATCGTGAATCAAACCAATGACTTGGCCAGCGGTCCAAACCTGAACGTCTCCAAGTCAGTAAAACACTCTTGAGGAATCGTCAAGATTCACCTACACCGTGCTCTGGGTCTCCGTTCAAGAAGACCTCCCTGCCTCGCTTTCCACTGACGTAGGGAGCGACCTCCTCGAATTTACCAGTTGGACTTTCTCTTTCAATCTTGATGGCGTCTCTTGCGACCTTGTTGGAGAACATTCTGCTGGTGTTTTTCCATCGTCGAAGGACTAGCTCGGTATCTGTTTCTTGTGCCTTGACGATCGACTCTTTGATGTTTTGGTGGATGGGAGCTTCTACTGTGCACATGAATCTTGTGCCCATGTTGATGCCTTCGGCTCCGAGGGAAAGTGCAGCAGCAAGACCCTGACCATCAGCAAATCCACCCGAGGCGATGAAGGGAATCTTGAGTTCCTGACGAGCTCTTGAGAGAAGGATGAAATTTGTAATGTCCGTCTCGCCAACGTGTCCAGCGCATTCCATTCCATCGATGCTAAGGAAGTCGACTCCGAGCTTCATGGCAGACAAGGCGTGACGTACGGTGGTACATTTGTGCAGGATGATGATGGGAGGGTTGGCGGCTTTCAATTGCTTGATGACAGGTGCAGGGTTATTGCCTGCTGTCTCGACGATTCGGATGCCTTCCTCAATGATAACGCGAGCGTAGGCAGGATAATCCGGAGGTTGAAGGGCGGGGAGTAGAGTCAAGTTTACACCAAAAGGTTTCGAGGTCATCTTTCGGCATCTTCGAATCTCCCTGCGTCTTGTTAGCCAGTTCCACCGTCTCGTTGGACGCTTGCAAGAGTACTTTACTTTCTCAGATCTTCAGGGGATGGCTGTGTGAGTGCTGTAAGAATGCCTAAACCTCCTGCGTTTGAGACGGCACTGGCGAGCTCTGCATAGCCCACCCACATCATGCCTGATCATTGTCAGTACCTAAGACATATGACATTTCTGGTAATCCAAAATGCCTACACACCTCCTTGGACCACGGGGATTTTGATCCCAAGTTTACGCGTAAGAGCAGTGTTGAAGGGCATTTTGAGTTTGAGTGTGTTTGCTATCTGGTTTGAACAGAAATGTACATCTGCAAGAGATCACATCTTGTATGCTTGTGGATGATGCTGTCAAGCACACCCCTCAGGAAGCCGCCCATCACCTCATGCCTCGGCTCGGTTCGGCCCCGAATTTATGCATGTGGAAGACGCTCAGACAAACACCCTCGTGGCCATAATTATACAGTTTTTAGTACGGTACATGATCGAATGTCTCCATCATTCCAAAAGTTGGTATGCTTTCATACAAGACAACTCAGAGTAGCTCTCAAGCCATGTGTAATTTGGGGAAATGACAGAGATTGCGTAGCATGTGAGCATGACAACGCCTCGCTTAAGCATGTCGAACGAAAAAAAAAAAGGAAAAAAAAGCCCATACATCACAACGTTGAAGGAGAGTAAATGCCCAAACCGATCCCCTAGCGAAATAAAGAAAAAGCAAAGAACCACACATCTTCGTTCCGTAGGACGTAGAAAAGAGTCAATCACCCAGGCTAAAACAAAAGCCTACAAAGGAAAAAGGACACCCTCTCAGACCATCACAACTCACCAATTGTTGCATCTACGCTACCGCTGGAAGTGCTCAGGTCCATGGCACTGCTAGCCTCTCCTTTTTGCGCAACGACGTGTGCTCCAACAGCTCCCGACCATCGCTTCAACACCTCAACATCTTTTCCGCGAAGCTTAACACTTCCTGACATTGTCACGGCCTCAATCTTTCCCTCCCATTGTTGGGGATATTTGATGTGCAAACTTCCAGATTTGGTCTTGTGAACACTTCTCAGATGTCCCATTACGTCTTCTGGGTCCTCGTAGGATGGCAGTACATTGACATGGATTCCTCCCACAGCGGATTCCGTGCGCAGCCAGCTTCCAGTACTGTCAGCCGTGTATGGTAAAACGTTGACATCAATTGAGCCACTGGATGTAGTGATATCAGTGTTGATACCATGGATGTAATTTCCGTGAACTGATCCACTTCTGCTCTCAACTTTTGTGTGGTAGAAACGTGGCGGGATTTCGGCGATCGTGCTAGACATGGGGAAAATGGCCTTGATGCCTCCAGATACAGTGATTGCCTCAAATGAAGCAGGTCGAGGATCGGTTGGGCTCTCTGCTTTTGGTTCCACGTTTATGTTGATGTTACCCGATACTGTTTTGACTGAAAGTACGTCCTTTAAAGAAAAGCGGCCACTAATACTTCCTGAAACAGTGTCTATACGAGTCTCTCGCCCACTCTCCCAGTATGCAGCGTAGAGAGATCCTATGACCGTAATAAAATCGGTGTTGTTACTGATGTAGTACGCATCGCTTTGACCTGACCGCGTGGTTTCGAGGGACGGTGGAAACAGACCGGGTTCAACTCTGATGTCAAGATGCTCGGTCGCAATTTCCAAGTGCTCGAGTTGAGCTCCAGGTTTGATCCAGATACGCAAATCAATCTCCATGCAAGCTCTATATGAGCTTGGTGAGTAAGCAGGAGCATTCACTCGTAAGCTCTCGCCTGTATATTCAATCTTGAATTGTGAATGTTGCGCAGCTGTCGATTTTGCAATTCGCAACTCGATGTACAGAGGATGTTCCTGGTCCTCTTCGCCGAGCATAACTCGCACCTGGCCATTGATGTCGCTCGAAGGATTGTGTGCTCCTTCAGTTATTTCGACAAAGCTAAAGCTACGTGGCGCATGAAAAGTGAAAGTTTGAGGGTCGCCGATGGATCCGATGTTGCATCTCATATAGTGAGGGAAGCCATCGACAGGAGAAGGGCTGCCATTGCCGCTATTCTTTGTTGTACATTAGTGCGGACACCTGTAAAAGGGCGTAAAGGTGCAAGGCTTACTGAATCTTGACTTTTGTCGTGCTTGACCGTTGTTACAGTCAGTAGTCCGATGAGAGAACACGTAAGAATAAAGACTAGGCATGCAAGAGCCTTTCGGTTGGTCAAGATGTTGCGCTTTTTGGTCACTTTCCTTCCGTCTTGAGCATTGCGTTCCGGATCGCCCATGCTCTCTGGCTCCTCTGTCCGCGTGTAAGTCGATGTGGTCGCATCTTGATGGTGAAATTCGTTTGGCCGGACAAGATTTGAGTCGTTCCGAGCAACATATGGCGGAGTTCCGTATAACCTCGTCACGTCGGCATAGGCTGGGGGAGGTGGTGAAGTGCTCAACAGTGGTGTGTTTTCGCTCACTCGTTTCCTGGTTTTTGGTCCAGAATGGTGTCGCAAAGCTGGTGCGGCCAAAGGTGCCTCTTCGTCGAGGTCAGAGTAGTCCGTGTCATCGTCGTGGACCGCCGACACCATCTTGTTGGACGTGCAGTTTGTTGAGCAGCATCTCGAAAAACGAGTCGCGCACCTTGCTCGTATTATCAAACAGTATTGTCAGACAGCCACCCTCGTGACAGCCTTGTTGATTGCACTATCCCCCGCTCTCACTTGTCCAATGGCAGAGCCCGATAAGGCAGGCTCTCTTGAATCCTTCTAAGTGATCCTTTCGGCGTTAAGCTGTTCTACCTTATTAACACCGCCGCCATACCAACCATACCAAACATATAGGCACTTCCGCATATGCAAGTTCAAGCAGCGATCAAGGCACATGTACTCGAGTCTCCAGCATATGATAAGCGTGCTTTCATTCCATGGGGTATCATGTGAAAAGAAAAGAAAAAGAAATATAAAATGGCTAATCGTAGAGTTATGCCTCCATCAAAAGCCCAGCTCGTCATCGCTGATATCTACAAACTTGTCGCTGGCTCGTTTTGTTGGAAGTAAGCTCTTACTAAAAGACTTTGGTGGCACCACTTTCCTCGCAACAGATGTCCTGTGACTTGGCTTGGAGCAACCCATTGCCAGTTCGTCCATCTCACTTTCGGACGAATCGGATCTCTCCTCCTCAGTGTAAACCTGGTCCGAAGCTTGGGATGGTTGACGAGTTGTTTTCGAAGCCAGCGAAGACATACTTGGTTCCCGTTCCTCCAGTGTCTGACATTTTCTCTTCTTTGCCGGTCTTTGCGCTATGTCAAATCTGTTCTCGGGCAAAACAGACTGATGAGTCTCTGAAGGTTCGGCAACAATTCGAGCTGCGCTTGACGTTCTACCCTGAGGAGCCGGAGGCCATGGCAACTTCCTGATCATGGGTATATCATTTGACTGTGTTGTCGCTTCGTGTGCCTGGAGAATGGTTCTTGAGCATGATGGCGTCTGCGAATCGAAACCTAGCACATCCGGTGACGCCAACAGATTTGAGATATTGACCGCCTTACGATGAATTTTCGGTGTTTCCTTGTTGTCACTGAGATAGCCACTGTCGTCTAGATCACTGTCTTGATCGGAGACAGATCCTGATCGGCCCCTGTTCGCCATGACAGGGACCCGTCCGGCCTTCCTCGTGCGTACTGGCGATGCGACAATCCATTCGCACAGGCCTTCTTCCCATCGCAACCCCTGTTCCGCAACGGTAGCATCAATATGACGCGAGCCGAAGGTTGTGCTCTGGGTACTCAAAGGCCCCGGTTGTGACATGGCAACCTCGACGTCATTCAAGAAGTTCCGGCTCCTTTGTGTGGCAGATATTTTGGCAGAGAGCAACGAGCTCTCTAATGCCCATTGTTTTAAGAATGAATTTGTCATGTCTGATTCGTGTTGACCGTCTTCCAGGATCAATCGGACGAGATTTTCTAGATAGGATTGACTGTCCGAGTGAAGGCTCTGTCCGCAGCATCGAGATAGATCGACAAGGAATGAAGCAGCACGCTCAACCATCGATTGGGTGCGATTTGAGCCATTGCTTCCGTGTACGGCAACCATGCCTTGCAAGATTTCCTCCTGCCCAAGAAGTGTCGTTGTATGGCTATTCTGGTCATATTTGACACCCAGTATGAGGCTGCTTGCAAGAAGAGTGAAACAGACTGTCCGCTGTTGATGACTTGAGCTTTTCGTGCTGGATCTGAGCTCATCGAGTTTTGTAAGTACGATTACCGAGAGACGCGTGAGGAGCGATTCTGCAGCAGTGCATCTCCTTGAGCTGTCATTCCGATCGTTTGTGGTGCGCTCTATCAAGACGATTGCTGTGAGCACAGTAATAATGCTGACTATTGTATTGGTGAGTGACTTTTCCAATTTCAGCCAGTTATCAAATTTGCCCTCTGGTCCTTGTCGCGCAGCATGTTCTTGAATCAACTCTTTCTCCGAGACTTGAGAAATGCGACGTTGAAGAAACTGCAAGATGTGGTTGATGTCTCCAGATTGTGAAGCGAGTGCTCTGATCATGCCACTCGACAGAGTGACCATGTCGTGAGTTGCCAACCACGACAGCTTCAGACGACCAGACGAAAACAGCGCACCGAGGAGGCGAATGAATGTCTCGTTGTCAGCACTGGCTGGCTGCATGGACGTCAAGCTCAATAGACACCCATCAAATAGACGAGAATTCACACCAAGAGGGCGTTTCATCGGCAAAGATCGGGCATATGCAAGAAGGAGGTCTTCTGATACCTTATGAAGACCATGTTTGGCAGGCATCCTCGCAAGTTCTGCCCTGGTCTCTGTTGCTACAAGTTTGTCCCTGATGATCTCATGGACAAGACTCACGCCGTGTGCAATTACCACTTCGCGTAGACCTGACCATCCGTGTCCAGTAACCGAGCCGAGATCCTCCAGCTCTTCGTAGACCTCAGCAGAGACGTCTGTATCATCATCTTCATCAACACTTTTACGCCAATTTTCTTCTGCTCGGATGTAGTCTGGAACTCTCCGTAGGCACATACTCAGGAGCGATGAGACCCCTTTCCGTGCCGGCTCTTGACGGTCTGTAGAGTTGGTTCTTTGTAACAGCAATGAGAAACCATCAGTGACTCCTTGGTGTAGCTCGAAAGTTCTCTCGTAGTTCTGTCTGCCTTGCAGTTCAATACTCTGTTTTGCGATCGGTGCCCGAGTGAACGGATCCTGCCGTTGACGGCTAGATTTTCTTGCCACAGGCAGAGCTCTCGAAGCACATGGACTGTTCGAGGTTTCCAGACTCAAAATTTCATGCTTGATGGGTGTCCCTCTTCTCAACGCACGTGCTTTGAATGGAGTTGGTAATGATACCAAACATGCTTGAGGACTATTTGTCTGACCAGATGGTGGCTTAGAGTTGCGATGCCGGACTGAGTACTTCTTCAGCTGGCACTTGGTGCCGTGGTCCGAAGGTAGCCAAGTAGGATCTGAAGATTCAGTATTGATGTTGGTGCGAGCAACTTTTTCTCCGGATTGATTTTGTGTCTTGACTACCGATATGGATTCTTCCAGAACGTCTCGAGATAATTCGGAATTCAAGGTGTACTGGTGTCTTCTCAATGGAGCGATCCTGGAAGCAATTGGTCTTAGAAGTCGTTGGCATTTTGCGGCCGTCCAGAACTCTACTCGTTCCTGTCGCTTCCTTTTACGGTCCATCCTGACGAGGTAAATATGCTCTATAATATTCCGGGTATCATGCTTTGCTATTTCTGTTCTTCAATTCATGCTGTGTTTGTCGATATAATTTAATGTCAAGGCGAAACTTCTTTGCAGCGCGCTCCGAGATCAACAAACAAACAACCGGACTTCAACCCCGCCAATGCACGTCTTGGCGAGTCCCTTCAATCATCTTTGTCGTCCTTGTCTTCTTCCTTCTCCTCAACCTCAAAATTGATAAGTTTTTCTATGGCACCTTTTGCGTTTCTCGTAGTAACACGGTACTTTCCTCCATCCTGGTCAATTCGTGTCAGCTATTGTTATGAACAAAAAGCAATGATGACCAACCCATAAGTCTTTGATTGTCAGCTCGCGAGTGCGTCCCAAGCTCTCAATAGCAGAGATACGGTCTAGAGTTGCTTCCAGGTATTCATCGAAGCCCCTGGTAATCAGTCAGCGAATCATGTTGTGCTCTGCTTAGGATTTTTTGGACTTACTCTTCGGAACAAATTTCTCGCATAGCATTCATCATCGGAACTGAATCGGCTCTCACCATGGCCTTGCTGTCGATGGTGAAAATGTTGATAGCATCATAGCTCTGGATGAAATCGGCACGCGTCATGATCTGTCTCGCTTTGTGAAGGGGTATCTGGGGTAGCATATGGCCTTTGTCCTGGTCGTACTCTAGGTTATCTTCCTTCTCCTTGTCTACTAAAGCCTTTGCCAGGACCATTGCAGCTGACTGACACGTTGTTAGCAAAGCTTTCAAATCTAAGAAGATTCTACTCACAGCATATTTTTGTTGATCCATAACGTCATCATCCATTTCCTCACCCAGGATCCAGGTTTGCGACAGAAGCCAAGTCTTTTCTGCGCGACAAATGTCTTCGCAAGTTTGAAGCATGTCGGGAGACTTTGCGACACGATTGAGGAAAGCAAGCCTACCGCCCACTTTCTGGTAGACTTTTTCTAGAATTTCCGAATCTAGAGGTTTGTCACTGTGATATCTTGCCCGGTAGTTGGATAAAGCCATCATGGCTTTATCTCGTGGTAGATCGGGAACTGGCATTACCACCATGCGTGTTGCCAGCTGCTTGAGTCTTTCGTAAACCCAATAATCGTCGCTGTTGAAGATAATAGTGGCCAGGTTGCTGGCAGCCCATTGTTCTAGGCTAAAGATCAGTTATGAGTCCAATTCAAAATTAGTGACACGAACCGGCTCTCTGCTGCAGTAATTCGAGAAGGTCGCGTCCATCCTCGTCGTCCCGCAGCAAATGCATGTTGTTAATTATCATGATCAAGGGTCTTCCAACAGTTGCTCTCCTGCGTAATGCCACCTTTTCCAGCTTGTTGAATGCTCTCTCTATATCGAGCAAAGCGGAAGCATCACGAGGGCCACGAATCGAGAAGAGAGATCCAATGTTGTCCTCGTGATATTCGAAATCGAGAGCTTTGCCCAAGCGGACGCGGAATATTTCGAGATCAGCATGAGCATCGAACATGGCAACACCTTCACCCTCTATCTTGGCCATGGCGTCGATGAGCATGGAGCTTTTTCCAGTACCCTTTTCGCCCACTATGAGATAGTACTGTCCTTTGAGTTCACCACGAACAATTGCATCGAGTTTGGTTTGCTCCTCACGAAGAATCCAGTGTTCCCGATGACCATCTTCGCTCTTGGACATGGCGGCAAGTTCTAGAACCGGGTCGCCTGATTGTGTATTAGCTTTGGGAGAGATTTCGAAACTGTGCATGCATCAAACCAGGGGCAAAGGCATGTTCCATCTTTCTCAAAATCAGAGCCTTGTAGTAACGGGTATAGGAGTAGCCAATCAGACTAGGATTCATGGGTTAGACATGAGCATAAGATTGGCACATGGTATATCATACCCAAGAACGGCCACTGATGCGAGTGTGGTGAAGGTTGACTCTAGAGACTTCCAGAAGATGGGTCTCCATCTGCTTTCTTCACCTTCAGACTTGTTGCCTTTGCCTCTATCATCATCTTCTTCAGGTGTTGGTACGCCCGGAATGGAAGTAAAGGCGCGAGCACGACATGTCAGATGTGTCTGGAGAAAATTTTGAGGGTAAAGACCCAACTGCAGAGGCCTTTTCGTTGTTTTGAATCTCTGCAATGCTAGTGGCCGCAACGACGACATGGTCGTTCAATGTCAGATGACCAATTCGAGAGGGAGCAACAGCGGTTCGGGGAAGTTGAACAGGCTGGCTGTCACAGACGAGATCTGGAGTAGAGCACAACGGCTTCCTTCTGCTTGGCAGTCCCTTGAATTTGCCTACCTTGCTTTGTTCAGCTATCTGAAGTCTAGGGCGGGCATGTACTTGAACGCCAGATGGCCTGTCCCTGTCGGGAGCTCTGGAACAAAGATCAGGCTTCACCAACTCTCCATCGCGAGAAGAACTAAAGATCGGGGAGACGTTGTCAGAGACCACGAGTGCGTGTCATATATGTAGCTCATGGGACGTGCGAGCGAGCGAGGGACTGATGGAAGCTCCGACTTCAACCGAGGGAGATTGCCGAGTTTTGTGCGGCCTCGCCTTTAGAGGACAAAGATTTGGGCGATTGGACTTTTGATGTGAATCACAAGCTCGTGCAGCATCTAACTTCTTGTATTATACTCGTTTTTCTCTTGTACTATATCTTTGGACATTGCGCGCCCGTTTGCTCCTTGTTCTCCTTTTTTTCCGTTTCCCTTTCGACAAAAGTTTGGCTGAAGCATGGCTGCGGACAGTGAGACGAAAGCTCAAGGTAGGCAAACATGACGACGCAATTGGCGTTCGAGTCGGCCACTGACGGCGAGTATACAGAGGTGCAGAGCAATGGCACAGAGGCTCAGAGCAATGGAGTAGAACAGCACGAGGCTCAGGATGGCCAGCAGGTTGAGCAAGAGCAGGAGCAACCAGTCGAGAATGTCTTCCAGCTCACCATCCACCTACCTCATGCTCCTGTAAGAAGCCCGCCAACCCTACAGGTACGACGCTTCTGACACTCATCCCCAGGGACAATGCCAAATCATGGTCAGCCACCTCGAGCAAGTCCAAGACATTCGCCAATCCATCATCGACCTCCCCTTCACCTTCCAGTACACGTGCTTCCACCTCGAGCACAAGGGCAAGCGCATCAACGACTTTGTCGAGCTCTCCGAAGTGCCCGACATTCAGCAAGATCCCGAGCTCCACCTCGTCGAGGACCCTTACACCGAGACACAGGCCCGCATGCACTTTGTGCGCATCCGCGAATTGATTGGTGCATCTGGTGACCGTACCGACCTGTTGCACGGTATTGACGCTGGTCTTTCGCTACACGACCACATCATCAAGCCCACTCCTGCCGATCAGCCCGAAGCTCCTGCTAGCGAGCATGCCATGGTCGACTACGACCTTGACGCCCGCGGTTCCGTAAAGACTCTTCTTTCGCCCTCGCCTGCCAACGCTCCCAAGACAGTCAAGTCTCTGTCCTTGTCTGCATGGAACCCCGCTCCTTACCACCTGCGCCAAAAGGGTCACCTCATGTATCTCCTTGTTTCCACCCTCGAGGGCGAGCAGTTCCACATCACTTCGCACGTCTCCGGTTTCTTCGTCAACAAGTCGACAAACAACAAGTTCGATCCCTTCCCTCGTACCGCTCCCAAGCCTCATTCTGCACACTCGCTCCTCACTCTGTTTGGACAAATCTCGCCTTCTTTCAACGATGCTTTCCGTAGCCTGCAAGAGTACAATGGCCAGCGTGACCCTCTGGCCGCTTTCCAGCTCGCCAATGCTGTTCCCGCTAGCCCATGGGTTGTTTCGCCCAACTCGGCCTCTTTGACAAGTCATGTTGCCGATGCTGCTCGTACTCAGGAGAGTTACCTCCTTGCTGGTCCCGAAAATGCAGAGACTCTTCGCGACTGGAACGAAGAATTCCAATCGACCCGCGAGCTTCCCAAGGAGAATGTCCAAGATCGCGTTTTCAGAGAGAGACTGACCGCAAAACTCTTCGCCGAGTACAACGAGGCTGCCGTTAGAGGCGCTGTTCTTGTTGCTCGTGGAGAGGTTGCTCCTCTCAACCCTACCGAGCCTCGCGACGCCCAGATCTTTGTCTACAACAATGTCTTCTACTCTTTTGGCGCCGACGGCGTCGGCACTTTTGCCGCTGATGGTGGTGACGAGGCTGCCCGTGTTGCCACCGGTAAAGATATCATGGGTGTCAAGGCTACTAACCAGCTCGACATTTCTGGCATTTTCACTCCTGGAACCGTTGTTGTCGACTACCTTGGCAAGCGTCTCGTCGGTCAAAGTATTGTACCGGGCATCTTTAAGCAGAGAGAGCCTGGTGAGCATCAAATCGACTACGGTGGTGTTGAGGGTAGAGACGTTATCGCCGAGAATGACGACTTCAAGCAGCCATTCGCTGAACTCAGCAAGGCTTTGCGTGTAAAGAGCCACCCTGTCTGGGACAAGGAGAACAAGAGACACGATCTTGAGGCTAGTGTTGAGACCAAGGGCCTGCTTGGTACTGACGGCAGAAAGTACATTCTCGACTTGTACCGCATTACTCCTCTGGATGTTGCTTGGCTCGAAAAGTACCGTAAGGAGAACTCTGGTGATGATGACAACTACCCTCACAGAATGGCTGTCCTCCGCCCTGAATTGGTCGAATCATACTGGAGACTGAAGCTTCGCGGGTATGTTCAGGCCGAGGTCCAAAAGCGCCGTGAGGCCAAGGAGGCTGCTCCCGAGAGCGAAACTGAAGGCGCCGAGAAGAAGGAACCCGAACAAGAACGTGTCGATGTTTCCGGATTTTCGTTCAGCCTCAATCCCGATGTCTTCTGCGGCCAGCGTCCTCAGACTGAGGAAGAGAAGGATGAATGGTCCAAGGATGAAGCAGAGGTTCGCGCAGCGTGCAAGTACCTCTCGGAAGAGATCATCCCCAAGATGATTTCGGACTTGCAAGATGGTGACGTTGGCTTCCCCATGGATGGTCAGTCGCTCACCAATCTGCTTCACAAGCGTGGTATCAACATGAGATATCTTGGAGAGGTCGCTCGTCTTGCCGACAAGCCCGAACAACCTCGTCTGCAGGCACTCAAGCAGCTCGCAATCCAGGAAATGATTGCTAGAGCATTCAAGCACGTTTCCAGCAAATACCTCAGATACCAGTCACCACCATTTGTCCAGGCTTGCATTGCTCACTTGTTGAACTGCTTGTTGGGCGCCGACCTCACCGCCAAGCCTACAGCAGAGACTGACGCTTCCCTCAAGTCCCTGTACCCAGAGGAGGACTTCTCGTTCGAAGCTGCCACACCTGAGTCTATCAAGGCTGGCATTGTTAGCGAAATCAAGAAGCGTTACAGATTTGACCTTGGCGATGCTTGGGTGCAAGCTGGTAAGCAGGTTCAGTTGCTCCGCGAGGTTTGTCTCAAGCAAGGTCTCCAGCTTCAGGCCAAGCAATATGCCTTCACCAAGGATGATGCCCCCGCCCCAGCTCCCACCCAGGCTCCTGCACCCACCACCAATGGAAGCTCTGGTGGAAAGAAGAAGAAGAACAAGAACAACACTGAGCGTTCGCCAGCACCTGTTTCTGCCCTCACTGCTCCCACCCAGACCTTCCACCCCGACGATGTTCTCAACATTGTCCCCATCATCAAGGATGCAGCACCACGCAGTGTCTTGGCCGAGGAGGCTCTTGAGGCCGGTCGTATCTCGCTCTCGCAGGACCAAAAGGAGCTTGGCCAAGAGCTGCTCCTCGAGTCTCTCTCCTTGCACGAGCAAATCTACGGCATCTTGCACCCCGAGGTTGCACGTGTCTACTACGCCTTGTCCACCATCTACTATGGTCTCGACGAGAAGACTGCCGCTGTCGAGCTTGCTCGCAAGGCCGCCATCATTTCCGAACGTACCCTTGGTCTTGACCACTCCGAGACTGTTCTCAGCTACCTCAACTTGAGTTTGTTCGAGCACGCAAGCGGCAACACCAAAAATGCCCTTGCCTACATTCGTCATGCTCTTGACCTGTGGAAGGTTGTCTATGGCACCAAGCACCCCGACTCCATCACCACTATCAACAATGCTGCCGTTATGTTGCAAAGCATGAAGCAGTACCACGAGTCTCGCCTCTGGTTCGAGTCTTCCCTTGCCATGTCGGAGGAGGTTTCTGGCAAGACATCTGTCAGCACCGCTACCTTGCTCTTCCAGCTCGCTCAGGCATTCGCTCTTGATCGTGACTACAAGAGTGCCGTCAACCGCATGCGCGAGGCTTTCAACATCTTCAAGAATGAGCTTGGTCCCGATGACCGTAACACCAAGGAGGCAGAAACATGGCTTGAGCAGCTTACCCAGAGTGCTGTTTCGCTGGCAAAGCACGCCAAAGTACTCCAGGACAAGAAGATTATGCTAAGACCCAAGGCCCCCATGGTCGGTAGAGGTGCTAGACCTCAACCCTCGATTGGCCAGAGCATTGAAGAGGCTGCTGCTCCCAGAGCTGCGGATGGTACCAATGACAACAGAAGTGTCGATGAGCTCCTGAAGTATATCAACGGCGACGGCAGCAAGACTACACCAAAGAAGAAGCAGACTAACCCCAAGAGAAGACAGGGAAGATCGTAGGTGGATGCAAATCCTGTACATGTAGAGCAGGAAAGGGTCACTGATTGGTTGACACCTTTGTAAAAAAAAAAAATCTGGCGAGCCACCTGTACTTTTGTTTATTTGTTCTCACGCATGAACGTCCTGTTATACATACCCTCTCTGGCGTTGGGTTTGTTGTACAAAAAGCTTTTGTTTGGGTTCTTTTACATCGCCGCTCATGCCATCGTTTCGATCTATTCAAACTTGTATTACTATATTGCAATTAGAAATGTTCCTCTTTCGTGTTCGCATGTTGAGAAGTATCAAATGAACTTGGTTACGCCATCAACCTGAGGCAATGTTGTATTGTTCCAACTGCTCAGGGAAGCATCCGGTGGAAGACTTATTGCTTACAGACTCCCAAAATCGACAAATGGGCAGTGGTGTAGGGAGTGCTTCTATCTGTGCTTTCTATTCTACCATTCGTGGCTCTATACACAATTGTGTTAATGCTTGCCTGTCGTGAAGAGATTCTCATGAAGTGAACAGGGTCATCCTGCTGACTACAAGTACACGGGTCCGAGGATCACCAAAGCCGAATGTCCGATACAGCCAGCCACCAAGTTTCTACATGTCAGCATTATCTCTGTGATACTATGCTTCTTTGTAAAGGCCTGATTCAAAAATTCCCTAGAGCCAGCGAGAAGATTACCCTGAAACGTCTCTAGAGGTACACACAATATGTGGCACTTCCTTGATCTAAACCACGATCAAAAGCTCGAACGAAGACGACTACTAGATCTCTATGGCGCACTGGCTCAGGTCTCTGCTCTGATTCCTCTTGCTCTTCTTCAGGTCTACTTTCTAGGCATCTGGCTCCGGCGAAAATGGTCGAGAAAACACGAAGACGCCATACCAAGCTCACCACATCTAAAGAAGCAGCATATAGATGCATTCAAAGGGCCTGCGGCAAGCTTTCAGAGTGTCCGGGACAAGGCCGTCTGGTGGATGAGTGATGCATATGATGTCTGGCGATCTCGCGTCACGAAAGGAGAGATGGTGGCAGGTGCGGTGTGGACAGCATGGCTAATCTTCTTGAGTTGCGTTCAAACACAAGGTGGTGTGTCATCTCCTCACTTCGAGGTTCTCGCAGCCGCTGATTCTTCGAACAGATTATCTGCACTTGACGAAGCGATTCGGCATTGTGGGTGCCTCGCAGCTGCCATTGCAGTATCTCCTCGCCTTCAAGTCACCGTTCAGCCCCATCCAACACCTCACTAGATGTTCCTGGACGACACTTAATTCCGCCCATCAGGTTTTGGGTCGGATCTCGACCATTCTCTTCTACTTACACGCAGGCTTCTATCTCAACTTCTTCATCCAAGCACATGTTTTGGCAAAACGTATCAAAGACTGGGACGTCATACTCGGACTTGTGGGAACGATTGCATTTACAGCCGTAGGCACGACTGCGCTTTCGCCTCTTCGCAGACTGAGTTATCGTGTCTTTTACACTACTCACGTTAGCCTGGCTAGCATTTTGCTGCCCGTACTCTACTTTCATGTTCACCACATCCGCATCTACATTATTGAGACGGTGGTAGTGTACGTGGTGCATTTAGTGCTACGTATATTCAACGAATACAAAGTGGAGGGCTCCTTGACCTTGGTTCCTGGAACGGCCAATTTACTCGAGATCAATATCCCGATACTCGCAAAATCAAAGCAAAAGTCGATCATGGAATGGCAACCAGGCCAACATGTCTACATTTCTCTGGCGCAGGGTCCAGCATACATGCGATCGCTCAAATCAAGGAGTCCGTTCACCATTGCCTCACTACCATCTGAAGACGGCAATCTTAAATTGGTGGCCAGAGTACTGGATGGGAACACGGCTGCTCTTGCAAAGGCTGCGACAGAAGGTACGACTGGAAAGGCTTCTTCCACGCCCCTCATTTTGGAAGGACCATATGGCTTATCGACACATTCAAATACCTTGCTCGAGTACAACCGTGTCGTGTTCATAGCTGGTGGTGTGGGTGCAACGTTTATATTGCCACTCTACAGAACATTACTCAAGGATCTCTCACCAAGTCCTGGAAGCCGTAGAAGGCAGAATGTTGCCTTTGTGTGGGTAGTCAGGGATGAAGCAGAGACAAGTTGGGCGGTACCCGAAGACGAACCTGAAACGAAGGGCATGCAAGAGCGCATGTCCGTTTATGCCACCAAGACCGGTAGAATGAACAATGACGAGAACAAGACTGATGATGCCGACGATGGTATCGAGCTTGAGCGACTGTTGCCTAGTGGTGGCATCAACGACTCCGTGCAAAAATGGCAAGTATACCCAGGTCGCCCTGACTTGGGCGAAATGATAGATGGCGTGTTTAGTCACACGCGGTATGACACCAAAGTGGCAGTGCTCGTCTGTGGGCCAAGGTCGATGGCAGATGAGGTCAGGAAGAAGAGCAACAAGTGGGTTGGCAAGCGAGATTTTTGGTTGCATGTCGAGACTTTTGGATTGTAATTGTAATTGGATTTGAAGTTTAATTCGTTGACCCTTCACGCGATCATACTATATCAGCTAGCAAATGAAGTACCACTCTGTCTCTGACCCAACTTGGATGAAAACCTGACACAAAAAAGCGTTGTCTGGTGCCGGGCGCGTGGAAGTGGTAGAGGCGCGTGTATTGTACTAACAGTCTCATGATCTTGAAGGGGTCAAAGAAGACAATTGCAGACAACGTGCAAATCAGAAAGATGAGGATTTAGTTAGTAAATGTGTCGACGAACTTGAATACCATTCGCATGATCTAGCTCAGGCGTCACCGATGTAGAGGAAGCCCGTACCAGTTGCAAGTGCAGCGATACTCCACAGGGCAGACCAACCAGCGGCTCCATAGATTGTGGCACCCTCGACGGTAGCAAACACCCTGATGAAGGAGTGGATGGCAGTAAAGACAGCGAGCAAGAAGGTGCGTCTGAACAGCACACTTTCTCTGGTGGAATACTGGTCAACGCCCAGGTTCCACATCAGAGTGTCTGCGAAAGAGGCAGTCTTTGGGTCGAACTGCTTGTACTCGGAAGGCAATGCACGAGCATAGACGATGGAAGTGCTGAAAAGGAAGTCCTTGGCAGCCCAACCAATGGGCAAGCAGGCAGCAAAGACAACAGGGAAGACGGCGTTGTGAGCAAAGTCGAGGGTAAAGACCTCTTCGAAGGTGTTGATCAAAAAGACGGGCAACCATGAGGCCAGACTGAGGTAGACAAGGGCCGAGTAAATGGAAGCAGCGAAAGCGGTCATGTACATTTGGATGGTCTTGTCGACAGCCAAATCCTTGATGGTACCAGGAGTTGTCAGGGTGCGCAGGTTGTTGTGGTAGTTGAGAGGGCGTAAGAGCCAGAAGGGAAACCACAACGAGAACATGTCAATGACGAGAGCCAGAGCAACAGGCTCGAAGCCAATGCCGAAGAAGAGGTACAAGAGGGTGTAGTAGGGGGCGTTGGCCATGCCGGCGAGTTGGACAAAGTCAAAGTCTGGAGCGGTGATTGTGTCAGCGAAGGCAAGTAGACAATGCATCGATGTGTGTACTGACGATCAAGGCGGCAGTACCAGCCAAGAGTAATCTCAAGCAGTCTCCAAGCAAGCAGAGCACCAATTTGCCAGGGCTCGTTCAAGCTGCGGCTCACAGCAGCAAGCGGGGCGCCCATGATGTCTGGCACAAAGCTGTACAGCAGGGCGCTGAGAGCCGGGCTCAGGATGATGGACAGAGGGTATGCGAACCAGGTGGGCAGACGGCGCGAGGCATGCTTCTCGCGCGCCTCGTCGAGGGGTGATGCCGACGATGCTGCCATGGCAGTGCGTTCTGAAGGCGCGCGGAACGCGTCTGCATCGACAAGAGGCGATGTGGCGACGACGGTCGAATCGTAGCGTCTGTAAGCCATTTGCGTTGATGATGGGGACTTGGGAGCGTGTTGTAGAAGAAAGACGCGTCTGTCAAATGTTTCCAGCTCTGACGTACCTAGCTTTGGTCTTGGCAATTTCGACTTGTTGCCAACACCTGTCATCCACGTCTGGTACCAACATTCCTCTGACCATAACAGCGGCACCCAACACTGGCTTTCACGCTCTGCACTGGCGGGTTGATGCTGCCATAATCACTGAAGTAGCTTCGATACTTCCCATGTCACGTTGACTGTCCGCTTTTCTATTCACGTTCATGTAACGGTATGGTCTCTCTGTGTATCCGGCGAGTTTCTCCGTGTGCAATAACGACCAAAACTCGTCGAATCAGTCCTGGCGTTGCCGAAAATGGAATGTCATCAACTCCCCAGAGTTCTAGAGCCCTGATATTTATCTCGTCTTGACTAGTACTCAACGGCCGCCCGAATTCAATCTTCGTTAAGGCATCGTTGACCGTTATGAATATGGTCACCCGCTAAGACAATAAGTCTAGAACCCATTGCCCAAAGAAAACCATCCATTGTTCCTGCCCTCGATGAAGTCCTTGCATCGGCGACTCTTGGTGCTCTGTTAGAGCAGACTTCTATAACGAAACCCTTGGACAGGAACCACAAGCCCAATACTGCAGGCACGCCTACACGTCTCTCATAACAAGTCAAAGACGCCAGGAAGTTGTACCCATGAACATTTCTGCTCGGTCATTATCCCTTGAATCGCCTTATTGAGACATCATGGAAGACAACAACATTGAGCCGACACTACGGCTGCTCGAGAAGGGAGATGCTTCGATAAGTGCACATTTGCAACTCGTACGAACGACGAATTGGCAACACTACTCGGTCGGGCCCATGTCATCCTGGCCTCGAGAGATAGCCACCGTCCTCTACCTGGTCATGACCGCATCCCGACCACAATGCTTGGTACTTGGAGAAGAAAATCTTTTACTTTACAACCAGGCTTACGGCAAAATGGTTCGAGATCTTCATCCCAAAATCTTTGGCCAACCATTGGACAGTGTGAAGGAATGGCAGAATCACGGAGCTCAAATGGCTGCACACAGACAAGGCGCTGCGACCTCGCAACTCACCTACGCCTACCCCTCCTTTGTCATACCAATGTTGAATCAAGGCAAACTAGAGAATGTTCACCTCCGGCTCGACATTACAACATTACCACCACCCATGAAGGGGTTTCATTTGTGCTTTGAAGACACTACGGATCATGACTTGCGCGAGAGGAGGCGTTCGACCGTGCGTGAATTGTCTAAAATCTGGAGTACAGCAAGTGATCTACCTTCGTTATGGCAACTCATACTACAAAGCCTTTCTGGACATCCCGAAGATTTTCCTCTAGCAGCGATATACTCTACTAGGACATCAAAAGCCTCTTGCTGTTTACAGAAAGAAGATTCGGATACAGGTATCTATCATCTTGAGGGATCCGTAGGCGACTTTTTGGACGACGCTTTTCCGCCCAGTTTCCATATCGTCACTTCAGAACCCAACTTGGAGCCTCTCAAACAAGCCATTGTAACCAAAGATCAAGTCATCATTGAACGATTACCCGAGGAATGGGCCAAGGGATCATTGCATCGTGGCACTCGCGACATGTGTACAGAAGCAGCAGTCCTTCCAAGTAGCTTCACCAAGCACCAAGATGCAGAAGCCTTGCTTTTGATTGGTTTGCCAACCCGGACTCTCCTCGATGAGCCTCATCAGCAACACATCGGGCAGCTTCAAAGTGAGTTTGCTCATGCCGTAAATTCCCTGGTGGCGACTATGGAGGCAACGTTTCGGAGAAAAGAGAATGCCAGGCAAAATCAATTAGAAAAGGATTTGCTTGCCAAGGAACTTGCACTTCGCCAAAAGGAGGCAGAAATGGCAACTACCTTGGCCGACAAGGTTCTGACTGTGATTGACGAGGTCGAGTGAGTTCTTTCCTTCTCGCAGGACTATTTCAATTGCGTATTGACATGGAGCAGCATAGGATTTTTTGAGTATAAGAGTACGGGAGAGTTGGCGCGAGCCAATGAATGTTACTATCGACTGAGTGGCTACCCCCGAGACTGTCCAAGTCACGTACAACATAAGTTCCTTGACCTCATCTATCCAGCGGATGTGGATACGGTTTTGAAGGCTTGGCACTCCATGATAAATGGCGAGTGGCAAAAGTTCGAGTTGAGATATCGAAATGGCACTGAACAAGGTCAATGGGTGCTTGTGGCTTGTCAACCGATCAAGGACAAGGATGGAAACGTCACCACGATCATTGGGGCAGTCACTGACATTTCGGATCAAAAGAAGAGCGAGAAGATTGCTCTTGATCGCGCCGAAGCACTAGAAAAAGCCAGAGTCAGCGAAGAGAGGTTCAAGCGATGCATGGAGGTTGCTCCTTTTGGATGCATGGTTGTGGACACCACCAAAGGAGTACAGTATGCCAATGAAGCATGGTGGGAGGTATCGCAATACGCACGTGTGCCGCTTGATCAGATTGATTGGACATCTGTGCTGCATGAAGATGATCTAGAAGTTGCAAAACAAGGCTGGGAGGTGTGTAGAGAGTTTTACATTCTTTTGATGTTATCTGCTAACAAATTACTTCAGGCAATGCTACGTGGAGAGCAGGTGGTTTACAATCTACGACTAAAAAGACTTTGGTACGATGCGGACGGTGAACCTCGAGGACCTGCAGAAATAATGGTGACTTCACTACCCGAATGTGATGACACTGGCAAGGTAATCAGGGTCATCTCTTTCACCATTGATCAGTCGCATATACGCCACCAAGCGAGGATGCAACGAGCACGCATTGAGGAGGCAACTGAGGCGAGAAAGAATCAGGAGATGTTTTATGACACAGTCTGTCACGAGATTCGAAACCCTTTATCAGCGTGAGTTGCTTTTGGCTTTTGTTCGAATACCTAAACTGATAGAGTTGTAGTGTCATTCATTGTACAGATTCCATCAATGACAATCTCATTGAGATGCGTAAGCTGGTTGAAGACCTCGCTACTTGCAGGATGACAGGCTTGGATGACAAGATTAGTTGTCTCCTTAACCATATATCAAGCAGCAATGAGTCCGTCGAAACCATTTCACACTGTTCCGAGCATCAACGACGCCTGATCTCCGATATCCTTTCGCTCTCAAAGCTCGATTCTCAGCTACTGCAGATTAATCCTTCGCCGACCTTCGCCATGAGTCTCCTTGAAAGTATACGCAAAATGTTTGAGACTGAGGCTGAAAGAGTCGGTGTCACGTTGGAAGTTGTTGCTGATTCTTCGGTCTGCGAAAACAACGTGGAACAAGTCAACCTGGACTCTGGGAGAATTCTTCAAGTTTTGATTAATTTGGTCTCTAACGCGATCAAATTCACCAAGAACGAGTCTGGCTCTCGTCGAATCAAGGTTACCATGGGTGCTTCTAGTGTTAGACCATTGGATCTACCGGTTGACTCGTTTCACAATCAAGAATCTATATATGACACGGTGTATGAGGGTCAGGACGAATTTTATCTGTGGTTCACCGTCACCGATTCTGGAAGGGGATTGTCTGCTGAGGAGAAGGCTCGCATTTTTACCAGGGTGAGATTTCATCTGACCAAAACTTCCGTTCTCCCTCAAGTATGTGAGCACTAACAACTGAACAGTTTGCTCAGGGTTCTCGCAAGACCTTTAGCGAATACGGAGGCTCTGGCTTAGGTTTGTTCATCTCAAGACAGCTTGTCGAACTGATGAATGGACAAATTGGTGTTTCAGCAGAACTTGGGCAAGGAAGCACATTTGCATTCTTTGTCAATGCACCGCACGTGCAGCAGATTGTGAAGGTGGACTCGACTTCGAGCCATCAATCCAAGGCCGATTCTGGCATACTTGTCGAGTCGACTGCAACCTTGAAACTATGCACAAAGACGACACTACTTGTCGTGGAAGGTAAGGCATGGCCATCTCTGACTGTTCAGCAAAGGCTGATCATGACTAGACAACATTCTCAATCAAAGAGTGCTCAAGAAGCAACTAATCAAACATGGTTATGAAGTACATGTTGCCAGCAATGGTCAAGAAGCACTCGACTTTGTTACCAACCCGACTCGAGAGAAGATAGACTGCATCTTGATGGATGTAGTCATGCCCGTCATGGACGGTCTGACTGCAGCAAAACGCATCCGAGAATGGGAAAGACAATGCAGCTTCACCAGCAGCAACAGCGATGGTAGCATCAAGTCTAGGCCACGACTTTCGAGAGGAAGCAGCTCAAGTTCCATCAGAAGCAATTGGAGCTTAGGCAGTAGCAATGCTGATGACAATAGCAGCGTGGTCTGCAATAGGCTACCTATAATTGCCATCAGCGCAAATGCGAGACCGGAACAGACGAATGATGCCATTATTGCTGGAATGGATGACACCATAGCCAAGCCGTTCAGGATCGTGGACCTAGTGCCTCGGATTGACCATTTGCTGGACAGAAGGGCCTCTCCGGGCAGGACTTGATTCTTGATCTTTCTTACATACATCAACTTCTAATGTTATTCACCACTTATTTGATTCCTTTTAAGAGTGCCAGCAGTCCGCACAGCGCGAGGTTCATCTGAGTTGCCCAACGAAATTGCATTTATTCTGACTTAAAAGGGTTTGACCAGAGTTCGGTGTGAAAGCTAATCTACAAGAAGTGAAGTAGTCTTCGAATTTTTTTAACAGTGGCAACAACAATGACAATAGCAAAAACGAACACGCTTTAGTGAACATGAAAATGTAAACAAGAGGTGTATAAAGGAAACAGAAAATTGTTGAAAGGAGAAGGTGATCGCACATAGTTATCCTTGAAATCGTCAGAGGTATAGCATCATCATCTAGTTCCAGCCAAGAGAGTTGCCTGCAAGGACAGGAGCACTGATGCCTTGTTCCCTGACGCTGCGGCCATTGGCGCTACTTCCACTTTGGCGACTACCCCTACCGCTAGTAGGTGTCACGCGACCGCGACCTCCCGACATGAAGTAATTTGCTGCACTGTTGCGTTGACTCATCTCGCCCCTTGCGTCAGTGTATGGTACGCTGCTGCTGCGAGCATGCGAAGAGCGCTTCTTCTTGTAACGACGAGCAACGTAGACCATGGCTGCGGCATAAACGGCAGCACCAGCGACTGCTCCAACACCAATACCAACAGAAGTACCATTGACGGGTGATGAGCTGCTCGAGTCACCACCAAGAGGTGCACCATTGCTATCAGAAGTGGTGTCTGAGCCAGATGGGTTCTTTGCACTTCCTTGGTTGTTGCTCATGCCATTGGCACCAGGTATCATGGGAATAGCAGGGTTGATCATTCCCATCAAAGTCTTGGTAGATGCATCGGGGTTGTTGTACAGGGTAGCAACCGAGGTGTGCAGATCGAGCTGCAACTGGTTGACTGCATCGGATGGAACATATACAAGAGCTAAGGTGGTGATGTAGTGCAACGACTGGGTAGTGTCATAAGGCTGCAGCGCGTACATCTTGACCTTGGCTGCATCGACGTTGAGACCAAAGGCCAAGCCAGAAGGAAGGTATTCGAAAATTTGGTTTGCAGAGCCAGCAGTGGAGACTACGAATGGATAGTTTAGACCATAAGTGAAACCAACTTGGATCAGGGTGGTATTATCGGGAGCCGAGGGCATGCCGCCGGGTGGTTGAATGACACGAGGCATTGATGAGGGGATACCAGATGCCTGAGAAGCAGTCGAAGTAGTCGCTGTTTCTGAAGGTTGATACAAGATGCTAGTCTCTATAGGCATTGTTGTATAGGTATTGGTTCCAATTGGCACAATGCTGGTAGGAGCAATGCTGGTTGATGGCTCAAAGGCAAGAGAGGTGGATGCTGCTGTGGGAGCTGGAGATGCAGGGGTAGTCGGGACTACTGATGTCAATGGAGGAGACGACGCTTCGGTGCTGGAGGCAAACCCAATCGGCACGATGGTGTCAGCGGTCGAAGTAGCACTTGAAAGGCTTGAAGATGCGCTGCTTTCGGCAGTAGCAGACACTGCGGTAGCCTCTGAAATAATTGTGGTTGAAGCACCGCTCGAAACTGTCATAGATGAAGAAGAGCTGACGTCCCAAGTAGCTGTAGCGGTGGTTGAATCACCGCCAGAAGACACGTCGAGAGTTGTTCCGCTCGACAGTGGGATAGATGTCGAAATGCCAATCGCAGCAGAAGTTGTCATGGTGGCATTATTGGGCAAGAAGGAAGGAACACTAGATGCTTGCGAAGCTGATGCAGATGCAGCAAGAGATGATTCGACAGCTGAGATTGATGCAGAGACGGAAGAGGCGATTGACGACGAGACAGAAGAGATGGACGAGAGAAGAGATGATGGAGGAGTCGTAACCGGAACGGGGATCACAAGCGTGCCAGAAGTGGAGCCCGTGAAGGAGGTGATTGAAGGTGAAACACCTGTAGGAGCGACTGTAGCAGAGATGGCTGTTCCGCTGCTGACGATGATACTGTCTGTAGATGGAATGGCGGTCTCTGTTGCAGAAGATGGAGTAGCGGTGCTGCCACTAGCGGTGCTGCCAATCGCGGTGCTGTCAGCAGCAGTGCTACCAATAGCGGTTGCCGAGGTCAGACTGCTATCAATGTGAGATGCTGCAGTGCTGTTTGCAGGTACAGAGATGAGGGTCCCAGGCGTAGCAGTCGTCGTCAAGGCATCACTTGAGGCGGTACCCGAAATGTCGCTAGTAGCTTGGGATACCGTGGCTGAAGTTGTGGCCGAGATGTCTCCAGAGAGGGTTGACTGGAGAGGAATTGTAGCACTCTCAGTAGTGTTTGCACCATTGGTGACCGAGGCAGTAATTTGCGATGCAGGCAAAGTGCTGGTGCCAGAGACAGAGCTGTCAGTAGCTGTGACGGCGGGCAGAGAACTCGAGTCAGTGACGGAACCAGGGAGAGCCTCAGTGGTGTTCTCGGCTGCGCCAGTAGATGTTGCAGAAGCATCCGTTACGGTCGCAGAAGCGGTGGTGCCAGATGCGAACGAAGCAGAAGCACTCGAGAGGAGGCTCGAGAAGTCTGAGGCTAGCGACGATGAGATGGCCTTGTCAGAGGCTGTGGCCACTACACTAGAGAGTTCGGAGTCGAGAGAAGAAGCGATGCCTGACAAGACACCACCCAGAAGGCCAGTCGCGGTGGGTCCATCGGACGAAGTCTTTGTGGCGTCGGTTGTCTCAGCAGAAGCCAAAGAAGAGATGCCAGTCTCAAGGGCTGACTGTGCTGAAGAGACAATGCTTGACAGGACATCAGCGGTACCAGTAGCACCAGCACTAGCAATACCACCGTCCGAGGTGGTGATACCAATGGGCAATGGGATGATGGGAGTGGTAGAGCTCTCGATCGAGGCGGTACCAGTGGACAGAATCTCGGTAGAGTCACCAGTAGTTGTCGCGAAGAGAGGGAGAGGGATTGTCGAGGAAGTGGCGGGTACGGTGGTATTGTTGGCGTCAGTCTGATCGGCCACGGCAGTCTCAGTGCTCGACTCGCCACCAATAGTTACAGAAGCAGAAGCTGCGGTTGAAGTGGTGGGCGAGCCTCCATTTAGGAATGTAGAAAGACCGACAATGATGCCACCGCCAGTGCTCGAGTCTGATGACTGTGAGCCGCTAGTCGAGGAAGCTGTGGGTAGAATGACAATGTCTGGAATGCCGCCAGTAGATGCAGCGGTGCTAGAATCTTGTGTAGTTGCAGTAGGCTGCACCTCATCGGCAGACGAAACGGCAACACCAGTAGAAGCGACTGATGACTGAGCATTGTCTGGCGAGGAAGTAGGCTGCACTTCGTCAGAAGATTGAACGACAGAGCCAGACGAAGCAGTGTTGGCGGTAGGCTGAACCTCATCAGAGGATTGAATGACAGAGCCGGATGAAGCAGTGTTGGCAGTAGGCTGGACCTCGTCAGAGGATTGAATGACAGCACCTGTAGATGCTGCAGCGACAGGAACAACAGTTTCCGTCTGGACATCATCAGAATTCGAAGCAGTAGGGGTAACAGATTCGGATACGACACCACCAGTAGAGGCAGGTCGCTGGACTGAAACATCAACATCAGAAGAAGTTGCGGCTGCGGTTGGCTCGACGGTTTCGGAAAGGACTGCACCGGTGGATCCAACAGCAGAGGTCGAACCAACAGAAGCCAATGTACTTGAAGCGGTAGGTGTGACCGACTCGACAATATTGACTCCGGTCGAACCAACGGAAGAAGGTGGTGACGAGTCGCTGGAGGCCGGTTGGATGTTTTCAGCTGATGTTTCTCTAGAAGTTGGCTGCACGACCTCGCTTGGTATACCACCAGTCGAAGCAACAGAGGAGGGTGCAGTAGGCTCGACGGTATCCGAGATAACATTTCCGGTAGAGGCAACAATCGAAGAGGCTGTACTTTCGACACTTTCGGTAGACGAGGCAGTGGGTTGAATGACCACTGAGGGAAGGCTGCCAGTTGATGCGACTGAGGCTGTGGAAGATGGAGCAGTTGGCTGAACAGATTCGGAGAAGACCTGTCCAGTCGAGGCCACAGAGGCTTCAGATGACTGAACGCTCTGGGAAGTGGACGCCTCGGTAAACTCGACCGACTGGGCCGTAGATGAGATTGTGGGTTGAACAACTTCCGAGGGAATACCACCAGTAGATGCTACAGCGGGAGAAGCTTCGGAAGGAGACGCAACTGTCGAGGAAGATGCGATGGTCGGTGCAACAGTCTCACTTGCGACATTACCGGTCGGTGCGACAGCACTTGAAGAGGCCACGACCGAAGACTGTGTAGATGGTTGGGTCTCGGATGACGCTGAACTGACAGTACTCTCAGCAGAGGACGACGTGGTTGAATCCGAAGATGCAGTGGGAAGGATCGTAGTAGAGGGTGACGAGCCAGTTGATGCTACAAAGGTATCGGCGGAAGTAGTCACAGAATCGTCAGAGCTTGTGGTCGAGTCGCTGGTCGCAGCCGCTGCTGCGTCCAGCGCAGTAGAAGGTGAAGCGGTCGAGAAGAGATCTTGGAAATCAAACGACGATGTCGAAGAAGGATCCTGGGATTCGGAAAGAAGGGAAGAGATTGCTTGGAACCATGAATTCGGTGTTGATGTTTGGGCTTCCGAAGTCGAGGAAGAAGTAGAAGAGGTAGAGGAGCTGGTCGTGTTTTGCAAAGCGTTCTGTCTCTTCAAAGGACGAGGAAAGTAGTATCGCATTTGTTGTCCAGGACCGGCACCTTGCTGAGGTGCGGGGGCGGCCTCGGCGGTGATTAGTACAGGACCCTGGACAGACATCACTGCCAGGGCGGCAGCCCAGACAGCAGAAGACGTCCTCATGTTGGCCTGTGGTTAGCTGCCGATCGAATTTTGAGTCGTGAGTTATAGGTGACAAGCAGTGATCTGCAGGCGGTGTGACTTGGGGTGTCAAAAGCGCGTTTATAAACGAGTGGACTTGACAAGAAATGCCAAAAGGAGAATATTCTGTGGACGTCCTGTCAGCACCGGGCTGCTATGCAAGGAGCCAGGGTGTTGAAGTGGGGGGAAGCAAATGCGACTTACAAGATATTGAACAAGACCGGGCAACGGCCGTGGTGTTTTGGCAACAAGAGGGAAGAGGAGGTGAAAAGATGAAGGTGTCTGAAACACTAGAACATCGTTTTCCTTCCAAGCCAATCGTGATAAAATGAGTGTAAGGGGTCGGCGTTGGCAAACAAAGAGGCGTCGCGAAGAGCAGTTACGAGTGGCGTGGCGGGAAACAACGATGTGTCAACGGTCACAGCGGCGCTCGTGTCAACAAAGAAGGAATTGACGTGCCGACACAAAGAAAGCAAGACCAACTAATGCCAAACGACAAGGCACTTGAAGTGGTGGAGATGATGCGCTCTGTGAAGCAAGAGTATTCCTGTGCGCACAAGAGGACAACGACAATGGTTGATGGACAATAAGTCGAATCCTCCGAGGCCAGAAGAACAAGAGAATGGATGAATGAACGAAAGGATGATCAAACAAGGCGACAAGTCGATCAACCACGATATTAGACGAGGATAATCAAAAGGCCAGCGAAGATTGATTAAGCGAAGGTGGGCCCGACTCTTGTGAGAATCGTGAAAAGAGAAAGTATGTCGGTCAGATGTGAGAAAGAAAACAAGAGTGCTGGAGGGGCTGCGGAAGCCGTTGTCGAGTACCGCTGGCAAAAGGGGTGGAAAGTCGAAAGGTCAACGGGCTGTCGCGCGCGCGCGTTGACTGAGAAAGCTCGCAATGCACAGTAATATGGAACCGTTAAAAGAAGTAGGAAAAGATGGTGCGGCAGCGGACAAGAAAGCGACGACGTCGAGACTCGAAAAAGACGTGAAGAAGGGAAGGGGAACAAGAGATTGCCCTTTCGGTTGCGGCTGCCAAACTCTCCGACTGCTGATAATTTTCCCGAATCAGCAAAGTACCTGAGACTTGGTGCATCACTCTCCGCAGACTAACGGAAGCCACCACCAATCATGACACCCTCTGTCGCGCTCAAAATAGTTCCAATATCGATGCTCGGCTTGCTTGTATCTACCTCGCTTGTTCAATGTTCTATACCGCAACACCTGATACAGCCGCACGCCTAGGTACTCTTTGCTCTAGAGAATACATATCGTAAGGTGGTCCTCGAAGCCCAACAACTCCCTTCTTGTCGTCATCGCAGTGCCGGTGGGTCTCTCTACAGATGAGACGCGTGCGCAAGCATCAGAAGATCTCCCGCTATGTAATCCCCGTTTGATACACATTAGTGTGCTAACAAGTCTCCACTTCTCCAAGCCTTTTCAAGCCACACGATCAAGCCGAGACGCGAACCAGTCCAGTTCCATGTTAGCATCTCCAGGCTCTGTTACTGTGGCTAACGCTTGCCCTGGGGTCTCCTGCGCCAAATTGAAATTAAAGGTTTGTCCCAGCTGAACCGTTTGCTGCTCTATTGATTCAGGGGATCAGCTTGTAGTGATTTAGGTCTTGGTCCATGAATCCAACTCCTAGCAGAAATACGGTGTTCAAAACGTCCTGCAAAGCGTAAAAAATAACAGGATGAATTATGGCATCTCTACGGAGGATGAGTGGTTCTGTGTTGCTTTGTGACCCTGCAGTTCGGCGGGCGCACTAAGATGGCATGAAACAGCCCGCTCCACAATCGACCAAACCACAGCCAACTTGTCATCGAAAACTGCATGAAGGGTTCTTTCAGCTCGATATACTTTAAGCATTCAGCCTCCACCAAAACTCGGCCAGAATGCCTTGTGTCTGTGTATGTTTAGCGTCACACTTGAGTCATGTGAGAGCAAGACTGGAGGTCCATGGGCTTTCATCTGGGCTTTCACCATTGCCGGTACGGTGATACAGGATGTTCGATGCGGCAATTCGTCAACGTGGCAACGAGATGCGAGGTCACAAAGCGACAAGGACAGGCGCACGGCTTGCTGAACTCGGAGACTTGATCGCATTCTCAATATTGTAACCGTACTGTACGTCTCGTAGAAGAGTCGTGTTAGGGCACACTCGCAATTGGTGGACGCAAACTTCTGCTCATGTTCATGGGGCGACCCTGGTATATTTTCTGATGACCAATACAGCTAGGTGTGGATGTCTAGCTGTGGGTGTCACAAGGCTAGTATGCTTTACTTGGTTTTCTCGATACTTTGATGTGTTGAATCGTCTTTTCTCGTGCGTCCGCCTTGACTCGACTTGTGTATTTCAATTCCTCGTCTACTGATCCCAAAGCAGTCTGGATGCGATCGGCATAGTCAACACGAAACAACAAAGCACCCAAGCAATACATGTGTGGCAAGCACTCAAGGACCTGGGATCTCCCCGTAAGACTCGCAATTGATATACGTTGATTTTGTGTCCGAGTCGTGGTCGACGGACATCAAGGTGCTTGACATGTTCTTGGCTGAAGTCGTTTCCCCAGAGTAGCGTCGCGGCGCGTCGTCGTCGAAAAACAGCATGCAGCAAGCCTCCGTCACAGTCGACAGTCAATTCAGGGGATCTTCGAACAACCAACAATGGCTCGCATGGGGAGGTTAGGCTTCCTCGCCGTGGCAGTAGCCTTTCATTTGATATATGCCTACTCAATTTTTGACATATACTTTGTCAGTCCGATTGTCAGTGGCATGCGCGAGTACAGCGTAGCACACCAAAAAGAAGCTCCAGCAAAACGACTCGTCCTCTTTGTCGGTACGACCATGCGATTTTCCTTGCCGTGAGATTGGCCGATAGCTGATACATACTAGGTGATGGATTGCGAGCAGACAAGGCTTTCCAGTACTTCCCCAATCCCTCCCCTGGCGCCGAACAAGAGCCCGACTGGCAAGAACCGCGTCCCCTTGCTCCCTTTTTGCGATCGCGCGTTCTCGAGCATGGCACGTTCGGTGTGTCGCATACTCGTGTCCCTACCGAGTCTAGACCTGGTCATGTCGCCCTCATTGCTGGCTTATACGAAGATGTTTCTGCCGTCGCCACGGGTTGGAAGCTAAACCCTGTCAATTTTGACAGCGTCTTCAATCGTAGCCGTCATACCTGGAGCTGGGGTAGCCCCGATATTCTGCCCATGTTTCAAGAGGGCGCAGTTCCTGGTCGAGTGGATGCATTCATGTATGGTGCTGAAGAGGAGGACTTTAGCAAAGATGCACTCCACTTGGACACTTGGGTTTTTGAAAGAGTAGAAGAATTGTTTGCAAGCGCCAGTCAGGATTCCGAACTGAATCAACGCCTGAGACAAGACAAGAACGTCTTCTTCTTGCATCTTCTGGGCTTGGACACTACGGGACACTCGTACCGCCCCTACTCTCGAGAGTATTTGCACAACATCAAGGTTGTCGATGAAGGCGTCCAAAAGATTACCGCTCTGATTGACGATTTCTACGCCGATGATAAGACTGCCTATGTCTTCACTGCCGATCATGGTATGAGTGATTGGGGAAGTCATGGTGATGGACATCCAAACAATACCAGAACCCCATTGATCGCCTGGGGCTCTGGAGTCGCCAAACCCGTCACCGTATCCTCTGGTCTAGCTTCTGGCCACGAGGATGGTTTCTCTTCTGATTGGCATCTCGATCACGTCCAACGCAACGATGTCGCTCAAGCAGATATTGCTACTCTCATGGCATACCTTGCTGGTCTTCCCTTTCCTGTCAATTCGGTAGGTGAGTTGCCATTGGCCTTTTTATCGGCCGATGAGCAGACCAAGGCTCAAGCAATGTTGGTGAATGCTCAAGAAATCCTCGAGATGTATCGCATCAAAGAACACCAAAAGAAGACTACCGTGCTTCGCTACAGGCCTTTCCCAGGCTTTGCCGATGATCAACATTCTCCGGATCATCGTCTAGATGCCATTCAAAGTCACATCAGCCAGGGACAATATGAGCAGGCAATTCAAGACTCTGACGCTCTCATGAAGATGGGTTTACAGGGATTGAGATATCTTCAAACCTATGACTGGCTCTTTTTGCGTGCTCTAGTCACCTTGGGATATCTGGGCTGGATGGCATTTGCATTCACCTTTGCTCTGGATCAACACGTCTTTAATGGAGAGGTTGACGCGAGTCGATCAACAACGACTACGACCGTCTTTTCTAGCATCTTCGTTGCACTGCTTGCCTTGTTACTCGTTCAATCCTCTCCATGGACTTACTATGCATATGCATTCTTTCCAGTCATGTTTTGGGAGGAGGTAGTTGCCCGTCGTCAGGTGCTCTCACAGGCCAAAGCTGTCTTTTCTCAACAGCTCTCTGGCAAGGATTTCTTGAGCCTCGGATTCAATCTGCTCGTCTTTGTTGGAGTTCTCGAGATCATGGTTCAGAGTTATTATCATCGAGAGATGTACACAGTCTGTTACCTCTTGGCCATCTTCTGGCCCATCTCATACGGACCCAGATTCTTGCGTCAAAACTGGGTCATTTCTGCCACATGGGCATTGGCATGTGCTTCCATGAGCGTCTTTACCGTTTTGCCTGCCCTGAAGGTCGAAGACGCTCGATTGATCTTCATGGGCGGCTCTCTCATGCTCTTGGTTGGTGTTCTATATATCGCCTTCGAGAAGAGTGTACTCGTTACAACTGGATCGACCCAATCTGGTCTCGCTGCACCAAAGGCAGACAAGGTTTCTAGAATTCTTACTGGTGTACAAATTGGCCTTGTTGGATTGGCAATGATTGTCACACGTTCAAGTGTAGCTTCGTTACAGGCCAAGACTGGTTTGCCCCTGGGTGCTCAGGTCACTGGCTGGATAGTGCTGGTATCGTCTCTGATCTTGCCTTTTGCCCACTCGTTCTCGCCCAACAACCACTATCTTCATAGATTAATGGTCGTCTTTCTGGCATTTGGTCCAATGTTCATCATCCTAACCATCAGCTACGAGGGCTTATTCTATTTTGCCTTCAGCTGCACCTTGATCACTTGGGTCAGGCTCGAACACCGCATCTACCGCGCCTTCACGAACAAAGGTTCTCTATCTCCACCCACAAGCCCCGTCTCCGATCTCAACCCTTTGGCACCTGCCTTGGCAGCATCTACAGATCGTGCGACTGCTCTTGGGAAGCACGAATATCGCTCCTTAACCTTGGCCGACGCTCGCATCGCTCTATTCTTCCTCTACCTGCTGCAATCCGCCTTCTTTAGCACAGGAAATATTGCTTCGGTATCTTCATTCAGTCTGGACGCCGTGTCTCGCCTCATCCCCGTCTTTGACCCCTTCTCTCAGGGTGCATTGCTCGTTCTCAAGATCTTTGCACCCTTTGCTCTAGTTTCGGCAAACCTTGGCTTGTTGACACGTCGTCTGAGACTCAAATCTGGCGCCCTGTTTGCACTAGTCATAGCAATCGGAGATTGGTTGACATTAAGATTCTTTTGGAGCGTGCGTGACGAGGGCAGTTGGCTCGAGATCGGTGAGAGTATCAGTGTCTTTGTCATTGCAAGTGCACTTTGCGTCTTTGTTGCTGGTCTCGAAATGGTCAGCGAAGCCTTTGTTCGTGGCATCGAGTTTGATGACGAAATTGACAAGGCTCCCTCGAGTAATGGCAAGATTAATGGTGTCAAGACAGAATAGATACACACCCTTGTCATAGCATATCTCGGAAGTTATAGAATTCATGTATAATAAAATGCAATCTCATCATGTCAGAAAATCCAAGGCACTATTGGTGGTTTATTTGTTCTTCGATACACTATTTAGAGCTATTGAATTGTTTGTTCCCGCCGTTTGATGATTGCACAAAGAAAGCTGTGCTAGAGGAAAGATTGTACATTAAGGAAAAAAGGTCATGCCATCATTGCCATATTCTTTTTTTGACATTGAGCAAGTTGAAACAGAAGGGGTATTATGAGTTTGAAAAAGAAGAAAAAAGGTCCAGTAAGAGCTAGAAACGCCGAATTCATCTGTCACCACTTGCTCATTGATAGGCAGGAGGAGTACCACCCCCGTGGTAGACACCGGATGTACCAGCAGCGCCAGAGCCCTCTCTCATGACATCAAGGGTTTGAGGGAAGTAAGGTTCGACACCCCAGTTGCGGAGATAGGCACCAGTCTTTTCGATGCGCTTGATCTCTCTGGCAACACCCCAACCTTCGCCCTCTTCTCTGAAACGGCCACGTACAATGTCAACCATGGCCTCGTCAAGACGAGCATAGAAAGATCTACGCTCACGCAAGTCCTCTTCATCGCCATTCTCGAGACCACCGTGGGAGTTGAGGTTACCGCCCAACTTGAGCAGCAAATCAAAGGCAAACTTGGGTCCAGAAGGTAGAGCAGCCAGACGACCAATGTCGGGGAGGAATTTGAGCATGCAGGCGCTAAAGGAGGGAGTGGGCAGAGAATCGTTGAGATCGTCTTGAAGGCGGTGCAGGTCGAAGTTGACAATGGTGATCTTGCGGTCTAGCTGAGCATTCAGGGTTGAAGCTGCGGCCGTCGGGTTGTGAGGGTTGGACGCATCCATTTGCTGAGCAATGCTTGGGGGAACATCTAGGTACAGTTAGCGCATGCACACATAGAAAGAGAGTGAGTGGAAGCTAACCAGGTCTCAAGCCACGCTTGTCAATCCATGCGTGAACCTCTCTTCTCTGAGCTTCGAGCTGCTCAACCCAGGCCTTGAGGTCGGCAACCTCATTCTCGAGCTCTTCGACGCGGTTAGTGTAGGGACGCACAGCTTCGTTAAAGGCACGCGTCAAGAGATCGGGCATGGGCTCTGGTTGAATGGGCGCAGAGACCGAGGCTGGCTTTGTAGGACCACCAAAGCCATTGGACATGAGCTGAGGTCCAGCTCGAGACATGGAAGGAGCGTTAAAGTTATCCATGGATTGAGGCTGTTGGGCAAACATGGAAGCGTCGTTGAGTGATGCCGACTTTGTGGGAGGGCCGCGCGCAGAGTCGGGACGATTGTCGTAGTCGTCGTCGTAGGCCGTCTTGCTGTCGTGCGGCGAGTAGTTGGTGTCAATGTAGCTCTGCGAATTGCTACGAGATCGCGAGAGACGCTTGAAAAACATTGTCGACGGTCGAAGAGGTAAAGAGGACAAAGGTCAGATAAAGACACAAACGGCGGCGTGTGATAAGTGCAGGAACAAACAGGAAGGCGGAACCAGGTAATAATCAAGCAGTAGTGGCTTTTCAAAGCGAGGTGGTTGGGCAAATGCTGCAGATTGTCATGGGGGGTGCCGCCAGAAAACACGCAGGCTGGGAGGGATTACTACCTTTTTAGACCTACTCTCACTCCTACTCCGACATGTCTCTATTCACTCTTGGTTACGATGCGCTGGTCACACATAACAGACGCTTACAGCATGCTGCTTCCTGCACCTAGCGATGGATTCGTGTCGTGCTATCCTCGTTGCCATTCAGCGTCTTCTCCACTTTCTTCCGCACCGTTGCTCGGCCAATCGTCCAAGCGTCTACCAGCCACCGTGTATCCGTCCTAGGACCATCCTCATGGTAGACCAACTTGATATATTTATTCGATACCAGCCATGCACCATGACAAGAACCTGGTTTGTATCCGACGCATGTCTGCCCAATGCCATCTACCGCTCGGCTTGATCCTTGTCCTGTCTTAAAACATAATATACATTGTCCGCATGAATGCTCAGCCGTTCTGGCGAGACAGCAACTCCATTAGAACATGATTGTCGTCTATCTGTCCTACTCCTGCCTACGCCGTAGAATGGCAATGGTGAGCCACTTCTTGCGCTCCGTGACATTCTCCCTTCCTCCATCCTTTTCTTTTAGCCATTCTCTTCTAGTGCCTTCAGCATCCTCTTCGTAAATTTCTTGTACTTCGAGTCCCTTTTCCGTGGCTACGTCAAAAAAGGCTGCCAGTTTTGCTCGACCAGTATGAAAGCCTCCAATGGCAAGCACACGCGCATCTGGGTCGTCCGAAAGAAAGTGTAGCATTGACATTGCCAGGTTCTCATGCTGCCACGGCATCCAGAAGCAGTCTGCTGCTAAGACTCGACTGAACTTGTGAGCATGTGCTTTGGCAAAATCGTCATCCAAGACACCCCATGCATGGCCTTGTACTGTTGCCTTGGATGCAAGCGACTCTGGTACATTCTGCTTGACGTTGCGCTTGATATTGTCAAGTACAACTTGGGCTGGATAGTCTGAAATGTACACGTCGCTAGCGCCAGCAAGAGTACTAGCAATACCAACAAGTCCTACGCCTGCCATATATGTTCCATCAGTCCATGCTCTTGAATTTTGTACGTGTAGCTTTCATCCCGCACCTGCACCGAGTTCAAGCACATTGTGTCCTTGGACGCTCCATTGCTTTTCTTCCTCATCATTCAATAGTCGTTGACCACTGACCCTCTCGGCCAACAAAATCCCGGCATTCCAGAGGTAATGGCTGAATAGTGTTCGTTCTTCCTCTCCATTGGGGTCGGCGGTCGTCAATGAGATGTCGCCGAAACGTTGGCTCTTGTAAATAATGATGGAGCCTGGATCACCATGCTGGTTGCGAAGGTCGTCGGTGAATAAAAATCCTGGCGCGGATGCAAAGATGTCTTCGGGCGAGTCTTCTTCGGTAGCAGGTATTTCACGAACCAATTCTGTTAGGCTGAGCATGGTGGCAGAGTGCAGGTCTGACTGCAGTCTCGACTGCCAATGTTTGACTTTCTCCGGTCGTCCCTCTCAAAGCACGAGAGCCCCGCAATTGGCCCCTCCTCGGCTCTTGAACCATTGATGATCATGATAGAGTATATATACTGCATTGCTACTCGACAAATTCTGTCAAAAAGACAATTAACACCATGTTTACTCTAATCAGTGCGACTCCATCTCCTTATGCTCGCAAAGTCCGCATAGCACTCGCCGAGAAACACATACCTTTTACTCTCCAGACGGAAGTTCCTTGGGATTCCACGACCAAGACACCACAATACAATCCACTCGAAAAACTTCCAGTCTTGATCCTCGAGGATGGAAAATCAGCAGTCTACGAGTCTAGCTATATTCTCGAATGGCTAGAGGCAAAATATCCAGACACGCCCCTTCTCCCTAGCATTGATCAAGTCGATGCCAGATTGTTTGCCAAAAGAATTGAGGTCGTCGTCGATGGCGTATGTGATGCCCTGGTACTTGCCTTTTTTGAAAGGATGAGGGAATCTGAAAAGCAGTCGCAACCATGGATCGACAGACAGATGAGAAAAGTTGAAGGTGGCTTGAAGGCATTGGGAGAATGGGCAGAGCAAAAGCAGGGAGACTTTCTCGTTGGAGATAAACTCGGACTGGCAGATATTGCTGTCGGTTCTCTTTGCGGCTACCTTGAATGCAGATGGCCCAGCCATGACTGGGCAGACACCTACCCGGCCTTGAAGAGACACTGTCAGATGCTAGAAGAGCTCCCTAGCTTTCAAGATACGAGGCCGAGTCCGCAGACCATGAAGGATAAGGTGGTTTGATACAGGATTGATTATGGGTATTGGTTCGACATTGAAATCAAGCTTCAGCCTTGCGCTTCTTTCCTCTTCTCTTTCTGCTTCCACCTTGGCTGTCTTCATTGCCTTGAGCAGGGGCTGCATCGCCCAAGAACTCCTTGAAACCACCAGTAAAGCCGTCTTCATTGCCAAATGTCTCCTTGCGCCATTGTCGTAGACGAGCCTTCTTGCCGAGCTTCTTCTTATCCTTCTTCTTCTTGTCCTCATCACGCCAAGTGGCCAACTTCTTGAGACCAGCGTATTCATTGAGTGCAGTGTCGTCTGCAAAAAGAATATCGCGGGCTGTCAAGCCGAATGAGGTTGGCGAAGTCTCGCGGTAGCGGAATCCAGCAGTCTTGGTCGAAGTGGGAAGATCAGTAGTCAAGTCTGCATCTACAAGCTCTTCAATGGCCATGCGTTCCTTGCGGGCCACACGTCGCTTGTCTGCAGCCTCCTTGAGACGATCCTTTTTGGTCTTGCGTTTGGCACCATCGGGAGCAATAATGTTCTCGTCCTCATCGTCCTCTGCCTCCTGTTCCTCCTGCTCCTCCTCATCCGAGCCAGCCAATTCAGCTCTGAGTTTGGCCGCTTCTGCCTTTTCGTCAAACTCGGGAACGAGATCGTTAATGTCAATATCATCGTCCCACTTGGGCTTGTGAGGCTTCTTGGACTTTTCTGTTGCTTCCTCTTCCTCGCCATCCTCAACATCAGCTTCCTTTTCAGCATAGTAATTGTCGCCAAAGCGACGCTTCATCTCCTGTTCCCATTGATCGTCATCAAAGTCTTCATCCAATACTTGCTTCCATTCGGCAAGATCAAGTGCCTGGTTCTTGAGGCCAGCAGCTTCCTTGATCTTCTTGACCTTTTCTTCAACCTCATCAATTTTGAGTTTTCTGAGTCTGGCCTTTTCTTCTGCGCGCTCGCGCTTCTCGGCCTCCTTCCTCTCACGTTCCTTTTCACGCTGTTTCTTTCTGCCGCTCTTCTCTTCCCTACGAGCACTCAGCTTTGCGACGTCACGAGAGAAGGTCATGAGCTTTTCATTGGCCTTGGTAGGATCCTCGAAACGCATGTTGTAGGCTTCCTCGAACATCTCGGCACGTCTTTCGTCCTCTGAGTCATCCGAGTCGAAAGCTTCGAAGCGCGACTTCTCGTCGGGTACCCATGCACGGGATTGCATAAAGTTGGAAAGGAAGGTCTCGGGATCCCTGTCGGCAGTCTGAATGTCGCGTTCAGTGATTTGAGGGCGGGCAGCATTGCTGGTGGCAGCAGGAGTCTGGCCAGGCTTTCTGACGAGAAAGTCGTCTTCATCGTCGCCTTGATCATCTGCAGTAGCGTGCATCTGGTTGATGAGGTCGTCCTTGAGGGCTTGTTGCTCTTGAGCGTATGTCTGGGGTGGGGCGTCTTCTTCCTCATCAACCTGGGCGTTGCCTTTGAGTAGATTTTGACGGTGGTAGTCGGCCAAATAAAGCGGCTTTTCCTTCTTAGCATTGTCATTGGCGTGGTCGGCATCGAATGGAGTGTAGAATGTGGCATTCGGATCGTAGACGCGCGGATCCTTCTTCTTGATGGCATTGAGGGTAGCGAAGATTTCGTTATCCAAATCGGCAGTGGCTAGCTCTGCGGCATCGTCTTCATCCTCGTCGGTAGACGACTCTTCTTCCGAGTCTTGGTCCTTGTACTTTTCCTCGACTGTGACGCGTTAGCGGGTAGACAAGATAGATGAGAGGTGTGAGAATTACGTCTTTGCTTTTCCTCGCGCTTCTTGTTGTGCTCGAAGCGTCTTGCAAACTCCTCGTTGATGGTGAGATTGACGGCTTCATCGTCAGAGATGGCATCTTCGTCAAAGAGCTTTGTACGCTTGGTTGGTGGTTCTTCGGTAGGCACAACGGCCTTGTTCTTCATTTTGCGAGGCATGTTGGCGACGACGGATGGTTGGTTCTGGAAGAAGGTGAAGCCGATGGCGACATTAGAATTTGGCAGGGTCTCGAGACAAAAATTGGATGCAGACTCAAGAAGGTCCGAGCACCCCCGAGTGCCGAGCCGGCGCTCCGCATTTGAAACGCAACCGGCGCCGGCGGCAGGCGCGAGCGTCGCGCTTGAGGCTGAGGCAGAGGCACGAATGACGCTGTCGTCGTCGTCGTCGTCGTCGTCGTCGACACGAGGCCGCTCTTCCGTAATCTCATCCTGTACCATACTGTAGCTATAGCCGTATTGCAATACGCCCGCTCTTCCTCCCCTGATTCGTCTCCTCCAACCTACCCATTCATACCCGTCATCGACCCATGATCTCGCTGCTCGTCGACTGAGCCGTCCACCATGGCCACCCCAGACGATGCTGACAATGGCCTCCAACCGAGTCTCCAACCTGTAGGCCGCCCACTGGACCTTGTACCTGTCCAACTCAAGGAAGCCGCCCTAGACTCGCCCACCTTCCGCGCTGTTGCCGTCCACTATGCCAACCAGGTCGAAGGCATTGAAAAATGGCTTCGCGACTATGTCAGGCAGTCACAAAAGTTTGCCGACCGCTTCGCCAGCATCCAAAAAGAGTTCGACAACTTTGATCATTACCCACCTCCGCCTCCAGAGAACTTGAGCCAGGCTGTCATAGACCATGACTATACTTTGCTGGCCATCACTCGCTACAGCCAAAACACTACCCAATACTTGAATTGGGTCTTTACCAATGTCGCCCGCTCACGTCAGACTATGATTGAGCCATTATTGCGCTTCATCGACGGCACCGACAGCCCTCTTCGCCAATTCAACCAAGCTCGCAAGGCGCTAGAAAGAACTCAGGCCATATTCGATGCCGAAATGACAAGGTATCTTGCTCAAGCAAAGACAAAGGAGGCTTCCTCGTTGCGTGAGGATGCCTTCAAGCTGCACGAGGATCGCAAGGCCTACCTCAGAGCTTCCATGGATTACTGCATCATGGCTCCCAATCTTCGCAACTCGCTCGACCAACTGCTCATCAAGGTCTTTTCCGACCGTTGGAAGGATTTCCGTGGTTACCGTGATGCTACTTCTGCCAACTTCCAAAAATGGGGCTCCGAATTGGAGCGCATTCGTGGTTGGAGCAAGGTAATGCACGAATCCGAGTCGGCCTTCAAACGCGAATTGATGCTGGCCCGCCGTCAATTGGAAGATTCGGCCGAAGTCAAAGCTCGCCCATCGCGTGAGATGGATGACTATGCTGTGTCAACTGTGCCATATCTAGGTTCTGGTGCTCCCACCTCGCCCGTCAAACCCTCCTTTACAAAGCCCGAGAAGCAAGGTTGGCTGTTTCTCAAGACTGTACCTCCCAAACCAGCTAGGCCTTCATGGTCACGGCGTTGGTTCATTGTCAAGAATGGCATCTTTGGTTGGTTGGTCCAAGGTAGTATTTCGGGTGGTGTCGAAGAGAGCGAAAAGATTGGTGTCTTGCTCTGCAGCGTTCGTCCCGCCGTGCAAGAAGAGCGTAGATTCTGTTTTGAAATCAAGACCAAAGACACGAGCATCATTCTACAAGCCGAAACTCAGGGAGAACTTTTGGAGTGGATCAATGCATTTGAAAGTGCAAAGCGCAAAGCTCTCGAGGAACCACGTAACTCTACCGTGCCCAATCCAGGAGCTGATCCTGCTTTTGCCATTAGCCCACCTGTTGATCCATCCTTTGCTGCAAAGCTGACCGACAGCCTGGCTCACTCAACTGATGAGTTTGGCGGGTCTTTGTCTCCACCAGAACTGGGTCTAGCCAGTAGAAGCAGCTTTGATGCCAATCCCTCCAGAAGATCGACCATGCTGGATTCCGAAGGTAGTCGTGATACGGCCAACAGAATCATCCAAAAGCTCGACTTGCATAGAAGAGGTACAGCATCGTCTTCGGCAAATCAACCTGCCCCGGCTGGCGGTATCGCCAGTCTGCTTTCAGCCAGTCATAGCATCCTACCCATTGGTCCTGGTCCCGCCCCAACCTCACCACATCGCTCCTTCACCATGCCCGCCACCAGCAATTTTGCTCCAGTCACACTTGCAAACCCTCCTGCTCCGACCAATCTCAGTAGAAGAGCCGTCGCAGTAAGTGGTCAACGTGCATCGAGCGGTAAATCTGATACCTCAGCCATGCCTAGCAGTCTCATGGCAAACCTTTGGGGGTCCTCGAATTGGGTTAACATTAACCGACTCGGTCGCGATGATCCCAAGTCTGAACTCAAGTCGAGCCCTGCAGCAAAACCAATGGGCCAATATCATGACGATATGGCTATCATGGAAGGTATGGAGCCACCCAAGGACCTCAAAATAGCCGAACTTGGATCCAACCCGACCCCAAGTCGCACCACTCATCGCAAGACCGTAAGCGTAGGCGATGCTCTTGATTCGCCTTCACAATCTCGATTGACGGTTGTTCCTGTTGATGAACCTCAAACAGACTATCCAGTCTCGCTCAAAACAGATGACGTGCTTGTGCTCAAAGAACACGACGCCGAATTTCACGTCCTCTTTTCATCCGTTCCACGTTCCGAAAGGGTTGTCCTCGTCTTTACTGCAATGTGGAATCCAAACGAGCAACAAGAGTTTCCAGGTCGCATCTATGTGACTACCGAAAAGATTTACTTCTACAGTAACCACTTTGGAATGGTTCTTGTAGCTGAGATCAGCTTGTCGTCAATCACCGAGGTCACCGCTGCACCAGGCAGAGAAAGCGAATGTGATTATTTATTCTTACACCTTAAAGAAAGCAAGACAGATTTTAGACGTGTCACCGTCAAGACCTTCTTGGACGCTCTGAGACCACTTCAACGTAGGCTCGACTACCTTGTACAGTCTGCGAATTCTGGACGTTCCACCTCCTTGGAAGATGTCTTTGCATCATTTTCCAAGATAGCCACAGATGATTCACAAGAGCATTCTCAGGGCTGGGACGAGGACCCGCAATCTCCCACGGATAACGATCTCAGAGTTACGAGACGTCGCTCAAGAGATCTCAGGGCAAATCTGCGCATTGACGGTACGCTCTACGGCGAATCAGTCGCCCGAACAGGCAGGGAAGTCACCAAGTTCAAACTGCCTTCTCAACCTGTGCTATACAAGCCCAAGGACATGGGAGATGCTGTCCTTGCCCAAGACTTCAATATCAGTGCCAAAGCGCTCTTCCACGTCATGTTTGGAGACAGAAGTGCAGTATTCCAGATGTTGTACAGTAATCGCCCGATTGACAGTGAGTAAACCCAGCCTTGAGGACTTGTACCGAGCTAACCCCACTTAGATATTCTTCTGACTCCTTGGACGCAGCCAAAAGATGGACAGCTTTCAAGACAGTTGATCTGTGCTATTGGTCCTAGCAAAGAGACAGACAGACAAACCCTGGATGTGTGCAATGATCACCTCTGCTATGTTGTGACCCAAACACAATCTCCATGGCAGCTCCCCATGTCCAAAAACTTCCTCCTGCTCAGCAAGTTTGTTATAACTCACTCGGCAAAGTCCAAGTGCAAGCTTGCTATCTTCAACCGGGTGATATGGAATGGAGATGTCAACATCGATCAGCGACTCTCAGTGTCGCAGCGCCTGATACAAAAGCAAGCTTTGCGTGACTATCAAGATGACGCTGTCGACTTGGCTGCTGTGATCAAGGATCAAGTGTCCAAGCTCGGTGCCCACAGTACAAACAAGGCTGCACAAATCTTTGGCTCTGTCGGTCAAAGTACACAAACGAGCCAGGTTTCGGCATCAAATTTGCCAACCACTTCAATCAGTCGCGCAAGACGAAAAGTCAAGATCCGTACCCTGACTAATCTCTATTCTGACGAAGCGCTTGCTCAGGTATTCCGTGTACTCACCATGTTGATTGATTTGTTCATTGCGATCGCAAAGTCTTTTGCAGGTGTCGTCACAGCACACAAGGTCCTCGTGCTGGTTCTCGCATTCAGTGCTACTTACAATACTTGGTATGGATACCGAGATGGGTTGACATGGTACAACGAACGAAATGCTGGCAAGTTCATGGCCAGACTTGGTATCAAACCCGACCCTGCCATCACTAGAGCGGTCTATTTGAGCGACATTGAAGAGTTTGTGGCTCCTACTTTGATGAGCAACATCGAGCTGAATACTACCATCTCGGATGACACCAATCAGGCCTGGAACACGTGCCATGGTACCTTCCGCGATATGCTTGCTTTGTCTGAGCATGATGCCACAGCAACGACGACATTCTTCAAGGGTTCGAAAAAACGCTCGCAACTAAGGTTACAGCGTACGCGACACTCTCTTGCGAGATATCGACATGATTTGTTGGTGGCGCTTCGTGTTGTCAATCGAGTCGAAGAAGAGGTAGTCCATGCCGAATGGGAGGATTGGGTATTGGAAGAAGAAAGAAAGTGTATCAAGGTTGAGACGATGATGCGTGAGCGCAAAAAAGGTGGCCAGTCCACAGAACAGCCAGCACGAGGGGAAAGCGATGATCTGGGAGATGGTTTCGCAGAGTATTGCCGCAGCTGCAAAAGCGAAGCAGGACGAATCGTGTCGGATAAGTGACAGTCTGCCTGTAACGCGATAGGAGTGTGAGCTCAGAGGTGTGTAACATCACAATGATTAAACGCGTCCACAATGCCGTGAACCTGACCATCGCTTTTTTTGGTCGGTGACCATCTCCATACTTTGAGCAATGTCGTGTGAGAGCATGTCACTGTCGTACGCAATAAAGGGCGTGAATTACCGAACAAGTCGAGCACGTGTGTGCAGGGTCGATTTTAATCCTTTCAGCAATCATCGAAAACGGCTCTGCTCCGAACCGAATGAAGATAAGGTAAACACAACCCTAAGACCTGCACGCGACATGCAGTGAAAAAGGTTCAAGTGGTGTCATTGCAATACATCGATTGGCTCAGTGGCTGAAGGGCTTTTTGACCCCAGATGTGGGGGAAGTGTCATCAGTGGTCCTTGATTGGATGAGGCAAAGCAACCTTTGTACTTCGATCTTGATGGATAAAATAAGATCATATCGCCATGTCGTCGCAAAAAAGCTCTTTTGCCATACAACGGACAAAAGTACCAGACCATCTCGGAGCTCTGAAACTGGACATTTTCTGCGCGAGATAAGAGTAGAACATTTCCAGAGAAGACATCAGTCTGTCGGACGAAATGATGAAATGGCCGAGGAACACTTTCCACTCAAGAGCCGCATCTCCAGAAGATGAAATGTCGACAGCTCCGCCTTCTATAGTCCCTGACGATATGGAAAGGCAACAAATTGAAAAGGAAATCGCGCCAGACAAGGTGTCTGCATTCAAAGGACTCGGCTGGCTAGATCGCTTTTTGGCAGTGTGGATTCTTCTCGCCATGATAATAGGTGAGGAAGTCAAAGTGCATTCACAAGTTTCAAAGTCACGAATTAATATTCGATTCAGGTATCCTCTTGGGAAATTTTGTGCCAAGTACAGGTAGAGCTCTCCAAAAGGGACAATTCGTTGGCGTCTCGGCACCGATTGGTGAGTCTTTTTCCGAGTCGTACAAGACAACATGGTGTATACTGATTTCTCTCAAAGCTGTCGGCTTGTTAGTCATGATGTACCCGATCTTGTGTAAAGTCCAATACGAAACACTGCATCTTGCTTTCAAGAGCAAGGAACTCTGGATTCAAGTCGGTTTCAGCATAATAATGAATTGGCTTGTCGCTCCATTCTTGATGCTAGGACTATCTTGGGCATTTCTACCAGACGAGAGCGGTCTTCGTGAAGGCCTCATTCTTGTGGGAATTGCTCGCTGTATTGCCATGGTGTTGATCTGGACTGGTCTTGCAGGCGGAGACTCGCAGGTATGTCGAACGGTCTCTCAATCTTGCTCGTCAGACTTGCTAATGTGGATAAAACAGTATTGTGCCATTCTAGTAGCCATCAACTCAATTCTGCAAATGGTCTTGTTTGCCCCAATGGCCATCTTCTTCATCAACGTCATCAGCGATTCAGATACGCCCATCGCATCCTCATACACGACAGTAGCTACCAGTGTCGCCGCATTCTTGGGCATTCCCCTAGCCGCAGCCATCGTTACTCGATTCACTATCCGCAAATTCTCACCTACCTGGTACAACCAAACGTTCCTCAAGTGGCTTGCACCATGGTCGTTGATTGGACTCCTCTATACCATCATCGTCCTATTCGCATCACAGGGACACCGCGTTGTCCACCAGATCGTCTCGGTCGTGCGAGTAGCCGCACCCCTGATTGTCTACTTCTTCGCCATCTTCAGCCTTACTCTATGGGTGACGCACAAGCTCGGATTCGGATACAAGTTGGCAACGACGCAAAGCTTTACTGCTGCAAGTAATAATTTCGAATTGGCGATCGCTGTTGCCACGGCTACTTTTGGTGCCAACAGTGATCAAGCGCTTGCAGCGACTGTGGGTCCTTTGATTGAGGTGCCCGTGTTATTGGGCTTGGTGCATGTGGTGAGATGGATAGGGAATAAACGCCAATGGAAGGCATGAGGCATGACTCTTAACTATATACATTTTCTTTTTTTCTTCTTTAACTGGTTGACCCTTTCGTGAATCATCAAAGTCTGTATAATAGAAGTATGCTATTGACACAATAGGCAGGCACACTCGAAGCTAGCCTAATGCAGTAAGCAGCTTTTGCTCCTTCCTTCTCGATCAGGCTGACTACGACGACTCTTCTTCGCGAGGACTTTGAATTGCAAGACAGAGTCAAACATGCAACGGATGAAATGCGATAATGTTTGAGATGGCGATGTATCCGGATTTGTCGATAACACTCTCTGCATATGGTCGAAGGCCTTTTGTGCAGATGAGTTGACCATGCAACGAACCACTGTGTAGGTCGCATTCAGAGTAATTCGAAAGCTGGTCGTCATAATATCTCTGAAGCTTTAACGTTTCAATGTCTTTTGCTTCTCTCCATGCTCGACAACCTTTCGCTGGACGAACAGACCCTTGCGCTCTCTGACAGCATCGACGTATCGCTTGGCAACATTTTCTCGGTCCCCCTTCTCACCAAGGTCTTCAATCTCTTCCTCCGTTCTGGGCACCCAGAAGGGGTCTTCATCCAGCATCTCGAAGCCTTCAAAGACAAGTTGAGGACTGGCAGCACCCGAAGTTCGTTTACGAATCTCATCCGAGAAACCAAAACTCTCTGCAACAGGCAACAAGGCCAGAATGGTGAAGTTGGGCGAGGGCTCGAGGAGAGACTCGGAGATGATTCGACCGCGGCGTCTGGTAATGACTGCATACACACGCCCCAGAACCTCGGCGGAAGCTTGGATTTCACAGCTGTACATGGCCAAGAGCAGACGGGGACTCCAGTCCAAAAAGCCTTGACGGATACTGTCTCGGGTAGACTTGATCACTTCACCAGTGAGGCGGCCCATATTCTGTTGCTCGTCGTCAGTCTTGTTGATGGTGATATCTTCAACAAAGACAGCGACGCCTTGCATGGGTTCATTGCAGAGAGGGCCTTGGTTTGTAGCAAGCTGAAAGGCATAGGTGACCTTGTCGACAAAGTCTTGAGCTCGTAATTGCTCAGGTCGGGTGTCTGTTTCGTTTGACTCGTCATTGTCGTCTTGTACATTACGTAGGCTGCAAGGCATTAGCATTGAGATATCATAAAGAACGGTTTGGCACCTACAATTTTCCGCAGATCCCTCCTTTGGTGGCATCAATGAGAACATTAGGTCCTACCCTGCGAGGTCCAAAAGCTGTGATCTTTTCGGTAGCATCTTGCCAAATATCCTTTTCACCTTTGAGTTCAGCAAATGCTGCACCCAGCTGAGCCTTGAATTCGTCCATGGACAGTGTTCGACCCGACTCGACAGTACCAACATCGTTGCCAGCTTCATGCTCGGTTTCTTGTTCGTCGGCCTGTTCTGCAACAGCAGGGGAATCTTGTTGTACTGCCTTCTTTTCGGAATAGAGCTTCTTGATTGCAGCCGTGTTTTTGACAAGGAAGTGCGTAACGGACTCGGGTAGAGGTCGTACACTCAGACGCACTGTGATCTGTTTACTCGTAGTGACAACATCGACTCTGCCTCTTCCTAGGTCGGGGTACTTTGGAGGATTCATCTCTTCTCTGTTCTCCGTGGTTGATGAAGCGACGTAGTTGGTGATACCTTCTCTATAAGGCACAATGACTTCTCCCGCTTGAACGTCACATTTCGCGAAACGTTCGCGGAGATCTTTCAAGCAACGCTCCAGATGCAACTCGCCAGCAGTGAGAATAACGTGTTCGCCACTCTCTAGTTGCTCATACAAGACTGCAGGATCGGCCTGTTCAAGCAAGTGTAAGCCTTTGACCATCTTGTCCAGATCTGCCGGCCATGCAGGCTCGACTGCAACGCGAACAATGGGAGCATTTGTGCTGATAGCAGATGATGACGAGAGATTGGGTGCGCCGTCGAGTTGAGAACATAGAGTGCCCGACTTCAAGATGGCTCCCTCAAGACCACCGATACCAACAACGGAGCCCGCAGGAACAGAGTTGAGAGCTTCCAGACTACGACCCATGAGAAGGTACAAGGCAGTGATTGTAACCTTTTTGGGTTCAGGTGCAACTCTGGGATTGGCTGGAGTAAACTTGGGCGGCAGGACATATACTTCCTGACCAACGGTCAAAGTGCCAGAATACAATCGTGCAAAACCAATCAGGTGTTCTCTGCCTTCTTGCTCTGCTTCCTCATCATTATTGGGAGCGGCGTCGGCATCGTCATCGTCCTCCCCAATAGCCACCGTGCTAAGAGCATCAGCGACAGAATCAACATCTGTATTCTCACCGTTCGCAAGAGCTTGTGCCTTGGCAATTTCAGCTCTCTTCTTGCGACCCAACTCGCGAGCTTCTTCTGCAGTGAGCGCACCGCCACGTCGCTTGTTGATCGGAAGTTCACTCTCGGGTACCGATACCATCTTACTGACATATGCGACAACAGGTTCTTCTGTTGACTTTCTAGACTCTGTCATGGCCGTGGTCACCTTTGGATCGATGTGATCAAAGCCAGGTGATGCCTCCAGAAGTGGGGGGATGCGGGCTGCCTGAGCATTGACAGGAGAAGGCAAGTGTTCTATCACCGATACGAGGAGAGCAGTAGAAAGCGGCAACCAATTTGCAAATACCGTGGTTAGCAAAGCACGAGGATCGCGTGAGCGCTTGATGTGTTGGGGAATGGTAAGGTTCAAGGACTTTGTAATCTTCTCGAGGAGAGCCGGGTCACTGTTTAGATTAGTCAATAGTCTTATCGTCAAATAGTCAGACAACATACCCCTTTCCATGGTCTCCGCCTGTGGTTGCTTCATATACAGCCCAGATGGGCTCGAGGACGAGTTGGACAAACATGGGCTTCAAATTCCTGCCCTTCAAGTGCTTGCTCCCGAGCACACGTTTAGTCTTCGGGTCAAGGTAGAAGTCGCCCCAGAGGGTCTTTTCCAAAATCTCGCGCTTCATGCCGAGTTTTCTGTCGTAGATGGCGGCAAATTGACGAGGTGTAAAGGCCCATCCGTCTATGGCACTACTAAAAATGACATTGTTGTTCTCGGGAGCAAAGTAAATGTCCTCGTCACTCTTCTCCTCATATTCGGCAGGGACAGAGGTATCATCATCGACAACAGTGTCCTTTGTAGATTTTGCACTCACGCGCTCCTCGACTCTTTCGCGCCAGCGCAAGTCGTCTTCCATACGTTCTCCTTGGAAGAAACTACCCATGACAGCATTTACCTGTTCAATAACCTTGTTCAAATGTGTGTAGGCTTCTTGAGGCCCCATCTTCCATTCGGTAATCAGCCTATCCATCTTGTTGATGACAAGCAAAGGCTTGAGCTTTTCATTCCAGCACTGTCGCAAAACGGTAACAGTCTGACTGCAGACACCTTCGATGGCATCTACCAGCACTACGGCACCATCGCACAGTCTTGAAGCAGTAGAGACCTCACTGCTAAAATCTATGTGTCCGGGAGAGTCTATGAGGTTGATAAGGTATTCTTTTTGCTCGGGGGCAGCATCTGGAGCAGAGCGTTTCAAGAGGGAAAAATACAAGGAGATGGCCGAAGACTCCATGGTGATTCCTCTGAGTTGTTCATCGGGCCTCGAGTCGAGATAGCGTATCCTGCCAGCCAGCTTTGGAGAAATGATTCCATTTGTGGCAATAAGGGCATCTGACAGCGAAGTCTTGCCGTGGTCAACGTGAGCGAGGATGCAAATGTTTCGAATGCCATCGGCGGCATGTTGAAGCTTGATGAGCTTCTCGGGCGGGACGACAGGCATGACGAGACGGATTTGCGACGGACAGGGGCGCTGATTTGGAGGATTTGGACGGAAGGGATATTTTTGGGCGACTGGGTAATGACGATGCTCGATTTGTCGTGGTTTCAGATTGAGCTTCGACGGCGGGATTGACTAGCAGACGACAGGCGAGATGAAGCAGTGGTGGCGTGTTTGTGCCAATAACAACAACAACAAGCAAGCAAGCAAGCGAAAGGAAGGGCAATAGAAGGGCAGATTGAGCGAGAGCAGCTTTGATTGCTCGTCGGCCACTTTGACATTTGAAGCTTGCACTGCAAAACGCACGTCACCATTGATCGGCGGCGTGGGCCTCATTCCCGCGAGCGCCTTCCCTCGTCTGTTTTATTTACTATCCTTGTACGGCCTGCCCAATAAGCCCAGCCTTCTTGACCGCTGTAAATATCTTTTCAGGGCCGCGCTTGTCCACCGAGCCAGTCCCACACAACATATGTGATCAATCGCCGCACCGTCTTCATTGCTAGACACCCGCAATGGCCGCCGTCATGTCGCAACCGCCGCATCACCACCACGCTACCCCTCGTCCCATCAACACCCAATCCAACAACATCAACATCAATCCTTCCAATCCTCAATCCTTGCCCTCGTCGGTGCAAAATCTCCGTGGCGGTCAACTCACACTCGACACCTTTTCTCCTGTCAATCAGAATGGTAGTTTTGAGTTTGATCGCATCATCAAGTCTGGCCAAGTCTCGAAGCGAACTCGCAAGACCAAGTCATGGAAACCCATATACATCGTACTGAGGCCCAATCTTCTCTCCATATACCGTGACAAGGCCGAAACAAAACTGCGCCACCAGATTACCCTCTCCGATCTAACTGCTATTGCTCGCCAAAAGGATCCCAAAGGAAAGGCCAAACACGTCTTTGCCCTCTTCTCTCCCTCGCGGAACTACCATCTAGAGGCTGCTTCGGACCAGGACGCTCAAGATTGGGTCCAGCTCATTAGGCGTGAGGCTCGCATTGATCGGAATGAAGAAGAGATAGTCTTGGCCAGTCCCGGTGGTGCAAAGAGCACCTATCGTGGTTTCGAGAGGCACACTGATCATACCATTAACCAGGACATTCCTCAAGGTTACAGTTCTTCGGACGCAGAGACTCCCGTCTATAATCCTCCGATACGTCGACCAAAGCATGCCTTGCACAGTAAACGCAGACCCTCGCACACGCTTGATTACTCTGGTCCCGAAAATGCTTCATACTCTGATTTTTCAGACTCACAAGGCCCTTCAGCTCGCATGTCATCCCTGTCATTGACTCTGGCCGAGAATCAGTCACAACAGATGCCACCTATGGCTGGTGCCAACACGATTTATGGAGCAAACACCCGTACCCCTTTAGCACCACGTAACGTTAGCCAAACATCAGGCATACAAATCGTAAAACAAGACGAAGAAAGAGTCATCTGTCAGGGCTGGATCTACATGCTCAAGTCAAAGTCAGGGGTACGACAATGGAAAAAGATGTGGATGGTGTTGAGGCCCAAATCACTGGCGCTGTACAAGAACGAAGAAGAATACGCAGCAGTGCTGCTCATTCCGTTCCACAACATCATTGATGCCGTCGAGATCAATCCCATTAGCAAAAGCAAGCAATTCTGCTTGCAGCTCATCACGGAAGAACGCAACTATCGCATGTGTGCACCCGATGACGATGGGCTGGCGCGGTGGTTGGGAGCGGTCAAGAGTCTGCTGGTCAAAAGAAAAGAGATGGCTGGGAGCATGCAACGAGCAGGGACGGGAGCAAGCTAAAAGTCTTGTGACTTGAGTCTGTGAGAGTGAAGAAATGGAGGGAGCATTTTATGTCTTGTACGATATCAACGAAAGGGCGGATCATGTTGGAGTTATTGGATAGGTAGCTTCGAATTGCGGGGCGTTATTGGTGCTACTTTGGCTGTGGCTTGGGAGGTGGCTGGCTCTCGATGCAGGACCAGAGCCGAATGCTATGAGAAGCAAGTGGCTGTCTACATTTTTGGACTTGATTTGTCTGAAGACAGTGTTGGTGGAGCAAAAGACACGATCTGTGTAGTGTAGCAGGGCATGGTAGATGAAGAGAAAGCACGGTAATTATGAGAGCAGATCGGGGATCTTGTTGTCGGATCATGATTGATGTGCATTGCAGCGGCCGGCAAATCTGAGACTAGTCACAGGCTGGCTGGAGTAGGCTCTGCGCTTTGTCTGTGCGGTGCGACCCCTGTTGTCGCGAGTTGCGACAAGCCATCAATCATGGTCTGCTTGTCTCAAATGCGTGAGAAGTAGAGTCGCAAATGCCGGCCTCTCTCGCGACCCTCTGACACGACAGTAATGAAGATTGTTTGACCCCCGGGAGCCGTTGGAATCATCAACCTAGATTTGTACAAGCCAACGACTTTCACGCCTATCCAACTCTAGTCCTTGCAGCCAGCCCTCCGAACCGCGACACGACCGACTCTGCAATCGTCAAGACTTGGCCCTGCGACACGCGCAATGTCCTGTGGCCATTGACTTCTGATTCCACCGCCGCCGTCTTTGTAGCTGTAGCTGCTGTTCTTCTGGTCTTGTCTTGCATCAACAATCATGACGCGACCCGGACTTGTCAGAGCTGGTGAGGCTCGATCATCTTTTTGTCAGTCCAACACATCGACTAATACCTCACCCTCGTGCCAGACACAATTGATCTCCAAAACCAAGACGCTCCTACTACCCAAGATCACCATTCGACTTCTCTACAGCCTTCAGACCTTGGCAAACATCAGGCCTCGGAAATCCGTCATGTCCGCGACGAAAGACACGAAGAGGAGGAGCATCTGCAAGATGCCTGGACTCGCGCTCACCAACATGTTCAAGTCAATGAATTGACCGACGATCAACTACAAGCCCACAATCATGAAAATGGCGATTCGACCGACGATTCTGAGCTAGACGACGACATGCTCGACGATCGCATCTCCAGCTCTCCCTCTATCGACGATGGTGCGTACCCTGTTGCTGCTCCTGCTTGGCCACATCGTTCTTCCTCTTTAACTCCTCCTCGCCAAACACTCAACTGTGAGGCAATCGATTCTCCCGACTCGTCACCCTTTGTTCTTGCTCCCGCACACTTGCCTCTTTCCACCATGTCGGCCGCAGATTCGGCAGCCTCGCCTGCACCGTCTTTGCAGTCGTCTTCTCCTTTTGTCCTTTCTCCGAAGCACCTACCGCTGTCGGCTTCCCCTCTTTCCAGACGTCATCATCATACTGGTGAGTATGCTGGTAGGTATCACGACGACTACAATCAATCAACGGACGGATACAGCGACGACGACCTTTTTCGAGAGCCAGTTGAAACACAAAATGAGTATCTGGATTACGACTTCCCGCACAATAACCCCGTTGAGGATCTCACAGCGATGCCCGAAGAGGACGACCAAGATTACTTGGACATGAATGGTTTCTTTCTTCACAATCAAGGATCGACATCTAGCCGAACGCCAACCGCAAGGACCGCATCCCCATCCTCTTGGAGCACTGTCAGCGACGCATCTGCTTCCTCAGTCCTGAAAGACCTGGAGTCACATGACAAACATGACCATGATGATGACCTGGACGTTTCCTTCTATTCTGATGATCGTTTTGTTGATTCCGGTTGGGGCGGCGAATGCTTACGTGAAACAGAGGACATTGATTTCGACTTCGTCTACGCTCTACACACCTTTGTGGCCACAGTAGAAGGCCAAGCCAATGCGGGAAAGGGTGACACCATGGTCCTACTCGACGACAGCAACAGCTACTGGTGGCTTGTTAGAATCGTAAAGGACAATAGCATTGGTACGTTGATCGTGTTGCGCGACAGACATCCAAACTGACAGAGCATAGGTTATCTCCCGGCCGAGCACATTGAAACTCCCACAGAACGCCTGGCGCGTTTGAACAAGCATAGAAACGTCGATGTAAGTGTCTCGGATCCGGCTCCATTTGCCATTTGCTGATCAATGTAAAAAGCTATCTGCTGCCATGCTTGGAGATACTGCTGAGAATTCCAAGAACCCGCTCAAGAAGGCCATGAAACGACGCAAGGCAAAGACAGTACAGTTTACCGCTCCTACCTTTGTTGAGGCTTCGGATTATGACTACTCTTCTGACGAGGAGGACGGTCTTATGCCCGAGCCTCTGTACGGTAACGGCAATCAGAATCAACATGAGGAAGCCAAATCTGAACAAGACAAATCGTCATCAGGCACAGACATTGCCACAACAGTTGTCGAAGTTGCAAGAGTGGAGACGCCAGATTTGGCAAGTCCAGCTAAAGACATCAAGGCTCCTGCTGAAGAACCGTTAAGCAGTCCCACCTTGGTTGATAAAACAGGTAATCTTCTGAATTCACCTGTGTGTGTAAATGTGGCACTAACCTTTCCACAGAAGCAGCGCCACTCAAATCCAGAAAGGGAACACCACGAAATGCCGATTCCTTCCTCAAAGACGATGGGGCAGAGCCTCTCAAGATTTCCCTCACACCAAACCTCCTGCGGGATAACAGCAGTGGAAGTCGTTCTTTGGAAACTACCACCTCCAGCATGGAAGGCCTTGAAAAGACGGCTTCTCCACCAGATAAGTCGAGAGATGACAAGAAAAAGAAGGAAAAGAAGCCGGGCATGCTTAGCGGTCTGTTCAAGAGCAAGAAGAAGGACAAGCGAAACAAGAACTCGGTCGATGAAGACAGCGACATCGAAAAAGTGTCAAGCGAACTGGCCAGACAATCGACATCGTCCGATTCCAACAAGGGCTCTCCAATCGAGCGCTCCACACAATTCTCAGCTGCAGAGCCAAAGTCTAGAGGAAAACTGCAGAAGCCACAGGCAGGAGGAGCCACCGTCGCTCCTTCACAGGCTACCGCTTCTGCCCTAGCATCTGCTCCTACTGCTGCCCTAGCTCCCGTAACTGCTCCCGCCCCCCTCCAAGTATCGTCTGCCGCATCTGCCCCGCAACCTCAAAGAGCCGAACAGCCATCGTCAGCCTTTGTTGCCGAGCTTGAAGGTTCAACTGTTGATGCTCCTGTGCAACCTGTCCAACGCAATGTCGAATTGCGTCAGCCGGAGTCAAGGATCGCTAGCGAGACTTTGCTCGGATCACATACACTTTCATCAATCACGAACAAGATGAGACACTCAGAGTCACAAGACAGCATCAAGCCAAAGAAAGTGAAGAAGGCCAAAGCTCGAGTAGAGCTTGACGACTTTGACGAAGTCAGTGACGAGGATAATCAAGCGAAGGAGTTTGAAGATGGGCCAAGTGATGCATTCATGCATGGCACCGAAATGGTGCATATTCCTGTCAACCTCGGGGACGAATCTTCCTCGCCTGATGACCATGACACGGCCGAAGAAAGAGGTGGTGAGGAAAGCTCGGAGAGGACCAGTTCCCCAAGCATAGTAGATACGCCAAAGGTATCTGTGGATGGATCTCACGAAAATATGAAGCATATGCATGAAGCCCCGACTTCAAACATGCTAGGCGACGACGATGAAACACCTCTGGCATCGAAACGTCAATCAGCGGTGGCCAGTGAATCCTCTACACCACAGCAACCGCCGGTCAACCCGCCTGTCCGACGTGCACCTTCTCCTCCTCCTGTTCAGAGGTCCAGTTCAGTCACTCCATCCAATGGTTCCTCGGCACGTCTATCTCCATCACCCGCATCAACACGCAGTCCCGTCTCGACTGCAGGCACGCTAAACACGTGGTCCGATGCAAGTCTTCGGGCGTGGCTCGATGGAGCTGAGAACGACGTACGCGACATGCTAGTCATAATTCACGACAAAACCTCGGTTGTGCCGGTCACGCGCGATCATCCGCTCATGGCGGATCTCTTCACTGACGAAAGCCGCAGAGTGGCGGGTTTGCAGGACGAACTCGATGGTCTGCTCGGCAACTGGCTTGCTCGCAAACGAAGCGTAAGAGAAGTGGCAACCACGTAGATGAAGGGAAGCATAAAAGAATATACGAAGTTGGAAGCTTGTGACTATAGGGGTGGGACGTACATGATATGAGCATGAATAATGGCTTGATTGGGCGTTTGTTTATGGTCCCACTGCCAGAAGTGTTTTGATACGCTCTGTTGCTCATGCGGGATGCATTTGATTTTCTATTACGCTTGCTTTTTTGATACCTAGCCGCGTTGCAATTTGCCTCGTCTTGATCATTGTTTTGGGCCCAAGACTTTGATAGAAATTCTCACTTGCGATTCGTACCGAGTTCCTATAGAGTTGAAATCACTCTGGCCATCTTGAAATAATATCAATGTGAAGGCGGCATGAAGAGAACTGTGATTGTAAAGCATAACAACTAATCCATGGTATAAAACTGCTCTAAAGACAAAACCAAGCCAACAGAATTAAACAAAATCAAGCAGCAGCACCGCAAGATGAACAACATAACCTCGTACCACCGCCCTTTGCGGCCTTGACATGGAAGTTGACACTTCCGCACTCTTTGCAATGTACCTCCTCTTCATGTCCTTGCAGTGCATCCTTGAAACTTGCGGCATCTGAGTCACTGTCCGCAGCAGCACTCTCCTGCTCGATACTGAGTTTACTAACCGCAGTATGGTTGCGTTGGAGCGGATGCGGTAGACCAAGGTTGTAGCTTCCTGTTCGACTAGAAAAAGGCCTGCCAGAAAGTGGTGTCTGTGGTGATTGAGGTGATGGGAGCGGTTGTACATGATGCTGATGGTTTCGGGCGGAGTTGAGAGCGAGCTTCCAGTATAGCATAGACTGATCACCTTGCAGGAACAAAGGATCGCTGTCGTCTTCCCCACCTCCATTATCTTCTCTCTTGGGTACTGGAGGAGGTGCCACTGATGTCTTAGAGTCTGGACGAGGTTGGGCGCTGGCAGTCGATTTGCGAGGTGACTGGCTGCGGATCGAACCATTCGTGACATTCGATGAGCTCGAGATGCCCTGACGCCATGACAAGATCCTATCTTGCGGACCTTCGGGTCGACCGTGCGAGCTGCGCAGGCTGCGACTGCTGCCTTTGGTGGCTATTGATGCAGTACGGCCAAGTTTTCTTTTTGAGAAGACAGAAGATGTTTCCCAATTGTCCGTTTTGCGCTTGTTCCAAGCACAATCTTGTCTAAAAACCTTGATTCTACCAGCCAAGTCTGCGGTCACAATGATGTTTCCAGAGGCATGCGTCGAACGGGCGAGATATGCAGGCGACTCCTCTGGGCGCTTGTGTGATTGTGGGTCGGTTTCGAGTCCATCTTCTGTAGGTGCTCGGGAAGGAGGTCGTGAACCAGTTCGCTCAGCCGAGCTCATCAACATGACCGGAGGAGGATTACAAATATCGTAGATCGGATCTTCCGATCTGCCGAGTAGTTGTTTGCTCTTGGGAGGCGCAAATGCAACACAAGTTACAACCGTGTTGCTAGCATCAAAGGTCTCCATCGGTCGTCTCTGCTTCTTGTCACTCTGGTCAGGATCCGTTGGCCAAATATAGACTTTGTGATCTTCGCTGCCACAAAAGATGTACTTGGCATCATCGCTGACGGCTGCTCGAATCTGGCTGCTGTCATTGATGTTGCCCTTGAATTTGACCTCCATGCTCTTGTCGCGAAAGTTGTAGAGCCGTATCCGTGAGTCATTGCTACTGACGAGAACCTTGGTTTCACCGCCCGTATGAAACGACTGGATTCCAGTGATTTTGCTGCCTTTTGCATTCTTACCATTCCTAGAGCGAGCATGGATTTGTGTCTGGTATTTCAGACCTTCAGTTTCGTAAAACATGCAGAGACCAGTAAAACATCCAGCCATTGCATATTTCCCATCTGGCGTAAAAGCGACTGCAGTAATCATGTCTGGTAATTGACTCCAGTAAGCGACCGTCTTGTCAGGAATGCTCCATAACCTCAACTTTGAGTCGAGCGATCCGGCCAAAAAGAAGCGATCGTCCTTGGGGTGGAAAGCGATGGATGTTACAAAATCGCTATGTTTAAAAGTACAAAGGCACTCATCCCTGCTGACGTGCCATAATCGTACGTTCTTATCCATAGACGAGGAAAGAAGAAAGTTGTTCTTGCTCCAGCTCAAGTCCAGAATGGTTGATGTGTGGCCTTCATATTCTTGGACAGGCTCTTGGCGAAAGACCGGAGCGCTCAGTCGAGGACGATGGTTAATGTCTGATTCTTCGGCATGCGAGTTGCGATCCTCTGGAGTCTTGATAACCTCCCAGACGCGTATAATCTTGTCTTGCCCTGCGGCTGCCAGATATCGACCATCCCTGCTGAATTGCATGGCCCATATGGGTGTTTCGTCATGATGAATGTCGGAAGCCAAAAGTTCTTGGGCTAGGAATAGATGGTCAAAGTCCTTGTCCTTCTTGTCGCGCGCCCTGACTCGAATGTACTCGGGAGGTGGTGGGTGTCGTGGATTAAACTGGATATTGTCAATGGGCTGGGAGAAGACGTTTGCCTCCATGCCTTCAGGTCGCAGATTGCTGAACTCTGATGCAGCGTCGTCAGTGACATTGTCGCCGGACTCTTTTTTCTTGTTTCCTAGCAGTCGTCCGAGGAATGAGGCGCCCTTCCTGTTTCGCCGGGGTCAGCACAACAGCTGAGGGCAGCGCAGTGTTTGCAAGAACCTACTTCTTTTCCCGACCCGCTGAACTCAATGTTGTGTTTGATCTGGAAATTGCATTGTCGTCGGATCGATCCTCGGAGGGTATACTCGCACCAGACGAGGCCGGTCGCACACGGCGAAACAGGTGCTGGTAGGCGATCAGTCGACATTCCACAGCCGGGCACAGTAATCTCTCACTTGCGACAAGGGGTCTTTGTCGTTTGCGACGGGCTCTTCCTGGTTAGACAAGGTCCCCGACAAGGAACGAAGCAGTTTCCCAGGGTTTGGAAGGCCTCCGGATGTTGTTGGCCTGTTGCCTGAGCCCTGTCAGCCTTGGGCTTGTGAGCCTCTCTTGCCTACTGCCTACCCTCTTTTGGCGATGCACTTCTGCTGCCCGCAGCGTAATCAAATCCTTCGCTCCTGTTTGGTCCTGCGCTCTCTGGTACGGTGTCTCGGCTTTGTGGATCCGTTACACGGATGGCAGGAATCTCAGCCATATGCGATATTGATAGGGATGGGTAGCGAGTGCCAATAGCGAGTGCTGGAGTGTTGTTGAAGAGGTCATTGCCATGGCGCAAAAGGTTGGCTGCGTATCGCGTCTATAGCCAAACATCCGCAGCGCCCATCTTGGTTGACAACGCTCAGCGTCCGTCCGCTCCAATCCGCACCCCCCTACGTCATGCTATACTCTATTCTTGGCCAATGCTTGCGTATCCTGTACGGTGCGGTGCAAGAGAGCAAGAAACATCTGCTTGACTATCGCTGAGGCAGGAATTGAAAGACTAGTATTGTATACTGTGATGTGAATTCGATTTGTTTTACTATAACTACATAACTAGCCACGCAACCAACTTAGTCGGTCGTCGCCTCTTTGACAGATTGAGTCGAACAGAGAGCCTTTACCCAACCCAACCCAAAAAAAAACTCGTCCCAGGGATATGCCCATATTACCCAAAAAGAACGCCACATTATGCAGCCGCTGCAATAACCATGAATAACTCCTGCCCATGAAATGATTCTGATGCTCAATGACCAGACTAGAAGTCCTCGTCAAAGGTGAAGTCACCACTGACAGTGGCGGCCAGACCCTCAGTAGTCTTGCTCTCCTCCTTCTTTGTGCTGTTCATGACACCAGCCTTCTGGTAATCGCCAACTCTCTTCTCGAAGAAGTTGGTCTTGCCAGCCAGCGAGATGTTTTCCATGAAGTCGAAGGGGTTGGTGGCGTGGTAGATCTTGGGCTCACCGAGGGCGAGGAGAAGACGGTCGGCGACAAACTCAATGTATTGGCACATAAGCTTTGCGTTCATGCCAAGGAGAGCACAGGGAAGGGCATCTGACAAGAATTCTTGCTCGATCGAGACGGCCTCGGTGATGATCTCACGGACGAGGGCAGCAGAAGGCTTGTTCTTGAGGTGCGAGTGGAGCAGGCAGGCAAAGTCAGTGTGCATACCCTCGTCACGCGAGATGAGCTCGTTGGAGAAGGTAAGTCCAGGCATGAGACCACGCTTCTTGAGCCAGAAGATGGAAGCGAAGGAACCCGAGAAGAAGATACCTTCGACGGCGGCAAAGGCGATCAAGCGGCAGCCAAAGGTTGAGTCCTTGTCGCAGATCCACTTGAGGGCCCAGTCGGCCTTTCTCTTGATGCAAGGAATGTTCTCGATGGCGTTGAAGAGATAGGTACGTTGCTTGGGTTCGCTAATGTATGTGTCGATGAGCAGTGAGTAGGTCTCGGAGTGGATGTTCTCCATCATGATCTGAAAGCCGTAGAAACATCTGGCCTCAGGGATCTGGACCTCAGAGCTGAAGCGCTCAACGAGGTTCTCGTTGACGATGCCGTCAGAGGCAGCGAAGAAGGCAAGGACATGAGAGATGAAGAAACGCTCGTCGTCGTTCAGGCGTCTGTTCCAGTCGTGAAGATCCTTGGAGAGATCAATCTCCTCTGCGGTCCAGAAAGAGGCTTCGGCCTTCTTGTACATGTTCCAGATCTATGTGCATGATTAGGATGCATGTTAAATGGGATGAGACGCGTCGCGTACGCGTCAATGGATCAAAACTCACCTCGTGGTACTTGATAGGGAAGAGGACGAATCTGTTGGGGTTCTCTTGCAGGATAGGCTCGTTCACCTCGTCGCCCTTGATGCCAGGAGCAACACTGGGCTTTGCTTCCTCGGGCTCAGGAAGGTCCTCAGGCATGGGGATGCCCTTGACGGGGACAGCGACCTCATCGGAAACGATGTTCTCCTTCTCTTCTGATGCGGAGGTGAAGACGGGTTGCTTCATAGGTGACTCCATGTTGAAGTTCTCGAGAGCCTCGGCGGCCTGCAGAAGACGCGTTAGCAAATTGGCTCGGATGTTTTCGAGGACAAAGAGAATTCTCACCTTCTTTGAAGGAGTAATCAGTGGCGCGGACATGATGAAGTATATGTGTATAGAGAAGCAACTGAACGAATAAGCAGATCAATTGATGCTGCGTCGGAGAGGAGATGCTTGATGTATGTTGGTATGTAGATGGGAAGAAGACGAGACGCGTTCTGATTAAATAGAAATCCACAAGTCCACACGCGTTAAGCTGGTCCTCTTCGATTGCCAAGAGAACGTGACACCAGCTCCCGCGTCATCGTCAATGCGTCGAGATCGGCTTCATTGATTTTGTCATTTGTTTCTGCTCAATTCAAGTCATGGCCTTCTATTCAATTGGAAGCCTGGTTATACAATGGCTCTAATTCATTTCTGTGTATTCTATATACTCTTGCAATTCTATACTGTCATTGCAGCCCGAAATCTCCATGATCACATCCTGAAGATGGATGTTCTACCTGCCCCTTTATTGACGCGTTCCGCATCGCGTGTCCGAGATCGCGCAGCTGCAAGCCGTTTCTCGGGCGACAGAACCAATCATAGCATCTCATCGGATCATGAAGGACCTCGACTTATCAATCTACCATCTACCCGAACCTTTTGATGCGACCATATTATCCGACATGCCATCTTCGCTCGGCCTCGTTCGGAAACGCAAAGACGTGTGACTCAAACCTGTCTTTCATGCTCTCATACTGTTGTCATGGCCTTTTGATCCCAGCCTCCTTCCAGCCTCGTCACAGTGACTTCCGTCAGTCGGCATATGCACGGGTAGCCAAATGATTACTATGTTTTCGGGAGGAGCATTGTAGTAATCAAGATTCCCGTCTTGTTACGACGAAGAGTTCAGATTATGACGCGTCAAGTTAGCGGGATGCATATCTCAGTGTCCACCGACCTGCTCTGCAACTGACATGGCTCCTAAAATACATCGAACTTCTCCATCTGTTGTAGCAATTTTGGCCTTGGGGTGATACGATAGAGCCGCGCTAGGAGGAAAGTAGTCGAGTCCTCTCTCTAGCCTGGAATCTCATCTCTCATTCACAACAATGCCCTGAACGAAGCGTAAAAAAAAATGCACATAACTCTGTCGTTTGGAGATCGACACGTAAAGAGCGAATACTCAAGATACTCTCCACATAGACTTCTCATCCAACTGAGAGAGCGGTGTGTATTCCCCTTGGGTAGATATGCCACGGTCAACCTGCCTTGAAAGCTGTACACTGAAGCAGTGAAGGTCTCAGGAATAGTCTTTCCACGTTTCGGTATTGACTTCAGCGGACGCGGCGCACGCGTAAACGCTGATCATTTCCTAACTTGCATGACAACAAGCATCTGACACGACGCCAAGTTTCAACCCCACCATATTCACTTCCACCTTGAGCTTCGGCAGCTTTCTTTCGACTGCATTTTCTGCTTTATATCGTCTCTCGTTCGAGTGACTAGCATACGACTATGGCCGAGAAGAATCCTTTGATTGAGGCTTTGCCTCCTGCTACCGATTATCTCAGCTATCTTACCATCATCGAATACAATCTCAATCCGGAAGCTCTGCCAACGCTACATCAAGTACTTCAAGACACCAAGTTGACCACTAACATCGGTTGGGATCTTGTCCATATGCTCGTGCCCCTGCTGCCAAACTCGAACGAGTGCCTTCAAGACATCGCACGTCTAGGGAACCCTCGTGAAGTCATTTTGAAGGTTACAGAATCACTGCGCTTGATCGACTTCCAAGGTCTGGAACCAGACACGGATGATGATGAGCCTATCGCTGGTGAGGAAACAAACCCAGCTTATCATCCTTCCAAGACTGCACCTGTTGAAGGTAACGACGACAAAACGACTCAGGCAATTGAGACCGCTGCACCTTTGCCCCTCCCTGTGCTGCAGTTCACCAGCTTATTGTCAATGTTGTCAATCTTGCACACTCGCATAAAGACACAATACCCCAGTCGCTTCTTGTCAACATCACTCCAAGCTATCCTGGCGTCTTTCAACAATGCAGCAAACCACAAGGAGGAGTTGATCTCAGCCATTGTTCAATTCGTAAAGAATGTTTCTGGAACTAAGCGCCCTAATCTTCCCCCTCGTAAAAGCAGTACCCAGGTCCTGAGCATACACGTTCAAGCTTCTGCACCCGACCCAGAATCTGACACAGCCTCAAAATTGCCGTCAGCAAGTGAGGCCGCTATACAGAAGCGCCTCTTTCAATCATTTATCACCCATATCTTCGAGGATTACATGCTCTCCTTGACTTCAGACAGCGATGCGCCAGGCCTGGCTTGGTGCAGCCGCTTGCAAGAAAAGCTACATCCTGAACGCACCGTCCCTGGCAAGTCTTCTATGACTGACAAGTTCATCTCGGATGAAGAGCTTGCAGCTCGCTTGACTGCTGTCGGTGGCTTAGTTGCCTTAGCTCGCGATCTGGGTATGGAGAGGGAGGATCTTCTACCTGCTATGGAGGGTGCCGATTCAGGCTCATCTCTTATTCCTGACGACGAAGATGAGTTCCCTAAGACTGCAGCCGACATTCCTCTGTCAAAGGTGGGCTCACTCTTCATGTTTGCTGCTGCAAATGTAGCCACTGTTTTGTACTCTACACCGAAGCCCAAGGACATGTTCAGCATCTTCCCTGAACATCAAAAGATTCTTTTCAACTACATCGCAAACTCCCCTGACATGGGAAACACTATAGGTACAGAACCCGAAGCTGTACTTGACGCCGTCCTAACTCTTGCTATACTCGCGGTTGAGGAGGACCATATTGGCGAGCCTGGGGACAGCGAAGAGTTCAACCAGTACCTCCAATACCTCTCTCTGATCTCCTCAAATTCTCCTTCCCCTAGCATTCGCTACCATGCATTCTATCTGGTATCCACTATCCTGCGCTCGAATCCTTCCGATGTCGAAAGACTTGCTTTCATCAAGGACACACTCGAGCATTGTCCCTTCGACAATCTCAAGGTTGCGGCGATCAGCTGGGTCAAGGGCGAGACTATTGAAGCCAACCCTCCCACTCCTATCTCTTCGCACGACTCTGAGCAGCAAGAATCATTCCAGGACTCTAGAGACGAGAGTTCCGTCTTTGCAACACCAGTAGCATTGGACAGCTTAGCCCCATACCTGTTCCCTGATCTGACTCACGACCTTACGACAAAGAGCATCACCGAATCGTGGCTCGTCTTCCAGCAGAGCTTGCACTTTTATTTGGCATCACTAAACTTCTATTATCTGCTCTTGTCTGCACAACATCTCCACGAGCCTTTGGCTATCGGTGACTTGCATGCCAACAATGATGTGGCGGGGTCGTTCTTACAACCTCTGAGAGTCGCATCCATTCGATTCAAGGAGGGAAAGGCAAGCGGTGAATTGGCTAGTGTTTGGGAGGACACGGGTGATGATGATGATGATGCCCACATGGCTGAACTTGGTTTGCTTGATATGACTTTGGAGAAGGTCACGGCCGGTGTTGCACGTTTGAATCAGGTCCAAGCATAGATCAATTTGTTGTTGACGATCTCAAAAATCGACAAATGTCTGACAAGCAAATGAGTTAGAGGCTGAGCATTTCAAATTTCTATTGATCGGCGCTTTGTTCGTGTTGATCGCATGTTGCGTAAATCCAGCATAAGGTGTGCCCAACGTTGTGTCTAGTGGAAGGTGACGGGCGTTGGCATTCGTTGTCAACGATACCATCCAACATGCACCATGTTACTAACTCGCAGAAACACCCCACATCTCTCTGGGGTCGATCATCATGATCCCTCGGTCCTCAAAGAAAATGTGGAGCTGTTGCTGAATGGCACATTTGGATAGATGATATTAGAGAAAGAGTGTGATGGGGCATGCGATAACAACAACGTGTTCAATACGGCATAGCACGTGAATGGACCTAGCAAGAATGATTGTTAGAAACTCGATCTTCTTTTGTACCGACATGACCAGCCGTAAGCAGATCCCGAGCTCCAAGTCTTTGGTAGTGCCCCGCATCTGTTCGGGGCCATCGAGTGGGTCTATCAACGCTGGCGAATTCAATATGACGTCTCTTGTGTGCTCTTGACAGTATTTCTCCCTCTTCAATGAAAGTCTCGACAGGACCTGGAAAACACAATAGCACACAATGACTGGAGAACAAAAGACATGGACTGGCAAGGCCATAGTAGCTCGCGATTCGCTAGCCAACAAGGGATGGAAGATGGAGGAAGTCACGACGAAAGAAATCAAAGAAGACGAGCTGCTCGTGGAACTTGTAGCGAGTGGTATTTGCCATACAGATATCATGTGTGGTTCAGGAAGCGGCAATCCAGACCTTTTCTACTATCCTCGCGTTCTTGGGCATGAAGGTAAGAACAACGCAGAAACCCAACGAGCATATCGACACTGACACAACGCCCTAGGGTCGGGCTATGTTAAAGCTGTCGGCTCAAAAGTTCAAATCGCAAAACCAGGAGATGCCGTGTTATTGTCATTCGATTGGTGCGGTAGATGCGAGTCCTGCAAAGGCGGCCTTCCATCATTATGTTACGAAAGCATGCCGCTAAACTTCGGCAACAAGGTCAGTTTCACGTCTGCTGGTGCAGAGCATGCTGGCGATGTAGCTGGTAAATTCTTCGGTCAATCCAGCTTTGCTCGCTATAGCGTGGCGAAGCAGAACAGCGTTGTCAATGTGACCAGCCTTGTTACTAGCAAGGAAGAATTGCAGACCTTCGCACCTTTGGGTTGCGGATTCCAGACTGGAGCTGGCACAGTAATCAATGTCGCAAAGGCTACACCCAAAGACTCTATTGTCGTACTTGGCTTGGGAGGTGTAGGCCTGAGTGCAATCATGGCAGCAAAGCTCTCTGGCTGCAGGACCATCATCGGAATCGATCGTGTGGATAGCCGTATGGAAACGGCCAAGTCTTTGGGCGCTACGCATGCGATCGACACATCAAAACTCCCAGATGGGAAGACAGTGATTGAAGCAGTGCAGGAACTCTGTGAAGGTGCTGGCCCGGCGGTTACCATCGACACGACTGGCGTCCCTGTTCTCGTAAAAGCTGCCATTGAGATGACAAGAAAGGGCGGAAAGATCATTCAAGTTGGATCGACACCGCCAGACTTCCAGGTTGAATTGCCAGCTTTCCTCTTCATGAACAGCGGCAAAGCGTATATGGGAGCAATCGAAGGCAACAGCATATCTTCAGATTTTATCCCAAAGATGATTAGCTGGTACCGAGAAGGCAAATTTCCATTTGACAGGCTTGTCAAGCTCATGCCTGCGGAGGATTTCGAGAGAGGTATTCATGAGATGCACACGGGTGAGACAGTGAAGCCTATCATTACCTGGTCATGAGGCCCGATGTCGTATCGGCCATTTTCTTGGAAGAATACTGTGGGACCTGTCAAGGCCATTGGAGAAGAGGGTCCAGAGTTGGGTCTTCAGTAATTAGTGTATCCGAATCTTCTTCTGGTGCCGTGTCTGTATCCGCACTCTCTACGGGACCCAGCGTTTTGACTACGTTCTGCTCTTTGAGAAGACGTGAAATGGTGGAGGCAGATACAAAGACACCAAACTTTGTGTACAGCTCGTAGGCAAGGTCTCTCTGCCACATCTCTTTGCCGTCCTTGACTAGCTCGACCAACCATTGTTTCATCTCGGATGTGACAGCTGGCGGTCTTCCCTTCTTCTTGTGCATGGTCTCTGGCTTTCTGACGGTGCCAAAGGTTTGAAAATTCTTTTGCATTCGATACAGGCTGCTCTTGGGTCTGTTTGGGAACCAGGTTTGCACAACACGGACGGAACAACCTTGGGAGAAAAGCATTTCTACGGTGCGATCGGTTTCTGACAAAAGATTCTTGGGCTGAGGGCTCTCAGATTCGGGTGAATTGGTATGGGCTTCTGCATCAGGTACAACTGGCTTTCTTAGTCTTCTCTTCTTTGTGGTTGATGGGTTGTGTATGGTGCCAAAGGTGTCGAAGTTCTTCTTTTGTCTGTACAAAGTCGAGACGACGGCGTGGGGCAGGACTTGAAGAACGGCTTTCACGTCATGATTGTTCATGAACATGGCTTCAACGAGCGTGAGCTCTGTTTCAGACAGAGGCATCTTTGCGGTCACAAAGGCCTAGCTAGAGAGAATGCAATGGCAGTCAAGATGGTAGTAATGCTGGGGCTGTATTCTCATGTGCGAGTAGGGTGAGACGGCCAGCTTCGGATGAGGCTCGCTGGCGTTGCGAGAAAAGGTTCCGATGTTTGGGTGGAAGCTGAAGCCGAGAACCCGGGACTTGCCTTTGCGACTTCCGTTTCCTTTGCCTGCCTCAAACCATCGCCCTATGAAGCGTAGCTTCTACTCGCACTCTACATTCCCTACTGGCGAGCGCTCATCATGTTGAGAGCATCTTTTTCACAGTGCGGCAAGCGCCTGGCTACTGCTGGGTCCCGCACCAGCTTCTCCTCCCTTGCTAGAAGCACCAGACCTGCTGTCGCTCTGACCCAGACAAGGAGAGACCTTGCTGTTAGCCAGTTCCGCAGCTATGCTGTCGCTGCTGAGGACACCAACAAGGGCGTCGTATGCTTGTCCGTCTTCTGAGTCCTCCTTCAGGCTACTGACACACATGCCCACAGGACCCCAACGACTCGTTCCTCCAGGGAAACACTGCCAACTACATCGACGAGATGTACATGGAGTGGAAGCGTGACCCCAAGTCCGTCCACGTCTCATGGCAGGTTTACTTCCGCAACATGGAGAAGGGCGACATGCCCATCTCTAAGGCCTTCCAACCCCCACCTACCATTGTTCCCGCTCCCGAGGGCGGTGCTCCTGGATTTTCTCCCACTGCCGCTGCTGGTGTTGGCGACAGCGACCTGACCAACCATCTCAAGGTACAGCTCTTGGTTCGCGCCTACCAGGCCAGAGGTCACCACAAGGCCAAGATCGACCCTCTTGGTATTCGCAACGAGGCCAGCCAGTTCGGCTACAGCAACCCCCGCGAGCTCAACCTCGAGCACTACAACTTCACCGAGGCCGACATGGAGCAAGAATTCAGCCTTGGTCCCGGTATCTTGCCTCGCTTCGCCACCGACGGTCAGAAGAAGATGAAGCTCAAGGACATCATTGCTGCATGCGAGCGTCTCTACTGCGGTAGCTACGGTATCGAATACATTCACATTCCTGACCGTGAGCAGTGCGACTGGCTCCGTGCTCGTATCGAGGTTCCTCAGCCCTACAAATACTCTGTCGACGAAAAGAGACGCATTCTGGACCGTCTGATCTGGAGTTCTAGCTTCGAGAGCTTCCTTGCCACAAAGTACCCTAACGACAAGCGTTTCGGTCTCGAGGGTGGTGAATCTTTGATTCCTGGAATGAAGGCTCTGATTGACCGCAGTGTTGATTATGGTGTCAAGGACATCGTTATTGGTATGCCTCACCGTGGTCGTCTTAACGTCCTTTCCAACGTCGTTCGCAAGCCCAACGAGTCTATCTTCAGTGAATTCGCCGGTTCTGCTGAGCCTGCCGATGAGGGATCTGGTGACGTGAAGTACCATCTTGGTATGAACTTTGAGCGCCCCACTCCTTCTGGCAAGCGTGTGCAGCTGTCTCTGGTCGCCAACCCTTCGCATTTGGAAGCCGAGGACCCCGTTGTTCTCGGAAAGACCAGAGCCATTCTCCACTACAATGGCGACGAGAAGGAGGCCAACTCCGCCATGGGTGTCTTGCTCCACGGTGATGCTGCCTTCGCTGGTCAGGGTATTGTCTACGAAACCATGGGTTTCTACGCTCTTCCCTCGTACCAGACTGGTGGTACCATTCACATTGTCGTCAACAACCAGATTGGTTTCACCACTGACCCTCGTTTCTCCCGTTCTACCCCCTACTGTTCCGACATTGCCAAGGCCATTGACGCCCCTGTCTTCCACGTCAACGGCGATGATGTCGAGGCCGTCAACTTTGTTTGCCAGCTCGCTGCCGACTGGCGTGCCGAGTTCAAGAAGGATGTTGTCATCGACATTGTCTGCTACCGCAAGCAGGGTCACAACGAGACTGACCAGCCTTCATTCACTCAGCCTCTGATGTACAAGCGCATTAACGAGCAGAAGCCTACCCTGGACAAGTACATCAACCAGCTTATCGAGGACAAGACCTTCACTAAGGATGATGTTGATGAGCACAAGAAGTGGGTTTGGGGCATGCTCGAGGAGTCCTTCGCCCGCAGCAAGGACTACCAGCCCACCGCCAAGGAGTGGTTGACCAGTGCATGGAACGGATTCAAGAGTCCCAAGGAGCTTGCCACTGAGGTTCTGCCTCACCTCCCTACCGCCGTCGAGGCCGACACTCTCAAGCACATTGGTGAGAAGATTGGAACTCCTCCGGATGGCTTCAACGTTCACCGCAACCTGAAGCGTATTCTCAACAACCGCACCAAGACCGTCAACGAGGGCAAGAACATCGATATGAGCACTGCCGAGGCCCTTGCCTTTGGTACCCTTTGTATGGAGGGTCACCATGTTAGAGTTTCGGGTCAGGATGTTGAGCGTGGTACCTTCTCCCAGAGACACGCCGTTGTCCATGACCAGGAGAGTGAGACCACCTACACTCCTCTTCAGGACCTTGCCAAGGACCAGGGTAGCTTCGTGATTTCCAACTCGAGTTTGAGTGAATACGGTGTCCTCGGCTTCGAGTATGGTTACTCGCTCTCCTCTCCTTCTGCCCTTGTCATGTGGGAGGCCCAGTTCGGTGACTTTGCCAACAACGCACAATGTATCATTGACCAGTTCATCGCCTCTGGTGAGGTCAAGTGGCTCCAGAGATCTGGTCTCGTCATGAGCATGCCTCACGGTTATGACGGTCAGGGTCCCGAGCACAGTTCCGGCAGAATGGAGAGATTCTTGCAACTCTGCAACGAGGTGAGTACTAAATGTCTTTGTTGTGTTTGAACTTCTCTAATGACGTGAATAGGATCCTCGTGTCTTCCCTGCACCCAACAAGCTCGACCGCCAGCACCAGGACTGCAACATGCAAATCGCATACTGCACAACACCTGCCAACCTCTTCCACATTCTCCGTAGACAGATGAACAGACAGTTCAGAAAGCGTAAGTCGTCTGAGTTCTTGTTCATATAATACATGTCCTGACGTTTTCCTAGCTCTGGTTCTCTTCTTCTCGAAGTCTCTTCTCCGTCACCCTCTGGCCCGCTCATCCATCGAGGAGTTCACTGGCGATTCGCACTTCCAGTGGATCATCCCTGACCCTGCTCACACCGAGGGCGAGCACCAGATCCAGCCCAAGGAGGAGATTGAGCGCGTCATCCTCTGTACTGGTCAGGTCTATGCTGCTCTTCACAAGTACCGCCAGCAGAATGGCATCACCAACACTGCCATTACTCGTATTGAGCAGCTCAACCCCTTCCCCTGGGCTCAACTCAAGGAGAACCTCGACTCCTACCCCAACGCCAAGAACATCGTCTGGGCCCAGGAGGAGCCTCTTAACGCAGGTTCATGGACCTTCACACAGCCTCGTATCGAGACTCTTTTGAATGAGACTGAGCACCACAACAGAAGACACGTTCTCTATGCTGGCAGAAACCCTAGCGCCAGTGTCGCCACTGGTCTCAAGAGCAGCCACGTGAAGGAAGAGCAAGACCTTTTGGAAACCGCTTTCAACGTCAAGCAAGACAAGCTCAAGGGCGAGTAAGCACAGCGTCAATTCTTTTATTCCTTTCTGGGGGGTTTCTTAGTACATAGTTGGCCTGTGGAGTTTCATCGAGGGCGTTAGCGAACAGCAGCGCCTTGTGTATTTCTAAATTCGAGTTTCCAAGTTTCGCATAATTTCCTGTATCGTCAAAAAATTGTTGATGACCCTTTCACATGCGGCCGCGTTTCCGTTCAACCTACCTCGGTTCCTCATGCAAGGGGCAGACATGCTATCGAACGCAAGCCAACCTTCTAGCAAGTGCTTACGTTCTTGCATGAATGCGCGTACCAAGCATTAAGGCGCATGAATGAAGCAATTTAAGGATCTTGAGGGCTAAGAGATGCCCATGACAACAGTCCGAGATTGGAAAAAAATTCTGTGTAACTGACTACACCGAAATCCATTCTTCGAGACGGTCACAGGGACGCCGGATAAGAAATCTCATACGCTCAACAGTATGTTTCGGAATGACGAACGGCGAGCCTCGGCGCATTGTTTTTATCTTTCTGAATAACCGACAAGATGCTATCTTTGAGATATGTAGTATTGCCACCTTTCCCTGACCCTCACGTTCGTGTGTTTGCCGCCATCTCAGCCATTGTATCCGCAAAACTTGGCCACTATCGCAATGAGTAAACAAGGAGACTTCGAAGCCGTCGCTGCAGACATTAGAAAGGTTCTACATCAACCCGAGTACGATGATGGTAGTGCTGGTCCAGTGTTAGTACGTCTGGCATGGCACTCGGCGGGCACATACTGTGCAGAGACCGACACTGGCGGTAGTAATGGAGCAGGCATGCGCTACGAGGTAATTGGCAATCTTGATATACAATCTAGTATCCGATCGACTGACTCGGTACAGGCAGAAGGCGGCGATGAAGCAAATGCTGGCTTGCAGCATGCCCGCGTTTTCCTGGAACCCATCAAGGAGAAGCACTCATGGATATCGTATGCAGACCTGTGGACACTCGCCGCCGTGGTTGCACTGAAAGAGATGGGAGGTCCTCAGATCAAATGGCTCCCTGGCAGAACCGACTATGTTGACGACAGCAAACTCCCCCCTCGTGGTCGCCTCCCCGATGGCGCCCAGGGCGCCGACCACATCCGCTTCATTTTCTACCGCATGGGCTTCACAGACCAGGAGATCGTCGCACTCAGTGGTGCACACAACCTCGGAAGAATGCACATGGATCGCTCTGGCTTCCATGGTCCCTGGGTTCCGAACGGCACTCGCTTCAACAACACTTACTTCAGAATCATGACAGAGTACGAGTGGAAGGAGAAGACGCTCGAAAATGGCGTCAAGCAGTTTGTCTACATCGACGAAGACCTGGATGAAGAGTTGGCCATGCTGCCGACCGATCTTGCACTCGTCAAGGATAAGTCGTTTGCCCCTTGGGTCAAGAAGTATGCCGAGGATAAGGATCTCTTCTTTGATCACTTCGCAAAGGCCTTTGGCAAGCTTCTGGAACTGGGCATCCAAAGAGATGCCGACGGAAAGATCACGAACACAGACAATGTCAAGGGTGGCTACCACAGCGCACCAAAGAAGTCTTCATCGCCCGGTAAGCCCAAGGCTGCTGGAGACGGTATTGCCGAGCCTCTGCAGGAAGAAAATGCTCGTTTCAAGGCTAGACTATAGATGGATATGTTTTGGAAAAAGGATGCATAAACATAGGTTTCTAGCCGATAGATCTTTTGATTGTACAACTCGAGACTAGATTAGATGATATACAACGCAAGACTTCACGACAACATTCTTACACAATCATCATAGTATTCACAAAGGCACGTGTACAATGAAATGCTTCTAAACGTTGTCTAAAAGGATCAAGAGAGTGCCACCAGGTATCTCCCCAGAGTCAAGATCAAGGAAAATATGGTTAATAGCATGACCCTGCCGTGTAGACGTCATTCACGGAGATACCAAACAAATATGGCCGAGGGAGTTCAAAAGTGATGGACTCGGTGTTGCCACTTTCCATACACATACAAACCACAAGTCCATGCCACCCTTGTCGTCGTCGTCTGCCTTCCCTACCTGCTCGCGATGTATGCGATCAGGATTTGCCCAACGGGCCGCTCGAAATACTCAACAGGTCCGCCGCCTTTCAACGCCACTCCAGGATGCCAAATCAGATCATGAAGAGAAGAAGCAAGAGAAGGAACAAGGTGCCATGTCTCGAAGACTGGCTGCATTGAGTGAAGAAGGACTAGAGTCCGGAGGCCGAAGCGCTCGTAAAGCCGTGGAAGAAGCAGGCTTCGACGAAGGTCTCAAACAAGAATTACTCGAGCGAATCGCTACTGCTTCTTTTCGGAACGAGCACGCTGGAGCCATATCTCAGGCAGAGATGCCCAACAGTGCAAGCCGCCATAGCAGAGACATAGCTGGCGCGACGCCATGGTCTGGTACCGAAATTGTCCACGATGCGTCGCTTCGCATGCTCAATGACTCCTACAAACCCCTAAAGCCTATACGTGGATCGTCCACAGGGCCGGCTCGCGGACCCCCTAGCAAGATCGATACTGGCAGACCAAGGAACGCTCCTTCATCAGGCATGAGGTTGGCAAATGCACGCGATAAGACGTCTATCTATGCAGAAATGAAAGATCTACCCGATGAGGAGAGGGAGAAATTCAGGAAGGAACTGAAAGAACGCTTTACACCCGCGGCTCGCTCTGCACCGGTAACATTAAAGGGTCTGGAATCCCTCGCCAACGAGCGCATAGAGGACGCAATTGCTCGAGGCAAGTTTAAGAATCTACCCAGAGGAAAGGCTATCGAGCGTGATTACAATGCCAGTAGTCCCTTCATCAACACGACTGAATACATGCTCAACCGCATGATTCAGCGACAAGACATTGTGCCTCCCTGGATCGAAAAGCAGCAAGACATTGTCAGCACTTCCACTCGATTCAGAGCCCGTCTGCGTGCTGATTGGCGAAGACACGTTGCGAGGTCCATCTCCAGTAGAGGAGGGTCTCTGGAAAGCCAACTAGCACTCGCTGAGGAATATGCGCGGGCGGAAGCCATCGACAACCCGCCTGCAAAAAAGCGAACAGAGAAGCTCAACACCATTGACAGTGCTGGTAATCTTACCCAAATAACTCTCGACGGCGAGATTCTTCCATCTGGTACTGCTACCACCAAGGACTCTCAACATATAACAATCACCGAGATACCCATAGATGAGGAAGCCCAGCCGCTATCACCAGAGAATGAGTTACAGATTTCTGTTGATGCACCATTAGAAGCTGCGGTAGAAGAACCAAAGACTCCGCCACCCAGGGTCGCACCATTCAGGGATGCAGACTGGTTGCGCACTGAGAGGGCTTACCATCAAACTGCCATCGATAATCTTAACCAGTTGACCCGCTCATATAATCTCATGTGTCCAGCTCTGGCACAGCGACCATACTTCTTCCTGGATCGCGAATTGAACTCGTGCTACGCAGAAGTTGCTCCGCAAGTGGCCGAGACCATCAGGGAACGTGCGGTGGCACCAAAGCCAAGGTTCGAGGCAGCTCCCAGTAACAAACCAGCTCGGATTCTGAGCAACTTGGCTGGTCCTGCTAGTAAGGTGTATGATGAGCAGCGGCCTCAGTTTGGTTTCCGAGATCTCTGGAGAGAGTGGTTTAGCAAGAAGTAATGACTTTAGAAGAATGTTATAGAACCAGAGTCTGCATATATACCCATGTATACGATTCAGAGCCAAGAGCGTTCCTCATTGTATACTGGTCGCAACTTCTCGTGCCGCCGTCTATGATGTGAATATGCAGAGTTTGAGGAGCGTGGGCATCGCATCAGTCCTCCTTCTTCAATCTGTGATTTCTCTCTCTCCATAGCTTTACTCCAGCATCGACTTCCTTCCTCGACACACCATCTCGTACCAACTTCATCGTGACCCCCAAAGTCTCCACATTTTTATTCCTCGACTCATCGTCGAAAAATAGCATCTCTTCGTAAGGTATATTCGTCCTCTTGTGTATACGTGAAAAGTGTGTCTTCTTGTCTCCAGGGTAAATTTCCAGTTCGTCGAATACGGAAAGGGCTTTCGGCGAGGATGATATATAGGATGGCGAGGAAGGAACGATCAGGTACGATAGCATCTCGCGTGCGAGTTCGGGTGCTTGGGTTCGCGAAGCCGCGCATAGTGTCAGGTTCTTTTCTTTGATCTGTATATGAATAGATCAGCAAACATCTCTGCGTAGGCGATGCTCTCAACGACGTACCGCGACCAAGATGCCAGCAACTTCTGGATAGAAGCCGTATGAGTCGTTGTAGCGATCTTTGACCACCAAGCCGTCTTTGGTGGGTTTCAATGGTCCAGTAACATGAGTATCTACCCAGAAAGGCCAGAGCGTATAATCCAAGTCAAAGACCATGACTTGGGGTAGCGGAAGTCCATCGCTAAAGCATGACGGTGCCTCGACCTCGGACGCCGGAGCTGTGACGGTCGTCGTGTCGTCGCCTGTTTCGACGGTTTTGTAAGATCTACGAACCATGAGGATAGCTGCTAAAGTGATCGCAGTAAATGTGATCTTGAATGTTCTGCCGTGAGATCGTATTGTGGATGAGATGCTGCTGAGTTGAAAGACTCGCCGCCAAAGGACAAAATATCCATATAACTACGTCATGCCCCCGATAAGCATGTGATAAACAATCTACTAACCTACTCAGAAACAAATTGGGAAACATAAAAATCTATATCAACTCAACCGTGTTATGTATTTCATGAGACTGATGCTGTAAAACGAATGTCTTTTCTCATTGTTTACTACACTGGTGACTTCACACCACCGTCAGAATCCTCGAAGCTACGAGCCGAGCCATGTCGACATGCGCTGCCTCTTCATCTACAGCCAACCACTAATACTCGACACACTCAGCACCAGAAAGGAGCATGAGAAGTTGAGAGCTCTCATCCTTCATTCTCCAGTCGTATCCGCTCTTCAGAGTCTCTCTCTTCTGACCCCATGTGAATGCCTTTCGTTGCTTATCCACACCAAGGTGACAAACGTCGACAGGACTCATGCTGAGTCTAAGGATCTCAAGGCAGATAGGGAGAGGAAGGTGGCAACGAAGGCTGACATCCCTGTAGCCATCACTTTCACCTCTGTGGTATGCCTTCACCTTTTCCATTCTGTTCTTCTGGAAGCGCACGTACTCTTCAGAGCTGGTACCGGGTTTGACATGTCTTCCGGCCTTTTCGTGGCCACTGTCTGAAACACTCTTCTCCGACCCTTCAGACCGACCACGGGACGAGGCGCTGGTACGAAGAATCTTGGTACTAGACTGCGCAGTCGCATCATCATCTGCCGTGGCAAACTCAGGGCTCAAGGAGTCAACAGGCGAGGTTGTCATGAGAGTGGAGGCGTAGGAGCGCTTGGTCTGGTTGTCTTCAAAATCCACCGAGTCTGAATGGAGCGAGAGCGTGCTCAGAGATTGTTCGAGAAGTCCGTCAACGACAGGCATGTCGACGCTGTGGTCGTTATCAGCTTGAACAGCATCGTCGCTCTTCTTGTGGATGGACTCGGCATTTTGTTCGCCTGTCTTGATGATTGAGTTGGTAGCATTGAACGTCTTGAACACAGGGGCCAGGAGAAAGACCTTGCGAGATACGATGATTGCGGACAGAGATGCGCGCCACAGGTCGACACTCTCACAACCAGCATGACCTATGGTGTTGCGCTGAATCTTCTTGCGAGCACTCTGGATGTCGGATTTGTCGAACATACTGTAGTCAGCGGACTGGACAGAAAAGAGGCTCGAACGACGTAGGCCTACGCCGGAGGCCAGTCTAGGGGACATATTGGGTGCGTCTGCATCAAACGACATGTATGAGCTAGTGACACTGTCTGTGTCTCCCAGCAGCATTCTCATCCTGAGCTTCTCAGCACAATGAAGTAAATGAAGGCCGTCTTTGGACAAGAATTCAGAATTGTTGTCCCAGTCAATGCCCTTAGTATTGGCATCTTGGCGGTAGGTGCGAATAGAAGATGTGGCTTCGGTTGCATTGTTTTCCGTGACCAGTTGGATGGGGTAGTAGTGCTGTTCCAAGATGTGAGACAAGAAGAGGGCACCCGTGTCATCGAGGCCGACATTGGTCAAGGTCAAGTATGGGATTGATCGGAGGCCACGGCGATGCTTGAGCATCCATGGATCGGCAAGCGTCTTTCCATTGGCACATTTGGGCAGATCGGGGTCGTTTCCATTCCTGATGTGGGTGTCAAGGCTGCTGTGGCTGAGCACCGAACAGCTGTCAGGCAAGGTGATGAATGACTGGTTGCCGGTGGCAGGCTCAGGGTCCACAGCAGGCTCGCGTGAGTAGACTCTGGCAAGGATCTCAAAGGCTCTGGAACCGAGATCGGGATTATCGCCGAGGTCGAGTCTTCGCAGCGTCATGCAGTTGCGGAAGGACTGAAGGAATAGCTGCCATTCTTCAGCCTGGGCATCAGTCGAGACCTGAAAGTTGTTGTGAGACAGGTCGAGAGTCTGCAGGGTGTAGCAAGATGCCTGGATGAGAGGAGCCAGGCGAGCCAGAGATCGGGTAGTAAGATCATTGTTGGTAAGATTGAGGTCAACCAGAGCCAAGTCTCGACATGTGTTGAGGGCGTTTTGCAGGCCATCGGCGAGAAGAGCGAAGCCCTCATCGGTCAATGATTTGCTGGGCACTTTCAGATCGAGCTTGTGGAGCGTGCTGTCCTTTGCCTCGCTTTCAGAATCATCGCGCTCTCTGTCCTTGATCTTGAGCCGGTCCTTGTGGGGAGTGCGTTTGGCCGAGGCAGGCAGTCTCAATGACAGCCTAGGAGCTGACGATGATTGTTTGTTGGCTTCGCGCTGCTTCTTGTCTGCGCGTTTCTCAAGGTCGGAAGCGATTGATTTGCCCAGTTTCGGGCCCGAGGATGTGCGCTAAGTGCGTGTATGTCAGCAGGTGCGCGTGCGTCTCCATAGGCGCGGTGAAACTTACACCTGTATAGTCGAACTTATTGGATTTGACCATGATTGAGTTATGTCATTCGGACTTTGAATGTGGTATGCAGAGGTGGAAATGTTGTCGGTGAACAAGTCTTGTGCAATGGGAAGGGCGTCGGTTGGTTTGGGCATAAACAACGCGGCTACAAACAAGACATGGAAACAACGCCATGATCGCGGAATTTCTGGAACAGTCCTTTTCTTTCTTCGCATGCGAACAAGGGAGACAGATTTAGGAAACAGTGTAGTCAATCTTTTTGCATTGCACCTGCCTTAAATCACCCTGCCGTGTTCGCACTCTCTCGCCAACGAGCCGGCACCTTCCTATACAAGAGCCATCGGCGCTTTCGATTTGACCTACTAGATTACGAAAGTGCTCCATTGTTACACGCACAGGTAAACAGGCTACCTAGCCTATCATGTCCTTGATTGCTGCTGTGCTAGACAAACGCGTCTCATGCTTGCAAACCACTTGATTGGTTCAATTTTGCACCACAGGCGGTCTGACACAGAATCAAGCCAATAGCGGTATGCAAACATCTAGAGGCAGGTGGCGCATCTTGCAAGTCATGGTTTTACAAGTAAAGTCAGCGAATTGGAGACTTGGTTTTGAAGGTATGAAGTTGACTGAGAGCTTCAAATCTCTCGGCAACACCCACATCCCGCTCGCACGTGCCCGTGTCACTTCTTTATCACATTGTTTATGTCCAAGTGTTCCTGTTGTTTGTGTAACCTCGAACACTTCTATCATGTCGTCTGGCTCAGGAAGCCTCCGTCGCCAGGCCTCAGCTGTTCCTGGTCCCAAACCGCCTTGTTCAATTCATCCGTCTGCCATAATCTCCGACAAGGCTGTGATTGTTGGCATTCATCCAGTATCGATTGGTGAGAATGTAGTACTCCACCCCTTCGCCAAAATCACATCCAACACGGGGGCTGTTTGTATTGGAAAAAACTGCGTTATATCGGATCGTGCTATTGTAGGGTTGAGTGATAGCCCTGGAACTTTTGCTGGAACAACGGTCGAGCTTGAGGAAAGCGTCAGCGTCGAGAGCGGTTCGATCGTGCAGGCCGAGAAGATAGGAAGTGGCAGCACAATTGAGGCCAACTCAACAATAGGACCCGGTGTGGTTGTAGGCAAGGTTCGTGTCCAGGCTATATTCTACATTTGCTTGACTGTTGTGCTGACCTTGTGATTGAAGTTCTGCAAAATCACTGCATCTTCCAACATTCGATCAGAAAACCTACCCGACTATACCATTGTCTACGGTGGAAACGCTAGGCGCATAGACACAACCACAAAGACTCGATCAGATGTCAGAGACCTCAAGCTCAAGGGTCAAGCGATGCATATCGAAACGCTGAAGCGTTTGGTCCCTAGCAACACTATGAAGTGGCTTTCATGACCAACTCGGTTCGCGAGCTTGACCATATAAAACAATCTACTGGGTCATGAATAACGGAGTGACAGTCGAATTGAAAATGTCAAGAACGTTTGATCTTTGGGTGAAGAGTTGATTTGGCAACAGTGCTTCTGACACAACGCGTCAGAAGTTTGGCTACGTCATGGACACCTCGTCAAGACAATTATAAAGTCTTTTTTGTGCAGCTCAAGACCTGTTCTATGAACATGTCCAGTCTTTCAATTGCTCATCGGAGAAGAGTCATCGAGCAAGCACGAAAAATCATGTCACAAAACACTCGGCTTTCATACTCTATGGCCGCAGGATCTGCAGACATTCCAAAGCCGCAACCAAAGCCTGCGAACGACTCAACTGCCAACCAATCCTCTCCAAATCACCGTCAGCATGCTTCTGGACAGCAGCAAGATAATCGGCGTGGCGGACCAGGCCACAGGCGGACTCCTTCACCTTCACACATCCCAAAGACATCATCTGCCGAAGATGCAGTCTATGTCTTGACTCTTCTGACAGACGCCAAACACCATCGCATCTTAACCGAGACGAGGAAGAAGTATTTCCCTCCTCGTCTGAACAGACTCGAAGCACACATTACTCTGTTCCACGCACTACCCGGAAGTCTGCTCGAGGAGTCGATCAAGCCAACCCTGAGAGAGATTTCGAGCAAAACCAAACAGTTCCATCTCCTTGCTGCAACGCCTTTCCGATTGAATAAGGGTATTGCTATTGGTCTGCCTAAGTCATCAGGCGGCGATGATGCGAGACAGGTTCATCAGCAATTGAAGTCGGCATGGTCGGAGTTTCTGAGTCGGCAGGATGCTGGCGGCTTCGCAGCCCATTACACCATCATGAACAAGGTCGATGACGAGAAGGAGATTCAGAAGGCGTTCGAGCAGGTGCAACAGGAATGGAAAGGTTGCCACGGTACCGTCCTCGGTCTATCGCTGTTCAAGTACGATCGAGGAAACTGGGTGCACGACGAGGACTTTAAGTTTTCACCAATTCGGTGATTCTAAGAAGCATGCTAAAAGTTGAACGACTTTGATGTCTATAACTTGTGTAATTATTCGTGTCTAATACCCCTCTATTCGAGAGAGCGAACCAATGCTGTCCGACTGAAATGCTTTCATGTACCCGTAAATTTCTTGACGCTTTCCTGCGAGAAGCCAGCTGATTCTGCTTAGAGAATCGAGCCGATGCCGAATGTCTGCTTCATCGAGCGGACATAGTAGTTTTCCCAGTTGCGCTTGGTGGCCTCCTCCTCGCCAACGGGCACACCAGTCCAGTCAACGCGCATGATGGTGACAGCGTCAACGTTGTTCTGTTCAAAGGCAATGTTCAGAGTACTGTAGTGACCCTGAGGCCACTGAGCCAGGCGCCACTTCTGAACGATCTTTGTGGGTTCTGAAAGCTCGACGTACTCTCCACTGACGTTTCCGCCAAAGATTTCGAACTTGCCGCCGGGTCTGGCGCCCTCGAAGATCTTTGGAGGTGCGCGAGTGAAGGCAGCAATGCGTTGAGGGTCGGTGAGGATCTGGAAAAGCATAGGAGCGTCGCAGCGGAATTCCTGCTGGTCGCTGAGGCTGGTCACATTGACGGCGGGGCCTTTGCCGTTGGAGGTTGAGGTGGCAGTCGAGGGCTTGGACTCATCGGTTGACTTGTTGACGGACGAGCTAGAGTAGACCTTTGCAGGGGTGAAGCCAGGCTTGTGGCCAGCTGCGTGCTGGATGTCTTTGGCGTGAGTCTCCATCAGAGCGGGGCCCAATTGCTGGAATCTGGCGCGAAGCTGCGAAGTAATTTGCGATCGGACAAGGTCCTTGACGGGGGTCTTGGATGAAGACTCGGAGTACATCTCAATCTCGAACTAGATAGAATGTCAGCGTTGAACGCAATGGATGAAGAGTTTGGGATTACGCACAACGTACTCATCCTCCTCGGTGTCGTGTGCAACCTCAGGAATGGTGATTGTACCGCTGACATCCTCAGCATCCTTGGTCTTGCCAGTATACTCGAGTTGCAACTTGAGGTCGAAGATGGTGATGACCTTGCCCTTGCGCTGGGCGACTTCGACATCACCCTCCTGGCTCAGCAACTTTGAGATTTCAGCAGATGCACCGTCCTTCTCTGCCTTGATGCCAACGAGATCCTTTGACAAATATTCCTTGGTCCAGCCCGAGACATCCTTGTTGACCCAGTGCCAGTTGTTTGGGTTGTGGAGAACCATGTCGGCGGTGTGAAGCGTTTGGCGAGATGAGGAAGAAGATTATGGGCGTCTGTTGCGATTGAGGGTCAGTCATTGGTGCGCTGATTTCGAAGTAGTCATGCAGAGTTGGGAGTGAAGATGGAAATCAGAGATAGGGATATTCTCCCCGAAAGCTAGTCCGCAGCAAAAAGAGTACAAGTCTTTCTAGGACTGGTGCCAGCTGGTGTCTCATCATATGAAGGTGAAGTGGAATGATAGGCAGTACCCGAGACTTACCGAGGGTGAATAGCGGGGCAATTGGGAGAAGAGAAGGAAAACAAGATAGCAAGCAGTAAATAAGTAGACAAGAACAAAAGGGTATCGAAGATGATGGTCGAGCGACAGGAGAGCCGGGAGAGCGACGAAATATTGTTGCGGAAACGTCTAGAAGCACTACCAAAGCTTTGGCCAATCATGCGGGGATTCAAGTGCGAGTCGGCCTTGAACAGCAGCAGCATCAAGAGTAATGACAAGAAACCATGAATGATGCTCATGTTCGTCGAAACACGAGTTGTTTTCTAGAGACTTCACATCACAAGATGACCCTAGCAAAGAAACATGCTTTATGGACGGTATACTCGTGGCTGAGGAGGCCCGGTTTTTTGGCCCATCCATATACAGCTTTTATACATGTGTAAATGATGCTGCGCTATAGTCTGAGGCCTTCATTCAACATCACATGGCGTAGCCAGATGACAAGGACTACGATCGAAGAGACATTTTGAGAAGAATTGTACATGTCGAAAATAGAGTTGTTATACAGAGATAGTGAAGGGACGCCGCCTGAGAAAGAGAAGCCAAGATCAAGAGGGAGTATTCTTGTCGCCGATACGCCGTATAATGCCAGAATGCAGTCGTGAAGGGTAAGGATATTTGATAAGCGTCTAGTTTCGCTTGTGTGGACCGATGATCTGAGGGTATAATCTCGAGAGATGGTAGTTGATGGAACTCTTCTTGGTTTGGCCAGCTTTCTGCACGACGACTGAGTTAGAATGGGCGTGGTTCAAGATGAGGCGGCCAAAACATACGGGAGCGTCCATGCATGCGCGAAGTTGTTGTTCAAGAGCGGCGCATCCTTGGGCAGTGTATCCAGAAGATGCCCAACATCCTGCGAAGCGTGTCAGAGCAAGTACAGAAGGGCGAAAGAGGGTTGCGATCAAGCATACCGAGGACAGAAGACATGACACCGATGCAAGGGTTTGCGTTGGCCTGGTCGGGCTTGCGGACGCGCAGCTTGTGAAGGGGCGGCAGACGAGGCGCGGTGGCCTTCGCGACGGCTTGGGTGTTCTTGACGACCATGGCGAGCTGCTGGCGACGACGATGTGCTGCTGTATGGACTCGATGCCGGTGTTCAGATGGACGATTTAGAAATCTCGCCCAGGTATTCTTGGCGTCGGCGCACCTTCCCCGTGCGGTTGCGGGTCGCGTTGCGGCGTTGCCGTATGCACGCCGCTTTGTTGTGCTTGTCATCAAACATCATCTTGCATGTGCCTCGTGCTCGCACATTGTTCAAGACCACAGCCGCTCTTCCCTCGACCTCATCTTTATCCGCTTGCACGACTGCGCACTCCAACATGCATGTCGACGCGTCTGCTCCTGTCTTGACTCTGTCGCCGCCCGCCCGTCCGCACCCCGCTCCCGCCGCACCCATCTTGTCGCGTCCAAAGCAATTTTCATGGGACCCTACCGACGCCGCTCACCTTGGCCCTTCGCGCATTACAATCACTCGTCTCTACCAACGCGCTCCAAAAGCCCCGTATCATCACTTACAGCCACAACCTCGTCTCGCACAACCAGCTCTCCCAAAATCCCCTGGTCCGAAGAAGAAGAAACGTTGTGTCACTCTCAATCCTGGTCCTGACCCCTTCCACTCTCAAGACTCCTTCTCTGAGCCCAGCGACACCGAAGATGCCGATCCTGTCATCCTCCAGGACTTGCGCTCCTCGTCTGCCCCTCCAGAAGACACCAACACCCCCGAACCTATTTCCAAACCTAGAATCTCAGATGATACTGCCATCCTCCATGCTTTCCTCAGCCGTGCCGCCGCAAGCAAAAGGCCCATGGCCGCTCACAAACGCGAATCCCTCGAAAACCGCAGAGACTCGGATGTCGTGCGTCATGCACTCGCCTCAACCGATAAGCCCGAAGTCTTGACAGATCTCGACCCGAACAGTCCTCCACTGCCTCCGAAGGAGTCTTCAGATGATACCAAGCAGGAATTCGAGCATAAGAAGGAGGAGCCTGCCGTTGAGTTGCCGTCATCGACACCGACCAAATCCAAGGCACCGAGACGGACGACACGTACACGCACACCAGTAGCCGCACCAAAGAAACCAGCCAAGATCGCCATTAGAAGTCAAGCCGATCATGTTGCGCTGAAGAGAACGGAAGCACAGGAGCTGGCTTTGCTCACGCGATCAAATACGCGCAAGAACAAGGGAAAGAGTATCATGCCTCAGGCCAGGCTTTTAAACCTTGGCGAAGAGGTCGTTCCGTTACAAGATTCAACCGAAGAGCCGGCCGAGACGGTTGTGGCCGAAAAAGCGCAAAGTGGAAAGTCAGCAACACGCAGAGGTGTACAGTGGAACGAGAATCTGACCCACGTACGAGAGTTCGAATCAGATTCACCCGACAGTCCGCCAAAGACAAAGGCTCGTACTTCAAGAGTGTCTGCCAGAGCCTTGGAGCCCTTTGTTCCTATCACATCTGCCGAGGAGCCTCTGGAGGAAGTGGTTTCAGAAGCTGCCGAGATGGATGCCGACACCACAGAGCCTGAAGCACTACAGGCAACCCAGCCACCAAGCGAGCCGACACCGCGTCCCAAAGCACTGCCTGTCAAGAGAAAGTCTCGAATCGCGACTGCTGCGCGTTCTTCCAAGCTTGCTGTTCCCAAGCCAGTATCCACAGCCCCACTACTACCGTCCGCAACATCTGCACCGCAGTCCTCTGAGCCTCTGACCACCAGCTTGGGGACACCTAAAAAGCCGCCCACCCCGTTCACTGCACTAAAGGCTCCATCCTTGTCTTTTGCTCCACCGAAGAATAATTTAACAGGTTCGACAGCTGCTCACACGTCTTCTCTGCCTGGACTGTCGAGCCCCGCAAAGAAGCGAGTCAGGACCACACTGGGTAAATCAGCGGTGAGGCCGGCAACGGGACAGAATGACAGTGAGCTGCCGGGCTTGACATCTCCGGCGAAGAGGAAGAGAGCTGGCGTCAAGTTCTCCTAGCGCGGCACCAAAACATACCTTGTACATACATCTCAACCATCTGCATACTGCATCGTTTGGGAGCGAGTTGTTTCTTTTGCCTTGGAGGTTGGCCCATATAACGCTTCACGACTCATGCCCAATTTATCTACGATCACAAGGGTCCCGGTACCCCATGAATACAAAACAGTCTTTTCATGTTGTAAAGAATAATGATGTCTTTGTAGTATTTAGGTGTCTCCAGTACCCAATAATAGCATCTACAAAATCAGACTTGGACAAGTCGAATGCTTTGTCGGCTGATTTCATCGCCTGATTCGTCCTCATCCTTGTCCCGACACAAACAACCCTGGCCAATCCACTGCACACCCCGAGCAATGGGTTTGGCAATCCGACAGCTTGCGTCTTCAGCTCCATTCCTTCTCTGCTTCATGCTTGAGCGCAATACTTGCCATCTGGCTCTCCAAGTCTTCCCTCTAGCGGTCCCAGGAATGATGCTTGAAGGGGAACCTTCATTCTGATTGTCATCCCTTGTGCTCGAGATAGGGCTGGTGTTCTGCGGAAGACATGTTGGAACCTCTGGCGTCCCATCATCAGGCCCTTCCTCAACAAGGTGCTGCTCTGGAGCCACATTGCAGGTGCCTTGCAAGGTCTGACTTGGCTCTTCCAAGTCCATTTCGGACATTTGACGGTACCGCAAGCGATCATGACTGTGTAACGATGCCGCATCGTCACGATATATCGGCATACTGGAGAAGGTGTATCTGTCCTGCTCACCCCGAATTGGTGACGTTCCCCCTTTTTTTGAGCCTGATGTCTCAGCTGCTGATTGCGAATTCGAGAAACCAGTGTTTGATGCCTAGTCTTGACTTGCAGAATGAGTTGTCATGGTGTCTCTGTCGCCCAAGAAATGAGCACGAGGAGCTCTCGGCGGTGTCGGCGCAAAGAATGGCAAACCCCGCCTCGGCCTGGTTGGTGGTGCAGATGGCGGTGAAGGGAAGCTTTCGATCATGTCGACGGTGCGCAAAGTATCAGAAGGATGTGCTCTTGTGCCTTGGGCTGTCTGCTCTGTGTTCTGGATGGGTGGTCTTGCAGTTGATACTGCAAACAACCCCAAGTTTTGAGGAACCGACACCGAACGAGCCCTGATCGCTCGAGCAGGGTTGATTGGAATGGAGTTGCCGTCAATGGCTCCGAGAGCTCGTTGAGCTAGAGAAGCGCTGCCTGACTTTGGTCGACACCGTCTATCCAAAGATTGTCTCTCGGCCGGAGTGGGTTCTGGTATTGGCGGAGCTTGTGTATCATCTTGTCCAACATGTTCCGGTTGTATCACTTCCGCAAAGCGTGCACTGTTGAGTGGATGTTGAGAAGGTTGATCGTAATGATGAGTTGAATGACCACTAACAGGTGGACGCCAACTTGGCGGTTGAGGCCTGCTGCGTGATCGAATCTCTCCACGTAAAGCTCTCAAGACGAACCGCGTGCCCTCCAGTGGGGACAATGAAGTTGCGGAGCTCAGGGTCCTTGTCATTGTTCGTACGAAAGAGACTCGGGCTTTGGGAGGCCAGTGCGGTACGCCTTCAGGTGTCTTCACACAACGAGGCGGCACAAATGGTGGTTGCCAAGGATGCACTGGATCACTCCTGAGGCTGAGTACATCTAGACTTGAAGACGTCTGAGTGTTTTGAGATAGTCCACGTCGACTCGTGTATAGTACTGTGTCATCGACGCTAGCAGCCTTGGGCTTCCCAGAGGCCGTGACGAGAGAAGTGGGTCCTCTCCGCCTGAAGGAAGCGAAGGACATCTGCGTTCGGAGCGTGGCAAGTGATTTCTGCTCGGCGATGGTGAAGAGTGGTGTACCATGCGGGCGATTCACGAACCGGACCATGTCATGTTGAACATTTCCCTCACTCTTTGCTCGTATATGAAGGGGCTGCGTCTCATGATCGACAGCAGTGGAGTGGTTGGAGGAAGGATGACGAGTAGAGTCCGAAGCAATATCTGGTACGCACGAGGGCGCTCTTGATGCATTGTATATCGATATGTCGGACGAGCCGACTTCCGCGATGCCTAGGTCTGTAGGGTAACAAGATTTCTTGGAAGTTGATGGCCAGCTTTCGTTTGAATGATCAAGGTATTTGCGATTAGTGCTATCGCGAAGTGGTTCTTGGATAGAAGATGGGGGAAAAAGAAGCATGCTGATTGATTTGCTGCTTGCGGTAGGATGTTCTGGATACAAGTATGGTTCGTTGTGGTAGAATGATAATCTGATGTCCTGCAGCACCTTCCCCGATGGTTCTGCATGCTGTCTTCCGTCTTCTTTATGCGATTGGTAGGACTTGTGCGGAAAGAGGTGGATTCCGGTTCCTGAGGGAAGGAGTGACCAGTCAATCTTTTTGAACCAAACCAGCCTCATTCATACATGAGGTAGGTACTAATATGCATCCACTTGACCAGTGATATGAGTTCTTGACCTCCACATGTTGTTGTATTCTACATATCTCCAGTGTCTCAAGCAACTTGTATGCTTTGATAGTCTTGTATATATTCAACATGTTGATGCCCAACGCTTGCAAGTCAAACAGGGATGCTGCACTTGCTTTACTTGGCTAGTCGTCATCATGAACCTTTGAGAAGAACCACGGAGTTGACAGCCACAGTGCTCAACTTGCCGCCGGTAGTTGCTAGACCGTTTTTTGCTGAAGCTAGAATTGTTTGGCGTATGCAAGATATCTGACAATGCTGCTGTGGCATCGTGTCGAATCATACTGCTGGCGTGACCAAAGACTTGAATAATCCTTCGGTCACTTGATGAATTCACGTTTGGTAATCATGTTCTTCTCGCACCTCAAGTATATTGTTGTGCGGTGAAGTGAAATTTGATGTTGGTGTCGCAAAGCTCTCCATGGTCTACCGAGTCATGATGAGTTTCATAACCTGACAGGCATATCTGTAGGCTGGTCCAATCCCCTAGGATGCCAATCGCATGCAACAAATGAAACATCCCACATGAAAATGCAGAGTAGATCACGATAGCGGCACGGGACAAATCGACACCCTTATGACTCTAGGCTGAACGTACACCCAGGGAAAAGCCGATGTCGCTAGGATCCATGCCTGGATATGTCACTTGGGTACTTGAAAGGCCATTTCTGCTCCCAAAATTGGCAGAAGATATTTTGCTGTCTAAAGCTCTGTCGGACGACGATGGCTCCCCAGCTACAACCTCTAGCACGCAGTGATTCCAAGACCAAATTTTTCCAGCGGCTCGGACTATCTTCCCAAGATAGTTCTGACAATCGTCTATATGAGTTGATGAAAGTGGGAAAGACACTCTCTGAAATCATGCAAGGACTGCGTTGACTGATTTTGTAGAATGAGGCGATCCAGGGACGAGAACGAATCCTGAGTAGTCCAAACAGTCTGTTGCCCCAGCTGAGAGATGATCCTAATGCAAGTGTCAGAAGATGGATAGATACTGACATGAATTATTGACTAACTGACTGACACAGATACAACCACCGTATTCTAATGTCCAGATCTGTGAATCAGCAGTCCACAACGAGATTTTGAGAATCTATCACGAGTCAAGCCCAGAAACCAAGTTCATATATGAGAAAGGACATGATACAGAGAGCTTCAACGAAGAGAACTGGATCATACGATGGATGTTGTGTAAGCTTGAATGATGCGAGAAGAATAAGTTTGGTTAACCTTTGTGTACGCAGGGCACGTATTTCGATTCCGTGACAGCCGAAATAAGTCAGGACAGTCCAGCAAGAGAGATACAAAACCTTTGTCGGTCGATGAAGAAAGTAACAGCGGCAGTCATGCTAGCACTGGGTATTGGGATCCTGTCAGAGACGCGCATCAGACAGCACAAAGCTGAAGCCAGAAACGGACGATATGTCGTCGGAAACTCAACACAGCTAGGTGGACGCCCGGCGAGAGAGGGATTGAGAGACACGAATTACACCGTCAAATACAAGAGACATTCACACAATTTCATGCTTTGGTACGAGAAATTCTTTGGGCAAAGAGGAAGAAAATACAAGATCAAACGATTAGCGGTATCTCAAGTTACAAAACCAGGGATAAAAGGTCATCAGAACACACCGCTCCAATAAGTCTATGACACAGATGATGAGACGGCTGGAGGGAAGATAGTACGGATAAAAGACGAAGGGGTAATTTGGCAAAGAAAACAGTACAACAAAATGGAAAAGGAAAGGATATCACAGGTCAATAAGACTGCCTGACTGCTGCGGAGCTTGCTGCCTTTGACCGAAAGGATTGGACGATGCATATCCATTTGCAGGTCCAGTCTGTGCAGGGAACTGCTGTTGAGGCATGCCAGTGAATTGAGATTGTAAGAAGGGGTTGTTGCCAGTGCGCGAAGCTTCGAGTTTGGTCAGTCCCTGACCAGCACTGTTGACAAATGTACCAGGAGCGGTATGCTGAGCAGGAATGCGCATGTTTCCGACGTTGCCAAAAGTGTCTTGGCCTTCACCAGAAGACAGAAGGGCGTTGAGCTGTGCGCGGTGAGGATCCATGGGCTGGGCAGTTTGAGCTGGCTGCTGGAAAGGAGCAGCTGTGGGCTGGGGAGCTTGGTAGCTGGTAATGGGGTTGTATGCAGGCTGATTGAATTGCGTAGCCGTCTTTTGTTCTTGCAGTGCAGACAGGGTGGGGGCTCTCTGCTGCTGAGTCTGTTGCGGGCGGTTGAAAGACGAGGCAAAAGGATTGTTGGAGCCAGTGGGCTGTGGGCGCAGAGCCTCTGACGAGGCGGGCGACGACAGAGCCCATGGGTTGTTCGAGCCAGGTTGAGCTGTCTGCTGAGGTTGTTGTTGCTGCTGTTGTTGAGGCTGCATCTGAGTGGCCCAGGGATTGTAGCCGGTCGCCTGTGGCTGTAGGAATTGCTGCTGCGGCTGTTGTTGCTGCTGGAAGGACTGGTCGAAGCCGGTGGGCTGTGGCTGTTGGTAGTAGCCAGAATAGTCTGAAGGGAAGGCCGTCTGCTGGGCTTGAAGCGGCTGCTGGTTGTAGGCGTTGTTCAGGTAACCAGTGGATTGAGGTTGCTGTTGTCCCATAGGGTTACCAAACCAGTCGACGGCTGTCTGTTGCTGGTAACCCTGGTTGAAGCCGGTGGGCTGCTGCGTCTGCGCAGGCGTATCGTCAAACAGCGAAGCTGCATTCGCATCGTCAAACTCGCGCTTGCGTGCTTCTTCCTCTTCCTTGCTCAACTTGAGCGCTTTGGCCAGATCGTCGTCTTCCTCACCACCTCTGTTCTTCATGGCACGTCGTCTGGCATCTTCCTCGGCCTCGTTCTTACTTGCTTCGAGCGCAAGTCTGTATTCGAGATCATCGTCTTCGGTTCGTCCTCTGTTGGCACGCTCACGTGGCTTTCTCGGCGTCGAATGCGTCTCGCTATCGTAACCTCCGCCAGACATGTCTTCGAGACCAGTGACTCTTGATTTCCATGAGTGTCTGTTTTGACGTTCGGAGCGCAGGCGTTCTTCATCCATGATGAGAGAGGTCAACTCCTTAGCAGAGACACGAACTAACGAGGCTGGTCAGTATGGCTTGGGCGGCGGCGCACTGGCAACACGTACTGTTTTGACCAACATCACGACCCTCCTCGTCAAGATAAATGAACTCGCGGAGGGTGCGGATGATGTAGATGTTCTTGCGAGCCCATGTGACGCACAACTCGGAGCCCTCGTGAAGGCAGTAGTCGAGAACTTTGAGCGATTTCAAGACATGGCGCCAGTTCTTGCCCTTGTCATTGAGGCGCTTGTCGAGCATGTCCATGACTTCGTAGAAATCCGTCGAGCTGAAGACATGGTGTCAGTACTGATTGCAGGCGAGGCGCGATGTGAACTGCAGACCTGTTGTAGGTGATCTTGGCAATTTCGGCCATGTCGGTGCCTGTCGGGCCCCAAGGATCGTTGCTGGTCGCTGTGCATGGTGTCAACACGGGCAGACTTGTTGGCTGGCTTAGACTGACCATTTCTGACTTTGACCTGGACGGACGAGTAACCCTTGGTGACATTCTTGACGCTCCTGAGCATATGCGACATGATGTGCGGTGAAGTTGGGCTCGCGGCGGGCCCGGTGTGGTGTGGATGAAGGAGTATGGAGCGATCGATATGGACGTGTCAATGCGAATGGATGAGGGCAGTGACGAGGTAGGCAGCGGCGGTGACGACAGCGAGGTTGCTGTGAATTATTGCTACAGGACAGAAAGTGTAGGGTTTGGGCGTGCATGCGACGACGAGACGAGGCGTGTGGAGGTTCCAGTCGTTCTCGGCACGTCTTCGTCATCGGTCCGTGCAGCCCCATGGACGTACTTGCTTGGCCTGCCGCTGCCAACTTGCCTGCCACTTTGGGTGAATCATTCTTACTCCGAGTAAACGTTGAAATATCAAATGTCTTGCAGTGTGCAACGATGTATGCATTTTTCCGCTGCTTTGGCAGTCTCTATAATATAGTTACACGAGCGTCAAGTCATTATCAGCCTCCGACGCAACCACTCCCTGCATATGCCGCTGAAAGACACTCAAGAAGAGCAAAATGCCACCAATGTCCCACCAGAACACCCAGAAGTCGGCAGTGCCAACTCGAGAAAAAAAAATAAAACAGAAAGAAAAGAGACAAACGAATGGATACTATCAAAACGCCATCCTGTGCATCTGCCCACAATCTGTGCTGCAGCTTTACCGTGTGGTGAATAAAAGCAAAAATGAGAATACGACAAGACTGTCGAAAGTCGAACTCCGTCCTACTCTTTGACACCCGATGCGCCTATCTGCCAAAAACTCCCGCCCCATTTATGCTGCCAAATGTGTTGTACATGCCTTATTGAGGGTGTTGAGCCCAGAGCTCCTGACCTACGTGGCCAATGCGTTGCGCGTGGTAAGGATCCATGGGATCCGTGCTCTGAGGGCGGCGCATGTTTTGGTTTTGGTAATACAGGTTCTGCGCGTTCTGAACGTACTGCTGAGTGTTGGGATCAGGGTACGAGTAGTCGGCTTGCTGAGCTCCACCGATAGATTGGTGAGCAGGAGACTGCCAGCCCGAACCACCCATGTGGGGGCTACCACCAACGCTGCCATTCTGGCTTGGGGGGTTTGTGGTAGGGGGTTCCAGAGTCGAAGGCAGGGGGTATGCACCTGGGTGAGAAGTCAAAGGCTGACGAGCTTGACTGGCTGAGCTGGGCATCGAGTAGTGGGAGTTGGCTGGAGAGGCGGAACGTGGGCTGTGTGTAGCCATCTCGTTGCGCATGTGGGGAGGCATGGTCATGCCGCCATTCATGGCGTTCATGTAGTAGTCCGAAGTAGAACGCTGAAGTGCAGCAACACCGTTCATACCACCAGCGGGTGAAACAGAGACGGGGCGGTCGTGAGGGGAGGGAGTAGGCATTGGCGACTTGTTCTCCGAGTATTCTTCTCCATCCGAACGCGATCCACGCGTCTGCATCGAGGCACGCGAAGCCAAGGCTGCAGCAGTGGCTGCAGCTGATTCTTCAATGGTGCCAGTGTGGTGGTTTTGGTGACGCGTCAGAGTTGTGCGACGCGTAAAGGTCTTTTGGCAGTCGGCGTAGGGGCACTTGTAAGGTCTCTTGCCAGAATGGATTCTGCGATGACGCGCGAGAGACGAGGAATCGCTGAAGGGCTGTGATAAAGGCTGTTAGCAAACTTGACGCGACAGCAGAATTTGAAAACGCGTTGACGAACCTTGCCGCAGCGCTCACACATGTGAGGCTTTTCTCCAGTGTGGACGCGAGAGTGCACTGTGAGAGCAGAGCGCTGAATGAACTGCTTTCCACAGCCCGGATAATCACAGACGTGGGGGCGTACTCCGCTGTGAATACGTTCTGACAAATGTATTAGCAATGAGCTTTCCAACCTCTTGCAACCAACATACCATGTCTGGCGAGATCACTTCTACGAGCAAATCCCTTGCCACAAGTCGAGCATGCAAAAGCCTTGGGGAGGCCACTTCCAGCACTACGCTGAGTAGTTTCTTGTTGGGGTTGTTGATCTTGAACCGGCGGTGGGGCTGCGTTCATGGGTGGTTGAGCATATGCTGGGTCATTCGAGGTAGGGTGATACGTATGTTGAATCAAGGGCATCTGCTGGTGCAACTGAGAAGGCGAGGGGTAGCGCATGCCAGGACCAAGGCTGTTTAGACCCTGAGGTGGATAGGCAGCGGGATGAATGGCAGGGGGAGCTTGAGACGAATAACGTGACGAGGGATCCGAAGGGTGAGGTGAGACACCGCGCTCGGAGCCATTCTCGGACTTGATTCTACCGGCGGGCACGTAGAGGTTCTGAGTGTACTGGGGCGCGGGTGCCGACGACGACATGTCGTGGTGGGCGGGAGGGGGGTAATGAGGAACTTCGTACTGCATGACTCTGTCGGGAGTGTCTGATGGAAACTTGTTAGTATTCAGGATGCTATTCAACTTCATTCTGCCGCCGACGCCGCTGTCCCTCCTCATGCTGGGCCACAAGAGCGAATCGATCCGAGGGAGCAACATGTGTAGGCGTATGAGACAAAAGGTGTCTATGTATGTGCAAGAAGACTTTCGGCACACGGCGTGTGTGTGTTTTTGGGACTACTGACTGATAGGCAGGAATTTTTTCTTCGCCAGGCACGCGTTATAGGTGAGATGCGCGACGAGGTGCAGATGAGCAGAGAGCAGAGATCAACTAGACAGACGCGTCGAAGATAAAAAATCGAGCGTCGTTGTTGTGGTTGAGTGAGGAGCGAGAGCGAGAAAGGCGGTCAGGACTGGGTTAGGATCATGTTAGTCGCTGAGCATTGAGAGAAGTTCAAGGTCGAGTGAAAGTAGAGTCGGCGACGACAACGTGAGTGGATGAGGGCATAGAGAGAGGGACCGACGAAAGTGTCAAGGCGTTGCGGTCGATATGCGGTCGATGCGCGCGCGATGGATGGATGCAGCACAAGAGGGACGGGTGACGGGAAAACGCGTGTGTTGATGGAAAAAAACGAACAACGACGAGGGCGATGATAGGGAGGCGAGGATAGGACGGAGAACAAGCATACCTTTCTGATGGGAACAAGATCAAAATTGCGCACAGTTTGTGTAAAAGAAACAAAAGAAGAAGCCGCGAGTTAACACACGGAGACTCTTTCTTGATCTTCTGTTTCGATGAAGAGTGCGCAGAATGGAGGGTTTGGAAGGAAGGAGCGAAGACCAGAATGCGACCGGTGTGATTTTTGGCAGGGAGCGACCCACGAAGGTCAAATGTGGCTGTGGCCGACGCTATCCCGGATTTGGCTGGCTTCTTGCTTCTCAAACACTGGCTTCTTCGACTTTTCCTCTCTGCTCGAATTACACTCCTGCTGTGCTGCCTTTTGGGGAGATTGCCTTGTGTCAGATTCTCTGTGGCAGGCACCTTTTCAACTCCTGTGCCTTGCAAGTCCTTTTCCCCTTTTCTAGAGGAATCTCTATCGACCAGGTGTGCCTCTGCACGACGTCACCGGCTTCTATTATGGTCACCTTCGAGAAGGTCGAGAGAAGTCCCGAGGGGAAAAACGCCCCTTGGTCTGTTTCACTCTTTTTTTTTTTTGACGAGTCACGGATGTCCTGCACCGCTTTCCTGGGCGCTGTTTCGAGGCTCTCCGAAAGAAATGAATTATTCAGTCCTGCTTGGTTTCCAGTCCAGTCTTCTTGTTTTTTTCTTATTTGATCCGTAATCCCGCAGACTCGTTCGGGTCTGTTTGTTTCGTATTTTTCTATTCCAGAATATCCAGTTGTCTGTTGGTGATGATGTATGTCGGTCGGCCTTCTTCTCCCTTCCAGGGCGCAATACGCGTATCTATCCGTATGGCCGAAGCAGTTCTCGGATCACGACAAGTCCGTAGAACTGACGTCTGGTCCTGATCTCAGTTTACAACTTCATGCGATTCGTTCGGCTGTACCTTACCTTTTGTTTTGTCTGCACTATTTAATCACTGCCAGCAGTTTTGATGTAAATGCGAACACGCTACGATCCAAGCGTGGACGATCGAATCGTATATGATTCTGTATCGGTTGTTGATATATCAGTTAGGTACTCAATGTTTGAGCCCAGTTGTCAAGTGGATGACTGATTGATGGTATGTCAAAAGTGATTTGCAATGATGAAGGATGAGAAAAAGTGTACAGACTGAGGTCAAGTTATGGGCGACGGCGCGGGATAAAAGCAACCAGGAACGGCGGCATCCTCTTGACATGATGAAAGAGAGGCTTCAAACTGGTCTTTGCCATATTCAACTACTGCATCTTGATCTGAGCGTCCCCCTGTTGACCAGTATCCAAGCCCGTTCGAAATAAGCATGTATGCTCCGCACCCGCTGCTCCATCAATCTCACATATGGATACGGGTCTAATGAGCGCATTGTCAATCTCAAAATGGTCCAGATCTGAGGGCCGTGACTTCCTTGACGGTCGAATCATGTTCCAACATCTACCAACAGATCAGTGCGTTGAAGTTGACTAGCAAGCCTAGCACCTGTGCGATCAATCAAAAGGATCGTGTAGTGGTCGGAGCTCTCTTCACGATCCTCCAAGAAGTTGACAGATGGGTGATGCTTGCAGCAAGTGTACGCAACTTGGGACAAGTCAATTCCGCCACCAACCCAAAGGCGTGGTAAGTTGGTGGCTGCACACCTGCATGAAAGATTTCCCATTCTTGCAAATCATCTGTGCTAGGCAAGCTTTGGCGACGACGGGACGGACCTGCCCTGCCCTGCCCTGACAGATCCGTTCAGCGATACAACCCAAAGTCGACAAGCACTGTGCACATTCACGCCTTTCGTATGTGTGTCTCGGGAGTCTATCAGCGCGTGCGCGCAACTCTCATTGATCAGAGCGCATCAAAAACGGTTCGAGGGTTCAAAAGCTAGGCCGTTCAGGAGCACAACGAGGTCTGATACACATACATACGTTATGCGGAAGCGAGCAACAGCCATCACCACAAACGGTGAGACTCGTGTACTCGGGTAGTGCACGCCGTTGCTATCCAAGAACCTCTACTCACGACCTAGGAACCACTTTGAAACACTCGCGAGGATGCATGAAGACGCATCTTTGCAGGAGACCATACTCGTGGTATCTTGCAACCATGCACGCTCGACCATCGGGTCCCTCTCATTTATTGTGTGTGTCCTTTTTTATCACGGCCAACGAAGCTTGCGCTTAGGAACAATGTCCCGGTTGCGTCAGGCCGACAGCACTAAAGACTCCATCTGCTCAGCCGATCTAGCCGCCGAGAGGAACTTGGCTGAGAGCTCCGATGAACCATCACTATCGAGGGCTTTTTATAAAGTGTGCAAACACTGCAATGGTATGTTCGACGATTCCTAAATAGACATGAGCAGTGCTCAAACCATCAAAATAACTAGATTGGTGACGCCATTTGCTGTGAACCGATGGCGCAAGGAGGAGAGACGTGCGTTGACAGCGGCCAGAAAATGGCAGGTGTCGGTGCGTCTCTTTTGCACTCGTCCCTCGAACCCAGCTACCTGGGTTTGCTTGTCAACATGGGCGATCGCGCCATGGGCTAGTTCTTTCGTCCGTGTGTTCCCCGCCGCCATGCTCTGTCAACGTGCATCAACCGCGGGTCGTAGTGAGTGTCTGTTCGTTTTTGTGGACCTTGCTAGGGGAAAATCATCTGCTACCGACCTCCCAGAGTCATGTCAGACAGTATCACGACGAGCCATGTGGAGATGCAATTCTCATATGGGTCTCTAAATTGGACTTGTCTTGAGGTAAAACATCTCTAGCAAGGCCGCCGTCTTTGGCTATCTGCTGCAGCGCTTAGATTTGTTACCGGTCATGCAACTACGAAACTTGTCCTTGCCCATCAGCTGGGTGTACATTTGCATCTCCGAGAGATCTGTGCATGCACCACTCAACGAGAAACCCCGAGCTCATGCCATGTAATCGTTGCATGCACTCGGGAGGATAGCATCCTGCACGCAGCAGACAAGGCTGAGCCCTATAAGGTTTCGGGGGAGCAGACATTCAACGGTGGAAAGCTCGTGCTCCATTGGCGTCATGGCTTGCATATACCGCTCTGGGCAGCCATAGACATCAACCTATGAGAGTGTTCGGGGTGCGACACGGCAAACTTGATACTTGAACAGCGCTGTGAGATGTAAATCGATTGAGCCGAAAGAAGAGTCTGGAGATATTCATCCTTAAAAAAAGACACTCTCACGAGCCATCGTCAAAATAGCTCAAATGGATTTGCGAGAGGGACAGATCGCAAGCGAGGTTGTATGATCCAAAGTCACGATCACTGTTTTGAAAGACCTAAAGAATGAATAGAGCTGTGATCGCCTTACGCACGTACTCTGACCTTTGACCATCTTGCCAGATTGATTGACGACAAGTCATCAGATCAAGGCGGCAGATTGCCGCTGCCTTGGCGACATCTTCTGCCCGATCACGTAACCGACTTCCACAATGAGTCTCTTGCATCTGCTTGCATGATGCATCAATCTACCATCGGAATTCAAATCGCTCGGCACCACAACACTCCAGTTAGAACAGCGGGCACATTGGACGGTTTTTGATCGCAACCTCGTAGCGGGCCCTTGTCGTCCGCAAATTTGACTGGTCCCAGTATTACCCAGAGGGAAATGATCGGTACAACCTCAACACCGATTGCTAGGTGATATACCTCTCGCATCTCATTATCAGTGGAAGCATGCGAGAGTAATCTATTTGGCGAACGTTTCACCGACTCTTTGACTCGATTCAGAGCACAATCGTCGCGACGAACCATTCTCGGATGCTATGGATTCTGTCTTACCCAAGAACACATCTACTGTGAGCAGATCCTCTTTATTGACCACGAATGTGTATACAAGTTTCCAATTCCGTGTCTTGAAACACACGTCTCAGTCTCGTACTGATTACTCAAATCCCAAAGAAGAAACTCAAAGGCCATGTGAGCATGGCATTGACCATCGGCTCCTTTTAATGTATCGTACATTCTGAACATCTTCTCTCACCTGCATTAGCAAGTTTCTCCAATATCGCTCTACCCGCCATCGTATGCTCTAGATGGCCGAGCTTCCGGAGTAGACTTTGCCCTGGTGGGCAGTGTTGGGCTGCCCATGTTGGGAGGCCTGAGACCGCAAGTCATGATGACCTCTTCTGTCGCTGCTATTCGAAACAGACGAGACAACCGTCTCCTTGGATATGCGTATGATTGCATCACTCGATACCGTGGTGGTGTCGAGCGGTAAATGGTTATGTGTCTGACAGGGTCAAGTTGCTCGCCAGACATCGGAAGCGAACGTGATGGTAGAACTACTCTCTTGCCCACGGAATATTTGCTATCAATGAGTCAGCCCTGTGCCTCTTAGCTTGCAGACGCCTTCATGCTCAATTCATAGCTACTGCACCGAACCGAATACAGCTCCACACGAATCCTTCTTTTCCTTCTACTGTACCTCAGCGCGTACCCATCTGCAAGCTTCCTGCGTGGCTTCTGACCACGAGGTTATTGTTGCATGAACGCTGCTGAAAGCCCACAATTCTGACTCTGAGAACCTCGCTATCCCCAACTACCTGGTTCTGGCTTTTTTGTTTTTGGTAACTCTTTTGTCAGCTGAACGTGCCAGCGCTTCGAGGTATGCTCGGTGCATAACCCATATCGTGATTCTGAGCACCTGTCATAACATCAGCCAAGAGTCTGTAGGCTCAATCCTAGAATTTTATGGAAAGGTGCAAGACTCAAAAGCCTAAAATATAAGTGCAAGAGCCACAAGGTGAGTCTTGGAGCGTGTGATGATGTCGTCGTTCAATGACAGGGTCATACCACCAGCAAAGCTACTCGAACGAAAACTGCGACTAGATAAACACGTCGTCAAAGCTGTTCAAAAGGAAGCACCTGTAATTGCCGACAGGAAGACATAAGTCCAGTAGAAAAGTAGCTATCTCGATCAACAGCTCTAGCAACAGACAATGTGAATCCCAGTGACAACCAGCAAATAGGGTATATAGCGCTAAACCATGCCACAAATGAGAAAGCAAGAAAACAAAGAAAAAACATCAAACTCTTATCATGCAGTCTCCGTCGTGGATCTCATGCAGCGAATCAACCACTCAGCTTATTCTACTCCGTGATTCTCTGCTTCTTCTTCGGCGTACTTGTCAGAACCAGGCTGCCTGACTTCTTCATTTCTGTCAATGCATCGTCTGTAATTTTTCTCTTCTTGGTGAGCACCTGTTGTCTCTGAGCTATTTGCTGCTCGAATCCAGAAGCCAGTTGTCGCCTCTTCTTGCGAGCAGCTTTGAGCTTCCCGAAGACTTCTGAGAAGCGTTCTTGGAACCAGTCTCCAGCCTCTTCCCACTCCTCAAGCTTCAGCGAAGAGAAAAGCTCCTTCTGATGACGAACGTCAAGCTTAGCAACAGCCTCGAGTCTTTCACTGAGTGGTTTCGAGAGATCAGACTGCGTATCAGGAAATTCTCCACGAGGTGGTCCATCGAACGGTTCATCTTGCAGCTCAGCGAAATCCTTTGCGTACAATTCCTGTAGTTCGTAATCGAGAACTTCGTCTGAGTGTGTACTCTGTTCATGGTTGTCCATCGGAGATCCTTCCATGCCGTACTGTTGCTGATTATGAAGCCCGTCGAGGTGATCTTCCTGGTAGTCAACTCTTCTGATGTACTGCTGACGATGGTGATCAATTCCGTTGGTGTGCCGTTGACGGTGGTTTGCTGTTGTGGTATGGGCACGAGCAGGCTGTTGGTGTGTCAAGTTGGGGACTCGTGCAGTAGAATTGTGGTTTGTAGCGACTTGAACGGTGGTCTCAAATTGCTCTGGAATATGATTAGGCTGAGAGACTACATGTGTCTTGTTTTGCGGCTTCTTCTGGCGCTGTTGCACATCTTTGTGACTTATTGTTGGTTTGGTTGTGACTTTGAACTGATCTTTGCATTGTTGGACACGAGGCGGTTGTGACTGGATGGGTAAGGGCGTGGAAGCAAACTGTCTCTGTGGGATTATGGTGTTGTGAATATCAAGAGGCTGCTCAACACGAGAATGTGCTTGTGCATGCTCGACATCGACTTCGTCCTCAAAGTCTTCGTCTGGTTCTAGTTCACCAGAAGTCGTAGGAGGATATGAGTCCGCACCGGTGTGGCCAGAACGAGCCGTGTTGTGATGGAATTGCGACATTAAGGCATCGAGCTCTAGACCACCTGCAAGATGGCCATTTCCTTGATGTATGGGGAAAGCCTGATCGTCATACTGATTGTCCTCTTCTCTGTCTTCAAAGCCGTCTTGACCATCATAATCTTGATCATTGAGATCATGGAGAGATGAACGAGTTGCGTCAAAATCATCAGTCTCTGTGCCATATATGTGATGGCCGTTGCGCTCATGGAGATCGCGTGTCGACTGGGCTGTGGCTGGCCGCTCAGGATGTGGTGCAGCCTGTTGATTGTTGGGATTTTCAGGATTGCGATTGCGAACAAATTCGTTCAGACCCAACATGATGACCAACACTTCGAGATTGGTTGATTCACAAAAGTGAGGATGAGAATGATAAAAAGTCGCTCGAATGGAATAAACAATGCGATAAGCTCCTTATCGTCAACCCCGCGTCTTTCCGCACGTCACTACCTATTTAGACCCTGTCCTTTAGCCAGCCACTTCCTTTTTCGAGTCGCACCTACTCTACTTATCTCAAGTAAATCGTTTCTGTTTGTTTTTTGTTACACTCAAAATGGACGACACGCAGCATCGTGGCTTTGATGCCTTGCCAAACGAGGTATCCCCCAAACCCCATTTTGTTTCTCATCAACGTGCGGCTGATAGATAGGGCAGCTTCTATACGACATTCTGTCGTCCTTTACTACAAAGCATGTCTTGACATTTGCTCCAGTCTCGCGTAGATTTCATTCTATCTGTGTCAGGATTCTGCAGAATCGCTTGACAGTTGCCGCTACTCTGCTCGACCATATTCTGATGCTCGAACTGTACCCCCCAAGTGCTAGATTGACGGCTGGCAAGCTGTTTTGTACATCATTAGGAACCTCTCTACTGGACGAGGAATCTCTTGGAAGCATTCCAGATGTAGCAAGAATTGGACATTTGGGAAAAGCCGTCTATTCCAAATTCAGACCCCAGCATCAAGAGGTGCGAAGGCCTTCTATAAAACATCCCGCTGGGGACATTCCAGGCTCGAGGACTCATCCGAGTTCTGCCGATCCAAGTGTTCATGCCCATGACGCAGAGAGTAATCTGGTTTCCCAACAAGTCTCTCTGGACGCAGACGAACTGTTCACTCAACTGATCGCCACTTTGATGCTGGTAAAGCCAGGACCACGTCCAGACACGATACTCACAGCTGTCGAAGTTTGCGAAGGCACCATCAGAGTTTGGCGAGATTGGCTTTCCAAGCAAAACGAAGCGAATGTCGACTCGACATCTTCATGCTCATCAGCAGATGACCCATCTATTCTTTGGGTCAACACGGCAGATCACGCTGTTGGTGTCAAATTTAGAGTCAAAGAACGAAAGTGGAAGAGGGATATTCCTGTCTTGATTTCTGCCGACGAAGAAGTCGCCGTTTCGTACACAGTTGAGCTTGAAGAGGTTGTATTAAGAACGTCTCACTTGTTGTTCATGGTGGAGGAGTCACTCAGAGAACAATACGAACCGCTGAGTAGACAGCTGTACTTGAGGCCAGTCTGAAACTCTTCCATTGGGGGTCCCAGAAGCATTCCTCGATGACTTAGCCTCTTGGTCTACCAAGTATTCTTGCTCCAATCTTTGAAACTTTGAGAACGTCCCTGTACGTGAGACTGATTCGAGTCGTGCGCACGTTTTTGCCTCCATTTTCGATAAAGATTTTGTTGTCGCCGAGAAGAGTCCAGTTAGCTACAGTGTCGGGTCTCAAGTTCTCATCAATCTCGACTTCTGAAATCCCGTGCAGAGTATCGGTGTATGCAGATCCGCAAGTGACAAGAAGAGAGCGTGGTTCTTGCAAGATACGCCACTTGGGCGATGAGCCAACAGGAGCTTGATCTTGATCCTGATTCTTCTCGTATATGTCGAGACACAGAGCGCTTGATAAGCTTACAGTGGCTACGATTGGGTAGTACGCTGCGCCATCTTCGTGTGGCATGATACCTTCATTGGGATTGTACTCGTTGATCAAGACGTGATTGGGCGAGTGATGTGGACTGTCACTAAAAAGACCCAGTGACTTGAATTTTGAAATGATGGGATCGACAAGCCAAGGAGGTAGTGGTGCCTCCAGAAGAGTATTGCTTTTCGAAAGTGAGGATGGATGAGTTTGCAAGCGGCGGTGTTGTAATTGAATCCAGCGATTTGATGGTATTGCGTTCAATATACCTGCTTCTTCCTTGTGGTTGATGAAGTCGGGCACGTAAAACATGCCATCTGGTATTTCCGAGATCTTGCAATCCTTCAAGGTTCTGCTGGTCGCCATTTCCGTGTTTGATAAGCTGTGCCTCAATGGCAAAAAGTGATGGAGGATTGGCAGAAAGTGTCTGCAAGCGGTCGTCCGTGAGATGGCAACACGTTGCGCATTATCTACTCTTGCTGTCGAAGGAGACGCGATGTCAACAGTTCTGTTGTCAACGACATGGAAGGAAACAACGCTTGGTCGCACCTGGGCACTTCACAAAGCTGCAAAGCCAGTAACACCTTCTCTCTTGAACAACAACACATCCCTCCAAATCAAGATGGCACCGAAAAATAACAAAGCCAAAGCCAAAGAGCCAGAGAAGGGCGGGGCAGCGAAAGTGAAAGGAGGTTCGTACAAAGTATCTTCCTCTATTCAGCATTCTGACCTCTTTTGTTACACAGCTCAGAGTATCAATGTCCGCCACATCTTATGTGAAAAGCATGCAAAGAAAGAAGAGGCGCTTGCCAAGTTGAATGCTGGCGTTAAGTTTGATGAAGTTGCCAGAGAGTTTTCCGAAGACAAGGCTCGTCAAGGTTAGTCGTTCAAGCGCCACGGTATGCACGAGAGATTTTTTTGACGACATTTGTCACAGGTGGTTCACTAGGCTGGAAAACCAGAGGCGCTCTCATGCCCGAGTTTGAGAATGTTGCTTTTGAATTGCCGGCCAGCACCACCAATAGCCCTAAATGGGGCGAAGCCAAGACAAGTGAAGGCTACCACATCATCATGGTTGAAGGTAGAAAGTAGGGAAGAAATCTTGGACGACTAGTCACGTATCAAGGCATGCTATGCTTCACGACGTTTTGCAGGATTGAGACAAAAATTTGGTTTGACATTCGATCGACTGGCGAAAAGAATTGCGAAGAAGAGACATCCGCTCGAGGACATTCATAAGGAGCGTAAGAAGAACAAGAAGAGAAAGAGACCTCGGTGAGGTGTAAAAGAAGAAAGAATCAAAACCCTGAACGATTCCTGATCGTCCACCCAGAGTCTAGCATCCATGCCCTCATCACATTGGATCTTAGCATATACCCATGACCATCTACCAAGTAAAACTCTCCTCGTAGAAATCGATAGTCGTCTTCTCGCAACGTTTTCTGACGGCACGTCTGACATCATCACCCAAACCTCCAGTACCACAGACACTGACGGCCATGGCGCCAACCTGTTTGGCTTGTTCGGCAGAAATCAGAGCACCAACATCAGGCTTACTAGGGAACATTTGAACTGAAGCGCTAGGTGAGTGGATCTCCTTTGTACTCTTAGGACGAGTGACGAAGAGAAGGATACGAAGACAATCACGTCTCTTCTCCATAGCCAAGATCTCAGTCATCCAAGGACGAATCCACTCGAGGTGCTCTGGGCTTTGAAGGATCCATACCAAGACGACCTTGCGGGTGGCGCAAGTGTTGTTGCCATAGCCGCCGACAAGCTGACGGGCATGTGGTACGGCATGAGTGATACCAACACCAGCAGCGAACAGCATGACATGACCATAGGACTCGTAGGAATCAGCAGCTCCATAGGGACCCTCGACAAAGGCATTGGTGAAGAATCTGCCATCGGGAGCAATCTCAGCTTTCTTCCAGAGCGAGTCGGTGAAACCAGTGCGACGGCGGATAATCAGAGACATGGTTGTCTTGCGCCTGGCCAATACGTCAAGTGCGTCGGTTGGCAGTTTCTCGGAAGAGAGATCCTGTTCTTCTTGACTCCAAGCGATGGTGAAAGGATGACTTGTCCACATGCCAACTGAAGGCAGATACAAGTAGAGGTGTTGACCGGCACGGAACTTCCAGGGACGTGCCATGCGAATGGTGACTCTGATGGCTTCTCCAGCCAAAGCCTCGATTTCAGCCTTGGTACCGCCTTGGCCGACGTTGTGACGAATCAAGATGAAAAGGCGTGCAGTACGTTCAAAGACCCAGATAACAATCACACCAAGAATCAAGATTTGCTGAGGAAGCGTCTTGAGATGGATCCAGATGGTGACGATAGAAATGATCGCCAGGATGATGTGAACGTGCAAGAAGGTCTCGTAGAATGCATGACGAACGACGGATGGTGAATGTAGCAACAGGGCGAGGAAGGCGCAAGTAGCCTATTCGGATGTGAGTCAATGAGGAGGTTGTTGAGAAAGGGTACAACTTACAATTGTGCCAGTCAGGATGAGCTGACTGCTGGCCATGGCCTTTCCAATAATATTCCAACCGACTGAAGACGAAGGAGCTTCACCAACATTAGTCGAGTAAAAAACACAAGCAACGATACAACATACCAGCCATGATCTTGCTTGCCATCCATGCTGCAGTATGAGCCACTGCTTCGAGAACCACGATACGGCCAATCCAACGGTGCATAAGATTGTAAGTATCAAATGAGATGTCGAGCAACTTGATCAGTGGGTTGTTGCGGCCGGCCAACAGGAACAAGGGCAGCATGTTCATTACTGACAACACGCCTGTGCGGTTTCTGATTTCGGTAGCAACATTACCACCGCTCCAATGAATGCTCACAACGCAGAAGGCGATGTTCATTGCTAGATAGCCTGGAGAAAATCATCAGCAATCTGTACACTTATATGGCACGTGTGATGACAAACCAATGAGATACATAGTCTGAAGTCTGCCTGGCAAAGTTCCCATACTGGCTGCAGCCGAGAGCTTGAATTCGCGATTGTGTCTTCTACGGAAGAGAGGAGCGTCGATGATGTGACGCCTCAGACTGGCGAATCCAGGGTGAGGAGCGACAAAGTAGTGTTGCTTCTCGTTCTCCAGACATGCCAGCGTTCGGACATAGCGCAAGGAAGTGATCGTGATGCGGTAAGCAAAGATTGCTGCGACAGTCGCGGCCCAGACATAACCAAGATACCATTGGATACGATGGTTCTGATAGTACGAGTCGTAGAGCAGGGCCTTCTGCTCGGGTGTCATGCTGGGAGTATAAGCCGTTACAGCAGTCGTAAAAACGGCGAAGAGCAATGGAGTGTTGTATGATGCCATGTCGGATGGTTCTCACTGATCAACAGGAGGGGATGGTAAACAATGGAAGGATTGCAAAATCTAGACTTCCACGCCGTTGACGTTCAAAGGAATTGCTCAAGAATGGAAGAGGTGGCCGGCACCGTAGCTTCAAGGATGAGAGAAGCTGAATAGGCCAGACCTAAAAGATATCGAAGAACGAATGGACGACCAGCACAGCTGTCTTGGGGGGCACAGAGTCGGGGAAAGATTGGAGTTGGTGGCACGCAAGGTAAAGAAACGCAACCACTGTAAATAGAAATGACGGAATCCGTGAGTGAAGGGGGGCGGAGTGTTGAATCAGAAGGTCTGTCAGAGATTTATCGTGCTTCAAACACTTGGTCTTTTACTTTACCCATGCACGCCTCCCTAGCCAGCATGTGCCTTTAATGTGTTTTCGCATCATCTTGGTGGTGACTGCTGCACGTTTCCTGTTGCAACGGAGCCATAACATGAAACACGAAACGGTGGGTCGCAGAGTCTAAGGAGCAGGCTTCTGGGGCTTTGCGAACAAAGCGGCTACCAAGACTGGCTTTTCAGGGGTGCTTCGTCCAGCACCTTGCGGTTCGATCTGATAGCTGACACTGCTTCATAGCTCAAGCCGGCGATTCGTCGATCTTGCTTCACACCCCTGTCAGGCACACATCTTCGGATCGCACTCAGCCTCAGACCGTGGCCATAGCATATTCTGCAGCACAACACACAAACTCTCGTCCTTCTCTTGAGTCTAGACAACAGTGGTATAACCAGCGGGGGAGCCTGCTCACCAAGCGCCACAGTGTTACAGCCCGTGTCTTGAATACGGATAGCCTATGGTTTTCAACCACTACATACGTCTTTGTTCTATGTTGAATGTTGATTGGATAATGAGATTACCTAGCCTGCATGATTCTTGTCCGATGTCAAGACTTGAGAATCGCTGAACCAAATTGCGCATCCACTGCTTCTTCGTGTCTCACACAAAAGAGTTGTCTACTGCTGCCTTCCTCGCTTTTTGCAATTGCCAACTTTCTGCTTGCTTTTAGAGTTCGCTTCTCTCTTCACAACACCCAAAGAGGCAAGTACGACATGCTCGCTTGGACTCTGGCTCATCAATCTCTAGCAACAAAAGTCTAGGCATCGTTGTTAGCGAGAAGATTCGGATTCTTGGCCAATATCTTGCTTGAGCACAACCAATCGTAGTTTTAGCGCGCTAAGTGAAATCAGCAGCAGTTACAAGATAGACCAACAAGAATTCGTCACTGCCTCGTGTATCTTATCCGAGGCGTCTATGTTCTGCCTGCATATCACGAGGTTGGTTTCTACCCAAGACAGTGATCTTGCTGCGTGAGCTTCGAGAGTCTCGTGTCGAATCATACCTCACTGTCTTTGTCAAGCAGCCATTTATCTATCAATACATAAAGAGTAGACGCATATCAAATCATGATAGTCCGAGACCAGATCTAGACACAGAATCAGATTACATGTAGTGCAATATGCAAGCATGTCGAGCATACGGATCTTCTGTAAATCGACCAATGCTGAAATGCATCTATCTCACAACTCTTCCGATAGGTACTCCGTATCACAGCCAAGGCGCACAGGCGTAGCTTTTGCAAGTGTCGTTAGAAATGGTAAAAGTGTTGTCCTTGTTCAGTCAGCCTTGCAGCGTATGAGACAGCGAACACTGCCGCAAAGGCATCTGGTCAGGAGGAAAAGACTAGTAACACACTATCCAATTTGGCGATTCAATGGCCGGTCTGTGGAGTCGTTCGTCCATGACTATGATCGTAGGCCATCTGTGAAGGAGGTTGTTCACTGTCACAAAGAGCGATCAGAAGGTTGAAGGTCTGTGCGGGATTTGGCTTGCGCGACTTCTCGAAGTTCGACCGACCGCCCTTGACATTTAACAACATCGCAAACATTCACCATGTCGTGGCGCAGTCAAGGCATCACTGGTAGCAACAACATTCCTCTGGGTAACCGTCGCAGGTTTGGAGGCGAAGATGGCTCACCTGCTGTCGAGGAGAGCTACAGCAGCGGCCCCGTCGAAGGCGACAGCCTGAAGCGCGGTCGCAGCCCTGTTAGAGGTATGTTCATCGCATTCAACATCTCTGCATCCTGCTCACCATCATCCACAGAGCTCAACCCCGACGGTACCAAGAAGAGAAAGAAGCGCAACCGATGGGGTGACGCAACCGACAACAAGGCCGCTGGTCTGATGAACTTGCCTACCGCCGTCCTCGGAAACATGACAAGCGAACAACTCGATGCCTACACACTGCATTTGCGTATTGAGGAGATTAGCCAGAAGCTGAGGATCAACGATGTTGTCCCAGCCGACGGTGATAGGTGAGTTCGCTCTCTTTTCTTTCTGTCATACACAACTAACATACAGCGCAGATCACCCTCTCCGCCTCCGCAGTACGACAACTTCGGTCGTCGTGTCAACACTCGCGAGTACCGCTACAAGAAGCGCCTCGAAGAGGAGCGCCACAAGTTGGTCGAAAAGGCCATGAAGACCATCCCAGGCTACCACCCTCCTTCTGACTACAGACGTCCTACTAAGACACAGGAGAAGGTCTACGTGCCTGTCAACGACTATCCAGAAATTAACTTCAGTATGATTGCTAACCTCTTTTCCCTCATTCTCCCCTCGATGATGGCGGCACGCCATAGTGTGACTGCTCTTCTGTCCCTAACCATTCACTGCTCTCATGTCCCATAACAGATACTAACATTTAGGGTTTTTTCCTACTAACAGTTGGTCTACTCATTGGTCCTCGTGGCAACACCCTGAAAAAGATGGAAACAGAGTCTGGTGCAAAGATTGCCATCAGAGGCAAAGGCTCCGTCAAGGAAGGAAAGGGTCGATCCGACGCCGCACACACTAGCAACCAGGAAGAAGACTTGCATTGTCTTATTATGGCCGACACCGAAGATAAGGTCAACAAGGCCAAGCAGTTGATCCACAACGTCATTGAGACGGTAATCATATCCAAATCAGAGCGACTGCGCTACATTATCAAACACAGGCTAACATCACGACAGGCCGCTTCGATCCCCGAAGGCCAGAACGAGCTCAAGCGCAACCAACTCCGTGAGCTCGCAGCTCTAAACGGTACTCTTCGTGACGACGAGAACCAGGCATGCCAGAACTGTGGCCAGATCGGACACCGCAAGTACGACTGCCCCGAACAGCGCAACTTTACCGCAAACATCATCTGTCGTGTCTGTGGCAACGCAGGTCACATGGCCAGAGATTGTCCCGACAGACAGCGTGGACAAGACTGGCGCAACAGCGACCGTGGCGCTCCTGGAGGTCCTGGCCGCCCTGCTGGTCACCTGGAACCCGCAGACACGGAGTTCAACAACCTCATGCAAGAGTTGGGTGCTGGTGGCGCCATTACTGGAAGTGCCGCCCCTGCTCGCATCGAAGCTGGTGGATATGGCGATGACCGTGGAGCTGCCAAGCCCTGGCAACGTGGACCCACAGGAGGTCCTGCTCCCTGGCAGCAAGGCGGTGGTGGTGGTGGTCGCGACCGCGACGGTGGCAGCTCAGGCGGACCTGCACCTTGGGCTGCTGGAGGTTCTGGAGGCCGCTCAAACGACAACTATGGAGGCTACGGCGGTGGCCATTCTTCGGGCAGCGCAGCTCCATGGCAGCAGAGCCATGCAGCGCCCCAAGCTGGATACGGAGGCGGTTATGGTGGCTACGGCTATGGTGGAGCTCCAGGCTACGATCAAGGTTACGGTCAGGCAGCAGCACCCGGCATGGCACCATGGCAACAGCAGGGCTACGGAGTGGCAGGAAGTCCCCCACCACCCCCACCTGCTGGTGATGCTCCTCCCCCTCCTCCTCCTCCTTCTGAGAACCCACCACCTCCTCCACCACCAGGCGCTTGAATGGACTGGACAGGACGGGACAGATGAAGACAGAAATAGCTGCATTATGTAGTCAAGTAGCAGTAGTATCAAAATTGACAGAGCGCGTTGGTCTATTTGTGTGTCGTCAAAAAACCTTATATGTTGGCAGAGTCAAATGTCAGTCTGAGCGTGGACGGGGCGTGTGACGCAAGCGCGAGAGCCGGACAAGTAGTCCGTACAGCTCGACTTATTGGATTCGTAACAAAATCTTGGACATGGCGGGCACAGAAGTCAAGGCGCTGTCGTCGGCTCAGTGTATACTGCTGACAGTGCATTATGCTAGCGAGGCCAATATCCGGGCACTGCATGCCTTCACGCCGCTGCGTCTGGACGTACTATCGCCCGAACTGGTCCTGCGCATTGTGCTAAGTTACTTGCCAGAGACGCTCGACCCTTCGCTCTACACGACGTACGTTCGCGAGGTGGCCACGCGCATCTACTTGGAGCAGCAGGAACCCTTTGACATAGACACGACTCCTGTGGCTGCCCTGTCTGCCGAAAAGGCTCAGAAGCGCGTCAACAAGCTCTCCATCGCAGACCTTAGTCCGCCAGCCTTCCCTCCTCATGCGCCCGCCGACTTGTTGACTCGCTTCGTCATCCACCGAGCGAATCGCATCGACAGCGAGACGGGCCTCTTGACTTTAGTCCCACGCCTGGCAGAACCATTCCTCGATACCAACGACTACCTGCGCACCTGGTACGTTTCCGTCGTCTTACCCTTGCTACGACTCCGCTACGACTACTATCCCGAGAAGAAAGATCCGCCAACTCTGCCCGCTTTTGAGAGACTAGATGGCCAGCAAGGCATCGACCTCTTGCTCGAAAACGTGACCGACGTCCAACATGACATCACTTCATCCACCGACTCGGAAGGTCTAGTCGCTAGAGATACTAGAGCAATGGTTGGACCCTGGATGTATGGCCACACGGAGCGCAAGAGACGTCGCCTTGACGACGAGCCAGAACCAACACATGACGAACAAGATATGGTTCGCTCTCCTCCCCGTACTGCCTTCATCAAACTCGATGGCGTGTCGAAGCACGACAAGACGGGCCACGACTGGGAATACGTCTTTGAATGGATGGTACACAATGCTGTAAACAACTTTCCGCTAGTCACCAATCTCATCGAAGAGTGGGACGGTCCAGGAGACGTCGACCTCGGCGGGTTCCACAATCCTCAAGCCTATCTCGATGATGACACCCAAGCCAAACTCGAACGACAGTATGCACAAGCTGCCTTTGCTTCTTGCTATGCCGCTGAAGCCGATACTCCGGAGACCATTGATGGTGCTCATGGAATCCTTGTTCGTCTAGCTCAACTGCTAGATTTCGAGCCTCCTCCAGAACTTGCCACTAGTGTCAAGCAGCTACCCAAGGTCGACAAGCACGCCGAGCTATTACATGCCACCGATTCAACCATATACCTCGAGCCAGATGTCCTCTTACGGCCCGAACATCCTCTAGCCACTCCCAAACTCGAAACATACATGCTTCTACAAATGATGGTCTACTCGGCATACCAGCTCAATGGTCTTGGTCACAGTATCTCCATCCTCAATGTTGCAAAATTACGGTTCTTCTCTGATGAGGACGAACAATTGAGTCTCTTGCTCAAGATTGTGCATGGTCTGGCTGCCAAAGGAAAGCGTGATGAACAGCAATGGCAGTACGATTACGACAGATTGATCTGGTTATGGAACTGGAATATTGAGCTCGAAGATCAAGGTCGCAGAGGTGCTGGCATCTTTGGCCGAATCGAAAAAACAGTCATTGAACGCGAACTGCTCAAGGTGCTAATTTCAAGTGGATGTAAGTCTGCTGATCAAACTCTTGCTTCAGACATTGATAGGATTTTGCACATTTCTAATCACTAGCTATCAATTGTATATTTCCTTTTTCTTATAATCATCTTTTTGACAACCGTTTGGCGATATTCTAACATATGGATCCTCAGGTTATTCGTTGATCGATCGTTTATACTTTTCTCCTTCCGACCTTCGCCAAATAAGGTTAGAAGACATGGAGAAAGTTATCCTCGATCAGGCAATGCAACTTTACGACAATGCCAGCAACGGCAATCGAACAAGAGGCAGTATGAAGAAGGCCCAAGATCTGTATGTGTTTCAGCTGCATACTGTTTTTTCATCATTATCTAATCACACGATAGAATTACTCACTGCCAGAGTCACTTCCCTCAAAGTGCCGAGTTCAAGAAAGCTCTGGCATTAATCGCTGCTACACACTCCATGTCCTTCTACTCACTGACGTTGCAACACGGCGTTCCTTTTCAGCCCGTGAATATTCGCGCTAGCCTGGACCCCCTATCGCTTTTGCCAAAACTGCTCGAACAAAATGCCAACAGTTACACAAAACTTGATGACCTCATTGGAATTGGTCGCAACCTAATAGCAGCTGGTCTACCTCTTCGCAATGCCGATGGCGACCTCATCGATCGAAGTCTGGAAACAGACAATGACAGAAAGGCCAAGCTCTTGGTTGCCGAGAAGAGGGTGATATACATGTGTGTCGAGGCAGCACTCACTGTAGGCGACTTTGAGACTGCATACTCATATGTTGTCAACAGACTGGCTCCTCAAGACACTATTCCGTCGTCTACATCAGAAGATGAATCGGCAGCGCAAGAAGACGATGTATCCTGGCGTGCAGCCTTCTTGGCTGGTCGCTACAGACCGCAATCAAACGCTCAGCCCACCCTTCGTCGTCTAGATCAACGCACCGAACTCTTGAGCTTGGCCCTTCTCCTGGCCCCACCCGCATCCTTGTCCGAAGTCCTCAACATATGGCGACGCTGCGAAGAAGAAACCAATGCTCTGCTCGCCGCCGAAACAGAAGCAGAAGAAGAATTCGACGATCGCGCAGACAAACGCATCAGCGTGCCTGGAGGCTTCTCAGACGTGTCAACAGAAGGCATGGTATTCGGGCAGCCTCGCCGCGAACTCGGCCGCTCGAATGCGGAGGCTAGACGAGGCGCCGATGAGGAAGCACCCATGGGATTATTCGACGTGGCTCGGGGTGCCGCAAAGGCGTTTAGTAGGAATGCATTCCCCTTGCGTGGTGCAGCAGCATCTTCGCAACAGCAGCAGCATTCGCAAATGCACGCACAACAACAGCATGAGGCGGTGCATGAAGGCATGGACGATGCAGGCAGAGTGCGCAGGCGAGACATGATTGCAAACACCGTGACAGGTGGTCTGGCATCTGGAATTGGATGGATGCTTGGTGCTACTCCAGTGGACAGGAGTGCAGATAGATGATCGGCGACGAGAAAAGCTTGGTACCTTCAACCTGTTTCCTCTTTCTGTCGAGAAGGGCCTATTAGTATTATTGCCTCCTTGAATAAAGCCTTGGAACGAGGTCTAGATCATCAGTCCTACTACAATATGGCTAAACGGGTTTGAGTTCCAGAAGAGGGTGTTGTCATCAGCCTTAAAACTTCACCGCATCTGGTTGTGCGTTGTCAAAGCACCTTGCCATACAGCGATGAATATGGTCTCGACATCCAACTGATGACAGACGTGAGAATAGAGATCTATGAGTCATGGAAGAAGAAAAGATAGTATTCAGCGATGGAAAGGGCGAGATAGAAGAATATCAGAACAAGACAAAACCGCATGGGCGTCGCAGTGATAACAACCGAACAAGCAAGAAGACCTCGAGGAAATCGCCACTGGTGCACTTTCCATCTCGAAGTTCCTCTGCAGGTAGAAGTGAAGATCATGACCGTGAAAAAACCGGAAACTGCCAAAATAGAAAGACCTGGAATGTTGAGCGATATAACAACATCAAAATCAACCGGCTCGAAAAATACAAAAGGGTCACCAGGAAGCAGCGTGTAGTGTCTTGACAATCCAATCTGTGGTACGAGATCAAGGGCGAGAGGAATAGAGAGGTGAAGAGTCGTACACGAGGCGAGGAAGGTCAAAGTTGTTGAGAACATATCGTGCTCCTTTAGAGGGACTTCAATACGTGAGATCCCTGGAGGGTGGACTTCTGGCAACGGCAGCTGGATCACACTATGTGTTGTCAGGTTTCCAGTCACTTTATCAGAAGCATGAAAAGGCATACCTTGTAGGCGTGTCTGAACCAAGACGTGTGACTCTTCTTCCCACCGTTTAGCACGATCCATCTATTGCATGATCCACAATATCCTTCCCAGCCTTTATCGTCAGCCAACGCTCGAGTGTGAGTCGGTCGTGGGAAGGGTGTGCCCATGACAGTGATGCCGTGGCAAAAGTTTTTGTGGTCTACTGTCCTTGTCAGCGCACATTCGTCAATTGAGAACAATGATTTCACCTACACCAATAGGTACTACGCTTCAGACTTAACCATTTTCCAGGACGGCATGCACCACACCAGCCCTCTCGCTGCTTGCCATCTCCTCTGATCCATCGCGGCATATACAAATGGTTGGGGTCTTTAAGGTTGCGTCTCTGTGGCACCATAGTCTTGTCGCCGGGGTTCATGTCCTCAGGCGGTGGATCCAACAGCTCGGCAGGAGGATCGGGTATGAGGTCTGATGGGATCGTGGTACTTGTAGTTGCGGGACTAGCGTTGTCATCGATATCCCAGCAAGAAGAAGTTGGTGATACCTGGGTGCGTGGTGTGGCTATTGACGGGCTCAGCTTGTAGTATAAATTACTGCTATTGTGACCAATGCTCTGAGCCACAATATCTGTACGAAGTGAAGGTTGAGGAGGTACGACATCAGATGCGGCCTGTGACCAGTCCCAAAAAGTAGTGTCATGCCTTTCTGGATGGTGTCCTTCTCGTGGCAACGGTCCGTCAGGAGTGGTGGAGACGTAGTGATCCATATGCACAGAAGGGGTTTCGAAGCATTCAACCCCTGTATCAGAGTATTGCATGTTCACATTCTCTTCGTGATGAGATCGATCATGCGCGTGAGGCTGATACCCATGTCGATAAGAGCCGGCACCATTATAATGTCCTAGGCTATATGGTTCCTGAACTTGATTATCAGGCAAGTCTTGAGCTCCATGGTACGAGCGCTGGAGAAGCCAGTTGTCTTTGGTTGGCGAACTGATCTGGTCATAATCTGTGTCACCCAAAGGAGGGTTCGTGTAGACCTGAGTTCTGTTGGTGTCGTTCCACTGCTCTCCACTTCCGTAGGCATCTGGTGAGGCTTGAAAGTACCAAGTGTTGTTGGGCCAAGTCAACCACACTAAGTTCATGTTAACATGAACTTGCTCTGATCCTACAGAGCAATTCCAACTTACACTTAGGTTGGGCATCATGAGTCAGCCATTGAAATTGAACGTCGCCGTCGTCCAGCACTGGCTGGGACATGTGCTGTTGATGGTGCTGACAGTGGGGATCCTGGTTTCCACAGCACACAGATTCGTCGGTAAATAATGGCTGTTCATTGGCTGCAAATGAAGACTGACGGCAGAAACTAGGTCGCACCGTGGTAGGATCCACAAAGGACGAAGTCATTGCATCCTAGAGAGACAAGGAATTCCACAAAGCATCTTGGGAAAGGGAAAAAAATGTGACAGGTCAAAATCCAATGAGGACTACCCAACCGGTTATAGAAGAGTCCCCTTGGGCAAATGCATGACCATAACGGCCACGGCCTTACAAGGCCACACATAAAAATGTAAGACTCCACGCAGTGTATGTTGAATCCTGCGTGAGATGATGTGCTGAAACCGTCCTCGTGCGTTGAAGCCTGCATGAGCCTTCTTCACAGACTGAAGCAAGGGATTGTGCCGAATTGAGCCAGACTGGGCATCGCATTGACAATTGGTACTGAAATTGCATATAGGGTCAACTGCTATTCGTTGGGTACGTGCATTTGAGTTTCTTCTTCGAGTCGAAATGCGTGGGTCAAGAATGTAAGACCATAAAGGAACCTGGATGGGAGAATGCAGCTGCAGCAAAACAAGCCTACCGTGTGTGTGCGTGTGTGGACCGGATTACTCGATCGCTCAAGACATCGGCACGTGGCTATGCCCATAATCAACAAGCAAAGCAGCCAGAGTGAAGCTTCGTAGGATCTTGTGTAACACATGGCTGTCCTGAAAGCGCGGCCAAGACGGCCCGGCCGTGCTGTGATGAAAATTTTGGGATGCAGACAACCAACCAACAGATATTCACGTGGAATGTGTGAGCAAGCGCTCGGCGAGGACCGATGGAACAGTTGGTGAGTTGCTGCGGTCTTTGTTGACGTGCCGACAGGCGCCCTTGCAGAACTGGAATTCAGTGAGGGGAGTGCAGAAGTGTGCGATACTGAAATGTAAGAGATAGACGAGGTACAAAGTGGCAGTACTTTTTGTATTGCGCGTTGATGATTAAAGGAAGTTCGGAGGTCTGGTTATCAACAAGGCATGTGCCTAGGGTCGATGGACGGCAAGAGAGATCGACGTAATCTTGCATGCACTGTCCGTTAGTGCACGCAAGTCCGGACATGCAACCCAAAACACAGGATCCCAGCAGGCAGTACAATCTCGGAGAAGGAGCGATAAAGGTGCTCTTGACGAAAATTCGAGCACTCTGAAGAATTTATGACAAGTCTTGAAGTCGCATTTTGAGCCTCAACCCACCAGAAACGATGGATTGTCCGCCGTTAACATCCGTGACCATCTCGAAAGTTCGGATCTCGTTGGCTCCACTTTGATCGACAGCCACATGCTGGTCACCGATGAGATCAAATCGGTGCTCGCATCATCGCAAGGTTCGCACCCCTGTACAATTTTCGTGAACCCATCTGAGCTGCTGGGTGAACTGCTGTCTCCATGAACTCATGACGTGACGGCTTGCTGGGGCAAGAGGCTGCCCAAAAGTATTTGTCCCGTTCGTTTCTCTAGTTTTCCTTGGACGAGGTAGGTGAACTGTCTTGTTCAATCATATCGGACATTCACAATGGCCCCATTTCTGGGCCTAAGAGGCTCCAGCCTGCGCACTGCTATTGCATTGGCAGCTGGACTTTGCTTCGTCGCCTTTGGATACGGCCAGAGTGATTTTGGAGGCCTTCTTACGGTCTCCACTTTCAGAGAGAGATTTCCAGAGATTGATACCGTCGGAAGACCCTATAGTAGCCATGTTGCCGTTATCCAAGGAATCACAAATGCGACATGGAACATTGGAGTATGTAAGGACACGCTGCTCTACTTGACATGTACTGACCTTGTTAGTGCTTTGCAAGTGCCATTATTGCAGTCTTCCTCGGCAACTACCTCGGTCGTCGACAAATGATCATTCTTGGCTTGGTCGTGATGGCAATCGGCAAGGTCATTCAAGCTTCCTCCTATTCCTATGGCCAATTGGTTGCTGGAAGGTTCATTGCTGGCTTCGGCAATGGCTTCAACACTTCTGCCGTGCCAGCTTGGCAAGCAGAATCGACTCGTGCACATCGTCGAGGCACCATGCTCATGGTCTCTTCTGGAGCCTGCATCGCTTTTGGTGTTGCCTTGGCCTACTGGGTCGACTTTGCCTTTGCATGGGTCGCTCCCAGCTCGGCCTCATGGAGAGTCGCCACTGCATTCCAGATTGTACCGGCAATGCTGGCATTCATGCTCATCATCTTCCTTCCCGAGTCACCTCGTTGGCTTATCCTCACTGGTAGAGAGGAAGGAGCGCTGACTGTTCTATCGGCACTTTCGGATGCAACCCCAGATGACGAAGAAGTTCGCCAGGAGTTTCTCCAAATCAAGGATGCTATTCTCGAGATGGCTCGTGGAGGTTTCTCTTCTGCCTTCGCGATGAACGAGTATAGGTATCTGCATCGCACCATACTCGCATTCATGCTCCAGGTCATGCAGCAGTGGACGGGTATCAACCTATTTACTCAATACCTTGCTCTCATCTTCAACACACAAACAGACTACAAGCCGTGGGTGGCCAGACTACTTGCAGGTTGTAGTGCGACCGAGCTGTTCCTGGCATCTTTCGTCACTGTCATTGGTATTGACCGATTTTGGGGCCGACGAGCTCTGTCTATGTTCGGTGCCGTAGGTATGTCGGTCTCACTCATTATTCTTACAGTAATGAGCTACGTCAATATCAGCTCTACCCACATCGTCATGGTGGTGTTCATCTTCGTCTATAACACTTTCTTTGCTATCGGATGGCAAGGCATGTCATGGCTATGGGCTGTTGAATTGACGCCTCTAGCCATTAGAGGACCTACCAATGCCATGTCGACTGCTGGCAATTGGCTTAGCAACTTCGTCGTTGTCCTCATCACACCGATCGCCTTCCATAACATAGGTTACCGGACATACATCATCTTTGCGGTCATCAATGCTGCTATCATTCCAATAGTTTATTTCTTCTATGTAAGTTCTTTTCCACTCGAATATCATGCCTTGTTTCTGATCACACACACAGCCGGAGACTGGATGCCGTTGTCTGGAGGAGGTTGACGTCTTGTTCCATCAAGCATCTCAAACCTCAAGTCCTTGGACCTCTGTGGTCAAGGTCGCAAACAAGGAGCCTCTCTGGTATGGCAAAGGTGGTGAACAGACCTTTACATATGAAAGAAGCGATTGGCATCAACATTTGGCCGAAACTCAAGGAAGCCGAAGCTCTGATGGCCATGTGGCTTCTTCATCTAATGGCAGTCCACCTGGTATGGAAGAGAAGCAAGAAGTCTAGGTTCAGGATCACTAGGCGTATTGGCTTCAAGGATTTCTGTATCGTACTCCATGACGAAGCAGTATTTATAAAGTTAAAGTTAATATATCTAATATTTAGGAGCATAGATGACCGAGCTCTCAAAGGAATTACCACCACCAACTAGATTGAGATCAATTGCGATGCTCCGCCCCCAACTTGGATCAGACAAACCATGTACAGCTCTTTACTCCAGCATAATGCCGAGATCGGTCTACGTATGCAAACTCGCTCATTGCTCTCTCTCACATTTTTGCGGGTTTCGAACCAGCGCCAGCAGGAGCTTTAGCTAGAGAGTAAGACGATCTCTATGCGACTCAACTTCGTAGCTTATCCACAACGCGAAAGGATCAGTGCCGGCCCCATACCCAGTCACGACTAGCTTCGTGCTGGCCGTTTGTTCATGTACCAATACCAGGAAAGATTACCAAGAATCCAGCACAGAGGATACAGGGTCACCAGCGCAACAAGATTGCCTTGACAGAATGTATCATCGACCCATGTATCAACACCATTGCACAATACTGAACCCTAAGATGGCTTGGAGGGTGATCTTGTAAAGCTTATTAGGAAAGAGTGGCTCTGGTTGGTTATGTATTCTGGTATACCGTACGCGAGCTATCCCAGCAGCGAGAAACGTATGATTCAAACAAACATTGCAGCACAAAGATCTTCGACCAAGATCATCGGGTAGCCTTCAAATTTGTAAGCAGACCTGCAACCTTAAGCCATAGCTCAGGGTTCACACTTACATCGGGCATGGCTTTCTCAGTCACTGACATCCTCCTCTCGAGGTCTTCGAGCTTCTTGAGAGTGACTTGTTGGTGTAGGTGTAGTTGCTCCTTGTGTTCTTGCTTGAGAATCTTGAATTCCTTATCAAGCTCTTCGTGCCAGGGGTACAAGACACCAGTCTGAAAACCCAAAGCTGAGATGGCGACAGTGAAGTTGAGATAAGGAAGCCACAGACGGGCAGTCGGACCGAGAACCATGTTGTGCGCGTGCAAAGAAGAGGAAAAGAAAGACAGATGTGTGGTATCGAATACTTGAGAAACGAAAGTGGATTGATAGATGGACCAAAAAGACGAAGGTGAAGAGTGAAAGTTGGAAGGCTTCTTGGAAAAATGCAGAAAAGAGAAGGTAACAATGAGGAAGGCAACCGAAATAAACCAGACAAAAGACCGAGGGTGAGTCAAAGGAAGGAGTCGGAAAGAAAATATAGGGATTGAGATCACGCGATACGTTTAGAGGCTTGTTTATGTCTCTGCTCGGTCCAGAAGAGCGGTAAGTTTGATCCTCATCGTATGCGACTCGTCTGGCCCAAGCATCCTACAAGACAATAAGGCCTACCTCTTGAGACACATGTGATGTGAATCCATAAAGCACAAATCAATAAAAGGTGGTTGAGTTGAAGGAAGGAAGCAAGTACGGAGACTGAGAGTCGGACAAGGGCCTCCCGGAAGGCGCCGTGCGTCGTCCAAACAATGAGGGGGCCGCGACTACGTCAAGCCTGCACCACATGTAGATTCAAACCAGGCAGTAGAGGCGGCATATTGCTATCCTCCTGTTCGACACTGCGCTCGCAATGTGTCCAGCTGCTCATTTCGTTCAACAGCCAACATGATCTTGTCCATCTCGATGCCCAAAGGCAGCAGCCGCTTCCTCCGCAGACCCGACTTCCTCAAGTCCCGCCAGTCCGACGACGCCGTCTCGACAGAAGTGAAGACACCTCTGGATCTGGACGAGGTGCTGGAACATGTCGTGGAAGAGGAGGATCCTGACCTGGGCGAACTGAATACGGCACTCAGTGCTCTGGTCGACATATTCCCTGACGTGCAGCCTGATGTCTTTCGCGAGATGCTTCTAAACCTGTCCAGGGAGAGCAGGCTCGAGGTTGTGACTGAACATCTCTTGAGAAATGGGGCACAGTACATCCAAGGACGCTACAGGAAGAAACCGTCCGACGACAAGACAAGCCAGCCACGCCACCTCGAACCGCTTCCCAGAGACGAGACCTTCAGATCCGATAAATACAAGCGTGCTGTCAAGGACACTCTATATCTCGAATTCAGGAACCTGAGTCACTCTTCCATAAGAGCCGTTCTGGCCGAGCACAACTATTCATACACCCTTGCACGTCCGACTCTGCAGCATCTGTCGTCAACATCTTGGAGAGCCACCATTTCCTCGTTCTTCACTCGGAAACGTCCTGCTACTTCTGATCCCGAAGCCCACCCTCACGTCGAGTGGCTGCCCAATCCTACCGAACCTCGCAGCCTATCTCCATATCTCAAGCGTACTGGCTGCACAGAGCTAGACCAAGAGTTGTATTGTGTATACATTGCTCCTGTCCTTGCTCGCCAAAACCAGGAACGATTGGATCGAGACCAAGCTATGGCGTACGAACTCAACGAGACCGAAGCTGAAGAAGCCGACGCTTTGTTTGACTGCGAATGCTGCTTCACTTCTTATCCCTTCGAGTACATATCTACATGTGACTCTGACGTTGGTCACTTCATCTGCTTCCGATGCATAAAGCTTGCGGCGAACGAGGCCCTGTATGGTCAAGGATGGGCAAGGAACATTGACCTGTCAAAATCCTCATTGCGGTGCCTGGCCCCATCTGTACCAGACTGTCAAGGATGCATAGATGCAGAACTGGTTCGGAGAGCTCTGTGCACCGAGAAGGATGGTGTTACAAACTGGCAAAAGCTTCAAGAGCGTGTCATGTCGGAGAACTTGATCAAGAGCCAGCTGCCCCTTTTGCGGTGTCTCTCTTGTCCTTATGCCGAGATTGACGAACCGACCAGTCTGAGATTCAAAGATCCTATGTCTTTGACTGCCTACCTCATCCACATGCCAATGGATCCGCTAAAATCTTTAATTGCGTTGATGCTCATTTTTGTTTACCCACTGTTGTGGGTCATGTTGCACCCTCTTCTAATTCTCATCGCAGTGGTCGACAAGACAGCATACAATCGAGTCCAGGCATCTCGAACACGTACAATTCGCCGGAGACGAGGGTTAAAGTTTACTTGCCAGTCTTCAATCTGCGGCAAAAGTTCATGCACCAACTGCGGTGGTCCATGGTCAGATCCGCATACCTGCCATGAATCCTCTTTACAATCTCTTAGACAGGCGATCGAGGCTGCTACAACAAGCAGTATCAAGCGCACCTGTCCAAAGTGTAACCTCAGCTTCGTCAAGTCGAGTGGCTGTAACAAGCTCGTTTGCAATTGTGGATACACCATGTGTTATGTCTGTCGCCAAGAAATTGGAAAAGAAGGGTATGCCCATTTCTGTCAGCACTTCAGAGAGGCGGGAGGTCGCTGTACAGAGTGCGACCGTTGCGACCTATACATTGTTGAGGACGAAGAAGGCACCATCCGCAAGGCTGCAGTCCAGGCTGAAAAAGATTGGCTGCAGCGGGAGGGAAAGAGCAAAGACAGTGATGACAAGCTTGGAGCTGTTGTCAACGATGTCCTTGCTAACGCTACTGGTGGGAAGCGGTGTGATTATGATGCATGGCTTGATTTTTTCATGACGGTTCTCTTGGAGTAAGTTATGGAAGGCGTTAGGGATAGGAAGATACCCCTCTTTTTCGTAGTTGACATGGCATTCATATTATTATTCTTTTGTAATCAAGACAATGCAGCGAAGAATTTGTGCTTCTTCAATTGATCCAGAGAGACAGATTTGGCAGTAGATGTGTCGAACGAGTTGTCGGTTTTGGAGATGAAGTGGTAGACCTGACTGATGCCAGTGCTCTCGAGGAAAGATAGTACCTTTGAAAAGTTCAAGCCTACCTGACTGGTGGCATGGCTGTCGTCAGAAAGAGCAAAACGTCCGCCTTTCTTGATGAACTCCTGTCGAATGTCAATATTGATACAACAGAAAAGAGGTGGAAACAGTCGAACCTTGCAGACCTCAGCCTTGGGATACGGCTCAGACATGCCCTTTCGAATAGCGCTAGAGTTGATCTCAAGGATACCCCCATAGCTGGCGACGAAGTCGAGGTTTCTGACAATCTTCTCCCAGACTGCTGGCATGGTGGTCCAGACACGATTGGGATCATCGCTCTTCAGTCTGATGAGATCAAAGTGACCAACAAGAGGAGGAGTCAAAGCCTTGAGCATGTCATATTGCTGGTCAAAGTATGCAGCAAAGACATCTTGATCAGAACCTCCAGAGATGGTTCTGGCTTCATGGTACATGTCGTGATCAAAGTCAATTGGCTTGGTATGGACATGATGAATGCTGCCGACAAAGAAGTCAAACTTGTAGCGGGCCAGCAAGTCTTTGATGATAGAATTGGTTTCGGGGCGAATCCACTCGGATTCAAAACCAATGAGAATGTTTATTTGGGAGGCGTATTTCTCACGCAAACGCAAAGCCTCAGGATAGTAGGCATCAAAAAGGTCGGCGAGAGTTTGGGCATCTGACTCTTCGGGATAAAGGTCAGCGGCATGGCGGGGCATGTGCTCGGTCAGAGCAAAAGTGTCCATGTTGAGGGAGATGGCCTGTTGGACCATCTCCTCGAGAGTACATGCCGCATGGGCGCAGAACTGGCCCGAATGAGAGTGGTGAGAATGTGGCATGTTGCTAAGGTTGAAGTGGATAAGGTAATGTTAGCATTGGTTGGATGCTCATCGTCTTCATGTGAGAGGCTTGGCAGAGAGCCCTTGAAGGGTCCAGGAGCTCTCACATGCCGAGAGTCAAACAACAAAGCCACCTTCCTGTTCAACACTTGTACACACACCTTAGTCACATAGATAATCACCATGGACAAATTCGCAGCATTCGGCAAGAACATTGGCAACATCGGGTAATGCTGCATCACGCCCGTCAATCAAGGACACGAAGCTTACTTAGGCAGCGCATCCTTTACTCCCTTTGCAGCCCGCACCCAGCAATATGTCAAGGAGCAGTTTGGCCAGACCGAAGACAAGACTGAGCTGCCCCCAGACTACATCGAGCTCGAGAAGCGCGTCGATGCCCTGAAGCTCGTCCACCAGAAGCTGTTGTCTGTCACATCGCAGTACACCAACGAAGCATACGACTACCCTCCCAACATCCGCGAGTCCTTTACCGACCTGTCCAAGAACGTCACCGAGAAGGTCCAGCTCTTGTCGCGAGCCACCACCACTGCCGAAGCTCAGGCTGCCTTCACTGCCTCTTCCCAAGCAAAGCCCCAGCCCAAGACTTTCAACCACGCCATCGCCCGTGCTTCGTTGGCTGGCAGCCAGCTCTTGCACCAGAGCGACCTTCGCGGCGCCGGTGCCGATGACTCGCTTGCACAAGCTCTCGAGAAGTACGCTGTCGCCGAGGAGAGAGTTGGTGAGGCCCGTCTGACCCAAGACGAGCGCATCCAGCAGCGCTTCCTTGCTGGCTGGAGTGCTACTCTCAACACAAACTTGCAGTTTGCCCAGCGTGCTCGCAAGAATGTCGAGAATGCCCGTCTCAACCTTGATGCCACAAAGGCTCGTGTCAAGGGCATCAACAACCCCTTCAACAACAAGGCCCAATCCCACGGCGAGGAAAATTACACCGAAGCTCAGCGCGCCGAGATCGAGAAGGCTGAGGATGAGTTTGTCAACCAGACCGAAGAGGCAGTGGGCGTCATGAAGAACGTTCTTGACACACCCGAACCCCTCAAGAATTTGGCCGAGTTGATTGCTGCTCAGCTAGAGTTCCACAAGAGGGCCTATGAGATTTTGTCAGAGCTGGCCCCTGAGGTCGACCAGCTGCAGCTTGATCAGGAGGTATCTTCTGCCCGATCCACTCCTCCCTCCATCCAAGTCACCCAATTCTGATTACATTCTTCAGGCCAGTTACCGCAGAGCCCGCGACTCTGCTTGATCAAATCCCAACAAACCTCAGCCTCCTCCTTTTTCATTCCATCTATTTTGACCCTCCTCAATTCTCTTCCGATATTCGAGGCTCGCTACGCATCGACGTTATTGTCACTGCTTCTCTTGTTTTCTTCTTCTCGCTTCTACGTTTGTCCTTGTTGCAAGCTTCGCTTCTGGATACCACTCAATCAATTCAATACGTCTATATGCTTCTTGTGTTCGCTCCCGGACCGAGTCTTGCTCCATGTTTTATCGATGCCTCGAGAAGTACATCATGTCGGTCCCACAGAACAGACCTCTTCCGATGCCAAGCCTTTCTTTTAGGCTCCGCGGTCCTTCGCTTCGCTCTATATTGCTTGATTACAATATGCAATTTGCGCCTCTCGAGACGAGGGTCAAGTATAGTAGAAGAGCACGACTCAGTCCGCAGCCTAAATGACTTATACATAGGATGTCGTCACCGCGTCTTTAAACGCCTTGCGCCTTATTCCTTATTATCCTTATATAATTTCTCCACATGACACTCCACAATACAAACAAAGGTGTCAGTCTGACACGAACTGCACGAATATGGTATCCAAACCCTCGGGAGTTGCTTGACACCGTACTCCGTAAAGTGGGAAGCCAGGCACATGCAAGATGTTTATTGCGCATTGAATTTCCCATGGCAGTCCGGACCATGTGTTTAGTAATGCTGATCTGTGCCTGACAGCCGTCTCTGCCATGTAAAAGCATGGACATTACTATAATGTGCCTTGAAGATCGAAACATGCACCCACGTGTGTTGCATGCAGCCTTACGTTCGACTAATATACCATGCAAGCTTGGGAATTGGGAGTTTGTCATCAATTTTTCCATTGCTCCTGGTTTGATGTTGACTGTCTCTCGGTCCGTGTTTTGTCACTACTCATTCAATGTATATGAGTATTTTTTTGGCCATCATTCTATCGGGTGGCTTAGACGTGCTGCTTGAACAAGTGCTCAGCAAAACACAAGAGAATATTCAAACATAGCTGTTAGATCATGAGATGTATATGCCTCGAATATACTGACATGCAAGCCATGATGCCGCCCAGCCTTCCTGCCTCCTCCTTTTATCCTTTCCTAGGGCCAATTCATCTCTGGACTGCTCTCCCAAGGCATACTCCCCGCAGGTTCAAAGTCAAAAGGATCAGACGAATCCGTTCCTCCTGCACTACCCGCATCCTTCTTGGAGTCCGTGTCGTCGAGTTGGAGTGCTTTGAAGAGACCTTTCATGTCGCGTAGATCGGATTGTACAGTGTCTTGTGGTACTCGCGCGCGGTAGTCGATGAATTCGCGCACGGCTTGGAGCATGGGGTAATAGCCTTCGTCGTTGGGGAGCCACCAACGCATTACATCGACGCCCCAAACGCCGGTCATGCGTTGTCGTAGTGCGGCAGGGTAGATGTAGCTGTTCAACGTCAATACATCTAGAAATTTGGAAGAGAAAAGTTCTGAAACTTACCCGCATTGCTCGATTAGAGCATACTTGTTGCGGCACCACATGGTGTGTCGTTGATCTTTTGGCAAGCATGCAGCAGCCATTCCCAGACTTGCTTGCGCGCCCAGAATCATTGCCGTCGCATCTTCGCCACAGTACTGTAGCGCCTCGAACATCTTGCACACCTTGAATGCCGACGCCACAACCTCTTCTCCACCCACCGTGGGGTCGAATTGAGCAATCTGTGACTTGAAGAGGAGATGGATGGCCCAAAAATCAATCAGGATGAAGTTCCATGTAAACAGGTCTCCTGCCCATAGGAACTCGGGATCTGTAGAGCCTACCACGTCGTCCCATTCTCCCTTTGGTGCATTGGGGAATTCTTTGACGTATGTCCGTGTGTCCTTGAAGGCGGACTCGAGCTCATGAGCATAAGTTTCTAGTTGAGCGCCTAGTTTGCCCATTTCCTCAATGAGCTCTTGGCTCGGGCCAGCGGTTTTGGCTCGTGCGAACAGTAGAGAGATGTCGGTTGCCAGCAGTCGCGACCGGGCAAACTTTTCCTCAAACAGTGAGCCTAGGTCACGAGGTTTGTCTCTAGCCTGTCGAACGTAAAACTCCATGCACGCCACATGCCAGTCACGAGACAGCACCATCCCATAGCCATGCATGAATCCTGCGAAAAGGTCGAATCGAATGTACCACGAGATGATCTTGCGGTGTGTTTCGCTTTGCATGATGGTTTGTGGTGTAAAAAGCTCGGTAAGAATCTCGTAAGCAGCCCTCTGATGGCCCATCAGATTGACCCAGTCGCCCAGAAATTCTTCAAAAGTGGCCAGTTGCAGGATAGTAAGTAAAGTGGCTACGGTATGCCTCGGGCTCCTCTCCAAGGATTGGCGTAGTAACGAGACCGATTTGTTGTAATAACCCAAGAAACTCGAAAGTTTGCCATCGGGTTTTGCCATTGTATGATGATAAGCAGAGAATGCGGTGATTGCGTAAAGAAGTGGCTCGTATCCTAGTGCTATCTCCAAGAATGTCGTTTTCAAGAAGTCTCCGCTATCGTACTTCATGGCATAGTGTTGGTGCGTCAGTTTCTCCCGGTGGTAGGTGATGTAAAACTTGACGTCTTTTGGTAAATGTGCCCACTTGCTGTTTGGTGGTGGTTTGGACTTCAAAGACTTTCTTGAGCTTTGGCTGCGGATTTGTGGGCGTGTACTAGGTCGAACTGATGATGTGATGGAGCTGTCCGTGGTTGCAGGACTTTTGATTAGAGGACTCTGGTCCCTCGAGTTGGAAGATGCATCAGACAGTTTGCGGTCCTCCTTGGAACACAAGCTCGACGCGCCCTCTTCAATCTCTTCGTCATCAGGAATGGAAGGAAGTCTGCCGGCTTCGTTGATATCGTAGTCCTCGCCAGATGAGTTTGAGGCTTCGCCAGCGGAGCCCTTATTTTTGTTACCTTTCGAAGACTTTGATGACGAGCCTGTAGTGGGTTCGGGATAGTGGCATTCGCGTTTACCTTTCCGACATCCTGTAGCTTGGTGAGTACAGTTTCATAGAAGAGGTTGCATGCTACTCACTTTCGCAGATTGGATGAGTTTCGTCACACTGTTTACAGAGATCAACAAATTGTCGTGGATAACAAGACGAGTAAATCTTACCTTGACTCTACGCTGTCTGCAAGTAAAGCAACCACTTCGTGTTCTCTGGTGTTTGACGTGATCAGTCCCCGTTACAGATCGTCGTTTACCACCACGCGACCCTGCCTGTTGCGCTATCGATGCGCGGCTGGGATCTTCAAGATCAGAGTAGCTGTTCAGGTTTTCTTGAGATATGGTTGGTATTTGATAAAGTCTTGGCATATAACCATCCGGCATCATAACTCCCTCTGGCATCATGCCTTCCGGTGGGATCATAGGTTGTCCGTTGGGGTAGTATCCGGTACCCATAGAATTCATGGTATAGTAGTGGTTGTCCATGTCTCTGGTATTTTGCAGGTAATGTGAAAAATCGATGGTATAAATCAAGCCTCCAGAACCTTTTCCTTTGGGTGATACCGAAAGACTGGGACGGTAGGTGTGTAAATAGCCCACTGCAAGGAGCGGAAGAACCAGAGAAATGGGACTTGGTATAAGAACAGACACGCAGTGAAGACCCTTTGAGAATCCTGTTTGATAACGTGATGATTAGATTGTTGGATGGGTCCCCTGAATGACAGGACAGCACAGTGGATCCAGAGAGCTTCAGATCTAGGATAAGTGGTCCGGTTCGTCTTGCTCCGTAAAGCCAAGGCGGAAGTATGTCCACCAGGTAAGGTAATCCAGACTCTACTTGTTGCAAAAGGTCAATCGATGAAGGCAAGAACTGCTGACACAGTGACAGTCCCGGCTGAGCTGGACCGGCCACGGATATTAATTGGGTGCGGGGATGGGAATTCCAGCACCTTGGCCAAGGGATGGTCTCAGCGCACGTAAAGGAAGAAGTCAGAGCTAACGAATGCGTGGTAAAAGCTGAATGGTATCAAGAGCCGAGAAGTAGTATCCTCATTTGAGTGATAGCGTGCGTGGGAAAGTCCTTGAGAAAAACCAGAGCTGGGAGTAATCGTGTTTAGAGCCAGTGCTAGGTGACGGGGTCCAGTTTTTTGTTTGGGCAAAAAAAAATTATGTGTGCTGATGATATGTCGGACCTTGACGCACTACACGGCAGGGATGGATGCTTTGATGATCGTAGTCTGTACTTAGTGATAAACACTGACCACAAAACCCGGGCGATGATCTGCAGCAGAAGCGCTGGAGTCGGCGTCACACAGTGGTTGGGGCTGTTGCGCAAGATGAAAGGAAGTGGAAGGATGTTCGGCGTGCAAAAGTGAGACCCGGCAAGGGAAAGGCTTGATGCAAGCCTCTTGTGCGAGGGGAAGAGAGGCACGATTTAGCGCAGGCTGTATGCAGGAAAGCCCCGTTTCAGATGTCAACTGTTTTCGAGCTCCTGGCCCACGAGAGAACGGAAAAGATTCAATACACGTCCAGAGCATCATGGCCAAACGGCTTGATCGACTTGATGGCGCACCTCGTTGGAGCTTGGACGTGGAGCCGGGGGAGATTTCTACGAACGACTAGAGTACCGCCTTACCCCCAAGGAAACTCCCGATGTTCACGACTGCTGGTGGAGAAGAACCTATCGCGCCGATTTAGCTTTTTGCGACAGCCTACTCGTACAGGACACGACGGCCCCTGTCGGTGTGTTGCTGCAGCTGCTGTCTGCCAGTATATGCGTGATGCCCCCGCTACCCAAAAGTAGGCCGTCAACTATTTGCTTTCCAACCACATGTGCATGCGCTCGAGTTGGGCAGTAAAGGTTCGCATTGCTTGCAATCATCTGCGTTCAGTACGGTATACGCCTTCCCCTGATCTATGGGCCAGTGGGTATGTCTCAGGCCGCATTATTTCTTGCTGCTCAGTACTGGCCATCGGATCACGGAATCGTTCATCACCCGTGGCTGACTGAGGTTCGCCTGAATCGCGAAGACAGTAATCGCATTCGCAAACCAATCTCGCTGAAAAGAACGACACCGGCTCCTTCTAGAGCTCTGGCCTCGGTCAGGCATGTGAAAGCAATCTAACTCGACATCGACAGCCGAGCATGGGAAGCTACAACAAAGACATGTACCGCACTCGACAATTACGTGAACGGGCACTGGTTCCTGGGCACCAAAATGCTCCGTGCCAGACAACGGTTTTGAACGTCAGAGTGTTAAAGCTTACACATGTCTCATATCAACTCCCGTCGCCGTCCGTCTAGCGGTGCGAATCATCATCATCATCACCAGAGGTATATTTATGCGAATCCGAGCCCTGCTGCCTATCTGCTTATGGACAGCTCTCTCAAGTTCTCGCGCCGGCGTTATTTCCAATGTCCTCAATGTGAGGTGACGTGATGGTTAGATCTAGTGGTCTTGGGATTTGAGCCGTTCATGTCCGGGATCAACGCCGCTCTGGTATTCGAGATGATCGAAGGGCCCAATCCTCGTGGACGTGGATCCTCAGCCACCGTCGAAGTTGCTTTCTCTTTATCCGTGGTTGACGGTATATCATCTTGTATAGCTCATTGATATGGCAATTCATTTCCCTGAAGTGGCAGGTGGCTTTGGCATTAAAGTGCACACGCTCCCGCAACTCTAGTGGGGCACACGTGCGATTAACCCTCGTCTTCCAAAACACTGCCGCAGCAAAGATCTTGGAAAGCCGCTTTTCTAGTTCGAGAACAGTGTCTGTAGTTCGGGATCGCCCATGTCATGTCATATCTTCCCTCCGCATGTACCCGCTCCCCTGTCTGGCGCAGTACTGCTTGTGGTTCAATTGCTCATGGAATACCTCGGCCAGCAGTCTGCTACCACACTCTTGGCGGGGCGGCTGTTGCAGTTGGTTAGGTGTGGTTGCGCCTGCGCATGCTATCACAATACCCACAGCAAATAGCGCTGCATCTAGAGATCCTAGGGGGGTCGAATTGCAAGGGCCGATTCCCCTTCCCTTGCAGGATTCGACATTTTGCGATTATCTGATTGGTCTGGATGCATGATTTATTTTCCGTTGAGTGATCACTCGAGGCGCCCGATGTCCTGTCGCACCAAGCCCAAGGTGCAAAGTGAAAGTAATGACCTTGCCAAGTTGCTAGTAAACAAACCAGGAGACTTGGGCGATCATTTGCAAGCCTTCATTGACGGGAATATTCATGCGATTGCGCAAACCTGGCCAATGTGCTGAAGATCTTGCCTTGAACCACCAGGCAGAGCCACGTTTCCAACTGGTCCACGTTCTGTTTAGCCGCTGCTGAAGAAAACGCCTCTTGACATAGTGTCGATCACAAAGGATCAACGCCAACCAGCATAATCATGGAAAGTACCATGAGCTTCGGTCTCAGGGCCCTTAGGCTAAGAGATGAACCAACGTCACATCATGATTTTACTTTCTGGATATTCAGCCGCAAGCAACACTTTCAAGAGATATGCCTTGCGCGTCGGCATGCGCGTTTCGAGAAAATGCATCCAGGATATATCCTGACCGGCCATGTGTGCCTACGTCAAAGAACATTTTTGTGACATAACCGCTGCGTCGACTGAACGAGGATGCCCCCCATCTCGTGTTCCATGGTTGCCTTATGGTAATACAAAACGGTGGTACATCCATGATACGTGGTTCTGAATAAAAACACCGAGAGATGAATCGATCCTCTCAATGCTCCATCATCGGACCAAGGGTGTGCATGTTCAGTACGATGCAATTCTGGAAACACGTTATCGAGAGCTAGTCGAGTGGATCTCCAGCTGCATCGAAGAAGCGTATGATTCATCCAGGACTGGTTTAGATAGGGCCGACAAAGATGGAGCTGCAAAGCCAGTTCGGAAATGTGAACAGGTGATTCCATGTCATGACTCAATCACGAGGACAGTCGTTGAGAAGACGATGGTCCATCATGAGGTCAAGTATCAGACACTTTAGAAAACACGACGAAGTGATAAGAGGTTGCATCAGCAACATGTTCGATTGTAAAATGAGAGAGACAGATTCTCCGAGTATGAATTGTGTTTGTGTGTAAACTAGCTATTCATGGTTGCCTTCTCAGTCGTCCCTCGTTCCAGTGATCATCCAGCGCTGGCAAGGCTATAAAGTCCGAAAGTTAACGAAGTATAGCGATAGAAAGCTGCCCTCGATTACGCTGGCTGTGATGAAAAGGACAGATGCACCAACCCAAAAGATAAAATGCAACGCTCAAACGCCGATGGATATGCATGATGGACATTAAAAAGAAAGGAAATTCGTAGACAATTCGTAAGTGATGGGCGTAGCGGGAGAATGAATATGTGGCCGCTGAAACATGAACATGAAAGCGCTGTGGTCGTCAACAGCCGCGTCGGTTGTCGAGAACGATTTGTGAGTTGCTACTCATCAGAACGTGACGGACGTGTCTGGAGTGGAAGCAACCTCGATTGGAGGACTCGAAGGTGCGTCTTCGGTAGGAGTTTTCTCTTTTTCATCGACACCTTGCCCTCTGCAAAGTGGACAAGAATTTCGGCCTTTGGTAAGCCACTACCACAAAGTTAGCCAAGACCTTTTAAAGGATTACCAAGCTCAACATACCTGATCGATACACTCCTTGTGGAAGAGATGGTTGCATTTGACAAGGCGTCTGACCTCTTCGTCATGCTCAAAATCACAGAGACATACAAGACAACGTTGCTCGGAGCTCAAAGTAATCCTGTCATCACCTTCAGGGGCAACAGCAACGAGAGAATCCTCAGTACTTTGGATTCTGAAGATGCCGGGAGCATCGGCAACATCTTGCTCGCTGGCCACAGGAGGCTTGGCAGGTCCTAGAAGCGCTGAGAGAAGCATCATGTCTTCGTAAGTGGGCGAGTCTGTATAAAGACTTGGGGTAGTAATGATGGGGTGATTCTCGGGATAGCTTCCACCGAGGACATAGATAATCCAACTACGGGTATTCTCGCCTGCTGCATTATCGGGTTCAACAAAACCATTACGCCGAGAAGAGTAACCACGATGTCCATAGTCTGACTCGCTAAGTCGGCGCGGTCGATGCGGGCGAGGTCTAAGTGGGGCGTTCTCTGCCGTAGTTTCGAGGGTTGTGGTTGTTGTAGTGGTCCGAATGATGCTCTCACGACGGTCAGAAAAGTTGGAATTCGAACGGCTAGACGTAGGACGTTGGGGCGGGATAGCAGAGCTGGCCGAACCTACTCGCGAAAGAGCAGGGCTTAAAGGGGGTCGAGAGGTGTTTATGGAGCGCGATCGTGTACGATCGGGGGTCAACGAGTGACGTTGGGAATCATATGCCGCTGGAAAGTTGGATTGACCACCCATGGAAGCCCGTCGACGATGACTGAAACGATGTGTCGGTGTCGGATCTAGAATGTGGTCGATACTGTCACTCTCGCCATTCAAGGGTGATCTTGGCAGGGCAGACAAGGCATCCAGAAAAGGTGGCATGGCGGCATCTTGAGCACCATTCGCGTTTGTTTGGTTTACAGATCGGATACCCACAATGATGACTGGAACCATGCGTCCATCAGCGCCAGCTGACTGAGCAGACGTTGGGTCATTGGCATCTCTAGGAGCATCTCTCGCCGAACCAAAGCGAAACATTCGGAAGAAGTTGAGGGGTGCATTGGCCGAAGTCTGACCCCCTTGTCTGAGAGCTGATGCCAAACGACCACTTTCCAAGGACTGGAGGAAGTTGCTGAAAGTACCATCGCCGCTCACGCTATGAGCTTCTGCTATTGCTTCTTGATCACCATCGAGGAGAGTAGCGGCAGTGGTGGCAGCTGCGACAGACAATATGCGAGATATCAAAGCCGTGTTGTCTTCCCTTATTTGCCCTTCTCCTTCTGTTCTCGGTCTCGCAGCTGTAGCACCCAACAAAGGAGATTCCTGCGACGTGGCAGTGGTAGCAGGCGCCCAAGCTTGGGAAGGCTCAGTCACTGATGTAGGTTGAGGTTCAGATGTGTCATCAGGCACGAGCCTTGGAAGAGTCAAGAGAGGACTCCGTGTTGATCGCTCAGAGCGAAGAGCAGACAGACGTTCGGCGAGAGAGGCTGGGAGACGGAAGTTGGGACGCGACGAGGGAGAGTGTGAACCTGGATTCGAAGTAGCGAGGTCGAGGTTGAGCTCGAAGTTGTCAAAGTTGAGCTCAACGTGAGGATAGGCATATCCAAAGTCATCTGTCCGAGAGCGAGACATTTGCGCAGGACGTGAGAAGGGAGAATGGCGAGAACCAAAGTTGTGGAGCGAAGTGCGAGCACGCTGTAAGCGCGAAGGTCGACGGAGGCCAGAGTCTAGGTCCTGGACATGTTCGGAACTAGGATTGGGGGAGCGAAGCATCTGGGAGAGTCTACTAATGGAGGCCGAGCGAGTAGCACGTGGGCGCGGGCCCGGCGATGGTCGAGACGAAGTATGTGGGCGACTCGCATGGTCGTCGGCGTGGTCATTATCCGAGGCGAAGAGGGTGGACGGCGGCAACGAGCGACGACGCCAGAAAGACTGAGATGGTCGGCCGTCGTTAGGCAGCGTCTCAGAGGACGCGGCCTGACCCATAGCGGCAGGCGCTATGCGGACGCAGAGAAGGATAGATCAGCAGCAGACGGTCGTCGTTGATGCGAGTGGCGTAGCGATGATGGTGATGATATGCTGAGCAAACAAGGCGACGTCGAGAATGAGATAGAAGAAGGAAAAGGACAGGCAAACTGTTACAGGCACGACAAGCGTCAGGCTGAGTTGGTGCTGACAACCCGCGACCTGAGCACACCGACGAAACACTACTGAGTCTCCGCCGAACAGCACAGAGAAGTAGGAGAGTGCCAAGCCCTATATATCGCCCACCCGTTTCAATCCTTCCTGCATCCGTTGTAACAATTTGTCCATTAGCCTCATGCGCATCTCTGTCCAGACTCCAGCTGCTTCGACTCTAACGCATCTCGACCATCTGCAGGCCTGCATTTGCACCCGCGCTCTTTGATTATCGCCTTCTGTAATTTTTACCAACAACAAGCAGCTTCCCGTCTACTTGCAGATCCCTTTGGGCAAGAAGACTGCCCCTCAGCTTCATCAGCCCCTGCTTGATCTCATTGTCGTTTGCCCTGATACACTCAACTAGAATCACGGCATACTGCACAAGTACACACAGACGTCTCATCCTGACACACACGTCCCACTGTACAAATACTCATACTGTATTCCTCTGCTACCACATCCTTCCGCTTTTCTCGTGCACAAATCCCCACATTCACCATGCCGCCAACAGCCCACCACTTCACTCCGGTTTATTCTCTGCATGAGCCTCAACAATCTTTTCGTAGCAAGCAATATGCCCCTCCCAGGAAAAGGAAGAGACAGCAAGATCTGGACGACGATGATGAGAGCGACGATTCGGATCTACACACCGATCCGCTTCAGCCATCGGTTTCATCTCATGATATCAACGATCCCTACCGTGTTGCCGGATGGCCTGAAAACATGCCACTTCCTGGACACTCATTTCCTCATGCCCCTGCTGTCAAACCAAGGACCCGTCAGCCATTATCCAACAATCTCCAAAAAGAGCTCGCAGCTCTAAAGCCTCCATTGTACGTCCCACCTCCTGGCGAACAAGACACTACCTCATCACTTCGCCGCCATCATCTAGGTGTGCTCAATACCATTCTTCACACAAGCCTTTTGAAGCACGACTTTTTACGTGCAGGCAGAGCGTGGGGCATGATCTTGCGTACTAATATTCTTGGTCGACCACTCGATGTGCGCACACATGGTCGATGGGGTATTGGTGCTGGGATACTGATGCGAAAATTCTCGCCCCAGAATGATTCTCAGGACGAGTCAAATAATGCATCAACCATTAGTGACGAAGGGTTCGAGGCAGCAAAAGATTATTACGAACGCTTGATCCTGCAGTACCCTTTTCAAAAGACAAACCCAAATGCCATATCATCACTAACTTTCTACCCTGCAATGTTTGGACTCTGCATCTACGAGATTCAACAAAAATGTAATCGAGCTCTGGAACGCAACCGTAATTCTTCATTAGAAGCGGACCAGTCCGACTCGGAATTAGAGTCAACCCGGAATCAGGAGTCAGAAGGTATCGCTGCCATCAAACGCTCTGAGCTAGACTCTGCAGCGAGTCTCGCAGCCCGTATGGATGAACTCATGTTGTCTCCTCCTTTTGACACATATCCGCCACTCTTACAATTAAGAGGCTCAGTAGCTCTCTGGCTAGCAGATCTCTATGCGGCAGCAGCTAATTCAGATGATGATGACGATGAGAACAAGGAACGTGCTGCCACAGAGCGGTCCAGGGCTAAAAGGTGTGTAGAAAGGATGAAAGCTGCTGGTGTGACGGTACCCGAGCTCATTCTGAATGGGTTGAGTGGATGATTCAGACCGCACGAAAGACATAGTCATGGTATTCTGTGGTATCAATATTCGAGCATAACAGAGAGAATGCCAAAACAGAATTCGTCCGTGCTTCAACCTGGCGAGCCAATTTTGCGGTAAACCTGTAAATTCAATTGTTACGTGCACACATTATTATCGACCTTGAGAACTTGCGGTGCCTTTTTGTTCTTGGTGCTCGAATTCAAGGCATATAATCAAGCGGCAGAGCATGCAGGCACGTCGCGCTCTTTGCAGGGTCGCCACTACCCAGAGGAATGTGGTTCACAGATCCAACTTCAGCGCTGCCACGCTGCCGAGGACCATCATTTTGAGGAGTTCGTCTCATATGCAACCCATTCGTTATGATTTCCCGACAAGAGTTCGTGGTTTTGCATCCACGTCTGGCACCAGTGACTTCTTGAAACAGCACAATGTTGCCGTCAACGACCTCTCTGCACGTGTTGCGGAGTTTCATGCGAACAAACAAAAGTTTCGCATCTCTCATGGTTCAACCAACAGCACTCGTCAGACATCAAAAGGTCCTCATGTACTCGACGTAAGTGCCTTGAACAAGGTGCTAAAGGTCGATGTCGACAAAAAGATTGCTTACGTCGAACCCAATGTACCCATGGACAGACTTGTTGAAGCCACATTGCCGTACGGCCTAGTCCCTCCGGTAGTCATGGAGTTCCCTGGTATTACAGCCGGAGGCGGTTATGCTGGTACTGCAGGCGAAAGCTCAAGTTTCAAACATGGATTCTTCAATCACACCATTGAGTCGGTCGAGATGATTCTGGCAACGGGCGAAGTTGTCAAGTGCTCTCCGACCGAGAGATCTGATCTGTTCTATGGAGCTGCTGGTGCGGTGGGCAGCTTTGGTGTTACTACTCTGATTGAGCTCCGTCTTGAACCCGCAAAGAAATTTGTAGAGACGACATACCATCCTGTTAGCAACATGCAGGACGCGATTGAGACTCTTGAAAAAGCCACAGCAGATCACAGTCTTGACTATGTTGATGGTATCATGTTTTCCAAGACTCAAGGAGCTATCGTGACTGGACGCATGACTGACACACCTTCCTCAAATCTTCCTGTACAGACCTTTAGCTCTGCATGGGACCCATGGTTTTATCAGCATGTCCAAGGTCAAATCTCCAAGTCCGAAACAGAACCCGTTGTGGAAGCGGTACCACTTCCCGAATATCTTTTCCGCTACGACCGTGGCGGCTTCTGGGTCGGCGACATGGCATTCAAATACTTCAACTTCCCTTACAACAAGTTTACTCGTTGGTTCTTAGACGATTTTACACATACGCGAATGATGTACACGGCCTTGCATGCATCTGGAGAGTCAAAACGCTGCATCATTCAAGACCTTGCTCTTCCTTATTCCACTGCTGAGAAGTTTGTCGACTACACATCCTCCGAGCTGGACATCTTTCCTCTCTGGTTATGCCCACTGAAGAGAACGCAACAGCCAACAATGCACCCCTACACTCGGGAAGACAAGGAGTTGATGCTCAATATCGGCGTCTGGGGCTTTGGACCCAACAACCGTGCCGAATTTGTAAAGGCAAACAGAAATCTTGAAGCCAAGTTGCGCGAGTTGGGTGGTATGAAGTGGCTCTATGCCCAGACTTATTATACCGAGTCTGAGTTCTGGGAGCAGTTTGACCGCAAATGGTATGATGAGCTCAGAGAAAAGTACGGCGCAGCAAACTTGCCAAGTGTTTACGACAAGGTCAAGGCATCGCCAGAGAAGGCAGATGCACCCGAGAAGTTCCTTGAGAAATGGCCTTGGGCTGGTTTCTACGGTATCTGGAAGGCTATCCAATCCAAGACCTATATCCAGGCTAGAAATGCGGCTTGGAGACAGTGGGTCAAGTGATTGATCGTGATAGCAACCATGTAAGAATACTACTTGTACTGTAAATATAAATCGAAAAGCTGAACATAGATCCTTCTTCTTCTGTGTGCGATCTGTAAATACAACTGTCCTCCGAATATGGCGTGGAGTGGAGTTTGCACTGCAGGAAAGCACCCGAGAAGAAGATAGCTGCGACTGCCTACACATGCTCGCCAAATCCCTCCAATTCAAAGCCATGTAAATATCAGCCACTTGCGAACCCAGTACCGACATCGAGTGGCCCAGTTCCAAACTCTCCAACACCCTCACCATCCTCTGGGGGCAAAATGACATAGACGCCGACAACATCACTGGTCGTGTTGATTGTAGGCCTGCCTATCCGAGCCTAGGACTTCTAGAACACCCAGAGCAAACAAGCTTCAAAACATCCGAGCCACGTGCGGCAAAGAAAAGAATCCGTCTGCGCCACCAAAGAATAGACGTTCATCGTAAAGAGCCGAAAGAACGAGAGGCTCTGTACGAATGATCACGATAAACGTTGATGGTTGTTGTCGGCAATCCAAAAACAGCAAGACATGGGGCTTAAAATCCGTTTTGCGTGTTAAACGAGATTACAACCTTGTCACCGGTGGTTGTGGAGTGGAAAAGAGCACCACCGGCTCACAGTCTGACTACAACTTGACTCGTGGGCATTTTGACTATTTTTAAACTTGTTTGGTTAGAACTAACGGGCCGAGGTGGTCCACTTGTTTAACGACATTTACGCATGATGCACGGATAGAGGAGATCGCGGGCTTGCTTGCGTGTACGAATTTGTCTAAAGTAAAGGTACCAGGCGCTTGGTAAGCATGGTGTTCCTACTACTGTCTGTCATGACTCTTACCATGGCGATTCTATCCGACCTGTCCATGGGTTGAATTGGAAAATAGCGAAGCAGAACATGGCCGACTCGTCTTCTCGGTGCGGCCGGGGATAATTGGCGAGAGCTGGTCAGGGTGTCTCCCGCGTCATTTTACCCATTATCTTCAATGCTCGATATCCCACCGAATATTTGCCCTGGTTGATTTCTGAGACTTGCATATTGTTCTGCACCTTCCATATATATACTATGCTGTTTGTCAGACCTTCTAGTCAGGGTTGTTATGTTGCCTTGAAGTTTTGGGACTAATATGAGTCGAGCTAGAGCTATGCCCCACGTCGCCTTCAGGTCCAGTCCAAGGAGAGTAGGAAATGCTATTCGACCGATCGCTGATGGAATTGATATGAAGTCAAGAATAAGAAATACTTGAAAAGCGTCTCATAACCAGTGTTATGGGCCGAGTAAGAATTCCTTTTGCATTCTGTTTATGCTATACAAGTCTATAGAGTGTCTCGTCGTGGATGTAATGCTACTGCGAATGATGTTCCCTTCCGACCTAGAAAAATAACACCAAGAGTATTGATTGATGTATCACCTCTCATCCTCAAAAGCCAAGGCCTGCTGCATAGCTTGATCACGGAGCGCGTCGTCATGCTCAGGAGGAATGAACTTGCGCATGACCTCTTGGACGTATTCATCAGGCACACCTTCCTTGAGAGCATCGTGTATGCCCATGTTCATGCGATAGATGTACTCATGCTTAGGGTCGGAATCTGTCACATGGTCACGACTGATGTAGACGAGCATGTCTTGCTTCTTTGCAGGTTTGTGTATGTCAACAGGTTCGTCCTCTTTCTCCTTGGCCCAGAATGAGACGGGTAAATCTTCCTTGGTATAGGCAAATGGAACGCCCTCGTTGATGTCGAGCTTCTCTTCGTCGGATGGTTGCAGCGAGTAGACAAGACCATAGACGACATTGGCATAGTTTGGTTCGACAGAGGAGGGTGATTTGACTTGGACGACATTTGCGTAACCGCGATCGTTGATCATCCAGCGATAGTTGTCAAGGCGTGCGACACCGAGGTAGTCTGAAGTTGGACATCTCATGCGCATTTGGTGTTGCCAGAGGTTACTGCCGTATCCGAAGTAGATGGTGGGAGTGGTCGCGTTTGCCATGATTGTGGTGTTTGAGAAGGGTTGGTGAAGCTATGGATAGACGAGACTGTTGTTATTAGTAGACGACGGCGTGGATGCGCCACGGTGTCTTGTTCGTGATCAAAGACCGGTGCGTCCTCACGCAATTGATGCGATGCAGATTGTTAGTTCAGCGTCTTTGTGTTTGCAGACAGGCTGGTGGCAGGGTTGGCGGCCTCGGTAGCTACTGACGCGAGTTGAGGATCGGTGACACGAAATCCAAGACTCGTCAGTCTATTGATATGCGTGTTGAGATGCACGATAATCTTGCCCTGGCAGTCCGGTCCTATGACAACGAGGCGATGAAGCACGCAAGGACTGGCAACGAAACTTGTAGCGAGGATTGACGGGCGGTGAGGTCAGGATAGGCAGGCGCAGCTTCCGCAAAGGGCAGTTTGGCCAAGAGACGAGGAAGCTACGAAGGGGCCCCGCCGAAGCTCGAGTGCTGCCCCTCGGAATCCATCATTCACATTACGATGCCTCGTCTTCCCACTTCCATCCTCTCTTCCATCAGACCCAGACAGACTCCTCAGTTCCTCAGAAACTCATTCCACTCTACAGCAATCAACATGGGTGTCACCAAGCAGATCATCAAGCAGGGCGACGGCGTCAACAAGCCCAAGAACGGCGACAATGTCACCATGGAGTACACCGGCTGGCTCGAGGAGAACGGTGCCAAGGGCAAGCAGTGAGTCTACACAGAGAGTCCTGCTGCAGCTTCACAATCTGACTGTTCTAGGTTCGACTCCTCCGTTGGCCGTGGTGACTTCGACGTTCCCATTGGTACCGGCAGAGTCATCAAGGGCTGGGACGAGGGTATCGTCAGCACCGACGGTGGCATGTCTCTCGGTGAGAAGTCCACTCTTACCATCTCCAGGTATGCCCGCTCATCTTGCCCATACATGGCTCCTACTGACCAATTTCACAGCGACTACGGCTACGGTCCTCGCGGCTTCCCCGGTGCCATCCCCGGCGGTGCCACTCTGATTTTCGACGTCGAGCTTAAAGCTATCAACGGCAAGAGAGCTTAAGTATTCGGAGTATGAAAGCAAAAAGAAAAAGCCTAGAAACATTCCGATCAACTCTATAGAGCAAAATGTCGAAGAAACAGCTTGACTACCCGAGAAGCTTCACACATGTCACTCTGCCCATCTGCTTGTCATACGAAAGCTTGCGGTTTTAAGATTGCCTATAGCAGGGCGTTATTTCTGCGTTTCGTCGTGATACATGATACTGTCTAGCATCTAGTTCTCAAACTTTAGATCTGCCTCCTGTCTGACAGCACCATAGATGCCAGCAATATCGCCTTTGCTGCCCATGTGCTTCTGGACTTGTGCCAAATGCTGGTCGGCAACCTCGACGTCTCTCATCTTGACACCGTGAGTCTTTGCCAAAGCCAAGGCATGTCCAGCATCTTTTCTAGCAAGGTCGACGGCAAACAATGGCTCTTCACGCTTGTAATAGTCGCCCTGGCGCAAGCGGTTGCTGTACGCAGTGTAAGGACCAGGGAACATGGTCTCGACGAACTGATGAAGTCTGTCTGAACCAAGACCCGACTTCTCGGCAAGAGTGTGACCTTCAGACAGAGTCTCGACCATGTTGAGGATAAAGGTGTTTCCAATAATCTTTAGTCTTGTGGCGGATCCATGAGGTTCGCCAGAGTAGTCAATAACGGCACGACCCATGACGCCAGTCGTGTAAGGCTTGACCTTGTCGACAGCACCAGCAGGACCAGCCAGCACGCATACAAGCTGACCTGCATCTGCCATTGCAGGAGCACCAAAGACGGGACAAGCCACGAACTCAGCACCTGCACCATTGATGGTCTTTGCGAGCTTGTCTGTGGTGTCGGGGTGAACAGTAGAGCAGTCTACGAACAACTTGCCCTTTGCGTTTCCATTGAGAGCAGAGTTGATAGTCTCCTCAATAGCCTTGTCGTCTCCCACGCAAGTGAAGATGATATCTGAAGCGTTGACGGCCTCTTCAATGCTAGAGACAACCTTGGCCTTGCCAGATCCAAGACTTTCAGCGAGCTTATCGGCGCGAGCTTGGGTACGGTTGAAGAGAATGATGGGGTTGGAAAGGTCGCCCTTCTCCACCAAATTCTTCACCATGCCCTGTCATGAACCGTTAACAGTGTTTTAAGGAAGCTATCAACTTATGATTACTTACACGGCCCATGTTGCCAAGGCCAATCCATGCAATTTGAGGAGCCATTGTGATATGTGAGATGTGTGTTTAGGTAGAGTTTTGGTAGATAGAGAGTTCTGCAAAGGAGTCGAGGCAAATATGTCGTATTCCAGAAGACATGCCGGCGTTCTCTCCCGCTGACACTACCGACCTCCCGAGAGAGCACATGTTGAATGAGAGTTCTATGACGTCTTGGCGTGTATAACGGAGATAGATCGCGGGGCATCGATAACTCCATGCTTTCCTCGGCAACTGGGCGGCAACAAGCACGATTACGAGTCTTGTAAGACAGATTGGCAACGACAGAGATGTCACTGTCTACAAGCCTCGTGTTCATTTCATCATGCCTACCGTAGAAAGTGGTTATTCAGAGGGGATCAAGTCGATGTGGCAGTGAGAGAAATAATATGGCCTCCGACAGCGGTGTGGAGAAAGTGACGATAAGAGATAAGAATACCTTAGCTTGTATGGAGATGAGTCTTTTTGTTCCCGCAGCGCCTTGAACTGTTTGTGGTGACTGGCCCCCTTGTCTAGTCGTCAATCAACACTGTAGAGATTGGTTGACAGGCCATGAACCATGGCAGCATGCCTCCCGACACTTCGAAGCAGACTGCGCCCTGATACCGTCAAGTGTCTGCACCGCGATTTCAGCTCGCTAGCCGCAAATCGTTCCAACCATGCCAATAACGCCAGCAATGGAGAGAAGAGGGACAAATTAGAGCACAGAGTAGGTTCATTCTGGTTTCGTGTGCCAGAATCGCCTTTTCTGACAGTGGCAGGACTTCTTCTTTGACCTTCTGAATGCAAGTTCGACCCGTAGAGACGCCAAACAATACCTGGATCGCTTCAAGCCCACTCTCGACAAGAAACCTAAGAAGACTCCTGTCGTACATGACCCCAAGGAGTCGAAACAACAATGGCAGCTCCAGAGGTCTGGTGTCAACCTCGGCCAGCTGTACCTTCCTACTCAAGCCGCAGCTGCCACACCGACCTTCTCTCAGTACGTAGAACAAGAGAGGCAGGTTCAACGCGGCGCTGGAGAGATACACGTCGCACTGGTCTGTCTGAGAGCTCCTCATCTGATTGATGACGAGACTCTCGACGGTATTGCTTTGACCATGGCTCAATTGGTCCGTCTCGATATGCAAATCGTTCTCGTACTCAACTGTGAGGACGAAATCGTGCAAACGAACAAGTCTTACAGAGAGGTATACCAACGCCAGGGAAGTAGAGTCGTTGCCGCCCTGGACCGTCACAACAACGAGGGTGCTCGTTACGTCGAGTCTGCTCTGAACATTACTAACCAGGAATCAATGCCAGCTTCACGTCCCAAAGTCATGGGTACTGTAGAGCTTGGTTTGCCGAAACTCATAACAGAGCCATTGAAGCGAGGTGCCATACCTGTCATACCCACAATGGCTTATGACACGACTTGCAAGGTTGAGAATGTGTCTGCCAGCGCTGTTATGCTGGCCCTGACACGCTCCTTGTCTGGTTTGGCCGCTGTCACTGGCTCGACAGAAAAACCACTTGAGGATACCTCATTAGACAGAATCATCATGCTCGATCCTCTAGGAGGTCTTCCTACAGAAACTCGACAGGACCAGGCGCATGTCTTCGTCAACCTTGAGCAAGAGTACGACATGATTCGCGACGAGATCAAGTCCCATGGCATGAACCCCCAATACCTCGACACGCTCAGTCTGGTCAGAGATTGCTTGGCTCTGCTTCCACCTGCCTCGTCGGCATTGCTCATCTCACCCGAAGAAGCAGCCATCTCTTCGCACCACTCTCGCAAGGAATCAACCATTGGCATCACCACTCGACGACAAAAGAATCCCTTGATTCACAACTTGCTCACCAACAAACCACTCATCTCTTCCTCTCTGCCTGTCGCTCGTCTCTCCGCCAATGGCATTATCCCTTCCATGTCTTCCGAGAGTGCCACTCGCTCTACACTTGTAAAGCGTGGTATGCCATTGATGATAGTCCCCGACCTTCGAAACACGCCTTGGACACCACCAAAGCCCGGCGAATCTACCATCGCCCTAGACAACCACCCAGATATCAATTTCCCTCGCCTCGTCGCTTTGATTGAAGACTCCTTCCGCAGACCCCTCGATGCCCAACACTACCTCAATCGCATCAAGAATCGTGTCGCTGGCGTCATCATAGCAGGAGAATATGAAGGTGGTGCCATTTTGACCTGGGAAGAACCACGAACCCCTGACTACAAGCAATCAGGAGCAAACTCGGATCCAACTCGCCTGGTACCCTACCTAGACAAGTTCGCCGTGCTGCAACGTTCCCAAGGCAGTTCTGGAGTAGCGGATATCGTGTTCCAATCCATGGTGCGCAGTTGCTTCCCTAATGGCGTATGCTGGCGATCTCGTTCAAACAATCCTGTCAACAAGTGGTACTTCGAGCGGTCGAGGGGAACATGGCATTTGCAGGATACACAGTGGACCATGTTTTGGACAAATCCAGATCTAGTGGCTGATCAACAGCGCTGGGAGGATTATGTGTCAGTGTGCAGGAGTATTGAACCTAGTTGGGCGGATAATAAGGCTAAGCCTGATTAGATGAGCAAGCTATCGTTTTTGGTCTCTAGAGTAGGATATGTATACAGTAGCATGAAAATGATGAAATTCAAACGTCTCTCGTGCCCGTGTGCCTAAGGCGGTCACGATCTAGCTGCAGATGTACCTATAGGAACGCATAATATGTTCTTGAAGGATGTTTGTCTCCACAGAGAGAAAACCATCAAAGGCTATTTCTGTGGTTAGACTCATATTCAATATGTAACTGTGTTTTTCTATAGTCTATAATAATCCTGATGCCTCGAATGGAGATGAGGTTCTGACTTGAGAGATCGTGACTGGTCTTTGACACACGGGGACACTGTTTGACGGTTCATAAAATGCTTTTTGGTCATGTCGAGATATGTCTATCAAGATCAATTCAAGATCAGCTACTTCAGCCTCTCCTTAGGCTCGGCCGTTGCCTGACATCCTGTAGAAGCTGGTCATCAAATCATCAAGGACTCTTTGCTCGTTCATCCGAGTGGGATCCAACATCCGCAAGGGTCCTGATCTTGCACGATTGCGCCATGATTGCAATAGCTGGAAGCTGGACGCCGTTACCAAGGCTCTTTCTTGGCCGGAGCTTTGTTGTTTATCGACCACCTCTTGCTTGTAGTATGCAGCAAAATGCATTTTTCGTGGTTCGCCTGGCCAGACATGAAGCAGCTTGTGCTCGTATCAATGCTCTTGAAGAGCCTTTCAAGGTAGAATATGTACATTCGAAAAGTAGAAGCTCGAGAGCTCAAGTTTTGTATAGCGCTAGCGTTTGCGTCTATGCTTTTTGTCTGCTGGGAAGGACGCGGTCTTCGAATTTGCGCATGAGTTTGTTGGTCTGTTCAGCCAAACTCAAGGTCAAGATCTAGAAGAATGTCAGCAGAAGCCAGACTATGAAAAGACACTTTACGTACAGTATGCGGCAAGATTCTAGCCAAATGGGCAAAGAAGCCCTTGTAGACGGCGAGCGGGCCTTCGGTCTTTATGGTTCGGAACAAGCAATCGAAAGCGCTAGAGTAGAGGTTGCCGTTCTGGTTGTACATGCGACCCATGACGGTATCCGGAGGGTGCATGACGCAGCAGACGACGAAACCAGAGCAGGCAGAAGACATGAGATGCAGAGCAGGACTCTCTTGCATACCAAAGTGTTTTACGAGGTTGCGCTTAGCGAAGAAGTATGTTGGAAGTTGGACACTGGATCCGAAACCGGTTCGGACCATGGCAGGTACAACACCACGATAGAGACCCTTGATACCTTCGGCGCGGTAAATTTGGGAGAAGCCATCAGCAGCGTTCTTGTACTGATGTTGTGCGCCAACTGGCAATGCCGGACTGTAGCTTTGGAGACGAGTCTTGATCAGGAAGAGAGGAGAGCCGAGAGCTGCACCGATGATACCAGACGAAGCGCCCGAGAAGATGTTGACTGGGAGGTTTTGCATGGCGATGGCCTTCGGGTCGTGAGCATGTGAGAAGTTGCGGTTAAGGAGTAGAGAGTTCGTGTGGGTGCGGATGGGTTCGTAGAAGCCGAGACGGCAGCCATTGAGCATCATCTGGTAGACGTAGGCACAGTTCAGGCCACGCAACAGGCCCCTGAGGCCTTCGTTCTTGAAGATGACGGACATGCCGTGAAGCACACCTCGGTACATTTTTGGAGCATCCTTTCTGGCTTGCAGTTCACCCTGGAGCTGTAACCGCACCTTGACCGTCTCGAAGCTGTGAGTTACCGTGACAGCGCCGCATGCTGCAATACCGCCAGCGACAAAAGAACTGATCGAGTTGTGTTAGTCGCGGATGTTTGACGGAAGGTGTGGAGGAGTTACCCAATGCCGGTGGACATGGCTGCTCGTCAGACTACTGAAAAGAGAGGGCAAGGAAAGAAGACAAGAGGCGAGATGAAATACAGTCACTGCAATAGTATCGAGAAAGAAATAAGTCACGGACAATTTGAGAAGCAAGTTGGACTCGAAGCAATCGAGCCGAAGTCGGAGACAGGCTGGTCAGCGCACAAAAAGGGAAGGAAGCTGTTGACGTAGTGCTTCGGTCCCTGAGTCGCGCTTTCCTTCCGCAGATCTGGGGAAACATTTTGAGCGCGACGCAGCCTTGAGCGCTTCCCATCATCAGAATTCATCTCACTCCATCCTCTGTCCTTCAGAATCGTATCAACCGGCGACATGGGAGCAGAGAACGGACAACCGGGCCCCATGGCCAAGGTCAGCGAGGTTATCTCGACGTACCGACCAACGAGGGTAAGTGACCCCTCCGCGCTCTCATGCACCTCTCCCCAACCTCAACACTGACGCAACTTGCCAGCTCTTCAAAGCCCCCAACCTGCACTACACATCGCTCGACTTCGACTCAACCGGCGAACTGCTCCTCCTCGCCCGCACTGACGATACTCTTCATATCTACAACACAAAGGCTGGCGCACATGCAAAAGAACTCAAGTCACAAAAGCACGGTTGCGCCCTTGCTCGCTTCACACATCACTCACAATCCGTTATCTACGCCTCCACCAAACTCAACCATGATATCCGATACCTTTCTGCCCATGATAACTCCTACATTCGCTACTTCAAAGGCCACACCGACAGGGTCACCTCCATTCAGCTCTGCCCTAGCAATGACACCTTCCTCTCCGCCTCTCTTGATAATACGGTGAAATTGTGGGACCTACGCTCTTCTTCTCCGCAGGGCAGTCTCAACTTGCACGGCGCCGTCCTGACTGCTTACGATCCTTCGGCCACTGTCATTGCCATCGCCTCTCCCGCTACTCAGACCATTGTTCTCTATGATGTTCGCAATTACGACAAGCCTCCTTTTGCAACCTTTGATATGCAGGATATTGAACGTCGCTTCAGCCACTACGGCCAAGCTCAAGCTCAGGGTTGGACTACTCTGGAGTTCAGCAACAACGGCCAGTACATTTTGGTGGGAACCAACGGCCCCGGCCACTACGTCCTTGACGCCTTTGAGGGTACCTTGAAAGCCTATCTATACCGCGCTCAGGGCCCTCCACCATTCCCATCTCAGCTTGGTCAAAGCGACAGTCCCTTGCGTCATACTCAAGCCTCGCTCCAAGGCGACGCTTGCTTCAGCTCTGACGGCCGCTATGTCGTCTCAGCCTCGTCCAAGGGCGGCATGTTGGTATGGGACCTGCTTGCTGATAAGCGCTCTGACGGCACCATGAATCCCATGACCGATTTGCCAGGTCCAAGAACGTCTACTGTCGTCGGCGTGAACCCGAGATACAACAATCTCGCCAGCGCTGGTCAAGACGTCGTACTATGGCTGCCCGACCCTGAACTGGCTTGATACCAGCATTCAAAACACATGTGTAAATTTAGCGAGGCGTTGGTGGTGCGGTTTCTTGCATATCTTACATTATTCAGCATCTCTCGACCCGAGGACTCATAAGAAGCCAGAGAAAAGGATTCTACAAATCAACAATAACACTTTTTGCATCTCACCACTGCTACCTTTAGCTCATCCCAACTCACGTCCAAATTCCAAACACGAAGGACACGAGGTCCCATTTGGTTTGAGAAAACACATTTTGATATCGCTAATGCTGAAAATATGAAGGGGGCGATGCATGATCTCACAATCCCGTACGCAAAACTCCTGTCCAACCATGAACTTTCCAACCCCAAGTGTTCCATCGCTTAAATGCCATAACCAACGCCTGTCCGATGAAACCCTTCATTCATAAATCAATAACTTTCTTGCTCAGAATAGCGTCGCAGGTAATCTCTCAATCCATTACCAAAGTTTAGTGGCTCAACATCATCTAGACCACCTTCACCTCTGAGCATAGGACTAGTGCCGGAACCCCCTCGCCTCTGTTTTGCTAAGAGTGACGAGAGGCCATTGATGGAACCGGAAAACCATCCACTTTCGGTGTCGAAACCAACATGCTCGAAATCATCAGTTGCATGAGACTCGACACTCTTATTCGGCACACTGGTTCCTGGAACACGGAACTCATAGATGTCTGATGTCGATGGAGAGACTGAACCTGATGAGGCAATGTCGCTGCTGTCAAAATTGTAATAGCCGCCTTCTTCACCTTCGAAGCCGCCTGCAGCTTCGGGATATGAAGCGTCTTCCATCTCCTCATCGATTGGGTCCAGTGGCATTTCGTCTTCTTCTGGTCCGGAACCTGCCTGAGACAGCTGTTTGTTTAGATTGGCCAATACGTCCCGAAGACGAGCTTTACTTCGAGGATTCGAGATTTGGTCGAGCTGAAGCTCAGTTTCTTGAATCTTGGATACCAGCTCCGAGATGAGCTCCGAAGTAGGACTTTGAGCGCCAGTAGCCTGTGGTTCGGGTGTCACCTCTGCAGGTGGTGAGATGGATTCTTTGGCCAAGACATCTCCGAAGCACTTCTCAAATTCCTTGAGTTGACCACGGTCGGTGATGGCGAAAATTATCTCCTTGATGCCTGGCCAGGACTCCGCCTTTCTGGTAGTACCAAGTATGACGCGCTTCCAGATCTTTGCGACTTCGCGTACAGGGTTTCCATAAGCACCGCAACCCCACGCTCCAAGAATGAGCTTTTCAGCTCCACGAGTTTGCGCCATGCGAAGCACGCCACGCATCTTGTGTGTTACGAGTTCACGGTCACGGTCGCAATAACTCACACCACATGAGCAGCCGCCTTCGGCTTCCTCCTTCTCGGCAATGCGAGCACTGTTGGTCTCTGGGAATCGAATCATGGCCGCGCTGATGACATCAACAAAGAAACGTTCGCGCTTTGGTAGGTCTTCTGCTTCTGGTGTACTATCTCTGTGCACCAAGACATCGGGAGTCACGACTCCGCCCACTTCCGGTAGCCGATAAAAGTCATCCCAGAGAGAAGCGTACAAGGTGGTACGCATACAGAGAAACTCTTCGGAACTGGTTGCGCCGTCCAAAAACCCACCACCAGGGCGCAGAGGAGAGGCCATGTTGAGGATGCAAACATTGGTAGACCTGGTCGCTTGCTTTGAACTTGCCAACGCGGCAGCTGCAGATTGCCGACGAGACGAGTGAGTTAGGCGACGAGCTGCAGTAAGAGAGTCCGTGTTACAGAGTCTGATCGTCAAGTTTGATGTCGGTGACTTGTCGGTGCCGCTTTCCACTTTGGGATCGGTCGTCAAGACAGCATTGTGGACGCCATGTCTGGCCCTTGGACTCGACTTGAGAATATCCGGAATCACTTTGTTGACAGTATCCTTTGCCTTCTTGGCCCGGTCCGAACGTCTGTTTGCCTGGGGAGTAATAACGACTGTTGGTTGTAGCCGTCCCATGATTGCTTTTCGTCCGGGAAGGATCCTTGGCAAGATGTTTTGATCGATGGCTTGCCGTGTTCACGAAATGAGTTGAAGGAAACGACAAGTCCAGCAGCCAGGTAAAAGAAGGGAACAGAGAAGAGCGAGGAGTGACAAACAGGAAAATTAAGACAATGATGGGCGATTCAGCGAGTTACTAGGCGTGTTGGCTGACGTTGGCAGGCCTGACATGTGAAAGTGTACTATATTAGCCAGAATGACGTTCCAGCTCCACAGCCGAACAACGGAAGCATGTGCAAACCGGTGAATACAGAGGAGGAGAGAAGAAAAATGGGATTCTGCGAGACGGTTGGTTGGAGAGCCGAAGGAGAAACGGAGAAGCACGAGAGGGATGGACATGGGAGGAGAGACAAGTGACTGCATCACAACTGCATGCGGCATCTTCGATGGATTGAAACTCTGACCGTGGAAACGCCTATGCTGGCCGCCAAGCTTAGCATGTGAAGATGCCGGAAGCGGGCCACGAGGACGGCTGTCGGCTCTAACGAACGCAAGACGCAGTATCAGCGTCGTGTGCGTAATCTCAAAGACCGTTTGCGCTCTTGACTCTGGATCAATTTGGACGGAAAAACATGTCTCAACCTCTTGCTGGCCTCCACTAGACTATGTGTATTGACAGGTGTGCTCAAACACAATGTTTGAATTGAGTTTTGCACATCAGCATCAGTATATAGTACCAAATGTTCGCTAGCTGGTCTATATTACGCTGTATAAACAGTCGGGCGGCTTTAACCGATCTTGGAATACGACGCGCTGGCTTGGGGTGAGCGTTACAAGCACCTCATAGTTTGATTTGGAGCAGCACCCGATTTATCGATAAATACAGCTCCAATTTTATTGGAGCCATTGCTTTTGTTAGGGCAGGCGAGGCACGGCGTGGAAAAGTCGAGAACAGCGACGTGCATCTGAGAGGTCGGCTGACGGCTACCTAATATCATCGTTGCTTATACTTGGTACCGTCCTCGTACACAATATTGGCCGACATGGCTACTCAGCAGCACGCGCAACAGCAACAATCGCTACCGCAGCAGACACAGACGCAGTCCAATGCAGTGCCCGGTGCTGCCAGGGCGAGCTCTTACACAGCACTGCCTCCACCAGCAGCCTACACACCGCTGCGCTATGCCAGTAATCGAAAGACCATCTACGACCGCAACCTCAACCGGGCTCGAACATCCGAGTTGAGCCTGGCATCATTTGCTCACCTCTTCAACACCCTAATCGCATACCACCAAGCTCGCGCGCCCTCAGTCTCGGACCTTGAGGCCAGGCTGGCCCAATCGGCATACCCTATTGGTGTCAAGCTGCTCGATCTGCTCCTATTCCGCATGCCACCCCGTACAGCCTCTCGACCGACCCGTTTGCTTGACCTCTTGCAATTCATACACACAACCTTGTGGCGCTCTCTATTTGGTCGTCCTGCTGATGCTCTCGAGGCCAGCACTGGCAACAACAATGACTATATGATTGTGGACAACGATCCCCTTGTCAACACGTACATCAGCATCCCCAAGGAGATGAGCCAGCTCAACTGCGCCGCCTTTGTCGGTGGCATCATTGAAGGCGTATGCGATGCTGCCGGTTTCTCGACAGACGGAGTCACGGCGCATTGGGCAGAAAACGACGAGCTGTGGCCATCCAAGACCATTTTCCTCGTCAAGTTCAAGCCTGAAGTAGTGGAAAGAGAAGAAGCACTCAAGGCTGGAGGAGGCTGATTGTTGGATGGTGTCTTGCTTCCTTACAACTATTGAGATGAACTGATGAATACCAGCCTCTAGCAAGGCTCGAGAATCGCAGCTCTGAGAATGGATTTTCAACAGCTCATCTCCAGAGCAAGCAGCTCCTCTTTCGGAGACCTCTCTTCGGCCGGCTTGTTTGCATGGACACTTGTTCGGTCAGGTCAATTTTGCACGGTTCCGATCGGCACACCCTCCCACACGCCCGTCTCTCGCCGCCATCCTCCTTGCTCTGAAGGAACATCTTCCATGTCCACGTCATCCGTTCTCTTCGTCTCCTTCGTTGCTCCTTCCTCAGCATCCTCAACCTCATCGTGGTCGCCCACCAAGGCGCTAGCTTCAACCAAACTCTTCCAAGTAGTTTGAACATCCATCTCGGCGTCCTCCAAAATTTCCTCGGCCAGTTCGTGACTCCATTGTGTGTTGGGGTGTAGTATGCATTCTCTCAGTGCCAGGATCTCAAAAAGCTCGGGGCTTTCGCCACGCATTTCTAGCCAGCTGTCGGAATCTAATAAATGCATGATCCAGCGGTAGATGGCCCATTTGGTTGGGTCCGCTCTGTCCCGGTCTTCGTCCGTGGTCTTCACGGCTGCGTTGTGGGCGATGGCTCGCTCAAAGAAGGCTTCGATAAAGAGCGAAGATCCTGATGCAAGCATGATCAGAAGCTCGTCCCAAATCAAGTAAGCGCCTTGCAGGGCCGAATCAGCAAGAGGACCTTTTGTCCTGTAAGAACAAGTTAGCCAAAGTACAAACAAGAAAAAGTTCACTCAGATTACACGTACTGTTTTAAGGAAGGTACAATCAAGCCATCATCAATCAAGACCGATGCGATTTGTGTCCACTTTGCTGCTTCATCTTCGCCATGACATAGATTCTGGCAATGCTGTTGTGTTTCGAGTAATGAGCTGGCGACGTCCTTTGCCTTGGCTTTGGTCTTCAGTGCCGTGACCCTGCGTGATCTGAACTTTTTGAGATACTCGGTAGCCTCTGACCTTACAGCCGCTAGAGACTCGAGGTCGATCTGAGCTGCAGCTTCCTCTCCAGCTTCGGCCTCCCAGGCGTCTCGTGGCAGTTTTGCCCAGTACACGCCCCAGAGCCAATTGACTGCTTCACGAGCACTGCGGACAAGTCTCGCGAGACCAGGCAAATCTTCGTGAGCGACTTCATGGCGGAGTTCCACAAAGTGTGGAGGCAGACCAATGGACCTGGCGACATCAAACATGCTCTGACCAGGTCCGTTTCTATGGCGTCCCAGATCGGCAAATCCAGTCACAAATCGGGAAAGTGCAGTAGTATAGGCGGCTCTAAGGGCAAACGATGAAGCAGTACCAGTGACAACGCCTTGAAGTGGCCATTCTGAAGGATCGGTGTTGGAGGAGGCTTGACGTATACTGGAGGTCGAGAATTGCGCGTGAAGGAGCATGGCGTCCATTAGAAGAGCTGTGCTTTCGACTGCATGAGGAACGTTGCCTCTTTGTTTCCATGCTGCTACTGTAGCAATGGCATGACTTTGCTCTGCTGGCGTCGAAGGGCTGTAGAGACCATGGCGAACATTCAAGAGGTCGGCATGGCTGCGCCAGGGTGTGACAAAGTGGTTCCGCTGTATTGGGTGAGGAGGCATGCTGGAAGCCTCTTGTATTTCTGCTCAATTTCCTATTTGCAACTGATTCTTCCTGATCTGCCTAAATATCCATAATCAGTACGATGAATGACACAAAACCGGTTGTTGACCCTGGAGTCTTTTCTGTTCCGAAGACCAACAGGAGACTCCAAGCATGTCAAGCGATCGCATATAGAAAACCATCTAACAAGTTGAAAACCGCACTCGGGTTCAAACAAGAGCTATTGTCTTTGATATTTCCACATTGATTTTTCGACTTTTTTTCTTCCCCAGAAAAGTCTGCTGGAGGTGGTCTGCAGGTTGCAGTGAAGTGTATTTTAAGAGATGACTTACTTTATCAATTACAGTCGATTATTTTCTTGTTCCTTTGAAAACAGAGGAGAGAGATGTTCCAAGGTCTAAATACTGACGTTGCCCTTGACAAGAGTGGTTGTTGAGTTAAGGTCGTTCGTTTGCGCTCTCAAGTCCGCAATGAGTCCGTGCGGCGCAGCTCTTCGACAAGCAATCATGAACCCGACTTTCTGTTCTCCTTGACGGACAATGTTCCTATGAGTAACAGATTACAACAAGCCAGTCAATCTTAGATAGATCTATTTGATCTAATCTGACTGCTCTCTATGATCAGTTCAAGTGACTGGTGGCTGGCTGCATATTCTAGCACAAGACGCACAATTGCTCTTCACATACATGACTATTTTTATTGTGACAACTCTGCGGCGTTGAGAAGTCCTGCTCAAGGTATCTCTTTGACAAGATCTCGTTTTCGTCACTTTTTCGGTGGCGCGTCTTGCTGTAGAACAGGCGCAAGCCTTTGTCTAAAGTACATACGGTACGGAAAATCACATGCTATGCCAATGAGTATGCATACTTCTAGAGTTGATTGTAGCATGAATTCAATTGCGAGGCTAAGTCTATGCCACGTGTAATTCCACCAACGTCACTGAGAGTTCAATCGCACCTTCCTTGAAGCCAGCAAAGCTCGGAGCACCAATTGCCTGATCTCGTTCTCATGCAGTGAATTCTCTCTTGAAGAAGCTGATTTCCCACTCTCAAAGAACAGTCTCACCACACCCAGACTTGACAGTTCTGCACAACATGGAACCATCGTCCGAGCAAGACGTTTCTACTGCAGATGCTCGTCCTCTGATCAGCTCAAGTGTGTTAGCCTGGAACGTCATTGAACAATTGCTCCAGGATGAACACCGCATTATCGATGGGCATTCGCTGGACATCGCCAGTGTCGTTGCTATTGCCAAGTCAGTTTGATATTGTCTTTCTTCTACAGATCGTGTACAATTGACTCTTGACTTTAGATATGGAGTATTGACACAAATATCGACCGATACTGAGATCGACAAACGCATGAACGACAGCGTCGGTATGCTGAGAACTCACTTGGCCTCAGGCCATCTTGTTTACGGTGAGCTGTGCTCTTATTCACATGCTTGCCCGGCAGATTCTGACCAGCGACGACAGGCGTCTCCACGGGATTCGGTGGGAGTGCAGATACAAGGACCGACCATTTGGAAGATCTCCAAAGGGCACTCGTTCAGCACCAAAATTCTGGAGTGCTTACGAGCAACGATATCGGCCGCCCTCAGAATGCATCAGCGACAAAGCATCCTCTTCACTCTCGAGATCTCGATTTGAACTTCAGCACAAATTCAATGCCAACGAGCTGGGTAAGAGCAAGCATGCTTATCAGGTGTAATTCGATCATCCGAGGACACTCTGGTGTACGACTCTGCGTGGCACAGGCCATCCTTCAGCTCCTCAACCACAATATCATCCCGGTCGTGCCTCTTAGAGGCAGCATTTCGGCCAGTGGTGATTTGAGTCCTCTCTCATACATTGCTGGAGCCATCGAAGGCTCTCCTGACATCTACGTGAGGCTTGCAAATGGTAACATACTGTCGGCGGCAGAGGCATTGAAAGATTTTGGCATTGAGCCTGTGGTCTTTGAACCCAAGGAAGGTTTGGATCTTTTGAATGGAACAGCATTTTCTGCTGCGACAGCATCTCTTGCCTTGCACCAGTCTCAAGAGATTACTCTTCTGTCGCAAGTCCTGACTGCGATGAACGTTGAAGCCATGCAAGGATCTGCAGAACCTTTTTGGCCTCAGATTGCAAAAATGCGCCCTCATCCTGGCCAGATTGAGTCAGCTGCGAACATCCTTTCCTTTCTTCAAGGTTCAAAATTGGCGAAATGTGTTGGGTCGCCGAAAGATACGAAAATGAGTGGTCTTTATCAGGATCGTTATGCCCTGAGGACTGCATCCCAGTGGATTGGGCCCCAGATCGAGGACCTTGTACTCGCCACTTCTCAAATCCAAACCGAGATAAATTCCACTACCGACAACCCATTGATGGACGTCGAGTCAGATCACGTCCTCCACGGAGGCAACTTCCAAGCTGCCGTGGTGACTTCCACCATGGACAGAACTCGCCTTTGTTTGGAACGATTGGGGAAGATGCTCTTCTCTCAGGCAACAGAAATCATCAACCCAATGCTCAACTGTGGACTTCCAGCAAACTTGTGTGCAGATGATCCGTCATTGTCGTTTACATGCAAGGGAATTGATATCAATATGGCTTCGTATCAATCGGAGCTAGGCTTTCTCGCCAATCCTGTTGGAAGCCACGTTCAGTCAGCCGAGATGCACAATCAAGCCATCAACAGTCTGGCCTTGATCTCTTCAAGATACACACTCCAAGCACTCGATACAATCTACCTGATGGCGACCGCCCATTTGTTCGTCCTCTGTCAGGCCCTCGATCTGCGTGTACTACAGATTGATTTTCTGGAGTACGTGGAGGCAGAACTCGAGAGACATGATTGGTTTACCAGCATGCAGGCGCCCACGGAATTGCACGAATCGCTCAAAGATGTGGTCTACACACGCATCAAGTCTGTTTGGACTACCACAAATACCGCTGATCTTGACAAAAGATGCAAAGTCACTGCCGATGCTGTCATACCAGACATCATCAACACATTTGCGAAAGCTTCACCTGGCATATCTATTGAGTCTACTAAACTGGTCGAATTTACGAAAAACTTGCAAAGTCGGATGAAAATTCTGTACGAACGTGGTAGACAGAATCTTTTCGATGATCATCAGACAATCACTCCAAAGTCTCTAGGAAATGCAGCCAAACGTATGTACAACTTCGTTCGAGGCGACTTGGGTGTAAAATTGCACCGAGGCTTGATCGAATATCCTACCAAACCGATTGCTCCGGGTGCTAAAGTAGAGGAGCCGCGCAGAAACATTGGAAGCAGGGTCAGTGTGATCTACGAAGCTTTGAGGGATGGACGTGGAAGTGCGGTGCTTAAGGAAATTGCTGAAGAGAGTCTGAAGGAGAAGCAAATCTAGGCCACGGAAGCAACGCGAGTGACTGAGGATTGTTGCCACGAGACATGCTAGTTTGAAGATTGACGACTTGGGAAATATAGATATAATGATGGGAAATGCTATACACACTTTGCTAGCTCAAGCTCTATACAACCTCTGTTCGAGAAAGAACACGTAATTGAGAAGACTGAGCAGGTAGGAGAAACAAACGGCCAAGAAAACACGTTGAAAAGCACATTTCTGAAGTAGGAGCGATGCACATGCACGATAATATGAATTACGTTGCTTCGTTCTTGCACTCTATAAGACCTATCGAAAGACTGAAATCAAAAGCCCATGTATGTACTCTCCGACGCGCCATTGGCAAACGAGGTTTTACCGTGTTGTCCCACAACACTGCAAAACCCGATCCTACTTTCTGAAGCGCAGTGCCAGGTAGCCCAGCACACGATAAACGGCAATGATGCCAATCATGATACCGACGGTCTTGCCCAACTGCCCAGTGGGGTAGTCGTAGTAGTGTAAAACAGCCTTGCCATCAATCTTGCACTGACCCGAAAATTCGCTCTCATAGGCACATGAACATCCAGTCATGACGTTGCCAGCACAACTATAGGTGCGGCCGTCAAACTCATTGACCATCATGCCGCGAAAGACGTAGGCTTGGTAGTCGATGTAGTGGAAGACGTAACGCCAAAAGACATTGAGACTTCCTGTGGGCACGAGGAAACCACCCACCGACATCCAGAGGCCATTGGCGAACGCCACGAGGGCGAGGGCGATGATGAAGTTGGGGAAGAGAGATGAGACGAGAACGACCAGACTCTCTGCTGCGACCAGGTCCAAGAAGAGCCACATGACGTGGATAAAGAAGGCGTCAGCGTCGGGACGGAAGTTGATGAGCCAGTATGTGACGCTAGCGAAGAGGATGGAGATGAGGAAGAGGAAGGGCAGGCCGATGAAGAAGTTGGACACGACGAATGACAGAGGTCCGTAAAGGCCATTGGCACGCTCCTTGACGAAGATGGCTCTGTCCTCGAGGAAGGCAGGCACGTAAGCGACAGCCATGAAGCTCAGGAAGGCACTACCGAAGAAGAGTGCATTGACAAAAGACTGAATGTCTTTTTGGATGGTACTCAGACGGAGCCAGACAGTGCCCATCATAATGGCAAGGCCCATGTACATGGCGACACGAATCCAGTAAGCAACAATGTCGCGGTAGGACTTGAGAAAGAGGCGGTGCAAAAGGGTGACAGGTATGCCGAGATCATGGGCCAGACCAGGTCCCCGAGAGCCGGCAAAGGTCTCGCTCTTCTCAAGCTCTGATGACACTCCTTGGTTGCCGTTGCTGCGCGTCTGCCATGCAGTTTGGATCATGAGCAGACGTTGAGCGATCATAGTTCCTTCCCCTTCTTCCGATTCGAAGTCGGTGTTTGTCAGGTCGAGAATGTGCTCTGAGGGATTCATCAAGTCTGGAACTGGCATTTCGAGACTAGCAAAGTAGGGTGCAACGTTTGATACAGGCCCGAAGTAACAAGTCTGACCCTGAGATAGAAGTAGTAGCTTGTCAAAGAGCTGGAATGTGGCGGTTGATGGTTGGTGAATGCTGGCTACCACGATAAGCTGGTGTTGTTGAGCATACTTCTTCAGCAGGTGGATGACCTCGAAACTGGCCACAGAGTCTAATCCGCTGGTAGGTTCGTCGAGGAAGAGGATTTTGGGTGCGGTGATCAGCTGGCTCGCGACACTGACACGTCTCTTCTGCCCTCCTGATATTCCTTTGCGGATAGGTGTGCCGATAAGAGTGTCGGCTTGTCTCTTGAGACCGAAGCTGTCGATCAGACTCTGGACTCTACTGCCCTTTTCATTTTTCAAGACAGATCTTGGGGTGTCAGCAATACATCCTGCTGATAGAGAGGCTGTAAGCATACCTGGGAAGAGCAAGACGAGCTGCAAAGTCAAGAGTTTCTCGGACAGTTAAGGATCCCACGAGGGCATCCTCCTGCTCGACAAAAGACGTGAGCTTCTTGTAAATTGGAGCGGATACCTGAGCGTTGTTGACAGCCACAGTGCCACTGGTGCCGGAGGAACGGCCTGCAAGTATGTTGAGAAGAGTCGTCTTTCCACTGCCAGAAGGGCCCATGAGAGCCAAAACCTCTCCTTGAATTTGTGTTAGTAGAGCCATCAACAAAGGGATACAAACAGACACCTACCAGCTTTGACTTGACCACCAACATTGCTGACCAGATCTTTGGGCTGCTTGGTTGTGCGATCCTCGACGGTCAATGTAATGTTCGACCATGACAGAGAGTGAACGAGGTCATTGAACATGTAGAGCTCATGGCTGGACTGTCTTTCTGTGTCTGAAGATACATTGGCAGACATTTTGTTGTGCATGCTGGGTAGAGAGAAGATGATGAAACACGTAAGTGGAAGAAGAGGTGGTTGAAAGTAGCAAACGACGACTCTTATCAAGAGCTTGGTCGACAGGACGATATACCAAAGAACATTGTCCCGGAAAGGACTAGTTTCTTCTACTCGCCGGGGTTTCGGGGACCTACAGGATGAAATGCTTGCTACAGTGAATCCTACCACAGACACGAACAATCCTTTGACATTTAGGCGACCCAATCCAGGCATCTTACACTTCGTTTATGGAGTCTTGATTTTCATACGACAGAGATTTCTTATGGACCGGCCCATTCTGATCTCTTCGTCTAGATGAAGTGGAGGTTACTGAAAAGTCGAAATTAACGGTGTTTATTCCGCTGGTTGGCCAGACATATACTGATTGTACCACGGCCATTGCGCATTCAACAATAAGCGACTGAGATGTGTCGCTTGGTTGGTTGCATCCATACCATGCCAATATGTCCCGGAATCCCCGTTGTTCGTGTTTGGGAATATGGTAGGCAACGAACGCGCTGGCAGCTTGACTAACGGGTTCTTGCTGCGTTGTACACCCATGTCAAATGTCAATGCATGCAAGCAAAGGGTCACTGTGCAGAAAAGATTGAGTACCTTCTCGCATCTGAAACATTCTCTGATTCCCCAATTAATGAGGTCGCCGAAGTGATGTAGAATTGAGTGCTAAGAGGTTGGTACGCATGGTAGAGATTGAGGAGCGAAATGAATGTCCGGAGTGGTCATAAGTCATGGTTCGCCGAGCCCTTGAAACTGTTGGTTGTGTTGGCTGACTTCTTATAGACGCCGAAGGTACTGGTTTATAAGAATTCGTCTAGTGTTATTAAGCAGAAGATGGCGAGTTGTTTGGTGCTCGGTCCATCTGTTCCAGATCTCCAGACTGCGGGGCTGCATATTCGACGCTATAACCAGGAAAGAGAACTCGCGGTCGGTACGACTTTAACGTGGGTGTCAATGTCTTGTTCAGATTGTGAATGAGCCAAATGCTGCATGCGAGGTTACTGCTCAAACAAAAGAAAGCATGTGTATTGTGGGTTTCTTAAGGTGACTGGACGAAGACGACTCGGTTGTGTACCAGACGTACCAGGATGCAGGCTCTTGATACGTGCATCTTTTGCGCCAAAGACAAGGGTCGTAGATCTGCCTGTATGACAAGGCTTCCTAAGGTGACTGATTATAGCTACCACGTAAGCGCTCTACGAGCATAGCATGACACTACGTGGTCTGGACTCGGTAGGATTACTGGTCAAAGAGAGTCGTTCCCAAGGAGCGTTGGAATAGCGGGCCGAGGTCAATGCACGAGTTGTCTGCGACGCGTTTCTCCGACTCCGCAAAGACTGGGGGAGATGACATTCGCGTCGTTCCTTCCCTCTCTCCACATTGATATGCATACCGAAATGAACAATACATCATTTTCTTTGGCGCCCACTCGTCGGACGAATCAAGCCTGTGATGCTTGTAAACTCAGAAAGGTCAAATGCAATGGTCAAGCAAAATGTCAGCAGTGCAGTCATCTCAATCTTCGCTGCGTCTATTCTGCGCCCAAGCCAAGGACAAAGACTCTGAAACGAGGAAAACTCATTGCTCAATACAAGGAAACCACCAACGGACGCACAGAAACTTCAGACTCGAGTCCAGCTCAGCCATCACCCTCTGTGATTACCCATGATGCTGCATTCTTTACTAGTTTCTTGGATGATTATGACGTCTCTGTCTACCCCGTTAATCCCATCATGACCGTCGACGATGTACTGGCCTCAATCAGAGAGATGGAACAGAGCGCAGAAGCCAGGACTTTTGTCTATGCTTACACCGCCATCACAATTGCCTTGACCAACAAAAGTCCGGATAATTCGACCGACTCTCAGTCGCAAGTAAGATACTGGCTCGAGGAACTCATCAAGGCCAGAGCAGCTATTGCGTTTGATGAAAAGATGTCGGTCCGGAGAGTCATGATCAGTCAATTTTCTCACATTTCTCTCATGTGCCTCGCCAATATGGACATGTCTTTCTATTACGTTCGCGAATCCATCACCATGATTCAGATGCTACGAATAGGCCATCCAGAAGTCATGGAAAAGCTCAACTCGAGTGAACGTGCTCGCAGACAAAGATTGTATTGGGAAGTCTTCATCCACGAAAGATATTTGGCCATATCCAACTATCGCCCTGTCGTCCTACCACCTTTGCCGGATCTCCCGGAATTCGACCCATCAATACCTCCAGGTGTACATGAAGGCTTTCTGCAGATCATCCGACTCTTCCGTCTCATCGACGAAGGCTTCCTTGCCAACTGGTTCGGCACCACAACGGTAACACGAGAATGGATCGACAGCAAACACAAAGAAATTGATGAGGAGCCAGTCGGGAACGAAGCTCACGGCGGTGTGACACCTCTAACAGACATGCAGCAAGCGGACTTGATCGTAACAAAACATTGGATGAGAATGTTGGTGTGGCAGATGGCCATGTCGAAATGCTTGCTGAGCTCCAACTCATCAAAAGAGTCTTTGTCATTATCTTTCCCGGTACGGTTGTCAACACAATTACGAGCACTCATGACAAGGTTCTCCCGTCAAGCAATCGAAATTCACGGTTCGGGCATTCAACAGAAGCTATTCGAGTTGACGGATACGATTGCCAATGTCATCATTACTGTTCCCGCAGCTACAGTCCAGGAGACGGCTGGTCGAGTCGACGACTTCACCTTCCTCATTGGCTTTTTATTTTCCCTACCAAGCTTCGACCCCGTACAAAGGGATATCTTGCAGAACAAGTTGGAGCAGTTGCAGTCCCTCTTTCCCTATTCGGCAAGCGAGGCCGGCGCGTCGCCTGCGGCCAGCGATGTCACGTATACGTCGACCAGCAAAACACCACACAATGACCTTCCTTCACCGCCATCACGCGTTGTATGGCATGAAATGGCGAAGAAGTTATCGATGGCTCAACCGCGAGATGTTCCTCGGTCAGATTTGGCACGGCTCGTTGAAAGTGTTTGATGGTTTCACGTGAGAAGGATGCAAACATTTGCAGAACTCATTAAAACATAAAATTGTTGATGAAGAGATCCAACAAGACTATCACGAGCGTGGGAGACTGGCGAATCTCAACTGATCTATGCAGATGATGCTCTGAGTGCAAAGGTTCGGATGCTCTTCTGACATGATAGAGTCTTTACTCGGTACTCTGGCCGTCGCTGTGTCGAGCGGATCATACTATGCTTTGCATCTATGTCGTCTAGGCAGCTTGCTTTTGTCACCACTTGTCCACCAAACATGTTGGCGGTTACGCAAGTTTTGGCATCGACCCGAACTGACACTTCTAAGTCTTCATCTACAACTTCGATGAAGACGCTTGCCGATGAAACCAGTTGTCAGGGGGCATGGCTTGCATGAAAACGCTCTGTAGATTTATCACAGCTTGCTCACATGCATGACACCAATTCGGCATCACCAGTCGTTAAGGACTTTTAGCTAGTAGAGGACAACAATTGTGGAAGACGGAGTCTTTGAAGGCGACAGATGAATCACGCATGAGAATGAATGGGTGTATCGTCACTCATATGCCTTGGTGTTGCGGCAGGGCTTGTCTGCTCTGTATAGACGAACAATAGTCGGTACATATGTCGATGAACAGCAAAACATATTATTTTCCCCTCGTCTATACATTTTATGTAGTGACCCATGCCTGTGTACACGCTGGTGACGGTGAAAATCATTACTGTTCACAGCTCAGAGATAGTCTGTTGATCCCGAAGGTGATGGTTGATATAATTTATGAAGTTCACATCTCTGTTTTCGTCTATGTCTATGATGTAGAAGACACAACTGACTAGATGTTGCACCAGCTCGATAAACTACCCCTGAACGCCTTCAGGGCCCTGAGTTACTGGTAAGATGTCGGCCGATGGACGGAAGCGAACGATGAAGCGATCAACGAAGGTTGTGAAGATATACAAAACACGAATATCAGATCATGTGGATGATGTGCAAAACAACAGAAAACATGAGATTGCTTGGTTCAAGGTACAAAAGGCAAGGACATTTGGCTCTTCGAAAAATGATGATGAGGAAGCCATAGATGTGATGATCGTAGTATTCGATCGTGATGATGCTATGAAAAAATAAAGGTGAGATTAGGCGTCGATTGTGGTTTTGGGTGTCTAAGGTATGCAGTTGTTCTATAACTCTACAGTCGTGCTCGAATTATCTCTGAGAGATTTGCGGCGCAGTCATGATCACAGCATTGATCACCGAGGTGGGTTTATGGGCACTGCTCAGAAGAGGGTTTGGAAACATCTGACGCGCTGCGCGCAGTTTTATTGTTGATAGAACGCCATCAAAACTCACTGACGTGTATTTCATCCTCACCACGACTCTCCATCAGGCAGCAGCCGCAGCCTATATAGACCATGTTGTCGACCCTCTTTCACCAGCCAAGTGGTGCCATCGGACGCGGTGGCTCACTTGGTTGGCGCCAGTCCGGCAAAGTCATTGCGCATGAAAGGTCTTGGGTTCAACTCCCAGCAAGATCAGAAAGACAGAAAGAAATGATAAAGGGCAGGCAAAGAGAAAAAAATGACAATTAAAAAAAAAAAAAAAAAAAAAGCGCGCCGTCCTCAAAGCAAGACAGAAAAATAACCAAAGTAAACTGCCTTCGAAATGCAAGTTTCTTTCGCCGCAACGCGGTGTTTCTTTTGCTTCTGGAACAGGACAGCACTTACTCTCTGCACCTACTTGCTGGTTCGTGTCGATCGCTCTACTCGTTGCTCACGTCTAATGTTTCTCCTTACCTCTCCTTACTTGAGCAGCATGCTGGAAGCTGGAACTCTCATGATACAACTTGACTAGACAATGAACGCCTGACACAGACAATTATCAAGTATAATACGAGTGTGAGCAAGGACGTTGAGCAAAGTTGATGGAAGGTTTCGTCGGAGTTGCGATCCGAGAAGCGGTATCGGCAACTTGATCGGGTAAACTTGTTGCGAGTGACGAAGTGCGCTTGGTGGGACAGCGTGAGTGGGCGGGCTTGAAACTGAAGCTGAGTACAGCGAGCTCTTTTGACCTCACACGAGCAGAAAAGAGACCATGTCAGTACCGCTGTCTTCCAAGGAGCAGTCCCTGTTCAAGCAGGTTGTCCAGCTCTACGAGTCCAAGCAATACAAGAGGGGTGCGCATCCACTCTCAACCGTCCCTCAGCACACTGACGCAGACGTTGGCTAACACGATCCACAGGTATCAAGACTGCCGACCAAGTCTTGAAAAAGGTCCCCAACCATGGCGACACTCAGGCCATGAAGGCCTTGATCCTCAACTCTCAAGGCAAGACCGAAGAGGCCTTTGATCTGGCCAAGCTCGCTCTCAAAAATGCCATGAAGTCGAATGTCTGCTGGCACGTCTATGGATTGTTGTACCGCTCCGTCAAGAACTACGATGAGGCCATCAAGGCTTACAAGTTTGCCCTGCGCCTCGACCCCGACTCGCGCCAGATCCAGCGCGACCTTTCTCTCCTCCAGGCCCAGACTCGCGACTGGAAGGGTCTCATCGACAGTCGCAGAACCATGCTGACCGCTTCTTCGGGCATTCGTGCCAACTGGACCGCCATGGCTATTGCCCACCACATGGCTGGTGACTACCAAGCCGCCGAGAAGGTCTTGACCATGTACGAAGACACCCTCAAGGTTCCCCCACCACCAACCGATCTCGAGCACCACGAAGCCGTCTTGTACAAGAACACCATCATTGCCGAGTCTGGCGACTACGAACGTGCTCTCAAGGGCCTCAAGGCTATTTACAAGTCCAACCCCGACAGAACCGCTGTTATGGAGTTGAGAGCAGAGTACTTGTTGAAATTGGATCGCAAAGAGGAGGCTGAGAAAGCATACCGTAACTTGCTCGAAAGAAACCCCGAGAGACGCGCCTACTATGATGGCTTGGAGAAGTGTCTCGGTCTGGACAGAAATGACTCGACCGCACACACCCAACTGCTGGATCTGTACAAGTCGTTTGCCGAAAAGAGCGAAAGAATTGATGCACCTAGACGTGTGCCACTCGACTTCCTCCAGGGCGACGCTTTCCGCGAGGCTGCTGACGCTTACCTCACAAGAGTCTTCCGCAAGGGTGTGCCCTCGACCTTTGCCAACGTCAAGGCCCTCTACAATGACGAGTCCAAGAAACAAACCATTGAACAACTAGTCCTCGGCTACGCTTCTCAGAGCAATGAGGAGAATGGCAAGAACTGGGATCTTGCCGTAAACTACTTCCTCGCACAACACTACGATTACCACCTCTGCCGCAACCTCGAAAAGGCCTCTGAATACATTGAAAAGACCATTTCTCTCAACACCAACCCCCAAGATTACACTTTCCATCTCACAAAAGCCAGAATCACAAAACACTCTGGCGATCTCGAAAAGGCTGCCCAACAGATGAACGAGGCCCGCGAGATGGACCGCGCAGATCGTTACATCAACACAAAATGCGCAAAATACCAATTACGAAACAACCAAAACGAGACTGCTATTGAGACCATGGGCCTCTTCACCCGCAAGGAAGCCAACGGTGGTCCTCTGGGCGATTTGCTCGATATGCAGTGCATGTGGTATCTCTACGAAGACGGCGAGGCCTACAAGCGTCAGAACAAGTTGGGACTGGCTCTCAAGCGCTTCAAGTCGATTCACGACATTTTCGACGTCTGGTACGAGGATCAATTCGATTTCCACAGTTTCTCTTTGCGCAAGGGTATGATTCGCGCATACGTTGACATGATTCGCTGGGAGGATCACTTGCGCCAACATCCCTTCTACTCGAGAGCCGCATATTCGGCCATTGACATTTACGTCAAGCTCTTTGACGACCCCAACTATGGCTCCACAAACGGTGACCTCAGCGATGCAGACAAGAAGAAGGCAGAAAAGAAGGCACGCAAGGAAAAGGAAAAGGCAGAGGCAGACAAGAAGGCCGCCGCAGCCGCAAAAGCAACCGCAACCTCGGAAGATGTAGTCAAGAAGGAGGACACAGATCCGCAAGGCGAGGAGCTGCTCAAGACCAAGGACCCACTTGCCGAAGCCATGAAGTACCTGTCACCTCTGCTCGAGCAAAGCCCCTTGAACATCAAGTCCCAACAAGCAGGTTTCGAAGTCTTTGTTCGCAGAGAAAAGTACCTTCCTGCGTTGAAGTGCTTGGTCGCTGCTTCCAAGATTGATGCCAGCGATGCAACAGTAAAGGAGCAGACTGCCCGTCTGCGCAAAACATGTAAGTTGCTATGCTACTGACACCACCTTCCTTTCTCATGAGTGTTTTTACTAACGATTGCCACAACAGTGTCTGAGCTCAAGGAACCTCTACCAGAAAAGATCAAGGAGGTCATTGATGCCGAGTTGGCCACACTACCATAGAGTGGAAATCTCTTTTACATACTTGCATCTCTCTACCCATACCTCTATGCAAATGAAATCAAAAAAGTACATTCTGTCCCATCTCGAACAAGATCCTTTGATGTTGCAAGTGTTCTTCAGTGACTTGATCTAATCAAGACTGTACGACTCCACGCACAGTCAACATGTGCGGGCTCTGAATCGACAACCGTAATCTAGGTCGCGATTGAGTTCTACATACCCTTATTCTGTAGAGTGCACAAATTTGCAATAACATGAACTCATAAAATGCATGAGTCTGTTGGACACAAATTGAGAGGCTGAGCAAGCTGAAGTATTTGAAAGGTGCAGTAGGAAAAGGAAGAGGAAAGAAAGAAACAGTCTAATGTCTATGAGTCTAAAGTCTATATGGTCTATACCCCCTGTTAGTATAAACAAACTCCGTCTGAATGAATAACAGCTGGAAAAAAAAAGAGGGAAAAAAAAACAAAAACTCCTCGCAAAATATTAGCAGTAGGTCATGTTTCTCGTTTCGGCAGAAAAAAATCAAAAACTTCCTCAAAACACGATTCCTTCTGACTGCAGAGTGGAAGGAGCGAAGAAAGGAACAAAGGTCGAGGTATATTCCAACCTTCTTGACCGTCCAGTGTATATCGCTCCTTCCACTCCAGAGACTATACTTTCAAGTCTCTTGTTAAAGCAAATTTAGGAACCTCCATTCTCCACTTCTCCCTTCTCCATGGCTGTCTCAAGGTTACGAGCTTGAGTGTGTTGGCGGAACATTTGCAAAAAGTCGAGTTTGCCTTCATTGGCTTTGCCCTGCCATTTCCTGGGTGTATAATTGACGGGACTTTCACCACCTTTGAATATGCAAGTATCGTAGAGGACGCCACCAGCGATACCGCCAGAGATTGTAGCACCCCAAGCTCCCCAGATCCACCAATTGTGGTAGGCGGTAAAGATCTCGGTGCCATAACCCATGGCCATTGCGGCTAGACGAGGGCCAAAGTCTCGGACTGGGTTGAAGCAACCACCTGTGTTGGAACCGAGGGACATGACGAGGGCAATGACGAGTAGACCGATGATAAAGGCGTGCATACCAGCACCGGGTGGTGAGTTGGAGTCATCACCAAGTGCCAGAATGGAGCAGACGAGGATTGCAGTACCAGTAAACTCGGCGAAGAATGCTGTTGCAGGTTTTACATAATCCTTTGGTTGTGTGTAGATTTGAACTCCAGTTGATGAGCCAATGAGTCCACCATCGCTGTAAAGAATGGCATCACGATAGAGGGCAATAGCGATGAGGCCACCAGTGAAGGCACCCAAGATTTGGAACATGACAAAGACTGGAAGTTTGCGAGCAGGAAATCCTCTCTGTGTATTTGTCAGATGTGTTGCTATTGATGGAATGGGCATAAGACGACTTACGTAGATCCAGAGAGGAATGGATACGGCTGGGTTGAGATGGGCACCTGAGCTTCCACCCGAGATGTAAATGCCCAACATTACAGCCAGTCCCCAACCCCAATACATGTTTTGATAGATGCCTGGGTGTTGTGATTCTCCAGTGGCTACAGCAAGATTGCTACTCACACCAATCAAGACGAAAATGGTAGTCTACAAGCGATGTCAGCATGTGTCTAGTGGCCTTGAAAAGACAAAACTCACTCCCAACCATTCACCAAGAGCATCTTGAAATTTGGCACGAACAAGTGCCCACGAATTGAAGGGAGCAGGCTCGTCAAGAACCTCCTCGTCCTCTGGTGCAAGTGTTGTGTCATCACTGTCATTGCCAGGAGAGAATACAGCTTCATCACTAATGATTCCTGTGCTCTCGCCCTGGCCAGCCTGGGCACTAGTTTCGTGCATCATCATGCCTCCTGACTGGTTACTCTGAGTAGATCCGTGATTTTGGTGCTTTTGCTCATCAGAAGGTTCAGAATCTTGCTTCTCGCCTCCACGATGCTTTTTGCGTTCATCAGTGTCTTGAAGTTGAGGAGCAGCTTCTCCTTCTCCCTTTTCACGAGGTTTTACACCAGGCGCTGTTCCAGTTTCATTCTTCTTCTTTCCTTGCCAACCACGTACTGTACGCGGTAGGTTGGAACCCAAGCTAAATGTTGGCTCATTTTGCCTCTTTTCGTAGTTTGGGTTGAGGGCGCGGTATCCTTCGGCGACGTAGGTATCTCTGTTGGGTCCACCACCCTCCTTATTCGTTTGTGATCCGGCTAATGAATATCCGCCTTGCTCTGCAGTTCCTCCTGTAGCGTTGGTGGCCATGCGACTCATTCTGGGTCTTAGTGTGCTCATGGTGTGTTGATTTCGCATGTCAGGACGCTTCTGCTTGTTCGTCCTAGATCTCATTGTACTAGCAGTACGCTGATTCTGCATGTTTGGTCGCTCAGGTTGTTGGTTATTTCCAGACTGAGTCTGTTGAAAGGAGACATTGCGATTCATATTTGATTAGAACAGTGAGTGTGAGACTTGTTGTTAGGGAAAAAAGAGTCAAAAGACTCGAAGATCCTTGGAGGAGGAAAATCGATTGAAGCAAGAATTCGGAGCAGACAAAGTTTTGGCAGTTGCGTGTCTTTTAATATATCAGAGTGTTAGGGAGTTGGTGAGCCATGAAAACGTATTTCTTCCATCAGACACTCGCCGCCGTACAAAACAATTGGCAAAATCGCGAATTCAAGAGTGGGACCGAGAAACTTCTCAGACAAGGTGACGATAAAGCGGGTCTTTGTTGAGCCTCATCAAATGCCCTTGCCTTTTTGGGTAATCCGACATGTAAATCTCTGAGCAAGCAGGGACGGCCCACGACGTCAGATCTTCGATTGCTTCAAAAATCCCCTATCTCAGTCAGCAAAACATTGCTTGGCCACGTCAAAGTGTCACACCGATATACACCCTGATTGCACGATGAGCGATGAAATTGAGCAAAAGGGCAATTGCATTCGAGTACGAACCCCCAACATTGCATTGACTGACTCGTTTGTGGAGCTTCTTTTTGAGCCTCAAGGATGGGATTTGGAGAAATTCAGTCAATCAAGGAACCACTTCCGGGGGCATTCCCTCTCAAACCTAGTGAACTTCTTCCCAAAGAGCCTCAACATGATACTCATCGATCCACCTCCACATCATTATGAAGCTACACCCCATACTATGCCAGTGTCACACCAGGAAGATAAGCTCTCTTCCACCTTCCCATGTGCTGAAGGTTGCCACACTGAGATAACGCTTCCTGCGTTTCTCCAGATCAGTATGCTGTCACGGTAAGACGGCAAAGAGATGCCCACATGGTGCCAGCAGAGATTTTCCCTATCCCGCAGCAATACGAACCACTCACAATCTATTCGGCCGATGTTCGCTCGATCACTTGTTGTTAGTATTGGGAGTAGGAAAGACCTCATGAGAATTACTAGGTTGATGGCTTGGAGCAGTTCTTTTTCACTAAGTGTCGCCATGAGAAGTAGGAAGAAAAAATGCCATTCTACAACTCTAAAGGACAAACAAAAAATGTGGATATAGTGACCCAAAACAAAGACGCCGCCCAATCTATTGTGTCGCAAGAAAAGGAAGAAATCGAGATTGTAACGCCATTCACCCTACTTTTTGCAATTCGTAGCTGCAGACATCTTTCATTACCAACAATCACAACACGTCACTTGCTTTTTTACTCGTCGTCACTGTCAGGAGGGTGAGGAGTTCCCTGTAAGAGCGGTTAGCAAATTGTGATATGCAAGACGGAAGAGATGAAACATACCTTGGGACTGTTGAGCCACTCAATGTGACGCAGTCTTCTGCGGACCTCTCTCTCCTTCAACTCCTTCTTGGTCATCTTCTTCTTCTTTCTGGCTCTGAAAGCCATGTCACCACCACCGCCTTCGACATCACTCTGAGTTGGTGTGCCAACAGTAGAAGCTACGGCGGAGCTGACGACTGAGCTGGCAACAGATGAGCCAGGCTTGGAAGAATCCTCGAAGCGGTCGAGCGAGATGGCGACATTGCCCTTTTGAGTCAGACGACCATCTGCAACGTGCCACTGCTCGGGGCAGAGAGCACCAACAAACTCTTCGTTGTGAGAAATCATGACGACACCACCCTTGTAGTCACGGATGGCAACGGCGAGACCACCGAGAGAGTCTCTGTCCAAGAAGTTGGTAGGCTCGTCGAGAACGAGCAAGTGAGGGTTGTTCCACATGGCACCAGCAAGGACGACCTTGACCTTTTGGCCACCAGACAAGCCGCTGATTTCATTGTGGTTGGCAATTTCGGGGTCAAGACCAACATCCTCGAAGTGCTTGGAAATGACCTTGGGTTCGAGTTGACGGAAACCAAGACCTTCTCTGCTAGCCTCGTGGTCATCAAACTCTTGAATGAGCTTCTGGAAGCCAAGATCCATGAGGGTCTCGCGAGAAATCATGGTGTTGTACTTGGGGAGCATACCAACCCACTTGATTTCGTACTGGAACGACTTCTTCCACTTTTGTCTACCAATGATGGACTCGATTCTGCGCTCACCCATGCCAGGGCCGAGGTCGACGAACTTCTCCATTTGAGCCTTGTCTTCTTCGGTCAATTGACGGGTTCCCTTCATCAGGACCTCACGGTCATCACCGTTGGCATAACGCCATTGCAGGTATTGGTTGGGAGTCTTTTCCAAGTGCATTTCGACGTGCTCAAGAGCGTGCTGCTTGATGTAACCGATACGCAAGTTGGGGTGCTTCTCGACCTTGCCGGTCTGGGGAATGGTTTCACCAGTGAGCAACTTGATGAGGGTAGATTTACCAGCACCGTTGGCACCGATAATGGCAACTCTTGAAGAAAGCGACAATTGACAGCTGACGCCCTGGAGCGAAGGCTTGGAAGCTCCAGGGTAAGTGAAGTTGCAGTCAGTCATGCGGAGAATGCTTCTAGTGTTGGACTTGACACCAGTCAAAATACCAGGAGGAGGGAACTTGAATTGAACCTGGGAAGCGGAGAGAGTGTAGTATGCACCAGCTTCGGGCTTTTGCTTGACGAAAGCAGCAAGGTTACCCTTGTAGTTGACAAGCTTCTTTTGCTCGTAGTGGATGATGTCGGTACAGACCTCGTCGAGGAAACCAGAATCGTGAGAAACAATCAAAGAAGTAATGTCGGTGTGGGTCTTGAGGTACTCTTGGAGCCACTTGACGTTGGCAACATCCAAATGGTTGGTAGGTTCATCGAGAAGGAAGACGTCGGCGCGCATCAACATGGCTCTAGCCAAGGCGAGCTTCATCTTCCAACCACCAGAAAGGGAACCAACCTTTTCGGATTGACGTCCAGTGGGACCAGAAGAGAAACCAACCTCCTCGAGGACAGCCACAATTCTGTCTTGACCTTCGGCCTGGAGTTCGGGATCCTTCAAACAATAGTTGAGAATGGTAAGATCAGCATCCTCACCCTGGTTGTGCTCGACGAAGCAGGTGCGAACCTCTTCTTGAGGAGGGAAACCCTCGAGCTTGCCATTGGCAATGGAGCGCATCAAGGTGGACTTGCCAGCACCGTTTCTACCACAAAGACCGTAACGGTGACCCTTGAGCAGACGAAGGTTGGTGTGAGAAAGCAAAAGCATACCACCATAACCAAGAGAGAAGGTGGCATTGACAATTTCAACCTCACCATCCTCGAGAGGTGGAGGAGCACCAAACTTGCGCTCGTCTTCGGCAGTGTAGAACTTGAAGACGGCCTCGGCAACAGCATCGGCCTTGCCTTGCTCCATGAGGGGAGCCATGTAAGGAGCAATGTTGCCAGTGATGCGGTTAAGCTTGCGATCAGTGGCATCCTCTGCAACCATGGTTGAAAGGTAAGGCTTGGCCAAGTTCCAAATCTCGGCGTCACCAGGGATTTGGATAAGACCGCCATTTGCTTGTGTCTCCTTTTCCAAAATCTTGCTAACATCTTCAGGAATGGTACGGCCAGACTCGGAATGGTCACCATTGTTTTGCTGGCCCATGGCCTTTTCAATGACATCGAGTGCTCTCTGAGCAATCTCGCGAACCTCGGGAAGAGAGGCTCTGTCGCGGACGGCCTTGGTACCGGGCAAGAGCTTGGGAAGGAAAGATCTGGCCTCGACGGGGTCGTGAACGAGCTTGGTCAAGTTTTCAACAACGACGACTGTTTGACGAGTGACTTCTTGGGAAGTGCTGGGGCTGTTGAGAGAACGTTCGAGGAGGGGAGTAAGGACGGCGAGGACGGGAGAGGTGACGATGGCAACAAAGGTGGTTTGCGAGAGGGCGTGAATGGCCTTTTGCAGACTTTGAGTTGAGGGGTCTTCCATGGACTTGATCAGAAGAGGAAGACGAGGCTGAACATCGTCGTTTTGCAAGAGAGTAGTAAGGGAGTTCATGGACTTGATGGCAGCCTTTGAGACTTCGGCTTTGAGGTCGTGCATACCACCCTCGACAATGGGAATGAGATCCTCGAGCTTGCGACCCATGGCTTCACGGAGAACATCCTTGGCCTGTTCAGCCTCGAGACTTTCCATGCCCATCTTTGCGTCGTCGGCCATGCGACCAACCAGCTCGTATGCGACAACGGCGCTTTGCCACTTGGCAGTACCCTTGCGGAGGTATTTGATGAGAATGGGCAAAAGACCATAGACCTTGGCCTCGGCGCCGAGCTCCTTGTAGAGAGCATCGATAGCGTACTTGGCTCCGTCGCGAACACTGGGAGTCTTGTCGGCAATGGCATCGAGAGCCATGGGCAAGAGGTAGTCGTGTTGAAGGAGGAAGACGACCTCGCTCAGGCGCTGCTTGCTGGGGAATCTTTCGAAAATGGCACCCAGGGCAAACATGGCGCCTTCGCGGCGGCCAATATTCTTCTTGTCCGCAGCGGCCTTCTTGACGTCTTGCAAAACATTGTAGTCGTTGAGACCGCGGAAACCGACCGAGTTTAGGAGAACATCGCAGAGAGCGTAGGCGGCGTCGAGCGACTCTTGCGAAGTCTTGCTTTCGTAAATGGTCTTTGTGATGGCCGAAATGTCCTCGACAGCGGGCGGCGCCGAATTTGAGCTAATGGCAACGTTGTTCATGCTGGGCTCTTCGAAATGGGGCATATCCAAAGAGGTGAAAGGAACAAGGGCGCGATTAATGGCGTAGGCGCAGGGGGTTGCGCTTTTTTTTTTTTTCGCAACAAGAATCAAGCAACCAGAAGGAAAATCTCGATGATAAGAAAACCCGAGACGAGAGAAAAACGCACAAGAGTGGAGAGTGGGAGAGGGAGAAGGTGTTTGCAATCAAGCACTCCTTCGAGATGGTTGAATGAAGAGAAAGTCTTGGTTGGGCTGATATGGGAATTTTTTCTAGTCTGCGGCCGCCTGCCCCTCGGTCAGCGACTTTGCCGGGCGGCGGGCCAACGCGGAGTGGTTAAAGAACGCTGTCATCTCATCTTGTTGAGCACACTCTGTCTTGTTTTTGGCAAGAAAGCATCGTTCTGGTTCTTCACACAAGGGACCTGCATTCTGATACCTGCGAAAGTGAATGCTTCGTAAAGGCAATTGTTCATCTGCAAATCATGAACATCACAATCCTGATATCGCATTCATCAGATTCATCCCAAATTTATGTCTTGGCATACGCATTCACCTACGTTCAGTATTCATACCCCAACTTCACGTGTTTGCATCCTTCTTGCCTATTGACTCGCATACCAGATCGTCATAATTTGGTGAATTCTTTGAAACTTGATTCATACAAGATATATCCATCTAGTACTTCTATATTTTCGTTTCTTACTTGCTCTCCTTGACATAGAGGTCGACATACTTGTCAATCTCCATGGCGTACAACTTGTCGGGCGAGTTGCCAAGCTCAATCAACTCATTTACACGGGCCTCACTGAAGTGAGGTCCCAAATGTCTCTTATACTTGGCCATGATTTCTGGCTTGGCCTCGTCACGACGCAGTCTGTGACCAAGAGGTGCCTCGACAATCTCCTCCTCCAAGGTTGTACCGTCATTCAAGGTGACGGTAAGAGCGTTGGAGATGGTTCTCTTCTCGGGGTCATGGTAGTCCTTGGTGTATTGAGGGTCCTCAACACACTTGATTCTCTTGCGGAGCGACTCGACAAGAGGGCTTGTTGCTGCCTCGGAACCATCCGTGTAGTCTGATGCCTCGAGACGGTTGAAGACGAACATGGTTGCAACCATGTACTGAACACAGTGGTCACGATCGGCAAAGTTGTCCATGGGCTTCAGTTGCTTGTCAATGATGCGAATGCATGCCTCATGTGTTCGGTTGGTAACATCCTTGATGTCTTCGGCAGTCTTGCCCATGGCCTTGAGCTTCTTGTTGAGACGGCTGGCTGCTTCGACGGCGGTCTGCGAGTGGAATTCGGCTATTGATGCGATTAGTACGAGCACTTTCTCTTGACATCTCATGAACTTTTGTTACTTACCAGGGTATGAAACCTTGAAAAGGACATTTTCCATGACATAGCTGCCATATTCTCTTTGGAAGTTGAACTTGGCACCGTGGAAGTTGACATCGTAGAAACCCCAAGTAGGAGCGGTAAGAACGGTGGCCATACCACCCTCACCCTTCATGACCTTGAGGCAGAGGTTGACTGCCTTTTCACAAGCATCACCAGCAGCCCAACTCTTTCTGCTCATGGTGTTGGGGCTGTGTCTGTAGGTACGCATACTCTGACCATCAACCCATGCTTGAGAGATTGCGTCACGAGTTTGAGCCTCGGTCAAACCAAGCATTTGACTGACGACAGCGGTTGATGCAACCTTGACCAAGACGACGTGATCAAGACCGACCTTGTTGAAGGAGTTTTCGAGAGCCATGCAACCCTGAATTTCGTGTGCCTTGACCATGGCCTCGAGGACGTCTTTGACGGTGAAAATCTTTCCATTGCCCAAGTTACCACCATTGCGGTTGGTTCTGCTGATCCAGTCTGCAACAGACAGGATTGCACCCAAGTTGTCACTAGGGTGGCCCCATTCGGCAGCAAGCCAGCAGTCGTTGAAGTCGAGCCATCTGATCATGGCTCCAATGTTGAATGCACCAAGTACAGGATCAAGCTGGTAGGGAGTACCAGGAATCTTTGTGCCATTGGGAACAGTGGTTCCGGGCACGACGGGACCGAGGAGCTTGGTGCAGTGGGGGAACTCGAGAGCCTTGAGACCACAGCCCAAGGTGTCTAGGAAGACATATCTGGCGGTGTCGATCTGCAAATGAGGTCAGTGAGGGCTCTTGACAAGTTTCTGGGACAAGGATGACATACAGCAAGCTCCGAGGTGACCTTGTAGTTGTGAATGTAAGATGCCATGTCGGTAATCTCGCGATCAAACTCGGCAGCGGGAGCCGGGCTGGCAACGGCGTCCGAGTTGGGCTTCATGGTAGTAGAGAAGGCAGCTGCTGAACGGATCGAGAAGGAAGTGGGAGCGATTGAAGCTCTGCTGGCAATTCTGGCAGTGTTGCGAAGGAGAGAACGCTGGCCAACAATGTTTCTGGAGCAAGTGCGGAGAAAGGTGCGGCTCAGTGGGGAAGACATATTACTGCCCAATGTCCACCAAGATGCTTGTCTAGGTATTGTGTCTCGATTGAGGAATGGAGAAGGAAGGAAAGAGAGGAATAGGCTCAACAAGACGATTAGTAGTCCTCGAAGTTTTTTTGACTCCTGCAGATGTTCCGATAGCTCCAGCTACCTGTCGTCGGACAACCCCGCCTTACGAGTGTTGCACGACCTTACCGGCCGCTTACCGAGGTATCGTGGGGGCCAAAGGGAGAAACAAAAGGCACGGCACCTAATTCCGATGTCTATGCTATAGCAAACGGCTGTTTGAAATCATGTCTTGTCATCGGATTCTGCGGATGATACAGAGTTTGAAAATTTGGAAATCAAGATGCAACTGGATCTTTAGCTTGCTCTGTTAAAGCTGCTAGATGGGGGATTGTTTTCTTCAAGTCCTGCTGCCGGACTGGTGACCCTGTAGCCTATTTATCGACATTGACAATTCCATCTTTCACGAGATCCGGACCAGTACCAACCACTAACGTACTGTCTTTGTAAAGAGCATGTGCCAAATAAAGGAACATACAATGATATTACGGGCAAGAAACGGGTTGTGAGTGACAAGAGCTAGCATGGTTGTCAAGGTTATCGCGGTTATCGCGGTTATTGCGGAGCGCGATCAGAAGCAGTTAGGACCATCTCACAGCAACAAGTCCTGATTTCTCCACCTCGTACAAGTCTGCTTGTCTTTAAAGGGATAACATGATACCAAGGGGGGCTAATTGAGTTGTGTGTGGTAAGTTATGGTTATCAGACTGTTCTTCAGGTAATGATGCACCTAACAAAGAAGAACCAAAATCTTCAAAAGAGTCATCATTGTTGAGTTGATCCTTCTAGAACTGTGAACTTGTTTTCTCTTCCCTCCTCTTCACTCTGCCGAATATCAAAAAGCTGAAATCATCGTTACTCTTCTACTTTCTGTTTTTTGTTTTCCTTCTCTTTTTTGCTTGGAAACATAGGGAAGAAAGCAGAGAGAAACGTACGAAACAAGACACAAGGGCAAAGATGAAGGCTTCAACGCTGCGGCTGATGCTGGGGGCCAGGACCAAAGCTTCTCCAATCCTTGTCGGTTGAGAAATGCTGTTGCTGAGGTAGTTGCTGAGGTAGTTGCTGAGGTCTCTGTAGCTGTACAATGGCATGTTGAGCAGGACCAAAGGCATCGGGAGAACTTGAAACGGAAAGAGGAACAGTAGGGGAAGAATGTTCACCTGGACGCCAACCACCATGTTCAAAGATAGGTCCACCGACACTTTTACGACCACGAACAGAAAAAGGAAAGGCAGGACGAGTAGTAGATGGAAGAGGACGACGACTAGTAGCTGCAGGCTTAGAGATACCACGACCGAGATGAGGAGCAGATGTTTTAGCACGAAGAGCACCACCTCCCACTCGACTATGAGGAGTGGAAACAGCAGTAGCAGCAGCTACTGCTGCAAGATGAGAAGAACCAAGAGGAAAAGCACCACGCTCACCACCTAAGTATTCGGGGGATTGTGAAATGAGATACGGATCGGCAGGGTTTGACATACAAATTTGATCAGGTAAATAGAATTTATGAGAATACTAGTAGAACGATTTGAGTCAGGTTAACAAATCCGAGCCCTAGATAGAGTAGGAGCGTGATAGCGTTGTTGCAACGATCGAGCGGCTGATTGGGTAGTAATGTCGTGTCGAATCTAAGCTCCCGCCAATCAAGTTTCAGCCTCTAACACGGAAGGTTAAGGAGAATGGATACCAGCTTCCCTGGTAGAAGATGTTGCAACTGAAAAAATAAGAAAAAAAATGTCAAAAAGTCATTTCCTAGACTTACCAGGAGAAGAAGGATCCATGATGTGTTGATCACTTTGAACGTTGTATTCGTTCAACTTGCCTTGATCAATTTCCTTGACCAATGTCAAACCTTCGATCCATGAAGAAGGCTTGGGCAGGGTTGATCCAAGATGTCGTTAGATTGTTGATGTGATTAGGTCCCTCAGGTTTTTGGCAGCATCATCGCATCAAAGGAATTCAAGATCTCCCTTGTGATTGGCAAGTCCGAGAACATGACCTTGATTCTGAGGTAAAAGATGATGTGAGGGTCCTCGATTTGATGAAGGTGTGTAGGTCTGGATGCTCGCCAAAGCTTTTTGAGAGCACTCTTGAGACCAATAAAGTCTTCCTGAAAGTACCCATCAATGATCCAGATTGGTTGTAAGGAAAACCATTCAGCATTGGGGTTTGACAAGTTGACGAGTGGATTGGTCGAAATGAAGCTAATTGAAGCAACGTCGCCCTCCTTTTCGTTTAGAGGGACTTCTGTCCACTTCAACCATGGGCACAAGTAGGTAACCTGTCAGTTGTGTTAATCAAACTGAAATGGTACAATGAAGAAACAAGACCTACGAGTTCGAGAGGATATTGATCAGGGTATTCTGACTTGTGATAAACGAGCTGTCGAATGGCTTGTTTGGGACCGGTAGCCTTGGGAGTAGAAGGAATGTCGAACAAGTTTCGTCTACCAAGGAAACTGAACAAGATGTCAATAGAAGAGATTTGAAAAGAGGGACAATATCAACTTACTATCTCAGGCCAGGATCTGAATCAAGGTCCAATCTGAAACCAATTCTGGGGTATTCAATTGATTGTCTGAGCATGAACTCACCGATTGACCCTTGACTGTCGAGTTCAGAGATGAGATAGTCATTGTGAGGTGGAATGGCAGGTACAAAGACCCAGAATGTGTTTTGGGGTGTCATGGCGAGGTAGTTTCCAATAACGACTCCTGTATTGTCATATCTCACTTCAATACCCATGTCGGGGGTGAATTCGTGAGTACATTGGTTGTACTGAATGACTAGATCACTCCTGGTAAAGTCGCAGATTTGGGCCAGAGAATTTCCACGGTTGAACTTGTCAATGTTTCTATGACACAAAGTTAGATTTTTTGAAGGACGAAAACAAGAAAAGAAAGACCAAACTTACCCTAATGCAGACCATCCAGGTAGGCATAGTGTACCGAAAAAAGAGTCGTGATCGTTGGGTAAGACTCGATATTCACTCTTGGAATATCTGCAACCCACTGTCATACCTCCAAACTCACCCTTGTCCAAGACGACAACAATGTCGTCAACTTGAAGTGGGCAGTTGACTGCATTTGCAATAAGAGCCTTGGCGGCATCAAAGGGCGTTGATATTCTGGGTGCAGTCCACGATAGCAAGGCTTGGTTTTGAATTGGTCTCGGAAGGTGGTTGTGCGATTCGCTGAATGATGGCATTTTGTGTCCGCGTTGTTGATGAGGAAGACTTAGTACGATGAAAGGAGGTGATGAGATATCAGGATCTACCTCTGGTTGCGGAAACCGCCATGCTGGCGCGCTGTGCCTGCCTTTCTTAGATCTTCACGCAACACGACGGTAATGTCAAAACCTCACTGGCTCTTCACTCTCAGTCGCTATTGAGAGTGCATACCCCTCAATGAATGGGCAGCCGCCTCTACTGTGCTGCTGTGTCATCCTCTTGTTCACCTTGCACCCTAGCCACGTAGCTCCTGACTTATTATGCAATTCAAATCTCCATACTTATTGTGTTAGTCCTGTTTGCAACCCAGAGTATCTTGATTCGCGCCTGATGCCTCCCCACGTGCCGAAGTATGTGACGGGTGTAGCTATAGGCACAATACTCCTAAGAAACATGATAGTGCCTACGGAGGACCGACCATTGATCAGCTTTCTAAGCCTCTGAACTAGGAGATGACTGTGCGCTCTGATAACGAAAACGCTGCTCTTTGCTATGGTCGAGGACGATGGGAAGTCACACAATTTTCAACCGGGCAAAGAGGTTGATAGCCCCTCACAACAACCACGACAACCACGACCAGGCGTCAGCACCTTTTTTTCTTTTTTTTTCCCTGCGAAAATTTAGAAGAACAACCACAGCAAGCGAACACTATCACAACCATCCTGCTGGCGCGACTTTCCACGTCTCGCAACTAAAAACTGGCCTCCGAGATTGATACTTGCATGTACAATAATACGTTCGGTTGATCAGACACAACGCGGTCCACACCTACGAGCTTGCCAATAAAGCATGCGTAATGACTGCGTGAGTATGGCCGAGAAACAGACACTCGGAAAGAGATAAGACATGAGAAATATTGGCATCGCGATAAATGTGTTGTCCTCGATAACAATATATCGCGAAAGTAGTCGAGAGGGTGGGGTATCTAGTTCCCCCTAAAATTAGGTCGACCGCCTGGTTGAGGATTTAGCAAAGCATGCAGCAGATATGTCTGCATCCTGCATCCTGCAACCTACCTACTCTTCTGTGCGTCGAGAGCAGGCCACGGTCTCGCCGACCTTGTTGAAGAATACTTGACAGCTGAAGAGAAACCGCATGAAGTCTACTCGGGAGAGGCGGCGCTTGCCATCTTGGTGCAAATTGCAATTAGAGATTGCTGGCTGAAGATTTGCGAACGCAATGCGGAAATGACGTGCAAGCCTCCGACGTCTGGTTCCTGACTCTGCAAGTTCCTTCCAACCCTACGAATCTTCACAGCTGCAACAAGCTCAGTCTCGATGCAGGTTCGCATCGACGACCGAGGTACCAGAGCGGAAAATCGGCCAAAGCTTATGAAAGAGAAACATGGTTTTGACGGCCGGTTCCTGGCGCGGATCGTATCATCTAGCGCCAAAATCAGACGTGCATACTCACCCGAAAAAAACATCGCGCTATTGGAATTCAAGCCCGATTCGATTGCTCAACTCATCAATACATGGTCCTTGTCTATTGCCAGGCATGCTCCGAATGTGGAGTTGTTAGCTGGCAGATCATGTCTACCACGCGAGCGGCATGGGCGGCCCACGCCTCGCCACACAGTGCCAGTGCGCGGAAATGGCGCGAGTAGGCTGGCCTCTTGTGTGAGACCGACCGTAGGGACTCGGCTACTGGTTCACTTTGCGCCGTTGCACCTGGCCCGGGGTCTCAACGTTATGGTGTTTCTTCTTCAGCTTCCATTGTAGCGTAACGTTCCCGTGGGAAGGCTAGACTGCATGCGCTTCTATATCGGTTGGTGCTTGGCTCACCTGAATCCAAACGGTCCTGCTCGGTGATCCTTTGCTCAAAAGCCCCAGGTCTGCCGTCAGTAGAAACACTCTCTGTCTCTACTAATTTCCTTGTCCACTTTTTCCATTCCCCATCCACTCATTCATACTCGGTGGTAGTGATATCAGGCACAAGCCGAAACTACATATTCACATTCTACACTACCAGTCCTTCGCCATGGACGACCGCAACAATGGCACCGCCGCCTCTTCGGCCAATGCAACTCCTTACCTCAGACCTGGCACTCCCGAAAGTGAGGCCATCACTCCTGCTGCCAGAGCAAACCCTTTTGCAACCCCCTATGGCTCAATGCCGGTGTCAGCCGCAGGTTCCTCTACAGCTCTGCAGCAACCTCAGCAGAGATACTTCCACTCTAGACGTGTGAAGAAGGGTGAAGTCGAGAAGCCTTGGCTCGAGAAGAAGGATCCCAAGGAGAAGTGGGTTACCATCATTCCTTGCATTGGTATCGCCATCGGTCTCGCTCTCACTGGTTTCCTCATCTACGACGGTCTGTCCAGTGTCACCAACCACAGCTACTGCCCCGTATTCGAGGACGACTTTTCGAATGGCTTGAACAACAAGATTTGGACAAAGGAGGTCGAGTGTGGAGGTTATGGGTATGTCACTTACACACAGAGCCAGTAGAAACAATCGCTAACCTGATTATAGCAACGGTCAATTCGAAATCACCACCAACACCGACGAAAACGCATACGTTCAGGATGGCATGCTTCACATCAAGCCCACTCTCCAAGATGCAAAGCTCATCGAGCAAAACAATGTCATCAACCTGCTCGCAGATGGTTCCTGCTCGTCTGACGTTTGGTCCAACTGTATCACTGGTACCAACGTTACCAACGGTACCATTGTCAACCCCGTCAAGTCTGCTCGTATCAGCACCAAGAACGGCGCATCCATCAAGTTTGGTCGTATCGAAGTCGAGGCCAAGCTCCCTGCTGGTGATTGGCTCTGGCCCGCCATTTGGATGCTTCCCAAGGATAATGTCTATGGTGCATGGCCCCGCTCTGGTGAAATTGACATCATGGAGTCTCGTGGTAACAATCACACCTATCCTCAGGGTGGTAACAACGTCATGAGCAGCACCCTCCACTGGGGTCCCAACTCTGCCAACGATGGTTGGTGGCTCAACAACAACAAGCACTCTGCTCTTCACACCACCTACGCCGCCGGTTTCCACACTTTTGGTGTCGAATGGTCTGAAAAGTACATCTTCACCTATGTCGATTCTCGTCTTCTCCAAGTCATGTATGTCAACTTCAACAAGCCTTTCTGGGACAAGGGTAGATTCCCCGTTAGCGACAGCAACGGTACTGCTCTCATGAACCCCTGGGCTGCCACCGGCAAGGATGACACTCCCTTCGACCAAGACTTTTACCTCATTCTCAACGTCGCTGTTGGTGGTACCAATGGCTGGTTCGAGGATGGTGTTGCTGGCAAGCCTTGGACCGATGGCAGCACCACAGCCAGAAGTGAATTCTGGGCTGCCCGTGACCAGTGGTACCCCACTTGGGAGAAGAATGGTGAGATGGTTGTCAAGAGTGTCAAGATGTTCCAGCAAAAGGGTTACAATGGTTGCAACTAGATTGTGTGTATGTTTTCTGATAGCGATTTGTTTTCTTTTGGATTTCGATACCACGGGAGTTTTTTATATATCACATAAGGGTGACGATACGAATCTTTTCTTTCTCGAACATAGACAAACAATCATTATAATTTCTACCTGCTTATTCTTTCATCATTCTCTTCCCATTCTATATATGTCAATACCAGCCACCTAGAAGTGTTTGTGAAGTTGACTACATTGATAAACCAGTTGGATAAAATCGTCTGAACAGGATCTTTCAACGGTTCTTCCCAGTCGACTGCCGAGTCTGGTCGGCAAGGCTGGGACAAAAACGTCGAAGGTCATGGACCGTTGAGACGACAACCAAACGGGCCGAGTATCTTGTGTAAAGATACAATGCCCTGATACCGCCGGTGATAGCAACGTCTTGTTGCAGAACATCATCCGTTGCCAAAAAACGTGACAAGACGAGGCTGGGTGTACCGTTTCGTGAGATCAGAGAGAAAAGGCAGGATCTCAGTCAAACGGGATCCGTCACAACCGTCCGGCAGTGAGGGGTCAGGGTGAGAGGTGAGACCCGTGACGTTGAGATTTGATGCTAGTCTCACAAGAATTGTCTCAACCCATTACAGTTCAGGTGTGGACTCGATTTGTATTGCAAAAGAGAGCTTGTCGCGAACTTTGACTTTCGGAGCATGACAAGTTCCATCGTGGCCTCTTGTCAAAGCTTCTTCTTCGGTACGCCACAACCTCTTCGTCTTCAAGGTCAGGGTTCTTCAAAATGTTGGGTAGCTGAAAGCTTTCCCCTTTAGAGAGCACACCAACTACAGCTGCCTGTTATCAACGCTAAGGCTTGTTTTAGAGTGAAAATGGCTGTGCTGTCAGCTTTCAGCCTCGTGTCACAAGATAACGGCGAGATAGTCGTTTACTACGTGGGATGATCAGCGCCTTCAGCCCGAGGCCGAGAACCTGGAGAGCTGATGCGATATCTGACGATCATTACAAAGAAACTCGGGGGATCTGCTTGAGAAAGACTTGCACCATAGAAGCACTGACTCTTAACATGTTTTCTGTATATTGAAAAGTGTATGCGAGGACGGGTGGAGTCATGGGCCAAAAAAGATACCTCAACCGTGCTATTTCTGCTCATGCACGATTTCATTGAGAGACGAGGTTTTTCCTCAGCAAGTGCAGAAAACAAGGATGAGCTGCAGCGTAGGAGTGCTGGTGTCAATCAATTGGGACCCGCCGCGGGTGAGCCGCATGGCGGAAGGGTATGAACTGGCAAGCTTGTCCACCTTGTCGGGACAAAAAAAAAGTCTATTGGGAATAGTACTTATTAAGCAGATACAGCAGAATAGCCGACACAGTGGCAGATCTCTCGAGAGATCTCGACGCAGAGCAGCTCCGATTACGCACAAATGAAAGCTGAAGATTTCAAGAGCTAATCTCCTCCAGCAAAATTTGTGCTCAATCCTCGAGGCGTCACTGAGCGGCACAGGTATTAATGTACAGCGGCACATGAGAGAGATATAGCAGCTAAAAAAGGATGAGCTTGCAACATGTCAAGAATCAAGATATTGGGTTCAA